AACGACGGCTGGACGACCAAGTCTCGCACCACCACGCTGATTGGACGACACACCAAACGAAATGATGCAAGATGTTGCTTCCCGAGAGTTTTATTGATCGATCCTTATTGATCGATTCCTGTCTATATTAATACCTTTTCTAAAGAATTATTTTAGTTTATTTTACTTAAGATGTATTGTTGTGGATAAAGTGTACTAGGAAACAGAATATCCTTTTTTGAATGGTCTATAGTACTGGCTGTTCCTGAACCAATTTCGTTGGTTGTATTTAGTCGTTAATGCAGCTTAAACAGAAACTAATACTCACATTATTGGAGTATCAGTAATAGTAAATCACCTGAATTGACGTACGTACAATGATTGTGGGAGATTCCATATTTAGAATAGATAAAATTGATACCCTTGGTTAGTTGCTTCAGTCTCCTATTCACCATTAATCTAGTCTACAAGTGATATGCAGTGAATTAAAACACAATAAGGTAGTATGTGCCAGCGGTGATGCCAAAAGGAAGGTTTTCTAACCCCAAACCAAAGATCAGATGAAAGAATGTATCTTGTACTTTAATGAAGAAAATCTTGAGTATTTACAAGATTTCGATAAAAGATCGAGTAGCTTCTTAAGCTTCGATTGAACAGATACATATCCGTCAATCTTTCCTTAGTATAACATAATAAGACACGAGTTGCCCGTTTCTTACAAGCTTGTAGATATGATTCTTTTCATAAATTATGGTAGATGTTCAATTTTTGAAGAAAGGCGTGGTAATTGGAAGTTGAATACCACAAACTGTGTCCTCATGGAGGACAAAGAACAGCTAAGATTATAATAACGAAAATTACCAAGTTCTCAGTGTAATATGATTTCGATTAGTTATAAGCTTGTATTTGAGAAGCCTATCTCATTAAATGATAGAACTTAACGGAAGTGATCCAGCCGATGGAAGCCGATGGATCTAGGGCAATAATAGCTGATAGAAATGAAAAGCTGTATTGAGTGTAATGGTTTTATAAGATATTTATAGATAACAACTCTTCCTAAATCTATGGCCAATGAAAGATGAATGTATTTCCAGTTAGAGAAAAGGGCTAACATCTTCTATTTGCCTCCATTCCTGCCGGCAGTTCAATTAAATGGTTTTGCCAGCAGCTATAGAGATAGCTTAACTAGTGCTTTATACAACTTAAAGGCGTACTCGAACCCTCGTATTCAGGTAGGTTTTGAATATTCTTAGAGTCCTGTGTTACTTGATGTGGAAATAAATCTTCTGTGATTGCCCATTCTACTTCAATAGATAAGAGTCTCAAAAAAAAGAGTTTCTCTTTATAATAACACCTCTATTTAGTTACAGGTGATGTCATTTTCATTGAAGCTGTGCTACAACTCAGACTTGTGGTAATGCAACAATTATTCTGGTTATACTTTTGGAGAGCCAAAGAAGCATGGCCCGTATGGAGACAAAATATTTATGCTGATTTCAATCCATTAACTGCTTTAAGTTGCCAATTCTAGTATGTCCTTCCAAATGTAAAAGTAATTCTGTCAAAGGGTAAAGTTAACTTCCAGATAGAGAATGCCGTCCTTCATGCAAAGGATCCAATGGAAATAGTATATAACCTAACGCTTAGCGTAAGTAATATCACCAATAGAGATCTATGGGGTGGTTTGACTCGATTACGACCGCATGTGATTTTTGAATGTACCACCCCTGAATTCCCTATTAGCAACATGACAGATTCTTCTGGCGCTGTGCAGATCACTAGAGCCAACCTTGCTGTTGCTACTTAATACGAAATATAGAAAGGATATTGAAGTGTAAGCCCCGATACTGCACATGATACAATCTGTGGAGAAAGGTTGGGTGCAGTACATAACAGTTCGCATGGTTGGTAGCATCGCCAGCTCCTTCCCAGCTAAAGAACTCCGGGAAACGGGTCAAGGGAACACCACGTCAAACCAGGCCCTTGACCCGGCGATAAGGGCGGACAAACATTTAGGTTTGCGGGAAAAACTTACATTTGAGGTGGGCTAAACGGGCTGAGGCCACAAATGCACCAACAATTCTCCGACAGCGATGGAGATGTGCAGGTGAAGCTTCGGCTGGTTGGACATTAGCTGTCAATTTCGAGGTACTGGTGGCAGCCGGCAAAATTTCCGGCGAGACATTGTGGCCAGGAGGGCCAGGAACCCTGTAGGGCTAAATGGTTGACGGGTAAACGAGGGCGAGATCACGTGACCAAGCACCGCAGATTTTCCGGGAGCACCACACCCCGCACTTTCTGTGGCAAGGGGCTTGGCCGATCTCGGGTGCAACTCCCAGATGGGATCACGTGGGCCGAGCAGCGACCCTCCGGGAACGCCTCCACCCAGACATTCCCAGCCTAACCTCCCCTATTACCCTCCACCGCCCCAATCCCCCAATCCACAACCTCAACCCCCCATCCCATCCATCCCCGACTTGCGGGGTGCCGGCGGAAAAAAGAAACCCACCGATGATCTTCCCCATCTCCTGCAGACAACCCCGGGTCGCGAAAATTTTAGGACTGTTCCCCACCAAACGCTTTGGGACGTTTAGGGCGGGCGACTAACTGGCACACTACGGGGTTTATCGCCATTGTTTTTGGCTCATTTTTGGCTAGAAATCAGCAGAGTTACACCAGGAAGATCAACAGCACAGCACAGCACAACAGAAGACACCATCACCTGTTCTTACAACACCAGCACAGTAGCAGATCTACCTCTTGATTCCATCCCCTACTCAGCGTGACCTCCCGACGCTTCTATCCGAACCACCAGAACAAGCACAGCACCAGCACTATCTCCTACTACCACCAGACTACCACCTCCTGATACCATCCCTCCACATTCTCCGACCACTCACCTACCCCCCATGGACATCCCAGACGACTCCTTGCTGTCCCCAGAAGCTAAGAAGAAGGACCCCACCTCCAGGCCCTACAAGTGCCCCCTCTGTGACAAGGCGTTCCACAGACTAGAACACCAAACAAGACACATCAGAACCCACACAGGTGAAAAACCCCATGCATGCACGTTTCCAGGGTGCTTCAAGCGATTCAGCCGAAGCGACGAGTTGACTCGTCACTTGCGCATCCACACCAACCCCAACTCGCGCAGAAACAAGAACCTCAGCAAGAACAACATCAGCTTTAGCGACGACAACGCTCCAGCACCAGGTGTGGTGGCCACACCTCCCATCGCCATCTCGTCCAAGGCCCACAAGAGGAAGTCGCCGGGCTCACCCACTCCGTCGCCCCCTAACGGAGCCGCAGAACCTTCGTCTCCCAAGGAAATCAAGTCTTCCAACTCAAGCGAGGACGAAATCAGCAACAACTCCAATACCCCTCCCAGCGAGAACGAGGCGCTGCCCACGCTCAAGTCGTCACCTCCCACGGCAGCTAAGTCGTCGCCTCCCTCGCTTAAGAAGCTTCCTAGCACCATGAATATTGACATCCTCGCCAGTGCAGCCTCCGAAGAACTCAAGCTCATGGAAACTGGCTCGCCAGGCGTGGCCACTAACAACGCAAAATCCTTGCCCTCCTTGACGGACTACTTTGGCACTTCCACCTCCGGATCCATGCAACTGCGTGCCAACGGCAACGCCAGCTTCCACATCGCCAACGTGCCTGAAACGGGCTCCAGCAACAACCTCCAGTATTTGTCCAATGTGGCGGTGTTGTCCAACGCAGACAAGTCCAAAAGCTACACCAGCTTGGCCCCCACCAAGAAGCAGTACATCAATTCCTTATCATCGTTCCAAATGATGACTCCCATAAACCCCCCATCGCACATCCACCATCCGCAACCTTCCAATGATAGAACCTTCGAGAGCAAAGATATGGACTACGTCAAACTGCGATTGAAGAAATCAAGACCAAATAGCCCCAATCCTAATAACTTCACCCTACCAAACTCCCCGGTGTTGGGGTTGTCAGCAGTGAATACTCCTATCGCCTCAGCAAGCAATAGTTCCACCAACTTAACCAATTTTTTCATGACACCGGCATTCAGATCCGCCAGTAATAATGTAGAGGCGGTGAAGCCTCCACAACCTCCTTCCGACAATGCAGACCCCACCACTCCACCATCCACATCTACAGAATCTCCCAAAAATTCACCTAATTCAGAAGCATCTAGGAAACCAAAGAATGCGTTGCCATCTCTCAGGAGCTTGAATCTTGATTTACCAACAAACTTGTCGATGCCTAGTTTGTCCAGGGAATTTTTCAAGGATTCTCTGTATTTTACATCTCCTAATAATAACCATGTTCTCAAGAGAAGAGGTTCTTCTAATGAGACCACTACATTCGGAAAGGCGGGCCAGGGTAATTAGCTGTATATTACTGTATAATAGATATATTCACACTCTTGAGTGTTTTGAACAAGTGTAGGGACCCAAATTCGTGTACAAGTAGATCCTCTATGTGTTAACCGAACCCGGTAATAAGGCACTACAAATGATAATACAGCACTCAGATGCGTGGTTGGGACTAACTGTGGAATTAGTTACTCTTAGATATATTTATCATATAGTTACGATCAACTACTCTAAATAGCGTAAGGGGTTGTTCAGCTACCAACAGCCCAGACCTCCTCTTCATCTTCAAACCTGTCACTGAACATGGTTTCTTCGTCACCACCAGCTTCAATTCTTTCTCTTTCAACACCAGCCAATCTACTGGCAACTCTCTTAGTGTAGTCACCAATGGATCTTGGAACGATGCTAGCACCAGTAACGGTGACAAAGTTCTCCTTACCCTCAAACCAACCATTGAACTCCTTCATTTCAACATCATCAACCAAGTTAAAAACGGACAAATAAGCCTTTTCAGCGGCCAACTTGATAGGAATGATTGGATCTCTAAGACATGCAAATACGCTTGGAACCAATAAGTCAAAGTTTGGTTTGACAATTTTGTCGAACTGGAATCTAGCAACTGTTCTAATGACAACCAATGCGAGTCTTCTAGTATCGAGTGACGAAGAAGCTGGTTGAATCGCATTGAGCGACACTTGCTTTACCAAAGTGAGGATTTGCTCGTCATTGAGTTCGAACGGAGTTGGCGACTCGGATTTTTCTTCCTTAGGAGACTTGTTTTGTCCAACCAACAACAATATCTTAGCAATGGCAATGGTAGCATTGTCACTCACGTATGGTACAGTGGAATTGCTGCAGCTAATGACGAAAGAGATGATCTCATCGATCAAACCAACATGGAAAATGTGGCCAGGAGAGTATCTCAAGAACGAGTTAATGGACAAAATGCAGAATTTATCGTTAGAATTGTCTGGTTTGTCAAGAATCTTACTCTTAATAATGCTGGCAGCTTCTTCCCCAGACAAGATGTTGGCCAATGAACCAATCAACCTAGCGTATGAAACCGCTGATGAATCGTTGACCAGGGTGATTTCATCTTCAACCAAAGTCATGATCGAAGTTTTGGAAGTTTCATTCATGTTCTTACCAGCTTTGTTGACAACTTCCAACATAGCCTTCAACATGGACGTCTTGACACCCTGATCGGTAGCAGTCTTAGCACCGGTAACCAATTCGGTAACCAATGAATCGATTCTGGGCTGGAATCCAATCAAAGTTCCCAAAGCAACAACAGCTCTTGCTCTCAAAGTATCGTTGGAAGCATCAGATAACGATCTGACAAAGGTTCTTTGCAATTGAGGAATAAATGGTCTTAAGAATTGAGGAATCTTAAGCAACAAACTGTTCAAAGCCTTCAAGATAGCAGCCTTGATATCACTCAGAACCTTTTCACCAATAACTCTAATCAAAGGACCAGTCATGACGGTTGCAAATGGCTTCAAGTTCAACGCAGGGGTCTTGTCAATGATATTGGCAATACCCAAGGCTGAAGTTTCCTTCTGGTCCGAGTTACCATACATTAAACCATGGAGGAAGATGGGCAAGATACAGTTTGGACCTCTGGCAATCTTGAAACCTGCCAAGTCCTCTCCCTTGACTCCAGTAATGCTCAAAGCTTGGAATGTTGGCTTGACTAACTTCTCCAAGGACTCCTTTGGTTGTCTCTTGACAAGGGCAGTCAATGCCTCAAAAGTACCCTGAACAACTTCTTCGGATGGGTCGCTCAATGAGAGTACAAATTGTCCGATCATATCCTGCAAGTAAACAGAGTAGTCGAGGTTGGTATTGGCGAAAAAGTTGCCCAATCTGCCGTAGACAATAGCTCTCTTTGCGGAATCCTCGTGCTTAACCAACGACAATAATTGTTGCATCAATGGATGGACACCATCGTCAGTGTCGATGGCCAACAAGATCTTGTCAAAAGCGGCTTTAATGTCGTCCTTAGACTCCTCGGATTCAGCTTCAATAATGGCATTGATCAAAGTATTGATAATCAACGACAATCTCTTGAATAATGCAGTGCCAGCAACTGAAGCCAAAGACGAAAGTGCGTTGGCCTTGAAAGAGTCAATTGGTGGGGTCAACAACGTTGGAATCAAGATAGGGAAAATGACGTCGGACTTCGAAGCCATGATCTCCTGTAAGGCCAACAAGGCGTTTTGAGAATCGGATGATTCCAACAAATTCAAAAGATTTGGCAAGATTTCATCAATAACAACCTTACCCAATTCTTCTTGCAAGGATTCAAACGCCTGTGCCGCAGCTTCTCTAATCTTGGAGTCAGAATCAATAAGAGTGTCTCTGATAATACTGATGAATTGATCTTGGTATTGAACGAGACCTTCGGCAGAAGTAGACTTGATCAATTCGTTCAAAGCAATACAGATACCTTGTCTGGTATCATTATCATTGCTTTGCAACGATTCTTCAAGAGTAGGCAACAATCTTGCCAATGCGTTAGAACCAACTCTACGAACCATTTCACCCAAAGTTTGAGCGGCAATGGTTCTGTGAGTCTCGTCGTTAGACGCCAACCTACGGACAATGATTGCAGTCAAAGATGGCAAAATCTCCTTGACGGTCTTTGGAGTGTTGGCCACCAACGCCTTCCAGATATCAACAGAAGCACTTCTGACAATACCAGCAACATCGGAACGACAAACGAACAAAGAAGCCAACACTCTGTCACGACGATCTTGTCCAAGAATCTCAACCAAAGTCTTGTTGAGTTCTGCCGAGTTGTCGAATTGCTCTTCGTTAAGCTCGTTCTTACCACTGATACCAGTAATTTGGAATAATAAATCACCAGTAAGCTCAACGGAAGAGAGACGAATTCTGTAGCTGGAGTCGGATAACCCGTTTTCTAATTCTGGCAACAACAAGTCAACGGCCTTCTTGGCGTAGTTCTTCACAATCAATCTACCGGCTCTCAACGATGTGTCTCTGATGTCCTCGTCGCTGTCAGCTAAACCGTTTAAAATTGCTGGAATGATACGGTTCAAGTAAGGAGAGAACTGTGTTCCGAAACAAACTGGCAAGAACAACAACAATGGCATGAAACCAGCTCTGATGTGGTTTCTTGGAGATGTGGCTGAAGAAATAATTGTTGGTAACAACTCTTCTAACTTGCCAATACCCAAACCACAAATAACCTCACTCAAGGCTTGTGCAGAACCAAGTCTATCACCAACCTTGCTTTCGTCCTGCAAGGTGCCAAGCAATCTTGGAATCAAGTCTGGGAACCTCTCCTCACCTAACTTTTCAACCAAGGAACCCAAAGCTCTGGCAGCAGTCGATCTGGTGGCAGGAACAGGGTCAACCATGGCGAGTTCCAACTCACCCACCAATTGCGACAAGTAAGGCATCAAATCCTTGGAGTCGACCAAGATGGCCATATTACCCACAATTTGACAAGCCTTCTTTTTGGTGGAGGCAGATCTATCCTTCATACCTCTGTGGATAACATGGATAATCAAGGCAAGCGAAGGTCCGTCAATATAATGGACGAACTGAGTCTTGATCAATTTGTCTAATGCCAAATCGGTGTACTTGGTTGGGTCACCAATGGCGTTGATCAAATCAGGAACAATTACTTGGATTTCGGGGTTTCTGATAACTTCACCGAATCTCTTCAATGCCAAGTCAGCAGCTTTTCTAACTTCCTTGTGAGTGTCGTTCAAAACACCGACAATTTCAGGAATAATGGTAGACAACGATGAACTCAATTGGGTAGGATCCAAGTATGCCATGGAACCCAACAATTCGACGGAACCCTTCTTGGATCTCCATGGGGCTTCGTCGTCAAGATTCGAAATTGTCAAAGGAATCAACTTCTTGATACCATAACTGGAGGTGTTCTTCATGATCTGCTTGGCTGCCGAGTCGGTAGCTTCACGGACTTCGGCAGCAGTATCACCATAAAACTTCAAGATAATAGGCAAGATCTCGATAACGTAAGGCTCGAAGAACTTTCCTAAACTTTGAGACAAGCACTCAAAGGCAAAGGAAACACCTTCTCTCTTCTTTGGGTTTTTCTTGTCGTCAGAAGCTTCCATCAACTCTCTGACAATATCATTTTGTGACAAAGATTTGATACCAATACCCTTGACCAAACCAGCAATACCATAGGCTGCACCTCTTCTTTTAGCAAACGATTCCAGACTAAACAACGTTTCGAACAAACGGTCAAAGTGCTTCTGCAATTCGGACTCGAAGGATTTCACCAATGGAGCCAAACCTTCAGAAATGGCATACTGGATATCTTCGGAGGGTGTATCAAGTGTCTTAATCAATCTCTCGATAATGGTGTTCAATCTGGGGTCCGTGGACTTCAAGTGACGAGCCAAGGCACCGTACAAAATAATGACATTTTCCTTGATGTTATCTTGCACCTTGGATCTGGCATCCTTGGCACCAAGATTGGCTTCGAAAATAGGGATCAATGTCTCGATGTTGTCAAATCCATGCTGGTTGATTACCTCCACTCCCGCTTCTAAGAGTTCTTGACGAACGACATCTTCTTTATCACCCAATGCAGACTCGTCTACCAAAAACTTGAACAACTTCTCGACGGATTCACTGGTGAAGTGAGACGAAAGAAGCTTCAAAGTCACTGCAATGGTCGATCTGTCTTCCCAAGTATCTCTTTGGCTAGCAGATGATTGGATGGGCAACCCGAACCTGTCTAATACAGCTGGTGGAGGGTTCTTCTTGACGTGGTAGAGGTCGATAAGCTTGTCCAATGTAGTCGCGAAAGAGTCGTTTCCAAGCACGTTGACGGCATCAACGATGGATTTGGCAATGGAGAGTCTCAATCCAGAGTCTGAGTTTCCAGCCAACGTCAATAATCTAGAAGGAGCATCTTCCAAAACCTCGAAATCGTTATCTTCCCAGATGGTGGTGGCCAATTCAGCAGAATGAGCGTCATTATCATGGGCAGCGATCCACAATTCGTTGGAATACTTGACTTCTTCGCCAGTCAAGTCAAATTCTGAGTCAATTCCTTCCAAAATACTTGTTCTGACAAATTGAACTGGAGTCATGATGGCATCCCACAAGCACTTCAAATCTTGTGGAGTGTAGGTCACCCCAAGGGACTGACACATGGACAAGAAACACTCCTTGGAGAGCTTGGATTTAGATGGCAACTTCATCAAGGAAATCAACACCTCCAAGATGTTGATTCTAGGAATGCTGACATCTTCGAATAACTCGGAGTGGGTAGAAATAATTTCAATCGACAACAATAACTGTTCCTCTTCTGGATCTTCTTGAACGAACTCAGATGTGACAGCCTGCTTGGTGGCGGAGTTTCTGATCGCGACTTGCTTTCCTATCTCCAACACCTTGGTCAATAAGGGCAAAGTGTAAGATAAAGTCAAAGCGTCAAGTGGTTGACTGTCAGACAAGATCTTGACTCTGTACAAAATTCTTCCAGTCAAATCCAACAAAGCCTCGTCAAGATAATTCTCTGGAAGACCAGGAATAGAGTTGATTCGGATGGTTGCAACACCAATAAATTCCTTCAAATGGCCCAACTTGGGAGATATGAGCTTCGACAAGTTGAGGAATGTAGTCACTGGCAAAGACCCGACTAATTCGGGAGTGCTGCTCAATTTAGCAACTTCCAAAAGTTGAGTAATGGCCACAGGGAACCAATACTTGGATCCGTTGTCAACTTGGACGGCGTTATTGACCAACTCGTTGATGATGGAAATAGCCTTAAGAAGTGCATCAACAGCAGATTGGACCTCAGCTCTAATCTTTGATTCTTTTGCTATTTGCTCATTCACCAAGACCAATTCTTCCTTGGTTAATTTCTTTGCTGGACCTTTGGACTTGGTGGCCAATTCTTTCTTGACTGACTCTTCCCATTTCTTGATTTCGTAGTCCTTGGAATTCTTGTCTTGACTCTTTCCAGTCGACTGGTTGAGAATATTGATCACCAACTCTCCTTCGACACCTCTCCAGATGTCCAAGGAATTGGTATCGATTTCTTTGATTTTAGTGGTAGCAATATCTTCTCTGATGTTATCGGCCAACTTAGGAGCCACCACGTCGGGTAAAATGAAGGCCATGATACCAATAGCCTTGACACCAGCCTTATAAAGGGCAGAATCGTATTTAACTGAGGCCAATAAGGCGAAGATTTCCTTGAAAATGACTTCGAATCTCGAGTTCAACAATGAAGCAACATCAATATTGAAGTTGCTTCTTTGCACCAAACCCACCCAGCCGTTCTTAACGGGGATGACTTCGTGGTTCGAAATGACAATGAGTTTAGATAAGTTTTCTTCCACTACGTTTTGGTCCTTAAGTTGGGTCATTAATGGCAAGATCACATTCAATTGCTTGAGATTCAAAGCCAAGTCTTCGACCTTGTCTTCCTTCAAAATCTTAGTGATTCCATTGATCAAAACCTCACTCAACTGGGACTTTTCTGATAAAGCTTCCTTAAGAAGCTCCACACTCTGGAGTCTGTACTTGTAGGGAACGTTTGTGGACACCAAGAGATAAATCCAAGCAAGACCGTATTCCAAGTTAGCAGAATATTGCACGGTTGCTCTCAAGGCCCTAGCTAACCACTCGAATTCGGAATCAAGAGTGAATTTCGTGTAGACTCTGGAATCTGTCAAAATGGATGGCTTTTCGTCCTCTGGGCTCAATGAACTCTGGAACACTTGCTTCGTGTCCACAGTGAGTTCTTGGGAGTATTTGGCACTTAACGAAATTGTAACATACGCATTGGTGATACCCTTATTGGTGACGGTGGGAACTGGGGACAGCTGGGACTCTTCAAGAGATTTCACAAAGCTTGGATAAACTGCGTTAACAAGGCTGGAGATGCGTTCATTGGAAGTGGACAAACAGTACAATCTGGAACCCAACGAGGCGAACCAAAGTCTTCTCAATGGAAGCTTCTTATCAGTCAAACCAGCGTTGAATTGAACGGAGATCTTTTTCAAATCATCACCTGATACTTCACCTGCGTCCGTTAACACTCTGAACGAGTGTACCACGAACGACTCGATCAAGCTGGCCAACGAAGTTTCATTTTGGTCCTTGGGGATTAATGGGAGTAAGTCGTTTATGATCTTTAACGAGGAATCCACCGTGGAAGATGCCAAAGACAACGAGGATAAAATCAATGCCTTGGAGTCGGAATTGGAGGTGGATTTCAATGCCTTGAACACCTCATCAATATACTTGAAATGATCTTGTTGGGTCAACTCGAAGCCAGGCTTAATGATATTTTTGAGGCACTCAAATGCCCCATTTCTCACTGGCTCTTTGGGAGACTTGAAGGCAGAAAAGACGGAACCCAACAACTTGGAGCCCAACAAGGTAGATCCTGCAACTTGTTTCAAGTGCTTGAAAAATGGGGGCAAAATTATCACAAACGAGTTTTCCGAGGATCTCAATATGGCCTTTTCGATACTAGGAAGCAAGCTGGCAAAGTCCTCGTTGGAGATATGGAGGTGAACGAAGCTGCCAAACACCTCCAACGAGTGGGGAGCTGGAGCAACTTTAGCCAACAATACCTGGTTGGTGAGATATTCAAGAACGGGAGCTTTGTAGCCTGCTCTGATCTGTTCAACCAAAGCTGGCCTAGTGGGGGTCAAGTCGACCAATGCTGATGCTAACACACCCAAGTAGGTGAGCACTGTGTCGGAGGACAAAGAGGAGTCCAAGATGCTCTTGTAATACACAGATGAGTCTGAGCCTTCAGGGAGCGATCCAAGAGCCTCGACGATGGACGTCCTGGTAGAAGTGGTGACTGCTTGGTGGACTCTGAAACGATGCTTTTGGTGCTCGGAAGGGTCCGAACTCTGGCTGACACAGTTATTCAACACTATGGCTTGGGTCCTTATGATAGTCTCAGCCAAGGTTGGGTCTTGTGCAAGCACCTGGAACTTGTTGATCCAGTTCAACAATGTGAGATAGTCGGTTATGGCCATGGTGAGGTTCTTCTGGGTGACCTGAACATTGATAAACTTGACGAAAACGCTCAAGTACTTGGAATCGTGGCTGATGAACGCCTCTAACGTCTTGAGGGCCTCATTTCTGGAGTTCACATCCTGGTAGTAGTTGAAAGTCTTGAGGACTCTAATGGCAATTTGCTGGAGGTCTTCCTGGGCAATAGCGGATGATTTCACCTCTTCTTGGATAGATTGGAGGGCAGGAATCCTTATCGAGGTGAGCGAAGATGTAATGGCATTGGAGTAGTCTGACATGGCTGGTGGTGGTGAACGATGGAATGTAGTGTAGATGGTACTGGACGGCTTTTAGGGTCTAGAAGCCGCAAATCACGGAGTGGTCGAGGAGTTTGTACCTGAAAGTGTGCAATTGTGTCGTTGTATCCGTTCTGGGACGTTCCTAAAGTTCAATCAGCTTGTGATGCCTGGAATCATTCACTAGTAGTTGGATCTCTATACTTTCAGACTGGGTCGTGCGCGTGTGCCAATATGAAAATTTTTGCGACTAGTGCGCGCGTTACCCGGACGGTTTGCGTCTGCAAATACTCCAGTATGTAGACATCAAACTAATGATAGCAAGTAGTCAGCAGGAAACTAGGATAGATTTGAGCTATTGGTTTACGTGGAGCAACACCATACCGTAGCAACTTCGGAATGTGGACAGTTATTCGGGTACCCTTCGCTAATTTAATAGATTATAGGTGAAGGTCCGTTCTGCCATCATGAAAACAGGCGAATTATAATCGAACATCTGTAAGTAAGCGCAAGGCTTATTAGGTTCGAGATTCTTTGGAGTTTATCATTGTTAGGGATCATCCTTTAGTTGTAGGAATGAAAGTGCGACAAAATTCAGTATTCGATACATTATTCATAATATTGTATTTTAACATATCAACTCCAGTTATTCCAATAGCGGAGAGCACGGTGACTTAAATGTAAAAGCCTCAATTATCCCGAAATATCAATCCCAGTCTCTAATATAATTGGTTTCAACGGAACCGCAATTACTTGCAATTACTTCAAAATCTACTTGGAGACTATCTACTGCTATTTGATTAAGGTTATTAACTAGCTGTGAGATGGCAATCAGGGTGTGGAACGAATCACTTGCTTGATTTACGAATCCATTCAATGACGACGTGAAATCAAACCTGAAAAAATAGAATTCGACGGCTACAAGGATACATATTCTGCGATTCCTTGTCGTTCATCTCAGAGGTGATGTACTCGCGGAGTTGCCACAGTTCACACCTACTCGGCAGCATTGTTGGCACATTTCAGATAGACGGTATAAAAACGTGAATGTTGGGGCCCAAACTATTCAGAGTATTTGTTCTTGACTTAGTTTTGGCACTATGCGCCAACACTGGAGGACTCAAATGGTGGGGGCTACCAACTGCCCAACAACCGTGGGGGGCCACCAGATACAGGATTTCCCGGGCACTCCGATTCGTAGCGGTAATCGGAAAAGAACATTTGCAGGGTTAGGAACTGGTCCGTGCGGCAATAGAAGCAACCACAACGAATGGTGCAACAGCACCAAACTATTTTTGTTTTCGACAATTGTCTGCCACTGGGGCTTAGTGTGCCCGGTGGCGTGTAACTGCCATTGACAGACCATTCGGACACAAGTCCTGGGTCACCCGATCTTTCCAGATTCCCGAAGTTGTGAGCTGACACCTAACACAAGGCCGGAATAGCTAAGCGAGTATCATATGCACATCAGACACTTGTGGGTATTTGTGGGCGGATCACACCATAGACAAACCGCGTGCTCTGGCCAAGTGTGGGCAGATCACACGAGGGCCAAGGGCAGGCCTGCTGGTGGAACTGAAATTGTGCCTCCTGGTGGAATGGCGGGAAATCTAGGATCGGAAGTTTCCGGAGGTTCCTATCAGCGAGATCGCGAGCCATACCTCGGAGTTATGGGCATCCACCGTGAGATAACGCCGAGGTCGGGACAGACAGCAACTGTAGCCAACATTCTGACAGGTCGGGACAGCAATGACAAATCGCTACGAACTGGTCTTGCGCAGTCTTACAGTGGTGGTTGTCTATTCCATGGGCATCCTTTAATAAATAACATAAATAAATAGGCAAACGATTGCAACGGTTCATAATTCGTAACAGAAAACATCAGGTAATTAAATAGGCAAGCCGGGGGCTCTTTTTGGGTGAAAACCAACTGCCTTCGAAGCAGCTTTCAGGCTCAGGGTTGGGTGAAGCAGATATGGTTACTCGTGCTTGAAACAGCATCTGTTACCGTAGCGACAGGTGCCGAACTTGGACCAGTTAGCGCACGGCTTGGATCTCCACTTGGGAGGTCTTTCCACCTGTTTCAACTCGTTTTCTCCGTGTGCGAACTGGCACTTATTGCCGTAGGGACAGAGCCCGATTTTCATGTACGACGCACAGAGCTCGGTCTTGTACAACTGGGTGTTGACCAGCTGCTGGGGTTGGGTCTGGGCGGCCGCCTGGGCAGTCTGGGACTGAGGCTTGGGCTCGGCCGACGCCGACTTGTGGCGACGGGAGTGGTGTGCTGGCGTGTGGTGGTGGTGGTGTTGCTGCTGCTGCTGCTGGGCTGGAACGTATACTGGCGACTGAGTCTGGTGGTGGGCAGAAACGTACACTGGCGACTGGGGCTGGTGGTGGTGGAGCTGTTGCTGCTGCTGCTGCTCGAAACTGAACATGTCCTCGGTCTCCTCTGCGTAGGTGTAGGCAGGAGCAGGCGCCTTGGCGACGCTGTGCAACACGTTTTCCTCGCTAGGCCCACCGAGATCGGAGTAGAGATTGTTGGGAAGCAACGACTGCGCGTAGTCGGCAGCCATGTAGGGCTGGGAGGGAGTGTGCCAGATTCCGTGGTGGAGCGCAGACGAGGGCGACACCGACAAGTCCATGTGGAGCACAGGCGAGGAGGAGATGGCAGATGAGGTGGCAGAGCTGGTGGAGGACGAGCTGGTGGTGTGCCACAAGTCAGGCAACAAGTCACCCTGGAACGCAGCGGCCAAGTCCGCGGTGGACGACGAGGTCAGCGACGCCAGCGACGCCAGCGAGCCCACGCTAGCGAGCGAGGGTCTTTGGCGGGGTTTGGCAGCCAGCGCGGCCCCGAAGTAGAGGGCGGGGACGGTCTTTTCGGGGTGCTCAACAGGCAACACCCGCAAGGGCACCTGGTGGAAGTGTGACATGGGGGTAGTGGTGTGGCAGTGGCGGGAGACTAGCAGTGACTGTGGAGGAACAAGACGGCAATGGAAGAAGACGGTAGTGCTAGTGGGCTGGTGGAGGTGCTGGTGCTGGAGTAACAGTGGTGGAGCGGTGGTGCTAGTGTAGTGCTGGTAGTAGTGGTGGGACTGCTGGCGGTAGGTGGTGCAGAATTGCGTGGACGGCGATCTGCCAGACACCAGACGCCCGGCGCACGATGTTTATATATCTGGTGCAGCGATGGGAGGGGAAGTGATCAACATTTTGGTTTTGTGTATAGGGGCGCGCGCAGCCGTAGTGAGATTTGTCGGAGGGGAGCAGTGGTGGCGTGATGGCCCGCGGACCGTTGGGGGATGTTCCGACGTGGGCCCACTGGTGGTGACGGTGTCTGTCTGACAGGTGCAGACAGGGAGAGCAGCAGCGACAGTGGCATTTCGTGGGTGGTGGTGAAAGTCGCTCTGGGTGTCGTTCTGGATGTCACTGGATGCATACTCACGACGTTGGCTCCGGTTATCTCCTATGCCGGACCGGACCATCACCGTATTGTTCTAGAACCCCACCATCTGAGATGTCTTTGTTGGCACTTTATCTTGCTCGGACACAGTTTTTTCCGGGAGGAGAACCAGCGAGTGCGGATATACCCACCATTGGCTGGTCCCAGCAAATCACCGCGGAACCCCCAACGGAACTGGCCCTGCGACGCCTGCTGGGACACTTGCTGGGGCGCTCCAGGCTGGGTGGTGGCGCTGCCTCCAGTGGGGTTTGGTGGAGAGAGTGGAGAACTGACATGCCCCTCATCTTCCCCTCCACCCATCCACGGCGGAACCGCTTCCTACAAGGGAACCAGCCAGTTTTCCCGATCACGTGGCCCAGTTCCGACTCGATCGATCCGCCACTGGGGTCTTGGCGATGGTGTAACGTCCTGCCATACTCTGGCCCGAGTGTCGGTCGAGGCACGGTTTGCTTGCGGCAAATGACCAAGCTCGAAAGCCCTTTTTCCATTTCGCAGTCCGTTCCGGTTTTGGGCCTACCCCTCTCAGACTCGCGCTTCTTATCGGTGGAGGGCAGATCCCATCACCAGCTCGGAACTGTACCTCCTGCCGCGGTGATTGTGGGGAGCTCAAAAGTCGGGGTAATCAGAAAGGGAGGAAAGGGTCTGAGGAGTGGAGGAGAGTTGGGGTCCAACTGGGAGTGGAGAGCTATTGGGAGAGTCGAGAAAATAGGAGAGTACTGGCCCAACGGGTGAAAATTGGCCAACCATGGCTGGAAAATTCCCATACCATGGCTCAAATCGCATCTCAAAGATGCCCCAACACGCCAGTGGAGACGAGATCCATGTTGCATTTTGGGCCGGTGCGGGAAATTCAGAGGTGTAGAGTTCGCAACTGCTCGTGTGCATTTGGGTGTTTACGATGGCTGTGCCCTGGTAAGGGAAAATGCCAGTCGTTCGATTTTTGAATCAATGAATTATAAGGTTCAATCGGTGGACTGACCTGAATAGATATCGTGTGGTTTTTTTTGGAAGCAGTCAAGGATCAGTGGTCAGACATCTCGTGTGGTTATTGTAGAGAGGTGTCCTCTATCGGTGGACTGACAGTTATCGTGTAGTTTTTGTCGTAAGCAGCTCCCAGTGATATTTATCTTTGTAGACTAACAGTTCATACATCGCCATGTGTTTTTCTGGCAGAAAGTACTCCTGCATCAGTGGCCCTATAGTGCTACGTTATCGTATGCTTTTTAGTAAGCAGTCGTTGGTCTTACAGTAATGAGTGTGCTTATAGTAGAAATGTGGACCTTACCACTGTAGACTTACGTGATCAGATGCCGCTTGCCTTGTTGTAGTAATCAGTTAGCGTGTGCTCAAATTTTTGTGCACTATCACTGTCTCACAGTGAGTGTGCTTTAATTCTAGAGAGTAGATAAATATCTCTGTGGTCTTACAGTGGTACATTATCTTGCCTATAACATATAGTGGGTACTACTCTATCGGTGGTCAGTTGTACATTATCATGTGCTTATGTAGTAAGCAGTCCTCTGTTCGTGTGCTCTTCAGTCGATTGAACAGCTACCTTGTCCATGCCTCGATTCAATACTAGAGAATTTATTTATAATATAGCATTAAATCTCAGGAAACTGGCAATTACAACCTTATTGACCATACTACTATTTCTATCCATATCGATAACTTTTCTCTTCAGGCTTCTCAATTATTTTACCTTCTTCGTGTTCTTTTTTGAAATTTATTCATAATTCAACTGAAATTTTAAAATACCGTTTTTGTCAAGTTAACCCCCGAAACTACAACCTTATCCACCTTTCACTCATGGTGCAGATTTCGCTCTTCCTCGCTTTCCCTCGAAGCTTATTTCGCCACCACGCTGGAACCATCGCCATACCCGATCACGTGACTACCATATGTTTATGTCAAACGCGTCCCGTACTCTTCATACTATATGATCAACTCCAATAACCTTCTGTCACAGCTCACTTGGCTAAGACAACACAGTCCTCACGTGCCGGATCCCTCCATAGTTGAGTTGGCTCTTCGGAAGTTCCCGAAAAAGGACATTCCTACCGGTTTTCGTGGCTCTACTCAGATCAGTCAAGTGCCACCCTCAAATCAGACAAGGCCTCCCGTCACCCACACAAGCGCTGCATCGAATGGATCGAGTCGTATTGAGGAAAAAGACGATATAATTGATCTTACTTTTGACCATGATGTGTCCTCGACTACCAACAAACCAGCGATTCCAGATTCCAGATCACCTCCACAACAGCAGATCATTCCAAACAAGTCCAAAGACACACGTATAAACTCGAATGGCGTCCAAAGCAGCCACAATGGTGCTCAAAAAATACCAGTGTCGACTGTGATCCCTTCGAAGGCTAGAACAGGCATCAGTGCCAATAGCAGTGGCAGTAATGGAACTAGCGCTGGCAACCCCAGGAATACTAACTCCGCCATTCCAAGCCCCGAGCCAACTAAGTTGCTTGAAAGCCTTATAGCATTGCAGGACACTAAAATACGACTATTTGAAGAGAGATTTGAAGTCAGCGAGTCGACTTCGCTTTCGCTCGATGCAAAGCAAAACTTCTATAGAAGTGAGTTCAATCCGAAATTGGAGACAGTCAACATGGAAATCAGTGGCATACGAAAGGAGCTCGAGGCTAAGCGCAAATCCGAACTGCAGCCCATACATTCTGCTCCCGCACCAATAATCAAAACAGTAGATGAAGATATACACACCTACGAGTTTTCAGACTCGGATGATGACATCCTTGCGGCCGCTGTCTCAAAATTGAACGTTCCAGATTCCATCCAACACAACGAAACAGTGTTCAAAGTCCCAGAAACCCCCAAATCTGGTAGTCAAATCGCATTTGAGCATATCCTGGCTCCACAATTCCAAATTGATAATTCTAATGATTACGACCATAGCATGCATAGCACCAGTATCACAAATATCAACGCTATCACAACTACAGACAATGAAGACCACATTCATACTTCTAACAACAATAATATAAATAATCCAGCATCAGATATATCCATGGAAGAGGATCACTTCGGTGACAGGACAATGGACGGTCTTAGAACACCTACCCAAGAAAGAAACGACGAGGATGATTTAGGAAGTTTTATTGATGACAATGAAATAGTCACTGATGGAGAATCAACTTATAGAAGCGCTCAATCAGATTATGAGAGTGACCACGGTGGTAATGTTCTTGATGAAATTCGGTTGTCTCCCGATGTTGCTGAAAATTATGGTATTAAGTATAATGATCCTCTTGAATCTGAGGTTGAGTGCATTGATGAAGAAGTATCCACACAAATGGATTCCATAAAAGTAGAACAAAGGTCGGAGGAAGTTGACGAAGATCCCGACGAAGAGGCAGAGAATGATGATGATATAGAAGAAATCGAGGACTTTACAACACAATTGAACGAGGAGAGAGAATTGAATCATGAAGACATTATTGAGTTAATATCTGATGACGAGGAGTCCTATTTCTCGAAACCTCCAATAAAGAAAATCGAACTCATCCCCAAGCCTGAGCCAGGCCCGATCTCACAAATGATCGAAAATGTGGTGGAAAGCGACGATTTTAGTGACGAAGATGATCCAGAGTTGATGAAAATCTTAAATAGTCATCAGCGAGAATTGCTTCCAATGTCAAACAAGGAGAACATCCCACCAGGCTCGGAAGGTTTTATTGATGAGGTTTACACCGTGTTGAATTCGGTATTCAAACTTCGATCATTTAGGCCAAATCAATTACAGGCAGTTTGTGCAAGTTTACAGAGCAAAGACGTTTTTGTTTTGATGCCAACGGGAGGCGGGAAATCTTTGTGTTACCAACTCCCAGCTTTGATACAAGGTGGTAAAACGAAGGGAACCACCGTCGTTATATCTCCTTTGATTTCGTTGATGCAGGACCAGGTTCAGCACTTGCTTAACTTGAATGTCAAAGCTGGAATGATAAGTTCTAAAGCTTCCAGTGATGATAACAAGCAAACCTTGAACTTATTTCGTGATGGGTTTTTACAGATAGTATATTTATCCCCAGAGAAAGCAAATAATTCTGCTATGGTGCAAAGGATTATCGGGAAGCTTTATGAAAACAACCAGTTAGCAAGAGTTGTTATTGATGAGGCCCATTGTCTTAGTTCATGGGGCCACGATTTCAGACCTGATTACCAGGGAATGAGCTTTTTCAAGGAGAAATATCCTAGAGTTCCACTTATGGCATTGACTGCTACGGCGAATGAGAAGGTTAGAATGGATATTATCCATCATTTGAAAATGTCTAGCCCCGTGCTATTGAAGCAAAGTTTCAATAGAAGCAATTTATTTTACGAAATTAAATGGAAAACTCCCAACTACGTGGAATGGATTAAGGATTTTGTCGTTTCCAAGCACAATGGTAAGACTGGAATCATTTATTGTCACTCGAAACAATCATGCGAGCAAACTAGTGCAAAATTGAGTCTGTATGGATTGAAAACATCATTTTACCACGCAGGAATGTCACCACAAGATCGGTTTACTGTCCAAAGCATGTGGCAGAGTGGAAAGCTTCAGTTGATTTGCGCAACAATTGCTTTCGGTATGGGAATTGACAAGCCTGATGTGAGATTCGTGATCCATTTGTTTATTCCTAGAAGTTTGGAGGGGTACTATCAAGAAACAGGTAGAGCAGGAAGAGATGGTAAACACTCGGAATGTATCATGTTTTACTCCTATAAAGACGCCAGACAGCTACAAAATATGATTCATAGAGATGAGGAATTGACTGTCGAAGGTAAGGAAAACCATTTAGCTAAATTGAGACAAGTTGTGCAATACTGTGAAAATACCACCGACTGTCGTAGAAAGCAAGTTTTGCACTACTTCAACGAGTCTTTCAATCCAATCGAGTGCCGAAAAGAATGTGACAACTGCTTGAATTCAAGCAATATAACCACTGTTGAAAAGAATTGTACGGAGTACGCCAAAGACATCATCAATCTCGTGCAATCCATACAGGAAGACCAAGTCACAGTTTTACATTGTCAGGATGTGTTTAAAGGGTCTAACTCAAGCAAAATCGTTAAATTGGGACATAATCACAGTCCATTTCATGGCAAGGGAAAGTCTTTGGACAAGACTGACGTGGAAAGAATCTTCTTTTATTTGCTTAGTGAAGACTGTTTGATGGAGTATCAAATCATGAAGGGTGGGTTTGCATCTAACTACGTCCGGGTTGGCAAGTATGCAAATCAGGTTTTAAATGGTCAAAAGGTGATCAAGATAAGCTTCAGCAATAACAATGCCAAAACCACAAAACCAGCAACCACTACTTATCAGAGTAACGTTTCATTGAGGACCAGTGCTGTTGAAAGTTTTAGTGGCATGGGCCTAAACGGCTTCAGGTACCAAGATTCCTTTGTTACAGCACGGCAGATGTCTAATGGAGACTATAATTCAGTGATTACTTTGCCTCCAAATCAATTTGGGGCAGAGGTCGAGAACAGTTTGAATAAGGCTCATATCGAGTATGCTCACAGCGAATTGTCGAAAATCAGAATTGAGGTTCTGTCAGAAACAAGCACTCCGCTCCAGCAGGTGGTGAGCGACACTGCCTTGACAGACATGGCCATCAAGCTCCCTACCAACAAGAAGGATTTCGCCAAGCTCACGGGAATCACCAAAGAGCAGTTAGAGAGTTTTAACTATTTCAAGAAGACATTGGGATTCTTGGCCAGAGAGAGAAAAAAAGGCAACCTGCCAACTACAACGCAAGCTACACAGTCCAGAAATGCGTCCAATGCCAAGTCGCCGTACTTCAACCAGTCGCAGCTGGACCAGGCAATTTTGAACACTTTGAGAGGCACATTATCGCAACGAAGCGAGGCTTTACCTACCGCAAGCACTGTGAGACCTGGAGCAAAAGGCTACCGAAGCGCAGCAAGGAAGAGCTACAAGCCCAAGTCGCAACTGGCGAAGAGGAGGGGGGGAACCCAGACGGGAGGAGCTGCAAAAAGGACTGATGGGTTCAGGGCACGAGCCATGCCACTATAGATCGGTAGGCGCACGACGCCCTCACTATAGAGAACGCACCTTCAAGGATAGGCCAGCTAAAGATGCCACGAACACCAGCGGGACCCCACCCGTTCCAGAGGCGTCTTCTCAAGGAGTACCAGGGCTTGGTCAAGGCCAACTTACCCGGAATCACCATGGTGCAGCATGCAGACACCATGTCGGAATACATCTTTCGGATCCAGGTTCAGCACAACCCGTTGTACCCCGAAAACGACAGGTACTATTTGAGTGTCCGCATCACCCGCGAGTATCCCGTGGACTCACCCCAGGTGCAGTTCATCAAGTACGAGGAGCTCGACGATGAGGAGGCGTCGGAAGCCAAAATCCCCATCCATCCCCACATCTACTCCAATGGCCACATTTGTCTCAATTTATTGGGAGACGACTGGACACCTGCCTGCTCGGTGGAGTCGGTATTGTTGAGCGTGCAGTCGTTGTTGGGAACCAACCAAGTGCTCGAGAGGCCTCCCGACAACGACAGCTACGTGCGGCATGCTCCGTTGAACCCCAAGCTGACCAAGTTTACGTACCACGACGACGATGTGTAAGTGTGGTCATTAATCTAACTATGATTAATCGCTATTGGAGTGGGGAATCAGCCATGGTTAATGCTTCTAAGAGTGTTTTCCTTTCTTGATTTATTGAGGTTAATGGGCCGAAATTTGTGGTTGCGAACTTTGCAGCTGCATCAGCCCGTGGGGGCTATCTGGACTGGTGATACAAAAAACAGTGAGCTGATAAAAACCAGTAATAGGTGCAACATTCCTACTTTTACCAGAATGGTGTAGCACCCATAGTACTACCGAAATAGGTGTAAAACCCGTTTTTCTACCAGTAACGCTGGAGCATCCACACCGGTCTGGAATTGATTGGATTGCAGTGATCCACTCGTTCCGCAACTAATCGGCATGTTATAGATAGGTAATAAACAGAGATAGGAGATAGCCATATCGCGGACACACACGTGACGAGCCGGCCTGGTTTCGGAGCCACCCAAAACAGACACTGGCGCGATCAGACAACCGTTTGTGACCACCGAGCGTTCCGCATTAGGCGCAGTCAGATTTTTCCGGCCACGAACGACATGTAGCGAGCGACGGTGTGCGCAGATGATTGGCCGATAGAGTACCCCTCTTCGCGGAAGTAAAGGTGCGGACTTGGCCACCTGGCCAGACAAATCCACGCTGGTGGAGGAGTACGAATGTAGCAGCGGGGTGCCAGCCAACCCCGACACTTCCGCCTCTACCAGCGGCAACAGTTGCGGTGTTGCGGTTGCTGGAACCGACAATTGTCTGGTGGCCATCTCCGTCGCGAAACTCCGACGCCGATGGCGTGGCCCGCTTCGGCGGCGGCGGGTGCGTTAGTGAAAAAAAAGAGGGGAACTCCGATACATCTACATCATCGTGCACGTTGTGGTAGCCCTGCAGATAACTTGCAGCAACCAACAATCCAACAAAAACAAGTGAGGAGAAGTGTCTGAGGTGGCTACCAGGCGGCATTGGCACTGGAAGTGGCGGTATGGCGGCCAGGGGGCACGGAGGTCGCCAGTGGTGGTAATGTCTGGCGGTGTCTGAGGCCAGTCGCAGCCTGCCCTGACGTTGCATCCGACACCAAGGACCCGTCAGACACCCCTGCCATGATGGTGGTGGTGGTGGTAGTGGTGCTACTCGCTATCGCCTGCAACTGGCGCCATCGCGGTGCCCCTTCTGGTTTCCGAATTTTTGCGTCCTCTGCATGTCTGTCTGGTGATCCAACGCCGAAGTTCCCACCGGAGGCCACGCCTCGTAACCCTCATGGTCACTTTGTGCAACTTCCTTTTTTCAGCTATATAGATCGCTCCAATCTGCGCTGGTGCTGCCGACCACCGTCTTTTCCGTATCGCCACCACTGCCCATTGGAACGAAGTCTGGAGCCTCCCGATGACTTCCACCACCCAATCCCCATTGACCAAATCGCCTGCATCTCCCGCTGAATCCCTCCCGGCGCCTGCTGGCGACGAACACCCACTGCACATCGAACAGGCCTGCGATTCATGCCGTAAGCGCAAATTGAAGTGCTCCAAAGAGTATCCTCGCTGCTCCAAGTGTATCCACCACAGCTGGTGCTGTTACTACAGCCCACGGACCGTGCGGTCGCCGCTCACCCGTGCCCATCTCACCCAGGTCGAGAACAAGGTGTCTGCTCTCCAGGACTTGATCCAGTTCCTCCTCCCGGAGTACTGTGACATGGAGGCGTTGCTAGCCAACGAATCGTACAAGTCCAAATTGGCAGGTTACAAGGCAGTCTTGCAGCAGCATGCAGACTCCGGCTCCGTGCGCTCCTCCATTCACCTGCCGTGCTCCGACACTGTAGGGCCTCACCACGCTGCCACCACCAACGACACAACCTATCCGTTGACGCCCTCGCGGTCGCACCCCGTGGCTGCCTCCAACTACGACCCCGCCCAGGACTTCAACCACATTGACAAGATCAAGATCAAGCAGGAAATCATCGACGACTTCAACCTCAACAACATTCCCACCAACGAGACCGCGCCGCCTGCGTCCAAGAAAAGACTGCTTCCTGCCAACTTTGAGTTTGTGACGCCGTCGGTGTTCAAGCCCACCACCTCGCCCGAATACAGCCGCCAGCCATTAGTGTCGGAGTTTGCGTCGCACACATCTGGAAACAACTCGTTGACATCGCCCAGCTCGCTCCTCTCGCTCAATTCCTACAACTACGGTGAGGACGATGGCGCGTTGGACGAGACCGAGGCCATGATGGGCGAGATCTCCCGCAAGCCTGCCACCTTCAAGATGGAGCCCGATTACGACAAGGACGAGTTCAAGTTTGGCGTCAAGAAAATGCGCCCTAGTGCGCCCGTGTCTGGCAGCGGGGACATATTTGAGGGGAATTACGATTTAATCTTTGACGAGGTGATGGACGACCAGATGATCAATGTCTGATGTCCGACGCGCGCCAGTGTCCAACCACCGAAGAAACCCCCTAATGCCCCGTTCACGATTCACGTTTTATGTCTTGCTTTTGGTAATGTAGTTATAGAGATGTTATATAGAATGATATGCCTCACCGAACGAATGTAGAGCTGGCAGAGTCAGAGGACTGAGAGTGTGAGAGTAAGGAGGAGAGGTATCGGAATTGATTCTTGTGCACCGTGCGTCTCGAAATTGGATGCATGCACCGGATTAATTCCCACCTCAGACACCCACATTGCAATACCGCTGGGAGTCCGTGGTACGTCAGTGACACGTTGACACATTGTGGCTAGAACATCTCGTGGTGTCGATCGGATCATCCTGTGCTGTTTTTGGAGAATGGTGTGATGGTGGCATGATGGCAGCGTGGTTATCCAGACGCAGACACGCATGCACCTGTAGATGCAACCAAACCAAAGACCGGAACGGTGTCTGGACCAGTCACGACAAGCCAGAGAGAAGTACTATGTAATATTAGATGTTTGAACTCCAATAGCTGTCTCTACTCCTCAGCATCCATTGAATTGTCAAAGAGGTCATAGATCAATAGGTAGTATCATTGTAAACTCTTGGAACTGTCCAGGATCTATAAGGAGCCGAATAGAAAGAATCAAGAAACTTAGAGAATATAATTGAGTGAACTATCACAAACTCCCAGAATGAAATGGAAATAACTTAGAAACCCCGAGTATATACTTTTGTAAAAGCCAGAAACACAGAGAATTTTTATCCAGAAACTCTGACCATTAATCTTGAGGAGAAAGTCAACAAAAAGAATTTCAGGCAACTGATAAACCTCAAACTACAGCACCATACACCATTTTTACCTACGTAGAGTTTTCAGCTCACTCCTTCTATTAATAGTGTAGAGGTGGTGGACATCAGGTTGCCCCTTGGCTATGCACGAATATCGAGGGAGGATCCGAAGCCGACCATCTGTTCTTCCCTAATTTTATTGAAAAACAACCTATAGTGAATCCTGCTAATCTGAATAATTACAAATAGTACCAGAAATTGTACCTAATAACTTTTTACCGAACAATTACTTTAGTTTATTTTGCAAGCAAACACTAGTGCCCTAACAAATCTATTTCCATGGATTCCTCACTATTATATAACTTACTCGAGTGATTATTGGAGTATAATATCGACTCGTGTATGCCTTATTTGAACATACGTTGGATATTCAAAGTATGAAGCATAACATACACTGGAGGTTATTTAGTGTTGCGAAAAGTACTAAGGACTAGTGAGATACATCTAAGCGAAGTAAACTACAAAATAAATTAGGATATATAATCTGAAGTGAATGTGTATATTCCGAAACCAAACGATTTACACTTATACTCAATAAATGAACTATTCACTAAATACTATCAATTATCTGAAGTGCTCAATTGAAGTATATCATCTGACCTAAATATATCATTTACTAACAAACTGCAATTTTTTGATTTCAAGCGTAACATATGCACTTATACCCTAATAGTACTCTCCAAACGGACTATCATTTATTCGAGCTTTCAAATATCTATACTATGAACTAATCCATACATTTATCACTTTTCAAACAATTATTCGAAGCCCTTAACTAAATATCTGCACTTATACCCATAAAAATGGGAATCATCTAAGCAACCAGTGTGAAGCTCTCCTGCACTGCTATATCATATAATAGAACTCCTCCATAACCCTTCATTGGCTTCCTCACCACTCCCTCCTTCCCCGGTTGCAAATCTGGTCTCCGCGTCCGGCACCGAGCCCACCCGGATTTGCCAGGTCACCGGTCGTGTCCTGGCCAGGTATCATCCCTTTTCAGAACTGCTCCATAGTCTTCCAGAATTACCCAACCCTTCTTTAGGCTGCCACCCACCCTAAGTCCCGTCTAGCCTCGCCCTCCCTCCCTGGCACCGTCCACGGCCACAGCTAGACACTCCCCCTTTTTACCGCCCTCCAAAGGCTGGTTATTTATTCCAGCGTCAACAACAACAACATGTTGGGAAGAATCAGAAACGTCATCTCGTTGAGAACCAGAAACGTCTCCCAGCGCATACAGAGAGCCCTCCAGGAGCTCTCAGAGGCCCTTGCAGAGCACCCTCAACAGGCTCACTCGCCAGTTCCCGTCCCAGTACGGGTTCCAGCAAGAAATGGCCAAAACGCCAGAGGCCTTCGTCGCTACTCCACATGTGCCCGTCGCTACTTCAGCTCGTACTGCCCCAGATCTTGCAGCGGAAAGTCGCGTTGCTTCGGCTCTTTCGTAGCGGGTGCTCGTAGCTTTGGGACGTTTACCACTGGTGGTTCTGCTGGAACCTCGTGGTCTTTCAACCACTTTACCAACGCCAACTCCTACAAGAGTAACTTCTTCGCCAAGATCAAGCTATTCGCCAAGTTCTACCATCCCCGTCCTGCTGACACCAGGCAGTTGTTCAGGGGATTGAACCACGGGTTCATGTTCCACAACTTCTCACAGGCCCACCAGAACACGTTCCGGATGAAGCTCCACATGTCAAAGTTGAGCTTCAGCTACAGACCCCTTCTCAACCACCTCAAGGACAAATACCATGGGTTCGACAGAAAACAAGACGAACCTGCCAACAAGCGTTTTGCACCATTTTTGGCCAAACAGAAGAACCCAGGCTTGAGGTTGAACCTTTCGCTCACGGCCAATCACCACCAGTTGACCATGAAGTTGGCACGGACCGATTCCTCGGCCACCACCCAAGAGAAGCACGAGTGCAACCAAGTGGTCGAAGGCTCTTACATCGAGTTCCCAATCACCTTCAACCTCAACATTCCCCACGAAACGCTTCTCAGCGAAGAAGTGTTGGATGAGATGCTCTACAGTGTTAAGGCCTTCGAGCAGAAGCTTCGCGAGTTCAAGCAAGACATCGCCAATCTTTTCGAGTTAGGTGAGTTGCCCATCAAGTACATTGCCCACAAAAACGTCCTCAGGGTGTACTTCCCCAACTGTGACAGCGTCAAGTTGGAATCTTTGTGCAGAGAAAAGAACATCACGGGAGGAGTGATCTATTCCGACTACGATGATGAAACAACCTTACCCGAAATCGCAGCTGCTGCTCCACTTACTCCCGTGGACCAGAACGACATCATTAGTTCGTATTTCGGCCTGGGTTCTTCTGGCAGTTCTGACAGCGAGACCCAAGACCCTGACGATTTGTTGTCGGAGCTGCTGGTATTCCCACTTGCCAACGAAGAAATTGTCAGGATTGAGGTGGCTGGACCACAAGTATCATTCCCCAGTTCCGATGAGTACTACTGGGTGTCAGCATAACTGCAAGACTAGCATGATCTGCAACAGGATTCTGTCGGCGGAATGAGAGATGAATATTCAATATATGATTGTGAAGAAAGCTGTAGCGTAACTATAATGAAATGTGCAGAGAGCGGAAAAATAGAGAAGTAACATGAACCTAGGCATGATAGTCCTGACTGCGTGAGTCGAAACTACCAACTGGTGGTTGACGTACTGAAATATCTCTGAGAGAATGTCGTAGAAGTAGGAAGACAAAATGTCATGATATCGAAGTGATTCGTAAAAGTAATGATAAATTATTGCGATAAGGAAATTCGTAAAATTAGGATGATAAAAAGTTGTAACCACAACCTGAAATTAAACAATGTTATCAAAAAGTACTTTCTAGATAACGGCATTTATTGACAGGAATATTTCAGTTTTGCAATCCAAAATTTAGGGGAATGATTGAGATATAGTACAACATAAGAAAGAGATGAAAGCCCTTGATTGCTAGTACAGGGAAGCCATTTGTATTTGTAATTTAAAAATTTCAGTTCGAAATACGAAAATTAGTGAGCAAATCACTTGAGGTTTGTCCAACACAATCATATGAGAGGACCAAACTCGAAACATTTGGCCATGTCATAGGCTTAACTGCCAAAATGACAGATAATAATTGATGTGTAGTATGAATTGTTATCCCCAGTGTATCAACACCCTTGAAATAATAATAAAGGTGACTAGAGCAGGGATAGAACGGAAATACTCCTAGAATCACAAGAAGAAAATTTCTAGAATAACAAGGCAACTATCCTAGGATACCATGGTAGCTAGTCAAGGATAACAAGGAAGCTCACCAGGAATAGTAAAGGAATTATTCCAATACGTCCAGAATTAATACCACCTAACCGGAGATACTCAAAGTACACATGAAAATAGTCCATACTACACTCCAAAGATTGTTCCTCTAGATAATTTGTAACGATACTTTTAGAGACGTTCGTCATTCTTCGTGAACACTTCAGCTGGCCCTCTGTAGGACCCACTATCCCTAGAGAACCTGTTACGTTAAATAATACATTTCCGACTACCAGCCACTCATCCAGACCATCCGCTACATTCCAGACACCCGAGACTCCATCCGATTAGAAACTGGCCTAGACCGTCTAGTTCCTGCCCAGCTACGCGACTCCCTCTCGCCCGCTGCCTCGCTAGCCCTCCGCGCGCCCTCCCTAGATGTGCCAACCCTCTCGCTAATGCTTCTGACCTCACCGTGCGCATCCCTCGCTAGCCCGTCTATTTCTGCCTGCCTACGCGCGCTCTACCGACAACTTGTGGGGTGGATCAAATCATAACACCGTGCGTGTTTCGCCCACACGATCGTCCCACCACTAATCCCAGGGATACTTCGGAACCAAACCTCCTCCATCTATTCCACAGCTAATTGCACCTCACAGCCAGTGCATACCCACCTGTCCCTATTAAGCGGTTGAAAGCTCCAATTGTACCCCAGCAGGTCCATTCTAGCGCCAGTTCTGCCCCATAGACGGCATTAACCGCCAGTCAACTCTCCCTGAAAGCGTGTCCCCACAGCGATGTCCTCCAACGACGAGTTCGAAGATGCTCCCCAGCACGAGAACAACGAGTCTGTGCTTGCGGGTGGCGCAAGCACTGTCGCCAAAAACAAGAAGAAGAATAGGAAGAAGAAGAAGAAGGGCACCAATGCCGACCAGGAGCCGTTTGACGACGACTCGCTGAGCTACAACGACAACAACGGCTCCAGCATATCTCTAGCAAGTAACAACTCCAACAATTCCTCGGAAGAAACCCAACTTCAAACCGAAGTTTCTGGTTCCAAGGCACCAGAGGACCCCATTGACTCGGAAGACGTGGCAGCAATGGACGCGACCATAATAGCCGACGAGGACCCAAATACCACTTTGGAGGAAAACCCAAGCCTGGGTTTTGCTAATGGTACTGCCACCACCTCGCCAACCACACCCACGAGCTTACCCAACAGGAAGTCCATCCAAGATTGTTTGAGGTTGGACCAGCACGACGTGGCCATCTTGGAGCCCAACCAGGAGGCTGTTCAAAACTTGGACCAATTATCCTCGACATACGATAAAGCTAGCCACAACTACTTGTTACAAAGCAAGTTCAATCAGCTCAACAATAAGTTCAAGGCCAAAGATGTGAGGTTGAAAGAGTCCATCAACTCCGGAACAGAAAACATCAAGAAAACATTCAACGATATCAAGAATACCGTGGGTGGATTCAGCGACATGTTCGAGTACAAGATCGACTGGGAATTCTGGACCCGGATTGTGAATGACTACGAGTCAGTCATCAAGAACGAATCAGACGAGTTAGACAAGCTCATAATGTCAGGTATCCCCAAGGAATTCAGAGGAATAATCTGGCAGTTGGTGGCCAAATCAAAGAACTTCCAATTGGAAGAGTTCTACATTCAATTGAAGAGTGAAACTTCTGTCCACGAAAAGTCGATCAAAAGAGACTTGTCAAGAACAAGCTTCTTTACCAATGTTGAACAAGTCAACAAAGGTGAGGAGTTGTTCAACGTCATCAAGGCATACTCATTGTTCGATCCTGATGTGGGTTACACGCAAGGTATGATCTTTATTACCATTCCTTTAATTATGAATATGAGTGATGCTGAATGTTTCTGTTTGTTGGTTACTTTGATGAAAGATTACAAGTTGAGAGATTTGTTCAGCCCGGAAATGAAGGGATTGCATTTGTTCTTGTATGAATTTGATAGGCTATTGGAAAGCTATTCTCCAATTCTCTACAATCACTTGGTTAAACAAGGCATTAAATCTTCCATGTATGCATCTCAGTGGTTCTTGACATTTTTTGCATACAAGTTTCCTTTGGATATCGTGTTGAGAATTTACGATATTATCATAACTCAAGGTATTGAGTCTATCCTCAAGTTTGCAGTGAATTTGATGATCAAGAATGAATCAAATTTATTGGCATTGAAGTTTGACAAATTGTTGGGCTTTTTGAAGGATAAATTATTTAACATTTATATCAATGAGGAATTTGTTGACTTCAAAGAGGATGCATCGCTTAATAATTCTATAAACGGTGGCTTGAAGCGTTCGTCCAAGAGATTTTCTCTTCTTCCCGGTTCCAAGAGAAACTCAACCATATCTAGCTCATCATCTGGCTCAAACTATTACAAATTAAATGAATTGGTCACGGACTCCATGGAAATTAATGTCGAACCCGTCGAATTAACCAAATACGAGAATGAATTCGAAAACATCTACCTCAGCGAGACAGCAAAAACGGAAGATATTGAAAAGATTAAGGTCGAGAACGGGAACTTAAGATACAAAATCAAGGAGCTTGAGACGCAGTACACCAACTTAAATCGCGACCATATCGATATTGTGCAGAATATGGTCGACATCAAGGTTAAGTTACCAGAAGTTCTCCATGATAATGACGAACTTAGTAGTGCCATCGAACATTTGAGGGTTGATATAGAAGAGTTGGAGTCCAAGACCAGTGATTCGCCCACAGTTGCATCTTCTCAAGACTCCTTTACTACACCTAAATCACCTGCGTTACCATCAAGTATTGAGAATAGCATCCAACAGCTCTTGCTTGAGAATTGCCAGGAAACAGAGAAATTTGCTAACTTGGAAGAAGAGTTCAGCAATTTGTTGCTTGAGGATGAGAAATTGAGTCAGGAGTTGAAGGGCTCGGACAATAAGAAATGGTTTGGAAGATGGGGTAAGTAGATAGAATATACCGCAAATGCCATTTTAGTAATAATATACAGTCGGCACCAGCATACTCTTGTATGAATTTAGGATAAGCAGATTATACATATAATTTTAATTTAAGCTAATGGCAATTTTTGGTTTGGCCAGCTTGTTGCACCCGAGAGCTAATTTGATACCTGATAGAATAAACTCAGTAGGATTCTTCTTACGGTCGAATTCGATCTTCTAAATTTGGCTTTTCCACGTTAGATCAGGCCGAGGAGATGAGAGGTCCAGTGAAAAGCCACTACTGAACCAATTAACGCAGGATCAATAAAAACCTCACTATTTAAACATCCTTAATTCTACTAAGACCAGCAGAGCAAAATATGCGTTATCTTTGATTTTCGATAAGGAATCCATGCCATTCTCAGGGAGTAATCTAGGTGTATGTGCCGCAACGGCTGGATTTCTTTGCCAATTTATGATACCATCATTTGATATTCTACCCTTCTAAGCTCACCATTTGAGAATACTTTCCCTCTACTACTGACATAGATTGTAGTCCAGCGCCAATACGGGCCCTCGGACTTAATATGTTCCCCTACACTATTCAGTTTTGTAGACTAGTTTCACTGCCCCAATCCACCAGTGTCGCCTACAACGATGTACTCCTTTCTCGAATTTCGAATTTGAATTATTCGATAATCTAAACATCAACGCTCCACAAGCCCATAGTCCTATGGGCCCATTTATGGGCCATCCTATTGCCCTAGTAAGATCAGGAGCGACCCGCACTTTCGCACCCAAATGTGACAGTCCCCCAAAAAACACACGTGACCCAAAGGGCTCCAGCCCTCGCGGCCTTTCCCTCGCCCATCACTTTTGAAAAATTTCATCACCAAATAATTCTCTTTTTCACACCACAACCACACTAAGCAAAATGGGTAGAGGACCAAAGAAGCACTTGAAGAGATTAGCCGCTCCATCCCACTGGATGTTGGACAAATTGTCCGGTACCTACGCTCCAAGACCATCTGCCGGTCCACACAAGTTGAGAGAATCCTTGCCATTGGTCATCTTCTTGAGAAACAGACTCAAGTATGCTTTGAACGGTAGAGAAGTCAAGGCTATCTTGATGCAAGAACACGTCAAGGTTGACGGTAAGGTCAGAACTGACTCCACTTTCCCAGCTGGTTTCATGGATGTCATCACCTTGGAAGCCACCAACGAAAACTTCAGATTGGTTTACGATGTCAAGGGTAGATTTGCTGTCCACAGAATCACCGCTGAAGAAGCTTCTTACAAGTTGGGTAAGGTCAAGAAGGTCCAATTGGGTAAGAGAGGTATTCCTTACGTCGTCACCCACGACGGTAGAACCATCAGATACCCAGACCCATTGATCAAGGCCAACGACACCGTCAAGATCGACTTGGCTACTGGTAAGATCACTGACTTCATCAAGTTCGACACCGGTAGATTGGTTATGGTCACTGGTGGTAGAAACATGGGTAGAGTTGGTGTTATCACCCACAGAGAAAAGCACGAGGGTGGTTTCGACTTGGTCCACATCAAGGACACCTTGGAAAACACTTTCGTCACCAGATTGTCTAACGTTTTCGTTATTGGTACCGAAGCCGGTAAGCCATACGTTTCTTTGCCAAAGGGTAAGGGTATTAAGTTGTCCATCTCTGAAGAAAGAGACAGAAGAAGAGCTCAAAGCGGTTTGTAAGCATTTAGCGTATAGACGTTGTAATATAATCGAGCTGAACTGGTGTAGAATGGCGCTAATGAGACCGTAGTGGCTAATGGTGAAAATATGGAATGTGACTATCGAGGCTAGAGAGAATTGCTTTGAATTCCAATGAAGTAAATTTCACTTTGATAAAGCTACGAAAGACCATAGCCAGACTTGATCCTGCTGAGCTGTCAGAATGGGCGATAATGAGACTATATGATCGAACTGAACCGTGTAGACATAGTAACAATGAGATTAATCAAGCTGAACCGCGAGAATGGCAATAACGAGACTGTAATGAACAGAGAGATAGAATTGGATAATGAGACTGTAAAAATCGAACTAACTGCCAAAATGATAAGGGCGTATATCGGGCTGAGCTGTAAGAAATTACAGCTGAGATGCTATTGATCCAGCTGAATTACTTTACTCTTATGGTGCCTGGAGTTACTATAAGTAGATCAAATAGAAGAATTTCTATCACAAGGTGAAGATAGGATAGCAAATAAAACCAATAAACTAGATAGAGTTGCGGTAAAGCAAATATAGCTAAAGATTCAACAGTATAATTACTCGACCAATGTATTTATTAGGCCTACTGAATACAGTTATTTTCGCTTCTAACTTCGGGGAGCTCTTAAATGCCCTGGCTTTACCGGGGACTGAAGGCTTTATGATTTCTAGTGTCTATACGCTTTCTAATTTAGTATTTCTACTTTACCCTTTCTGAAGGACTTCATTGCACTTCCTTGCGCCCTTTAATCGTATTTCCTATGCAAGAACCTACCTTTAAAGAAGAAGATTAACCCTTAATTTAGTGTAGACCACGGTGGTTATGGAACATGTGACCAGAATCACGTGCCACAACATCAACCTATACCGCCACATCCCTCTCCTTCTCCCACCCCATTCACCATGTCCCGAGCCGTGTTCTACCTGGTGCTCGTCTTCCTAGCGGTGACCATCTCGCTCTTCACCTTCCACCAGTCTTACCCCCACCACCACACCCCCAAACACCCTCGCCACCCCATTCGTCCTCTCGAGTGGAATGCCATTAACTTCGTCCATACCACCGATACCCACGGCTGGTACTCGGGACACCTCAACCAGAAGCAGTACAGTGCCAACTGGGGCGATTTTATCTCGTTTACCAAGCGTCTCAAGCAGAAAGCACACGCCAATGGCCAGGATCTACTTGTGATTGACAGTGGCGATCGCCACGACGGAAACGGGCTTTCAGACATTACTACACCCAATGGGTTGGTGTCCACACCCATCTTCATCCAGCAGGACTACGATCTTTTGACGATTGGGAACCATGAGTTGTATCTCTGGGAGAATTCTCAGCAGGAGTACGACACGGTGATTGAGCACTTTCCCGACAATTACGTGAGTTCCAACGTGGAGTACTCGCAGAACGGCCTGTTCGTGCCTTTTGGAAGTCGCTACAAGTACTGGCAGACCCCTCAGCAAAAGATCCGAATTTTGGCGTTTGGGTTTTTGTTTGACTTCAAGAAGTTCAACCTGGGCACGCGTGTGGTGCCGCTAGCCACCGTGATTCAAGAGGAATGGTTCCAAGAGGTACTTCAGCAACACGCAGGTAAGGTGGACTTGCTTGTGATCGTGACTCATGTGCCTATCGACCACCAATGGCCCGAACTCTACCAGTTGAACGCCGTGTTGAGACAGTACTTCCCCGAGACCGTGATCCAGTATTTTGGCGGACACAGCCATGTTCGTGACTTTACTGTGTTGGACGCAAAGGCCACAGCGTTACAGAGCGGGCGCTATTGTGAGACTATCGGTTGGGTCAGTTTAGACCCTCGCAAAGAAGTGCCTTCGCTCGAGGAAATCCCGCTGGAATCCACCATAGACGTCGCCAGGACGATCTTCTCCCGCTCCTACATCGACTTCAACCTCGACTCGTTTCTCACCCATACCCAGCGGTCGCTTCGTCATTTCGACACAGAAAAAGGCCTTGAGGTGTCCAGGTTGATAGCCGACACCAGAGACCTGTTGAACCTCAGCACGCCGCTCGGAAAGGTGCATCGCAACTACTTTGTGGACTACGTACCGTTGGGCAGTTCCAAGAACCTTTTCAACCTATTGACCACCAGAGTTCTCACAGCCTTGGTCCCCAAAAAGCTGGTGAAAGCCCACCATCAGCGTGTGATCATTATCAACACGGGATCCGTGCGCTACGACTTGTACAAGGGCCCCTACACCATCGACACCAAGTATATCGTGTCGCCTTTTGAGAATAACTGGGTCAAAATCACCGTTCCCAAGAGCGTGGCCTTGGAAGTGGCTCCTCTCTTGAACAGAGACGACTACATCGCCACAGCCTCTGGCGAGCATCCTCAGAACTGGAAGTTATTGCCTCCTCACCACCAAGCACGCAGGCAATTAAAGAATGGCTGGTCCGACTTTAACAGCGCAGGCAATGCCCAGCAGGTGTTGCAGGCTTCTCCAGTGACGGCTGCCAGGTTGAGAACGAAGCTCTCCAAAGGCTACGTGACCCACGACGATTTTGGTTCCAATGGGGACGACACCATCCATAAGCCCACCATCAACTTTCCTATTCCCAACGTAGTGGAATCAGTACAAGTGGACGAGACTGCTGGTCCCGACTCTCCTGTTGACTTGGTCTTTTACGACTTTATTACCCCCAACGTATGGTGGGCTTTGGACCAGATTGGTTTCGAGGGTAACGTGCGGATCCAGCAATACTCTGACGTGTACTTGGGCCAGTTGTTGACCGACTACATCCAAGATAACAAAGTGTGAAACTGGAGACTTTTCGAGCACAAACCATGAAATTGTTGACCTGCGTCCTGAGTATGGCTACTGCTGAACTTCTAGGAATGAAAAATTAATATCTAGTGTGCCTCGAATTAAATGTGCTTAACTAATTATTTTTATTTTCATTAATTCTATTGGTAGACAATGTACTGGAATGACTAGAAACTGTGTGATGGGCCTGTTTTGGTTCTATAGAATAATTGTTCCAAGGAAATTCTTGTAATTTACCATTAAAGTTGATTTAGTGTTAATTATTGCTTCTGAAATACGGTTTTTTTAACCGAATATTAGACCACGTAGATTAATTACATTGAATGTTTATGAAGTGCTAAGGTGATGGGCATCTACGTAAGATTAACTCCTCGGGTTTGAAAATCAATGAGGACCAATTAATGTTAAATGCCTTTGCTCCAAATTTTTAACTACCATCTTCAAAATACTAAGTAATTTGAGCATAAAATGGGTGTTTTAGTGGGATCCATTTTCTCTCATTCACTTCCATGCTGCCAATTCTTTTCTAAGGTTCCTTTAAAAGATAAGCATAGCCAATGTAATTGATGAATAAATAATCAGAGTCATTGGATGAGATATTATTCCTGTCGAAAACATGTTTGATGTCATTATGGCGGTTTAAGTATTTCTTTCACCGACTTTCCCTGCACAAATATCTCAGCAACCGAGTCTATTTCTATTAGAAGACAAATCCAAGAAAGGCAGATCATGAACTATTCACATTCAGTGAAAGTAGAAAAAATTATAGAATTCAAAAGCTTTTTGATGTGATAGGAAAGTTGTTTTATTTGTAACATCTTAAATAGGCTTACCAGTCTTTCAAATCTGCTAAAAATGGGACACCAACAACATAGAAAATACATCCAAACCACAGCTTGGAGAATACAGTAATTAATTCAATTTATTAGTCTATATAACCATGGGCAGGCAGTAGCATGCCGTGTGCTCCCCAGTCCGCCAGGACCTATGGGTAGCCTTTTTATGGATGACGGCCGCTACTGAGAGAACGACCGTCATCGGTCAGAGTCCTAAATGGGTAAGTTTAGGATGTGTTATTTAGAAGCAGCCACGTAAGCACGGAAAGACAATCGCCGGTGACATCTGCTGCTGCTTCTCGACCCTATCTGATACTCAGTCATTATAACTGTATCACACTGTTCTCAGGTTTGAAGGTGATTCGGTAGTCCAAGCTGGAGATGACCTCGGCGCTGCTGTTAGCCAAGACGCTCTCGTCCACCACCAAGTTGATGTTGGCACCAAACCACGAGCTCCAGATGGGCCTGGGATTGATTCTGGTAGATCCCACGCTGGGATCCTGGATCAAGTCAGCCGACTCACCAAGTCTGTTCTTGCCGCTCTCGTCGAACTTGACCTTGCAGCTGAGATTGATGATGAAAGTGCCTGTTCCTGGAATCAAGTGGCAGTCGAAACTGCTGAGCTGGTGCTGGGTCAATGGTGCAGCCAACCATTTCTTCTGAAATTCGAGCTTGGAGTCGTTGTTAGTGGGTATCAATGGCGATCCGTTGACAATCACGGCACTGGTCCGCTTGAGATGCTTTGCAAACTGAGTAGCGTAAGATTCCACATTGGCATAGTTGGACTGGTATTGGATGTCTAGGGAGGCCAAGAAGTCCTTAAGAAAGGGTTCTATGGGTTGGGCTGGGCGTTAGTACGGGTACGGCAGTGGGGATTAGCGTACATACTGTTATCTATGGCAGACATGTTGTGGTTGTGCAGTTGAAGAAATTTCCTACTTTTGTGTAGTGAGTGGGATGGTGCGAGTTTAGTGGGAATGGTGCCCGAATAGCGAGAGAACCGGAGGATCGCACTGAGTTTAGGGGAGCTCTGGTGCGAGAGTGGCCTAAAAATGCTGCTGTTCTAGCGTACCTCGCGCCACCAAGAAATGGAAAAAACCGCGAATACACCACCATAGCGGTACGCAGAGCTAACAAGCGTTGTGATAGACTTGCACCACATTTTAAGCTTAATACACCTATTTGCACCTACACCCACATCCACACGATGCCTACTGTTTCCCTTCCTAGCTTCGCTCTAAAAGTCAAGATCTACCTCTCTCATTGGCACCGTTTTTGCACCCACTACACCTTGCGATCTTAATTGTTTTAATTTCTGCCCTTCGCATCACATGCTGTATTACTACTGTAATCCATAGATAACACAGCATGGTTAGGAGTAGCAGACGTGCAAACATATTTCAGACTTTCATATGATCCTTCATACTGCCATGACTCGGCAAATTACCTTCTAGGCATAAATAGGCAAATTGACCATTGGCTCATACGCATCCAATACGTCACTGCCTCCACTATGTTAGTGGCAGCGATTAGGTGGTTATGATGGCTGGTCTTCACGTGATCCTATTTCAGGGAAGATGGTCTCCATAATTTCACAGCAATGTTGGATCTATTGCTCTCTGTTGTTACCCTCAGCATATAAAGCCGGCGAGAGGGCGCCTCAATTGGAGCCCTAATTACAAAATGGCCAACGGCGAAGATCACCCCCACTTAAACGGAGCAAAGAACATCGCCACAGGAGTGGCAGGTGGAATTGGAGCCTCGTCCGTCGCAAACGCACTTGGCTGCGGCCAAGCAGGAGGTATTATTTCCGGGGTCGCAGGTTCGATCGGTGCAAATAAGGCGGAACAGAAGGGGGAAGAGAAGTTGAGGAAGTAGATGGAATTCCTGGCATGCCCGCGGAGCTGGATATTGTTCGGTGCATGTATTTTCTTGAAGCCGCAGCTCCTGTCACGCCGTGTGGCGGGATGAAATGATCATGTGACCCATGGTAGCAACCTTGGCTAGTATAAATAGTCAACGGAAACCTTACAATTGACCCCAATCAATCAATACTAAGAAAATGCCAAGTGACACTGTTAACACTATCAAGGACATCGGAGTCGGTGTTGCCGGCTCTTTGGGCGGTAACAAGGTTGCTGATAAGTTAGGTCTTGGCCAAGTGGGCCACATTGCCGCTGGTATTGGTGGTGGTGTTGCTGCTGGTAACGCCGAACACAAGCTTGAAGATGAAGCCAAGAAGGATTGAATAGCCAGGTGCTAAAGTGTATAACTAATATAAGATATGAATTCAAATGTGTAGCACATACTTGCAAATGCTCTCAAAACTGCACCTGTGAGTGTGGAAAGTGGAGAAAATTACCACCATCTTGTTCTGGCACCACTCAACACTGAAAGTGGGTTATTCACGACACCTAAGAGTGTCAATTGCCTCTAGAAGTTGTATCTGGCCCTGTGAAGAGTAAAATCTATCAGGTCATCATCAGACTCTTATCTCGCGTATTCTTCGATCTTATCAAGCGATATTGACGAAGACAGAAATAGAAACAGGTATCGTTTTCCGATACACCCTGCTAGGGGTAAAACTGGTCCGATTCAGGACGGTTACCCCGGGTTGGGTGGTTTGCTTCCAGGTACGGTGGTCTGTTTTCAGAGAATAATTGTGGTCAGATCACCACCAATGCGGCCGTACCTTCTCCCGATTCGGACGTAGTTTCCTTCGATTCAGACATCAGGCACAGCAAGTGATGACCATTCCCATCGTGATCCAGGAACCAGGGACCAACAGCCAGCGATCCAAGATTGATCCCGGCTATTTTTGATTTAGAGTACCTGTTGCCAGCCCAACTCCCGCAGGCATGGCTGGCTTATGCACAAAAACAGACACTTTCCAGAAGAATAGAGCAATGGGTGGAATATGTACGCAATTAACCCCAAATAGGCAATACATGCCATCAACGCATGCACCCTGGCCACGCTGACATGCTCGGCCTCCAAACACAAGCAATGTCTCTCCTTCAACCCCAAGGTGAGGCGGCTGGCAAGAGGAATTCGCGCAATGTCCCATCACCTGCAGAGCATGGAAGTGTCGCAGAGGCGCCCACATGCAGGGGTACCATGTGCAATGTCGTCCCAATTGTGAGACCATGCCATTAGCCTTGGAATCCTTAGATCACATACGAAAAACCCCACTAAGGCCCGCCCCAACTTTGCAAATTCAACTATTGAGGAGGTGTAGCGAGTCCATTGATTGTGGTATGCAGCTGATTGTCATGCTTATTGTATGCTCCTGCATAGGTTGTTTACCTCCAATGGGGTTTTTGTCGGATTGTCGCGACGGCTGGTTTTCGACGACATTCAATGGATCGACAAACGGGGCTGGCTCGTCCCAAAAGAGTAATGAAAGTGCTGGATCAGGATTGATACTCAAATTGATCTACTCTTATAAATAGTTTGATGGATCATGGATTTACATCAGGTATTTTTGGAAAAGACATCTCATCACACATACCTTGAACGATCATTTGATTTCACTTGCATCCAACCTCACATTTACTCTAGCAAACTATATTAAGGGGTAGTCATCAACACCCTTGAAAAGTCGTGAAATTTCTCCCGCTGTTCCTTGCACCAACATAGCTATCCCTTCCCACCCGTGTTTACTATCCTGATGAGCTTATTACAGCCAGCCATGTTGAACAAACAAAAGTTTACGTCGGGACACATTAGGTCTCGGTCGTATAATGAGCTTTTGAATCAATTCAAGGACATAGCCGAAACCGGCGCCATCGCAGCAGCTGCAGCTGTGTACAAGAAACGTGCTCGCGAAGAGCCCTCAATGAACATACAGTCGAAGCGTTCCAGAACTGCCCCTCCATCTCCCCCATCTCCCCCATACGAATCTGCATCTTCTCCTTTATCATACTCGCTTTCAATCAAACCGACCAAGTATTCTAGATCTCTCAGATCCCGGTCGTTGTCGCCAAACAAGAGATTTAATCCAATCTCACCCTCCCACTCACCCAACTCGTCCCCAGTCTCGTCTCCCACCAAGAAGGATGACGAAGGAAATTCCAACCATGCCAACCATGCCAACCAGACCCCATCCTCTCCCACACACGAAGCCAGCCAACCATCGCAACCAGAAAAGATCAAGCTTCCAGGTATCTCGTCGGTGTTGAACTCCGCTATTGCCAAAGATACCAAGCTTAAGCCAATTGCACCCACGGTTTCGTTAGACTATTTCGACACATACAAGCCCAACGACGAAAACTGGAGGTACGAGCTTCTCGATACTATCAACAGAGGGTCCAAGCACTTCAATTTGGACCAGTACAACTACTTGAACAAGGTAAAGCCCACTCCGTTGCCGTTGCCCTCGTACAAGCCCAGCTTCGACACGCGGATCAGCTCCAAGATCGCCAAGCCGCCTGTGCTTCCCAGCATCAACCAGATCCACCATTCGGAGAGGAAGATCAACTTCCCCTACGAGTCCAGCTATACGTACTTGAACAAGACCTACTTGAACGACGTTGAAAAATATCCGGAATATTTAGAGTTGGCCCAGTCATTGATCCAGTTGTCGAAACCGGGTCACCCCCAGACGGCGTACGAGCCACCATCTCCACGCCACGAGACACTCCCACCACGCCAGCCTCCATCGCCTCTTGCACATGCCCAAGTTCCAGTGCAGACCCAGCCATCGCCAGTGCCTCAGGTCGCCAGCTACTATTCGTCAGTACCACCACTCACTAACCCGTACTATCTTCCCCCCCAGGGCGCGTTCACACCCACCAACACCAGGCTCCCACAACCACGAGGCTATAGCTCGTTCAACGACAGTCCTCCCACGTCCCATGAGCAGGTGCTCCAGCCTCCTGCTGTGGTGACGCCCACCAAGAGTCCTGTCCACAGCCACAAGTTCATCCCCATTTCGCCCCAGCTGGCCAAGAAGCCCAAGTCCGACGTCACCAAGTCGCCTCCCAAGCAACACGGAACCAATCCCAGAGTGTGTATCTCGTGTGGCTCGGAACAGTCGCCATGCTGGAGGCCGTCGTGGTCCATCAAGGAGGGCCAGTTGTGTAATTCGTGTGGTTTAAGATACAAGAAGACTTCTGCCAGGTGTCTCAACAAAAGCTGCAAAAAGATTCCCGCCAAGGGCGAGTGGTCGCTCATGCAAAGCAAGGGCAAAATCAGCTTTGAGGATGGCGAGGTGGGCCACAGCTGCTTGGAGTGTGGGTGGCGAGTGGAGGTGAAGAACTAGGGAGAGTCCAGGGGAAAGTAACGGAGGAGTGAGACGGCGGCGAGTCGAATGAGTCGTCTTGGTGAGTTTCTCTGGTGAGCTCTCTAACGAGCTCTCTAGCGGGGCAGTCTCGCTGCGCAGTCGCGCTAGCGGGAGCCACCGAGCCCCAGTCCATTGCATCAGTCTAGGACCATGGTCCTTGGTCACTATTGGCACACGTGGAACCATCTTGATATCATAAGTATGGGTCTGCGAGAGCCCGGAACCCGGCCAGTTCCACATCATCATGTGTATCACATCTTTAATTCTCTTAATATTATTCATCATCGTATTAGTGGCTGTAGAGAGGGGGGAGCCCTCAACGCAATAGTGTGCAAAAGCTTATCACCAGCTGTCACAATAACTCATTCTTGATTCAGCTAGGACTCGAAACTGTTACGTTAGAAGAGTAACATCAGCTAGTTTCCTTTTTATATCTACTCCCTAACTTCTACTGAGGCGGATGGTAGTGAGGAGCTACTACCGGCGTAGTGAAGAGGTACTACCGTGCGCAGTGAGGCTACTACCGTGGTGCCACGCCCTAGTCCTACGGGCTGTCCCTAATTGCCCTCAGTGCGCCTGTCACTTCCCCTAGCCACACAGGCAAAATTGCCCCAGTGTCCCGCAACCGTCCCCGCTAGCGCAGCGACTCCCAGCGAGCCACTGCGTCCCCGCTTCCAGAATCTTCCACGTTCACTATCGCGCCTATCTACAACTCCCGCCACCGAGCTCATCAATCAACAATGTCTCTTTCCATAACCATCAAGTCCTCTGGTGGCACCAAGTATGAGGTCTCCATCGACCCCTCCATAACCGTGGCCGAATTGAAGACTGCCGTGGCCGAAAAGCTGGGCATAGAAGCTGAAAGACAACGGTTGATCTACTCAGGAAAGGTGTTGAAGGACACCGAAACCGTCGAAAGCTACAAGATCCAGGATGGACACACCATCCACTTGGTCAAGAGTGCCGCTGCTTCAGGCGGTGCTCTGTCTGGCGCTGCCAGCTCCTCTGCTGCAAACTCCACTGCCAGCTCAGCGCCTTCCTCCAACGCCATACCCTCCAATATTGCTGCTGGAACCGGTTCCTTCAACCCATTATCGGACTTGACAGGCGCTCGTTATGCTGGCTACGCCCAGCTTCCCTCTGCGTCCATGTTTGGCCCAGACGGAGGTATGAACGGAATGCCAGACCCAGAACAGATGAACCAGATGTTGAGCAGTCCTCAATTCCAAGAGAGCATGAACCAGATGTTGTCCAACCCCCAGATGCTTGAATTCATGATCAACCTGAACCCGCAATTGAGAGCAATGGGTCCCCAGGCCCGAGAAATGCTCCAGAGTCCTTTCTTCAGACAGATGCTCGCCAACCCCGACATGATGAGAGGCATGATGGAAATGACCCGTGGTGTTGGTGGTGGCGCCCAGGCTCCACCAGCCTTCCCAGCCCCAGGCGCCAACCCCACTCAGCAAAGCGACAGCAGCGACTCCACCCAGAGCCAAGGTACTCCAAACACTGCACCTGCTAATCCATTTGCATCCATGTTCCCCAACGGAGCCCCTCCAATCAACCCGTTTGCTCTCTTTGGAGAAGGTGCTGGCGGAGCTGCTGCTGCTCCAGCGGACAACAGACCACCTGAAGAGAGGTACGAGTCGCAGTTGAGACAGCTCAACGATATGGGATTCTTTGATTTCGATAGAAACGTGGAGGCGTTGAGAAGAACTGGTGGTAGCGTGCAAGGTGCCATCGAGTACTTGTTGGGAGGAAATTAGATTCTTGCCCACGAACCCGGTGTGCAGCTTGGGCTGAAGTCCGAGGATTATAATAGTTATAATGGCCACGATAGTGGTATGTTCTTGATTTAGTAATGTGTATGAGTTGGTTTATAATATACTTACATTGCATGATAGGAGTAGCCAGGAGGATGCCAGCGAGTGTCCGGGAAGATCTTGAAGGATGCTCAAGGATCGCCTAATGGCAATTTTGTTTCGGTAGGAGAATCAACACTGAAATATCTATCAAATTGGACATACTTTGATGAGCTCCACTGATTTCTGCCTAATTTAGATGCTCCAAATCAGCAATTGGATTCTTAAAACCGTGGTCAATAAAATCCTAAACAATCATAATTAACTCAAACCATTTGGAAGTATTGGTCAACATGATGAATACCATAAATCAGTTGTGTCAAACACTTCTAAGTTTGGGTTATGGCTAACAAATTTTTAAGCTTACAATTTTCTAGCAAATTTGCAAAAGACCTAAATTTTTCTGTAGCTTTGGTAGTGGAATTATTTATGATCCAGCGCTTTCAAGAGATTCAATTATTTTCTGTATAGTTAGATATTTATAGTTGGTTTTAATCAATATCAGCCTTTTAATCATTTAATGAATATTTTCGAACCAGTAGCTATTCTTTGTATTTAGTTTCCCAAATATGCAACTAAAAATTTGGATAAAAGCATTCCGAAGTCGGTGTATTAACTTAACGACAGTTGGAGGCAGCCGTAGTCTATAATTACCCAAATTAAGAACTTCTCACTGTTCTGCTCCTCACAGTGTCAATAGTCTGGATTACCAGCAATAGAAAAAGTGCCACTGCAATAAAATGTTCTTCGAGCCTTGAACAGAATTCCTCCGTATTTGACAGCTAACTATTCAATTGAGGAAGTAAGTTGAGCAAATCAAGCCCTCAAAGTCGGTTCTTGTCCCAACTGCATTATAAAATATTGGCCCTGCGGTTTATAACCTTTCCTTGAGAATCCGTGGTTTAACAACTGGATCAATTTTGCGTAGTATTTTCCTAATCTTTTGTTGTTAAATGAATCTAAAATTTTGATTCGCCGTATCTAGCTTTCTTTTTTATTCTTATGCTAGGCTCTCACTATTTTGTTACTATTTTCAGTAATCTCTCACTATTCTCACTATTCTCACTATTCCTCACTAATCTCATTATTCTCACTATTCTCACTATTCTCACTATGCTCACTATTCTCACTATTCTCTATTCTCTATTCTCACTATTCTCACTACTCCTTTCTCACCAACCCCCACCACGTCTAGTACGCTCTCACCACTCAAGTATCTCTCACCAATCTCTCGTGATTACTTTACAGTCTTACTAGTAAGACTTCTTCTCTATTACCATAATTCTCCCTAACCGTCTCACTACCTCCTCTTTTCTCCCACCTTTGCAGCCTCCCGCACTGCCGCTTTGTGTAACCCCAGCCCACTAATTCAACTCAAAATGTTTACAGTATCACTTTACCGCCATGAGTGAAAGTCCCAAAGACGACGCCGCCGCCATGGCTACACCTTCAGTAACGGCACCAGAGCCAGTACTGGATGGAACCACTACATCATCAGATGCCCCAGCAGCTCCAGAAGTGGTACCAGAATTGGACGTCAAGGCCCTCGATATCGAAGAAGCCATAGAAGATATAGGCAAGATAGAATCCCTACAAGAAGCAGACTCTCCCGAACGACTGCTGCTGCCAGAAACTGACTTGGCATCACCAGTTCTCGAGCAGGTCAAGGCAGAAGCATCGTCACTCGACGACTGGCAAACGCCATCCGACATCCACAGCATTCCCAAACACAAGGACCCAATCGAGTTCCAATTGAGCAAAGTCATCGCAGTACTCTTGGAGGGCAAAGGACACTTGGCCACCCAGGAGTACATCGACCAGGTCACCGACATCACCATCGCATACTTCAACAAGACCATTGTGGCGCTCCGCAACTTCACCGAGTTACAGAGGCGAAAAAACCCTTCTTTGGCCGACACAGAGGTGTCGTTCAGGCTCCAGGGAATCCATCCCTGGAAGCTCTACGACGAAATCACCGCCACCCGCAAGTTGGGACCCAGAACTAGAGCACAAATCCTGGCCATCAGCTCAGCAGCAGAGTCGGTGCTCCACACAGACGACCCTCCTTACAGTGCCACCGACGAATCACTTCCATTCTTCACTAACGAACATTACGAAATCGCCGAACTCGTGCCAAAACAGTCGGAAAGACCTATCTACATCCCGTCCTACTTGCCAGATCTCCCCCCTGACTACACATATCAAAACACACCCAAGTACATGGACACCATCACCGATCTCAAGGTATTAAGGTTGAAATTGGTGGAGGAGTCCAGGTTGACCGAAAAGTCGCTCTATGATTTAATTGAAGACGACGAAAGACAATGGAGGAAACGCTTCGAAAAGGAATTGGAGGACTTATCTGATAGTGGTGAGAGTATAATGAGTAAAGTTGAGGTAAGCAGTCCACCGGAGGAGGTTGACTTGAAGTTCACCGAGAAACCCGATTCCGCACCTGACAAGCCTACCGAAATCCCCGATGAAAACGGCATAATACCGCTCCCCGAGCCTAAGGCCGAAGAGTCGAAGACAACGTTCGATTTTGTTGAATACGCCAACAAGCGCAAGCGTATAATCCAAAAGAGAGAAGATGCATTAACAGAAAAAATACGATTAAGGGAAAACAACATATTCATTAAGGCTGAAAAGTACTACTCACCATACGCGGATCTGAAAGTTACCCCTGAGATCGATTTATATTTCCAGGAGGTGCTCCATGATGAGTTCAAGAGTGTAATAAAGGCGGTACGAAAGGCGGAATCCACTAAGAAGAGGAAGATTGAAGAAATTCTTCAAGAAAAAGCCAAAAGAGATAAAGCAATGGAAGATGAATTGAACAGGAACGAATTTGGATTCAATTTCAATCAAATGGATGATTCCCTGGATGATGAGGAAGGAGAAGGGCTCTTCCCACAGTTTGATTTTGATGGTCCTGAGGTTGACAGTGCAACCGAATCTAGTGGGGTTAGACTAGAAAATGACGACAATGAGTTCAAAAACATTCTAGGAGCTCCTACTACCGCTGGAAAAGCGCCCGTCAAGGCACCCACGCACTCGCCAGTACCAGCACCCACGACCTTAGATGCTGGTGACGACGACTCTTCGGATGACGATTTGGAGGCAGAGTTGGAGAATGCTATGAACTCAGTTTCTGAGCCAACAAAACTAGAGCCAATCTTACCAGATCTGGACTCCGATGAGGACGAATTGAACTTTGATAACTTCTAATGGAAGTTCATAGACACGAAATAGTTACTGGCACCGATGGGAGGCTATAATTTACCGATATTGGATGGCTCGATTGACTTGAAATACAGGATTTCATCAGGAAATTGTTAGTTTGCCAAGAGATTATTTTCGAGAACTTACACAGCAATATTGCAAAGTTTTTGGACAATTACACCTCACAACAACTCGAAGTAGGAAATAAATACTAGCCATTCAATCAATATGGTCGATACTGATTTAACTGTGCTAGGCCAATTATAATCAGATATACAGCAATTTACGGGACAATTTTACGGATATTATAGTACAATAATCGTTAATTTCAGGATGGATGCTATATAGAATTAATACACATATTCAACACGTCACTAGGCAGTTTCACGGATAGTATAGCTCACTAATCGTTAATTTCAGAATGGATGCCATATACTTGATACACCCACTGAGTACTTAAACATTAGGATTAATACTGCAACAGTACTATACCGATATTGGTTCAGATCGATTTCCACGACTATTTACTGGAATATTACGATTTAGAGTAAGCTTTTTGATACACCCTCCATTGAATTTTCCCAATTTGAAGTATTGCTGCAATCATCTGGGCTACAAATTTAATTATAGTAGCAATGGTTGGAAATCGGCTCGAGTAGAGAGCTAAGAAAGAGGCGTTACGTCCCAAGGCAACAGTTCGCGATTCACTACTTGCCCATGTGTGGTATTCTGCTGCCGAATGCATCTCTAAATCCACAATAGACCTATTCTTGACTAAAAATGCTAGTGTAGGTCAACGAACATAACCGCAAATAAAATAAGTCTAGAAGTTCATAAAAACACACAACAGAGAGCAACTGTTACAGAAAACTGGCGGAATGTAAGAAAGATGCAACGATTAATGCTTGCAGTGATCGAAATCCAAAAATTGACATGCTGTATCAAATGTATAGACTAATATTGAAGGAATGAACGATAATTCAGCCGCATCGCAGTACACAATTGTTACCAGGAATGTAAGAGTCAACAGTAATTTGGCATGTTGCAGCTGATTGCTGGACGGATTTCGTATAAGCATCTAGAAATCGTGTCAAATTAATTTGATAATATTGTCAGGTTTCCTACTAAATATAATTCAAAAATGAAGCATAACCATCAGACATATCCACTCTCATACTATGTGATGGAGCCGATCCGAAGTATTGCCAAAATCAAGATCAGAAGCCATAACGGCCACTACAGCAAGCTCAATGGCCATAATGCCCAACCCACACTAGAAGATAGCTCCGGATAGTATGGAAGCTCAACTGATGGACTGGCCACGGCGACTCAGTGTCCGCTGGGAGCTCCCGCAATGCGATACTGCCAGCACCGTGCCGCACCGCGCACTGTCGCTACAGACCAAGGCTCTGTCACTACTCACTGCGGCGCTCGCTAACCCCCTCATGAGCAACCTCACCCTTCTAGGGCCATCGCAACAGCCTCACCCAGCACATCCCAGCACTACCAAGCACGGCCAAATCCCATCAATTCGCCACTAAACACCTTCAAACTAGACTAAATCGGCACCAGCCATCTCCTCAATCATCGTTAAAACCTCCACGTCCAACCACCTAGGCGTACCCCCACCACCCTCACGGATTTCAACTCCGCTTGCTACCGCCCCATTGCTTGCTCTGATGCGACCGATCTCTCTAACCGTTCTAGAAAACACGGCTGCGCGCAGCAATATAAAAGCGACAAATACCCGCTACAGTCTTCCCCCACCATGACTGTTATTATCGGATCACTGTACGTATCTACCATGGACCACGAACCTACTGACCTCTACTAACGCCAGATTCTTGCCCTACACCGTCCAATTCGAGGTCGGTGCCACCGATGCCATCGCCCAGCCACACGTGCCAAAGGGTCCCCATGAACCTGCTCCAGTAGCCGCCAAACTGGCGCCATCCAGCTCGATCCTTCCATCCCTCAGCATTGCCAATTCACGACAACAGACGCCCCTCGCTGCGTCGCCTGGCCCCGAGTACAAGCCCGAAGCGTCAGCAGACGCCCAGGACTTCTTTTACAAAAACCATCGGTTCAAGAAGCAGACAGACACGCCACTAGCTGATGGTATTGCTGACAAGTTGGGACCCCACTACATCCAGCCACGAGCTCGCTACAACAATGGCGTGCCACCCAGCTCGGTGGTGGACCCAAAAAACAAGGACGACGGCTCAGGACTACTCGGATTGAAGATGAATCGCTCCACCAACAACTTGGCAGGGTTGGCAGGCTCCCACACCAACCTTGCGGCACTCAGCCATGCGTCCACAAATAGAACAAGATCCTCGTTGAGCAAACCCCACCCAGGATTGACCTTGCATACCAACAGCAGCACCAGCTCGTTGGCAGTGGCCGAGGAAGACGACCACCAGGCATCAAACCCCAGCTGGAACAACGAATACGCATCCGACGTCAAGTTGGCTCCGTTTGGCGGGTTCTCCAATCCAGGCGATTTGCTTGACCAACCAAACATCTTCGAAACCGCTCCCTGGACGATCAAGTTCTCCCACAAGGGTAACGTTTCCACCACCAAGGCAGTCAAGTTGTCGGCCGAGCACAACATCGTAAAGTCGAGGAAATGGGTCGGAACCATCTCCATGCCCAGCGACGAAGTGCCCGATCACATCAGAAACGACATCGCTGGCGAGTTGAGAAAAGGCTACAATAGCGAAGCCGTCTTCCCCAACGACGCCACATTCCAGGGCCACTACAACTCCTTCTGTAAGCAGATATTGTGGCCCACATTCCACTACCAGATTCCTGACGACCCCAAATCTAAGGCCTTTGAAGACCATTCGTGGGGCCACTACCAGTTGTTGAATCAATTGGTCGCAGACAAGATCGTGGAGGTGTATCTTCGGGAAAATGGAAACGCCAACCCCGAGGACCCAGAAAACATGATCTGGATCCATGACTACCACCTTCTTTTGGTGCCTTTGATGGTCAGACAGAAGTTACCAGAGGTCAAGATTGGCCTTTTCCTCCATGTCTCCTTCCCATCCTCGGAAGTTTTCCGCTGTTTTGCTCAAAGAACAGAAATCTTAAAGGGAATGTTGGGTGCCAATTGCATTTCATTCCAAACCGATGAATACGTCAGACACTTCTTGCAGACCTGTAACCGTCTTCTTTTGGCAGATGTCAACGATTTGGGAATTACCTACGAGGGAAATTTCACTATGACTAACACAATCCCAGTCGGTATTGATTCCAATTCTATCATTGAGATGGTACAATCAGAAAGTGTCACCGAATGGAGGCAACTCATCAAAGAAAGATGGCCAGATCAGAATTTAATCGTCAGCAGAGATAAATTGGACAAATTAAGAGGTATAAAACAAAAACTTTTAGCATACGAGAAATTTTTGAATTCAAATCCCGAGTATATCGATACGACTGTGTTGATTGAAATTTGCATTGGATCCAGTCATGATCCTCACTACGAAAGCGAAATCATGCAAATAGTTGCTAGAATCAATTCCTTACCCGAAAACATCTCAGTTTCTCAGCCTGTTGTATTACTACAGAAGGATATTGAGTTCGAGCAATATCTCGCATTGCAATGTGAAGCTGATGTCTTCGTTGTCTCATCTATGAGAGAGGGTTTGAACTTGACAAGTCATGAATTCATTACTGCAACCAGCGAGAAAAAGTCTCCGTTGATTTTATCTGAATTCACAGGTTCCTCCCAATTACTTGATTGCGGCGGACATGGGGCTTTATTGATCAACCCATGGGATATCAAGACCTTTTCAGAAACGTTTAAGAAGCTGTTGACAATGGACAAGAAAGAAAAGGAGACTAGATGGACCAAGTGCAACGATATTGTGAAAACGCAAGATTCAATGAATTGGGTTGCCTCGTGCTTGCAAAGCATAAATGAATCATATGATTTGAACAAGAGAACAAATCTTAACAAATTGAAGCCTTTCAACACCGATGTATTTGGCCACTTTTATAGACAAGGAAAGGAGAAAAATAGATTGTTCTTCTTGAACTTTGAGACTGCTGCTACCACCCTCTCAGTTGGCGACAAGAAGCCCACAACAAACTCAATTACTACTGCCAAGAGTGCGTATACAGAACCATCTCGACTCATCTCCTTGTTGAATGGTTTATTAGAGGATCCAAAGAACAAGGTTTACATCATTAGTTTCCTCAAGAGAACAGATCTCGATAGACTTTACAGAACTTACCCAAATTTGGGATTAATAGCAGAAAATGGTGGTTACATCAAGGTCATAGGCTCGCAAAAGTGGATTTCCATGGTCGATGAAACAGAAATTCAGGGATGGATCGCTCAAGTTACCCAGTTGGTAGAGTCCAAGGTTGAGAGATTGCCAGGTTCGCATTGTGAGGTGGAAGATTGCACTGTGAGATTCCACACTGGCAAGTCTTTCATCGAGGATCGTGAAAGGACCCTCGATGCCATGGGTGATTGCATCCAGCATGTCAACGATGTGTTCCAAGACTCCGACGGGGTTCATGCATCATTGATCAGAGATGTGGTGATTATTCAGCAGAACCAGTTGGCCTTGAAGGCTCTCAAGTTTATCAACGACTACTACTCACAGGACAACAGTGGCGTTGACGCAGAGCAGTTGATTCAGAACTTCCAAGTGAAGGGATTAGCGGGTGCCGCTACAAACACCCCAATCAGGTCGAAATCAATTGATATTTCAAGTCTAGGCGAACTGGCCACGTCTACTTCCACCTCCGAGGGCTTGAATTCCATTTTCGTGGCTGGTGCCACCACCTTGCTTGACGAACCAAGTTACGAGTTTGTCAATAGACTTAAAGAAAATGGACTGATTCAAACGGTGTCAACCGTAGCCATTTTGGGAGACGAGTCTGACGTGAGGACTTCTGCAAACTTCGGAGTCAATGGTATAAACGAATTATTGAGGGTATTATCTGAAGCTAAGTCTATAGTTTAGATAATTGTAGATAGAATAGTTAATTTAAACTCTTAAAGTGAAACTAAAGAAGTGTAGCAAGACCCACCGCTCATACGAGACGTGCCATTGGATATTTTCACGCCACGTACCGGCAAATACCACTTTGTATTTTACAACTGTTGCTATTGCTTATTCATTATTCGTCTATAACTAGTTTTCAAAACTCTGGGTTATGATACATTGTTTGCATCAAATATGATTAATTTATGGATTGTGACTGGCATGGTACGTTGAAAATGCATTGAAGATGGGTGTGCCATGGCTGATGCGAATTAGGAGTATTGGTTTGATCTAGAGTTAGCTTTAGAAAAGCTCTAGCTCGTCAATTAGGTATTTTTAAAGAGCTTCACATGGAACATGACATTCAAAACTGCTTGTCCTTGTAGCTACCTGCCACCAATTTGTTGAGTTCCTCCACGGTCTCCAAGAACGCATCTTCCTGCTTCTTTGTCATAGCGTGGGTTTTGCTCCAGTAATGCTTCAAGAACTCTTCTTCCGTTATGAAATTGACATCTTTCGGCCTCAGAACCACCCAGAGGTTCTCTTTGGACCGCTTGTGGGCCTCTCTGTCGTCCTCCATGCGTGATATGATCTGTCTTTTGGACAACAACTCGCCAGCCTTGTCGTTCTTGTCCCTGAGACTGAAGAGGTCCTGTTCCTCCACGGTGTCGCGAGAGACCTCTGAGTGCTTCAACAACCGCAAGCGCTCGTACTGGCTCTGCTTCTTCTTGCGGAGCAACAAGCCCCAGCTCTCGACCAACGGGTCTTCGCCCGAGTCCTCTAGGCGGATTTCTGGGAACGGTATGTCCTGGTCGATGTGGGCTCTGTCCTCGTCGGTCAACGAATCGAGGTTGAACCGCTCCACGAACTCGCAGCAGTCCACCTTGAAGTGCTTGGACAAGTTCTTCAAGCTGGTGTATACGTTGTAGATGTTGGTGTTGCTGGTGGTGGGCAACACTGCTAGCATGATTTTGGGTAACGACGTCTTGAGGTTCTGGATGTACGGGTAGTTGAACTTGGGCTGGCGCGAGTAGTAGAACGACTCGTTGATGAGCACCTCGATGAACTGGAACACCGTGGACTTGGTGTTGAGCTCCACAGACGGGTCGTTGAGGATGTCGAGGATGGAGGGAAAGAGGTAGTCTTCGCTGTCCGAGTGCTTGAGGGCGAAATGTGCCGCTCTGGTGAGGTTCTGCACGGCAGGCGTGAGGTTGCGGAGGATCTGCGAGAACTGGGTGGCTGCTTCGAACGAGTCCATGGCGGTAGCAGGGTTAAAGGTACGAGTAGATATGGTTGTGTTGGGTGTAGGTGAGATGTCGCTGGGTGGCTGCGATGTCGCGGATGTCCGAGAAGCAATGTCGCACAGTCACTGCTGGAGGCTCCACCACAGAAGAACACTACAAGCAGATGTACTAGTTGTGGCAGGTACTGCTAGCAGCACCGGCCAGCGTCACATGCCACCACTGTGAGCAGCCACTAGACCGTGACGGTGTAGTCACGGTTGCCATCTGGAGCCTTATCGTCACGCGCACTACTGGGCATAAATAAAAAAATTTGCACTGGAATAACTCATCATAATTACAACATCTCAAAATGGGTAAATCTGGTAAAGGTAAAGGTGGTAAGAACAGAAGAAGAGGAAAGAACGACAACGGTGGTCAAAAGAGAGAATTGATCTTGAAGGAAGAGGGCCAAGAATACGGCCAGATCACCAAGATGTTGGGTAACGGTAGAGTCGAGGTCAGCTGTTTCGACACCGTGAGAAGATTGGGACACATCAGAGGCAAGTTGAGAAAGAAGGTGTGGATGGGCCAAGGTGACATCATCTTGGTGTGTTTGAGAGACTTCGAGGACGAGAAGTGTGATGTTGTTCACAAGTTCAACTCTGACGAAGCCAGAACCTTGAAGAACATGGGCGAGTTGCCTGAAAACGCCAAGATCAACGAAACCGATACCTTTGGCGGAGACGAGGAAGACGATGTCAACTTCGAGTTCGGTGCTGAAGACGACAGCGAGGACGAGGACGACGACTTGGACATTGATGATATTTAAATGGCCTAGCTAGCGGTGCTGAGCTGCGTGTAAGATAGTGATCAATACATGATCTATAGAGGTACTGAGTGTAGGATGTAGAGAAGCGAGGCAGAGGCAGTGGGGACTCAGATAATGAATAGTCTATCACGAACATTCATTGAGGTGAAAAGTGGTAGCGTATAATAATACCGAGAAGACTACCAGTCTACGTATTTAGGACAGGTAGCCTACGTTGAAACGTCCATTGAAATTAGGACTGGCAGCTATGAGGTAAAATAGTTTTTTTGGGATAAGTTCCAATAATAGTCATCTAGATAGCGATTACTAGCCATAGAAGTACTGAATAGTCGATTCGGATAAGAGCTGAGCCTATAAAAGTGTTGAATAGTCCATTGGAGAAGAGACTATCCTATGAATTTGAAATGTCCAGTCCATTGAGATAAGGGCCAGTAGCCATGTAACCAAATAGCCCACGAGACGAAACTAGCCTATTGAGTAACCCATTAGAGCATAGTTAGCCAGAGTACTGAAAAGTCCATGAGACGACTAGCAGCTTAAATTTATGAATAGTCTATTATGACTAATTTATTTAATCAATGCTAGCCTATAACAGGTAACTAGAATATGGATTTGGGGCCAAACCGGGCCCACGATAGCCCTAAATAATACAGTAGCCCTTCCCGAGCTGTCCGTAGGCACGCCGTGGCGTGCCTTGAGCATGCCGATGGCACCTATCTATTTTAATTTCTATGGTTTTGTTCGAAGTCATCGTCGGAGCCCAACTCAAAACTGTCGAATCTTCTCAAACCCACGGTTTCTTCTTGGTCGTACTCGGATCTGTTGATTTGCATCGATCTTCTCATCGACGAGAAGCCTCCCACGCCGTTGTCCATGGGGGCCATGTCTTTGCCGTTGTGCACACCAAAGATCTCTCTGGATTTGCCCTCGTTGTCTTTTCTGGAGATGTTCAAGAGGTACACTCCGCTAAAGATGATCAAGAACCCGATCAACAACGAGATGATGTCGATGGCTGACGACGTATTGAATCCTTTAAACAAAATAAACGACGCAGCCAACGTGAAGGTGGTGAAGGTGACATAGTACAATGGGTTGACGATGGAGGTGTCGAACTGGTCCAACGCCTTGTTGAAGTAGTTCATCTGAGTGACGATGCACAAGGCTACCACCAACAAGAAGAGGTAGGTGGACACATGGGTGAACTGGTTGTTGCCGCCAAGGGTCAACTTCAAGGCGATACCGAACGCCTTGATGGACATCACCGAGATGGACCCCACCGACGAGCAGATCGAGAGGTAGATCATGGGGTTGGAGTGGCCGTACTTGGGGACGATCTTATAGATCATGAAGAGGGAGTAGGCGCCCACAAGCACGCAGTAGAACAAGAAGCCAGGCTGGGTGGCGTAGCCCAAGATCTCGTCCACGGTTTCGATCTCCTTGTCGGGAGGAGCGTGGAGAACGATGATGACGGACCCCATCAAGCAGATGGCACATCCCATCTTGCCCAAGGTGCCCAACTCCTCCTTCAAGAAAATGGCAGCCAAAACCGCACCAATAATCACGGAAAGAGCACCCAACGGGGTTACCAAGATGGCAGGCGCAAACGTGTAGGCAGCAAAGTTGGCGATCTCGCCTATGGCCATGGTAAGCATTCCTGCCCACCAGATGGGGTTCTGGAGGTACTCATGGCCCTGGACCTGGGAGGTGCCACTGCGAGCAGAGGCGTCGATGAGCCCTTTTTTGGTGATGATGAACGAAGTGCCGATGGCCAACGACGACGACATGGCAAGCGCCAATCCGACATACTTATCTTCCATCATGGTGGATGTTGTTGTTGAGCGGGTGAAAACAGTGATTTAGATCAGTGGACGTGGTGCAGGCACGAGCTCGCGTGGACACGTAGAGGCGAGCAGACTGGGGCGGGCCAACGGGACGCTAGCGATGGATGGGGAGGAGTAAAGAGGAGGAAGAGGAAGAGCACTACGACTGGTGCCAGCTACACGGAAATGGCGTGTGGGAGGTGTCAGGCGAAGTGGGATACTTCCCAAACTGGAACTGTCAAACTGGCGCGGAAGTCTGGGGCGCTGGGCGCGGTGGCTCACAATCAGGAGGCTGAGGCAGGGGAGAGTATGAGATTTCGCTCAACAGGGTATAAGTAGGATCAGAAGTGTACGAGAGGATTTCGTATCCAGAACTGAGGTGTAGATTGATGATGCTAGCAAAAGCACCATCATTTAATAATTATTTAAGGACTTTGGCGACTCGAGAAGCGCAGATTTCTGCTTCGCCAAGTGCTCCAGAGGTGATAGGAGTAAAAGCACACATTCGTAATTCAGTGGAGAATTGACAATAACGTAAGTTGTTCAGTGGTGAGTATACCATCATCGTTTAAAAATTAAAGAACTGTAAGCAACGAGAGCAGAAGTCGGAGTTCTTTTCGCCAATTTCGTGCTGAAGAGCTCACTACTGTGGGAGAGTATAAGCACGGATTCGCGTCTCAAGAACTGTTATCGGCCGTGAGAGTATTAATTACGGTTTCTGTTGCTTGTCTCAACAACGACAGAAAGAGAATTAGCACGGATTCCGTTTGTATCTCGGGGACTGTTGTTGACTGTGAGAGTACCAATTACGGATTTCTGTTTATTGCCTAAAGTGAGTACTTCAACAAAATCTGATTACCGTCTCCACTGCACGTGAGAGTAGATCCAGAATCGTGCCAGAGCTGCTATTCTGCCCTGTTTAACCATCCATGAGAACTTGGCGGCCCAAGCTTGTATTTCATACTAATGTATATTCTGTCTCAACCAAGAATATACGCTATCGGAGAGCGGCCCGGTGCTTCCAGTTGCCGCAATAAACGTAAAGCTGAATCCCTGCAAAAATTCACTTATTCGAAAGAGTTATTGCATGTGCTAAACGAAGCTATTCTCTATAAACTAAATTAAATTCAAGCTATTCCGCGATTTATGAGGAGTACAATCTGTTGAACAAATTCAGTTATCAAGTATAGGTGTCATACAAAGAGTTCAGCTATGGTTCCGATTCACCTTCTAAGAATTGGCCTAAATCCGCAAAATGTCCTACAGTGCATGTGCTTTTCGGCCATAATGGCAATCAAAGTTTATTCCAAATCACAAGAAAGAAGCGAATTGCCGGATTATTCGAATAAATGCACAATGCACAAGAGGATTATAGAATGCTGTACTCAGAAGTCTATAGCATTAAATTTTGCTTGTAGCACTACTTACCAATAATAATTGTCTTCACATGGTAGGATTCCATCCTAAAACAAGCTACGCGTGTCGGTTAGTTTCTCTTCCGGGAGCAATAGTTTTTTCTTATGCCTTAATCCCATCATTCTAAGCCAATTTGGATTCCTCTTCTATAATTAGGTGTATGTGCTCGTATCACAAAGGTTTTACTCGTTGATTCCTCTTTCGGTTAATTCCCATTTCGCAATCTCCTTACGTCCTTCTTTCATTCGTGGTCGCATTTGGGTGCAAAAACAGTAGTAACAAAAGATCCCTCGTACTATCTATGTTTCCCAGGCTAATATCCAGATATGCTCCTAGGTACCATAAAAATTGAGTGTGGAGCGAAATCTGGCACCGTCTCAGCAAAAATAGGGCTATAATAACACGGGATATATGGAAACAGGATCGCAGTCATAGTGGGAATTTTCAGACTCCTTGCACTAACCTAGCTCCCCTTATCAATTTACTTTCAGTTTCCCGTGAAACTATGACTAGGTCTATTGACTTTATAAAATTTTAATCTTCAGCACGCTCATATTAGTCATAGTCATTTGAACCACATATATAATCCACTACGTACCAGCATTCTCGAACCCTTTGTATCAAGGAACACCCAGTCCACACATTACCACGGCCATTATTTGCAGTGTATCGTTTCTGAAAGTATCAAAACGTATCCCACGGAGAAGCCCAAAGATTCTTTTCGCCAATCTAATTTTCGTTGAATACGTACACCTCTATATTGATTGTAATCATTTGCCTTTTGGAGACGAAGCACCAGTTTATTGATATTCTCTCACCGCCAATGTCTAGGTTCATTCAGCAGATCTTATTAAAAGAATCAGCTCTTCACTATATTTATCCCAGAAGTGATCAATTAATCAAACTACAGAAGTTACTCAATTATTAATATTTTGTATTACCGTCTATAAGCAATAAGCCATTCGTTTCGACATCTATAAACGTCTTGCTGCCAAATTACCACGCTGGCCACTGTACTTTACCCTCTAGTTAGATGCAACATCACTCTTCATTTCTTGCAATCTCTCCCATCCCTCACTATTTTCCCACATATCTTTACCCTTCGACATCAAGGATCTGATAGTGGTTCTGCTCTTGTATTTCCAGTCAGCACATACCACGTCCCCAGCACCATGCTTTCCAGGCTTTTCCCCTAAGGACTCATACGCACCAATTAAATCCGAGCAAGCATCTACAGCATCATTCCAGGCAGCTTCCTCATATTCCAATTCAGCCCTCTGACTCAATGCTCTATAAGCCTTTTCGTGACATTCAAGTGCCAACCAAGGCTTTTGTCTCCACAAATCAACTCTAGCAATGATTCTCCAACATCTGGAAGAAGTGGTGATAATAGTGGGCAACACATTACAGATCAAGTCAATGCATGAGGATTGGAAATGTGTCAAACGACCGAGCTGTCCATTCTCGTCGACCTTAGGGAACTCGGTAGACACCAAAATCTCCACCAATCTTTCTATGATGGGAATATCAATGGATGCTTCACCATCCTTTCCTTTCTTCTTATCAATAAGTTCACGGAGAGCAATAATCACATCGTTCCACTCGTTCAATTTAACAGCAACAATCATATAGTTCTCATAGATTCTCCAACTCTTCTTATTCTCACCTGCATTTCTAATGGCCTTTTGCAAAGCATTGAAAGCGGGCTTGGTTTTATCCAATTTGAGTAAAGCTGAAGCCAAGTTGGACCACGCATGCGAGTTGGTATCATCCAAACTGACACATCTAGTGAATGCTTCTGAAGCAAGTTGGAATTGACCAGACTCAAGGCCGCAACAACCATAGAAAAACCAGTTCTCATAACTCAATGGATGAACAGTCAAACAATCATTCATATACTTAATGGCGAGTTCAAGATTCTTGGTGAGTCCACTCGAAGCTGGTGGGTTATAATGGTATCTGGACAAAGAGGCCCTTGCCTTGGAGTACTTGCCAACTTCCCAGGCCTTTTCCCAGAGAGCTGGATCCTGTTTCACGTCACCGAGAATGGAGATGGCTCTGGCATCGGAAGGATGATGCTGGATTCTTTCCATCAAGATTTCCTCGGCCTTCTTTTCGTCCTCAATGGCAGCATAACATAATGCCAATTCACAAGACATCTGTAATCTTTCATAAATAGCAATAGCAGACTTGATGATACCCAACGACATATACTTTTCAGCTAACTTTGCATCTAAGGACCATTGTGGCATAAGAGGAAGCTGGTGAATGAATCTTAACCTGGAAGAAGTTAACGCTGTCCCGTCGACAGCTTGAGGAATAATTCTGGTTTTAATTTTGAGGCCAATTTCTTCAATAAGGGAAGTCATTTGAAGCAAACCTCTTTCGATGGTTCTAGATTTATTGGTTTCCAAAAGCGATCTTTCCCACAATGCTCTTGAAAAAAGGGTCCAGTTGATATTCTTGGAACTTGTGTATAAAACTCTAGAGACGAGGGCCATGAGTTCTTCTTCCACCAAAGGGTTACCTGAAGGAGAGGTTTGCTTCAAGGTGGTAAATCTCAAAAGAAGCTGAAGGTTATCGATGTCATTCAACGCAGGCTGGTCATTAGGGTCCAAGGCCTTCAACTCGGAGGGAATATCTTCCTGACGATTAGCAATAGGCAAAAGCAAATTTTCGCTGGCTTCAACATCATCGAATTTGAGTTTTTTAGTATTTGGTTCGTCTTGGAGTTCCAAATCGTCCAAAGATTCGTATCGAGGACGCTCGAGCAATAAATCTGACTCCAATGCAAAGTCCTCTGGGGTCTCCCCCGTTTCTTGGTCAAAAATGGAAGCACCTTGGGATTTAGCCAACACGATTAAGGCGGAAGTATGGAAGGTTTGGAACTGAGTTCTTTTGGCCTTTGCACCAGACAATATGAACTGAAGATTGGAGAGCTTTTTGGCCTTGTTCAACAATGGAATAGAGAGGTGTTCCGTGTAACTGTGGATGCCGCTTCTGGAGCATTCCAAAAAGTATATCAACTGGATGTTCTTTTGAATTTCCAGATTATCCTTTGGGGACAAGTTGTTGCACACGGATGGGTTCAACAAAATGGAGGAAATTGTGGACAAAATGGATGGAGGCTCTGACAAGATGGATAAATGTACTTGTAAGGCTCTGGATCTCCACCATTGGATCGATGCCATTATAACATTACCCGAGTCCTGAGTGTTTTTGGTGATAGAGCTGGTGATTTCGATCATTTCGTCAATGGACTGGTTACTGAACAAGGAGTGGGTTCTGGATATGCCCATCAATTTTTCAAATAACAAAGACGAAAGTACCAACAAAAATGGTTCGGTTACCAAGTCGTAGGCCTGTTGACCCTCGATGGTCAATGCCCGGCAACATTCCAATTGGAGCATGGCAGGGTCCACACCCGGGAAGAACGTTTCTTGAGCAGTGTACTGGATGCCTGGACCGGTGTAGTTGACCTGGATGAACGTTTGTAACAAACCGATGGCCAACAAATGGAGTTGAAGATGGGCCTCTTCTTCGGGAAACTTCTGTTTGTAGGTGTTGATTATTTCTTCCACGTACAAATGGGCCACTTCAAGAAGGCTTTGGGCTGGAAAGCCTCCTAACACCTTCCTTGAAGAATCTGAGAGGATCAAGCCGATGGTATCATTATCGCTTATGATGTCTGCTGACTTTCCTTCAAGAATGAGACGGGCAGGATTTTCGAGCGATGGATATTGGTTGGGCTCAGGAGTCTGGAACTTCTCGACGGGAAGCGCCAACACCAACTGTGAAAGGTACTGTTGAACAGACATGTTCAGGTGGTGATGAGATGGAGTTTTTTCAATATAGATGAGGTAAGCTTCGAGTACTGCATAAAATTGCGATTGCAAATATGATCTACAGGAGTCGAATCTTGGAATGCCTAACATACGAAGACAATGCACTGACGTTGACCATAGAAGTAGCTACCTTTTGGAACAGCAGAGCTATGGCACATCCAAAATTTAATTTGGAGAATCACTGTAAATTTACTTTTCAAATAGTAGAGACAGTGCCTGAGTGACGAAAATTAATTAACACAACGAACATTCCAGATGATAGTAGAATACGGCCTCGGTGACCGACACAGTAAGACTCCAGTGTATATTCAAAAGTTAAGGATGTAAGTGGATTTGTTGCCAAGTTTGTAGAGTACCAAAAGAAGGTTGCAATGGGTAGAAACCATCTAAAGGTCATATTATAGCCCGTATAACTCCTTCCACAGATTCACTCACACTTATTCAAATTTATTGATAATAGTCAATCAAGTCTAAATATCACTTAGTATATTGGTTTAGATACAAATTTACATCTAACAACTATTCACTAATCTCTGGATCATGTGAATTTTCTACTTACAAAGTTGCTCCTCTAATTCAAACATCATGCTTGCACAATGCTCGTGGCAACCCTGCTACACACTGATCAATCTAATAAATTATCCAGCTCATGTCAGCTCACTTCTAGTTCCACCAAAGAATGAGAGCCTCTTTTTTGGCTCGTTAGAACTCTCGTTTTTCTTGTTATCTGAAGACTTCCGGGATTTGGGTTTCTTAAGTGAGTTTCTAATCGATAACCTGTTCATCCTGGATCCATTCTCGGGATTCTCATCATCCGATGCAAAATCAATCACTTCCTCTTGAAAACTGAATTGAGAGGGATTCAGGGCGGAGGAAATCCTCTTTTTAAATTGGGGAGTTTGGGGTTTAGACTCCTTGACATCCAAATCTAAAAGGGATAAATCAGATCCCAAACTATAGATTTCCTTGTTATTGGTCTTTGGTTGAAGCACAGGGGTGGCCGAGGACGAATTGGAAGACTCCAAACCAACTTCTAAATCTATTAAATTTGGCTCAACAAGTTCTTCCCGTGGGTTCTTGGTCATGGTGGTTAGAATTTCTGGCGACTCCTTATGGTTGGGTTCTTGAGTGTAGGAAGATCCTGGGAGTGATTGAACTTTAGTAATGGGTATCGAAGTAGACGATGAACTAGTTCTAAATTCTCTCCATGGATTGGCGCTGCTTCTTTGCTCCACATTGACACAGTCTTTGCCAGAATCATCAAGAACCTTGTTGATAGGCTTGGGTTGCTTGAAAGGGAAAGGATTACCCCCAAGACCCAGGGCATTGGAACTACCTACGGAAGTGCTCAATGTTGGCACGACCGATGCAGTAGCATATTTAACTTGAGAGTTCTCAGTCAAATGGGGAGGTTTAACATCCAATTGCTGAGGCACAATGCCCACATCTGGTTCTTTCTCTACCGGATGCGACTCAACTCTAGAAACACTCTCGAAGTCCAATAGATCTGGAAAAACTGGTTCTTTTTTGGATTCACCATCAAATCTAGGAAGTTCTAACGAACCATCAGGAACCGGCACATTGTTTTCACGCTCACGTTCAAACGGCTTCATGGGAGCACCTTCATTGTTTCTAGGTTCTTCGTTAACCTCACTGCTTCTAGGTTCTTCAAAAGACTTCTTTTCACGTGGTTGGATTTCCGCCTGGAGTCTGTTATTGGCTCTCTCCACAGAAGAGTTTTGCCTCGATATTTCTTGATGTGACCCATCCGATTTAGCACTAAGGCTACTCTTAGCCCCAGTTACAGGCGATTCTGCAAATATATCATCAACTAGCTTCTCTGCACTCTTATTCATATGCACTTGACGCCTCTCCCAAGCTTCCTTCTTTTCGTACTCTGTCCCATCTTGGTAAGGGTTGAAGTTTTTACGAGGTTGTACCTGTTGAGCTTGTGGAGGTTGTACGTATTGTCTATGATCTTTAACGGGCAATTGTTGTTGCTGAAATTGATTATGTTGCTGTTGTGCATGAAACTGGTACTGCTGAAGCTGGTACTTGTAGACTTGGTGTTGGTAATTGTACTGTTTGAGCTGCTCCTTTGTGAGCTTTCTAACTTCATCGGCATTCAAAACAACAGGCTTAGTTGGTGGTGCATACAAGGGAATACTTTTCACCTGTTGTGGTGACACAGTAGGTGGCTCCGAATTTAATGGAACACTTTTCACCAGTTTAGGAGACAAAGTAGGAGGCGCAGATGCTATTGGTTGACTGTGCTTGTGGGAATCGTCTAAAATGTCCTCAAGTGATGGGTATCTCTCTTCGACGTTGTCCAAATTCTCCAAGTCTCCGAAACTCACTTCATCTTCTAATTCTTCAGTGTCTTTCTCGGATTCTGCACCGACTTCAAGATCCTGGCTTGGTTCGTTAGTCTCGTAGGCCTTGCTACTTCTCTTTGACTCAGACGCAGTTCTGGAGGGTTGGGCTTGAGTATCCTTGGGCCTTTCTTCGCTTGGTGCCGAGGCTTGTGGTGCTATGGTGCCAGGAATATGAGATGAAGGCTGGGCTGGTGGTTGTGCTTGCAGTGTGATTGTTGCTTTTGCCGGTTGTGTGAGTGGTTGTGATTGCGCTGGCACTTGTACATGAGGTTCGTGAGGGTATACATTGGGAGATACCGAAGCACTGGGAGAGACTCTTGCTTGGCTTGCAGCAAGTTGCTGCTGTTGGTAGAACAGTTGCTGCTGTTTTATCATCTCCTTCTGTTTCTGTCTCTGGTACTCATGCAATGCTTGGAAGTTGTAGCCACCCGTCTTGTAGAAATCATCGATGCCCACGTCTTTGAAGTCAATTTCCATCATCTTGGCCAATAACATGATGACTTGCACAATGTTGGGTCTGAAGAGCGGGTTTTCCTGGAGCATGATGATGATCAAGTTCTTCAAGTCTCCCGAGTATGATGGAGCCGGCAAGAACTGGAAGGACGCATGGAGGATGGCGATGTCGCCATTGGCCTCGAAAGGCGTGGTGTAGTAGCAGAGCTTGTACAAGAAGCACCCCAAGGCCCAGATGTCGGACTTTTCGTCAATGGGAAAGCCTCGATACAAGTCGATCATCTCGGGAGACCGGTACTGGGGCGTGGTCTGGTACAAGATGTCGTGGCTCAAGAGCTGGAACTGGTGCTGGTCCTTGGGAGGCGGGATGGGCGATGTGGTGGAGCCGAAGTCACATAACGTGAAGCGGTTGGTGCTGCCTATGAGCACGTTTTCGATCTTGATATCCCTGTGGATCATGTGGAGGCGGTGCATCTCGTAGATTCCGAGGGAGATGTCGTACATGATGGTGAGGATCTCGGATTCCGTCAACTTGGTCTTGATCTTGGCGTTCATGTAGTCCAACAACGACTTGTTGGGACACAACTCCATCAACACCAACACCTGGTAGGTGCCATCGTCCAAGCGCTCGGCATGGGAGTCGTAGTACTTGACGATGTTGCGGGCGTCCTTGAGGATCTTCATCACGTCGACCTCCTTGCGCAATTGATTGAGGCCATTCTTGTCAGGCACAATCACTCGTTTCAAGCATGCTATCTGGGACCCGTTTTCGTGGGGGTCAATGTGGACTTTGTAGATGTGGGCGAATCCTCCTTCCGAGAGGTATTCCACCACGGTGACCTTGTGACTGCCTACCGTCAATTCGGTCCCCAGGGGGAGTTTCGGAAAGTTCCCCATTGGTGTGTTGGATGTGGTGGTGGGAAGGATTAATAGATGTATTTTCGTGGCGGTGACACGACGGTAGTGGTGCGGTGGAGAATACTGGGGCTTGCAGAACCAGAGGGTGTACTGGCATTAGGGTGGAAGAGACTCTGGCGAGCCCGTGGGAGTGAGTCTGGGAGCTTCTGGGAGCGATTCTGGGGAGAAAATGGTGGTGGTCTGTGCCAGTATTTGGTTTATTGAGGTGGATAGAGCCAGGTGGCGGTGGCAATCTGGCTGCGATTTGGCAGTCTCGGTGCTGCGCCTGGTGGTGCGCCAGGGGAAGTTAGGGGCAGTTAGGGGAAGTTAGTGGGAGTTTGTGCGAGTCGCGCGCGAGAGGTGTCCCTTCAGGGTGGAACGAGGGCCTGAGAGCATGAACTGCACCAATTTGGCTGGTTTACTGATTGATTACTCGGCCTCCCAGCGCTACAAGGAGCTGGGTAGACATTCATTGCCTGCTAATCCAATACCTCCTAGTGAAATAAAAACCTGTGCCGTGTATTTGTCTGGTGTCTCGGATTCGTGAGGTATTTTTTAGTGTTAAATACATTTTCGCTAAGACGAGAAACTGATCCAGGCAGATCAAGGATGTAGGCAATTAACGAGCATAGGCTACGGTCGATGGAGCCGTAGATTAGGCAATTAATGGGTATGTATTAGGCGTCCATAGGCCAAGTCAATGGTGCTGGAACACTTCCCGGACCCTGTGGATTTCTGGAATATGGCTTCTGCAAATGATGCGAGATTTTGGTTTCTTTGGGTCCTAATTGTTTCTACGTATTCTTGTTCCACGGTAGACTTGTTGCAACTGGTAATCTTCACTTTTTTCCACATTATCGGGGTACTTTAGAGTAGAAAATGGTGTAGTGCCATAATATGTTCATTGGGAACTTTCCTAGTGTATGGATACCGATTACAGGGTCCTGGTGTAGTGGTCTGTTAAGCGGATCTTTCCTAATATTTACTGAGAATGGCGATGCAAGAACTTTGCCTTGCACAACTTCGGGTTTGGCACCCCACAGTGGAAGACCATTAAGTTCACTACTATATTACCCTCATCTTCTTCTCCTTACTGACTGAGAGTTAGCTGTGAAATTGCTAAACCGTCTACCATAGTACACAAGTATTTGGACCCGAAAATTCCGGTCTGTTCATTGCAATGCTAATTATATTTTATTACGAGTGCTTCACCGGTGCTTCCGATCAAGACTCACTCCATTTCAAACACATCCTTCATCACCTTTACCATTTCATCATAACTGAACGGAATAAACACCATCTCGGCGCCCGCCTCGTTCTTCACCAATTTACACATCTTGTGCTCAACAAACTCACCCAACACTGTTCTGAAGGTGATTTCGTTACTGGTAATGAACTTCTCCACACAGTTCTCATACAAGTCCTTGAAAGCAACCCCATGCTTGAGATTACCCTTGAGATTGTTCCTAGAAGCTTCGGTTCCCGCAGCATCGTTGATAATTTGCATTTGTCTCTCCAAGAGAGTCCGGTATGTATTTTTGGCATTGGATGTCAACGAATTCAACACAAATTGAACTCCCTTCTCACCGATAAATTTCTTAGACTTACCCAAATTCAACACATCTTTGAAAGAAAGTTCGGTAGAATAAGACTTATAAGTGGTCAAGTCATGCCAAATGAAGTTGAAACTTTTCATTTTGGATTGATCCCACAATAAGGGCGCGTTGACGTTATCTGTGGATGAAACCAACCATATTTCAGGAAGTGATGCAAGAATGGAGAAGTAGTTTTGGGTTCTCTCATCACGGAACACTTCTCCATCAATATTATTGATGACCAAGATCATTTTGGGTGCAATGAATGTGCTGTCTTCGGAAGCATTGTGGATTATTTTCCTTTTCTTCTCGATGTAATTAACCAAAAAGGGTACTGTTTCTGCGACGTGTTTTGGGAATCGGATGCTTTCCGATTTCTTCGTTTCGGGAGGGATGAATACGGTCACGATGTCCTGCAATATTTTTTTGAACTTGATGGTAGGATTATAGCCATTAACTACCATAATCTGAGGAAGATCATGCTCGTATATCTGTTCAAACCAGTTGATAAAGTAGTTTGTAACAAAATCCAAGATCAACTCTATTTTAGACCCAATTCCATAGAAATTCAAGCTATAACCTTGTGATAATTCAAAGCACCATTGATGGTAGAGTAGCTTGTGAAGATGGTTGAGAATGGTCTTCTCGCGGTGGGCAACTTTGTCCATCAAATCAATGTAAGGAATAAAAGAGCCATACTCCACTGCTGGCGCTAATTGAGCCAAGGATCTGTTACTGGGCTTGGCTCTGGTACTATGCTGTTCAAAGTATCCTTCAGATCCTTCAAGGAAAAATGCTCTTTCGTCCAAAAACCTTCCCTTGAGATTTTCTTCGAGACGGACTCCGCCGAAATGGTTCTTCAAGAAATCCTCATCAATAATGTTTCCATTATCATCAGTCTTGGGTATTTCTAGTGGTACAAACTCCTTGACTGCATCGTGGGTATTATTTTCCTCCTCCTTGGTTTGTCGCAAGCCCGAGATTACTGGAGCAACTTCGGTGTCAAGCATAGAAGAGAAAGTAGACGACGGTTTATTGTCTTTCTTTTTGGTGTCTTTAGACGTGCTCTTATTTTCCTTGAAAAGTGTCTCATCATCCATTTGGAAAATACTCTTGATGCTGCCTAAAATCTTCTCTGCTTTGGTGGGCCTACCGACCCTTCTCTTTCCATTGGTTGGTTTGGAAGGCGACGACACCTCAATTTCTTCCTCGATTTCAACATCTGTGGGAGGGGAGCGAGATTTCAAGGGTGACCTTTGAGAGCGAGGTTTAGATGGGGATGGCATAACCACCTCTTCGTCCGAAGAATCCAAGCCTTCGTCTTCGTCGTCCTCGTCTTCCTCTTCGATTTCGTTGAATTCGTCGCTGGAGTCGTCTATATCAAGATCGAGATCCGGCTCGTCTTCTACCTCTGGCGCAGGTTGGGCTCGACGAACTGTTTCGCGTCTCCTTCTCTTTGTTGGCTGAGATATGTCCTCCTCAAGTTCCACGTCGCTACCATACGCCCTGAACTCTTCATCTCTAGACTGTTTCAAGATCGACTCGGCAATACGGATATCCTGCTGCCTCAAGATGTCATCATCGTCCTCTTCATCATCCTCGTCCTCCTTCATGAGTCTCGAATACACGCTAGTTGACTTCATGGCTCTTTTTCTGGCAGATTTGTTCAACGCAGCCATCCGTCTTCTTGGTGACACCTGCCCTGCCCTTCCATTCGGGGTTTTGACCGGCGAAAATGCTATTCTGTCGCTCTGGTACTCGAGCTTGATGATGCCACGCCTTGGCGACTTGAAAGGAGATACTTGGGGTGATTGTAGTCGTTCAGACACGAATGGTGATCGGGGCCCAGACGGCGTTTTGGAAGGCAGCTGAGGTTCTTTTACCGGAGATACTTCGGAAGAGTTGGCCAGACTACGACCACGTCTTCCCACACTCTCAATGCCATCGTTGTTGTACGGATCTGTTCCCATCAGTGATTCGAATCTACGCATCCACATACTGTTGTGTTAAGCGCTGGAGATTTGCACGTCATGTGACTGCACCAACGTGACGAGTTCTGAAAAATCATCTCTTCGCTATCTATACTACCCACCACAGAGTAATGTTGTCGTTTTGCCCCAACTGCTCCAACATGTTGTTGATCCGCCAGGGGGAGGACGGATGTAACCAGTTCTACTGCGCCACTTGTCCGTACGAGTTCAAAATCAACGGGTTCCAGATGTTTGACAGAAAGGACTTGGCCAGAAAGGAAGTCGATGATGTATTGGGAGGAGAAGGTTTCTGGGATAACGTGGACCAAACCGCAGCACAGTGTCCTAGAGACAGCTGTGGAGGCACAAAGGCATATTTCTACCAGTTGCAAATCCGTTCTGCGGATGAGCCTATGACTACGTTCTACAAGTGTGTGAAATGTGGAGAGAAGTGGAGAGAAAACTAGTGGAAGAAACGGAATAGAGCCGTGAGTTCCGAGGAGATCCTTTTGGTAGACTGAAGCACCATCGAGGTTATGGTAACTCTATCGAGGTAAGAGAGTTAAACCACCACAATTAAGTGAATAATTGCAACAACAGATGTTCTTGAGGAGAGATGGACTCAATCCACCGGGTGATAGAAATGGCTTCGGAACATTCAAAACGGTTAAAAGTCGGTGACGGCTGCGCATATCCTCCGCATGGAGAGAAACGCTAATGTATCATTAGTGATAGCATAATTTGTACTATAGATAATACACAGTAGACTTTTAATGTCATACCTGATAGTATCGTAAGCATTAACCTTATTTCTTAGAGACTATCGTTACCAATTTGGCAATCTCTACAATGGATGCTATCAGTGAAAAGGACTACAGTTTTGTCATCACGGTCGTACAATTTATCAGTGGGTTGGAAAATAACGAAACACACCTGTTTCGCCTCAGAAGAGGACCTATAGAGCTGAATTGTCTCATTAGCGTTGTATGCAAGCGATCAAGTAGAGGCCAAGGCTGAGAAGCATATGCAAAGAAATGTACTTCTTCCTGAGTTTCTGGGAGATTTCGCAATATGTTATCCACTTCCAAGCTCGGAATACTTAGTCAACAGCCCTAGCTTTAGCGAGAACCATGAATTGGGATCCTGTTGTAATACCAGGGATATAGTTCTGATTTTCTTCAGGTTAACCACCGAGCTACTCTGCAAAAGAATCGATCTCTTCAGTATCACACGCTGCCCAAAACTGGTCAATGAATTCTGAGAACTAAGTTTCATAAACGTAAGATCTGAAGTTGCTTGATTCTTTCTGATAAGTCGCGGCCTTGTGCTATTGACACCATCTTTTTTTGCATGCTCTGCCACTTTTGCTTCTTGTGACAGCTTGAAATGCTCCTGGGATTTATTCAGTGAGTGACAATCCAGAACCTCGTCATTTACACTAATGATTTCGAATTCGAAAGACCCTGGAGGACTGCTGTTGAGCATTTTGCTCGACCTTAAGGAGTCACTATAGTCGCTGCCCTGATCGGGCAAGTTCTCTGTCTGATCATATTCACGAAGCAATCCATGAACCTCTCTGTAAGCACGCTCAGAGTAAATTTGTTGACACTGAGCGATTTTGTCTTTGAATATCTGTTCTTTTCTGCCTGATATTATATCCTGAAGCTTGAAGTCTTTGATTCTGCCAATTGCCACCTCCCGTCTCTCGGGGGTACCATTGGCTCCGAAGCCACCTATACCTTTAAAATTAAATTGGGTTTGGTTACCATTGAAAACATTCCGCACGTACTTGACCTCATTTTCACATTCCTCGAAACTCCACCTGTTGATAGTCATGACAGGTCTCTCCTGAATTTGCAAAGAGGGCCTCCCGAACTTGTTGAACATCATGAGGTCATACTTGAACTCCCTGCTGATGCATAAATCTCCAAATATTCTTTCTACGGAAAATCCTGACAACCACGTCGTTTTGGATTCGCAACAAGGATACACTTCTTTCGGACGAAACAAACTCACAAGCTTTCGGGACTCTGAGAAAGACAGATGTCGCGAAAATACAAGCTTGATCTCTTTAGGAAGATATTCGGAACCTCCCTTCGGCAATATCCAGAGCCGGTTTTTGAAGCGGTATATCTCGTTTCCTTTCGCTGTAGAATGCACCAACCGCAAGGTGGCCCGCTCCGTTTCAGTAAGGCTGTTAACGGGAATGGGAAAGAGGATGCCTGCCATGTCTGAAATGTTGAAATCGATGCATTGTTTTATTGTGACTGCAAAATTGGGCTTGTGGTTTCCGGCTTTTGCAATCACATGGAATCGAGGATAATGGGTCTTTCCAATCGATTGAGAAAGAATCTGGGCACTGGAGTCATTCTGTTGGCACAATGCACTTATTCTGGCCCTTAGGTCAGCCCCTAGCGTCAAGGATCCCAGGAAGAGAGGGACTATTTTCGCCCAGGCCTCTTCGAAGCCACTGGTGGTATCCATGAAAAAGAACTGGATTTCCTCGTCGTCCTGTGGATACGACCGTAACATCTGGATCACTCCATTGATGCCATCGTTGTTGTCGGACATCTCGATATAGGGCTCTCCTCTGTATGAGAAGGTAGTATCTAGATAGATATTGGCAAGCACCTTCAAGCCAGTCGTATACTGAAAAAGATACGGGTTTTTTGCGAGTCCCTGGACCCACCAGGACTCAGCACGGATATCTCCTGTGATCAAGACCGCCTTCACCTTGTCCTCAACTAAAAACATGGTTGATCCAGGACAATGGTACGACTGGATCAAGGTTAGCTCGATAGGTAGGCCATTTACAGAAATGGAGTGCTTTCCGTAATCCAACGGAATCACGTACAGAAGAATGTGGTGATACGCGGGATTAAGCGCTAGCAATGCCCTGGTTGTAGGAGTACAGTATACCTTCTTGCAGAACGATTTTGCATCTAGGCCTGCCAAGTGGTCCGCGTGAAAATGTGTCAAAAGAAAGGTGGACGCGCCAGTGTTGAACTTGTCCACGCTGATGGAGTTGAACTCGGCTAGAACTCCCTGGAAGCTGTTCCCTCGCTGCATTGGATGGGTAGGATACGCGTAGGCAGCGGGATCTATATCTGGCAGCGTGACCCTGGATCACGTGACCGTCCGATGAGGTGCATGCAGTAGTTGACGTCTTCGCTACAGGTGTCTAGAATGACATGTATTTCGGCAGCAGCAGTCGCTGAACCGCACTATATCAACACGCCGTAGTACTCGGCCCGCTTGTACTGGTAGTAAAGCTGTTCCCACTGCACAATGAAGCGGTCAGTGATGGGAAGCAACAACTTGCCGCTCAAACTGAGCAGGTTGACTCTGGCAAGACTCTCGATGTAGACGACTCTGGTGGTGCATAAGCCAAAGTATTTCATGGCGAAGAGCATGTAGGCCAAAGGCACGCTTGTTCCCGGACCATTGAGGAGCAACACGGACGGTAACTGAGGGAGCTCTCGCATGCCCTTGTATGTGGAGATAAATGACCTGACGGTGTTCTGGATCGACAGGAGGAGCGGCTCCTGGACGGCCCGAGCTCTGTGGAGGGTCAAGAAATTGGCTGGCTGGCTTGAGCTGAGGTGTTCTTCGAAGTCGCGTGCTTTGACCATCGAAGCAGAGTCGTTGGACGACGTCACCCACGTTCTGGACACCTCACTGAGGTCCACCTGTGACAAGATGCGCATCATCTCTCCCGTGTGGCCACCAGAGCCCAAGAAGATCATCACATTGGTGTTTTTGGCGATCAAGGGTACCTCGTGGAAACTCTGACCTTGTGCGGTGATTTCGGGACTGTGGAGCGCAGGAAGTATGGCGATCAATCGCACGATGGCCACCACGAACGGCAAGAGGAACGCAGCCACCTTTATGCAGAGCTTGGTTTCGTAGTTCATGATGAATGTGGTGGTGGTGATGGTATATGTGAGTTTTATTCGCGTGGTTTCTCGCTTGCGCGACAATAATACCGCGACAATAGAAGCGAGCTACATACGAGGCAGGAGTGAAGGGCTGAACTTCTGGAACTTGGGGGTATTAATGATAATCTGGCTCATACGGTATGGAAGCTATAGTAGTAAAGGATTATTGGTAGAACAATATGGCAGTAGCAAGAATTCATCTTGGTGGTATCGATAATAGTTCCACGTCAACCTTTTTTTAGTCAAGATTCATTTGTAGTCGGATTCCTTAGTTTGAATAGTGTGTCTTGTAGCAGTAGATCGCTGCCTGTAGTATTTGTCAAAGATCTAGCCAAATTCCTCTCATATGTTATTGATTTTCTGATATCTCTTCGCAGATCAATTTCTTGTCATAGTTAATTCCCTATAATTCCTGGTCGATTACTTTGATTTGTTGTCTAGTCAATTAACTGACTTGGTCGATTATTATCATAATAGTCAACTCGTCAGCTTCCTTTGTATTAGAATTTGTGTGGTATTCAATTTTCCTGGCCAGTCAAATGTAATTTCTGTTGCATCCTTTCTGACACTTTCTGAAGACTTGACGTGATTTCTCAGCTTTACAGGCCAGAGCACCTGGAAACGAAATTTGCTGATGACGAGATTTACTTAACAAAGCTGTCATCTTAGGAGAGCTGACGGCACTTCTTCTGGTTTTAGCCAATAGGATACATCTTGAGACTAATTCTGTGGATGCTTTTTTTAGAAAATGTCTACTTAATGATAGTGTCAGTATGTTCTAGTAAGTCACATTCCTTGTCGGCAAGCGATGGTAAAATTGAAAGAATAAGCAGACTTATTATTCTAAATCTATTACTATTGTATGTATAGCATTATGGCACGTAATTCTACTGACTATATACCAATAAATTGTGGTGATACCCACAAGCTTAGCGAACTAACCTGAATAATTCACTGCACAGAAAGAACATCTGTGAAGTGTGCTAGCACTCTACCTCAAAATAGCTGACCTTGCTATGGATATTTCCAAGCTTTGTGAGTAACGACTACTCGGTTTGTAACTGGCCGCCATATCCCTAATACTTTTACTGTTCACTATCCGCACCATATCATTTGTCACTTTGTATGATAAACAGCACAGTTCCAGATTATAGGTGACAAGACGTGGGAAATTAGTTGCCCATTTTTTTTGGCCACAATTTATGACAAAAGAATACACTATTGGTGATATAATACAACGTTTCTGTGTCTGTATTCTCTTTCAAGCCGTGGTGGTCAAAGAATCAAGGGAATTATTCAAGCCTCATAGAAGCAACAAATAGACTCGCAATCACTATTCCAGGAGATGGACTATTGCTCTCGTCTCCTTAATAAGAAAGAAACATTGTCTTCCGTAGATGTTATAGTATTAGCTACACTTCGAAGTCGGCCCCAGCAGCATGATACTTGACTGGAGCTTTCTTGAGCAGACCTTTTTTGACCTTAGCAACATTCTTGGGCCCTGAATTGGCTTCCCTGTCTTTTTCAGCCAATTGCTTCATCACTTTTTCCACAACTAAGCTGATTTTATAGTGCTCATCGTTGGTGACCCCCAATGGCCTAGGCTTACCCCATGCCACTCTCATTGGATGCCTGTTGTCCAAGAGCACCAAACCTGCTGTGCTCTTATTGCTGTTGAGACCATTAGCGTTGATTGAGTCGGCAAATGCCTCTGCAGCCTCTCTGGTAGTGAACGATACGTATCCACACCTAGCCTTGTGTATGATTTTCAACAACTTTATCTTGCCGTAGGAATTGCACATGTCTGTTATTAAGTATTGCGGCACGTCATCTCCTACGCCAAATAGGAAGAAGGAAGTGGTTCCCTTGCTGGTCTCCTTGTCGAGCAGTCCTCCAAATGGCAATTTGGCCAAAATCTTAGACACATCGATGTTCTTGAGCTTGCTTTCATCTGGCCTCAAGCTCTTGGGTGCCTTTTTGAAGCTGGGGGCGTCATTGAGCCGTTCAGCCAACTTTGTCAAGATGTTCCTGGCTAGTTCTTGTTGGTCTTCCTCTTGCTTGGACCCAAAGGCCTGTTCCTGTTTGTCCGCCAAAATTGCCTTTCTTTCCCTGTTCTTGGACGCTTCAACGGCTCCGCTGCCAATGGCAGGCAAGCCTGCCATCTTCAAGGCAGTGTCTCGAATATGAAGGGGAATGTGGAAGTTAATATCAAGCATACAGCTCTGGCAACAGTTCTTGGACCGTGCACAGGTGGTGCAAATCACAGTCTTCTTTGCCTTTTGCGATGAGAGGCTCGAGTTCCACCTGTAGACCATAAAAGGGCGAGTACAAGACTTGCACTCTTCTCCGTTAGGATGCTTCATCATTTTGAGGTGTTTGTCTGGACCCAAACAGGCATCACAGATGGAGAATGAATCACTGGAAGTTAGCATCGATGACGATGTGGACTCTGCAACGGCAGATACGTACTCTGACATGTCAGTAAGTGTTTGGTACTTGTGATAAATGGGTTGATGAGATGGTGGTGGGCGTGACCTGTGTCATGTGACGAGCGTAACTCAGCCAGATGGACTCTACCAAGATATCGATCGGGGTTGAACAGCACCGTGTGCTTTGGCACTATCAAGCTGTGGCTATCTACGTCGAGTGTCTACAGAATCGATTGTTTGCAGTGTTTATTGCTATGCACAAGGTGGTTGGCCTGATTGTTAGTATGTTCATCACTAGTGAAGCTCTCCAGAAAGTCAGTGTTAAAAAGCTCTGAAATTATTTTTGTTCTACACGGGTATTCAGGTGAAGAAATTCGTTGTAGTTATAATTATTCATCAGTGTAACTGGAGAGGCATCTCATGTTACTTACGGTTTGGTGGTTGAGGAGAATGAGATGACGAAGAAATTTGTGCGAAGCCGGCTCTTTTATAGTGCTTGGGAGGTTACCCGGACACATTCTTGGGTGCAAAATAGTACCAACCCTGGCCCAGCAAAAGGTAGTGTAACAGAGTGAGAAGTGTGACGGAACTAGAAGTTTCAAAGGGATTTCGCTTGGTCTCACCTAGTCATGATTACATACCTTCGTAGGTAAGTTTATGGATACAGGATGCCAAATTGGAGACAGATAGAATCAGACGAGAGGCAGAGGTTTAAAGATGAAACCAGCAACAATTCGTCTGTATCGAAGTACATAAATTGAGTGATCGGGGTGTAATCCAAGAGATCTAGAGAAAGAGAAGATACTCCCAATTCCAAGACTTAAGTAAAAATTAGAAATAAAATAGGATAGAATAAATTACCGCAGATAGATAAGAACCAGTAAAGAGATTTATACCAGTATAGGAATACCGAATTAGCATTTAATGGTGACTCAAAAGGTATCTGCTACAAGCAATAGATACGATGATTACGCTTATTATTCCAGAGTTACACTTAAATAGGCATTTTGATTCGTGTACAGGGTTACGGACAGAATAGTAGTTCCCATCCCTAAAGGATGATGAAAGTTATATTCGAAATACAGTCATTTAAATGCATCAAGACAGGGCTATTGATGGTTTTGATAATGGATAACATCGTAATTTCAAGTAGGGAGAGCGATTAGCTAGCACTAGCTACGAGACACGATTCTGATAGAAAGAATAAGTATTCGAAGTTGCAAGAGTGATGACGGGAGAGTCGCATGTCTCAAGCCGGCTGCTATATTGATAACTTCAGTGACACGCTATTCGTAGCGAGTGGAGAGTGTGTCCAATTTGCTAACGCAGTATTATTTGCTGTGTGGAACGCTACAGCTACACTAATAAGACATTATGACCATATTGGAAGTGGAGGGGTGCTGTCTAATGCTAGGATGTACATAGACAGCAATGGTTGGCACGCATACTTGAACAATCATCTACAAGAGCAAGCAGGCAAAAATAAGCAAATATGAACTACGAAACAAAAGTCGGTAGTGAAAACGCTTTTGATGTGAATTCGTTAAGGCAATGATATTGATAATGAGCAGTAATTGCCGTGAGCGGCTGCTTCTAGATTACCGGTGGAGGGAGGAAATCCACAGCAGGACTATGTTGGTAAATGGTGTAAAATTAATCAAAGCAGAGCTACTGCCCAAATGATCTATAAAAGATGTTGCTTAGCATTCGTTATGGAAGACCGTAGTATATGTGTGTATGGCAGTGACGTACCGGTTGGTTAAAGTTTCCTGTGTCTACTAACATACTAGATGAAAAGTTCAAGTTTGTTGTTACCTCGAAGGCCTACAATGGAACGAAATTAGTATATAGTGAGTGTTGGCCCAACTACTCGTTGTCTATAAATTGGGATACACCCAAGTCTATCTTAGCTTCTGTAAGAACTAGTTTTAATAAAGTCAAGCCATCCTTGACAGTTTCATTCCCACTCAAAGACACGGTTGTTTCTGCGTTTATAACAGTCACCACCACCATGACATATAACCTTGGATCTCTGCTCCATCCAAGAACGCCATCAAGCCCTCTCTTCTTTACAAGCTCACTTACTCGGAGTAAATCTTGAGCTTGCTTGAGGCACAACGAGGCACTTTCTGTACTTGGAATAATTCCCACCTCTTGGAAGGCGCTCTTGAAGTTAACAGCGACCTCGACTTTGTTGATGTATAGATTGGAATTCTCAACATCAAAGAGTGTCTCCCCAATTGTGCTGCTATCCAACTTCTCCACTTCGTTTACGTCCAAGGTGTGACGTTGAAATTCCTCCACCAAGGCCCTCTTGAACTGCCCTCCTTTGCTTAAAAGCAATGGCAAGCATTGGTTAGCCAATGAACTGGGGTTTGTCTTCACCGACATCCCAAGATACGAAGACAAATACCCAGCAGCAATTCCCCTGATGCTTTCATCGTCGTCATACAATCCCCTAAAAACAAGCAAAGTCTCCATCCTTGACTTTTGGAGATTTTCACTCAGCTTGAATGTACTGTGGCCCTTGACAAGAGATTCAATCGCAGTCAATCGGTATTTAAACGATTTTGAGTCGTCACAAAGCTGGCGACACTCATCAATAAATCTATCTTGGTCCGCTATCAGAAGCTGCAGAGCTAAAGACGCCAAACATTTGAGCGAGTTCAATTGAATGTCTTCGGTAAAAGAGGGGTCAAGGAAAGCAATAAACCTTTTTGATTGCGTCAAGTTAATGGCATTGCCTTCTTCCAAAATCTTCGAATATAATCCCAAGCCCTGGGCTCTAACATAGTCAAAGTTTTTCCCGTTACCAATCAACTCAATGAGATCTTCAGCCACTAAATGCACCACCTCCGATTTAAGCATCTCAAAATTCAGTTTAATGTACTCTATCGTTGACTCTTGAACTCTAAATGCATCTGTGCAAGCAAGTCCTAATCTTATGAGGTCAACAGTCCTCTCCTTATCATCATTCAGGTAGTATTTCTGATAGTTAGTAAGCAAGAAACCGATCAATTCAGCCATCACCAATTGCTTACCCCCATCAAGCCTATCATCATCACCCACAATCAAATTAACCAAGTAATTTCCAAGAAGATCTAAGCTTTCAGATGGTATTTGTTCGTTAAATTGAACAATAATATCAAGGAAAGCCTTCACGATATAAGGTGATTGATAGTTTGCTAACACATATTCCAATTTGTTCAACGTTGCTTGCTTTAACTTCCTCTTGTCATCCAACGATAATCGGGAATAACTTTCGCTAATAACCCTAAGGTAACCTTGTGCTTCGTTTAGATTAGGAAGGTCCTCAATTTTAGAGATGAAATCCATAGATCCTTCATTTTGATGTCCAAAGAATCTCATGGAGAGTTCAAATAACTCACCATCACTAAAGAAAGTAGAAATACAGTTGGCAAGCATTTCTCTAATCTTCCAATATTTGTTTGCCAACAACCTCACTAGTAAAGGCTTATACTTTGCCAAAATAGAAACATCTGCCACTGATGAAGTATCCAATTTCAGGAGAATGATAATTACAGGGAATATGTCCTGAGCAGAATCTTCTTCGAGGACATTGCACAACTCTTTGTGCAATATTTGATCTAACTGGGGAAACCTTTCAAAGAATAACTTATAGGGATATCTTGATTCATTTCTGGTGCCAAATATTCTTCTTTGTATTGTACCAAATAACATCACTGCACAATTTCTAATTGACCAGTTCTCCGAATGAAAGTTGCTCAAAGCAAGCACTAACGAAGTTTCGACATAGTCTAATGACTCTCTAGACAATGTGGTTTCGTTGAAAATTTGTTTAATGCAGTTGAAGGCATGAACCTGAGGTATGTCATTCTTTGAATCATGGAAGAATGGCCTTTCAGCCACAGAAAGCAAGTAATCAAATGAATACTGAAGAAGGATGTGCCTCTCAACAGGAGCATCATTTTCATTGACCTCAGATCCAAGATTCTTAGGTTCAGAAAATTGGCCCTTTTTCAGACAACTTGCTGCTACAAGAATTCCGGTAATCAAGAAAGGAATCCCACCAGATCTTCTAGAAATGAATTGTTCCTTGCTTTCGATTAGCTTTAAGTTTTCTTTCAACCACTTGAATGGATAGTGTTTAAGATCAGCAGACTTAAAACACATTTCGCAAGTGGAGATAAATGATGGATAGATCGATGAAAATGCACCTTTATGTTTGACTGAGCTCAATTGAGTCATAATTAGTTCGCTGCATCTCAAAAACATGTCCTCATCCACCACATTCATGCTTAAGATGTGCGACAACAAGATATTGGAGTCTTTGATTACTTTCCAAGCGTAATTCAACAAGATTTTATCGTCGTCAATTACGTCTTCTTCATCCTCGAGAGAAGAATTTGACAAAATAGGCTCGACTAGTGTCCAAATGTCAAATATGAGGTCGATTATAGTTGCTGAAATCATTTTGATGTAATCCAAGTGAGAACTGGTTAATCTGTTGAGCATCAAGTTCATTGATTTGAAGTAACCATGGATGTAAATTTCTGAACGTTCTAAATTCGAGCCTTCTTTCAACAAGTTGATTCCGTAAGACATTCTCACTATCATGGAATCGATTATACGAGTTATCTTATCAAAAGCATTCATGTTCAAGTGGTATATTGTCAAAAACTCAAAGAACTTCGCTGCACCATCACTTTTTCTTCCCGTAAGACTAGTCAATATGGTATATGACTGGTTGACTAATTGAGCCTGAAGTTGACTTGACTCAAAAAAATTGTCAATGACTGCTGGATCACAAGAAGTTAATAGGTCAAAACTCATTTCCCTTATATTTTCATAGTTGTTGAAGAGATTTTGGATTAGAAAGTGGATCAACTTGTCTCTGTATATGTTGCAATTCTTCATGTCGCTTAGCTTTGAGGAGATAGATGCCAATAGCTGGATTGCGGTAATTAATTGGGAATAATTGGATGCTGGATTGAGATATGCTGTTAGGTTTTCGATCAACCAGTCTATGAATAAATTACCTGATTCAAGAAAATGGGCAATTTCCTGTTGCCTGTCTGGGTCTATGTCTTTTTTAATGAGTTTACCAAACTCTTTATTAAGAGAGTACATGGATTCTTTGAACCTGAAACCCAAGAAATGGGTGATAAGTGACACGAATTTGTTTCTGGACTCAATATCCTCATAGTCATTCATGAAAGTGTCAATGCACCGGGATTCCCTGATTATCTGGTAAGTTTCATCGGGGATAGGCAAAGACTTTGAGTTTTTGGCGGAACCTCCAAGTACGAGCGATAATGCATTGAGTCTGATTTTTGGGTCGTAATGGTTCAAAAAGGATGAAATATTGCTAGGAAGCTCAAAACTGATAGACTTCTCTTGCGCTAGCTTGTAAAGGTTCATTATGATGTCCATGGATGACAAGTCTTTATTAATATTGGGACCGGAATATTCGGAAATGAGCATACTCAACGTCGATGGCTGAGGTTGGACCAAGTATGGCAACAAATAAGTAACCAAATTGTAACGAGTTTTTTCATCGGAAAGTCCCTCGAGAACCAAATCCCGCCAGAGGGCATACCAGGTGTTAGTGCCATCTTGAGCATTGTACAATCCCGTGAAGAGGGTGACAAATGTCTTGCTGGCAGAATTGGCCACTTGATCGTCGCCTGCGGCTTCGATGCACATTCTGGGAATTTCTGGATGCTTCTGGAGAACCTTCTGCTTATCAGGCAAGCTTCGAATCACAAGTTCAAGCACGTTGAAGAGATTCTTGGTCAACTTCTGGGACAAAATTTTGGGAATCGCCAGCTGCAAACTGTCGTGGAGCTGCTCCTTGCTGGATATAGTATAGAACGAAATTGCCTTGGTCACGAGAGCTGTCAACGAGTTGATAAGAGGTGCTGATTTGTGGTTCACGTACCGGATGACATAGTCCAATATGGCCGTAATTTGGTCTTGCAGGACCTCAAAAGCAGACAGGGAGTTGCGTGAGTGCTGAGCCATTCGAAGCAAACACACAGCCAAGGAGTCGTTCAAAAGAATGAACCATTGGTCGTCGGAAGACCCCGAGGTGTAGGTGTGATGGAGAAGGTGTAAAAGAGCGGCATAATCTGCATCCAAGGACGACTTCTGCAAGTCAGTGGGTTTGGAGGCAACAAGCCGGGTCTTGAGCAGGGCGAGATCCGCTACAGCACCACTTCGTATGGCAGACATGATGGGGAATCGACAGTTACGTCAGATTTGAAGATCTGGGAGTACGTAAGCCGCTAGCCTGTGCTTACGTAAGCAGAGCTGAGATGGCGCCGCTGGCACGATGGCAGTACGCGCGCGCTAGCCCCCGCGAGCCTCCCGCTGGCGCCCCGGTCCAGTCGCGCTGCGCCTGCCACTGAGCCCCACCACCGCCACAACCTCCCCCTAGCTCCGGCGAGGCGCACGGTAATGTTTCTTTTTCTGGCACCAGAAGTAAATAAGTCTACATTCCGTCAACTGTCCACCACTTATTTCATCGCCAGTTCACTTTCGTTCCGTCGACTGTCCACTCTCACTCCGTCCACGCTTCCCATCATGGCTGCCACCCGTTCCCCCACCGCCTCCACTGGCTCCATCCACAGAATGTACCAGATCTACTACCACCACTTCCCCCACTACATGTTGACCAAGAACGAGAGCTTCACCCTCCACTTGTTCCTTTTATCGTTCTTGTTTTTCATCGGCTACGGCATCTACAGCTACTTGCCTGCCACCATCATGTTCTCGTTGTCCCGTGGCTACTACTACTTGTGGGGCCAAGAGGTGAATGCTTAGAGTGCTGACTGAATCATGATCCATACTTCCCATTTCTCGGGAAAAGCCATCCTCTGGTGATACCACCATACTACTCTCGTCACCTCCCATACCCACACATTACGCTGTGAACATCCCTTCATGGCTCCACTAGCCAGCAGCGCAGTCTGCTACGCGCTGAGCGCTTGATTATGCCCAAAACACCACTAATAACACTCCATCTCCCACCACAGCCATATGACCCGTCTCCCTCTACCTGTATACAATAGACACTTTGTTTGACTGGTGTAGCCTCCATGAGTTCCTAATCTATTGGTAAAAAGTGCCGATGGACTAATAATATAGCAGCAGCAATTAGCGATAGTCTCAGAAATAGGATAGATTTTGCCAGTTAGTAAACCTAGTCTTCTGGAGGGAATATTGTTCTTGATTCTTCAATTACTACCCAAGAATCCATCGTATGATTATTTAATTCTTCCTCGTACAAACTAATATATTTATCATAAACTATCCATTCAAATAAATTGGACTGATTGAAAAGTAATAGAAAATAGGGTGGAGAATTAATACTTTATATATATAAATATAATAGGCAGCTTGACACTAGTATTAGATACTAGATAACTTTAAGGTGAGTACCATGAATTATAGAACTTTCAGCCAGTTTGACTTAAAGATAACTAATTCTAGATATTATAGCCATACACTCTCCAAAATATACCACAAAACATAGAGATATTATAGCCATCAAGGGACAACTTTGGAGAAATACTATCTAGTGTATAGATCAAGGTAGTTTGACAACATCAAAAAACTCAATACTTATTGTAACCACATAAGTTATTGTAGAAGCAGCACACCACCCGATGAGTCACAAAGAGCAAGAAAGCCGTATAAGGCAAAAGCAATCCAAACGGTGCTGCTCTTCTCCGTATGTAGCTCTGGCCTCTACCCCAGATCGCCATTTCTCGTTTGGTAACAAACGCGTCCTCTCACTAATGACGGCCCGTGCTGCGTTCAAACCGCCCCGTTTCGTCAGAAAAGATGGCCTGGTGCCGCTGCCATCGCCTGTCCCGCCACTGAAGTCTCCAAATGCTCCAAAACCTGCAATTTCTCCGTCAATTACAACCGATTCCCTGGAGGAGGCACCACGCGCTGCGATTCCAGTCAAGAGAAAGGCTGCTGTTCGTTTGACCACCAAAAGACCGGCTCTTCACCGTCCAGCTCCGTCTCCAGCTGTGACTTCTGTCACTAGCACCACTGGTCAGCCAAGAGACCGTTATGTGGTGCAATGGCGCAAAAGGTCCACCAAGAAGAACAAGACCTGGGAAGGCGATGGCCATCTCACAGTAACCCACGCTGATGGCTCTGCCTTGCTCGTATTCAAGGACTCGTCGGGCAAACAGTTGGGCAAGAAGTCGGTGGCCTATAAGCCCGAGCTTCTCGACGAAATCATCGCCATTGGCCAGTTTGAGTTGGAGGTGGACTGCAAAATAGACTCGATAGAGGATGTTGCCCACGAATCCACCCCAGCACCCGTCCCTATGATGGAACCTACCCCGTTCAAGAAGGTGGCCCCTCCAATAGTGCCCGGGGCTGAGGAGCCTGTGATCTCGAACAACGTACCTGAACCTGAGGAAACCCCATCAATTCTCATGCCTAATCCCCCCAATGTACTGGACTTTAAGCCTGTGGAGCTCGATCACAGCCTCGCATCCAAGTTGAGGCCCCACCAAGTCGAAGGTGTGCGCTTCATGTACGAATGTCTTCTTGGGTTCCGAGATTTTGCCGGAACTGGATGTCTTTTGGCGGATGAAATGGGATTGGGAAAAACCTTGATGACTATCACTATAATCTATACCCTCTACAAACAAAGCCCGTTCCGAAACATCAGGTCCCTGGCGAGCAAGATCCTTATTTGTTGCCCGGTAACCCTTATTAATAACTGGAAACAAGAGTTCAAAAAATGGTTGGGTTTGAACAAAATCCAAATCTTGACTTTGGGAGGAAACTCAGGTAACGCTTCTATCTCAGATAAGCAGAACCTCGTGAGCTTTGGTAAACTAAATGTATACCAGGTGTTGATTATCAATTATGAAAAGGTATCCACATATTTTGAGGAATTATCAGCAATAAACTTTGATCTACTTGTGTGTGATGAGGGCCACCGTCTCAAGAGCAAAACCAATAAAGTGCTCAATCATTTGACCAATCTCAAAATCCCCAAGAAAATTCTTTTGACTGGTACGCCAATACAGAATGACTTGGTAGAATTTTTCACTATCATTAATTTCTTAAATCCTGGTGTGCTAGGAGATTTCAAATCGTTCCAACGTGATTTCATAAATCCTATTTTGAGATCAAGAGATGTAAATTGCTATGATCCTGACGTGAAAAAAACTGGAGAAATAATTTCTAACAGGTTGATTACCATTACCAAGCAATTCATCTTGAGAAGAACTCAGTCTATATTGTCAAGCTATTTGACTTCCAGAACTGATGTCGTTCTCTTTGTGCCACCTACAGAAGTACAAACCAGGCTATTCGACTACATCACACGACTCAAAAAGTTTAACCAATTATTGAATGATAGCTCAAACCAAGCATTCACCTTGATTAATCTCTTCAAGAAAATTTGCAATTCATCAGCCTTATTAAAAGATGATCAATTTTTTACCTCATTAACAAAAGACGATACCGAGTTCCAAGCGGCATTCCCTTCATCCACTCTCAGTACTTCCTCAGGAAAAATTAACATTCTTATACCATTATTACTTGAGACTGTTGCCCTCGATGAGAAAGTGGTCTTGATTTCAAATTATACCCAAACGTTGGACCTTTTGGAATTGATTCTCAATAAACTAAACCTCAAATTTTTGCGATTAGATGGATCGACTCCAAAGAACTTACGCTCAAAACTTGTAAGTGAGTTCAATAAGGCATCTGCAAAAGCTATACCCATTTTCCTTTTATCCTCAAAATCTGGTGGGATGGGGATTAATCTAGTTGGTGCATCGAGATTAATTTTATTCGATAATGATTGGAATCCTTCTGTTGATTTACAATCGATGGCTAGAATTCATCGAGATGGTCAATCAAAGCCATGTTTCATCTATAGAATATTGACTACTGGCTGCATTGACGAAAAGATCTTTCAAAGACAACTCATGAAGAATAATTTAAGCTCAAAGTTCCTCGACGATGACTCTGATTCGAAGTCAGACGTCTTTGATTCTGTTGACCTAAAGAATTTATTTGAAATTGACAAAACCACCAACTCCAACACTCATGATCTTTTGGAATGCGATTGTGAAGGAAAAGGAGACAATGCAAGCTTCGAGGAGCCGGATACTGATGAGGACGAAGGTAGCTCTTTGAGACTGAATTCGTGGGTTTCTGCTTTAGATCTCAAAAAACAAGTCGAGGAAAGTAAGCAGGCATCTGCTATATCAATTAAACATGCTTTACATGATTATATACACTATGATCCCCGTGTTAATACCAATGTCCAGAGAATCAATGATCCAGTTCTCTGTAACATACTTCAAAACAAAAACTTCATGGACAGAAGAATGTTGAGCTATATTATGATGAAGGCCTCCGGTAACGATTAGACAAAACTAGCATGAGATCTCTTAAAATTTTCTACATATAGACAAATTAATCTGCATATACACTAGATAATTAGATCTATCATTAATTAAAATCTATAAATATATTAATGTATTCTACTGTGTATATTCACTTCCCTTGCATGCCTTTAAAGCGTGCTTCGGCGGCACGGGCTCGTTGTTCCCTCATCAATCTCATCTTTTGCTGGTCAGACAATCCACTCAACTCGTTGATACTGGCAATTGATGGGCCGCCATTCAAGGATCCGCTAGAAGAAATCTTGGGCTTCCTGAGCTCCATCTCTGTCTTCTTGTTCAATTCTTCTTGAATCAGTTTTTGCTTTTCTTGCTTTATTCTTTCCTTTTCTTCTTCCTCTTCTTTGATAAATTGATCTTTGGATTTTGCTGGGCCGATCTTGGTCTTGCTCCAATCACAGTGGCTCTCGCCCAACTTGTATCTTGCAATTTGAAAAGAGTGTTTAGTATCTCGATCACTAGTGACTTCATAAGGCGTTCTTCCAAACTGATTTTGAATTGCTGGATCAGCCTTCAAGTTATTCATCAAGACCAAAACCATATGATCCAAGTTATGGGCTGAAGAGTAGTGTAATAAGGTTGGATAGTTAACGTATTTCGATGCAGGAGTGAGCCTGAACTGATCCACGTCTATCTTGCTCTGTTTGATGTATGTCATTAATTTTGGTGCTTTTTGTTTCTTGAGCAAGGATGTCAATTCCTGTGAGTGCTGTTCGTTTGCGACTTCCTGTGGATCTCTCTCCACTGGCTTCTGAGCTTCCTCTTTGACCTCAACCTTCTCCAACTTCTTCTTGGCCTTTTCGTTCACCTTTGGTAAATCCATTACTTTCAAGTACGACAATTCCACCCACGCTCTCTTCAACTCAGAGGTGGTAGCTCTTTTAGTTGAAAAAGGGAAGGTTTTGATTCTCTTATCGTCGTTAGTGAGCACACAACCTTCATAGCCTACCAAGATCTTTCTATTGCTAGCACCATTGGCCCTGATAAAAATGGATGCACATTCCTTCAAATGTCCGTTCCATTCCTGTAATAACTCACGCACTTCTTTGATCAACGCCTGTTCGTTGTAACGTCTGATACTAGAACCAGCCGAATTGGCTTTTCCTCGGGCATTGTCGCTGGCACTTTGTGACCCACCCTGCTTTCTTCTGGTGGTGTATCTGTGGAAGGTTTTGGACACTATCACATTGACAGCTTGTTCCTGTCTGTTTTCCTTCATGTTGGTGGCGTTACCTCTGGTATTCTTGGGGATGTGGGATACGATGGCACCAGCAAAGTGGCCACCACCGATCATGAACAATGCTGACTTGGAAGCTCTTGATTCGGTGGAAAAGGACTTGAGCGTCTCCAACGGAGAGCCCAAGAGCTGCTCCTCTGAATACAAGCCTTTATAGGAGCCAAAGGCCTTGTTTTCTGGGAGTAACGACGACTTGTAGAAGATGAACGGAGAACGAGCATTGAGATGGCTCACCGTCTTCAAGTCATCCTCTGCATCCGAGGCCTTTTCCAACTCGAGCTTCTTTATGAGTGACTCCAACTTGCGGTTCTGGACATCGACATCTTCTTCGTCCTCTTCTTCGGTGTCTGATCCTGACAAACTCTCGATGGACTGGCTCTCCAACAACTGCTCGAACGCTTCTTCCGACAATGAGGGCAACCCATTGAGCGAGCGCTTCAAGTTGAAACGATACCAGTCGGACTTGTAGTACGACGAGTCCTCGCTCTTGGAGGCGTCTACCTTGGTTTCACCATTATTGTTGGTGGCCAAGTTTGCCGCTGACAACTCGGTGGCAACAGGCACTTCTTCCTGAGTGAGCGAGTCGAAGTACAACAACTCGAGTGTGCTCTTGACCTTGTCGTGGAGGGTGTATATGTACAAGTCTTCTTTGTCGTACGACATGGTGGATGTGGAGGAGCAGGAGTGGTGATGAGTGACAGTTATATAGGCTTATATGGAGGATCTGGTGTTGAAATCTGCACCGACTGCGAATGCACCATAAGCACTATGAGTCATGATGGAAGACGTAGGCGGACCTCGAAAGCTGGCCACGGGTGCATATCGTGTCATGGGCACGGCAATGGGCTTGTTGGTTGCATGATGGATTCAGACAAGGACTACTGGAGGTGTTTGATCGTGTATTAGCAATGGAACTAGCAGAAGCAATTACTGCGAAATTGATGAAAGTGGCGATGATTGTGGAGAAAATGGGGTTGACGGCAGTAATAGAACTATCCAAGATGACCTCAGGACTCGTTCCTAGTGGTCGATGCTAGTTCCAGGTATGAGTCAGGACTTAGCTCGCTTCATTGCACATTGCGGCTTTTCGCAACCGAATAGTCACAGCACAGGGTTCCAAAAATAGTGGTAAGTGCCCAATTTGAGTCATTGGAGTGTGTTTAGACTGGCTTTAGACTCCCCTTCCTGAAATGCTGCTGGCCAATTTGAATTAATACTGCTGAGTGTCAGTGTCTCATTTGTGTAATTATGTGAAAAAGGTATAGAAATGGCATAATGTCGGTGAAAATAAATGAGTGAATTAGAATGAACAGTAGGTAGTCAATCGTGATAAATCCGAGAATAAATAATTAAAAGTTGACAAAGTTCCAGATTTTTTGGAATACCCTTAGTCCTAGGAGTATTTATTGTTTGCAAAGCTCATAGAGAGTGTATTTCTTGCTAATTATGTTAAAGACTACTTACAAGAATGCTGAGGTAGCTCATTGGTGACAATACTTGTTTCCAGCTATACACAGAATTGAAGCAACCACCTTAGAATTCGCTCACCAGTTGTTGGTTAATTAATTGTTAGCTCGTACTTTTAAATATTTATCCGAGCTTAGTTCATTTTGCTCCAGAGAGGAAGGATCAAGAATTTACTTTGCCAACTCTCCGCTAACGAAGAGCTAATATTTCAAGTCTCTCCTGTACGATTCATCATATCGGATTTTTGAAGAGTAGCAAATTAGGGCCACCAAGAAATTTTCCCATTACAATTGCTCAATAGCAACACCTAGTAATATATTCTCTTCAATTGTCCAGTGATACCGGCAGGCCCCTACAAGAGCTACTAATAATAATCAGTTATATCGTCAATACAGGTCTGGCTATGTAGCATATGCAACACTATTTTGGCGCCTACATTATTCATATATACACGAGCATTACTGCTTACCGAATCTATGACACTCCTTCAAGAAATGTTCGATCTTCTCGGGCTTCATGAATGGGTGGGTTCCGTGACCAAAGTTGATGATGTAGTTTTGCTTGCCACCACCAAAGCCCTTGATCATGGCCTCAACCTTTTGGGAAATCACTTCGTCGGATCCATAGATAGTACCTGGGTCGAGGTTACCTTGCAAGGTGATTCTTCTACCATTGACAACCTTGACAGCGTCTTCTGGCTTGTACAACCAGTCCAAGGACACAGTGTCATACCCAGCTTCACACAAGTCGTCCAAAGCGTACCAAGCACCCTTGGCGAAAACAGTCAAGGGAATCTGTTCTTGGACACCCAACTCCTTCAATCTAGGAGGCAACTTAGCAGCAATTTGCTTCAAGTATGGTAAACAGAACTCGTTGAACTCGTTAGGACCCAATTCCCCGGCCCATGATTCGAAAACTTGCAACATCTGGGCCCCAGCAACCACTTGTTGGGCCAAGAACTCGACACAGGCGTCGGTGGTGGCTTGCAACAACGTGTGGGTTTCCTCGGTGTGGTCGTAGATCCACTCCTTGGCGAATCTGAACATCTTAGACCCTTGTCCCTCGGTCATGTACACTAACAAAGTCCATGGAGCACCCACGAATCCCAACAAAGGCACCCTACCGTTCAACTTGGTTCTGGTCAAGGTGATGGACTTGAACGCCCAGTCCAAGCTCTTCAAGATGTCTGGCTTCAAGTTGACCCTGGCCAAGTCCTTAGGCGATCTCAATGGGTCCACGAACACAGGACCCTTGCCTTCCACCATCTCGATCTCAAACCCCATGGCTTGCGGAATCACCAAGATATCACTGAAGATGATAGCAGCGTCGATCAAACCGTCGTAGTGGTCCACTGGCTGGATGGTGATGGTCGAGGCAATTTCAGCGTCTCTACAGGTCTCAAAGAAGTCACGCTTTCCCTTGACTTCGTGGTATTCAGGCAAGTAACGGCCTGCTTGTCTCTGGCGGTTAGTATTGAGGGCGATGGAGCAGCGAGCTGAAAGGACGTACCATAATCCAGATGGGGGGTCTCTCGACCTTCTCGCCCCTGGCGGCTCTGAGGATCAAATCGTTCTTTAAGGGAGCAAATTCAGGCATGGGTGGGTGGTTGGTGGTGGAGATCGTGGGTTGGAGTGAAAACTGGGCACTGTTGGGGTGACAACCACGTGATGCTTCACGTGACCGATGGTGGCAATGGGCCAGGTAGTTTTCATTGGAAATTTCAAAATTGGCTAGCTGCGCCAGCAATCGTTGGAATGGATTAGAGATTCAGTGCATCTGTGAATGCTGATTTACTCAGCTTGCGTATAATGTTTTCAGAATATCTCTAAAAGTCTTTGGGGCACTTGGCAAAATGCTACTACAATAGGGTGGACACGACTTAACTTCAGGAACCCACAAATATTGGGGTAAAACGTGGAAAATCAGACTGGAAATTTCACTGTAGGACCGAATTCTTTGGTGAGTTTCGGTGCTTCAAGCCTACTGAACAGTAAACTAAATGGTCTTTAATAACAAACCCGATAATTCTTGTCTTGGACCTACTTCGCACAAGGCTCTGCTAAAAGCACACATGCCAAAATGGGCCACCCATGGCAAGCTAAAAAAGTGGTTGTTTGACATTCTACAAAAAGTGCAATATTGTGGTACTGACAATTGGTAAACAACTAGCCGCAGACCCAAGGGACACTGGATTGGAACTACGTTAAAATTAGCCAAAAATACTATTTAGCGGTTGCTCAGTATATTAAATATTGATGCTAAAACAGCCACTGCCCACCGGCCCCATTCTCAGAGCTAGAGGCGCTCGTATACAAAGTACAGGCGAGTACTGTACTTCCATGGTTTATTTCTTTCAGGTGCACATCTCATCGCAGCGATATTCTCTACCGATAAACTGTCTATTCTAGCAAATCTAATGTCTCTTGGTCTACGAGACATAGGTTTTCGACTTAATAAGTCTAACGGGATAATAAGCAGTAAATACAGGCAAGCAGTTCTAACCCATTCGTTAGGAATCTACCATGCCAGCATGCGTTCCCTGTGATCGCGCACATGCAAGCACGTGATTGAGCACGTGCCATAGATTGCTGGCTGGTCCCTATCAATATCGCCAGCCGCTTCGTCTCCACAACATCCACCACCATGGCCGAAGCTTCTCGTGACGAAAGCAGCTCGTTGCGCAGCTCGCAGAGTCGCACCAACCCCTTCGTAAAGTTGGTTAGAAGCACCTTTGGCTACCGCAAAACGTCCCTCACCTTCTTTATCCTTCTCACCTTCTTGTTCACATTCCTCACCTCCCACTACGATAATGACTTGGAGTCTTCAGTGCCGCTTCCTACCAATGGGCTAGAGCAAGAGTCCTTGGAGTACGCCTGGAAGGCTCTTCAAGTCATTGGACGCTACCAACACCCCTATGGTTCGCCTAGCAACGACTTTGTCCATGACAGCCTTGAGTCGTCTATCAAGGAGGCCATTGCTAGCAAGAAGTACGCTGAATACGACAATGACTTGAACTACACCAACAACATCTTGTATCGGTTTCCAGCAGGGTCCAATGTGGTGCACTACTACGAAAGCAACAACTTGGTAGTGAGAATCAACGGAACCGACCCCTCGTTGCCTGCATTGTTGTTGAGCTCCCACTACGACTCTGTGCCCACCAGCTTCGGAATCACCGACGACGGAGTCGGTGTGGCGTCCATGTTGGGCTTGCTCCACTACTACACCCATCACAGCACCAAGCAACCGCTTCGGACTATTGTGTTGAACTTCAACAACGACGAGGAATTCGGCCTCTACGGTGCCTCCAGCTTCTTGAACCACCCCTTTTTCAAAGACATTGCCTATTTCTTGAATCTCGAGGGCACTGGTGCTGGCGGAAAGGCGTTCTTGTTCAGAGGCACTGACTATGGTATCGTCAACCACTTCAAGAAGGTCAGATATCCATACGGGAACTCGATTTTCCAGCAGGGCTTTGACAATGGCTTGATCCACAGCGAAACAGACTTCAAAATCTACAAGGAAAACGGGGGCATTAGAGGCCTTGATGTGGCCTTCTATAAGCCCAGAGACATCTACCACACCACCCGGGACGATATCAGACACACAGGTATCAAGTCTTTGTGGCATATGTTGTCGATTGCATTGGACTTCACGGAAGGCTTACAGACTGAAATCGATCTCGACGTTGAAGCTCCGGAAGAATCCAACGACTTTGCCCTTTATTTCTCTTTCTTCAACCATTTCGTTGCCTTCTCCACCTCAAAGATTGTGCTTGTCAATACCATTCTCTTGGTACTTGTTCCGTTAATTAGCATCCCATTTTTGGTTGTTATTTTCCAGTACAAACACAACTGGAATCTCAGCTTCGTCAATGTACTCAAGTTCCCACTTTCGTTTGTTTTGTCAATCTTAGCATTGGATATCTTCGTTGACGTTGCCGTGGTCTCCCAAAATCCGTTCATAGCAAATTCATCTGTCGTATTGTTGGTTTTTACCTCGTTGGCTGTGTTCTTATTGGTGAATTATGTGATCCTCAACGGAATTAACTGGGTATTTAAGAGCTACAATGTCATCAACCACGACGAAAAGTTAATTGTTAACATCGAAATTTCAATCCTTACTTGGTTGGCATTGATATACTCAACTTACAAACTTTCCACTAATCGTATTGGTGACGATCACACTGGTGAACTCCCAGTCACTATTTTATTCGTTTTGCAATCAATTGGTTCTTTACTCGGTTTGATCGGTTGGAGCTTCAAGCAAGGCAAGCATGATGTGAGCAAGGATGACGAGAGTTCTCAACCTTTATTGGATGGTCAAAGAACCTACGGCACACAAGAAGGCGAGTCTAATGACGAATTGGACACTTCTATTGGCAACGATGATACTTCATCTTTGTCTTTTGAGCATCCTTTGCCTGAGTCCAAATTCCGCAGCTATGACTGGTCGATTCAATTTCTTTTTATTGTCCCATTGTCCTCCTTGATCATCTATAACTCTGGTTATTTAATCTTGGATGGCCTCAACAAATCTATTCAGGAGTCTTTGAAGGCTGAAAAACTCATCTACCTGTTCCTCCAATTATTTGTCATCATATGGAGTATTCCATTTTTGCCATTCATATTTAAATTTAACAGAATTATCATAGCCCTTTTGTTGGTCTTCAGTGTCACAGGTGCATTGTTGGTTCAAAACTCCGATGCTTTTGATATCAATAACCCATTGAAGTTAAGATTCATTCAAACTGTTGATTTGAATAGTTCCACTCAGTCTCATGTCAAGGTTCTTGGAAGGATTGACAGTCCTATGAGGGCTGTCTTGAATGATATTCCATCGGTTAAAAATTCTGGACAAACCGTTTCATGCTCTGACGTCGGTGATGGGTTGGAGGAGTGCTCATACAAGAGTGATTTAGCTCCAGCTTTTGGCGAAAAACATAACTTTACTACGGACCTCATCGATATCCACGTTGTTAAAAATTCCACTGCTAATAATGACTACCCATTTGGATTATTGTCTGCTGAAATTAAGATCCATGTGCCAAAGAACAGAATGTGCAACTTGAGATTCAACTTCAGTGAATCAAATAGTATTTTCGCCAGTCTGATCAATACTGATGCTCCAGTTAAAACTTTTATCTGGTACAACGATAAGAAGCAAGGCAACGGAACCGAGAAGCATGCTGACACTCTTGCTATTCCTGAAGGGTTCTCCGTGGACAAAGACGGAAACTACGTTTACAGGCTCCATGATGGTATCAATGCCCTTAATTTGAACAAGCTTGACTGGGATAAGGACTACCACCTTGGTTTCCAATGGTTGCCTGACTTGGTGGCCACTGGTTCCAATGAGTTCGATTCTGAGCTTATCCTTAAGTTGGGAATACAAACTGAATGTTTCTGGGCAGACCTTAACCCTCTCGTTATCGATGGTAAGGCCGCCAGCCATGTTCCAGCACTCGAAGAGTTGGTGCACTACAGTCCAGTTTATGTAAGCTGGGCCAATAGAGATAGAGGTTTGGTTTCTGCCTCCAAGTATATTGAGATATAATTTAATGATTAATACCTGTTTTCTGAACACTTTGTACGCAAATTAATTTACACAATAGCAACAATATAAAGTAATAAATCTGGCTAAAAATTTATCAAAAAATATGCGATTTCTGTGGATCGAACACAGGACCTTCAGATTAACTGTGACTGAATCTCTTCAGTCTGACGCTCTCCCAACTGAGCTAAAACCGCAAATCGAACCCACGCCGGGAGTCGAACCCGGAATCTTTTGATTAGAAGTCAAACGCGTTAACCATTACGCTACGCAGGCTACTTGTTGGAAGAAAACAGAGCCCGTTTATTACGCTGTCTAAAATAAAGCTAAATTTCTCTTTTTAGCCTATCCGTGGAAGCCAATGTGTATAAATGGATAATTGTAATGTATTTAAGCTAGTTCTTAATTACTTTGGGGAGAAAAACAGTTTTTATTTTATTTTTTAAAACTTGTCACAAAAATGGTGAATAGTAAAATCTCACAGGTTACTATAAGCACGTTTAAATCATCATTTTAAGCCATTTTGTTTGCCTCAGTTAAGCTTTTCCAGATTTCCGAGGAAGCGGTTACCGTGTTTCAACGCAAACTGTTTGTGCAGTTTGATAGGATATCTAATGGTATTTGGTTATTTTGGATTGATATCAATTCTTCCCAAGGAGATGGAGAGAGCGTGAATAATTCAAAAGCCTGCTATCAGACCTATCTCGAGACTATCATACTCTACTTCCCTACGACTTGATTATGCACTTGATAGGACGAAGTATAAAAGGAGCCAGCGTCTACTAAAGAAGAAGCTGGGTTTATTTGTCAAACACGAGTATGTAATGTGGCTATACTAGCGACTATTAGTACCTCAGCGGAAACATAAAGGAACACCAGCCATGATGGGAATACCAGAGCATTCCACATATAAGAACGGAGAATATAATAATATATATTGATAGCAGAAAGGATTCTTTTGTATATTGGAGTATTCTCGTTTCTATCGAAAATTCTGGCAACTACTGAAAGCCTTGCACAAAAGAACTAGCAGCTAAGTGCAATTTATGAACATAGTTAGAGCTCGAGGAGGCGCTAATGGTAATGGGGCATATTTATTCTTTAATTCTGTAACTTGAAGCGCAACAAGTATCAAGTTCAAAAGTATATCGCTGTCATAATTACTCAACAGAGTAATTGTATAGAGATAAGACGATTTTTTCTTTCGAAAATGCAATTCATATTCGTTTCTTATTTATTCTTATGATTAGTTAGCAAAATACACGTTTCAAAAGGAAAAATCGGCAAGAAGTCTTTCTAGGGAAAAAATGAACACTAGATGAATTGCCTATTAGCTAACAGGGTGCCAGAAGCACTTCTGAATTTCTGGAAAGAAGCTGCTATGTAAAACCCCGATTTTTGTGCTTCTACGACCTTTGGTTTAGTGGTGTAGCGGCTATCACGTTTCGTTTACAAGTGAATATCACAGTAAGTTCCGAAAAGGCCCCGAGTTCGATCCTCGGCTAGATCAATTTTTTGACATTCCTTATCATACCCCACATTTTCGGTTATCAGCATCACATGAATTTTCCAGGAAATGACACATATTTGGATTTGGACAGAAATCATACAGTAAATTGTTCTAATAAATAAACGATCGTATACTATTCTAAATCACTTACAATTTGGATCCTTGGACGAAGGAAGACCCTTGCTTGATGGAGCTTTCCAAACCACCCAAAGCAGTCTCAACCAACTTTTTCTCGTCGTCAGTCACTTTCAAAGACTCGAAAGGGTTGATGAAAGACTTGATCTGGCCGTTTTCCAACACGACTGGAACGGAAAAGAAATCGACGTTTTTCAAGGACTTGCTGGCCAATTCCTTACCGCCTGGGACACCAGGCAAGTAGATGTAGGAAGAATCGGGAACAGTGGTAGTGGAGGTGGGCTTGCCAGCCAACGAGTCCAAAACACCTTCGGCAAATCTGTAGCCAGCGTAGGCCATAGACAAAGTTGCTGAGCCTGCACCATTCTTTGCTTTGACCACCTCGTCACCACCGAACTGGACTCTGTTGATGAACTTTTCGTACTGCGACTTGCTCAACTTGTTGACCTTGGAGGCAATGTCGCTGTTGACGTTGATCAAAGGGACGATGGTGTCGCCTGAGTGGCCTCCGATGACTGAGATCTTGCCCTTCAATGAGGTAGGAGCCACGTCAATGAGCTCACCCAAGAAGGTCTCGGCTCTTACGGAGTCCAAGGTGGTGACTCCAAACAACTTACGGGGGTTGAATACGCCCAATTTCTTCAAAACTTCAGCGGCAATGGGCACAGTGGCGTTCACAGGGTTGGATATAATCAAAATAGCAGCGTTTGGGGCAGTTCTGCCGATGTTTGCCACCAAGTCCCTGATGATAGAGGCATTGATGTTGAACAAGTCAGCACGAGTCATGCCTGGCTTACGAGGAACACCAGCAGGAATGACCACCAAGTCGGAGCCCTTCAAGGCATCGACGATGGCAGTCTTGTCTTCTTTGTTTGCGGGTTGATATCCGTTGACGACGGCAGGAGTGCAAATATGGGACAAGTCAGCAGCCACTCCTTTGGCGTTGACAATATCAAAGAGGGCCAACTCGGAGACTTGGGGGTTCAATTTCAACAATAAAGACAAGGGTTGGCCAATGCCACCAGCGGCACCGCAGACAGTAACTTTAACCATGGCGAGGAAGAGAGTGGTGGATAATTGCCGGTTGTGGAGAAGCGGAGCAGGTTATAGCATGTGCAACCTCGGCCCCGCGATCTAGTCACGTGGTACCCGGCACGCGGAGTTGAGATTGTGTGCAGTACGCTTCTAGAACTGGATATATTGGTCAAGAGAACAATCTTTAGTATACTATTGAGTGGATTTGAGCACACCGAACCACAGTATCTGTGGCTGGAGATAGTTTCGTTTTAAGCAGACTTCCCTGGAGGTAATTTGCTAATATCAGCTAGTTATTGCGTTGTCTGAATTTCTTTCAATAATCTCGGGACTGACGGGAGACAGCTGGGCCGTTAGGGACTACCTACAACAGGTTTACATAATAACTGGCGTAATTCACCAAGGTGCAAGATTATTATTTTCAATGGGTAGTGTTGCGCCAGCAAATTATCAGCTTCATGAATATCATTTATGGTGTAACAGGTCCGCCTCATTGATCAGATATATCAAGCATGATTATAATAATGCATAATTATTTGATACGCTTTTATTTGCTCTATTTCCTAATGGGAACGACTCCTCCACGTCGTTGAATAGAGCTGGATATTCATGCTCCTACTTCCATAACTGCTCTTAAGTGTAATAGAACTATTTGGTCGTGCGCGGCCCAATGTCGTCACCCTCAGTGTCGCATTTGCATATGCTCCAACAGCAGCCAAAAAGTTTGCCGCTGAATCTATACCCGCTATCATGTTCAAGTTAGTTGTCAGCGCATTGGCGTTGTTGGCAAGCACCACAGCCATCGACTGTGGCGCCAAAGAGTTGTCTGCATACAACTTCGAATCCTTCAAGGGTATTCACTCGCTTTCCGTGTTGAAAGATACTCCTCCATCCCACACCAACAACACCTGGTACTTCGGAGTGTGTGACACCATCAACGAAGGCGTCGACAAGTGCCCACGCAACTCAGACATTTGTGGCATCACCACCATCAGCGTGGACAAGCAGGAGGTTGTGTCGGAGGTGATTGGGTTCAACTCCAACCTCCAGAAGGCGTACGAGCCGTTCGATAAGGACAATAGCCAGGGCATAGTGATCCGGTACAAGAACGCCAACTGGGGCGAGAACTTGGTGGATGCGGAAATCACCTTCACCTGCCCTGGCTCTGGTGACAAGGACGCGTTGGACGTGTTCCAGTTGGACAAGTGGGATGGCGATGTGCTCCAAGTGTCGGTCAAAACCAAGGCCGCGTGCATTACCGACAACAAGCACAAGGACAAGCCGTCCACGCGTCCCAACGATAACGGCGAGTCGTGGGGCTGGTTCACCTGGATCTTCATCTTTATGGTGTTGTTCTTGAGCATCTACATAGTGGGGGGTGCGTGGTTCCAGTACAACAAGGGCAACTCCATCGACTTCCAGACGGCGCTCAAGGAGGTGTTGGAGAACTTTGTCGACCTTCTCCGCGGCTTACCTGCGTTTGTACGCGAAATCGTGGAAAAGGTCACTGGCAACGGCAATCGAGGCGAGTACAGTGCTGTATAGTAATAACATTGAATATTAGAACAACCGTGGAGGCCACCACTGGGGACGACATCCTTACTAGCGTACTCTGCAAACATTTTACTACCACTAATAGCAACATTCCATTTCAATGGATAGCCAGCTTAGGACTCTGAATGAAAAACCATGAGGAGCTGGTGGTGGCAATAGATAGTCCAGGACTTATCCACTGCTAGGTCTCAGCCATTCGCACCTTCCCTGTAACGTCGCACTTAACGGGGATCATTGGGTCCGAGTCAACGATCTGCGCGGCACGTGATTACACACCATCTATATCTCCAAAATTTGGCCTCCAACTCCAACTACTTTTTATCCACCACCAACATGGCCACCGTCAAGGAAAGAATTGCAGCTCTCCAGCCAGGCCAGAAGTTCATCTCCTTCGAGTTCTTTCCTCCCAAAACAGATGCAGGCTTCCGTAACCTCTTATCCAGATTGAACCGGATGCTGGCCTTGAATCCGCTCTTCATCACCGTGACGTGGGGAGCTGGAGGATCGACCAGCGAGAAGTCGTTGGACTTGGCGTCCACCTGCCAGAACCACCTTGGACTCACTACAGTGTTGCATTTGACATGCACCAACACCAATCGCGAGATCATCGACCAAGCACTTGCCAAAGCCAAGCAGGCAGGCATCAGAAACATCTTGGCCCTCAGAGGAGACCCTCCCAGAACCCAGGAGTACTGGACCCCCAACTGCGACTTTAACAGTGCTGTGGACTTGGTGAGATACATCAAGTCCCACTACGGGGACTATTTTTGTATCGGAGTGGCAGGCTACCCGGAAGGACATGTGGACGGATCTGGTTCTGGCCAACCAGAGCAGAGTCCAACCAGAGATATTCCCTACTTGATCGAAAAGGTTGAGGCAGGTGCCGACTACATCATTTCCCAGTTGTTCTTCGACGGAGCCAAGTTCTTGCAGTACGAACAGCTTCTCAGATCATACCCCCAGTTGAAAGATATCACCTTGATCCCAGGGTTGATGCCTATCACCACTTACCTGGTGTTCCAAAGAGCCTCCAAATTGTCACATGCCTCCATCCCCAAGGCTGTCGAGGACAGACTCAAGTCGTCGATCCACAACGACGACTTGATCAAAAGCATCGGCATTGATATTGTCACCGAATTGATCGACGAAATCGACTCGAAAACCGATGGAAGAATCCAGGGGTACCATTTCTACTGTTTGAACTTGGAAAAGGCTGTTGCATCTATACTACAAAAATCATCCATCTTGAGACCTATAATGGAGGCCCCATCCTCGGGTATGAACTTAGAAGACGCCATTGCCTCTGACGATGAAGAAAATGACATTGCGGTGATCCAAGGGCCCAAGAGAAGACAATCTTCGATAGTTAACGATAACGAAGTGGTCAACGCACAAAGATCTCTCGTCAGCAAGGCATTGTTAAACGACAAAAAGCTATTGGTTGACATCAGTAGGGGTAAAGGTGCATTGGGCAAGGACGCCACTTGGGACGAATTCACCAACGGTAGATACGGTGACTCTACCTCTCCCGCATATGGTGATTTTGATGCTTACGGTCCAAACTTAAAGATCTCATCTCCACAAGAGGCCATCAGAAACTGGGGCAGTCCCACCTCCAAAAAGGATTTGTCCAAGATTTTCGTCAACTATTTACTTGGAAAAATCGATGTGTTACCATGGGTCGACACTGGTTTGTCATCTGAGACCGCTTTGATCCAGGAGGAACTCTTACAATTAAATGAAAGGGGCTGGTTTTCGTTGTCTTCCCAGCCTTCCGTTAATGGGTGCCCCTCGTCTGACAAGATCTTTGGATGGGGTCCTACCAACGGTTTTGTTTATCAAAAATCATTCATAGAAATTTTCATTCCCAAGGAAGAATGGGAAACAAAATTACTTCCTAAATTAGCAAACCACATTGAAGAGAAAACTATCACCTACTACTTGGGTGATGCTACGGGAAACATCGAGTCGAATCTCCGCATCGATCCAGCAAACCCTCATATAAGCAGAAGTGCCATAACTTGGGGTGTCTTCCCACTGAAGGAGGTATTACAGCCCACTGTGATTGACTTCGACTCTTTCAAAGTGTGGAATGAGGAGGCGTTCAATTTGTGGCTGGACTGGTCTAAGTGCTTCAAGAAAGACGAAGAATCCTTCAAGTTTTTGAGTGACATAAGGCAAAACTACTACTTAGTCAGTATTGTTTACCACAATTTCAAGCAGGAGACTGGATTGTGGGACTTGTTGTTGAATGAATAACTAGTACAGAAGTGGAAGCTTTAAGAGCATTCGGTCGTTGAAACCTCGGATATCTTGGATGTCTTGTTAGAGAATCCATGCTTCTGCTTCTATCAGATGATCCACGGTCAATACCTACTGTAATAATACACATAATAGCAAATAACCTTAACATGGAGGATGAGTAGACTCAAGTGTAGCACTGGATTCAATAATGTTACACCCTCAATGAGAATCCCATTAACTCGTAAGTGTGCACCACACTTCGAGAGTCCCTTAAGCTGTGCTTCGCACCTCAAAGTAATCCCAATAACTTGAAAGCGTGCTTGCCGCCATGACCCGCCATAACAACTTGGGCCGATTTGAAATCAGCTTCAACCTGCACTTCTAGCTGAAAAGTATCCAAGAAGTAACTATACATAAGATAGTAATTATAATTAACTGTCATCCAGTTGATATTCAGTATTTGAATTTTTGGCCTTGGTTTATGGAGTTCTGTTCAGCTGACTCTCGGCACACATTCAACTGGCTTTCAATTCGGCTTCCAACATAGCAATGTACTTCTGAACAACGCCATCATTCAACTGGTTGATTAGCTCGGTATCGTTGGAGTCCACACCCAAATAGTCGCACCCTTGTCTGGTCAAAAGTAGCACACCATTCTGTACCAATGTGCCCTTTTTCACCACCAATCGCCCACCCAAAGGAACACCAAGCGGAGTTCCCAGACTGCCAGTTCTGAGAAATGGAAGAGGACCCTTGAATTCGTAGCCGTAGCAGTAGTTGTTGGCACTGTCTCGTAACAACAACTTGTAAGTGTCAAACCCCGTCTGATTGGAAGTAGCAGAAGGAGCATCTTCTTCCATATTGACCTCGCGGATGATGTAGTTGTCTGTACGGATTTTCCTGGATTTGGTGAGACGGTCCACTGCCACGTTGTTGGGGTTGTCAAACTCCTTCCACTCATCGAGCTGGTTCAAGCGTGATTTGGAGATGTTGGAGACGTGTATGATGTGGAAAAGCACCGGCTTTTCGAGTGCTTTCTTGCCCACATCCTTGCAATTGAACGTGTTTCTGCTGGCTTCGGCCATGGACTCGGTTTGACGTGCAGGCGACTTGCTGGCGCAGGAGGGTTCTGACTCAATGAGAAATTAGTGTCTGGAAGTTTGGAATTTTGGGACTTTCTGTTGTTCTTGACCGCTGGAGGCACTTCCTTGAGCTGTTACGCGTACTGTGGTTGGAAAAATGACCTTTTAACGAGGTGGCGTAGAGTAATCTGACAGTTGATCAGTTGCTAGCCGCAGAGACTAAGATCCATATCTGGTCACGTGCGCCACTATGGAAATCGGTTGCGAGATATGGAGTCTAGCACTAACCACATAGATCACTGCTTGAGACCATTAATATGTCGTTGTTTGTCGAGGACGAGGACCAAGGCCCCAGGCCGTTGGCTTCGGTCCAGTCGCAAGCTTCAATCACGGTTCCCATTCAGTCAGGCGAAATTGGTGTGGAGTTCCATCAGCCAGAAATCGTTCCTGTCTACCCTGAAAGGACCATCTCGTGCACGCTACCCCTCAAGTACCAACAGGAAATCATCGAGGACATGCTCACCAAGGACGGGTTGCTCATCCTAGGACGAGGGCTCGGGTGGGACGTCATCAGTGCCAATCTTCTCCATGCCCTCAGCTCGTCGTGCGTCACTCTCCAGCACGGAGATGGCGCTCCCATCGAGAAGAGGAGCCTTATCTTCGTGCTCAACATCACAGAGGATGAGGTTAGCCGTATCAGAGAGTCGTTGGTCGAATTGCACTGGCTCGACGAGAGTATGGACGACGAAGAAGAGCCTCAATTCGTGGAGATCTCCAGCGAGTCTCACAACACCTCCAGCAAGCGTAAAGACACTTACCTCAAGGGAGGCATCATATCGATCACAGCACGTGTGTTGGTGGTGGACTTGCTCTCGGGGTTGTTGTCGCCAAACGACATTACGGGGCTCTACGTGCTCCACGCAGAAAGGATCAAGGAAACCTCCAGCGACGCCTTTGTCATCAGCATTTACAGAGACACCAACGACTGGGGCTTTGTCAAGGCGATATCAGACGAGCCAGAGTCCATCACAGGGTTCACCCCCTTGGCCACAACCCTCAAGATGCTCAGAGTCCCCAACGCGTTTCTCTGGCCCCGTTTCCGGTTGGAGGTCAGTCAGTGCTTGAATTACATCGACAAGGGCATCCTGAACCGGGTGCGAGAAGAAATCCTCAAGCGCAGGTCAGTCACAGAAATTAATACAAAATTCACATACAAAATGACAAAGATTCAATCAGCCATCTTGTCTTGTATCCAGGCATGTCTCCAGGAGTTGAAACGGCATAACTCAGACTTGGCTACTGAGTACTGGGATATGGAAAACGCTCACGATCCACATTTTGTGAGAAGGATCCGAATGTCGGTCAATAGTCAGTGGCATAGACTAACATACACCTCTAGGCAGCTTGTGTATGATTTGGGGGTTTTGACAGATATGTTGAATTATTTGGTCAGCATGGATTCGGTGAGCTTTTACCAAATGGTCCAAGGAATTGTGGATCTGAATATCAGACATGCTCGCTCGGGTGGCATGAATGCATCCATGAGTCCATGGTTGAATTTAGACGACTCCAATACAATCATTGCATTTTCTAGAGATAGAGCGTTGGGCAAAATAAGTGTTGAGAAAAGAAGACAAGAAGTGATTGATGTCGAAGATAACCAAGAAAACCCAAGTGAAACTGCAGATGTCGAAGTTACGGAAGAGTATCTTCTCGAAGAGTTGCCCAAATGGGAGCAACTTGGGCTACTTTTAGATGACATTCTCCACGAGAAAGCAGTTTCCAATGTGAAGAACCAAGGACCTATTTTGATCATGTGCTCCAATCCCCATAGTGTAGAACAGCTAGGGTATTTGTTGAAAGATATGAAGGCAGAAGTCAATCGCATGACAGGAAAGAGACGGTTCAGTTCACGGAAATACATGGTTCAAAAATTGAAAGGATACTTGGCGTGGAAAGAAGTTAGCTCACTAGTGAAAAAAATCAACACTGAGTTGGACGCAGCCCCCGAAGAAGGAAGCAAGACTCCAGAGGCAGATGAACTCCACACATCAAAGACATTCACTAGAAATGGGCAACCTGTCAGCTCAAGAAGAAGAGCCAGAGGAGCTTCAGCAAGTGCAAGGGTTTCTAAGCTCTATTCAGGGTCTAATTCGGAGAAGAATACAGAGGCCGCTGAGGTTGACGCTACCATTTTAAAGAATTTACAGGCAGCAGAAGACGAGGAGGAAATTGATGATGAACGTGTAACTGCACCAAATGAGTTGGAAGAAATGGCTAACAGTTTTTTAATGCCGGAGTTTGCAGACAATGGAGAATGGGGAATTCACCTAAAATTTGATCATGTCAACAAAGAAGATCAAATCATAATACAGAGCTATAATGAAAGAAACAACGATGCACTTTTACAGGAAATATCACCTTCTTATATTGTGATGTATGAGCCCAATTTGTCGTTTACCAGAAGAGTCGAGATATATCAGGAAATCAACAAAGACAACCCAGCAAAGGCATATCTAATGTACTATGGCACCTCGGTTGAAGAAGAAAAACATTTGCTAGGAATTAAGAAGGAAAAGGAATCATTTTCAAGATTAATCAGAGAAAAGGCTAGTTTGAGTAAACATTTCGAAACCGCAGACGACAATTATAAGTTTCACTTGAACAAGAATAGGGTACTCAACACCAGAATCGCAGGAGGGGCCAATTTCAGAACTGAAAACGATGAATTGAGAGTGATTGTTGATGTCAGAGAGTTCAGATCTTCCTTGCCCAATTTATTGTATCGTTCAGGAATCAAAGTGATTCCATGTATGATTACGGTGGGTGATTACATTGTGTCCCCAAAAATCTGTGTTGAAAGAAAGTCCATTCCCGATTTGGTTTCCAGTTTCAAGAGTGGTAGGTTGTACCAGCAGTGTGAGCAAATGTTTCGTCACTATGAGTTGCCCACTTTATTGATTGAATTTGATGAGAATAAATCGTTTTCATTGGAGCCATTTTCCGAGTCTAGATTTCAAAAGATTAATCCTACCAACCCCATTGCAGATCAATCGATCCGGCAAAATATACAATCCAAGATAGTTCTGTTGCTTCTTTCGTTCCCGAAATTGAAGATTATATGGTCTTCTTCTCCATATGAAACAGCACAAATATTCGTACAGTTGAAGGCTAATCAAGAAGAACCAGATGTGGGGGAGGCATTAGATAAGGGTGTAAACAGAGCCGTGGTAACTGAGGATGGAGGTCCTCCGGTTTTTAACGATGATCCTATTGATTTTATACAGAACATCCCGGGTATTAACGCTGCAAACTACCATTTGATTGTGCAAAAAGTGCAAAGCATCGAGAAGTTGGTCGAGCTCAGCAAGGAACAATTTTTGGAGATATTGGGACTTGAAAATGGTCGAAAGGCATATAATTTCATTAACAAGACTATTAGTTAGGTAAAGGCATATAGAAAGAGATAACTAAATTTGGGAAGGAGAACAAAATACTGTAAACCAATCTTGTTGCATGTAGCCTTTCTTACATTTGAATACAGTAGGAAGGAAGACTCAAATTGTAAGAAATCGTATAGTTGAACCAATCTTCTGGTGGCTGGATATCCATTTTCTGCCTCCTCGGTTCTCATAGGCAGTGCTACTGGAACTCCCCAATGTTGCATCAGAAGAATGAACTGCATAAAATATAGTCTAGATTAATGTGACCATGCTGGCCAAGTTACTCGGGATACAACAGAGTTATCCGAATTGGAACATATTTCCGATGTTCACCCAATGTTTTGGATAAAACTGAATCCAAAAATGAATACCATGAACCTCCCTGTCACTCACGAGTAAAAAATCCATTTGTTCCAGCACCGATCAGTTTGATCGAGTTGTTCAGTACTGCCATGCAATAAGATACAGTGCCAATTCTCCCAGAAAGCCAGTAAACACGCAAGTATATCCCAGAGGGCCATTCAATAAGTCCAATTTGCGCTGCCTTCCAGATCTCGCTTCAGACACTTTCTTGCACCCAAACCCGACACTGCGCAGCCAGTTCCAGTGCGAAAACTCAGACAGACACTACACACCAGACACAGTCCACGGAGCTCCAGTCAGCTCTTGCTGCTCCCACTGCTAAATCCTTCCATGTAGCGCACCGCCCCTCCACCACCCTCGTTTGTACTGCAACTGTTCTGTTTTTATCATCGTAAACAAGGCGTGAGCTCGCAACGCTGAGTATCCCACAGGCAAACAAACTGCGAATAGGCCTACAATAACATACAAACCGCAAAACACCACCACAACCACCACCACAACCACTACCACTAAAATGCTCTTCCCACCAGTACTTCGCAACGCTACTACACTTCCTTCTACACCCCGTGATGACCCGCACTAGCCTCGGCACCAGACCTGTTTCCCGTGACGTCGTTGCTCGTGTGCCACTAGCTGCACGTCGCAGCCCCAGGCCATGTTTACAAACTGCGAAAACAGGCAGTTTGCAGGATAAACCGTTTCTGGAGAAATAATGGGGTAGCCCAGCTAAAGAGATGACACTACCCGTTCGTTGCTCTTCGTAAGGCCTCCAGTATTCGTGGCACCATCTGTGTCGACATCTCCACCAGCCCTCTCCATCCTTGCATTTCCATCTCCATGAGGCATCGTGACTTCAGCATCACCAGAAAGCCTGGCACGGCTGCTCCCACCCCTGGCACCAAGGAGAAGTACAAGTACCTCGAGTTCAAGCACTTGTACTTCCAGGTCCAGAAGCTCCTCAACAAGCGAGTGACGTTGGCTCTCAAGTACGACCAGCTCAAAACCCCCGAGATCCATTGCACCTTGGTCAAACCCATCACGGAACGGATCACCAAATGGGCAGATAAAAAGGCAGTGGCAGCCAGGATTGCCCGTGTGCTTCCTTCGGTGCCACTGGCAGTCGACCAGACACCCAAATTCGGGCCCCAGAAGAGCAATTCTGGGTTCTCCAAAGGGACAGCCAGATACTCTGGCGACACAGCCGAGGACGAGCCTCTGGAGTGCCTCCTCTTCATTCTCTTGCTCTTGCGGTACGAGTACCTTATCCAGTCGGAAAACAACCTTATCGTGTTCGAACTCTTGACCACCAAGGCCAATCTCTGCGAGTTGTTGGCCATCCGCTTGCTCAAGGAATTCAAGTCGTTCACCCGCATCAACCTGCTCTTCATCGCTCCCTTGAACAACGACCTCTTTGCCGAGGACCTGCGGTACCTGTTCAACACCTTGGAGTTGAGCGTGCTCTCCAAGTCCAAAAAGTTCTTGTCGCAGCCAGTTATCGTTCGAGCTCTAGACAAGTTCTACAACGGAGAGCTCATCCTCAAGTCGTTCGAAAGCGGGGTCCAGTTCTTCCAGAACGAATCGGAAGAGCTGGGGTTGTTGAACCACGACATCATCAACTACAAATACAACAAAATCACCTTCAACAACATCATAAAAAGATCGAACATCGTGCCCAAGTACCAGTCGTTGGTGATAAACCTCAAGCTCTTGTTCTTCATGTTACTCTACTTCATTCTCATTTTGAACAAAGACCACATCGATCAAGGAGATCGAGACGACGACGACTACGATGGATACTCCCATCTAGCTAGCATACAACCATACAGCCATGTGCTCTTCTTACGCATAATCGAGGTCCTGTTCTGGATTCTCGGCCTCAACTTCAACATCGAGTTTCTCTTGAAGATCCTCAACATCGAGTTCATTCTCTTCAAGAAAATCATTTGGAACTATTTGGACTTTATTTTGATCATATTGATCAACATTTCGTTTGTGATGAAGTTTGTTTATCCCAACTACTTCTCCGACTCCTTCAGCTTGATTTCTATAATCTTGTTGCCAAGAACCTTGTCTGTGTTCAACAACTACCAATTTTTCAATATGATCATGGTGTCTTTCAAAAAAATGGCATGGAACTTAATGGGTCTCATTTGCCTTTTTTTCTCCTTGATCAGTGGGTTCTACTTCAGTTTTCTTACTCTTTCGAATAACATGAGTAAATTGGATGTTTTGTTCAGTATGGTCAAGATCTTTTTCGGTTTCACGCCTGCCGTCTGGAATAATTGGAAAAACTATAACAACTTAGGTAAGGTTATTATCATGGGGTACTTATTTTTAATCCAGTTTATTATAGGATCCATATTGGCGATTGTGCTCAGTGGGGTATTTGCCAAGGTCAATAACAATAATCACGACGAGTTCAACTATTTCAAAACGGTGAACTTAATATTATATTTCAAGGTGTCACAGTTGAACGAACAGAAAAAGCATCAGGTAGGAAAGAACCTGTCCATCATTAAAACTGCCAGGCACTTCATGCTGATGAGGTTGTATGAGATTCTCAACGTATTCAAGTTTCCCATCATCATAATGATTTTTGTATACGAGAAGATTGTGTTTGCCCGGCTCTACCAGCAAAAGGTCAATCTCGGGAACGAGTTGAAAAACTACACGTTTTTGACAAAAACCAACGACTTCTACCAGGACACCGACTTAATCAATTTGGAAACCATGCATAAACGGTTGGACAATACCAACTCACCGTACCAACACGAATTTGGGGTCATTGAGGGCATCGACGACGTCGTCGATGAGGAGGTGTTGATGGCTGAAGACGAGGAAAACGATGACATCAGTATTCTCCTAATGAGGTCGCGCAAGAACTCGGTGTTGCGGCAATTGACCAACGGCAATCTGTATGGACGAAGATACAGCCAGATCGAAAATGGAGGGTTTGCCAGACCCAAGAAAATGGCTCGTGGGTCCAAGGGAACGTTACGGAGCAAGGTCAGCACGGTGTCAATGGGAGAGCCGCCTAGCAACACGGTTCTCGAGAAGGTACGGACTAATAACAGTGAAACACGTCAATACACCACCGATAACGGGCTGAGCAACACCTTGGTTGTCAAGGGAGGTGCTCGCAGCTGGCAAGGCAATGAAGAGGAGATATTGGAGCGGCTCAAGCGATTGGAAGAGCTCTTGGTCAATCGCGCCAGCATGGATAGTTTCAACGAAACCATCCAAGGCGACGACAGTGACAGCAGCATCATCCACACCCACAGCGACACCAGCGAAGACGTCTACAATCTCCCTTCAGGCGACTCTGACCATAGCTTCTAGGCCCTGGCGGGGCAAATTAAGGTTAGAGCACCATGATATTTTCACCACCCCCCGAATTTTTCAGTCTCGGGGCTTGGAGAGAACATTGCGGTTGATAAGAGCCACCCTGCGACGGCCAGCAGCCCCGTTCTGGAGCTGTACGAGGATATCCGCCAATTCTTAGATTTATAGATGAAATAAGAGCTCCTGGTGCTCGAATCACTACTAGCATGTCCCCCACGGCCCCCCACGGCCCCGTAGTGAGTAGCAGTGCGGTGCGGTGCGCCTGGCAACATCCAACCAGATTTCCGAGCCTCGGGAATGGTTTTCGCGGGGTTTCGGCCACCACCATCCAAGGGCTTAGCACGATAAGCCACCCCTTTAACTGGAAACCGATTGGGAACCCCAACGGGCTGTCTTGGGCGGCGGGGGTGCGCAGCGAAGGGCGAGCAGCAGTTCCAGCACGCCAATGAAGAGGAGTTCAATGGAGCTCACTCCCTGGAACGCTGAGTAATTGGTGTCTGACACCTCACTGTCTGACGTCTACCTGCCTCTGACTGCTCCCTGTCTGCTCCCTGTCTGCTGCCTGTCTGCTGCCCAACCTGTAGCCCCGTACCAGTCCCATTACATATTATGCAACGGTGATTGGACAATGGCGCCCGACCCGCACCTTGACAACCCGCGGTGTGTGCAGGCTTTTCTCTGCGATCAAAAGTGATGGTTTTCACAAGACACTATATATATCGAACGTCCGCCAGTCCCAATTGGAAGGCGACGACTAGTGACATCTGGACAGCGTGCAGCTACTGCGACATACACACACCAAAACCGACCCAAACAGCCCCAAACTGACTCCAAACTGACCCCAAACTGCCCTAAAGTCCCCCTTCCGTCCATCCCATGATCATGCCCCACGACGACACGCTTGACATCCCCAACAACCACATCCAGATCGGAGGCCGCAAGTCCGTTCTTGCCGTATACCAGAGCGAGAAGATCAAGGCGTTGATCCTCGACAAGTTTCCCCAGCTCAAGTGCTCCATTCTCGCGTTGAGCACCCTTGGTGACAAGGTCCAGACCAAGCCGTTGTACTCGTTTGGAGGCAAGGCGTTGTGGACCAAAGAGCTCGAGATCTTGCTCTTGGAAGCCGTGGAGCAGTACCCCAAGTTGGACTTGATCGTGCACGCTTTGAAGGATATGCCCACCAACTTGCCAGACGAGTTCGAGTTGGGATGCATCACCAACCGGATCGACCCGCGCGATGCCGTGGTGATGAAGGCAGGCTCGACCATTACCAAGTTGTCGGAGTTGCCTGAGGGCTCGTTGGTCGGCACCTCGTCGATCCGTCGTTCATCGCAGCTCTTGAGGAGCTACCCTCACTTGAGATTCGATTCTGTCAGAGGTAACTTGCAAACGAGACTTCGCAAGTTGGACGCACCAGACTCGCCGTTTTCCTGTCTAATTTTGGCAGCTGCAGGGTTGGACCGTATTGACATGGGCCATCGCATTACCCAACGCTTGGACGCCCCAGAAATGTACTACGCAGTGGGCCAGGGAGCGTTGGGAATCGAAATCCGCAAGGGCGACAAGGTAATGAAGAAGATCTTGGAACGCATCGAGGACATTCCTGCCAGCTTGCGCTGCCACGCAGAACGCTCGTTGATGAGATACTTGGAGGGAGGCTGCTCGGTTCCAATCGGAGTGGGAACCAGCTACGACGAAGCTACCCAGGTGTTAAACTTCAAGGCCATCATCGTGAGTCCAGATGGCACCAATAGCGTGGAGGACGAGGTTGAGGGTGTGGTCAAGACAAAAGAAGAGGCAGATGCGCTTGGTATCAAGTTGGCCGACCTCTTGATCGCCAAGGGCGCCAAAGAGATCTTGGACAGTATCGACTTCACCAGAATCAACGAGCCACCCACCAGCACCAACAACACCCCTAACGACACCCCCTTGGCTACCCCCACCACTACCCCCAACGCTGCATTCCTTAGCTAAAAGACCACGCTCATGTGGTCTGGCATTAATTGTATTTTAACAACGGCCTACGACATAGTATGATTAATAATTTCTGGACTTTCTTTCGTATATAGTACTTAATAAAATTGGTTTATAGAGTGTTGTAGGAGGAGCGAGAGAAGGAGCCAAGCGCGAGCCATACCTAACCAGTGTGGTTTGAGCCATATGGACTCCAGCTGGATGAAAGTGGGTCGGGTGTCATGATATTCGAAGTGGATAATTACAATGGCTCAATAGTGTTGGTTCAGGACCCTAAGTTAGTCATGTGATTAGTCATGTGACAATAATGCGTGCCCCCACCTCTAAGCCATGAATATTACTGGTCCCATTCGTAATTTTGCAGATATGTTCACTCGCTCTTGCACAGATACTAACTGGCTTCGAAGAGAACAGTTTTTGTAAATTACTGAATCTTCCCGTTAACACTATCCCTTGTTAAGACTAAACTTATGACCCAACTGCGTTGATCCTTGCCAGCATTCTTGCACTGTTCTGTCATATTTACGTCACTTCACCAGGAATCAATACAATTGTCCTGGTTACGTAATGTATTAACTAATCGTTTGTCATCGTATGCAAGTCTGGACTACTGGCGAAACTAGGGCTTATCAGAAGAACTGGGAGTTGGGGTTTCAGGTTTCTATGGATTTGTAAAACCAACAGTCCGAGTTTCAGAATAAGTGACATTGGCATGCATTTCTTTCGAGTTGCCTGAGAGTTTATGAACCAGAGTATAGTAGCAAATTAGTTTATTATTCTCTTTCTGCTCTCGTTTCCAATTGGAAACTTTCATATCACCTTGGATATCATTGTTCATTTCCCGAATTAATCAAGTCACTTATGCCCATATATTCTATATTTCTAAAGTGTCGATCATGAAGTCGATCCGTAACCTTTGCGATTTTGATTCTAAGTATAATACACATCCTACGATTAGCGTAACTGTAAATAATGTAAATTGAGGAACTACTACTTGAAGTTGGACATTATTGTCACACAGTTCATGCAAAGATCGCTATAACAAGAAGCAGGACGAGTAAGCGAAAGACTTGTTTGCAGAGAATATGTTTCGAAAGGGCGATTGTCTGGCTTTCTGCCTCGAAGAAAAACCACCTAAGAAATGACAAAATGGGAAGGGGTTCACGGCTCCGAAAAGTCTGAAAGGCCATAATCCAGGATCCATGTATTTAAGAGAATAAATTCCATCTTTAAGAACATGCTCTATTGATGATGAACAGCAATTCGGGTTCTATGCTACTACTTCTACCTTGAACAGCATTTCAAATGTTATAATGGGTACAACCTTCAACTTGCGCTACATGACTTCGTTCACACTCCTACATGAGATTCTCAGTCTGGTTTAGTCTCTTGTAGTAGCGGGATTTCACCATATTACCCGATTAATTGCTACTAAATGCAGAAGAATCCACTTCAGAACACTAAGCCGAAGCTTGGCTGGTAGCGCTGCGAAGGACTGCTGCAAGGGATCAAAAACTGATCCGCCATGAGCGTTTCGGCAGATTTCCCTGATCAGGCAGTCCAGCCCAAGTCACGAAAGCTGGCTGCCCGTACAGGGCCTGGGGTTTTTAAGCTATTTTGACAGATTGCAGGTTAAGATGGAAAAGAGTGTGGTGAATGAGACATGGGTACTAAGAAGGTCGACTGTAGACCGGAACTATAATGCAAGGGCCCACGCTGAACTCGCACAGTAGGACTACGGAGGATGTCAGTTACGAAGTTGAAATAGTCATGAACCTGGTCTGAGCGAGAACCAGATTGGCAGAGCCTTTTCCAGCTTGGTCATACTAAATCCTGAATTGTAGAAATTGGGAAGTCCCACGGTGCATTTCCAGTCGTGCCCACAGGTTTCATGACCACGAGTGGCTGCAACCTCCCAATCCACCATCTGCGAGCACGTGCACTGGTACCATCTCCATGGCCACCACTGGAATGGATTGGACTGCTACCGCGCAACGAGGCCCAATTGGGCCCTGGGCAATTCTCCACAGTAGTCTCAGCATTTTTCCATTGTGCCATTTGCCAGTATGCTCCATTTTTTGCTATGGATTTTAACTTCTCGGGATGACGAAACTGGCCGGAGTTGACCATACCGATACACACCGCCAAGTATTATTGATAGAGTATTTTCCTAACTGCCTGGCTGGGAAGACGTAATGGTGGGCCATCCCGGTGGCCCCTAGTGCCATTCTCCGGTGGTCCATTGTCTGCTGGAATTAACTGTATTGTCGGAGTTCGCCTAGCGATCGGCACTTCAGCCCCTATGTGGGTTGTGAGGCCAGTTCGGAGTAGTGGAATAGCTGCTCCGAATGCCCGAACTGCTGGTACGGAAGGTGAAGCATCCGTCCCAAAGCGGTGGTGCCGCTGCTAATCCCCGAATGGCGGGCCTGCGCACCCGCAGGCCGGAGTTGGATGTGGTGGTGCAGCCACGGGGAGACACACTGATACATCCACCAAGGCCACCGCCAATATGCCAACACTACCCATGCTGTCGCGATTGCCGTTACTACTTATTACACGTATCCCACCATTGCTCCATCACTACCACCACTCACATCACCACCACTCACCTTGCCAATGGCCCCACCATGATTCGTCGCGCATCTCGTATATGTCGCGCCGTATATGTCGCGCTACCCCGGATTTGCCATCCACCCAAACTCTGGGCGTCTGAAGTGGGGTTGCCAACATTTTGATCTAATATCCGATCGCTAGTCCGATCGGGAGGTAGTGGCAGTAGTACCAGCAGAAGCACCGGTAGCACAAGTAGTAGCGGCAGCAAGAGTACTACGGTAGACCTACTAATATTGCTGACAATTGTGGTAGCAACACTGGTGGTGGTGGCACCAGCACTGGCGCTAGTAGTACGAGACGTCGCTAGCCTCCCGCTAGCCTGCCACCCCCACTACCACTGCCCAACGGTTTCGCCTGCAGTCGCGCACTTGTGGGGTCACCAGAATCCGCAAATGTGGGGGTGGGCGTCAGTATATAAACCCCCCCCGGTCGCCCTGTTGTGTCCTCATTCCTCACTACACCATGCCTGACACTTTGACCCTCGACCACGAGAAGCAATTGGACCCACCCCAAGGCTTTTTCGACCGCAGCACATCCGCACCAAACCTCGCCAGTTTCGACGAGTACCAGCGTCTCTACAACGAGTCGGTGGAAAACCCCAACAAGTTCTTTGGCGACCAGGGCCAGTTGTTGGACTGGAGCAAGCCCTACACCAGCGCCAGGTTCCCAGCAGACCCCAAGGACGACTTCAAGAACGGCGACTTGCCTGCATGGTTCGTGGGAGGTGAATTGAACGCAGCCTACAACGCAGTGGACAGATGGGCGTTCAAGAACCCCGACAAGCCTGCCATCATCTACGAGGCCGACGAGGCCAACGAGGGCAGAATCATCACCTACGGCGAGTTGCTCAAGGACGTGTCCAAGCTCGCGCAGGCGTTGACCAAGCTCGGAGTCAAGAAGGGCGACTCGGTGGCCGTCTACTTGCCCATGATCCCCGAGGCATTGGTCACCCTCTTGGCCATCGTTAGAATCGGTGCCGTCCACTCGGTGGTGTTTGCCGGTTTCTCCAGCACGTCGCTCAAAGACAGGATTCTTGACGGTGACAGCAGAATCGTCATCACTGCCGACGAGTCCAAGAGAGGTGGCAAGACCATCGAAACCAAGAAGATCGTCGACGACGCCTTGAAGGACTGTCCAAACGTCAGAAACGTGCTTGTTTTCAAGAGAACCGGCAACCAACACGTCCCATTCGACTCCAAGAGAGATCTCTGGTGGCACGAGGAATTGGCCAAGTACGGCACCTACTTCCCCCCTGTTCCCGTCAATGCTGAAGATCCCATGTTCTTGTTATACACCTCGGGCTCCACCGGTAAGCCCAAGGGTGTTCAGCACAACACTGCTGGTTATTTATTGGGTGCTCTTTTGAGTACAAAGTACACCTTCGATGTCCACGAAGAGGACGTGATCTTCACGGCTGGTGACATTGGTTGGATCACAGGCCACACATACGTCGTCTACGGTCCCCTTCTCAATGGTGCCACCACCGTGGTCTTCGAAGGTACTCCCGCATATCCAAACTATTCCAGATACTGGGAAATTGTTGACAAGTACAAGGTGAATCAATTCTACGTTGCCCCAACTGCGTTGAGACTCTTGAAGAGAGCTGGTACCAAGTACGTCGAACCATACAGCTTGGATTCCTTGCGTGTTCTTGGTTCTGTTGGTGAACCAATTGCTGCCGAGGTTTGGCACTGGTACAACGACAACATCGGTAGAGGCAAGGCCCACATCGTCGACACCTACTGGCAAACTGAGTCAGGTTCCCACTTGTTGACTCCATTGGCTGGTGTCACCCCAACCAAGCCAGGTTCCGCTTCCTTGCCATTCTTCGGTATTTTGCCAAAGATTTTAGACCCTACTACAGGTGAAGAGCTCACAGAAAACAATGTCGAAGGTGTCTTGGCCATCAAGTCTGCCTGGCCTTCCATCACCAGAGGTATCTTCAACGACTACAGTAGATTCATTGATACCTACTTGAAGCCATACCCAGGACATTACTTCTCCGGTGATGGTGCTGCCAGAGACAAGGATGGTTTCTTCTGGATCTTGGGTAGAGTTGACGATGTGGTTAACGTTTCTGGACATAGATTGTCCACCGCAGAAATCGAGGCTGCATTGATCGAACACCGTTTGGTGGGTGAAAGTGCCGTCGTTGGTTACGCCGATGATCTTACCGGTCAAGCAGTTGCTGCCTACGTTTCCTTGAAGAAGGAATCCAACATCCCCGACGATGAATTGGAAGCCATCAAGAAGGAATTGATCTTGACTGTCCGTAAGGAAATTGGTCCTTTCGCTGCTCCTAAGTTGATTTTGTTGGTTGACGATTTGCCAAAGACCAGATCTGGTAAGATTATGAGAAGAATCTTGAGAAAGGTCTTAGCAGGCGAAGAAGACCAGTTGGGAGACACCTCCACCTTATCCAACCCTGGAGTTGTTCAACAAATCATTGATGTTGCCAAGACTGCCAGAAAGTGAGCTAGTGGAGCTAGTGAGCTTTCTATAACTATTACAGACCAGCCAGTGGTTCTGTGACTTCCATTTACGGATAGTCGAATATTTATATTGAATATATCACTTGATATGCCGAACAAATGTAGCCACAAATTGCCCATGCAAATAGCCCCATTTACCATGTATGATGATAGTCTGTTAACTGTACTGTATATCAAGTTACATTAATTGGTATTCGATATTGAGCTGCGACAGTACATGAAATAGTATGATTACTTAGTTCCTGTTTGTTCTATATCCTAATTCCTCTACTAATGAACTAATAAAGGTAGTCATACCAGAGATTAATGCCATGTTTCGATACTAGTAAATGCTTGAGATGGCTTGTACTTTCTACTATCCATCAGCTTTTCTTTATTATTCTACTCCTTTTTCAAATTAAAACCCCAACAAGATGGAATAGTTCCAGCAGTTGTGGTCTGAAGCGAAGTCCCCACATCCTCACCTCTTTCCATCCTGGGCCAAAATGAAGTCTACCAACGAATCCGCCTGCGGTTTTGGCGAAACAATTGTGGGTATTATCTGATTTTGCACGAGATACTCCTCGGTGGTGGGTCCAATGGATGCTATATTGAATGCAATTCCCTCGCGTTTGATGTGTTGTACGATGGTTTCGGTGCCCTGTGGACTGAAGAAAACTATCCAGTGGTCACCTTCTTTGATCCGTTCCCAGGCATTGTTGAAGTTTTCGACGATGTCCAGTCTGTTTTCCGTCTTGTAAATTACCCTTTCCTCGAAGTTGTACTTCTTTTCCCGAAGGATTCTGGGAATGATATCTTTTCTGATTTCGCCGGTGAAAAACACTATTTTCTGGGGACCTCCCTGCAACTCTTGGTGGATCAATTCGGCCAACTTGGTTCCGTTTCCAGCAGACTCGCCTCCTCGGACGTCCTGGAATCCCAATCTGCTCAAAACCTGGTGGGTTGCTGGGCCCACGGTGTATCCCGTTTTTTGGTAGATCTGATGCCTGATGTCTTCGCTACACAAGGCTAGACACTCTCCAAACATCTCTACACCTCTCTGGGAGGTGATGATGAATATGTCGGTGTGTTTGAGGAATTTTTCACTCAGGATGTATTCTATGGTGGCATCTCTATCAGTGTGTGTGTGTGTGAGAAGTGGGATGAAAATGGGCTCGTAGCCTTCCTTGCGAAAGCGCTGCTCGTATGGGTCCAGTGGAGTGCTGGCATTCTTAAGCAATAGGGCAATCTTGGCCATTCTAGCACGGTGTGATTAGATATATCTGCCAGATTATTGGCGAAATTTACCGCGAGAATCGTGATCTTCCCCCACTCACGAACTGACAGTTAGTGGGGAATTGGGGAAGTCTACAAAATGTCATTAAGATATCATAAGATTAATTAGGAACTGAAACCTCCAGTGGAGAAATGCAGATATATAGCTAGACACGGAAAGTGTAGTAGAGTTAGAAGCAAAAAACATAAATTAAACCAAAAGGATACCTATCTTCGTCATTACTGTTCCGTTATTTTATTCAACCATTAATTCGTAGGAAGCTTTTAGCACGCTTCTAGCATTGTCTTTGTTGTTGAAAACCCTGGCGATTCTCTCGCTTCCGACCATGATGTTACCAATAGTATCTCTGACAAAAACCTTGATATGCTCAATCATGGCAATCTCGTATCCCATGACTGACAGCAAAAAGAAGCATCCAACAATACAAATCAACACTGGGAACCAGAAAAACAACAACATCTTATCGTTATCGACTGTTTTACGTGGATGGTTGATGAAAGATATCACCAAGTCTTCAGAAGAGTCAGAAGTGTTTCCGGTGTCATCTTCAGCTGTCACTCTGAGGTGACTGCTTGAAGACCCAACAGCCACGCTCTCGTTCAAAGTTCTTTCTGCCTCGGTCTTTGGCTTGCTATGGAACGAAGCTGGTCCGAATGGGAACAAATCGTCGTATGATGGCAAAGCATCCGAATCGTCTTGATTGAAAACGTTCTTCACCTTTTGCCATAAACCTTGTTGGTTCAAAGTACTGGTCGATTCGTCGGTCCCTTCAACACTTGCGTCTTCAGGGACGATCGAGCGTCTTAAGATTGTGGTCGATACCTCCGAGTGGATGGACTCACTGTCGTAATCATCGTCATACTCCTCGTCATAATCATCAGTTTCTTCAAATTCGTCTTCGTTGGATTCAAATTCTGAATCAGCAAACTCGGATGAATAGTTACTTTCGTCATATGATGTTGACCCAAGATTAACACTCCTGTCGTATCTTTCGAAATCACCAGACCGCTTTGGCTCAACAGATTGCTCCATTACCATCTTAGAAATATGACGGCCATAACTCATAGTAAGCATGGAGTTTAAGGAGTCCAAACTGAGTGATTTAGTCAACTTGTCCTTATTGGAAGCCTTGGCAACTACGTTGCCAAAATCTTCCAGTTCACACTCGTCTTCCAACTGACTGAACATATCCAAGACATTCAAGTCACAGTAATCTTTCAAGTACTTTTCGTTAGACAATTTCAAGTTCCAATTGGACTTACAGTCAATGAAAAGTTTAATCAAATCACGGTGACCACACATTGAAGCCAAGAATAGAGGAGTTAATCCTTGGTTATCTTGGATATCAATCTTGCATCCATGAGTAATTAAGAACTTCACTAGTCTCGAGTAATTCTTCAATGTAGATAAATGCATAAGTGATTGGCCTTGGTTGTTGCATAATTGCCAGTTAGGGATGATAATTGGGCAGTTTGGTAAGTCAACCAATGAAAGGAAATTGATGAGTATCTCTTCGGTAGATAAATCAGATTTGGTTAACTCTTCTACCGCTTTATGGGCATTGTCAAACCATTCAATATTAGCTTTGTTCATAGAATTTCCATCGTAAGTAGAAGAGTTTCCATTCACAGCAGAGGAGTCAGAAACACTACCAGCACCGCCGGTATTATCAGTTCCGACAATTCTTCTGGCAATGTTCTTCGCATCTTCTAATTTACCATTCATTTTCAAACCCACAATCTGCAACGCCAACTCAATCAATTGTCTGTCTGTATCGTCGGTGTAGGTGAAAATTTGCAGTTGTTGAGCACTACCTAACATCATATCCTCGTGGCTTTCAAAGCTAACCAAGACTTGACCTGGTTGAGTTGCAGGAGGCAAGTAGGTCACAATTGTAGTCTCAGACCAACAGTGAGTAGCCAAAGCTTGGTTAGCACCAAACTTAACCGACAAACCAGGACGGAAGTTGAAACCCAACAAAGTAACTTCAATGCCACCTCTGATAGGTCCTTGTGCTGGAATAATTCTTTGGATGGAAGGTATAGTGGGTTGACTGGAACCTTGCAGAAGACTTCCGGGTTGACTCAATAAACCGAATTGATTAAGAGAAGCGGATGGCTTGAAGTTTGGTTTCATCATCGAGAAGTTGTTGGTAGTGGAAGTGTTCGTGTCACTGTTACTCATTGGAGAGAATCCATTAACACTACCGTTAAACATTGGGTTACTGGAACTGTTGAAAGAATCGTCAACTGATAACTTCTTACGCTTCAAGTTTCTTCCTTCAGATTGAGTGTGAGGCTCAGATGCTGATTCGTCAATAGAGTTAGGAGATAAGGGGTGGCCCAATGGTCCCAATAATTGTTCCGTCTGAGGTTGTATTTGAACATCTGGTTCAACTTTATGATTGTGATTAGGCGTACTCACACTGGAGGTCTTGGGGTGCAGGATGTTGTTGAACTCGTTATCGCTGTTGTTCGAAGCTATACTGTTCGCCACTGTTGGCTGCTTATCTTCCATATCATCATCATTTTCCATTTTCACGTCGACATTCATTGCCTTCAAATTGGTGCTAGAACCAGCTACCGAGTTGGGAACGGATTCTTCATTCTTATTGTTGGATGTGTTCTTCTTTCTGTCCATGATTATTATAGGTGTGGAAAGATGCTTGGCCACGACTTCGTTGTTCTTGTTCTTGATCACAAACAACAATTTGAAGCCGTTGGACTCTTTATGATGACGACAGTAACAGATGATTCTTGCAGAAAGTTCGAGGGACTTGCTCAAGTCGGTATTCAAGCCACTTGGAGGAGGGAAGGACATGATTTCTTTACAGTTGAATATTATGGCTTTCTTGATCATGGATTCATCGGCCCATGAGTTTGGATTATTCTTCACCATTCCTGTGGTCGTTGGAGTGTTGCCGTTGCTTGTGGAAAGAGCCTCCTGCCTGTCGGATTCGGACAAGCCAGCTTTTATTCTGGAAGCTCTCTTCTGCTCACGCTTGATACATCTGGAGCAGATGTTGCACGAGGTCTTCAAGTCTGACGTCAAAACATACGCATCCAAGTAGAACAAGTTGTCCTTGACTCTTGGACTCAACGAGTCCAACGGCTGGTTCAAGCAGAACTTGTTCTTGGAGATCAAGTCCTGGGGGATGTATAGTAATGCGTTAGGAGGAAGGGGGCTTAATGTGAACTTCAACTTGATCTGGGTCTCCACACGGGAGTACTTGGGGAGGTTGAACAACTCCAACTTGTAGGGAAGGCTGGCCATGGCTGCTGGCGAGAAGTCGAGGTACGACGCATCTGGCACGTCCAAGCTATCGGGACATGGATTCATGAAGTGGTTTCCGAACTTGAGTTTGCCCAACTCGTCGCGGATGAGATCGTGTTCCGACAACTGGGACGAGCTGAAGCCTGGGTAGCGAGGGTCGAGCTCGTCGACCGGCTGATCTCCGTCTATCGACGCGTTCTTGGACGTGATGGCTGTGAAGGGCTTGCGCTCGTAGGGACTGGTGTATACTCCCGTGGAACTGGCGCTTTCGTGGTACTGCGAGGGGTCCACATAGAGGTAGTCGCTGCCAGGAGTGGTGATCTTGTCGGAGGGACGGGAGTTGGTCAACAGCGAGCCTTCGAAGAGGTGGTCGGCAAACTCGGAGGGCTCTTGCTTGAGATGCACCGGCACAGGCGTGGTGGTGCCCAACGAATCGTACACCCGCTGGTCGAGAAACTCGTCCAAGATGTCGGGCTCTTCATGGTCGAGGTTGGTAAGAAAGTTATAGTCAAGCATGTTTGAATTTTCATCCATGATGGAGGAGGTCATGGTGAAGGAAGGAGTGCTTGGCTCGATGTGAGGATGGGAGGCACGGAAAAGGACGGCGTCTAATAGTGCAGGGGGTTAATCACGCTGGCGGACGAAGGACTAAAGACACGTATGGGTATAAAATGTTGTGGAGTGGAGCCCAGTGGAATGTGCCAGATTGTGGTGGTAGGCGGTGGCTAAAAAATGAGGTCTGTGGGGACTGTCTGCAGGATAGGAGGACTCCTATAGTCGGAGCAAATGTTGAGAAAAATGTTGGGCCAGGCGAGGGGTGGGTCGCGTGACGGGGGTCATGTGGACATGTGGGCATGCGGGTGTCATGCGGGCGCAGAGGGGTGTCATGCGCGGTCATGTGCGGTCATGTGAGGTGTCATGTGTCACCGCGCGGCACTGGCCGCGTGACAGGTGTCACGTGATACTGACTCACCTGACCCTCGTCCGCCACCCGTTTTCTTTCCCGCCTCCTCCACTGTCGTCCACCACAATGCCCAAGAATACCTTATACGTGACAGGATTCACCAGAGAGTCCAAGGCCGCCGACTTGGCGCCCGACTTCGAGAAGTAAGTATGATACGAGAAGACGCAAGAAGATGAGACGAACACGGCATCACGAAAGAGCACGAATAGAATGACAGGCAATGACAGGAAATGTCAGGAAATAACAGGAAAGGACAGGAAATGAACAGGAAATGAACAGGAATGATCAGATGACAAACGAAGACAAAAAGATGTCGAAAAGACGAAAGATGTACAGACCCCTCCTCTGAGAATCCATGGCATGTCTCTCTATCCATTTGTTTAGTGTATCAAATCTGTTTGCTTCCATTTGCCTGTTTTCTTCAATCAGCCTGTTTTCTTCAATCAGCCTGTGTACCCTACATCAGCCTGTTCGCTCGTCAGCCCGTTCGCTCATCCGCTTGTCTTCCCTTGCCCCCTCCGTCCCAGACTAACATCCAGATACGGCCAGCTCGTCAGACTCGACATCCCCCCTCCAAGAACCGACGATGGTGAAAAGTACGCGTTTGTCGAATACAAAGACTACGAAAGTTGTGAAAAAGCGTTGGAATTGGACGGCAAAACCCTCCCATGTTCCTTGAAGGATGGGTTGGTGGTCCAAATCGCCAGATCGGACCCCTACAGCACCAGAAGAGGCGCCTTCAGAGGCTCTAGAGGTGGCTACGGCTATGCTCCTAGAGGCAGAGGTGGTTATGGCTACCCTAGAGGTGGCTATGGCTATGCTCCCAGAGGTGGCTACGAAGGCAGAGGTGGCTATGGTGGTTATGGTGGCTACGCCCCAAGAGGTGGCTACGGTAGTTACGAAGGCAGAGGTGGCTATGAAGGCAGAGGTGCCTACGAAGGAAGAGGTGCCTATGAGGGAAGAGGTGCCTACGAAGGAAGGGGAGGTTACGCCAGAGGTGGCTATGGCAGAGGTGGCTATGGCAGAGGTGGCTACAGAGGTGGCTACGAAGGCGAATACTCTGACAGAGAATACCGAGGCGAACGTGGCTCCGACGGTGGTAGAGACTACGACTACAGAGGAGACCGTCCCGAAGGCGGCGAACCAGCATACGATCCTAGAGACGACAAATATGGTCATGATGAACGTGACAAATACGCCCACGACGATCGTGACAAGTACGATCATGACGACCGTGAACGTGAACCCAAGCCATCCCACGACGAGGGCCGTGAGGGCCGTGAAAGCCGTGACAGCCGTGATTACGGTAGAGGAAAATACTCCAGATCACCATCAAGATCACCCAACAGAGCAAGAGAAAGATCCAGATCACCAGAACGTTATTAAGTCCAATAACCGGTACGCTCATTTATCCTAGCTCATCCAACTTGTAAAATCACCATGAACCATCAATCGATTCGTAAATCACCGTCTATATCAAATCATTGTAAAAGTATTCCATCATCCCAATCCATCCAAGAATCCAAACATGTAGAATATTCAATCCCAGCAATCTCTTGGTCATAATCCATCCATTTCCATCGATTGCTACAATGAACAGTACATTACTGCATGGTCAGCATTATATTGATAATAATCTATAGAAGCTTCGATCGCATTACATCATGTTAAGGCCAGTTGAAATGGTTCCCATTCCAAAAACACCTGCGTTCATGGATACTCGATTGAATCTCGGGCCACCACCAGGGCTCTTCGAAACGTTTTTATCACATACCTCCCATAATGTGGATATGATACAGCTCAAGACCAACGTATCCTCATCAACGAGCAAAGTAGAGTCCTTATCGGTATGATTTGCAAAGTCCTGGTACAATTCTATTTTACCAGCATCACTAAACTTTTTGGGGATGATTTTCGAAGCTCGGGAGAGTGAAGATTCGCTGAAAGTTCCAAACGGGGGTAAGTTATTGCTGATGTGCTTCGCCAAACCATGGAAGCTGATGCCCGACCGTTCGTCTGTAATCAATGGGTTCGTAGGACTTGGGATAGGATTGATGAATTGGGTGGGGTCCTCTACCTCAACAGCTTGTGGTTCTTTGGCTGGCTGTTCTCCATCGGTGCTTCCCTTTCTTTTTATAATTTTCAGAATCTCAAATCCTGGCTTTCCATCTTCAATATTGTCACATAAAGAGGGCATGTCATCGTCGAGAATCAAGAGCTTGAAACTGGGTCTGGTGGCATTGAATCCAGCAAGCACGGATGTTCCTGTGACTCTGAATCTGGTGCCCTTATAATTGAAATCACTGAACGGTTTTTCAAGGTTCAGGAACAATACGATTTTGAACTTGGTCTGACCCTGCTCGTCGCAGAACAGAAAGAGAAATCTTCGAACGTGGTGGACGAATTTGGAGTAAACCATGCAGAACGGATACGTCTCGTAATCTTCCTCGTTTTCACTCACGTTTGCTTCCACATCCAGAGGTCGCAACGGGACTTCACGGTACCGTCTGAATGTCATGTGGGGGGCATTTTTTCGAAAATTCAAGTACGGAACCTGGATTTTGAATAGAGGCAAGCCTATGCCTAGCTCCTTGGATTCTGGGGGGATTATATGAGTTCTGGAGTCCATAGTGTACCCGGACAATTTGGCGAGCTCAGAATTGGCAACTCTCCGGTACTTGTTGTTTGAATCGCAGATGATGGACTGGTCCTTGCCGAGTTTTTTCGTTCGCCTGAGGTCCTTGAACTTCTCGAACGACGTCTCGGACGTGAACACATAGCAGTTGTTCTTGAGGAGCTCCTGCACTATCACCAACTCTCTCTTGGCATTGAACACCGATGTTGGCTTGTTCATGATCTGGATGCCCTCGAGAACATGGTCGTCGTTCAAGATGGTGGCTGCGTCGTCCGAGCCGCTGGCATCGTCATCTTCCTCTTGTGGCACGCCTTGCTTGGCGAGCATCTGTTTGATGGTCTCTTTCTGGGCCTCGAGCCGAGCTTTGCGTAGCACAAACGGGTAGTAATGGGTCAAATTGGCGTCAAACGACTCCTGGAGCTCAGTGTGCTTGGGTTTGTCCTGGAGCAAGGTCTCTGCCTCCGACAACGCCACAGATTGGGCCACGGAGGACGTTGGTGATAAGTCGTAGGTTTCGTCTTCGAGAGCAGTGTCGTAGGCATCTGAGACATTTGTAGTACTCTGCTGGGGATGGTTGGGGCCATTGGCTTCGGTGGCAGCCCTGGGTTTGCTGTTCTTGTTGAAGATTCCCATTTGACGGAGTTTGGGACGGATTGGTGTAGGACGAAGGTGTGGATCAAACGCGCAAAAGGGACTCTAAAAGTATGCAGACAGTGTGGGGAAGTAGTGTGGAGCGTGGTGTTGCCTGTGAGCGGAAGGAATGTGGGCCAGGCAAAGCGGACGAATTGGCACTGGTATATAAGCACCTGGCAGAAGTCAGACACCGGTGACCGGCAAGGTATGGGTCACGTGCGCGGGATCCTGATTAGATAGGGCCGCGACAGGGCCGTGCGTCTGGTGCGTCTGGGGAATGGCTGATTGCGGAGCGAAATGTGCTACAGCGGAATGCTCCCAATCGGGAAGCGGGCTGAAGTGGGGCGAGATGGCTGTGCTGGGAGAGGCGGCTGAGTGGGGGTTCATTTGGCACCAATAGGACAGGTGCTAAGCTGTCAATCCTGCAAATTGGCTGAGTAATGATGCGCCGCAGCATATGCGTGAAATACGAGATCTGCGGCACCACAGACGCAGACACCGCGGACGCATTGGCGGGAAAGTGTCGGGAAGACACCAAAGTTGTAGTGTTTTATCTGGTGATAAAGAGCCAGGCCCTCCTGGTTTGCACTATGACGTACTTCATGTCAAACACGGGTTGAAGTCAATTATTAGTAGGGCGAACTTTAACCTAAATATCAATGAGGCAAACTTTAACTAATGGATGAATATTCGCTTTGATCGTTCACATGAAGCAAATAGGCTATTCTACAAAGCAATAAAATCGTGGAGTATTGCCATGAATAGCATAGTAGCCCACGCACCCACTTTGGAACCAATAGATAAAAAATGACCATGTTCTTATTCAGTCCTTTTACCTAAATAGATAAGACCCTCCGGTAATTTTTTATTTCCATATTGTCCTTTGGCAGGTAGCACCCAAAAGTGCTTTAGGCTACGTTTTTGGTGGACTTTGAGTCGTTTCTCTGATTTAGAAATCCGTCATATTCGAGTGAGAAGATTAACTCTTATTGGACTCTTCTCTTAGTGATGCACCCACATTAAAGCATTTATCGATACGTGCATTCAACAGTTTCAGGATGGGGGTTCCGGTTTGCTTCCTTCAAAGTTCCCCCAGTCTTGTTGATGCAAAATTCCAATTTTTTCGCAATTTGTGCAAAATCGTAAATATTGAACTTCCATCATATATAACCAAAAACCACCATGTTTCCTCTGTGGCCCCCTTATTCTTCTACGGCTCTGCATCAATGGTCCCTTCTTGTAACCTACATCTAGACTCCAATTTAATCAATTATTTTACCCAACTATCTAACATGGGCCTCTATGTCTACATCTCTCATCATATCTTACAATCTATTTCCCAGTATACCACAGTCGTTATCGTTACATGAATTTGATCCGAGGCTCCACCTCGACCTCTATCGAAGGTCTAGGTCCAATCTTGAACAGCCTCAACACATTGTTTTCTTTGTCCACAGCATCGGATACTGCCGCCAAAACTGGCTTTTTGCCTTCGGAATCCGCCAGCATTTGGTCTTGCGAATTCATTATGTTCGAGTCAACCAAACGGCGCAACTTGGTGGTCTTGGTCAAGCTCTTGATCAAGTGGTCCTTGTCCTTAAGCAACTCCTTCAACTGGATGATCTCTTCCTCTTGCTCCTTCAACAACTCCTCGTACTGCTTGTTGGTGATTTCATCATCATCCCGATCTCTCTGGGATTGCATTTGCGAGCCAGAATTTTGCATCAACGACACCTGCTGCTGACTCGATTTCACTCGGTTCTCAAGATGATTGATGTATGATTTTTGCTCATCCATCTCGTAGTTGACTCTCTTATAGAACTCTTCGAGATTGGCCATCATTATCTGCAGAGACTCGGTTCCAGAACCTAAGATATCGTTCAAAGTATCATTCTTTAAGATAATTGTCTCTGTCTTTTGGAGGTCCGTTAACCGTGTTAAATGCTCTAGCTTTTCATTTAACAATTTGTTTTCGGCTTCGAGCTGTGCAATCTTCAAGTTTTTCTGTGCAACAATCGAATCAGAAGAACCGACTGATCCAGTAGCCACTTCTGGCAGGTATCCATTCATCTTTAACATTACTATTTCATTATTTTGGTTTTCGATCGTCTTCTTCAATTCCTCAATGAGCTTCATCGATTCTGCGTCTCCAAACTTGGAAGACTTGTTCTGTTGCACATTCATCATAATATCCTTGGCTCTGGCTGCGAATCTTAAGGTGTTGTATGTCTCTGAGGTAAACTGTTGGTTACTAGACAATGGCGAACCAATATGGATAGTACACAAGATCAGAATTAAGGATGACCCTGACAAAGCTGGCTGTAACAAACGCGTAAGCTTGGAATCTCTATAAGGTATGTGATCCGCATTATTTGTGTTCGAGGCCATCGATAACTTGTTGATAACCGTTGACAACGCAAGCAAGGACTTGTTAATGAACGAGCCTTCTTTCCTTCTCTCGAGACTTGAGACTGCTCTTTCTGAACCTGCCAAATCACATAAGGAGAGGGTGGAGTGGGTCTCTGTCTTATTCGACAAGTTAATGGTATTCAATTTGATCTGGAGAATGGAGTGCGATCTGGAAGAACGGGTGTTGAAGTCGGTTGCACTGGTTTTACGGTTGGTGTCACCTTTTGATATAAGCTGAAGTAGCTGTTGCTTGGACCCGATCGTGGGGGTGGTGATGCCCATGATTCTGGTTCCAAACACCGGATCGTCTCTGATTTTCAAGTCACTCTGGGTGATCGAAGGCTGCAACAAGTCGATGATCTTTTCGTTGTAGATCTCCAAGTACGTCATCTGGATGGTGTGCTCCTTGTCGATGGAGTCCGAGTCGATCTTTTCAAAGATCGCATCCACTGCCAACGAGATAAACCCTGGGTCCTGCTCGGACCCTCTCATGGAGAACGTCTTGCCTGAGCCAGTCATACCATAGGCAAAAATTGTGCCGTTGAAGCCTTCGTGGAGGAACTTGTCGACGATGTTGGAGCACGATCTCTGGTACACTTCACGATTGGACAACGACGAGTCGGGTGCAAAAACGTTGTCGAAGCTGAAAGACGCCATGTCTGTGGTGTTGGTGATCTTTCCCGCTGGTGACTGGATCTCCCAGGGACTGTTCTGGCTGGGATTCACGCTGTAGGGATTGGGTCTGATGGATACAGTGATGGAGCCAGTATACGGTTCTGGTCTAGCCACGGCTGAGGGCGTTGAAGGACGGCTTCCAAAGTGTGCCATAGCTGAGCTGGGCCTGGAACGGGTCACTGGAGCCTTGGGAGAACCTGGTCTGAGGGTTCTTGAGGGAGGGCGTCTCAAATCAGTCATGTTGATTCTGGGCTTGGGAGGAACAGGACTGGATTGTGCGGCGGTTCCAGTCCCTCCTGACAGCAGGAAGTTGCCTAGCGAGGACCTGGAACGTAAGGGCGTTCTTTGGGACATGGACATGGCGGGTGCAACGTTGAAGACAAGATAAGGGAGTGGAATCAGGAATGGGTAGTTGGTTCGGAAAGATGTGTGGGTGGGTTTGTGTCACTATTTAGGTGCCTAGATAGGGAAAGTAATGAGAGGGCCGCACCGACACGAGCTCTAGTCACGTGATCCAAATTAGGCGCAACTTGGGGGAGCTTTGGCGGGACACCACGGGGGTCTAGGTGGTTGAAAGAGGTTTGGATACATTTAACAAAGAAGCCTTGTCGATACATGGAGCTTTAGGCCTCTATCGGTCTTTTTTCGTGCTGTTTCACCACTGGTACATCTATCGACCTAGGCGGCCGGAACTCAATAAGTCACGTTTTGCCCTCGGCCCTGGTCTCGATTGTAGGTTGTCAAGTACCAGAAAATGTCCAAGCCTCGAATTGACGAAGCACCGGCAAGGAAAACGGTGCCAACTCCAGGAGAAAGCTTCTTCCATGCGTTCTCGTCCCCATTGTAGAGTTACTCTAGTTGAGGAGCCGTTATAGTAACTACAAATTAGGTAGTATAAACTTTTGAAAGTCCAAGAGGAAAAAGTTCTGTAAGCCGGAAAAATCCAGTTGTCTTCATTATAAGTGCTGGTGCATAATTTCAAGGCAACAGGAAGGAGCAGCTGAAGTTTCTGACTGGTACTAGTTCAAGTAATTATTGGAATTACAAAAGCTTTATTTACGATAATTAGAACTTCAAAATGTCACCGCATTCATAACTATAACTCATTCTACTTCATCAAGTATAAATTATAAAATAGTAATAAGTACCTATACCTATTCCTCTATACATGGCTTATCAGTCACATCCCTAGCGAACCAAATAGACCACTGACCATACTTCGAGTTCATGAGTGTTCCTTCTCTTTCACAGTCTCTCTTGGCCATGATTGCCGATCTTATATCGGAAAAATGGACTGAAAAGCTCAATTTTCTGGATATAATCGGACCCAGATAAACAACCTCACCATAGTGTGAAAATTCCTTCTTGATCTGCTTGATATCAAGACAAGTGGAAAAGTGTAGTTCTGGATCGGGGTAAAAGAGCTTTTTGTTGCTGACGAGGACTTTTCTAGGTACAGTTTGTGCAAAGATTAGAATTCTTCTAGAGCCAAGCTGGGTTATTTCGTTCATCAACCCTTTGGATATTGCGGGTTGGTGACATTTTGCGTCTGTGGTAGAACCTAAAGCCCAATCTGTCTTGACCTTTACTCCGTTTATCACGAAATGGCCTGTGTTATTGCAATAGGAGTAGAATTTATAGGCATCCTCTGGAAAAATGAACACGAGCTCCAAGCTGGGCAGTTCTGAATCGTGAAAGGCCAACCTTTCCAATGGTCCTCCACAAACTTGTGACAAGACATTTCTGAGGCTACAACCTTTTGGAATACAGCTGAGTACCACCGTTCTGTTTTTGAAATCAGGTTGCGTACTTTCATCCTTGTGCACCGCCATTAGACGGTACAATTCCTTAATGCGTAAGTTGTCCAAGACAGGAATCCCCATTCTAGACTCTTCATCTATGACATGCGGCAATTGGGGCTCTCTGGTGCTAAATTGCGGCTCTACCCACCCACCCACGGATCTGGAGCATGCTCGGACTAGACGACTTAAGCTGGCTGCTTTGATGGGGAATTCCTGGTACCACTCGGAGGTTGTCGATTGTGGATCCAGGCGATTGGTAGCAAACGGAAGAGCAGGTCCCCTGAAGTCGGTAGTCCGGACTTTTCTGAACATAGCAATGATAATGTGTGATTGTGATTTCGCAGCTATTTGTGTCCGTGGAAAAATGGTGCAGCGAGGTTCGATACAGAGAGATAAGAACTAGAGACTTGGCCAGCCAATACATTAAGTCTTCAAACTCCCGGTGATGACTTCTTTCCAGAAGCTAAAACCCTTGTATATTAACAATTGTTACTTGAGTCCAAATTGAAGCAAATTTGGTCCATTTCCTTGAAACAAGACCCCAAAATTTAGATTGCAACTCACCGGAGCAGCCATTCTGTGCTTAACACCAGCTCAGCGGGAAGAACATCTTCGTTTGCGTGCTCGACAATGCAACCTTCCTGGAATTGTGATCTGGCATTTCGAAAGATATGTTCCTACACAAAAAACTATACAAGATCTAACAAAATTAATTTCAAGGACAGCAAGCGCCATTCTATAAGCATGTAGAGCTTCATGCCCAAGTCAGCTTCCTCCTTGCATCTTTACCCTCTACCATTTACCCCCTGTCCCCTGCCCCCTAGATCCACCTCTTCGCTCATCTGTCTCGTGCTTCACCAACCGCACCCAACTCATCTCATCCTGCATGCTTCCCGCCAACTTTTCATCACCAGATACCCCATGAGGTCCAAATAACTATCCAGCCTCTACACCATCGTCAAGTCGTTGAAGCCACCGTTTCTCCCCCACACCCTCCGAATGACAGAAAACACCACCAAAAGACCCATCGAGAGTGCCCTCGACGAGGCGTCCAAAAAGCCCAAGTTGGACCAGAGAGAGCGTGCCTTGAAGGTGGTCCAAGAGAGCCAGGTAGGCATCACGTCGTACATCAACGAGAACAACCGTTCCGATGGTGGGTTCATTGGCAGCATTAAGCAGCTCTACGCCGACTTCCAGGTCAACGAGATCGACATGGACGGCAAGGTGGTCCACCTTGAAGACGAAGGACTCGACTTGGGAAAGAGCAAGAAGGAGCGTCGAGCCGAGAAGAGAGAGCAGGAGAAGGCCGAAACCGAGGACATGAGTCCCGAGGAGCTCGAAGCCTACAAGGAGAAGAAACGGGTCGAAGAAGAGGCCAAGAAGGCAGAAGAGGAAGCCAAACCCAAGTACACGTTGTCGGACGAGGACCGCAAGGAGCTCTTGACGTTGATCTCTGAGAACGAGTTGGCCCAGGTCGAACAGTTGTACACAACTGGTAACAACATGCAAACCACCACCGTGTTCAATGACAAACAAGTCAGAGGAAAGTTGCACCAACTCTTCAGATCGGCGTTCCAGGGCACCTTGGACACCATCACCTCACCAGAGAACCACTTCAACATCGCTCTCGCCAAGAAGGGGCAGGGAAGACACAAGACCAACCCCCAAGAAAGCATGCACCATGTGGACGAAAACGGAGTAGTCAACTACGGATTGGGACCTTTCAAGCCGTACTTGCACTTCACCGTCTACAAGGAGAACAGAGAGACCATGGAGGTTGCATCTACCATCTCGAAGTTGTTGAGATTCCCTCCCAAAGCCATCAATTTTGCAGGAACCAAGGACAGAAGAGGTGTGACTTGCCAGAGATTCAGCATTCACCGTGGAAAGGTCGTCAGAGTTAGCTCGCTCAACAAGGCGTTGAAGGGCTCCACCTTGGGCGGATTTTCCTACGAGGACAGGCCCTTGGGCTTGGGTGACTTGAAAGGTAACGAGTTCGTAATCACCATCAGAGATCTCCAAGCTGTGCGCAGCGAAGACAACGTCGAGCAAGTGGTGGCTGAGTGCTTCGACTCGTTGAAGGAAAAGGGATTCATCAACTACTACGGAATGCAAAGATTCGGTTCCTTTTCCATTTCTACTCACGTTCTCGGAGTTCATGTGCTCAAGGAGGACTGGAAGAGTGTTGTGGAATTAATTTTATCTGAACAAGAAGTAGTTGCTCCCGACTCAGTGGAAGCCAGAAGGATCTGGGCCGAAACCTCCAACCCAACTTTGACTTTGAAGAAAATGCCCCACCGGTTTTCTGCTGAAAGCTCGATCTTGAAGGTGTTGGAGAAGGAGCAGTTGAACGAGGACGAGGAGTACGGATCCAACTCGTACTTCAAGGCAATCATGGCCATCCCCAAGAACTTGAGAATCATGTACGGCCATGCCTACCAGTCATACGTGTGGAACATGGTGGCCACCAAGAGAATCGAGTTGTTTGGCTTGGAATTGCAGGTGGGAGACTTGGTGGTGGACGACACGCCAGCAGTGAAAGACGAGGACTTCGAAGAAGACGTCGCCATCAGCAGAGACACCAAGGTCAAGCCATTGACCCAGGAAGACATCGACTCGGGTAAGTACTCTATCTACGATGTTGTGCTCCCAGGTCCAGGCTACAAGATCCAGTACCCCACCAACGAGACCTTGAGGCAGGTGTATGTCGACACCATGGCCAAGGATGGCTTGGATCCATTCAAGATGTCCAGAAGAGTCAAGGAGTTTTCTTTAGCTGGTTCCTACAGAAATTTGATGTCGAAACCCGAGCACCTTTCCTACGAGTTGGTGAGATATTCGGGCGACGAGGTTCCTTTGGTCAGAACAGACATGGAGATCTTGAAGCAGAAGAAGGAGGGAGTTGAGGCTCCTGGCAGAATCATCAATACTTCCCCGGATGGTGAAAAGTTGGCGATTGTGTTGAGCATGCAGTTGGGTGTGAGCAGTTATGCCACCATGGCCTTGAGAGAGTTCATGAAGGCCGACACTGCCCGTTTTTCACAGGCCATGATGGCTCCTGCCAACTAGAAGCATTAGATGAAGACGAAGAGAAGCTAGGCAATTTTATGATCCAGGATGTAACTGAAATGAATTGTTTATAGGATATTAGAATGGAAATTATAGTAATTTTTGAGATTGTTGGCAAGCTCCATTGGTTTTTGAACTCCTGTATCGTTCTAGTCCAGACATCATCATACGGACTGTGGAGGGTCTATTCCCTTCAGTCTATAATTTGAAGCAGAATGTGCCTATTGTCTTTAATGAGCTCAGCAAAATAAATAAAAAAAAGGAGAGCAGATCATCGAGGATCAACATAACGTTGTAGAATTTACAATGAACCGTATAGAGAAGAGGTCTCTCATCTGAGTAGGTTCTCTCTAGCTGAAGAATCAAGAATTAAACCAACATCGCAGGTGATAACGAGTATTTAATATGTCGTAGTGAGACATTTATACATAAGAATTATTATCTGACGGCTCAAACCTATGCTTGATTACGAAGAGCCAATTGTTCATTAAGACTCCTGATTATGTGTTGAGAGAGATTATTGTATTTTATAGATTCAGAATTCGGTGTAGTTGCATTAAATCGGAGTAAACAGTCCCGGAATGATTCAATTGACTCCTGTAGTCTCTCAATCACCAATATGGTCCCACCATTGAACCGGGTCTGCTTGTCACTAATGGTAGAATTAACCAAAATGCTACAGTTGCATGCACAACGATCAAACGGAATGATCCAATACCAACACTCCAAGTCTTACAAGTATAGTTTTATGCTAGTTCAACAGTCAAAAGGATAGCCAGCTATAACTAATGTTGTCCATACAGTCAAACATTATCAGCTATAAATAATGTTGTCCATATAGTCAAACATTATCAGCTATAAATCCAATGAATCAGGTAAAGAAATAAAACATAAATGCAAAGAACATTGTATGGTTTTAGTTAACATAAACCTAATTAACTACTTCATCAGTAATTTGTGTTGTCCATACAGTGAAACATTATCAGCAATAACTCCTAACGTGAACCACTATCTACATAATTTCTAGTTTACTATCATTGAACCTGTTGCACCATTCTGGTGGTTTAACACTGATAAAACCTCCACTGCAATCCTCTGAACTCTCCGATGCGCTCCATGCACCGCATGCCTCAAGTACTCCACCACCAACATTCTGGACCCATCATCTAACCCAACAAGTGCACTACTCCGACTCGCACCGTGGCAATAATCTTATCACCCCACGTGACCCATATATCAACTGATCCAATCGCTGCAAACTTCATTCTCCCCCCACATTGCAATGGCCACCAAGTCCTTCCTCTCCACAATCTCACCCACAGCCTACAGGGCACTCCTCTCCACCGCTGGACGTTCTGCGTCTGTGGCGCCCATAGACGCCACCTGGTACATGCCAAACAACCCCAAGAATGGCAGGGACGAATACCACAAGGAACGGATCGAAAACGCCAGATTCTTCGACCTCGACGCCACCTCGTTGCCAGGATCCAAGTACCCGCACATGTTACCCAGCTACGAGGATTTCACGCTGGCAGTGGCGCAATTGGGCATTTCGTCCAAGGACCAGTTGGTGGTATATGACAAGTCCGGCATTTTCTCCAGCCCCAGAGCTGCCTGGACATTTGCGCTCTTTGGCCACCCCAAGGTGTATCTCTTGGACAGCTACGCCTCCTACAAGAGCGGCGAGTACCCTGTTGACACCAAGGAACCTCTGCCAACACCCAGCACCGAGGCGTACCAGCCAATCTCCAAAGAGCAGTTTGCCCAAAACTACCAGAGCCAGGTGATCGAGTACGACGAGCTCTTGGAATTGGTCAAGTCCCACCAGTTGGGCAAGCAGTACATTACTTTTGACGCCAGATCGAAAGACAGATTCACGGGTGAAGCGCCAGAACCAAGACCAGGGTTGAGCTCGGGACACATTCCTGGCGCGTTGTCCTTGCCGTTCAGCAAGCTTCTTACCGGCGAAGGCACCTACAAAAGCAAGGAGGAATTGTTGAAGGTGTTTGCGGACGAGTTCGGGTTCGACTTGAGCAACAGCGACTTCTTAGAAGACAAGAAGGGTATCATCGTCATGTGTGGCTCGGGAGTCACTGCCGTGATCTTGAAGTTTGCCATCAACTCCATCATTGGTTTGGACGTTCCTGTCAGGGTGTACGACGGCTCGTGGACCGAGTGGGCCGACAGGGCCCCTACGGAGTACATCGACAAGAGCGAGGTGGCACGGGAAAGTGTATAATCCAAATTTACCAAAAGCACATTGTTGAACTATCAATTGTAGTATCGAATTTACCGTGATCGAAACACCAAAAGCAAGTGTTCTATCCAATCAATTACAGGCCATAAATCGACGCTGTTCAAATTATCAATTGTAGTCTCGATTTTTCAGAATCACCTGGTGAGTTCCAGCTGGCAGCAATCCTGAACCAAACTCAACACTGCTCAACTATCAATTGTAGTCCAATTTTGCCGTGATCCAGAATCACTAAAGCTACACTGCTCAGCTAACAATTGCTCAAACTGCCGATATTGCGCCATGTAAATTAAATACAACTACAACAGCAGTCTTATCTATTCAGACCTGCACCACTCCAGGAACATCATGTGCATTAGAAAAATGTATATATGTATGATCATTAGAACGCTGAACGCAACATGTATAAAAACAAATGAGGATCTGAGCCAAGCTCACCAAAGACAAAAACCAGAACGTCACTGCCCTACTAGAAAGCAGTAATGGTGAAGTTTTGAACTCCCCGTGCCCGCCAGTATGGAGTCAATGATTGGAAATAAAGTGCTAGGAATGACAGGAAAGCGACTTGATACGCGGATGGAGGAGACATGGAATAAGTGAGAAGTCGTGGAAAGAGAAGGTGTGGAACGACTGGAGGAGAAGGTTGAAGGTAAACCCATTGGAGAAGGACCATAATTAATTGCTATCTGAGTATCTGGACTTGAGTATTCAAGTTTTGCTGAGTCAGGTCCACTAATTGCTTCTCGTCCCACTAATTGCTTCTGGTCCTAATTCACCTCTGGGGGCGCCATCGACAAGAACTTGTACTTCTTCTTGGTCACGTCGTAGCAGTCCTTCAACGCGTCATCGTCCACGAACCACGTCACCTTGCCTGCTGCGCCCTCGTTGACGATGGAGCTAGGCAACCCCTTCTCGGGTCTTTCCATGATGATCCGCATGATAGGCGCCTTGGTCAATCCCTCCACTACGAAGGTCACTCTGCTGGCATGACATATCACGGGAATCGAGAGAGTGATTCTGTTCTCGGGACCTGAAGGCGCTTTGGACACAGGCATGCACCACGCCAACTTCTCACGCAACTGCTCCCCGTGGTTGGGGAAGAGGGACGCTATGTGGCCGTCAGGAGCACATCCCAACAACAACAAGTCGAACATGGGCAACTTGACCGAGTCCTTTTTGGCAAAGTTCGACACCAAAACCTTCTCGTAGTGGTCTGCACACTCCTGGGGGTCGGAGATGAGCGACTCGTCGATGTGGAACACACGAGGCTTGAGGTCGCCTTGGATGTGGTCGAAGATCTCACGTTTGGCCTGGCCATAGTTGGAGTCCTGCGACTCGAACGGCACCAATCTCTCGTCGGCAAAGTACACGTCCCACTTGTCCCACTCGATAGAGCCGTCGTTGCGTGACAAGAGGCCCTGTTGCAAGATCTTGATCAAAGAACCGCCCAGAAGCGCGATCTTGAACCGAGCCTCTGCCTTCTTTTTCTTTTCCTTCTTGACCTTGCCGTTGCCGTTGGCAATGGGACTGGCAGTGCTACGCCCTGGCGATGGTGTGGAGAGGGTGGCGGTGCTGTCGGTCAGCGCCAACTGGGGGCGCTGGAGCAGTTGCTTGAGAAGTGCGATCTGGTCGGTGTCCAAGGTGTTGTACAAGGCCATATTCTGGGCGCTGATCACATGGTCAGCCACTGCGTCGGCGACGCCCACGAACTCGGTGAACGAGTATATCAATGGGACGGTGGTGGTCATGTTGGTGGATTGGTGGTGATCTCGGGAATATCGGGAATATCGGAGTCTCTGAATGGGTGGTGGTGCTGGTGGTGCTGGCAGCAGTGGGTGCTGTCGGGGGTATCGGGACGATGGGTTCAGCGGGGGTCGGGACTAGAGCTGCTGGGCCAGGAATAGGTGTAAAAACTCAGTCACAATTTGGCTAACATATGGTGGTGATTTGGGCCTGGGATTGAGAAAAAACGTTAGACGCACGATAAGGCCAGAGCCAGGGATGAGTGCCAGAACAGAGCCAGAGATAGAGGCAGATATAGAGGGGCTGGGGGTATTCTACCAGGTTCTGCCGGTTTCTACAGGCGTGGGGGTGCTGGCATGGTTGCCGCGGAATGAGGCCCTCCGGTGGCAGTGGCTGGCGGGAGGTGTCCCTACGAGTTGCTGGAGATGGTTGCTGAGTCGTGGTGCGCGGGCCCAGCGGTTTTTCGGCCCTGGCAGCTCCCGCCAGGATATGCTGGGACGAGCATTTCACGTGCGGTGCGGGCGACAGAACCCTCTGGAAGGGATTAGGGGCAGTAGCCATGACGAGCACGATCACCCAGGCAACCAGGGAGTTGGCCAGCGGTGTCACGTGAGGTGTGGAGCTGATGGGGGACAGTTGGTGGTGGCGGGTCCACCTGCTGGGGCCGCTGTAGTATCGAGGGGTCAATGTCAGGCAATTCGCTTCGGAACCGCCCGGTACCATTTGCTCGGAGCTGTCGGTACGGAGCGGTGGTACCGCGAAGAAAATTTTATTTTCTGAAGAGTTGCTAATATAGCTTCATCATCTTCTGTTTTGCGCATAAGCAGTCCCAGTTATAGAGCCAACCACTACAGTCGAAGAAGTCGTACAATTGTTCACATTTTTGACTGGATTTTTTGTCCATTCTGTGCTCCTATAAATTTTCTTTGTAATTTTTTGATCCTCATGTTGGAGAGACACAACTGTTGTTTTTCCTACCTCTTTCTTAATTGCTGATGGGAAGTATATATTATTGTAACTACTTCTATTTTAATTGTAAACAAAATATTAAATTATCTTCTTTAGGTCAATTTTTTGTAATTTTAGTATTGATTAACATTATCAACTTCTCATTTCTAGCTTTAATTCCGCTTTTCCTCGCCTTCGTATATTCTGCATTGAGAACCTATCTGAGACGGTCTCTCGTTGTTAAGAGAATTATTACTATATAGTTCGCTGAACATCTCCGGGCTGTCTTTCACGTTAGGATTTTTGCATTTTCGGCATATTTTCACGATAATAGGCAAAAGGTCAACAAAATAGATCTTTCGGCAAAGCCCTTCTAGATCCAACGGCTTTCAGCAAGTAATACACTGGCACAAGATCCAGTAAGACTAACGATGTTACAGTTGATCTCGACTTGTATGCAGGAATGATAATTTTGGGGCCATCTGTGTTAGAATTTCTATTCTTGTGTGCAGGCTGGAAGTTTACTTTCTGAGGATAAGACTTTTATAGGTAGTTATATATCTAATTATATAATATCACACAATCTAATACTATATTGGCACAAGGTAAATTATAGAAATTTACTGTTAATTTATATTAGATTTCTTTTCTTTTTCACAGATTCCTCCGGGTGTTTGTTCCCAAATTCTCCGTCTCAAATTCTCGACACTTCATGGAGTTTTCTTCTCCATTCGTTGGTCGTATTACCACATGTATTCATTTCTTGTTTCAGAGTTTAATGTCTTGAGTTCATCCTTTCAATTCGCGGTTCTGGACCATGATCGACTTCATTCCATACCAGTTTCAAAATCGGTCGTGTTTGATCCAATGTCGTTCTTTTGACAATGTCGTTTAGGCATATGTTCCAACAATCTGGAGGTCCCAAGATGAACCACACAGGGTAGACCTATGGATTATATGCAGGTCGTCTATCTATCCACAAACTGGCTCTACTGTGCAATCCACGCCAGGCTAGTGGCTGCACAACATAACCCTGTCACTTGACCAGATGTTGCTACCACAACTGACCTGTTGCTTCTATCGCTTGCTGTCACGTGACACGCTTCATGACCACCAGTCCTGCAGACAGTCGCCATCAACCAACACCCTGTACTCACACGTGATAACTATTGGCTGCCATTAACCACCACCACAACATGATCAACAATCACCTCCAACTCACAGCCCATCTAGCCGCAAACTACGTGGGCTCGCTCTACCCAACCTGTAACCAGTTCCGCAAGAAAAGTGTCACGGAAACTGACCAGTTAGTCCAGTTCCAATTGGTGGAAGGCGACCTCCAATTACTCACTATTACAGTTACAGAATTGAGCCAGCAATTGAACGTGGTCAGCTTCGTCCACGGAACCCCCAAAAAGGTCGACAATGTCACCATTGACTGGAGCTTGAACGACCTCATTGACCACGAGATCCAGTTTCCCATCAACGAGATCAATCTCTCCAACGACTTGATCCAGGCGTTCAACAAGCGGGTCCGCGACAAGACAGGCTCCGATACCGAGCTCAGAAAGCTCTTCGATCGTCCTGTCGAGGTCCCACAAGAAAAGCCTCACAGAAAGTCCCCCAACCCTCGTTTCAACGACGCTGACCGCTTGGACAACTCTACTGCTCCCACAGGCACCCACCACACAAGACCAGCCGACATGCCGGACTTTGAGGACGAGCTTGAGATCAGGGCGCCCCCCAGAGGCACAGGATCTGCTCTGTTTCCTGCTATTGGCGACAGAGACTTGAATCCACCAGGATTGCCCAAACACCCCGAAATGAAGCCCTTCATCGATCCGTTGGGTTCAGAGGACGGGGGAATGTTCCCATCGCCCCACCATCCCTTGTTTGGCGGCCGCCCTCAGGGAGGAAACACCTCTAGATTGGGGGTGCCACCTGGAGCCCGTTTTGACGACCCCTACGGCGAGGACGACCTCGATGCGCTTGGAGCAGGCTTGCCAGGCAACGTCAGAAGTTCCAGTGCGTTTGGCTACGGCCCTGGTCCTGGAGGTCCCGGATTCGGAGGCCCTGGAGGTCCCGGCTTCGGCAGCTCTGACCACGGATTCTAAGTTTGGCCAGCCGTTGGGACACTTTTGCCTTGAGAATGTCAATTAATGAATTGCTGGTTTTAGGCAGTTGGGAAGACACCATTCCTGTACTCTGGCAAAATGACGATTACTGACGTGAGCCGGCTGGTTTTGAAGGAGTGCCTTTGGGATACTTCCTGCCATAAGAATGACAATTACTGTACGTGGAAAGCAAGGAAGTGCCAGTTGTCTGTGAATTACATCTCAGGGAGTCGATTACTGTACTTGGAAACGACTTTTTTGGGGTCAGAGGAGCTGTTTCCTGGCAAATACAACACTGGCACACTCTGGGGTAAATTACTGAAGTGAAAACAACTGGTTTTGAGACCAGAGGAGACGTTGTCCGGGGAAACACAATGCAGCGATACCCCGGAGACTGTCAATTACTGGACGTGGAAAGTAAAGGTTCGAGGCCGAGCCGTTGGAAAGCACCTCAGCCATCTCTGGGGAATGTCAATTACTGTACGTGGAAACAACCTGCGGATGGAATCTACACGGTGGCCGTTCTCTCTGCCACTCAGCCATTCCGCGATTCTGCCATTCCTCTGGTGAGACAATTACTGTACTGGGAAGCAGGTCGCTCCAACGACCCGCGTCCATGCCCTCCGCCGCCTTCTGGACTGGCTGGAGTCGTTATATAGATCTAACCACATTATCTGACAGCGCCCTGGGCCATCAACACTTGCCCAAACAGGAAATAGCTGATGTATACTATTTTGCGCACTGCCACATCAGGAAGTTATTGCCTGCGTCTCCAGTACGCCCCCAGCGTCAGATGCATGCGCTGGCACCAGAAGACCCAGTAAGGCCACAACCACCACCGCCTTCAGAGCCTACTGCCCCTTACACACGCCCCTAGCGGTCCACACACACCCTGGTCAGTGGCGGTGGGGATCGCCAGTGTTCGTGTCGTGTGAGCAACTGGCGTTCCCCACCATTCGGGGTCCATTCGGGGCGCGGGTAGCCAGATCTACCCTTCGTCCGACAATTTGGTTGCGGCCATCCCTTATCGTACAGGGAGGCCTGGGGATCTGGGTGGAGGATAGCAGCCGGAGTAGTGACTATGGAAGTAGATGTCCACTGTCGGTGTCACTGCCGGTAGTGTTCTCTGCGTGCAGTGCGTCCTGCTTCCTGCGCAACATCCGTCAACCACCATCGGCTGGTCCACACCGTACCCACCCACAACCACCTCCCCGAACAACCCCATGATCATCCCCCTCCCCCTCGCCAGTGACCTGCTTACCACATCAACCATGACGTCTTGCTCCGTCGTTCCCAGGTTGCCCCTCTGGGCCCGTCAGGTGGAGTAGCCCACCACAAAGCCGCACAGACGACGCACCTGTATACATCACCTGCCCAAAAAGGATATTTCTCCATCTCTACATAACTTTAGTCTCCAGGCATGAAACGATGAGAAAGTAGAAATAAGTGGCCAACCCTCGCCCATCGTCCACTTTTCATTTTCGTCCTCTTCTGCTTGTGCTCCACCGACACCACTTATACCCGTGTTTATACCCGTCGTGTGCCGTACTCGCTACCCTTAGATCATCCCTGCCTGGCTTATTCTTTCCGTTTTTTATCAGTAAGAATAGTCCCACTTTTGCAAAAGTACTGGCACTTCAAAAGACCCACAAAGTCCCAAAGTCTCTCAAGAGCCCCACGAAGCCCACAACAGGCCTCCCACAATACCCATCAACAAAGCTTGCTGGACACTTCGCTCGTCCCAGCCCGCACTGCCAGTCACTATTATTAACCAGGTGATCCCAAGTCCATAACCCCTGGACCACAACAAAGATCCATTATCTGGCTTTCCCCAGCTTGTGTTGTTCCTAGTTCCATCGCTAGCCATCATTCTGTGGAGTTTCTGCGTTCAGACCAGCTAGCATTGTTCGAACAATAGACTCATTGACAATTACGATTGTTGCCATCCAGCTCATTACCTTGCCATTTGCAGCTTGCTCGTGGAGAACCTTCACCAGCCCTGTCTAATATAAAAGGACATCAGAGTTTACATCCAATCTTCTGCTAACCCGTGCTAATATCCTGCTAATACCACCGTACCATGTCCAGACGCACATACAACAACTACATCCCAGAGTCCTCCAACCAGGACGACGGCGACATAGAAGACAACTACAACCGTGGCTCGGAATTGCCTGAAGAGTACTACTTGCCCAACTCGGCTCCCTACAACACATACATGAGACGGTCCTACCACTCCAACCAGCCCCAGCAGAACTTGCCTCAAAGTCCTCCTGAGTCCCACCAAAGAAACCCTTACAACCGTCCCACCCACTACCAATACCTGACCCACCTCGAGCCTGCGCAGTCCAACAGCTCAGACACAACCACTACTTATGTTGATCAGCAAGTAGATGGACCCTACGAGCAGCAGACGCCAGTCCGTGCCAAAAAGAACAAGAAGAAGCTCGCGAGAAAGCCTCCCAAGGAAGACGACTTTGTCAGAACTACCGTCGAGTCCATTCTGTCCCAGACCAACTTGGAACCCCAACAAAAGCCTGCTGGCTCAAGCTTATCGTTGGAAGCCCAAGATGGTGGCATGAAGAACGAGTCCAGATTGTTCTCGTGGTTGTTCTCCAAAAAGGTTCCCCCTGTGACTCCTGAAGAGGAGCGTATTCCTTACAGATGGACCCAGGTCAATCCCTTCATGCGTTTGGGTTTCTGGTGGTTGTGGCCCATCTTGTTGAAAGGGTACAAGAGAACCTTGCTTCCCCAAGACTTGTGGACCTTGACTCCCGAACTCACCACCAAGGTGATGCACGATGCCTACGAAATCAACTTGAACAACCTCTTGAAGCAAGCCAAGGCTAGACACTTGAAAAAGAACCCAGATTTGACCAACTTCGAATGGCCTTCTTGGATTGTCGCCTGGGCCTTGTTCTTGACCTTCAAGTGGCAATACAGTTGGAGTTGCATCTGTTTGGCGCTTTCTTTCTGTTGCCAGGCGTTGTCTCCCTTGATCACCAGAAGATTGATTGACTTCGTCGAATTGAGATTCTTCAACATCGAAACAAACTACAACAAGGGTATTGGCTACACCTTTGGCTCGGTTATCTTGATCTTCTTGAACGGTCTTACCGTCAACCATTTCTTCCACTGTGCCATGATGACTGGTGCTCAATCCAAGGCTATCTTGACCAAGTCGCTTCTCTTGAAATCGTTCACTTTATCGGCAAGATCAAGATACATTTTCCCAATCGGCAGAATCACTTCTTTGATGAGTACTGACTTGTCCAGAATTGATTTGGCCATTGGATTTCAGCCCTTGATCATCTGTTTCCCTATCCCTGTTATCATTGCTGTTGTTTTGTTGTTAGTCAACATCGGAGTTCCAGCTCTCGCAGGTATTGGTTTATTTATTGTTTCATTGGTTATCTGTGTCTTGTTGACCGGAAAATTATTCAGCATCAGAGAGACTGTCGTCAAGTACACCGATCAAAGAATCGGTTTGATGAGAGAAGTCTTGAGCAACCTCAAAGTCATCAAGTTTTACGCTTGGGAATTGGCCTACAAATTGAACATTGCTGATGTCAGACAAAAGGAAATGAAGCACCTTTTCACCATCAAGGTGTTGAGAAACTTCATCACTGCCTACGCTGTTACTTTGCCAATCTTGACTTCGATGGTCTCGTTCATCACCATGTGGGCCAGCAACAGAATGAAGTCTCCCGGTGAGGTTTTCTCCTCGTTGAGTTTGTTCTCTATCTTGGCCCAGGCAATTATGCTTGTGCCTGTTGCCTTAGCTACTGGTGCCGATGCTTACATTGGTTTCACTCGTGTCACTGATTTCTTGAGTGCTTCTCAGTACAATGAAGATTTAGAAAAGAAGTTGGATGATGCCAACGAAAAGTTTTACATCAACGCTGGCTCTCTCGCTTATGGCGAAGGAAACTCCTCGCAAATCAGCCAAAGATACGAATCCCCAGACCCAACTAGTGAAAACGCAATTGAAATCAAAGATGCCCATTTCATTTGGGAATCGTTCCATGATCAACTCGAGGCTGATGCCTGGGATTTGAGTGAAGAAGCAAGAAAGCAGAGAAAGCAAAAGAAAAAGGAAGAACAGGCTCGTCAAAAGCTCATGAAGAAGGAAAAGCATGCTTTGAAGATGGATGAAAAGGATAACTTCTACTCCAACAATTCCAATAACGGTTCCAATGCTTCCTACTCCGACAAGTCCATCAACCAGTTCCCTGGTTTGACTAATATTAACCTTGACATCAAGAGAGGTGAGTTCATCATTATTACTGGTATTATCGGTTCCGGTAAGAGTTCGCTTTTGAGTGCTATGGCCGGTTTCATGAAGTTGAACTCCGGTGAGTTAAATGTCAACGATGACTTAATCTTGTGTTCTAACCCTTGGATTCAAAACGCTACTGTAAGAGAAAACATCTTGTTTGGAGAGCAATTCGACCCAGCCTACTATAAGAGAGTTATTCATGCTTGTGCTTTGGAGGAAGATTTGGATATCTTGCCCGCTAGGGACTTGACCGAAATTGGAGAAAGAGGTATCACCTTATCTGGAGGTCAAAAGGCTAGAATCAATTTGGCCAGAGCGGTCTATTCGCAGAAGCAAATCTTCTTGTTTGACGATGTTATTAGTGCCGTTGACTCTAGAGTTGGAGGTCACATTGTGAAACACTTGTTCCAAGGTTTGTTGAAGAACAAGACTGTTATTTTGGCTACACATCAACTTGGTATTATCGACAGTGCCGACAGAGTTGTTTTCTTAAACGGTAATGGTTCAGCTGATGTTGGTACCGTTCCTGATCTTTTGCAGAGAAACGAACTTTTCGAAAGATTGATCGAATTTTCCAAAGACCATGAAATCAAGGAAGCCGCCGCAAACCCCGACTTGAACCCTGAAAAGATGAGTAAGGGTGAAGAAGTTCAATTGATCCAACAACAAAGTTACACCGAACAAACAGGTGAAGATGATCTTTTAGGTAGAATCACTCTCGATGAGGAATCTGCCACTAATGCTATCTCTTGGGATGTTTACAAGAAGTATATCTCCCTTGGTTCTGGTATCTTTGGATGGACTGCATTCCCTGTCTTCATTGTTCTTGTTGCTATCGCTACCTTTTTCCAAGTCTTTACCAATACTTGGTTGTCTTACTGGATGGAAAAGAAGTGGAGAAACAAAACTGACAAATTCTACGTTGGAATCTATGTCGGTCTTACTTTCCTTACTGTCATTTTCACTGCCATTGAATTCACCATGTTAGCTTATTTGAACAACAATGCTGCCGAGCTTTTGAATGTCAAGGCAGTTGCAAAGGTGTTGCATGTTCCAATGAGCTACATGGACACAACTCCTATGGGAAGAATCTTGAACAGATTCACCAAGGATACTGATACTTTGGATAACGAAATCTGTGAACAAATGAGATTGTTCATCTTCCCTCTTGCATTGATCATTGGTATTGTTGTGTTGTGTATTTCCTATTTGCCCTGGTTTGCTATTTTTGTTCCATTCTTGATTTTCGGTTTCGTCTTTTTCTCGAACTTCTACCAAGGTTCGTCAAGAGAAATCAAAAGATTGGAAGCCACTCAAAGATCTTTGGTCTACAATAACTTTAACGAAACTTTGACTGGTATGAACACTATCCAAGCTTTCAGAGCAGAACATGTCTTCGTGGAAAAGAATGATAGATTCCTTGACAACATGAATGAAGCATACTACTTGTCTGTCGCAACTCAAAGATGGTTGTGTGTTCACTTAGACATCCTTGCCAGTGCATTTGCTTTGGTCATCTGTATGCTTTGTATCACTGAGCAGTTTAACATTAGTGCTTCGTCGACTGGTTTGTTATTGAGTTATGTTATCCAAATTGTTGGTTTATTGTCGTTGACTGTCAGAGCCATGACTGAAGTCGAAAATGAAATGAACTCGGTTGAGAGATTACACAACTACGCATTCGAGTTGCCACAAGAAGCTCCTTACCAGAAGACTGAGTTTACTCCTCCAACCGAATGGCCTTCCTCTGGTTACATTGAATTTGACCACGTTTCATTGAAATACAGACCAAATTTACCCCACGTCTTGAAGGATATGAATCTCTTCGTTTACCCAGGTGAAAAGGTTGGTATTTGTGGTAGAACCGGTGCTGGTAAGTCATCCATCATGACTGCCCTCTACAGATTAGTCGAGTTGGACGAAGGTAGCATCCGTATTGATGGCTTAAACATTGCTGATATGGGCTTGCGTGACTTGAGATCTAAGTTGTCTATTATTCCACAGGACCCTGTGTTGTTCCATGGTTCAATTCGTAAGAATTTAGATCCATCTAGTCAATACTCTGATGACTTGTTATGGGACTCGTTAAGAAGATGTGGCTTGATCGAAGATAAGGATTTACCTAAACTCATGAAGGCCAAGCACGATGTTGAAAACAGCGTTGGCTATGATGATTTACACAAGTTCCACTTGGACCAACTTGTCGAAGATGATGGTACTAACTTCTCACTTGGTGAAAGACAATTGATTGCTTTAGCCAGAGCTTTGGTGAGAAACTCCAAGATTTTGATTCTTGATGAAGCCACTTCTTCAGTCGATTTTGGTACAGATTTGATGATTCAAGAAACCATTGCAAGGGAATTCGGTCATTGTACCATCTTATGTATTGCCCACAGATTGAAAACAATTGTCAAGTACGATAGAATCATTGTCATGGACAAGGGAAAAATTGTTGAAAAGGGAACACCTCGTGGTTTGTTTGACGCTTACGACCACTTTAGAAGCATGTGTGATAAAGCCAATATCACAAGTGAAGATTTTTAATAGTTTCTTCTCGCATAATTATTTCGCTGTACATTAATTAATGTTATTTATTAGATTCCTGTAGATGAGGCAATATTATTTTGCAACCTCCTACGCTAATCAGCTAGAAAATAGCATGTTTTGCCATATGTGTTGCATAACCCATCTGCATTGCATAAGCACCTGCATAATCATGAGCGTTGGTTTATGACAGCGGAATGTTGAAAATATGGGTTAATCACAAAAAACATTTATTGAACAAAAAAACTAAATACTGGGGTAAACATCATAGGGGTATCTAAAGTCTTCCACGAAGACTGAAATCAAACTGTAGTTGTTGAAACGACATAGGTCTACTTACACCTAATGTTGAATCTTGCTAACACAGTAAAAGATTTGAGAAACGGACGCATCGTTCATCAACGAGTACTGGTCAGAATCTTCACAGTAGTTGGAAGGAAGGTCTTTTTTGACGAGTGAGAAAACATTCTCCTTCTTGTGGTGCTTTCTTCTTCCCCCATACTTCCAGATAGTTTTGGATGGGTTCGAAGTCGTGATTCTTGAGGAGAAGCTGCCAGAATCACGCACTTGGAAATTGGCGTGAATGTTCACGGCTTGTCTAATCACCTCAGTTTTGATGCTTTGGAAAGCACTCAGGTACGAGTAGGAAGCAGAGCCACTGGTTTCGGTGAGCAAGTCAACCAAACCTCCAAAGAATAAGTGGGAGTAGCTCAAACGGTTGTTCCAGTATCCGTCAGCGTTGTAGAAGACACCCTTGGTGTTGAGTGCGGATTGGGCAAGCTGAACGGCTTGTTTGAGGATCGAAGCGCTAGCAGTGCTCTTGTTGATAATAGAAAGAGTGGAAAGCATAACACCAACGGTGTAAGACAATTTACCCTTGTTGATCTCGCCGGTGTCAGAGTTCAACCCGTCGAAAATCAAACCATCCTTCTCGTCAACGAGAGTCTTGAAAACCCAGTCAGTACACTGTTTGGCAAACCCAATAAGCTCAACATCTCCGGTGATTTGAAACAAGCGAGCAGCAGCCAATGCAGCCTCGAGGGTAGAGATGGAAGCAACGTAAGGTGCTCCGAGCTTCCAACGCACACCACCAGACTTTTGCACCCATTGAGCTTTGATTAACTGAAAGAGCGACTGAGCAATTTGCAAGTGGTCGTGGTTACCAGTCTTCTTGTAAGCATCTAAGAAGACCCACAACACTTGAGCATTGTCATCCACGTAAATATCTTGGTCCTTGGCAGTGGTCAGCGAGAACCAGCCTTCAGAGTTTTTATATTCCAAACAATTGTTAATAACCTTGGTAATACCAGCGTCATCGGAACTGGCGGTGATGGCCCTTCCAGTTACGGCAAGATCCCAGATAGAAGGAGAGTCAAAGGTGCTGTTCAGACAGTGGAGTGCCCCGTCACTAAAAGAGGACTCGGAATCACTCCAGAATGTGCCCCATAATGTATTAATAGAACCGGAGAATGCGGCGGATGCACTGAACGATTGATCACCACGGCGGATGGGAACGGCCAGAATGAAAGCGAATAGGTAAAAGAAGGGAAGCACAAGCATGAGTAACGAATGTTGGTGAGCGACGCTGATTCTACAAACTTTTGGGGCTACTTTGGTTAGGTTTATATACCACTCGGGAGGCCATTAATAGCTTTCTTACACACCCAGCGTGAAATTAGAAGATCCAGTGGCCTGAAACGTATAAACGGTACAAAGCCTCCAATCACTGGCGAGTATTGGCCAAGAGACACCCGGAAAATTGCACTCGGACCTCAAGTCAACTCAATTGTAATTGTGTTTTGGTAAATAATGCGTATCAGAACCTCACGTTTGAATCATTCGCTAGCTTTAACTCCCGCCAATGCACAGTGCGCACCCACAATCTGAAGCGCAGGGCAGATGCGCACTGCTAGTAGGCACTTTAGTGGTCACTAAATTTATACTTTTAAGTGCAGTCGCTAAAGCAGGCTTTAATATGCACCGTAAGGGACTAGACTGGCGTTGACGTATTTCGACGCGGCATCCAAACCCAATTTGATAAATGTGGATGCATCGGATATCCGGGCCGCTGCACAAGGTGTTTTCCCTTGCAGGGAGCGATAAATAATACCAGGTACTCAGATTCTATGGGTGATGTAGAAAAGCAAGTAGGCATTAGAGGTGGTCACCTCATCCTGGGAAACCAAGGTGATCACGCTGTCATCAAATTTAAACCACTGACCTGCGCCGTTCTTGATGAGCACAATATAGTGCCCCGTGTTGACTGAACCGATGTGGCACACCAACGCAAATAACTCATACACCTTTGTGCCATCTACTCCCATGGATGCACCTGCATCGTATGCATACTTAGTTAAGTTTAAGTACAATGGGGTGATCACCGGCGTATCTATTTTAGTAGGAGTCTCATTGAAATTATGCTCAAATCTCTTTAGTTGAATAGAAACAACGGGAGCTAACGTCTTGATTTTCAAGGACTTGATGGCTTTAGTTTTTTCGCCGCAGCTTCGGCATGTGTACATCACATCCAACTTCTCTTCCAGAGTATAGAGGTCAAGACAGTCGTACAATGTAACACCCTTTTTATTCTTCAAATGATTTATCTCCAAGGATAAGTCCATCATTGGATCGATAGTTCGGGTGACTGACTTGCATGACAAACACTGGATTGAGCTCTGGAGCTCTCCTGCAAACGTGGTGTGAGTGATGCAGGTGCATCCCGAATCCGAGAGGCTGGGACTGGCGTGGCCAAGATTAGTTTGAATTCGCTCATGGTCCAGGTGAAACTCGTTGAGGATAAATTGCCAGAACTCGTGTGCATCCTGTTCCTGAAAGCCTGCCAAGGACTTCTTCTTGTACCAGGCAGTGGTCAAAAGGTTTGTCATTCCAAACCCTTCGTTCGTGCCTGATGTGTAGAAGTTTTGGAAAATGTTATCGATACTGCATGTGATGCAGGCGTTGTACTCGTCAGCCGGTTCGCCGTCGTTCTTATCGCAATTGAAATAATGGAAATCATTATTGAAGAAGCGATACTTGACGAAGGGGTTGTGGATCAAGGTCTGTAGAATCGAGCTCATGAAACAGGTTGCACCCAAGTTGACAAAGCCCTTCAATCCACTGATTGTCTTGATTGCGGGGTCTGAGTAGTTGTTGGCAATCAACTCAGTGTTCTGGTCGGAAACATGGGCTGACGTACCATCGGCGATTTCGCTCCGGATCTGCTCTAGCTGGGGGTGGTTAACGTAGTCCCCGCACAGAAAACAGTAGAGGAGCCCGTTGTGGGAATCGATACCGAATAAATGCTGTTGGAGTTTGTAATGGGTGTATGCATGGTTGTTGAAGCACCCGACGTGCGGACACTGCAAGCAGATGAAGTTGTGCTGGAAGTTGTTAAGCGAGCAGTCGCTACACTTCAAGGATTCCGACTTCTTGTGGATCAACCGGTTATGCGGTATCTCACCTCCGTCTTTCTTGGAGCGGTACACTTTGTCGGGACTCACCGATTGTGCGATGATCACCGCCTGGCGATAAGTCAGAAACACAGTTTCTTTGGCCTTAGAAGCGAGAACTGACTCGACGTGGTAGCAGGGGCCGATCAAGGCATAATTATCGGGGGGAGGAGTCAGTTCAATGGCTGGACGCGTGGAAGGTCTGGATGAGGATGAACTGAAGGACGATGCTGAAGACACCCCATACTGGGATGGCCCAGGGGTGGTTTTTCTCGAGGTAGACATCGCCGCTGGACGATGCTAGGAATGACTAATAAATGCTGGGAGGGTTCATATAAATATGAAATGCAAAAAGACCGGACTGAAAAGTCGCCAAATCAGCAGCAAGATCGTGGCGGCAGTTCTTCGGACACACAGCAAAGGCTGGGTGAGAGGGCAGGGTGTGGTAGATGGCGGTGCCTTATGTCAGGCTGCTAGTAGAAGCAAAAAGGGTGGGCGTTTCGATGGGGAAATTAGCCTGATGGTAGCCTGCAAACTTGCGATGGTGATAGGTGTAACCTGTAGATGGAATTATCGCAACGAGTAAAGATGGGATTGTCGTGCGAGAGAGATAAGTGCAAGTTGGGGAAGCAGGAGAGGGGGTGAACGGGACCGGACTGGACTGTGGGCTACTGCTAGTACGGTGTAGATGGCTTCGGTGATGGACTCGGGACCAGAGACGGGCTGGGTGATCTGCGTGTCACGTGACCTCTGTCGAGGGCAAGATCGAGTGGGACACAAATTTCATGTCCATTGTGAGTAGTCTCAAATTCTACAGTGACACGTGAGATATAACGGAATGTATACTATGCTAGAAATTCTTGACAAACGCACCAGGCACGTCGTTGAACACCACAGCCAGGATCTCCGCGGGGATCTCCGGAGGAAACTCGTCAAACATGTTGTTTGATAGCTTTATGAACGTGAACGGTGCTCCATGTAGTGTCTCGAAATTTATCTCTTTAAAAAAATTCCCAGTTAAATCGAGTACCGTCTGCAGCTCCGTAGTCTTGCTCTCTTCTTCAGGGTACAATTCGAACGATTTGCAATAAAGCTTGTTGTTACTCAAATTTAGGCGGGCCAAGCTGGGGGTAATTTTCATGCTCAAAGAATAAATACTGCAATTTTCAAGATGAAGCTCAACCAAGCAAGGTGGGGTAGCAAAATCAGAAGTAATGGTACCGAATGAATTATTGCTGAGATCTAATGTTCTGAGGCCCTCCGACAATGATACTTCACAAATATTCAGAAAATTGTTCCCTCTTAAGTTCAAATCTTTCAAACTGGCTGGTACATTGACATCGAACTTTTCAATGAAATTGTCACTCAAGTCTAACGACAACAAGTACTTGGGAAGTTCAATGCCCCTGACTAATGTAATTTGATTTTTCAGGAGATTGAGTTGCTCAATGCTATTATTTGGGTCAATCTGACCAATATGATGCAACTCATTTCCCGACAAGTCGAGTGTCTTAAGAAGAGCCTTGGGTGCAAATTTGATGTTGAGATCTGTGATATGACAATTAGATAAGTTAAAATCAACCAAATTCTTAGAAACCCTAACATCTACCTTCGAGATGGGACAGCCATCAACCTTCAACTTCTTAACATTTTCTGTTGCTGAGAATATCTCGGAAAGATCAGTAAATCCAGTGCAAGAAACATCTATTTCCTTGATCGAGTCAGAAAATTCGACACTATTAAGACCTGAATTTTTGCATAGAATCAACTCTTCCAAATTAGGAGGCGATTCAAGGCGCCCTACCATAGTGTTATCACTCATATTTAATACCTTAAGGGAGGTTAGCTGTTGAAGAATATCATTCTCGATTTCCGTGATAAAATTTCCTTCCATGTTAAGAGTGTGTACATAGTTTGGCACCCCTGAAATGGATTGAATCTCATTGAACGAAAAATCGGCATGGCGGAGCGACTTTGAAAACCTTATACCATCCAAGCTTTTGAGCTTACATTGAATGATTTTTAGAGTTGATAAGCCCCTCGGAAAATTGACTTTTTTTATTAGATCCGTAGCCTCAACATTCTCAATATGTAACGCCTTTAGTTGACTAAATGTAAGGATGCGTTGCTCCTTCCATTTTCCTCCTCGAACTTTTAACTTTCTTAGACCACTTGGAAAGGCGACTAAATGGGACGAAACCATGCAATTTTCGAAGTGCAATTTCTTCAATGATTGTGGAAGTCTCAAGTTCCGGGTAGTTTTGAAGTCGAGGCCAGCCAAGGTCAATGTTTGAAGTTTTGTGTTCTTTTCAAGGTTTGTACTCATAAAAAATTGGGAGGTTAATTTTAGCTCTCTTAGTTCGGTAAGACCAATTAGGAACTGTTCTGTTCTTCCATTTTTCACTAGTTCAATTAGTTGAAACTTGCCCACGCAAATATGAAGTTGCTCTAGCCTTCTGGTAAGGTTAAACTTACTCAAATTCATTTTTTGGCAATTATAGAATGAAGCTGATTTCAAAGAGGGCACAAGAATAAGGTTGTCATCTAAATCAAGTCTGTTTGCTAGTACAAATTTTTCCAAGGATGTTGGCAACCTGATTGCTAAATTATTTGAGAGTTCTGACATGGCAGAACAGCTTGATTTACAAGCATCTTTCTGATCTAATACTAGTTGAAATAGCCCCAAAATTTTGATACGATTATAAAACGTTCCTAATTTCTTGAGTTGCTCCAAAATAAATCTGGAGTTTTGCTTGTCATGTGTTCTGAGTTTGACTTCGATGTGATCCAATCTCAAAAGGAAGAATTCATTTGATTTGAGTTGAGATATCGACGATACTGTATCTTGAAAGGATTTATAGGCTTGTAGATCCACAAATGAAAAGTCAAGATACAACCTTATTTTCCTAGCCTCCTTGTACTCAAAATTTGAGGCATTGGCAAAGAGATTCAAAATTTTGGAAGGGTTTGACACCTTCTCCGATATGTAAATCTCAGTGGTATCCATTCGAACTTCAGGCAGCTTTTGCAAATCAAGCTCACATAACTTCTGTGAATGATCTAAAGGATTTGCCCTATTTGATATTGTAAACAATTGATCATCATCTGATTTTATCCATTGCTCTAAAAGTTCATCCGTTAATTCTTTCGATGACTCTGCAGAATAAGAATCATCCATTTCAAGAAACGAATCATCATTTGTTGCGTTAGTTCCCCTTCTCAGTATTGGGTCAAGGATCAATTCTTTCACTGCGGGTTCTAGTTTCAACTCTTCGTGGACAGGATTAATCAAGATATCTTCTGATAACATGATAGACTCTTGGGTATATTCTTCACTGCAGATAGAATCATCGAGGTACAGATTGTTAGCACTGTTGTCGTGGAAATCTTCAAGTTTGAATAGATTTTGCCTCGTTTCGATCCCAACATTCTTACTGGTTCTGTGATAGTCACTTTCGTCTGCCAACCCACTATGTTCCTGATTATCGACATGTGTCATACACTCTCGTTCAGATTGGTTTCGGTTAATCAAATTCTTCGCTTCTAATACATTAATTAAGGCATCTTCTGGAGTTTTTGGATGGAACTGGTGAGCTTTAGTGGACTCGTCTATACCAATTCTCTCTGCAAGCTTGGCCCCTGATCCTCTTGGCTGCGAAACTTCAGATTCGTCTATGTTAAAGTTTTGGCAGCTTGGCTCCAAGGCGACATCAAGGTCAGAGAATGAAGTTTCATCTATACCAACATCAGAACTAACACTTACATCTGTTGTTTCTTCCTTTCTATCCATAGTGGCAAAAGTGCTTCCTGCCACTACATTTATTGGATTCTTGGGCATCAATGAACCTTGAGAAAAGATTCCCAATCTCGAGACAATAGAAGGCTTTTTCCGCAAATCATGTTTAGCTCCAAGCACATCTTTTTGGGTGTGGAGTGTTTCTAAGCTGCCACTATGGCCATTTTGAAAAGGTGAGGATAATGCATTTGATATTTTGGGGGCTGAATCTGATCCTTCTAAACATTGCAAAGTAATTGAGCTTGTAATTTCCTGGTTACTCGCGACACTTAAGGGAGTTTTTTGCTTTTCAACCTTAACTGTTGGCCCAATTAAAGCATTTTCATCATCAACCACGATTGTATCGTTTGAACTCTCCCAGGGTGATAACAAGTTAGAATCTGCTGTTTCTACTAGAGTCACATCTTTTTGATCGTTATTTTCATCACTGTTAGCTGGAAGATTTCTTTCTTCAGTCTCCAACTCTTTAAGCAATACTTCGATCTCATCGCTTGTCAATTTATCCAAAACCTCGTTTATCTCACTATCCAAAGCACTATCAGCAGGAAACTCTACCCTGAGAGCCTCTGTACTGAATTTGCTAATGTGAGGTGGACTCTTGGACTGATTCATTGAATATAATCAAATTTGACTGGGCTGTTGGTGTTCAAATACTCAGAATCACCCCAAAAAGCATTTACAAATCATGATAAATACATCAAATAAAAGCCCCGAAAAAAAGGGACGTGTTGTTTGTATTATTTGCCTAAACTACACTCGAGCAGGATAACCGACATCAGACATTAGGCCATGCATTTATTTTCAAAGCCAGGGTACCTGAATAGGCTCGTGTAGATCACGTGTGTAGACATGTGATCTAAGCGAACAATCCTAACTTGAATACGGGGACCTATCGACTATAATTTACGTGTTTGTGGCATCTGCCAGCCTACCGGCTCCTTTACGGAGTTGCTTAACGATATGATCTATTTAACTAATCGTAAAAATCGTCTTCATCGTCATCTTCGTCATCATTGGTACGGCCCCTCACCGACTTCTTCACGAACCTGAATTTTCTTTCTTCTTCCAAGTCCTCATCTTGCTGGTTGGAGACTAATCTTTTATCGTGCATCTCCACTGCTTGAAGGTCAACTAGCACTGACTCCAAGTCTTTCACTTTGGTATCGTTACCGCCTAATTGGGTCAAGGTGATGAATTGCTTTAAAACTGCGGTCTTGTGGTATATTATAAGGGTAGGGCAGTTAGATTCGGGATAGTTTTCGATACATCTATTTGCTGGGATTTCGCAAAACTTGATCTCTGGGAATTTTTGAGCAAGAGTAACAAGGATAGATGAAAGTAATCGACTTTGTAAGCTGGACTGTAAGGAAAGATGTATTAACACGAATGACTCGTTGGATGCTTTGGTGACTTCTGATTCATATTCGTTTTTCGAGATTGGCATAACTGACCCGAATTTCTTCTTGTCAGCGAGTTTTTTGAGCTCTTGCATTCTCTTATTCTTGTAGAAGTTGAGAAACTCTTCGTCTTCCTCATCTTCTAATGCATCCAACTCATCCAAATCCTTTGATTCAAGTCTATTCTCGTGCTGTCTCTTGACTGCTTCGTCAAGTGCAGCCTCCAACTCGGCTGTTGGAGAAGGGGGTCTCTCAGGTATGATTCCATGGCTTCTTAAGATATCATTCCACTCGGTATCCTCATCAGGATTGACCTCCACGGGGACTTTGATGTTATCCATTTTGGTGACGTTCACACCAAGTGAAAAATCGATTTTAGTGATTGAGTCGCGTGATTTGGGTCACGTGCTTCATTTTGTCACTGAGGAGCTGTCGAACTCCCACTAGAAGTTATTTGGGGTAGACCTCTACTATAGAAACAGCTAGGTTGGGAACGGTCACTAATCACATCCCTACTGCCTATTATTGATGACAGTCGCTGATGAGTGGCAAGTTTGTGTGAAGAAAACTATGTAAATTTCCCTACTCTCTTAACAGTAAGCCTACGATTTTATCGTTCCGCTCACCTGCTGATTCAGTCGACTAACCTAGCATAATTGGAATTGAGCTATGAATCCTAGTAAGTCCATCTTTTTTCAGGGAGATAAAAGTTACCTGTAGCTGTTCTTCTTAGTTTTCGCTAACTCATGGAATTGTAACCTTAATAACCAACTACAACCGAAATGACTTTTAATCGCCAATCTACAAGTTGAATATGTGTTCTTACAGAAGATGAAAAAACGCCCACTTTTCACTACTGAACTAGAAATACGCTCAGGAGACTCTTCGGCCTGCTGGTCCCATTTCCGTTTTCTTGGCCTCTTAGTCGGTTAGATCGTCTATGGACTGCTAGCGTCGGTTTTTTCTCGTCTGTTCCTTCTGGCCTGTTCCGTTCTCCCTGCTGGTCCCGCTGACCCATTTCGCAGCTAGGGTGGTTCCGGGTGCGATCGGACAATCCCGGATCACCACAACTCGCTCCAAACGGTGAAGTCTTCAGAGTATTGCCAGCCCAACAGGTCTTGTCAGCCCAACAGCACACACACAGGAACACTGAACCACCGCTTGCCCCGGAAAGAAACAGACCTGCTTCACCACAAGCCTCGAGGGATGACAGGCGCACGTGACCGGCTGACCCAGTGCGGCATTATTCTACTATTGGATAAATAACTGTTTATTATTATGTACATGACCGCATAAGTTGCTGTATAGAAATAGATCTATGAGAGGAAACATCCAGTTTCACACCATTTTCGCATGAGCTGGCGAGCTTACTTGGTGGCAGAGATCAAGTAAGTGACCAAGTCGTTTCTGTCCTTAGGCTTCTTCAAACCACCGAAAGCCATCTTGGTACCTGGAATGTACTTCTTTGGGTTTTCCAAGTAGTCGGACAAGGTTTGAGCACTCCATTCAACACCCTTCTTCTTGTTGGCGTCGGTGTAGGAGTAGCCTTCAGCCAAACCGGACTTTCTGCCAACGAGACCGTGCAAGTTTGGACCAACCTTGTGTGGACCACCTTGTTCGACGGTGTGACATTGCAAACATCTAGTCTTGAAGAGAGTAGCACCCTTCTTTTCGGAACCTTTTTCGTATGGAGCTGGCATTGTAGTTGTGGATAATGGAAAAAACTGGTGGTAGCCGCTGGGCACCCCCATCCTTTTATACGCGGAGTTTCGAAAAATTCCTCCAATCGTGCAGGTAATTGTTAACGCGTGGCCGCTCATTGGAAGATGTGCAACCTGCAAAATTGCCGTGTCAGACATGACACCAGATGCCAGCCGGGGTTTGAGATTACGGATGTCGGTGTATCCACACAGGGGGTTCGGGAAGGAGCCAAGCAGCCTACGAGGGTGTATGTGGCCACCAGCTTGAGGCGCAAATGGCGCACCCGTGCTCACTTTTCCCCGGGTGGCTAGACGGCTACCCATCAATTCCACCCAGCACAACCTGTAAAACCCGCGATGACTTTTTGCACCCGAGTCATCCAGCTGGTTTTGTGTGGTGTGGCCGCCGATATATCCGGAGAGAGCCCATTTGCATCCACAACCATAGAGTCACGTGTGCACATGCCCGTAGCTCTCCAGCCGTCAGTTTCGCCTGTCTCCGTCACCATCCATTGGCAGTATCCCCAAACTTGCCGTACTGTCCGTGGAGGCTGCTGTGGCGCACGAGCCGCTGCCTGTTTGGTCGCAACCATCTAGGTTGCTTTCTCTTTTGGGACACGAACGTGACTTTTTCAGCCACTCTCAGACCCCGTCGGATTTCCAGTGGTGTTACTGGTGATTCGTGCAGGACTCCTGGATGGGCTTCGGGATCTGGAGTAGCTTCTAGATCGGCTTCTGGAGTAGCTTCTGGATCTGGATCGGCTTCTGGAGTAACTTCTGGATCTGGATCGACTTCTGGAGTAGCTCCCGGATCTGCTTCTTGAGTAACTTCTGGATCCACTCCTCGAGTAGCTGGAGCCACTACGCGAGAAACTGCTCGATCTGGAGCGACTTCTTCCTCTATCTTCAGGCAATTCTGTGAGCACCTTTCTCATCTCCTCGGTCAAAACCCCCAACCCGATGGCTGTGAAGTAATTGATCGAGAAACGGATGTCATCAGCGTCCCGTTGGGTCACGTCAACTACGGGGAAAATCCCGTTGATTTTGGGCTTGACATAGGTGTCATTTATGACACGTTCAATAACCTCTTTGATTCCCAATTCCTCTACCATCTCTTGGAAGACAAACTTCAAGAGAATCCGGCTCGCCGAGTTTGTGTCTCGCTCTGTGAGCTTGATTTCGTCCCAGCCTTCTTCCAATGCGAGCTTATCCGATGCGTAGAGATGCCCAAAGAATTTCCCCACATTCCTCAAGCTGTTCACCTCAAGCAGTTCAACTAGCTCGTAGTACTTCTTGAAGAGCTTGACGAACGTCCCGTGCCACCACTTACTGGTAGCACAAAGCTTTTCCCCAATCACACCAAAATACTTGGAGTACGTCTTTTCTTGAGAACAACATTTGATAATCATATCTGCCAAAACTTCGTTGTTGACAGCCTTTTCTTCCTTGGACTTCTGGAAGTTCATCTTGAGTAATTTATGCACAGCTTCGTCCGCTGACATGGACGACATCACCTTAAGATAGACCGTTTTCTGGTACTGCAATAAGTCTGCTTCTGTAAAGTCGTGTACCACTTCTGCCGGCTTCGTTTCTTCCGCTTCGACAGGCACCTGTTCTGGCAATATTTCTTGCTTGAAACTAGCGTAATTTCTCTCGTTTTCCTCGTAGTTTTCATCATAACTAAATACATTCAAGTTCTCTTCACCATCAATATCTTCATCCAATTCCACCACATGTGTCTCTTGGTCCTCCTCCTCCACCAAGTCGAGGGTCTTGGGAATTGATGGATAATCCTTGAAATTGGTCTGTCTTACTCTCAACAACTGCTGTATTGTTGAGTGGCTTGCCCTAAGGTTGTTGTCTCTCAACATCTCTCGATACTTGGTGAAGATCATTTCCAGCACAGCAGGCGAGTTCTTCACCAAGTAGCTACCTACGACCTTGAGTGCCTCGGTGGCAATGAAGATGGTGTCGTGGGTGGGCTTTTCAAGAAGGAGTTGGACAGTTTGGAGAATGACGATTTCGCTCAACACTCGCTGGTTGACCAAATAACTCAAGAAAGCCAAGGACGACACACAGATGGCTCGGTTGTTCTTCATGTAGTTTCTTCTGAATTGTAATATCAACCGTTTCACTATCAATTCGCCGACACTGGGGAGCTTGGAGTTGAGAATAGCAATGAAACACGCAAATAATTCGGTAAATCGGGTGTCACTCAACTGCCACTTCATGATATTCCGCACAAGGAGCCCCCTGCCTCTTTCGATGTTCAATTTGAACAACTCTAGCACCGTTTGTTGGATGTTGTGGACGTCTAGAACTGCAATCTGCGAGTGGATCGACTGTTTGAGGATGTACCACAGGATTTTCTGGTAGGTGGCATCTTCTGGTGAGAGACTACTCTGGAGCGACTGCAATTGGGCAGCTATGGCCGGGGTGTAGGGCTGTTTGAGCAAGCTGTGGAATGGGTGTGACATCTGAAGCACAGCTAAACGGGTGAAAAAGTGGCGATCCTGGCAGAAAAAAAGGCTAGAAAGGTATACTGCAACTCAGTTTTGCGGTGGAATGGGAAAGCACTAGCTATAGTGCTATTGTAGAAGTATTCTATTGCGGTGTAGCCGTGGTGCTAGTCTTATCTGAATGTCAGATTTAGATGTAGTGCGAAAAACGCGATGGCATCGAAATCACACTGAGAAAGAGCCTTCAAAAGTACCACAACGACAGTGTAAGACACACACTTTACGAGACAACTGTGCCTACAGCTCACCAGCAACAAGTCAGAAACCAACCGCTGAGTTCCACAAACAATCACGGCCCAGACATTACCGGCTCCCGACACAGAAATAACCCCACTAGTGCCCCACAATGTCGGTACGATGCCTTCGTTCCTACTCCACCTCCAACATCAAAAGCAAGCTCGACCACTACATTGAGACGGGACAGATCTCCAAGTATGCGCCTAGACAGCTCGAGCGCAAGTTCCAAAAAGGACCCCTCAAATCGGAGGCGTACTCGCCCCAGAAAGCCCTCCTTATCTTGAAGGCAAAGTACGACTCCAGCCTCTTCCAGGACGCCAACGGGCAGGGAATCAGGCTCTCGTCGCTAGCAGCCAAGGATTTGGGAGTCAGCTCGCCCAAATCGTTGCAGATCTACAAAAATCTCCACCACATCAAAAGCGCAACCAGAAAGTCCATTGACAAGCGGCTCCTCTTGGCGCTCATGGGCACCAACGAGGCCCAGCTCAAAGACCCGTATTTGGTGACAGCAGACGTGTTGAAACTACTCGAAAGAGATGGCGAAACCACCAGAGCCTTGGGTCTCATCAGACTCGCTCGCGCAGGGTCGTCCGTCCTGGGAATCGTGGGCATGAACGCCATCCTCCAGTGGCTACTCGAGAAAAGAGACCACAAGCAAGCAATCAAGTGCTTAAACGACCGGAAGAAGTGGGGCATTCCGCTTAATTCCCACACCTATGTCATATTGTTCGATGGCTTGTCTACCAGTCATGAATGGGGAAAAGCCCAGGACGAGACGTGCCAGTTTGCCCTTGAGCTCTTCGAGAAGTATAGAGTGGAGTCCATCGACGGTGACCCAAAAAAATTGGGAAAATGTGGAATAGAACACTTCAACGCATTATTGAGTTTTTTGGTGAAGAATTTCACCAACGAACAGGAGCTTGCATGGGCAGTATTCGACACCTTGAAGGGAAAGAAGACAGATGATGCAAAAAAAATACCGACCCTTGTCCCAAACAGCCAAACTTTCACAATTTTTTTGAATGGCCTCAAGAAGTACTCAGAAGCCCAAGCAACCACAATCAAGGCCAATAAGAAATTGACCAACAAGGCCAAGTCGGCCCAGTTGATCAAAAATCATCAAACCTTGGTTGAAACTGCTAACTTGATTTTGGACAAAGTGATCAAAGCATCCACACCTCCAATCCCTCCTACTAAGGAACAAGCCCAAGAGGACCCAGAGGTATTGGTGACTTACCGGGCACAAATGAACAGAATTCTAATGACTATCGACCCAGCATTTGTATCGGTATTTGTGTCATGCTACATCAACGGTTTCAGTGGAAGTGGAGTGGATATCGATGGAGGAAGCCACTACAAGTATGTTCAGCAAGGTTTGGAGTATTTGAAAGCGTGGTGTCCTGAGATTGATCAGATGTTCCAATTTGTGAACGAACAAGCCAGAGCAGATAATATCATTTCTCCAGGAAAGTCAGTGAAGTACATTACTGATACCAGGCTTAAAAACTCCCAGGATGATAAGGAAGACTTGACTCCCACCTTGCCACAATTGGATCCTTCTAAAATCAACCCAATGGTGGTATTTCCTCCTTCTCCATTTTCTAAGAACAAGACCAGGGCCATTTTCAGCGATAAAAAGAAACCATTAGTTGACTTCACCAGGCTCACATACGATGAGGTTCAGATGATTTTGGCTGACAAGAATTTCAAGGATTCCAGAGGCAAATACGGTAAGAAGATGCCAGCTAATATCCAGCTCACCCAGACAACCAAGAAACAGGGAATCAACAAATTTTTGCTCATGAACGTTTTCGATGGTCTTGTTAGATTGGGTAGACACCAAGAATTCATTCTCAGCATGTGGTACGCTTTGGATAGATGGGGAGGACTTGATTTACAAAAAGAGTTTGACTACTTTAAATGCGAGAAATTCTTGACTAGTGAGAGATATCCTAAGTTTTATGTTGATAAGAAGGAAGTTGGAACACAAGTGGATACCAAAAAACTTACTGAAAAGCAAAAGTCTACTGACGACAGTATTGTGGATTTATTGCTTGTGGAGAACTTGATCTACAAGCTCAACGAGCAGTTCAAGCAAAAGGGCTTGAGTGCCAACAATACTATAGTTGAAGTGTTTTCGGCTTTGGTGAACAAGGACATCAATTTGGCATATAAGTTGGTCCCTCGGTTCAAGACAGTGGATGTGATTTTCTCCAGTTTGATGACTGATATCCACTACTTCAACGACTACACGTTCAACCAGGAACAATTGAACAAGTCTAAGGAATCCAAGGAACCCAAAGAACTTAAAGTGAAAAATACTAAGGAGGATAAATATCATCGCTACATTTCCAAAGATCAATTATCCCACTTTCTTCCCTCTTTGGCACACTTCATGGACTCTCTTCTTGTATTCGAGTCGCAAAAGAGTTCACAAGACAAATACTTGTTGCCAAACATGTACTTAGAGTCGTTAAACCGAATTTTGGATAGGCTTTATTCCGCAGCATGGATCAATGTTAATGCTGAGGATAGTATTATGTTTCACAAATATATTATTCGCTCGGGAATAATGCTGTTTAAGCCCCGTGAATTTGTCGATCCTAGAGAAAAGCTTGAGTACGCTTCCATAATAAAGTCCTTAAGAGCATACCATCAGTGGTTCAAGGAAAACAAGAACTTGAGTAAACAGGATGTCCGCATGGGAAACTCTATCAAAGCTTTGTTCCAATTGCGGAAGACCGACACAGACTCCGAAGACAAATTGAAGTCGATATTGAAGTCGATCTACAGGCATTCTGAGCAGTAGCAGTGCAAAAATGGTGAGTATAAATACTCACTGGATAACTACAATCTCGAGTAACACATGATGATGTGCTCAATATAGTATGGACAGAAGCAATATTAAGCATGTTCCAACCTACCAATTCCATCCACTTGTATATAAATATCCTTTCTGTATATAATTTCCCCCATCAAACTAATAAATAATTGGGCCAGGGACTGTTAATTTCGTCTTAATAGTAGAAGAGCGAATTAGAAGTTTTATTTGGTATTTAATTCATTATATTTAACTTGTTTAGCTTATTTGGAACATGCGAAGTCAAGGGAGGATTATTAAAGGGTTTCTTGTGCTAGAAAAATTAACGTGGCTATTTTTTCATCTGATTATTATGATAGACTTCTGATATCTGATTAATCTGTATAGAGTTACACACCGACGGAAAATTCTGATTGTACTATAAACAACTAGTTTATGTTTTAAATTGCTGCATGTTGGTTTACAAGAGTGAAGCATCGGTTCCCCTGATATACATTCCATTTACACTGTAGCAATATTCACCGATCATAGAGAAACTAATTCAGGTGTTTTTGGCAACTACTTATTCCCATTAGAGAGTTTAGCCAACCATATAGCAACTAGCCCACTAGCTCAATCGGTCCCTACTGCAAATTCTCCAGTACCACTTCAAAAAGAACATTTCTATAGAAATAACTAGAATACGTTTCCCCCACAAAAACCAGCATATTCATGTCCTACATATAACACTCAGTATAGACCGAAGGCAATCAGCCATATCTTCCATTTCTACACCACCACACCAATGCCCCATCCCGTCATTGTGGTCTCAGACCATACCAGAGACAACTCTCTGCTCTTCCTGCTTGTTTTGGGCCAGCCTGGACTCACAAGGGTGGATATTCTCATCGCAACCCCCATACAAGAATCTGTCACCCTCAATACTGTGTTGTCCAGTCTCTACTATTCGGCCAGATCGGTGGCTACTTCAGCTGGCTACGACTATGCGTTTGAAATCAACGTGCTTTTCAACAAATCCATTGACGCTTCGGTGACCAAAAACTGGAATGTGTTGTTCAAACAACAAGACGCTGCTACTGGCTTCCATTTGCCTCCACACCTCCGTGTGGTGGAGTTCACCAGCGAGTCTTTGTCCAAAAAGGATACTGAATCAAGGGAAACTTTGTCTGCGCTGGACTCGGACTCAGGCTCCCGCAAACGCCAGCAGTACCATACAGTGGCACTTGGAGGAACCTTCGATCACATCCACGATGGCCACAAGGTTCTTCTTTCGTTAGCATCGTTCATGACAAGAACTAAGTTGATCGTGGGGGTCACCGGGCCTGAATTATTGACCAACAAGAAGTATGCCCAAGCATTGGAGTCGTACAGCACCAGACAGCAGAGAGTGCTTGATTTCTTGGGAGTGATCCTGAACCCACGGGACTACAACGTGGAGATATACAAGATTAACGACGTCTGTGGACCCACTGGCTTCTTGGAAGACATTGATGCATTAGTGGTGAGTGCTGAGTCCAGCAAGGGAGGTGAGTTTGTCAATAATTACCGAGCAGAACGAGGATTCAGGCAGTTGGATATCCTGTCGATTTTGGTTATAGGCGGTGACAAATCCAGCGAAGAGAATGGCTGGAAGGGGAAATTGAGCTCTACCGATATCAGAGGCGAAATTCTCAGAAGGGGCTAGATTTGTTACAATGAAGAATAAATTAAAATTTAGATATGAATTACACCACGAGACAGATCAATTACGGCTGGAATTAACATTTGCATCACCCTATATGTTCGCTACATAGTGGTTCTTGTGATGGGTTTTTACCGAAGCCTGAGAAAACACAATTCCATCACTTAGTCGAAGTTGGTTTATCAGAAGGTCAATCAGCATTTGGTCCGTTGCTACAAGATGTCGGGCGTTCATACATAAATCCAATATAAAGCGAGAGTTGGTGCAGCAGTGCAGCAGAGAGTAGCGATTTGTGAAATAGGCTAGTTGATGGAAATACCCTTGTCAAATGGGTTTTGACGACGAGGGGTACGGTCAGGATGGTCTAAAGCGAAAGAAATGTTTGTTTGAGATTTCCCAACCTCGTCGAACAACACCAAATCGTTGTTTTCGTGATCGATGTATACCCCCTTATCCTGACTATCGGCCAATGCAAATTTGATTTTATCGAAAGCTTGAATACCCAAGCCTAATTTCTTTCTTAATCTATCCTTGGTTTCGCTGAACGTTTCCTCAGGATAGACGGCCAAAATGAAAGGAACACCATGATGGAAATTGCTGTTCTTGTAGAAGTGGAATGCTGGAATCAAGTTCAAAGTCTTGCTCAATTTCTTGGCTGTCAAGTACTCTTGCTTCTTGAATTCATCGTCCTCAAAATCCTCCAAACTAACAGGTTCTTCAGTAAATCTCTTGATCATATCGTGGGAAGACAAAATCTCTACCTCTGCAGGGAAAACACCCACATATAGATCTAGGCGTTCATCAATGGACTCTATAGGTTTGTCAAACTTGATCAAATCATTGTAGGACTTATTTTTACCACTCCACACAAGGATATGCTTATGATCTTTCTTAGGTATCTTGACCTTGTGGATCAATTTGTTGATGAGATCTGATACCAATCCTTTCTTGGGAACCAATAACTCAAAGACTTGGTACTGGAGTAGACTAGACAACCAATGAACCTTGACTGCCTTTAGATTTTCATAGTCCTTTAATTTGATGTTTAGAATCTCGTATTCAAATGAATACACTTGATTGACAGGGCAAATTTTTGGGAATATTTGAGACAACTGATGGTGACTCTTCAATGGGTGCCTTACACCTTGATGATTCACTATAAATATTCTCAAATAATCTGGGTGAACATTGGGCTCGAGTTTGGCTGCAATTTCTTGTGCTAACTCTTGGTATGTAGAAAGGGTTGAAATCCAAAAATCAAAGGATTTACTTATTTGCTTAGCCACTTCGATCTCATGTGTAGTTATCTCGTCATCTTCGGACGTATTTGTCCCCTTTTCTCCATTTACCCCATTCGTGGCTCCATTTGAGCCTTCATTTTCATCCGCCACAAAATCACTATCCTCTTCGTCAATCTCAGCCTTAAAGGGCTTCACCAGAATATGCATTCTAGTCAACAAAAATTTGTAATATTCTCGAACATCCTTGAATTTTCTATCGCCCGCAATCTCAGCAACATTAGAGGTCTGAACAGTGATAATATCACCATTGCTAAGTTCATGCTTCTCAAAAGTCAAAGTCGAATCAATTTTCTCGATTTTTGAATGTGACAACTCCTCGTACAATTCAAGCTCTTGTGAATCATCAAAGTTCAAAAACTTGTTAATATCCTTTATAATCAGTTTGATTGGATCATGCTTAGCAACTGCGATATGTGTCAACCCCTTTACTTCCTGAGCAATTGGATCAAAGTACTTGATAAATATCAAGATATGGGTTGAACCATCATCAATATCGACAAATGAATTTTCCTTACTGACTGTGGTGCCCACACTTTCAATATTGTGGACAATATCAGCAAAGTTAAAATCAGCAGGGTCAACAGCTGTATAGGTGCCTTTGATTCTGTTAAGGTTTCTCATCTCCTTGTTCACCTCCTCAACAAAAAACACCATTTCATCATACTTTCTATTGAAAGATTTAGAATATGCCTGAACAATAGTTGAGCCAACTAAACTTGGGTCAATTGGAGTATCAGCACGGTTGGTGTGGTTATTTCTATGCATTGTGTTGACCAATCTAAAAGGTAACGAGGCAAGGGACTGCTGGTCCACTATAGAGTCTTCTGCGAGGTATCCCAATTTCTCACCGATAAGCTTGTATAACGATAAATACGGATCGTCCTTTGCAACCTTCACAGTTAGTGGGTCCGCAAGTGTTCCAGCGAGTGAATCATCATAAAGTTTATTAACGGTAGAGTCCAAGGCCAAATCAAAACCGCTGAAATTATTGAAGGTCTTTGTAGTGATGAATTTTGCATTCATGAAGTATACTGCCTCCTCCATGGATTGTTCAATACGCTTGCGTTCTTGGATTTCATGTTCGATCTGTTCAGGAATGTGTTGAGGAATAGTCAGAGTGATTGCGGATTCATCCGATGGCAAAATGGTACTCAATTCAGATTCACGATAATACACCAACATATAAGCGGAGGTGACCCTTCTAATTAGATTTTCCTGTTGTTCAAGTCTTGATAATCTAGCAAACTCTGCTTGAGATAATTCGTTCGCTCCGTAATTCTCCTGGAATACTTGGGTTGGAGTTACTTTCCAAACTTTGTCGTCGTCGAATCTCAACCATGTTGAATCTTCAGCGTTGGGCTTAATCATCGCATAGTAGTGACCGTTGGAAATGCTACCTTGGTGCACCAAAACCCCATGAAGCTTGTAATTCCAGTCTTGGGACTTAACTGAAGATGGGACTTCTTCATCTAAATATGGCTTTAAATCAATCTTGTCTGGAAATTCGTAGAAGTCGTCGATCTTCACCAAATCATCAACCATAAAATCGTACTCAAATCTCTTTAATTGTAAATGCAAAACTGGAGGAAATGATTCAAACACAACTCCCTTTTTGGCATCCTGATACCCATATTCATCACCGGCTTGATATTTGTTTTCTCCATCCAACATCTCTATTTCAATGTAGTTGCGGAAAGATTCTTGTAAAGTGCGGAATCCCTTAACATTAAGCTGAATATCCCAAAAATCTTCTACTCTAGACGACTCATAAGGGACATTTACACACTTGATGTAAGACTTCATTTTACCCACGAAAATATCATTAAGACTGTTCTCGACAGCAGATCCTTTCATGGCAATTTCAAGCTTGTCCATCAAGATACGGTTAAGTTCTTGAACATCATGTTGGGTGAATGCATCAGACGAGTCCCACCCAAAGGATTTGGTGAGTTCCATTGTTCCAACAGGCTCATTTGAAGTTGTCAACATGTAGAAGATTCTTTGAAGAGACAAGGCCACCGATGTTTTGCCTGCATTTGATGAGCTGGTAGGGATTTTGTATACCAATTCGCGAAAGTTCTTGGTTGTGAAGTAACTCTGCAACAATGAGTTGAGGTAGCAAGTAGCACCTTGGTTGTTCAACCCCACGTAACCCGCTGCCTTTTTGGAGTCGTAATCGCCAAAGTTATGCCATAACACCCCAGTAGAAGAATCATCAATCACCTTGACGTATCCAGTGATGTTCAATTTGTTGTTCTGAAGAATTGGGGCCAGGTGGGCGGAAATACGAGGGTTTGAGGAGTTGGCTATTTGAAGTTGATGGACTTCCACGAGAGACGAAAATCCCCAGTCTGTCTCGTTCTTGTTGAACCGATGGCTGGAGCCACTGGGCAAGTGGGACTCGGGATGGGCTGGGTTCCAAAGGTCCAATCCGAACTGTGCACACACGTACCAATCGTCAGACTCCACCAATGGATGAGGCTCCATGTAGATCGAGATGGACGTGTTGTTGCTGTTGTTTCCTCTTGGAAATAACAAGATGTTCCACTCGTAACCCCCGCATTTGAATGTGGGCGATCTGACCTTGTCCTGGGAGGCAATTGAGGACCAATTGCTGATCTCCCACACGTAGTGGGCCAGGTCCTTGACGGGATAGTCCGGCACGGGCTTCATGAGCTTATTGGCGGTGGCCTCGAAGTCGTTGGCGGGAGGTGCCACCGTTGATTTGACGCCAGCTGCAGCGACAGCAGCCACGGGAGCGGGTTCTTCCTCTAGCATATCTGCGTCGTCGTCGATGATGTCCACGGCATCAAGATCGTCCACATCGATGAGGTCCGGGTTCTCTGTTTTATACTCCAAAGGTACGGAGTTGGGTGAGTCAGCAGCCATTGTGATCTCAGCAATCGAAACTCTCTAGGCACAGGAATCAATGAGTTATTGGTGGGAGATGGTGGGGCGAATCCTATGGATGAGAAGTGTTTGGGGATGGATCAATCGCTCAATGGCATATACTAGCAATCAGGGAACAATGTGCTTAAGGATCATGAATTTTGGAGAGCATTTTTTCTGGTCATGGGGGGAGTTTAGAGGACATAGCGAGGGCGTGGCGAGAGTTTGTGAGGCGCGTAGAGAGAGATCGTGCGGGTGAGAAGCTGCGTAGCGAGGGATCGAGGGGGGTGGTGCGGGACGTAGCGAGAGACTTTGCACGCTAGGGAGAAGCCTATGGCGCGGGCTCGGACTCGGTGGCGGTCATGCCTGATGGCACGTGATGTTGCCTTTACCAGGCTTATGGAAACATCTGCTGAACTTATCTGAAACCAAACGGAGTTGTCACCAATGTGGACGATTCTTGACTGAGACTCCGTGCTTGGACGGAACAGCACGGCACGCTGAAATGTACATTTGCTCTTGAATAAATGACATTTTGTGTCTCCACCGAGATGTGGATGCAGATCGATGCAGAGCTGACATCACATTGCTCGGGCATCACTTGAGCAGCTCGTCTCACGTGCGTACCTCATACATGTGCGAGGATGCGGTGACGAGCCCATTCCGGGGTGTTACGGCCCCTGGCCGATCAAGTTATTACGTAAGCGCTTACTAATCATTATCAGGCCGACCTGGCCTCGACTGGTGCCACGCTGCTGGGCCATGCTGCTGGCCCCTCTGCCGGCTAGCCTGCTCGCTGCACCGGGTGGATCTGGCACACACGTTTCTGCCGTTTTTTTTAGCTCTGTTTCAGACCCCAGTCGTTCCGCCCCGTTGTCTAATTAAACCTAATTCCAATTATTTACAAATTTCACAATTTTTCACAATTTCCGAAACATGTTTGGTCAACAGCCGACGGTCCAGCGAGCCAGCTGGGGCCTGTTTTGGAGTTCGGGAGTGCCGTGGGCCAGCGTGGTGCAGCATCCACGCCATCCACCACCTCCAGTGAAGTTAGCCTGATGATTAGCAATCATGAGCCAATGGCCTCGGAAAGGTGCCGGGGCTTGGGCCAGATTGGGACGGAAAGATGGTGTGAGAACGGCTGCTATTGGCCCGCTCCCGAAGATTGCTCGTCGTGCTTACGTGAAGGCTCCTTGGACACTCGTCGTCCTTGGAGGCACGTTCTCGTTGCAGACTCCGCTCCTACCCCTAATGCCCAATAACGGCCTGTCTGGGGTATGTTTCAGAGTGGCCTCTAACGGTAATGTAATGAGCACACTCGGCTAGGGCATCGGCGGCCCGTGCAGCGAGCACTGACGTAGGCGGCCTTGGGAGTGCATGTGGCGAGCAGTCGGCGTACGCACCATGCGCCCAGACTTGCCCACAGCACAGATGCCCCTTCGTCGCGGTGGTCCGACACGGTACGATCGACAAAAAGGCCGGAGGCCACCTTGGCAGGAGGAGCTCCACGGATGGAGGAAACATCCGCACTGCCAGCACTAGACGGAGGAGCCCTGCCCTAGCCGCTCCCTAGCCACTCCCTAGTTACTCCCTAGTTACTCGCACCCTCCTTTCTCCCTCCTTCCGCCCTCCTTCCGCCCTCCTTCCTTCTCCTGCCTTCTCTTCTAGACCAGTGCCTGCGGCGTCGCCCTGGTTCCGCTCGGTGAGCCCTGCACGCCCCGCGCTCGCAACGCGCGCTTGAGCCAATCGCACCCCGTTTGGGCATGTGGGCCCCGACACAAAATAAAACATAAACATATTCCCGGCACCGTCTTTGTGGCCCCTGCAAATTTCGTCTCCTCGCTCCCGCCCACTATATATCTTTTTGACACTTCCCGCTGTTCTTTTCTCTCCAGCCACTCAGGTATTTCTACAGTCACTCCTTCCACTCCATAGAACTACCGTCGTTGCCCGCATTCGTTACGTTATGTTATTCAAGTCCCTCGCTACTGCTGCCCTCGCAGCTTCCGCCTTTGCCGCTCCTTTACAGCACCAACACCACCAACATCAAGAAAGAGATGTCGTGACCAAGGTCGTGGTTGTCACTGCTGGTGGAGAAGTCTCTTCCGTCCCAACCACCGTGCCTGAGGCTCCATCTGGCTCCTCCTCCAGCGCTCCTTCCGGCTCCGACTCTTCCGTCCCTCAACCATCCTCGTCTGGCTCGTTCAGCGGTGGCGCCAAGGGTATCACCTACACCCCCTACTCCAACTCTGGCGGGTGTAAGTCTGCCCAGGAAGTCGCCTCCGACCTCAAGCAGTTGTCTGGCTACGAAATCATCAGAATCTACGGTGTCGACTGTGACCAGGTCTCTTCTGTCTTGGCAGGTAAGGCTGCTGGCCAAAAGGTGTTCGCCGGTATCTTCAACATGAACAGTATCAGCTCCGACGTCCAGACCTTGGCTTCCGCCGTCAAGGCTGCCCCAGGCGGTTGGGACAACATCCACACCGTCTCCATCGGTAACGAGTTGGTCAACTCTGGCCAAGCCAACGCTGGCCAAGTTGCCGGCTACGTCGCTGAAGGTAAGAGCGCCTTGAAGGCTGCTGGCTACTCCGGCCCAGTCGTCTCTGTCGACACCTTCATTGCCGTCATGAACAACCCAGCCCTTTGTGAACACTCCGACTACATTGCCGTCAACGCCCACCCATTCTTCGACGGTGGCATTGCTGCCAACAACGCCGGTAAGTGGGTTTTGGACCAAATCCAAAACGTCGCCCTCACCTGTGGTTCCAAGTCTGTTTTGATCACCGAAACCGGATGGCCTCACCAAGGTCAGAACAACAGAGATGCTGTTCCATCCAAGTCCAACCAACAAGCCGCCATCTCCGACATCAAGTCCAAGTGCGGTGACGACGTGTTGTTGTTCTCTGGTTTCGACGAAGCTTGGAAGGCCGATGGTGCCTACAACGTCGAAAAGTACTGGGGTTTCCTCTCCAACTAGAAAGCCCTCTGACAGTGCTGCAGGCCGGTCCAAGAGTTGATTCAACTTCGGACGACCATCGCCCCCCACGCCTTTACTAGTGATCCGTTTATTATACCATTTTGGCCGCTTTTGCTGGTGGTTTCATGTACTCTATCTTTCTCGCTTCAGTTCAAACGTTATCAGGAGCAGTTGAGCCGTCCTCGCTAGGACCCGAAAGACACTTTGAATCCTCTGTTGATGAAACCCCGGCTTGGTTGCTCCGTTTCACTCTTCTCTCTCTTTGTTTAGTCTACTAGTAAATGGGCTGTCTAAAATTGCATGCGCAATCGCGCCCCCAACGCGTGTCTGTAAACATCCGCATCGAGAAACGTCCGTTTTGGGTAATTGGCCAGAAGCTCTGGTGGAAGAAACCAACGCTAGCAACCGACCGGGGCGTATCCGGATGGGGCAATCCACTGGGATGGTCCCACCACGCTTGTTTGGGTATAAATGCAAACAACCGTAGTGCAGTACTGGAAGATAAATTTCACTTGAGCACATCAGAGCATTGTCTTGGCCAATCCAGATTGGATGCTTGGCTGGGATAAATAATAGTACACGATGATTGCTAGTAACACATATAATTAATTTTATTCTGGAAATTGACAAATGTGTGTGCAAGGTGTTTTAAAATACCTTCACAATAGACTATTAAAAAGTAGAGTGTTCTAAATTGCACTAAATTGCAGTGAATATACCCAGATATTCAATTACGCTTCTGAGATTTAATTCGTCATTACAGAAAGATGTGTGATATGCAAAAATGTACAATACAGCAACCGTGGTCTCTGTGTCGGCGTGTTGTGCATTGATGTACTCTTGTTGGTGATCCTTTGTTCACACAAGATCCTAAGAGAGCTAATTACGCGGATAAACTCTTGTTGGTGATCCTTTGTTCACTCTAGAGCCTAAAAGAGCTAATTACGCGGATACGTGGCCCTTTACCTAGAGCACTACGTAAAGACGGATTGCCACCTTACCCCTACAGTAGCCCCGAACGCCACGTTACGATGGAATATTGATAAGAGTCACATGATTCACATATTATGTATGGGTACTTGCTTATCATTTTTCCAGCGCAGATAGTAAAGTCGTCAGTCACAAAATGTTTCATCTACACATATACTTGCATAAAAAGCTTCCATTCATAAATATCACAGCTCTTAAAGAGGACGAACGCCCAAAGTACGTAGGAAATATCGTTCCTTACAAGGGAGCTGATATGTACGAATTTCCGGCTTGTAAAGTATGCAAAGAACCCAAAAAGCACAAGATTGACTGGCTCAGACAATAATTGTTTGGGGAGAACTGGAATAGTGCTGGAAATCAATTACAACCAACGATAATAAACGATTACAACATGTAGGGAACTGATTTTTGGCATTATTACGAAAAGTTTATTAGACAGTTCTTGAAGTTTGGAGAAAGAATCCAGATTTTGAAGCACAAACAATCATCGTGAAAAGGAAAGTATAAGCACTTGTGAGTAAGAATTTACGTATAGGTGAACTTAATCAAAATGCGCACACCATTCATCTGCCACCCTTAAATTGAGGTATACACATCACCATTAGAGTATTCTCTTGTTCTATCTACAAGTCATCAATCTTTCACGAATGAGTTATTAGGAAAAAATCGTTTTCATCGTCATATCGAGCTTGAAGATTCTACACTTGAATTACATGTAAAATAATATTTGCAACTGAAATTGTCTAGTGAGGTTTGATTAATAGTATAATTACACTGTTGAAGGATGGAGGGACAGGCTTTACCAAGCTATCTTGATTTTTCAGAGTTCTACCAAGCATTTGAAGATCTTTCCAGAGTCATGAAAGTTTTATCTGAAACATTTGGTTATACCCGGCAAATGTAATTTTGACCAGGCATAACAAACTAGCGCACCAATTGTTGGTTTCTTATCAAGATATTATCGTGGTATTATGTGTACCCAAATGTGTGGTGATGGATAGTATGTTCAATATGACCAGCTGAAGTGCTGCATAATTATGTCAACTGAGTTAAATGGGTAATCAATGGTAAATGAGCCTCTCATAGCTCGGGCCATGAAGTTAACCTATCATATTTCAGAATTTATGCGGCATTGCCAAAGTTCTGATACCCCTTGTTATCAATGTAGATGTACTGTAGTACGTGTATTAATTGATTTTGAAGAGATTGTTGCCTGTTGGTGCCAATCAATGCGTTGTTGGACATTAGGAGAATTGGACATCGTATGCGTTATCAATCAACTCAGTTAAGAAGAGTTTTCTTTGTTGGATTAATTTTTTGTTCTGCACCTCCAATAATTTCTCCTCTTCATTTGTATTCAAGTAGGCATCCAAATGGATATCCCAAATACCCGGCAAGTCAGACTGGGTCAGAAAGTTTTCCCGGTGATGTTCCACAACACTTAAATCTTGGTTGTTCCACTTGTCGCTGTTTACGTAGTCGGAGATTCGCGATAGTAACTCCTCGAGGTAGATTACCATGAGGTTGCGGTTGGCACTGGTGCTCATAACAAGGTGCGAGGTGAACTGCTGCTTAAAACCATACTCAACAAATACCTGGAACAATTCCTTCTGACTGGCCGCACGCTTGATGATGGGCCTCAACTGGGCCACAGTATCCTCCCAGTTCTCAAGAAATGCGTAACCATTGGTAAAGAGAATGTCGCTGAACCGGAAGGTGGACTCGAGGTATCCCACCTTGATTAAGGGTTCTATTCCGTCAATTGTGGAGATGGAAGGGATTTCATTGATGTTGAAGCTGTCCACCTGTGATGCATGCGGAGTCTTGTATTGTGTTTGAGACTCCACTTGTGCCGAAGGAAATCTCTCAACTTCATGGTACTCCAAAGTCTTTTGTCTCTTTCTGTCACCCTGGAGCGACTCTCCGTATTGCTCTAAGATTTGGGGCAACCTACCTAATGCGGTTTCTTCATCTTCATTAGCAGTGGAATAATTATCTTCGTCCTCACTTGGCTCTCCTAAACCTTTTTGTTCGTTTAAAAAGACGGAACCTGACAGACTATCATCCAGATTCTCATTATCGTTGCCCACTATGCGTGCCAATGTAGGAGCAGGTATAGGACTGACACGGCTACGCTCACTGCTCCGCAATGCTTCGTCAATATTCGAGCTCTTTGTTTCACCAATCTCTTCATCCAATGCACTTTCCCCATAAACATCAATAGGGACCTTCCGGTACCTAGATCCGACCAAGTCTCTTATTGTCTCATTTCCCTTCTGATTATCTCTCACAATTGACAAAGGTTTAGGCCGGATGCCGCGGGAAATACTTTGCTCATAGTATTCGATGAACTCAGGAATTGTGCCTGCAGTAACATACTTGCGGTAGTGATCTCTCCAGGAATGAAGACTGTGCTTGGGAGCCTTTCTGTGTACATCGTTGAAGAATGAGTAAGGAAGCTTGTGTGCCTCATCTAGACGCTTATTCTCGAACAAGAGGAACTTCTTGGCCTCGATACACATGATGTAGTCTTCTTCGGCGGTGTACTTGTTCTTGATAGTGTCAGGCAATTCGTCAAGGCCCAACTTGATCTTCTTACCCCGATCGTCACGGATGGGTCTCCCCGATTCATCCACCTGGTACACGTAGAGCAAGTGCTGTTTCAAGTGCTTTCTGTACCTGCTTCTGATAGAATTTCCAGTGTGGTCCTTCAACATATCCTCGGTGGCTAGTTGGTCGAAGAAACTGTGGCTGTCCCTGTATTTGGGCTGCATTCTGATCCTCCGCAATATGTACTGGTCTTTCTCGGGAGTGAACTTGCTGTGGCCCCTGCTGGGTTTGACTGGCTTGACATCCTCTTCCTGGTCGTCGCTCCCGTTGAATAAATAGTCTTTGGGATCAAGGAGATGGCCTGTAGCCAAGCAGTCGTCGATGTACTTGATCGAGTACACGGTTTTACCGGGAAATGGACGGCTGGAAATGAACATCTCATGGTTGGACGACTTGGAGCCCATGTCTGATTCAACACCAAGAATGGATCCCCCGTTACTGATGATCTGGTCGATGTAGCGGTGGCGATCAGGCTCGTTCTGAGGAATGATGAAAAAGAGGATCAGATCATCGGGAAGCGTAAAGATTTGTGGTCTAGTAGCGACTCCAGGCACTCCTTGGATGGCCACACTGGCGTCAATGTCGTTTGTGCCTTCCAGCGTAGCGTCGTAGGAGACGCCTTGGAAGCTCATTTTGGGCGGGAGTTTGTTGATTATGGGTAGTTTAGGGGATGAAATGCAGATTGTTGTTGCAAATATTGCAGTTTGATGGCTGGCGGGAGAAGTGGGAGCTGGTCAGGGCAGCTGGAAGTGGTGGCCAGAGGAAGATTGTGTTGATGTTTGCAACTTGCAGCCAGTTTCTGATGCTTGGATGTTTGTTGTGGCAGTACGGTTGTTTGTTGGAGTATGGTGGACGACATGGGGCGCGACACCGGTAAGGGCACGCCCAGTATCCAGAAGCAATTTGTAGTGAGAGATGGTAGTAACTATAAAGGAAGGATTATGTACTTAAGTATTGTATCTCTATCGATGGGATGTCCAGGTGTGGAATTTTATGGAATTCCTGACCTATCTGGGCAGCTGAAAGGGTCACAGTAGAACTTCCAGGAAGTAGTGCACATTGTTGGAAAAGGTGTGAACAAGAACTAGATCCAGAGAGATGGGGATATTCGACTTCTAAAGATATGCTAAAAATGGCGGAATCCTTTCGTTCATCGAATTTGATAGTTTGCAGCGCTAAAACTGTCTCTACTTCTGTTAATTCAACAAGGTTTTTGCTATTCTTAAGAGTTAATCAAATATTAACATTAAGATCCACAGAAGGCTTAATTCTACTAAGATAACTATATGAGTAAAAGATTTTAATACAGATTTATATTTTGGGGCTGAAGATCTCTTGAGAAACAAGTTGTACCTGATCCATTCCGGATAATTTGCTACATTAGAAATTTATCATTATGTTGATTTAATTATTGATGGTCTTTCTTGAAGTGGAGGGTAAAAAGGCACTGAGACCACCTTTAATCCAAACTTGCCTGGTTTGAAATGTCTCAACATCACAGTTCGTAAATATAGTATGCCCTAAATTTCCTATGCAGTTGTGTTGTTGTATGGTATCGACATAAGAAGTGGAAATGCCATTTGAAGCTAATATCGATTGCTACTTGATGGATATTGTCGAATCAAGCCACATAGATGGCACGTGACGCATCACATGATCTACAACTGTCAGACTGTCATACATTAGCCGTCGGATGCATAAATCATAAGCTAGCAGGCCCAGAGGCCAATAAATAAATGTGGCACAGCTCAGTAGAAATTCTCGCCAAACAAGCCAACAACCCCAATCAAGAATCCCACCCCAGCAACCGAGGACCCCACCACGTACGACGACCGCAACATCCGCAAGTCGTGCACAAGCTCCTTCTTGACCAACGCACTCTCCACCTCCTGCTCGATGGACGCGGCTGGCTCCGATGCATGGATGGTGGGCGACTGGGCGGCTGACGACCCGGGGGTGGATCCCGTGGTGGTGGACGACTCCTCGTCGGAAACATGGATGTAGGAGCGTCCGAGCGAGTCGTCGTCGCCACCGTCGCCACCGTCGCTGGTGACCTGTTGAGCCTTGACCTCTTCGACCACCTGGGCAGCCTGTGGAGCCACCTGCTCCTTCAATGTCTTCTCTTCTGCCTGCAAAAGCTTGGCTTCGTGGCGGTACCCTTGCTGGTACAAGCCTGCAATGGCAGTTGGTGCGCCTAGCGCTGCGTAAATAAGGTAGGGATGTTTGCCGCTGGGGGGAGAGTAGGAGTAGGCCAAAGCAAGCAAGCCAGTGGACACAGCGCCCAAAAGCAAGCCTACGGCACGGGAGCCGAGGATCAACACCTTGATTTGTTGGTAGTGGGTCTGGAACGAAGTGGAGGGCGAGTAGCCCCTGGTCAAGTCGCGTATCAATGATGGGATAACCTCGATGGCCAGGTACGACAACAGTCCTGCCAACAAGCCGAGGGACGAGACGCCAATGACTTTGACGGAAGCAATGCAAGTAACCATTGGGAGTGATGTAGCGCAAAGGTAGGTGGACTAAGCAAGCACGCAGTAAAAGGTGTTGCCTCTGGATGGGAGGATGGGAGGGCGTGGACGGGCTGAGAAGTGACTGGATCCCTTAATTACGTAAGCCGAGACCCGATATTACGTAACAAGGTGGGAAGGGTACTGGCGGGGGAAGATACCCCAGCTTGGCCCCTCACGGAGCACTAGACAGGTGAGCCATTGCAGAGACGTGACTCAGTAGTAGAGGGTTAGCTAATGTGAAAATTTGGGGTACGGCATGTATGTTGTAAAGCGGTAATGGGGGCACTATGGCTGGAATCAGTTTGAGAGCTTCCACTGCTTATACTTTAGTTATGATCTCCTTTAGTATATATACACCAATTAAATATNCCTAATAATACATTAATATTCACTGGAACAGTGCTGGCGAATTGAAAGTAGTCGACCAAGACAATATTTTAATATTCTGAGCGATCGCCATAATAATTAGTTCAAATCAAGCTAGCACTAGGAAATTATCAGGACAATAATAGACGGGGGATTTTCCTAAACGAATATCCCCGGCACAAAGCTCTGAAGAAAACACAAGAGACCTTTCTTATTCAGTGCAATATGATACGCTGAACATTAGAGACTATTGAATAAATATATTGCAGAAGTTCAGAAGAAGCCAAAAATCTTCAAATATTGCCACATTAGGCCCCTATGGGGTACATTAAAAAATTGTCGAATGTTCTGGTAACTTGCTAGCTGCTCTGAAGTTTCCTTTTCATCTCAGCAACGTGATTTGCATCGACGAAGTCAATCTAATTCCAAAATCGAGATAATATATGCAATCGTTAGCTCTGTATAAAGTTACAGGTTCGCTTAAAGCAGAAAAAATTATATCTTCCCCAGACTGGTCTAGTCGATGTTCAAACTTAATGTACTGAAGAAACAATACCCCATTTATTCTCTTCTAAAATCACTACTCCTAGAATACGTATTCAACAAGTAAATGCGCATTCGTTTGATTTCAGAATCTTCTCTCTTAATAACCATCAATATGTCTGATATCAGCATCTCATTGGATGATAGTATATATTATTGTTCAATGAATGTTAAATTATTAATTCCTTACTTAAATTTCCAGTCTTTGTTTACCAGTTTTTTAGCAGTTTGTAGGAGCTCGATTATTGAAGTATTGTTGCAATCTACAGACCTTTTTGATTATTCACCAATGAGATAAAATCCCTACGTATATCTATTATATGGTAATGTTAATGTGCTAATGTTAATTACCCTAGATTTTCTCGGTGGTATGTCGTTATGCATTAGGCTGGCTCAGTGGGGTCTCCAGCGTACTCACGGATGTTTCGTGGTCCAGACACTTCGTTTGGGCAAGGAGGTCTCAAATGAAGCCAAATTGTAACTGGAGCCACATTTTAGATCTTAAATGTACCATATGTGTCATTCACTTCAACCATTCAGGTAGCCTTTCGGGGTCGATGCTGACAGAATTTATGTCGAAACTCTCGATCAACAACTCGACCAAGATCCGGCCTCCACGAGCACCCGTGAATCGCCTGTACTCTTCGGAGACACTGGCCAAATTCCACCCCTGGAGTCTTCGGAGACACCCAATCACGGTTCCCGTGCGGTGACGGCCCATGCCGCAGCACACCAAAAGCGGGTAGTTGTCCTTGTTCACGATCAACTCCAATGCTTTCTTGATGGTGCCCTCGTTCAAAGAGTCCCAGGGGTTCATCTGGCCGTGGCCGTAAGTCTCGTCAATGAGCCCCACAAACTCGATCTTGATGTTGGAGTCGTTGCAGAACTCCAAGAAGTCGTCCAGAGGCTCTTCGCTGGCGAGCCATAGTATCACCTTCAAGTTGAGCTGTTGCAAGAACGACTGGTTGATGATGGACGGCTGTCCCGAGCGGTAGAGCTGGCGTTCCACGGGACAAAAGTTGAGGGGAGGAATAATTCTTAGCGTGGGAGGTCTGACGATCTTGCGGCCCTTGCTGACGTCCTGGCTGGTATTGTCAGCCACCTGCTGTTGGATGGCGACGTTGGAAGTCTCCATTTTGAACGAAATTGCGGGGGAAAAAGGGAGGAGTGCAGAGGGTAGTTGCCTGATACAGCAAAGGGAGTCACACAGCAGGCACCGAGGTTCTCCACGGTTGATTCAACAGCCGCCAGTGGTGGCAGCACTGAAAGTGTTGGTTGCCTCCGTGCACGTGCCGCACTGGGGTGTCGGTCACGTGTCAGCTCCTATGAAAAAGTTGACGTGGTACTTCCAACACCTATACTCTACCACCATGGCCAAAAAGGAAGTCGCCATCAAGAAGGCCCAGGCCCAAACAGGTACCTCTGCCTCCGGCGTCTCCGGCGTCCAGTCCAAAAAGATCTCCAATTCGTTTGGCGAATTGTTCGCTGCCATCTCCACCACCTACAACGACTACTCCACCACCTTGACCCCCAGATTGAAGTTGATAGACTTGTTTTTGGTATTCTTGGTGGCTTTGGGCGTGTTGCAGTTTGTGTACGTGATTTTGGTGGGAAACTTCCCTTTCAATGCGTTCTTGGGAGGCTTCATCAGCTGTGTGGGCCAGTTCGTGTTATTGGTCAGTTTGAGATTACAGATCAAGACTCCAGAAGTGGTGGACTCACCAGTTGTGGTTGACGATGAGAAGAGCAACGAGGTCGTTGATGTGGTTGAAGAACCAATTTTCACGCAAATAAGTCCAGAGAGATCGTTTGGAGATTTCATTTTTGCCAGTTTGATCTTGCACTTTGTTGTTTACCATTTCATAAACTGATCCAAACAACAAGCCACAGGGTTCTTGGTGCCCACATTGAATGTGTGGAGGACAGGCCCTTGGCGAATAAGATAGATGACGAGCTGTATTTAATGAATATATCAATAGAAATCGGATTGTATGTAAGTAGAGAAAATGGTGCTAAGTGGAACTTGGTGCAAACTATTCGGGACCTGTGACTAGTTGCCTAATGCGAAGGACCCGGAGTCTGCGGTGATATATTAGTACATGGCGAGATGGATACCCTTTACCAATTTCTGAGAGCTAGCCGAGAGTAGAAGACAAAAGTGAATATTGGTAATGTTGTACCACTACGAGTATGAGTGACATTTTCAGATGTTGGCAACTACTCAGGGCATTTTGAAGACGATGTGGCTTTAAATGTAGGCATTTTATTTAGTCTTCATTTCTCCGTTAGTATGCTACATTTTAATGGTAAGAACTGCTCTTGTCTCCCCATCAAAAGTGTAATTTCATTTGGCCAGAATGATCATTTTTTATGTTTGCAGATATACAAATAATCATTGATAATTATGGAATCATTCTGCCTGAAGCGTCCACCCACGAATAAAAGATTTCAGCCCAATTTTATTACTCATAAAATTCGTGTCGTTGAACTAAGAGCCTGATGGTATGCTTGTAGTATTCCAAGCTATAAATTCAGATTATCTGTCAGCCTAGTGGATAAAAAAGCAGTATGTAATTTCCAGTATTGGATTGGCCCTGGACTGTCCTTTAGATCCTATCTGGAAATGCTTGGGTTTCGTCTAATTTATTTGACTATTTCAGGGTTGATGCTCAACATTGTTTATTGAAGAGTGAGCTAAATTCTTCCTCTTATGCAGATGACTAGTACTCATAAGTATAGACAAGTTTACCCACAAAAAATTGAGAATAAGCAGGGTTTATTAAGTATTATCTTATTTTACGAAGACTTTATCATAACAACCCCATTCAAGTGAGAAGGAATTATTAAAAAACCAAAGAGCGGTAGGGAAAGCTGTAACTCTTAACATCATGGCAAATCTTCGCTATAAAGATGGTATCTTATAGAAGGTATCAGGGTGTTTCTATGGTAGTGAGTTATGTGGTAAATCATGGATCAATGACTGGAACAAAATGACTGCTAAAACTAGGCTCAAAATAGGGAAGAATATTGACATTTTACTCGGAACAATTTCAACGCGGTGTTTCCCCAGAGTAGTGAAGTGATCAGAAGACTTGTACAGACACCGAATTAAGTATAGAAAATTTCATTCACTACAAATGATAAAAAAATCCACACGGCTCGGGACATAATTGAATTGAATACTGATACTTCAAGCCAAAAAGTATAAGACAAACAACTCGGAACAGAACTAATTTGAATACAATATTTCACACTACGAATTTGACAGGCTCAGGAAAAAATTTAACATAGTACTCACTTCAAGTTTTGACACTCTTAGGAAGAACATTAATCGTTTTCACTTCTTAGATTAGTATTAGAATATCAATATTTGACCCTACAAATGTCTCGTGCTCAGAATAATACCAATATTTCACTACAAATGAAAAATGCATCATCTCGTTCTTACATCCAACTTCTAGTTCGCTCTTTATTCTAGATCGGCGACCTAGGTACATTAAATAACTAAACAATTAACTAAAAACAACACGAGAACGCATTGGTGAAGAAATAGATGGGAATGTCGGTGCTTTTGGGAGCGACGGCAAACAGATGGATATGAAGCCACAGCCGAGGGTGAGGACAGCAGCTGCCAAATTCTTGATTTTGGGGCTAGCAAGCCAGTTCTTGGAACGAAGAAACCATACAAGCTTAATCTGTGGAAGCATACCTGCACAAGACAATTGCAGAAGCTTCATCTGTGGAAGCACGCTGCACAAGCTTAATGTTTGGGAACAAAGTACCATGCACAGACTATTCATGTGGAACATAACTGCACAAGCCATCTTGTGACAAACTACCACGTAGTCTTGATAAGCTGCACATCTAACTTCCCGACTCAGACGGCTCCACGCCGCCTAGACAATCACACAACAACCAGACTTATCTTTACTTTCAGAACCAGCATTAGTATTTGCTTGTTGTTGTTTTCTCTGTGGGGGTTTTGAAGGTGGGGCAGGTGCCTTTTCAGCGCCGCCTGCAGCCTGGGGCTGCAGCTGGGGGGCCACGGCAGCACTGCTCTTGCCGTTGGTTGGCGAAACAGCGCCCGAGTCGGTGTTGGCGGCAGACGCAGTGTGGTTGAGGGCGTCCTTGTCGTCGGAGTCGGCGACCACGGCGTCCTGGTCACGCACCGACCGCACCAAGTCGAAAAATGCCTCCTCGACGTTGATGCGCTGTTTAGCAGAGGTCTCCAAAAACTGGCAGTTGAACGACTTGGCCAAACTCAACCCCTCCTCGTAGCTGACCTGTCTCTCAATCTCCAAGTCACACTTGTTTCCGACCACCAACACCGGCACGGAGTCGGCGTCCTTGACTCTCAAGATCTGCTCGTAGAATGACTGGAGCTCCTCCAACGAGTTTTTAGAGTTGATTGAGTACACAAGCAAGAAACCTTCACCGGTTCTCATGTACTGCTCGCGCATGGCGCTGTACTCCTCCTGTCCGGCGGTGTCAAGCACGTCAAGAAGCACCTGCTCCTTGTCGATGGTACACTGCTTGCGGTAGGAGTCCTCAATGGTGGGGTCGTACTCGTCAACAAAGTGGCTCTGGATGAGCTGGATGGTGAGCGCCGACTTACCGACACCACCGCCTCCGACAACGACTAATTTGTATTCCTTCATGGTGGGGCTAGCGAGGGTAGATTGATCAGGAGCAATTGCTGGCACAAGCAACGGTATATATTTGTGGTGAGCGCCGGTTGCAGACAAAAACTGGCTTGGACGTTTTCGTCAGGGTGCCTTTTGTGTGGTGAAAATTTTTAACCCTATTGAGCGAGGGTTGGGAGGCGGCAACAAACAGGGCCAGCCGGGGTATATATTGGGGAGAGCGAAATGTCTGGCCCAGAAGAGGTGAGGGGGCGGAAGCGGGGCAGGTCACTGGAACGGGCTGGAAGTTGTTGCGGCGCCGGCAGCACCAGCGAATTTGGGTCTGCGCGGGGGCAGGCCAAGCCAGGGGAAGGCAAGGGGAAGGAAAGGGCGAGGTGCTATGGGAAGGCAGGGCTGACTCAGCGGCTTCTGGCAGTGGGGATGTTCCTGCTGACGGTGGTGGAATCCATTATTGTGCTGCCATTGGTTGGTCGCGAGAGGCGGAAGGGTTTGCGGCATCTGTTGCAGATACCACCCTGCGCGCGGGGCGCTGGCGGAGCAGGTGTCCGCGAGATCACTGGTTTGGAAGTGTCTGGGGGCGCCAACAGCGTCATGGAGCGGGTGCTGCATGGTCACTTGCAGTGCTGGGTCATTTACGCCTGAACGCTGCCCCGCTGGCGGCCTTGCTGTCGGCTCCTGGCCTGGCGGGACTTCTGATGGCCACTAGCGAATAGCCGAGGTCACGTGCCGATGCTATACTTAGCCACCTCCATCTGGCAGGATCGGATGGCGCCTGTGCCACGGCGCATCCCGCGCCCAAGGCCACTTATTGGGCGCTGGCGGACGTGCATGGCATGGAACGTCACCATTCCCTCGTACAATGCCGTCACTATTCCAGGTGCGCTGGCCCAGTTCAATAGAGGGGCCGGCTGCGCCGGCTGCAGCCGTGGAATGGTGATGGTGCAGCAGTCGGTGTTGGCCGCATGCTAGATCCAGCCGTACGTGGCTCCCAACACCGCCGCCGATGATGTCGCCTGCACCAGCTGCCTATTATTACTATATGCTATACAAGCGATGTGCACAGGAGGCGTTTTTGGAGTGCACCCTGGTGCTGTAGGAGGGCGCCCACGAAAGCCGTTCCAGCGGGTGTGCTGATCCAGATAGCCTCGTCGGATGGTTTCCATGTGAGTGCGTGTAGTGCAGCGCCCAGCATGCATGGCCTGAAACAGCCACCAGCGCGTGGGTGACGATTGTGGGATGCTGTCGGATCACAGGCCCAGAGGGTGAAGGAGGGCTCGTATATCTGGTCTGCTTATCGCCGGAGATCTCTGGTTGCTATCGTCGGGCGGGTGGCCAAACTCTATTTAGGACTGCACGTGCGGGCTGCAAGGAGGTGCACCTTGCATCTTCGCAACTGGCATGTACCTGGAACATGTTCCTGGAACTAGCATCTTCACTGCCTGTGCAGCTGGCATCCTTATCCTCACCTCCACTTCCTGGGCTTCTTTCACTGTGCGTCTCTCTTCACTATACTTTCCGTATTTTCTTCATCTTCACCAAACAGTCGTCACAGTACCACTTGCCCTTGGGCGGGTTCTTGAACCCAATACACGGCAAGTGGAACCACTCGCGCTTGCAATCGTCGCCGTCGCACCCCACCATCTCGCCAAACGACACCTGGTTACAGTAACAGTATGTAGGCTCACTTGACCCCGACTTCCCCCCTGCTCCGGGGTGGGTGTCACCACGCACACGCCCCTCCTGTCTGCCTTCACCATCGGACGTGTTGTTGCTCTTGATGTCGTCGTCGCGTCTGGGCTTGCTCTTCTTCTTTGCGGCAAGTGCGCCAGTCCCTGCGCTGGCGCCAATAGCACCAGGAGTCACTGGACGGGGGATGTCGTCGCCGGCCTCCTTACGGGGCCGCTTCTTGGTGCTGGCTGCGTTGGAACCGCTGCCGCTGTGAGTGGTGCTGCGTGGCGCCTCCAACGGAGTCATTTCTTTGGTGCGCTTCTTTTTGGCACCCCCAATGTCGTCCGCCACATCCTCCTTGCCTGCTTTCTTTGCAGCCAATGCCTCGCGCCTGCTCTCGCTACGCTGGGACTGGGCCGAGCGGTCGGCGCTGGACGCCATGGCACTGGACGAAGAGTCCATGATCATGGCAGGGTGGTTCAATGGCCCGATGCGGATGCTCTCGGGAATCTCGTTGTTGTTGATGATGAGCTTGTAGTCGTTGTTGATGCGGAACATGTGCTTGTTGAGGAGCTCGGTGGCCACCGAGGTGACGTGCATCTTTTCCTCCAAGCAGGGGATTATTTCGTTGATCTTGTCTTTGATGAGCGCTAGGCGCTTGTACTCGAGGTCGTGGGGGGTGGGTGGCGTCTTGGTGACGTTCGGTGTTGTAGTTTTGGCTGTTCCGTTCGCTGTTCCGTTGGTTGTCCCGCTGGCTGTTCCGTTGGCGTTCCCGTTGGCTGGCGCTGTTGTTTTGCCTGTAGCGGCGGCTGCTGTGGTGTCTGCCTCGGGCGCTGGCTGGTGCAACGTGTCGATGTACTTCTCAATCAAGTAGTTGATCTGCGGCACCGTGTTGATACACTTGGCGTCGATCTCCTTGAGCAACGTCGAGTACTTGATCAAGTCCAACGGCAACGCCTCGAACGCATCACTGATGTCGTTGAGTCCTGGCAAGAGCTCGTTGATGTTGGTGATGTTTTTGGACCGCAGTTTGTACTGCTGGAAGTGTTGCTGGCTCTGCTGCGTCTTGAGCCTGTTGATGAGCCGCTGGGACTTTTGCCGGGAGGGAAGGTCTTGATACGTCATGGGGTGGAATATGGGCTTGAAGAGTTTCGGAAAAGGGACCTTTTGGGGGGCTAGAACGCTGCGAAAAACAGGATTTTTCGATTGCAGTTGTGGAAACGGTGCTGGGCGTGCTCAGTAAGTGCCAATCGGTGCCTGTTAGCGACAAACACGCGGTATGGAGTGATATGTGATGATGGAGGTGGGATGGCGTGTATTGGCTGTTGGGGTGCGGATGGTAGATTGGTGTGCGCACGACCCGGGACTGTAGGTACTGCTAGGCGAAACTAGTCCATAGATTCTAACAGCATAAATACATGACATACTGTCTAGAGGTACTATATACTTTATCTGCTCTTTCTTCCAATAAAATGTCCTTTCGAATATTGGGCCTCTCATTCAAAAATAATATCATGACCCATACGATTATGATGGGTACAGGTGGGGCTTCTGTAGTATCCAACTACGGTTTGGGTTGTTTGTTTACTTCGCTTTGCACTAATCCACATTAATAATTTATATTAAAGCAGGTGGTAGGTTTTATAAAAAGTTATGTGACTGGTAATGTGAAATCCATACCTTCCTCCGCATCCCTACCTAGCTACTTGCTAGGTGACTCCCAAAGGAGTCTAAAATAGTCTGAAGTCTAAGGAGCTCCAAATTAATACAAGGAATTAAAGTAACCAGCACATGCTATCTATCCTAACAATATGCATTATGGTTTAAGAACAGAAAAGAAGCTATACCAAGTGAAAGTTACTTTTGAGAATAGAAAAGCATTTACCCAACATAAGGCAAGCGGGTGGTGTGCTATTCTTGGGTATTAAGATGGGTTTGGCTTGTTATCGCTGTCATTATTGGAACAAGACTATCTAAATCCCACTAATTGTCCTATTTGAGAAGTAGCTGGGTTGGAGGAATAGGACTCAACGGCACCAGGAGGAACTGCCTAAGAATGACTGGGGCCGTTTGGGCTAGGAATGAATATTTATGGAACTCCCTAGAAATACAAGGTGTATTAGTAATGGCATCTACACGTTAAAAATGTTCGAAACGAATAACTAGTTGTTGGGTATCGATTATGTACTGAAAATGCTATATTGATTGCTGAAATTATTCACTTTCTTTTCAAAAGTCTTTAATTTGGACCATAAAATAATCATAAAAATAAATTATGGTCTTATACAGCTTGATTAACAAGGACGACCATCGATTGGGCAGAACCGTAAGGTTGGTGTGCCCACATCGTTTCCCAATGATCTAATTGTATGTATTATTTTAAAGGGACTTTTATCGTCCAAAGTAAAGGTGTAGCGAAATTTGGAGAAAAATGAAGAAATCAGGAAAATATCCTATCTGACACTCTAGCCCCTCGCCAGCATGATCCTGTAGTAGAGCCCCGGCATTGGGCTCTTGCAGTGGCTGCTGCTTCGTGCAGTTGTGTCTTTGCCTGTTTTGAAGAAACTGCAATTACGTCAACTGCAACCTGCAATACCCATTTGCACCCATCACCACATCACCCACGGCTAGGGTCTGACCCTGCCGGCTCAGCCACGTTATGTGCCAGTTTTGGGCGCGTGGATCTGGTTCAAAATGGCACCAGGACTTTTTGGGCCTGTTTCGAGCTCGATTCAGCTCGATACACCTCACTTATTCTTCATATTAAATCACCGTTACTGTAACATCCACCGAGGAAAAACCACTGGAACCTCGCCTGTTGCCGTGTAACTGCTAGAGCTTGTGACTCCATTAGACGGATCCAGTTCCAGTCGCCCTTGGCGTGGTTTGGCACCCAATTTCGGACTCGCAACCTTTCTGGCCACTCACACGGCTGCGACGGGGCCGCTTATCAAGCGGAGCCAACCACAGCAGGCAGCGCCACATCCACCGGCGCTCGGACGTGCCCGTACCGGTCGCCATTGCATCACCGGGAGCCAAGAGGGTGGCCAATTAGCACAGGTCACGTGACTCGATATCATTTCACGGTGTCGGTTTTGCAATGCCTGTCACCGCCAGCACCACCGGCACCAACCAGTCTCCAGGACCCTCTTCACACCCCAGGCACCTCCAGGCACCTGCAGGCACCAAAAAGTCCCCGGCTGCCGTCTCGTCCGTGCTGACAATTCGCCGCCACACCCCGTCTCGACTCCGACCCGAGGCTTCATCCCACTTCAGACCCCGCCAAATCCATACTTCCAGCTGCCAGCCAGAGCCCCCACGCAGCCGGAACAACCACACGCAAGCCCTGCTCCGACTCGCTAACCAACCGACCCGGAACGCACCACTGTGGCTCCAGGCTATTATTCATATCCAGCGAGATTTCACCATTATAACCAAGAGACGTGTCGAATCACATAATCTGGCCGCGAGCACCCTACCACGCGGCGAACCATCGATATACATAAGGAGTAAATCCTCTAGACACGCAGATCACTCCAGACACGACACACCACCCAGGTCACCACAGACTACGAAAGGCTACGACTCCACACACTCCACCAACACCTCCCTGGACCATCCCCCGCACACCCCCCAGTTCCCTACTGACACCAGCCGCTCTGCTTGCTGATGCTCCAGTCCTAAGCTATATGGAACACGACAAGCCACAGTTGGACGGGTCGCTGTATCATCGAAAAAACATACATATAAGTGACCTTGACCAACAGGGTCCCAACTATGACCCCTCCCCCGACCCTAAGTACCGTTTCTTCAAGGATCCCATGTTTCTGCCCCAGCCAAGGCCCACCAGTCCGTTGGTGAGCAACTCTCCCCCCGCCAAAAGGTTGCGAGGCGACGTCGTGGGGTCGCCTAGCAGTGCCACTGGACCCTCTGGCCTCCACTACTACGTGCCAGAACGGCACACTCCAGGCCAGATCGGCCAGAACGTGTCGTATGCCCGTGGTTTCTCCCACACGGCTGCAAGCAAAAGTCCCCCAGATACCTCGTTCAACGGTTCCCGAAATAACCCCAAGCCAGGAGCAGCGGGGCACCACGACGAGGACGAACGGTTCCTTCGTTTGGCTCGCGAAGCGTTGGTGGCCACAGCCAATGGAGTCAATCCGTCAGGGTCCACGTTGGTGGATCCAACAATCCAGGACCTTCTCAGACGGCTCCAGTACGCAGCCTCGCCCCACGGCAACCCTATCAAGCGTTCGGACACCATCCGTGCCAACGAGAACGGTCAGTTGATGATCCAGGGATTTTACCAGCAGTTCCCCAACCTCAGCAACGACATTTTTACCGGTAACCCCAAGGCCGCAGCATCTTCCGAGACCGACCCGAGATCGTCCAACCACCCAAGCTCCTATAACGACGGGTGGAACTTCTTGATAGGCGAGCCTGTCACGTTAAAAGGAGTGCCCTACCAGGAGGTGGAGGCAGCGCAGGCACGCCAGAAACAGCTCGAGCAGGACGAGGATGACGAGGACGACGAGCACGATGACAACGACGAAGACGACGAGGACCATCTAGGCAGGACTAGCTCATCCAGCTCGTTGCGCAACCGCAAGGGAAGCACGGCCCACGACGACCCGTCACGCAAGTTTCTCTGCTCCAAATGTCCTATGTCGTTCCGACGGTCGTCGGACTTGAAACGGCACGAGAAGCAGCACTTGGTGATCCCTCCCAACATTTGTGAGCTTTGCGGCAAGGGCTTTGCCCGTAAGGATGCGTTGAAGCGACACATGGCCACCCTCACCTGCAAGCGAAATGCCGACAAGAAGCTATATACTGAGAACTTGAAGTACCTCGAGGAAAACCGCAGCAGTGCTCCGGATCTGGACCAGGTATAGGCCCCATCGCAGCGATTTCCGGTACGTCGTGCGACTGTAACATATTGGTTTAATTCTACTATATTAGGAGCAGGATGTAGGCGTGGGTATAAATGGTGGCAGAGTCCACAGCTAGAGCGAAGTAGTATTGGTAGGAAATTTCCGACAAAATAACTAGTGTCGGATTTCGCAGCCATTGATAGGAGGTTCCTGCACAATGGGAGATTCATAGTTCCAGCATTCCACATAGTGGGTAATCTCCATGAACAGTGTAGGTTGCCACCTGGGAGTTCGAGCAGCCCCAACGAGCGATTTCATCCATTTCTGGAATATTAATTCTCCTGAGGTGGTATCTTGAAATGATGACAACTCCGTTAAACTGTTCCAGACCTTGCCATGTCTGCAATTCAGGCTGTAACGTGACACTGGCGACGATGACTGACAAGTCTCCTGCACAATGGGGGAGGAAATAGGGTCCAGCAATAGCAAATGGATGACGACAGGGTCCAGGAACCCGATGCACGCATGTGTCATGGCAAACCTTAACTTGCCGCCAGTGCATATGGACACCCGTAACGGGCAGCACAGACAGCCCTCCGACTGGAATACTGGGGTGGCACATGCACCATCCGCTAGTCCCAGGGTCATCGGATTCGGATCAGGGTCCCGTCACATGGCCTGTGGTAGTGAAGGAAGGTTCCTGTGGCCCGAGCACGTGACGTGATCTACCACTATCACATGGCGACGTGGTGCCTGGGCCTGGTTGCGCACCGCTAGCGGAACCGGCCAACCTCGGGCCACCACCTGATAGCGGTCACGTGACGGATTACATCCTCGGCCGTGCTGCGACTTCCGGCCAGGCACAGATTGCACTCCAATCTGGGGCCGACTGCCCAACAGTGACTCCAGCCAGAGCAGGAAGATCACCACTTTCGCCACGTCACCACACCATCAACTCAATACACAGCCCATGTCCCCAACCACTGCCATTCCCGTTTTCCCATGTCTCCTACCCCAATTTTCAGTCTTTTCGGTCTTTCCACCTCCCGTCTACTACCCTCGGCAGAGCCCTCGGAACACCCGGATCTCCATTTCTTTTCCTATCTTCACCATCCATATAAATACCCGATGCCCATTCCACCACCAGCCCTCCACAACGCACTGCTAGTATCCCCCTAGCCCCATACCCATTCATCCCGTTGTTTCGTCCCGTTAGCACAGGTATCTACCGATATCGCCCCCTCACATCCTCCACAATGACTGCCGCCCAAAGATTGCAGCAGTTGAACAACATTTTGGCTCCCAACGCCACCAGCGCCAACCGCTCGTTAGTGCCTGACCATCCGTTCAAGATCGCCGTCATCGGCTCAGGCAACTGGGGAACCACCATCGCCAAAGTTTTGGCAGAAAACGCCTTGGCCAGACCTCACCTCTTCAAGCACTACGTGCACATGTGGGTGTACGAAGAGAAGATCGAAGGCCAGAAATTGACCGAAATCATCAACACCAAGCACCAGAACGTCAAGTACTTGCCAGACGTCACGTTGCCAGAAAATTTGGTGGCGGTTCCAGATGTGGTGACAGCCGCTAAGGATGCAGACTTGATTGTGTTTAATTTGCCCCACCAGTTCTTGGCCAAGATCTGTGCCAACTTGAAGGGCCACTTGAAGCCACACGCCCGTGCCATCTCGTGTTTGAAGGGCTTGGAAGTTACGCCCGAAGGTTGCAAATTGTTGTCCACCTACATCACCGAGACCTTGGGCGTGGCCTGCGGAGCGTTATCAGGCGCCAACTTGGCAGGCGAGGTCGCCAGAGGCAAGTGGTCCGAGACCACCGTCGCCTACTCTATTCCAGATGACTATCTTGGACGTGGTAAGGACATCGACCGCGAGGTGTTGAAGGCTGCGTTTGCCAGACCCTACTTCCACGTCAACGTCATCGAGGACGTGGCAGGTGTATCTGTGGCAGGTGCGTTGAAGAACATCGTGGCATTGGCTGTCGGCTTCGTCGAGGGCCTCGGCTGGGGTGACAACGCCAAGAGTGCCATCATGCGTGTGGGCTTGTTGGAAACCATCAAGTTCTCCACAACGTTCTTCCCCGAGTCGGACCAAGCCACCTTCACCGGCGAGTCTGCAGGTGTGGCTGACTTGATCACCACCTGCTCAGGCGGAAGAAACGTCAAGGTCGGCAGATACATGGCCAAGACTGGAGCCTCAGCTGAAGAGGCCGAAAAGGAGTTGTTGAACGGCCAGTCCTCGCAGGGAATCATCACCGCCAAGGAAGTCCACGAGTTGTTGACCAACGTGGGCAGGGTGGACGAGTTCCCATTGTTCGAAGCTACCTACCAGATTATCTACGGATCGGAGTCCATTGATAACTTGCCTGCGTTGTTGGAGAGAAAGTAATGTATTATAGAAGATCCTGGGATCAAATAGATGATTAGAGTAGTGGAGGTCTCCTCCTGAATAGACGATTAGAGTAAGCAGTGTAATTATTTTATGGTGGACTGAAAGGTCCATTCTGACTGAGACATTACAGGTCTATGGTCTGACGACTTTGGTGCACATGCATCGTAAAAGCTGTCAACGACGACATTCATGCAGCCATTAGAACCTCAGATGCCAATGGGAAGTTCTTAAGGGTACAGCCAGCGAGACGTCTATTCATGCAGTCATTTTAAAATGCAACATCTGCTCTCTCGACAGGTATAATTCCTGTTAATACAAGCTGTTAATTCCATTTATTCTGTCTTCATATCTTTGCTTTTTTTACGGCTTCTTCGTCTCCAGTCTTCACATCGTCACCCTTTCTTTTTCTGTCATGTTTGGCCCGGTATTTGACGAGGAACTTCTCCATGAATATAGTACAATACTCCTTGATCTTTTTCAACTTGGCAGACTCCAACTCTTTGGGAGGGTTGGCATTGGCATCCTTCTTCAACTCCTTGGCCACCAACGTCTTCACAATGTCTTTGGCACATCCTTTGATATTGTCTCTGCCTATCTCTGCCTCGTACTTCTTGATGCAGTTGGGGATGTGCTTGGCCATCACATGAGTCCATTTCTTTTCCAACGTTTCTGGGGTGTTTTTCGAGCTCTTGTGCTTGGAACTCTTACTGCGTGAGCTCTTGCCCAACTTTTCTTGTTGTTTCTTCAATTTCTCCTGGATTTTGTTTCTTTCCTCGATCTGTTTCTTTCTCTGTTCATCCCCAGATTGTTTGATGAGCTCCTGTAACTGTTTTTCACGCTCTTGCAATTTCATGAACTGTTCCTCTTTTTCCAACTTCAATCTCTCTTCCTCCTGCTGTGCCAACAGTTCACCGTAGAACTTCTTTGGATGGGGACTGCTTTCCTTGAAGCCATTCGAATGAACAGGTCCAGCATTGCCATTGTTGTTGCCATGGTTCTTGTTTTTGAAGCTCTTGGCTTCGTTCCCAATTTTCGGACCAGTTGGCACGGAAGCAGTAGGTCTATCCCATCTCGATATGTTCAATTCTCTGTGATAATAGTAGTTGCTTTTGGTATTTTCGTCAAACGCCATTTCCCAACCATCTGGCAAGCCCTCGGTGCTTACAGTGAATGTGGTCTGGTGCTCTGGTTCTTCCGAGGTTTCGACTTTTGGTGATCTCGAGCCTTTTCTTCCGTACGAAGAAATGCTATCGGATTTGGTCTTAGGAATTCTGTATGCCATTTGTAAATTGCCCCATTCTTGTAGCAACTCACTGGCCAATGCCTTGATGTCATCATTAGGACTGGACTCTTCGAGGTCCTTCACCACATTTTCTATCTGCGAGGACGAAATTTTGTTTCTGGTAACCTTGGGCCATTTGCTGAGAATGGTCAATATTTTGAGCACCATCTCGTCATCGACGCCTCTGAATTCTTTGATGAGTGTAGACAACGTTTTGTAGCCGTGGAATCTCACAATCAACGAGTTCACACTGGCGTCGTTGGTCATGTAGATTCTCTGGATCAATTTCCGCACAATGTGGATGTCCTGGGGTTTCATCAATGCTCCCATTACCTTGGAGACATCTGCCTCCGTCAACTCTTGGACCTCAATGGATTTAATGAACATCTCGTTGATGACAGCATCTTCTGCCTGTTGTTTGGCCCTGAGGTGCTTGTTTTCCTTCAACCACTGCTTCTCCTGCTTGGCAGTGACCCCCAAGGCCTCGGAAATGCCGTCTGGCAAGAGTAAGGCTGCGTCTGTCTGGGTCTTTCCTCCCATGAACTTGACACAGTTGGGCTCACCGCAGTAGCACGGCTGCGATTGGGCGCCGTACCTGTCGACGTTGTAGTCGAACGTGATCTCCTCGTTCTGCTGGATAGCTCTTTTGGCGAATATCCCCATTCTCAACTTGTCGCCAACCACCCACTTGTCTACGTAAGCATTTGGATTGCACGAATGGTTACAGAAACGAGCCAACGAGCCCTTGATGGTGGCGTCGATGAACGAGTCCTGCTTCAACATCATGAAGTAGAAGTGCTTGAAGTTCTTTTTGTCGTAGTCCAACATTCTGGCTCGGAAAGTGGTTTCGTCTATCACCTCGCCAATATACTCGTAGATAAATGCCAGCTCGGGGATCGTCTGGTTGGCTCGCAAGCCGTAGCCTTTGAGCTCTGTCTGGAACACCGACACTGACGCGTACTGGCGCTTTTGGAACCGCTGGTTCTGGCAGTCGGTGCCACAGAGGCAGTGGCCATTGACACACTCCACTGAGGTGACCCGGTTGATACAGCTGGAGTCGTCACCACAGGCCAAGTTCTTCTGGTTTGCGGAGTCCCAGTGCTCCTGGCAGTCACACGTCATGTACTCCTGCTGGTTGGACGAGCCGATGGTCTTGGGGGTGTAGGTACATTTTTTGATTTCCTCGAACCTGGACTTGGCCTCTTCTGTTTTGTCGAGATCCATGGTGGTGTGGTGTATAGAGGATGGTGGTGCTTGTTGCTGGAGCTGTTGTAGAGCTGCAGTTGTCCTGTAGAGCTGTTTATGTTCTGTTGAGCTGTTGTTGTCCTCTTGTTTGATGTGTTGTCTTCTTCTTCGCTCAAACACTAATAGATACTGACAAACGGCACGCGATGGATCTGCTGGTGCGCAAGGGGATGCTGATGCCGACGATGGATGTCCACGGAGTGTCTGGTGCCAAAGGAACGACGGTTGTGTTGTTAGATATATCGAAAATTTTCAAGATAATGAATTTTCGCGGGTTACCGCGAAAGAGAGGTATGACTAGAAGTGAGTGTACAGGCTACAGCGACGGAAGAGGGCTAATGGCTCCACACGGGAAAGCAATTGGCGAAAGGAGGCAATTGGCCGGTTTCTGGCCATATACTGGCGATCGTCGAACGGTGGATTCCATACATTAATATTGGAAAGTCATGGGATATTGATATGGGCGGTGCTGGTAATTGGTAATTGGTAATTACTGATTCGACCCGAGAAATAGATCACTGAAATTACTGATTCCGTCTCAAGAAATAGAGTCACGGCAATACGGTAATTACTGATGTGGCACTCAAGTAATTACTGGATTTAAAGCCTTCAACAGTAGTAATTGAATAGCCACAAAATTACTGAATGCGCAAGCTTTCAACGGTGCCAATCGCTGTTACTCAAGCCATAATGGCACTTAATGCGCAGTTCAAGGGGAAATACTGAATTTTCAGGCGTTCAATAGTGGCAATACTGATTCCGGAGCATGGCAATGACGGTCTCTCGATCAGTGGTAATCACTGCCATTACTGTCAATCATCGAGCCACTCACCAGCTGCATCGTCTTCGCTTCCAGAGCTCAGCTTGCCTCCGGCTTGTCCTCCTTATAATTGGCCACTCTTTCCTTGTTTTCAGAAGCTGCGTGCACCAACTGCACAAATGCGCTTCCAGCCAAGTCAGACTTGTGCTTGGGGTCGGCCTTGGGGTCGAGGTTGTTCAATGCATCCGAGAACTTCTTCCACGAGCTCAAGGCAGTAGTGTCCAGCTTGGACGACTCCACGGACGAGGTGTCCTTGAACAAGTTGATTTCGTTGGGGTCGTCGTCGTCGTCGGTCTGGATGGTCTTCAACTTGTCGATTCTGTTTTTCAACTTGACCATCTCGATGGCCTGTCTGAACTTGGCTTTGGCATCGAAGTTCTGCTTGAGGTTGGGCAACAAATCGGTGTGCTTGTGTTCTGGGGCGATCTTGAGGAGCCAGGCGTCCTCGAGGAGCTCGGCTGCCGTGGGACGGTGGTCAGGGTTGAACTGCAACGCCTTGATAATAAATCTCCTGGCGTCCTTGGATACGTCTTTCCAGTAGTCGGCATGGAAAATCACAGCATTGTTGTGTTTGACCTCGTTGACGAAGTCCTGGACGTTTTCTGACCGGAACGGCGAGTAGCCACAGAGCAAAGTGTAGGTGATGACTCCCAAGGACCAGATGTCACACGGCTTTCCGTGGCCTGTTCCAATGATAACTTCAGGAGCAGCGTAGCCAAACGAGCCAGCGGACGACGTCAACTTCTCGTTGGGACTCTGCAACCGTTTGGCAATGCCAAAGTCCGCCAAAACCACGTTGGAGTCCGCGTCCTGGTTGAGGTAAAGGATGTTTTCCGGCTTCAAGTCTCGGTGCACGATGTCCTTACTGTGGAGGTACTGGATGGCATCGAGCATCTGCATCACCACCAACGACGCGTCGTGCTCGGTGAAGCGTCCCTGCTGGACGATCCTGTCAAACAACTCGCCTCCTGTGGCCAACTGGGTGACGATGTAGAACTTGTCCTTGGACTCGAACCAGTCGCGGAATCCCACGATGTGTGCGTGGTGCAACTCCTTCAAGAGCTCGAGCTCGTCGATGATCATGGCCTCATTGCCCTTGAGTGCCTTCTTCAAGATGATTTTGACTGCCACCTCCTCGTTGCTGATGTTGTCGCGGGCGTACCGGACGATTCCGAACGAACCAGCGCCCAATGTTTTGCCGAAGGTGTAGTGCTGCTTGCGGGAGTACGAGGCGGGCTGGCCACTGAGCTTGTGGAGGAACTTCTTGATATCGTCAGACATTGGCGGATTGGTAGAAGAAGAGAGTTGTGAATTGTTAATTGGTGTGCGGCTCACGTGTGTGGGGCGCAGTGTCATTCGGATAAGAATAGAAGTGGATGTGAAACGGAGGGTGGTGAAGAGGCAGCGTGACGGCAGTAAGGATGTTTGAGCCTGGCGAGAGCTTTCAGGTTATTGCTAGCTGTGTATGAAATATTGGACTAGTTTTACTATGAAATTCCAATGGGCGTAGTTGTGCCTCTAAATCCATGAAATTACTCTGGACTAGTTGTCTAAATGTTTGCAATTAGACTGTGATTAGTATTGCTTCCAACCTATTAGCTTCCGATTTCTGTGCCTTTACCTCTTGTTGTATGAAATCAACCGTGGCGAGTTTTCGAAATCTAAGAAATTCCGATTCCATTGTAATTAGTCTATTACGAAATCTAAGAAATTCCAATTTCATTGAAAAAAATACTTCGAAATCGAGAAACTCGGAAACATGGTGGATCAGAGCTGGTCACATCGTAACCTAAAAGCCCATCATTGGTTATGGAAGATTGTAAGTCGGATTATGCCCAAAAAAACTACAGGAATAATTAAGTTGGGAGTATACGGGTCACAACAAGTAAAGGCTTTAAGGTTCCCAAACGGCCGATATTGCCAAGAGACTGGCGGTAACACGGCTGAGAGCCACGTGATAGTGTGCTTGTGATGATTTTGGGGCTGGTGGCTTGTTGGCACAAATAGTTCCAATACTTACGTAAAGATATGTTGCTGGAACAATTTAACTGTCCCTCTAGAGTAGTTATTTATATTTGTATTACTTCGTAGACTTGGGTGCGGGTTGGCTGCGATCATATTAAGCACTCAGATGACTTAGTATGTTCTATTTCCGCTTGTCTCTAGAAAATTAGAGCTTGGAATACTCACATTTACCGTTTAACGGCCCTTAGTCGTTTCTTATTTAATTTGCAGAGAAATCTCAGCATTTTCATACCCTAGGTATAGCCCTGGCAACGAATTGAAATAATCCATGGCGCACACGTCATTAACCCCACGAAACACACTCCGTTCACTGCGAGTCCTACACGTTATTTTTAATTATTTATTAATAATTAGAGCTCTTAGGCATATTTTTATCTCGTTTTCCTGTGGAAGCCTGAGGGGGCTTTTCATATTTAAAAGTTTTGCACGTCCTTAAAGTCTTCTTCAGTAATGTTTGATCTCTCACACATTTGTTGGAAAATACTTCCATCTGTGTTGAACAAGTTGATTGGAGTGTCGTATTCCTGGAGCTCTCCCTTGTCCAATACCAAGATTCTATTGTAGTTGATGATAGTCTTTAATCTATGGGCGATACACAAAATAGTGCATTGGCTGAATTCCCTAATAATGGTTTCTTGGATCTTGGAGTCAGTTTCGTAATCCACAGAAGATGTGGCTTCATCCAAAATCAAGATCTTCGAGTCTCTGACCAAAGCTCTGGCGAACGCAATTAATTGTCTTTCACCAAGGGAGAAATTGCTACCATCATCTTCCACCGATTGATCCAAGTGAAACTTGTGCATAGCACTTTCGTCGTCAGTGTCGTCTGTCTTGACCTGCTTCTTAACTGCTTCCAATCTGGTAGAATCGATCAAACCGGTTCTTCTCAAAGCATCCCATAATTTATCATCAGATCTCTCATTAAATGGATCCAAGTTCTTTCTGATACTTCCTCTGAATAAAACAGGATCTTGTGGAATGATTGATAGCTTTGATCTCAATGCATGCAATCCAAGGTTAGAAATATCAACACCATCGATAACGATGGATCCTTTCTCCAACTCAGTTAATCTATAAAGTGCAGTCATAATGGATGATTTACCAGCACCAGTTCTACCACAGATACCGATCTTCTCAGCAGGCTTGACTTGGAAGCTCAAGTCCTTCAAGACCAAAGGTAAACCCGGTCTGTAGGCCATGCTCACGTCTTTGAAGGTGATTTCACCTTGCTCCGGCCACGATTCCTTGGGAGTGGTTTCAGTGATGACATATGGTGCCTCTTCGGGCAAGCCAAAGGCATATTGTGACAATCTTTCAACGGAGTTCATTTCGTTCTCAACTTGGGTGAAAGTTCTAATAAGCAAGGACAACTGATTGGCAATTTGGATAACGTAGGCCAATAACAAACCTACGGATGCAGGACTGATACTAAAGACTCTACCCACACATAAAAGACAAATTAACAATGCAAATATGGCAGCAAGGATATCCATATGAAGTGTTAACCAACGCTGGTTAGCAATAGAAAGGTAGTATGCTTCATTCATCACATTGAGATAGTTGTCACTCTTGGCAACAAATCTTGCTTCAGCGTTATAAGCCTTGATTGTGGGCATACCACTCAAAGTTTCGTTGAAATTGTTGTAGACAAATGATCTTTGAATAGCCTCCAATCTCTTAATTTCTCTCGCAGAAGCCTGGTAGAAGTTGGCCACCGCCACGAACAAGAAACCCAAGAATGGAAGAGCGATGGCGAACCATGGTAAGTAGATGACACACAAGATCAATACACCAATGATGTTACTCAAGGTGAACATGAGGAATCTTGCCTGATCACCAAGCTCGTTATCCAACACATCGGTATCCTTGGTGAATCTGTTCAAAATTCTACCCATTGGAGTGGTGTCCATGAAAGACATTGGAGCATGCAAGATTCTCTTCACAGCACGAATATTCAAGTTGATGGCAGCGGAGTTAGAGAGCGAAACCAACACAATAAACTCGGAAAGCAAGAAGACGAACGATAAAACAGTGAACATCACATAAATACCAATATAGAATTTGTCGGGCTTGTCCTTGAACTTGTATTCAGTCCAGAAGGAAAGCCAGGTATTGGTAAACAATTGACAAAAGGTGGCTAAAATCATCAACAACAAGTAAGAAGGAACAACCACCCATGGACCAACTTTTCCTGAACCTTCATTGGCATAATTGGCATAGACTTCAAACTTGATACCGTTAACGGCTCTTTCTTCCTCCTCGGTCAACTTACCACCAGTGGTGTCGTTCTTGTAGGTCTTGTGGATAGCTTCTTCGTCAGCACGGTTTTCCTTTTTAGATTTTTTGGGGGCACCTTCAATGACATCGAGTTCTTCCTCGATATTTTCTTCATCTTCTTCTTCGTCCTTCTGTTCGCTGCTAAACGCCATCAATTTTTCGAAACCAGGGTTCCTTTCCTTCAATTCTGATGTGGTTCCAATATCAACGGAGCCGTCCCCATTCAAGAAAATGACTCTGTTGGCAGCACTGATAAGGGACAACTGGTGGGTAGCCAAGATTCTGGTTTTGTCCTTGAGCATTCCCAAAAGGCAGTTGTTCATGATATGTTTTCCGACGCTGGCATCAACTGCAGACAAAACATCGTCCAACAAAATGATATCCTTGTCGGCATACACGGCTCTGGCCAAGTTGATTCTGGCCTTTTGACCCCCGGACAATGTGATACCTCTTTCACCGATTTCGGTGGCATCACCACCAGGTAAAACGTCAAGATCGGCCTCCAAGGAACAGGCGTAAATGGTATCTTTGTATCTCTGTTCGTCGTATTCGTTGCCGAAAATAATATTTTCCTTGACAGTAGCGTTTTGCACCCAGGGGTAGCCACATAACAACAAGGAACCGTTGACGTCGATGGCACCCTGAGTTCTCTTCATGAACCCAGACAAAGCACTCAACAAAGACGACTTACCAGAGCCGATCAAACCGGTGATCACGACGAATTCGTTCTTCTGGATCTTCAAGTCAATGTTGTGTAAACCCGAAAATACGATTTCACTGGAGGCATCGGACTCCGACTCGTACTTTTCGTCCTTGTCACTGGAGTCTGTCTTGGCCACCTTTTCCTGTTTCTTTTCGTTGGCCTCCTCGGCATTATCGTCGAGATCAAAAGTTTCCCATTCGAATGAAGCGTTTTGCACCTCAAGAGCGAGGTTTTCCTTTTCCATTTGCTCTCTCTTGGGCCCATCGGCCTCGATGCGCAACTCCTCAGGGTCCAATTCGTCTGCACACAAGAACTCGCCTACCCTAGTGATTCCGAGCAAGGCGTCGGTACCGGAACTCAAGGCCATGGGCAACAAGATGACCTGTTGGGACAACACGTTGAACAACGAGATCGACGAAAAGATGTCGGCCGGGCTTCTGTTGCCAGTGCGGATGGCGTACAACACCAAGAACGCGATCATGGACGAGAACAACGTCAACGACATTGCCACGGCAATGAGGATGTTTCTCATGACTTGCATCTTGTAGATGATCTTCATCTCCTTGTGACGCGCGTCAGCGATGTTGGCCTCGTAGGGGGCTTCCCACGAGTAGTACTTGATGACCTTCAAGTTGTTCAATGCCTCCTTCAAGTAGTTGACACGGAGGTCGGTGAACTTCATAGCTTTGAACCGGAGCCCGAACAACCGCTTGGCCAGCGTGAAGATGAAAACCAAGAACAACACCACGAGCGCCACACCCACGAGAGCAGCCACCCCGATGTTGACTACCAAGATGGCGATGGCGATGGCCACGGGAATGGGGAACGTGAACAAGAACGGCTGGAAGCCGAACGCGAAGTCGACACGCGCCAAATCGGCCCCCATGATGGACGTGATCTTACCCACGGAGTACTTGTGCTTGGACTCAGCGTTCAAACGGAACGCCTTGTCCAACATGGCCTTGGTAAGCACTGCTTTGGCCTGGGCGCCTGTCAACATCGATCTGTAGAAGAAGTGGTTGATGAAGATCCCCACCATCATGATCACGAGACAGGAGCCGAACGAGTACCCCAAACCCTTGTTGATGGAGGTCTCGATGCCGAGAGCACGACGTTCCACGAACGTGATCAACTTCTTGGTAAGTAAAGGGTTTGTGGTTTGTCCAACCGATGAGAGCGACAAAAAGAGGCACGACATCGAGTACTGCCACTTGAACGTCAAGAAGAGCGCCCACACGGTGACGTATTTGGACACGGTGAAGTCAGCCAAGTCGTCGGCGGAAGATACAGACGACGTGGCGGGCGTCTCGCCTCTGGCCTTGCACTTGGCGGCTATGTGTTTGGTTTCTGCTTTGGCAACACCCGCAGTGAAATGGCGGTAAAAATCGGCAGCCATTTTCTCGACTTTTATATCGTCAGTTAATGTGAACAAGTCTTCAGGTTCAAGAGTACGCTTGTAGCCAGTACGCATGACGGGGTGCAACCACCAGAAGAACACTTTGGAGAACACGTTGGCGGTGCTAGATGGGTATGGGGGTCGCTCATCGGGAGACGGGAGGTGGGGTATTCGTTTGGAGAGGAACTTGGTGAGCAATCGCTTCTGCGAATGCAACTGGGCAGCCTCGTTGTCGGACATGGCAGTTTGGGGAGGGTTGGTTGTGGTTTTGGATGTGGATGTGGTGTTGGTGGGGAGGGCGAGGTTTATATAGCGGGAGAGCGGAATCGGAATCTGTGCACCCGTGCTGTAGATGGCTCTGCGCCCTGACAATATTTTTTGCGATGGTGCGTGGTGGAGTTACACGGGCATAAAACGGCGGTAGAAGAGACGTTTTTGCAGGTTGGGGAGAGGTGGCGTTGGCAGCCGGTGGCAATGAGTCATGGATGTGAAGTAGGCGGGGCCAGTGCAGGGTGATGGCAGGCGATGGCTGGGGCACGGGGGTTGCTCTGGGGTGCTAGCTGGTAGCGCCTGGTGGCGATCCGGTGGAGGGAGCGATTCTTCCCCTAGCGCTCCAAGATGCATGCACCCTGCACCAGTTGGACCCAATTTGCCACTGGCAGATCGCCGCCCATAAGGTTTGGGTTCCATGGCCCACCAACCTGCAAAAAGCCATGTCGTTTCGGCATTTGAGAACTGCACAATGTCCTATCATGGCCGTCGAGGCAGCGCCAGGGGGTGCGGGTTGGGCCGTACGAACACCCCCCATATCTGTTATCTTCATGGACAGCGGGTGCTCATAGTTGCAGTCGCGCAATCTGGGGCCTGGGGCCAACTCTGGGGATTTACGAGTATTTATGATTGCTCCGCATCCTCCATGTGCAGAAGGCGTAACGTCCCCTGCCCACCCCACCACCCTTAATTATCGCCGCTGCCGCCACTGGCAGGTTGGCTGTATCAAAGCAGCCGCATCATTGCGCATGAAGGAAGGCGCTCCAGCAGCCGCTCCAGCCTCGTTCAGAGCGCCTCTTACATAAGCGCGTTCACCGCCAGGGTGCTATGACACTAATCATGTGATCTAAAGTCCAAGGTGCAACCTTGCCGCAAATGGAACCCATTCCGCCTCCATGCGCTCTGGGTATTTGCCATTACAGATAACACGTTGAGTAATACTTATCTATTGACAAACTTGGGCGTGATAGCATGAAATTGGCTAACTGGGACTTGCCTCTGCTGATACCCCAACTGACCTCACTTGTTTAGAAGCAGTGGCTAAAATTACTATCTCCAGAGAGAACCGTGAAAATGCTGATGCGCTGGAATTGGTGAAGACTTCGAGCTTGGACCCACGAAACACCAATAGAAAAACAATAATTAAGAAGATTCCATGTGAAATTCGTAGTAGTAGTAGGCGGCGAATTGGGATGTGTTGTCCCAGGGCTTCGAGAATTTCTCATGAAGTTGACGATACTTGAAAGGACCAGAAATGGACTATAAAGTGGACAAAAAATGGAGAAACTAGTATTATAATACTAATTTATATTTGCGAGTTATATTCTACTGGCGACTTTTGAATGATTACTGGGATTGCATCTTTGGAGGAAAATCAGAATGTTTAATAAGATTAAAGAAGTACGACCTATCAATTAGCTGCAACAGTTTTCTGATGGATCTGAACCAGCACTTCCAACATCGAGAAACCAATCTAGGACGAGTAGGATCAATTTACTACAAGGCGTCCATAAACGCAACACTCACAATACCCTCACATCAAACTGCTATATTGTCAGTTCTTCACTGAGCCAGGCTTCGCTGACGAGTACTCAGGCCATCAAGATTTTAATGTATGGAAGGTATTTTTTGGCTCAGGTTCAACACGCAATACTACCAGCTTGATGAAGAGTACAATAGTGTGTGTTATTGAAAGCTAGGAAAAGATCAAGGGTAAGTTGCTTTAAAAGTCACACATTTACCAAAGGGGAGCACTAGAGCGAGATTCTTCATCACTCAATAACAGTAAATAGATTGAAAAATTAGCCTCAATAAGGTAATTAGCAACTGCAGCCTACAGTGCTGGTTTGTCGTCTATTTCTACTTTTAGTTGGTCTATTATTAGTAAACTAGAATTGTTCCTTCCTTCAATGTCTTTTAAGCAATCACGATCCAATTGAATCGAACGGAGAGAAAGTTATTAATTCATACACCTACCAAAACCGTTTTCATTGGAATGGCCAGTCCAGTCCCTTTCTATTCCCCAGACATCCAGATCCCTAATTTATACCCGCAGACAGTTTCAGTGCATTAAAGAAGTGTGGCTTCCTCGGGAGAAAGATCTAGAAGCTTCACAATTTAACAAGTTTAGCTATAAAATAATATTTGAGCTCTGTAAGCGGAATATGCATTTATCCTTCTAGTTCTATACTTCCGGATAATACTAAAGAACCATCAGAAACCGTCAGGTTCCATTCTCAATTATTCAACATACTGAATTTTATGGTCCAAATTATGTCGCACCTCCGCTAAGTGGACGTACCACCTACCCCTTGACTAGAAGCCTATCAGCTACGAGCTGGAAACACAGTGGTTTCCTTAGCTCCAGAAACCAATTAATTGCCTATTAAATTCTGAAGACCACAATTCTCGAGACCCCAAGAATAAGCCATATTTCGGGGTTTGGCGAAAAATCGCCCAAGCAAGCGTATGAAACCTGTCGGTAAATTCCCCTGAGGTTCCGAAGGATTTATGAAAAGTAATCTGTGGCAAAAGTCAATTACAGTGCCAATCAGGGGACTACAAAGAATAACTCTGTAAGGCAAACGTAGTCCATGCCGGCAATACCCAGTAATTAATGCACTAAATTCCCAGCAATTGTGTACTAGCAAATGACGTCTAAAATTCCCAAATCATGGCAAGTTCCAACCATGGCATCTCCCAGCAATTGTACCCATCCTTGGCCGTTCCCTGCAATATGACATTACCCAGATCCTCATCCCCCGCGACATCCATATGTCATAATTATGTCATGGCCGCGCACCCTTTGGGAGATTGGCGAAACTGTGGTGTCCTAATTACTCTCTTTATATATCGTCCCACCAGTCCTCTGCTCCTCATCACCATGACCATCTCCTCCGTGGCCATCATCGGAGCAGGCCCTGCTGGCCTCGTGGCGCTTGACGCCCTCATAAGAGAAGAAAAGTTCTCCAACATCCGCCTTTTCGAACGCAAACAAGAGGCTGGCGGCTCGTGGGTCTACGACCAGGGACCCCCTGAACGCCTTCGTGACTTGCACCAGTTGAGCCAGCGCCAGGCCGACAAGATCGACCCCATTCCAGCTCAGCTTCCTAGCTATGCGCCCAAAACCGACACCCAGCGGTTCATGGACTCAGCAGTGTATTCGTACCTCGAGTCCAACGTGGACGCTGCCACCATGCAATTCAGCGAAGAGGTGTTCCCAGACACCGTGAGTGCCAACTCGGTGGAGAAGTACGGCCCCAACACTCCGTTTCGCCACAACACTGTGGTCAAAAACTGGATCCAGGACTTGTACAAGCGCAAGGGGTACCACGACCACCTCGAGTTCAACACCCTGGTGGAGTTGGCGTCCAAGAACGCGTCTACAGGCAAATGGGACCTTGTTTTGAGACGGTTCGGCAAGAAAAAGGACTACTTGTGGAAAGAGAGCTTTGACGCCTTGTTGGTTGCAAACGGCAAGTTCAACGTGCCATTTATCCCCAGCATCCCAGGATTGCAGGAGTACGCCGACCAGCACTTCGACTCGGTGGTCCACACCAAGTCGTACCGTTCCAGGGAGTATTTCCGGGACAAACGGGTAGTCGTGGTGGGAGCCTTCATCTCCGCCATCGACACCCTCCACGACATCATTCCCGTGGCCACACTTCCCGTGATTTCGTCCAAGAAGAAGGACACCAAGTTGACGCCTCTCTACGGCTCAGCTCCCTTCAAACACCCCCACATCGACAACAGGGGCCAGATTACACGCGTGGACGCTGCCACGAAGACGGTGTACTTCGACGACGGAACCCATATCGATGGCGTGGACCACATCATCTTTGGCACTGGCTTCAGCTTGAGCTTTCCGTTCTTGCCTGGCTTGGACTTGTCCAACAGTAGAACCCACGGTTTCTACCAGTTGGTGTCGAATATCGACGATCCCACGCTTGCAATCGTGGGATGTGTCACTGGAGGGTTCACGTTCCGTTCGTTTGAGTGGCAGGCAGTGCTAGCAGCTCGGATTTTCGCTGGCAGGGCCAAACTTCCCTCCAAGGAGAAACAACGCGAATGGGAAAGAGAACGGGTGGCTCGCAAGGGCGACAATCACCAGTTCCTTTTCATCGAGCCTGAGTTCGAGGAGTATTTCGAGGGCGTTCGTGAGGTGGCCACCAACGACGGCCCTGGGCGCAAGCTCCCCAAGTTTGAGCCACATCTTGTGGAGATCTTCACTCGTGGGTGGGAGAGAAAGATGAGAAGATTTATCCAGAACAGTTACACAGGCGGAAACACCAAATTGTGAGCAGATGGGCCACTTGGCAGCTTAGAACATACATCTCGCCAACCAGCTGTTCTTGCACCATTGACGTTTAGCGTAGAATACACCAGGAAACGAGTACGACCGTAGGAAGCACCAGTATCGAGAAATTGGGCTAAATTTAGATTACGCCATTTTGACTAGCCAGAATGCCCATTTAGAGTTAGAGTTAAAGTGGGTTTCCAACACACGGGTTATTTTTATGCCAAGATGTGTCAAGCGGGCCATTTTCAGGGTCCAAATACCACTCCCGAGAGGCAGCAGGGCCAGGAACCCCAGCAGGGCATGTATGGGACCCCCGAGAAGGGACATATTGATGTTCTACCTGCGCCACTTGTGTAGGGCTCGCAGCCAGCTTCCGAGTCAGGCGGCGCTGCCACCAAGCGCAGGACCCGCACCTCAAACTGTATGCTATATTTACCACGCCAGCCCTCCCATTCCCATTCCCCGACACGGCCACAGCACGGCAACTCCAAACGGGTTGCAAAAGGCATCTAGCCCCACGGAGTTTCTAGCCGTATGGCCAGGCCATGCACCGGCCATGCACCAGCCTATCACTTCCCAGGGGTGCATTTCCGTGAGGTGGTTTCCAACACACCGCCTGCCGCACCCTGCACCCTGAAGTACCCCATGCATCTCCCCGACAACCGGGGGTGTCTCAGAAAATGGTCCCCTGGCACACACCACCGCACCACATACTAGTCAGGGTCTCCCCCTCGATGCCCCTCGTGCCATTGTTGAGATGTACAGGCAGAGAGGTTTCTAGAGCGAAGCACGGAAGTTGAGCTCCGCTGCCACCGCACCGCCACGAGGCCTCCCCCCGCGTCTCCCTAGACTCCCCCTAGCTCCTACCACCATCCTCTCCCTAGCCTCTCCCTAGCTTCCCCACAGCTCCCGCTACCGCGCGCCCCACGCCCCCACGCCCCGCCCCTATCGTACCATTCTTCGCGCCTTACCTAAGCACCGTTCCTCCTCTCCCAATGCAGTAACAGCAAGCCTCCAACCATTACCACCAGCTTCTGTTAGAAACATCTCATCCCATCTCTCTTCTTCATCCCAACACCTCCACGTCTTCTTTGCCTACGCCTGCTGGCACGTCACTGTCACGTCACTGTCACTCGGAGAGTTTAAAGGCAACACATTCGCTAGCCGCCACACTCGCTAATAGACTGCAAAGAGAGTTGCACAGAGAGACATCCGTCAGAGAGCCCAGAGACTTCGTCAGAGAGACCAGAGACTTCGTCAGAGAGACAAGAGAGTCATCCTTATCAGTCATACTTCCATCGTTCATACTACTCATCGTCTATCGCTTCACGGCTGTATCAATCGCTTGCCACTAACATCACTCCACCCTCCATCTGGCTCCACTCATCGCCACCACCAATATCACCCTGAATAGTACACTCACAGCCATAGTACTCTGTGATAGTGTACAGTCTAGTTACAGTCTAGTTACAGTCCTATAGTCTACGACCACTTGAACTCGTGATAATTGGAACCACTCCGTGAAAGACCGCTACTTGACTATTTGCACACTTTACTCCGTGATAGCTCTACCACCACATCAATAGCCTGCCACCCATTGTGCTATTCTTCACTCCGTGATAGTTTGCACCTCCAATAGTTCACCACCAACTCCTGGGCGTCAACCACTACTCCACTGGTAGTATTCTTCCACTGGACTCCGGTTTTTCTTTCTTCACTGGTGATATAATCCTTGTATTCACTCCATAGTCTACCACACCTCCACCATGTCCATTCCCAACCACATCCCCGAGAACCACCCCCAGAAACATTTTCCGTCGTCCACTCCTCCCCCCAACCATCTCTTCATGGATATGACCCCCCAGATGGCCCACACCTACTTCCAGAGCCCGTCTTCCGACGTCAGCCCTGTGATAGCCCAGCCTGCTCACTTCTTCCTGGCTCCAGGCTCTGCCACCAACTCCAGCTTTCAGTTTGCCAATACCCCCATCATGCCTGAAACTGGAGTGTTTGTGGGGACAAACTTCTCTCCCATGGCTCCCAAGCCAGCTCACCACACGGTGAGTCAGAGCCAGAACAAGTACCACCACGACACTTCCTCGTCTTTCTACTCCCAGCCTGTGTTTCCCAACGCCAGCGACGCCAGCTTGGACGCTCCAGACCGCAGCATGGGCCTCGGAGTGTTCACAGAGTCCAGTCCTGCTCCCTCAACCAAGTTTGTGGACCAGAGGGCCCAGTTTTCGTTCGAGGACCCCCAGAAGCCTCCACAGCCGTTCCACCAGCCTGCGGAGGTCCACACAGATCCATCGTCTATTGAGCCAAGGTCCACTTCCAACGACTTCGACTCTCCCACCACCATTGAGGTGTCCAGTCCCAGATCGTCCAACCACGCCAGCAACGGCGATGGCGACATCACAGCTGACGACATCCTCAATGGTGATCCGTTCGAGTCCATGGACCTGGCATACCAGAAGCGAATATCCGACGATATCGTGTCCAGCTTCGTGGACTTCGATCTTGCGGGTGACAAGTCGTCTGAGGAGTTGGAACCAGAGGAATTCCAAATGGCCAAGTTTTCGACGTTGTTGGGTCCGTTGGATCCCATCAACGAGGACTCCAACGTCACCAGATCCACACCATCCCTCAAGAAGCAAGCCTCGAACTCCAAAATCAACAAGAAAACCCTCAAGAAGTCCAGCTCTTTTAGTGGCCAGACTTTTGCGATACCGTTGGTGAATAACCTGGCAAGAGACTCCAAGAGAGTCAAGCCTCCGCTGATATCGTTCCGCGAGTGTTCACAGAGATTCTCGATTTCTTCGTTGAATAAGTACTCATTTGTGTACGAGAATGCCGGAAACGACGACGAAAAAGTGCCCAAGTTGCAGAAGTCACAGTCTTCAGTTTCCATCAGACAGCTAGAACAATCGCATAGGTTACACCAACATTATCAGTACGATAACAGGGGCACCCATGCTAATGGCGACAGTTCGCCCCGGGTATTGAGGAATATGAAGGCAGGGATGGTCGAATTTCAGGTAAATTTGGATAACTCGAAGGGGAGCAACTAATTCCGTGCCACAGCCAGCCGCTAGCTAGCCTAGCGACCACTTGTACTATATTAAGGGAAGCCCAGCTGCAATACTTCGATGAAAGAATCTTAATGGTAAAGGGATCGATTGATAATCGACAGATTTAAGTTCAATTCTCATCGTAGGACCGGCTCTAGTGTATTGCTGCACGAAGCCCCACCAGGCTTTAGGAAGCCCCACAAGTTGCTACTCCAACTGCTAACTAGTAGAGGTGTATAGGTATGATTAATGAATGTTGGGCAAAGCACGAGGACCAACGTCCAAAGCAGCAGAAACCGTGCGCTCTAAATTCATTTATTGATATTCAACGAATCGACTAGAAGCAGAAATTACACTGGTTCCAGAGTTAGTTTGATGTTATTGCACTGAACTCAATTAAGAGGGAATAGATAAACTCATCAAGTGGAATATTTCGGTTATGTCAATTTATTCCAATAGAAAGTATTAGCAATATGAACAAGAAGCTTTGTGCAGTTGAATTGTGTAGAATAACGGGAGTTTTCAAGTAATGTACCATTTTGAAAATACGTCAACGATGTGACATTATTCTGATTTGGTGAATATTGACTAGTAATTCAGATTAAGTATTCAAGAGTGTAGAACAAACCAGTATCAGCCTAAGTACTCAGAGTGTATAATAGAAACTAGTCAGTCAAATTTTACAGAGAATAAAACAAGCCAAACAGCTTATTCCAAGAGTGTAAAAAACCATTAGTGGATTGTACTTGAATGAATCAATATATCCAACGCAATGGCTTATTACAGACTACTGAGAAAATTCGCTAGAATACTAAAAAGCAGATTTGAGATTGAATACTAGTATAAAATGAGTATAAATTAGCTAACTGCTGGAAGTCTTCTTAAAACAACAGTCTGTGTGGCCACGCTCATCCTTCTACCTAACTTTGTCAGAGTACGTTCTCTGCAGCTGAATAGCCACGCTCATCTCCATCTACGCTTGTCAGACTATGCATGTATTAATATAAATGATTGCCAGGGCTATTGCCCTGGCAGGTCGCCGGGTCATGGCTACCACTGTGGCTACCATCCTGACGTTCCCACAGTGCCTGTATCAGCATTGCAGTATGGGTGTTTCCAGGGATTGCGCTGTTGGCTTCTGCCAACTGCACTTTACTGCTCCCTGGCCGTGCTTTCCACCTCAGCTCCCACTCACAAGTCCTTGTCTCTTGGAGTGTACTCCTCACCACTCAACACGGTGTCCTTTCTGAATCTTCTGTTGAAACTCAACTGGCCCTCGGAGTTGTATGCGTAGGTGGCCAATCCAAATGGAACCAACCCCATGAAAACCACGTTGAAAAGAGCGGCTCTTGGCTTGAATCTGAAGTAGTGGCCGAGCTTTTCTTTGGCGGTGTTGAAGCGCTGGAATTCGGCGTCTGGTCTTAAAGTTCCTGCCATGGTGGTGATAGTGCTGGAGAAATGTGATGAAGAATTGGAATTTTTTGATTGGGCGCGACATGTTGGTGAGAGGTGAGGAATGGAAGGGGAGGACGTGGAAGAGGGAAGGGGAGATGGAAAGGTGTAAGAGCGGGTAGAACAGCGGCACGGAGCGGGTGGCCGGCCTGGAAGCGTGGTAAGGCAACAGCAGGCCAGACAGCTGTACTTCACTCCTTGGAAGTGTTATCACGTGACCATATGCAAGTGAATACAAATACAAATACACGTGAAACAGTTTCTTCAAACACGTGAAAGAAGCCATCTCACCACGTGATCCACCCATAATCTCCACGCTATCTCCATTTGTTTACACCACCATGGCTTCTATCGACCACAGGGTCACGTCCCTCCTCACTGAGCACTTGGGGTTCCCTCCCCTCGCGCTCATCGATGATATCATCAACGCCGTCAACGAGCTCCTCTACAAGTGCACCCAAGCCATGGAGACTTACCTCCTTGAAGTCAGAGACAAGCGACTCAAACAATCGGATTCTTCTAGTGTTGTCAGCAAAGAGGAAATCCAGCTAGGCACAGGCAAGCTTGAGACGTTGTTGGAAAGCCAAGTCGATAAGAACTTCGACAAGTTCGAGCTCTATTCGTTGAGAAACATCTTCACCATTCCCCAGGAGTTGGTGGAGGAAGGATGGATCAAGTTGAAGCACCATGAGGGCATCAACTACAATCCCAGCACATCCAAGGCCAGTTTGGACGACAGGATCGCACTGGTGGTACGCAGCATCAAGTTGGAGTTGCAGTTGAGAAAGATGCTCAAGTTGCAAATCATGAAGGCCAAGAAGATTATCAAGGCGTTGCGGTTGTTTCAGCGCAACTTGCGGTTCTTGAGCCAGGGAGAACGCGACGGAGAGGCCCAGATGTCGCCTAAGGCCCGCGAGGCGTTAAAATCGCTTTCTCCCATCGATGAGACCTTGTATTTCTTGCTCAGCCAGGTGGAAGAATTGACGGCTCAGACGAGGTCGTTGTATAAGAAGCTCGGAGGCAAAGAGGACAACATCAAAGGCTTCTTGCCAGACGTAAGAGATCGGTATATTGACGGAAGAGTGGGTGGAATCGTCCAGAGACTAGGCGAGGATGCGCCTGACAGTGTCCCCATGGAAGTGGACTCGCCTCAATTGGTAATTAACCCTGATGAGTCCCTGGATTCTCGCTTTTTGGGCGATTTTTCCAGCATCTCAGATATAGACTTGGTGAAAGATATCGGAGCTGCCTTGAATGACAGTCTGCCTACGGCAGAATCACCCCAGAGAGAACCACAGGAGGAGGCCATTGAAGTGGAACAACCAGATATTGAAGTGGAAGAAGCAGAAAGCGAAGAGGAAAACGAAGGAATTGAAGAGGATCAGCCAGAAATTGAAGAGAGTCAGCCCGAAATTGAAGAGAGTCAAGAGAATGTCGACTTGCCAGATCATAATAGCCACGAACAGCAAGCAAAGAAAGGGCTGCACGAGACCGAAAGCACCGCCTGAGGTGTTGGCCGAATTTCTCCCTTTGCTCTGAAGGATACCGCTGAAAATCGATGCCAGTTTCGGAATTGTTTCTACGCAATTTCATGAAAAAACCCACCGTGCAATAGCTCACGCTAGTGAGCCGTCAACGGACACTGCTGGAAACTTTCAGTCAAAAAATCGGCCCTGAACTGCTGAAAAAGGCGCGATTTGACCGAAGTGGTCCAGCCTGTATATTAGCCTGCAGTGATGGATGCTCAGGGCCTGCGGCGCAGATTGGCCCTAAGGGTCCTCCGTCGCTCCAACGTGCTGGGCGGTGGCCAACTCGGCCCAGCCGATAGCATGTAGATGTAATAATAATGTCACCCAATAGCTTCCGTACTTCACTACCGGGATGTCTCCCTGCGGTAGCCGCATGTCGTGAAGCCTACTTATCAGTGCAGTGCGCAAAACGCAGAGCGGAAACCAACGAAAATGGAAGATAAATTCTTTAGCTCGTTTTTTGACTTCCTTTCTTCTACCAATATCTACCTAACGCATCATGGGGTTCAGTATGGCGTACCAAGCGTTGGCGCAGCACAACGACGGCGGCTCCTTGAGGGCCCAAATCAGTGGTGTCATGGGATCCACTTCGTAAGTAACTTTGGACAATGCTTGCACGGATGCAAGACACGCAATCAAGGCACCCTGTACTAACGCCAGTCTCGCATGTTGGATCGTGTTGTTGATGCCCCAGCTCATTGAGCAGTGGAGGCTCCAGTCTGCCGAGGGCATTGCCATCGGCTTCATCACCATCTGGTTCCTCGGAGACATCTTCAACCTCCTCGGGTCCATCTGGGCAGGCTTGTTGCCAGAAGTGATCTTTTTGGCGGTGTGGTTCTGTATTGCCGACTTCTTGATGATCTTTTCCTACGTGTACTACACCCACCTCCACAAAAAGACCGAACGCAAGAGCAGAACCAGCAGTCTGCACGAACAAGATGCAACCCAGCCGTTATTGAGAAGAAGATCGTCCACTTTGACCGACATTGCCATGGAGCCAGAAGACCACAGCATCTTCACCAAGTACGTGTTGCCGCTCATCTTTGTGGTTGGTGCAGGGTGCGTCGGCTACTTCTTATCGGGAACCAAGGACGCAGACGCTCCGGAAATGCCCGACAGCGACATCAAGTTGGGACCCCAATTGATGGGCTACTTCTCTGCCTTGTTGTACTTGGGAGCCAGAATCCCCCAGATCATCCAGAACCACAAGAGAAAGTCTGTTCACGGGCTTAGTTTGTTGTTTTTCTTGTTTTCCACCTTGGGAAACTTGACATACGCTGGCCAGATTTTGTTCTACAGAAGTGACTCCAAGTACATTTTGCTCAACTTGAGCTGGTTATTGGGATCTTTGGGCACCATTTTCGAGGATAGTTTTATCTTCTTGCAATTTTACATGTACAGGGATAACGACGACCACCCCGTTGCTATTGAATAGTCCACTTGATCTTTTAAATTATTGAGTTTTTCACAAATAAGAGATTTATCGTTAAAAAAATCAGATGACCTCTCACACAGCTTATTCAGCATCGCACCATGGCTTGTGGGCTAGGATGTATTATTATAGCTATTCTTTGTATCACACGAGCGATTAATTTGGATCCGCTACTTCAATTATTCAAAATATTATTCACGTACAACCAAGTAGCTCTCTGCGCTTAATTACTAGACTTGTAAGAAGAACAACCAGTAGACAACCCTGGTTACTTCCTGGCCCTCTTTTACAGTAAGCACCGGCTGGCACATTTAATTTCTTAGCCTCTGCAAGAACTACTCGACAACAGTATCTGGCAAAAAGTGTCTCTAACAACGACCAGCTACCCATTCGCTATTAATCCTCATAGTATTGTTATGCTAGACGATCAACTGACAAAAATAGTCTCTATCTCAGCTATTTTCATCGGCAAACCCTACTCTACATCACTCTTTCCTGACAATTTATTATATATACATCCAACCATTTGGGACACCCCCAAAATGGCCAACATTGGCCCTAGCCTTCCCTTATCAAACCTTTGACCAATAAATAAACTAAAATAATACCCCGAATTAAAAATGAAGAAATAAACCAAAGAGGTATAATGTACAAAATCCAATAGAAATAAAGATGCCGTGTCTGTTCACAAGTACTTCTCGAAATGGGCGTCGTTCAACCACCCCACCTTCTCGAAAGCGGCAAAAAGCCTAGATGCCTTGTTGACGTCGATTCTGCACGCCTTCTGGGCGTCGGTACGACGGAACTGTCTTCCGGAACGCACTCTCTGGAGCTTTTCGTGGAAAAGACGTCTCTTAGAATCGAGATAAACCAACACTGGAAGCCGCAAAATAGATGCAAGCACCACCTCGGCTGGGTGCAACTTGGAGAGGTTGGGATCGGACGACAAGTCCATGGGCTGGCCCTTCCACTCGATTTTCAAGCATTTGGAGTTGTTCGCAGGCAAGGTGGCACTGGCATCTGGTGAGTAGTCGGGAATTGAGTCGTCCATGAGCATCTGCTGCTGCAAGGCCACCGAGGCAGGCGTGGCAGGCGTGTCTCTTCTGACCTTCTTCTTCTTGGGTGGAGGCGTGGCAGGAATCTCGTCGAGCTCGGAGTCCAAGTCCTTGGAACGGGCCACCCTTCTTGTCCGCACACGTTCCTGGTCCGAGGAGTTGTCGTCGGAGTTTTCCTGCACGAGGCGGCGCTTGAATCTGCGTGGAACACTGCGCTCAGGTTCGGCCGCAGACATGTGGTGGTACTGGTTGATGAAATGAAGGTGGGACGCCTTGTAGTTGGACTGAAGGTTGGTCCAGGGATGGATGGTCAACTTGTAGTCCTTGTAGTTCTCGATGGTGAACGGCGACTTGGACTCGAGGTACGATTTGTCGTCAATCACCAATGGAGGGTGCGACACCACTGCGGCTCGTTGGTAGGGCGAAAGTGGAGGAGATAAAATGTTGGAGACGCTCAGGCCCTTTGGCTGCTGGACGGGTCTTTTGGTGTAGGCATGGCCTCTGCTCATGCTGGTACCGAGCTCGTTATCGTCAGCTTGGACGGGGGTGAGACATCCCGAGATGTCCCTGGCGGATCTGGAAAGCGGCTGGTAAAGCAACGACATTTTTGTAGACACTGATGAGTAATTCTACTTCAGCAAACACTGGTTGTTTCTAGTCTGGGTTCTAGTAGACACTTATGGTGTACTATCTAGTCGAGCCTGGTAGTACTGGGGGTCTCGTTCTAGCAGACACTAATACTCTAGTTGATGCGCAATGGGCTGGCAAACGGTTTTTGCAGCTCTGGGGGAACGATATCGACGGAATTGACCTCCAATTCTCAATACTTAGCACAGTACGGTTGTTGCTGGTAAAACTTTTGCTTTTATCAGTCATCTTATCTACTCCATATATATATATGAGATGGGGTTTGTTATTTTTTCTTATTTTTTCTTCGTGGGCCGTTGCTTTTTTATTTCTTTTTTTGCAACTCAAAAGAAATTGGGGGAACGAATCACAGGACGGAAAAGTAAGCTGCCTGGTTGGGAGAATGACACCGGGAGGATGACTCTGGCACCAGCCAGAGCAAGGCCACGGGGGACGGGGCATGCTGGCTGCTGGCACGGCCAACCCCCTAGCCAATTCTGTCTGTCATGGCAGTGACGCTGTCAGCCACTTATCGGGATTCCTGCATGCACCATGTGCAAGGTATGATTTGTACGCACCCCGTACAGTACATTAGGGAATGTGTTTCTTTTGTCGGCCGGCGCCGGGCGTGGTACAAGACCAATTTCATCGCCGTGTTCGTCACTAAGCCATGTCAAGACAATCATCCCGAGGCGGTAAGCGTCGTCCTGCCATTGGCGCCTTGATCCGCGACCGTGCCATGTCCATATTCCCCAGATCCCGGATGACTCAATGCACCATCCGCAAAATCAATTGACCGGTGTGACCCTCGCAATTGCTAAAATAAGTCCGTCAATATTTTGCTTTCTGACAATTGACAAACCTTACATTGCCAGCTGCCGATCCTATGACGGCAGACGAATGACGCAGTCACGCGACTGGTTCTGGATCTGTTCCACAGATGTATCAGACATATACGCACCCTGCAATCGGCACCAATGCATGGGGGCGCCCGCATCCAGTAATTCTCCAGCTATCCGTCGTAACTGGCAGTACCCAGCCAATTACAATCGGCGGGTAAGCAGCATCCGGGGAGTAACTGCGCGAGCGTCAATTACGGGGCGTTTTTATCGCGCTTTCTGCCCCAAAAACCGCCAATTGGCAACACCTGCATCAATTGTGCTCTGGTTACCTAATTGGATCAGACACTGGCAGGAATAGGTTGGCAGACGCCGCAGCCGGGCTTATTCATGCGGACACTTTTGGGAAAGCCCAACCCCACAGTAGAGACTCTGAAACTGATACGACACAGCGTGGGTGAGGCCGATACGACACGGCGCACTGCAACCTCGGGCGGTTTGCGGGCAGAACCGTATTACGTAAGCATACCGATAATATTACGTAAGCACTACATCCATCTCTCGCTTCTTGATCCACTGAGCTAACCACTCCGAATAGAGGTGTTTCTACAGTCCCCTGAAGACTTCTTTGCACGCCCCAAGCCTGCCAAACCTCCTCGCAATCTCTCCGAGAGGCTCCAAGTCGCACCTTCACCACATTTCTGCGCATTCAGCTGACTATCTGTCCGCTGCTCATCTCTATCGTGTTGAAAAGTCCTACAAAGGTCTTCCAAAGTCACAAATTCCAGCGAATCGTCCTGCTTCCCACTGCAGAAACTACTCATAAAGCCACAGTGCTAAGCTTCACTAGCAGAACATTCAACTACTCCAGTATGGTCAATTTTGTCGGCAAACTCTGCCTTGCTCCAATGGTCAGGTCAGGTGAAATAGCCACCAGACTTCTAGCCCTCAAGCACGGAGCAGACCTCGTGTGGACGCCTGAATACGTCGACAAGAAGATCATCCAGACCACCAGAGTCCAAAATTCTGCCATCAACACCGTGGACTACGTGGTGGAACAGACCCACCAGGCTAAAGGTGGCAAAGAAAGCACCACCTCGCAAAAGGTGGTGTTCAGAACGCATCCACCCAGCGAGTCAGGCAAGCTCATCTTCCAACTCGGGACCTCTGACCCAGAGCTTGCTGTATTAGCAGCTAGCAAGGTGATTCAGGACGTGGATGGCATTGATCTCAACTGCGGGTGCCCCAAGCCGTTCTCCACCCACTCGGGAATGGGTGCTGCCTTACTTTACACGCCAGACCTCTTGTGCTCGATCTTGTCCGCTTTGGTGGAAAAAGTGGGTGTTCCTAATAAAAAAACCATCAGTTGTAAGATCAGATTGCTCGACGACTACGACGCCACCTACAACTTGATCTCGCGTATCTGCGACACGGGAATTGCCAACTTGACTATCCACTGCCGTACCAGGCTGATGAGAAACAGAGAGGACCCTATTTGGAAGTATTTGACCCGATTAATCCCGTATGTCCAAAGCAGAGGCATCAGTGTGGTGCTCAACGGCAACTTACAGTCCAGATTGGACTTCGAGAACCTCCAGAAAGTGTTCAATGACCAGGTAGGAGGAATGATCGCCGAATGTGCCGAAGCAAACGCATCCGTTTTTGGAAAACCAGAACCCGACCAAAAGGATACCAAATTGCCCTTGATTGCCAAGGATGTGATTGCCCAGTACTACTCTATCGCCAAGATCTACAACTACGACGCTTTGGCCAACACAAAGTTCATGATTTTGAACAAGACCCCAGGAAAGTCCAACTACTACAAGCGGTTCTCTCAGCTGAAAAGCCTCGAGGATTTCGACAACGTGATGGAAGATTTGTCTGCCGACTCTGAGGATGTGCTCATGAACAAGATCTACACTAAAGACCTCCAGAAACAGAAGCTGTTGACTCCAGACGAGTACGTGGACTTCATGGAAAAGAGATACGAAATGATGAAGAAATTGGTGGGTGATAAAGAAGAGCCTAAGGCCGCCGACTCGACCAAGCGAAAGGAAGCTCCGGTTTTTAGTGATAAAGCCAAGCAGCAGAAGACGGTGATAAGCACCTAAATCGTGCTAGAGACATCCAAACATAGCATAGATCCGACAACGAGTATATAGAGTAATTTTGATTTACACAATCGTCAGTCGTGAATACATAATTTATTAGAGGTTTTCTCCAGGGATTAATGGTAGTAAATTTGTCCAGTTAGGAATGATTATTACTTTGTGGAATCAAGCTGATTGTCACAAGGCTCATTCAGTTGAGGATTGAACCAGCGAATACAGATGAATATCTTTTTAATTAACAGTTTTCTAATTTAGCTACTTTATAAAAACATGGACTTGGAGTTCACAGTGAGACACAATCCTTTGTAGGCTTCACAGAACACCCATACTGGCTTCTGGAGGTGGGATAGTTCTGGCAAGAATAGTTAAACTATTAGAATCGGCACTAATAGAATAGGAAAAATAGAAGAAAAATGAAAATGAAATTCGATTTGGAGGTTTCTTTCAACATCCAAATCGTCACACAGCGATCTACTGCTGCCAGTGATATTCCTACAAAGCATTATTTGCACCCACGCATCACGTGACGCATACCCACTCAAAAATTTATCCATTAGAAAGGGCGATGTTATCACCCCAAATCTTGTTACATACACTATCGTGATGGCATGCCAGTTCTGCTGTCACACAGTCTCCTCCCTCTATAAGCGCCTATGTACAATTGAGGAATGAAGTGCACTTCATGGACGTGAAACCAGCTTGATGTGGACCAACGGTCTGTTAGGGTCGTGAAAGTCGGGAATGAGCGTGCTTTTACTTCAACAAGTGCTTGACTCCACACCAGGCACCAGCAGCACCAGTCATCAACGCAGTGGAGTAGGCCATGGGTCTCAAACCGGCACTGCTTCTGAAAAGAGCACCAGCAATGGCACCAGCACCAAGAGAATTGAAGTCGTCGTGGACCCCTCTGAAGTAGTCCAAACTGGAGTCAATCATGTTGTATGTCAAAGCCAACACACCTGCAGAGTTACCCAAGAAGGGACCTCTCTTGGTCATGTGATTCAAAATGGTATTTAATTGCAATCTTGGGGGAGCGTTCTTGGGCAAGTTCTTGACTCCCTCCTGGAACCCGTAGGCACCTCCGAGGCCCAAGCCCAACAAGTAGACAGCACCGGTTCCGTAACACAAGTCGTCGGTCCAACTTCTGGAAGGAATCAATCCTTTGGAGCCCTCAATGTCGTTTAACTGCTCGTCTTTCAAGTCCAAGTATTCCACTCCTTTGTCCAAGCCTGCTAACGGATGCAACCTGGAGGCGTCGAACACGCCTGGGCTGTTGATGATGCTGGACACATCCGACACTTGTGCTGGGTCGAATCCTAATGTTTGCTTAAGGTCTTCTTCCTTAGTAGTTTGTTTGTTGCCACCAAATAACCAAGACATGTTTGAATCCGGTTTTTTTTGTGAAATGGGGTTATGTTACGGTCTGGAAGACGTTGAAAAGTATAAGGCGGGCTGAAACCGTAGGGGCAACGGTTGGTCAAGGGTTTCAAGCTGAAAAACTGTAGGGCAGACCGTTCAAATAAAAAAATTTTACTCTAGTGAGACCGAGGTAAAATGTAAAAGTGCCGGGGCAGATTACAGGTTGCGTAGGGTGGTTCAGATCCTGGAACCACCAGCAGATTTACGGATACAGCAGGGGTGTTGAAGGCGTGTGAAGACCTAGTCCAGGAATTTTGGCTGATTCTCTTCTCCTGGCTCACTTTCGTCTAATTTGGTGCTCGTGCTGATTTTTGGCAGTGCAATTGGCTTCACGGTGGTTTAATCCTACAGAAACGGGAATCGACCATCGGAAAAGAAATAACTGATAGCAAAACAGATATGGCCTTTAGTTCCTTTCTTCAGACCGGTCTGGAGCCTTTCCGGGGTATTCTTTACCTCATGTTATGCCTAGGCACGTGACCTATATACTCTGCTTACTTGCTTACTAGCCAAAACTCAAGTATAAATTGCCCACGTCCCGTAAGAAGACTGATTCATAAACCAAAATGCAGCAAGTTAACAACACCCAAGAAACTACCTATAATCCTATTCAAAGTGGATTTCCCAGACTGTTTGCAGACAGAAAAGAGTTTTGGAAGATTGCAAAAGCGCCAATGCCAGGATTTATGGCCCCAAAGAAGGATGACGATGACGTTACCAACTCAGAATTTGTTGAGAACGCTCTGAGTGATGATGATGATGACTTCTATAACTACGATATCAATATGGAGCTTCTTTTAAGGGAAGGGATGGAGATTCTTTCAGAAGACGATCTCGAGCAAGACCTACAGGATGCAAAAATGGCTGCTGGCGATTTAATTCCAAGATACCAACCACTTCCCCAAGAGCAGATTCGTGCTTTCGAGGTCTTCAGTGCAGCCTATGTTAGGAACAAAAACTCTAAGACTCTGGAACCCGCCAATGCACCCACCAAACCCCAATTTCCAAAAGCGAAAACCAACACTAATTTGGCCACCTATTATCACAAACAGCATATCTATGGGCAATATATGCTGAAGTTTAAGGAATCAAGCAGTAGTTCTGGTTCCTCTTCCACGCCATCCATCGATGAAAAGGTTGGTGGAGTGCAAGTCAAATGTCCAAGTATTACAATCACCAGACCTGAGGAAGAGCCGAGTTCCAGCGAAAGCACCTCCAATTATTCATACACAACCACCCCATCAGGAGCGAAGATCGTCTTGAAGCACAGATATGATCCCCTGCTTGGTAAGGCTATCGCAAGAGCAATTCTCAGAAGAAGTGGCAGGGATGTGAGCAATTTGCACCCATCAACCCTTCTACCATAATTGCACCCACGATTGGACGAAGTGTATTTTTTCTATTTATATTTACTGTGCTTTAACAATCCAAGCTATACGTTGTAGGAAGAATGTTCTATCCGTTCAGAATACCTACTGGGCAGTTGAAGCTCAAGTAATAATAGTCTCAATAAATGGGAGCCAGCAAAACTCGGATGAAAGAAGTTTCAAAACAATTGCTTCATTGTGAGTTACATCCATGATATTGCATTTTACAAACAGCTTTTAGAACAACCTTTACTTCATTACTCTGATGTTCCAATACCTAAAGCAATCAAAACTCTGAAACTAAAACTAAAGATTTTGGCGTCAATACTCTTCAATATTGGCATCTCAAAAACCAACACAGAGGGATTGGGTGGGGGAGTGGGAAGAGATGGATAGGGACCTTCCGAAAGTATTGCAGTTCTGGAACTGACTAATTTTCCATCCACCAGCGAGTATCACTCCCACCATCAATCATGTGGCGAATTAAACTAGGGAGATATATCTAAATAACTTAATGTATCTTCCTATATGCCGTTAACTCAATGTATCTCTCTATATGCCGATAATTCATTAATGCTTGCTGTATGCTAATAACTCAAGTATCGACTCTATTTAAATAATTCAGATATCCGACTCTATGTGCCAAATATTCCAGATACTTAAGTCTATGCTAATAATCTAGGTCTATACTAATAATTCAGTCCTTAGCCAGACCTCCAGTAGTTCCCAATCTACCCAGTTTCTTCCCTCAACAACTACCATCTCCATATTTTCCATTCTCAATCTTATTCGAGTAGTGCACATATTCTCCAAAACCATCGCCCAAATCTATTACCTCCACTACCAACATGTCTCCCCAATGGCTGGACCCAAGCAACAGAGACATCCACAATGTCAGTCTGTCAACCCAACTCAGCATCCTTCCCATGGTAGACCCCAGCAGCCACCAATCCCAGCCCCAGCGTGACTCAGACATCCTGACCAACGACCAGCCAGACCAAGGAGCCGAGTTGGAAATGAGGATCTACAATCCAAAGCCACAGTATGTTCCTCCTCTTAACTTCTCGCTTGTGGAAGACGGGATCTATCGTTCAGGGTTTCCTATGCCCATCAACTACACGTACTTGAAGCAATTGGGCCTCAAGACCATCATATACGTGGGCGACTTGGGCCACGACAGGAAGAAGGAAAAGAAGGAAAAGGACAAGAAGGACAAGGACAAGAAGGAGAAGAAAGAGAAGAAGGACAAGAAAGACAAGCAGTCCACGGAGGAAATCATGCAGAAATACAGAGAGTGGATCGACACCTCCACCAACATCACCTTCCACAACTTGTTGATGGAGTCGTCACAAGAGCCGTTCAACTCGCCAGAAATCCTGAAACAGGCGCAGGAGTCATTATCGAAGGCATTGCAGTTGGTGTTGGACAAGAGAAACTTTCCAATCTTGATCCATTCCAACAAAGGTAAGCACAGAATAGGACTCTTGGTGGGGTTGATGAGGAAGTTATTGCAGGGATGGTGTCTCAGTGGTATCTTCGAGGAGTACGAAAAGTTTGCCATGGGCAAGTCCGAATTCGATCTAGAGTTGATCGAGTGCTGGCAGCCTGAATTGTGGGTGGAAGACGAATGGAAGCCCGACTTTGTGAGGGTATAACGAGCAGCAACTCACTTGATAGACGATATTCAATTCTTAATTTATAATGTTACAGCAGAGGAGAAGGACTCCTCTTGAGTACTGGAATCAGCAACTAATATTAGGAGCTAGTTGCTAATAAACTGATAACAGTGTACTTTAACATAAGACTAAATGTTTGGAACTTTTAACAGAAGTAGTATGGGTATGTTTGGAAATAAAACGCTTCCACTTCATAAGCAGTTATCCGAAGTAGTCAGTTAGAGCTTTGAACCATACTACTACTTCTGGTTTGAGTCCAAACAATGCTACAATTGGTTTAAAGTCAAAGAAATGTTAATGAAAATAGCTACGCTACATCTTCGAAGGCAATGATAGCGAAATTTCCAACATTCCTATCCGTTGTGGAGTAGACGAAGCGTTTTCCACTGTCTTTTGGCACACAGCGGCTCCTCCAAAAATTGAGCGATACAAGTCCTGATATATATAGCGATGCTCTGTCCAAAACTGGCCAGACGGAGAGCAATTGATGTAGCAAATTCGATTGGGTAATTTGAAAGTATAGACCTTCTCAACTTGGAAACTTGTAGAGTATAATTCATAGTATTCTTTAATCCGATATTCATTGGAAATCAAGTCATTGACCTAGCTGTTGTTCTTCAATTCTCTCAATTTTGTCATCACAGCCGTTCTATCGTGTTCTCCGGTGACTTTGAGGACCTGGGGGTCTGTCAATCTCATGAACGGGTTATGTTCCAATTCGTCTCCAATGGTGAACTCCCCAGTCGTGAATTCGTTGGTCTTCACGAAATTGACCAATCTGTCAATTGCTGCGTTCTTCAAGATGGTGGAGGAAAACTTCACGTTCAGCTTGGTGTATTCGTGGCCAGGATACACCTTGGTATCCTTGGGTAACTTTCCAAGGACCTTGTTCAAGGCTCTGTCCATTTCTTCGCCATTTCCCTCGAAAAAACGACCACAGCCACTGACAAACAAGGTGTCTCCCGTGAACACAGCACGCTCGTTGGTCTTGGAGTCCTCCACGTAGTAGCAGATGGAGTCTTGGGTGTGGCAGGGAGTGTGCAATGCGGTGATGGAAAGATTGTCTCCCAAGTCAATTACTTCCTGGTGGGAAGGAGTGTACGAAACCAATGGCGAGTCCTTGCCTGCCACCACTGGCAAGTCAGGGTACTTCTTGTGGAACTCTTTGTTCCCGTCCGAGTGGTCGTAGTGGTGGTGGGTGTTGACAATGGCTTTCAATTCGAAGCCAGGCTTGTTCTCCTTGAGATATTTGTACACGTCTTCCGGCTCAGCTGCATCGATCAACCAAGCATGCTTGGTTGGGGTATCAATGACGAGGTAGGCGTAGTTGTCACCGGAGCCCCATCTCATGGGAATGGACTTAATTTGCATGTTTCTTGATAGGAGGGGTTTTCTGATGAGACTGAGTGGTTTGATATGGCTAAGGATGCGTATCATCAAGCTGACCTTGGTAGCTGGTGTGGTTGGTGGATTGGGGAGTATTGCTCAGGTTCTGTGTGCAGGGTGAATTGTGGGAGTAAGCGATGACAAATCAGGGAACTGGTCTTTGTGCAGTAGTGTCTTGAGTCGTGTGACAGGGGTGTGTCTGCGGAGATGACAGCCTGCAGAGTGCAGCAATCAGTATTGGACCCGTAGTGTCAGTAGAATTACGTCACGGATTGGCAGAATTTTATAAACAGCGCAATCAAAATGAACATTTCCCGATTCATAATTCCTTGTTGATAATCCCAGTCAATAATCCCAGGTAAAACTCCCAGGTAAGACTCCCGGTTATCGTATAATATTCAGAATTCCCAGTATATATTCCCAGTTAAGGTCCAATTTCCGAGTAAAAATTCCCAGTTAATATTTTCAGTTAACATATTTTTTATTCGTAGTTCCCAATTACTCAACCACCCCATATTCAGATCAACCCTTAGTCTACGTGACTAAAATTGCCATACAACACGGGTTTGGTGCCCTAATTACAGTCCAGATTGGCTAAGTACTGTAGCAATTCCACAATCTAATTTAAAAGATCGGACTTGTTATTTCTCTCCATCCGAGCTTCTTACATGGCTTATTTTTGCTCATTTCTGCTCTTGTAATTCCAGGATAATTGGTAGTTGCTGTTATCGCTCATCAATGTGGATATTTGCAAGTTTGCTAATGATTTTTTAATGTTAACGATCTGTTGTTCGGCTATGTAAAGACTTTTCAAGTTTCTGTTAGATAGCAAGCATGGCTGAATCACGATCGCCTCCAATCTTTCCACTTACGATTACCCGATCTGTTCATTTCAGTTGGTGCACCACTATACAATAAATACTAACTAATAGCATTTAATCTTTTGCCTGGTATCCCCTCCGGTAGACATTTAAACTTAGGTCCATTTCTTCGCCTGCATTCCCTCTGGCGGACTAGTTTCGAAGTCCTTGGCCTTGGCCTCATCCCAATTGGTGGTCAAGACCGTACCGTTCGACTGAACATATGACTTCATCATGGCCCTTCTGGTGTCGTCATCGACATCCTTGTAGAGCTTCTCAAAAAAGTCTCCGTCCTTTTCCTCTTCTTCTTCTTCGTCCACCTTGAAGTTGGCCCAGTTAATGGCCTTCTTGGAGGACGAAGGATATGCTAGTTCAGCCTCATCAGCCGTGGTGCTGCTTTCCAAAGAGGCCCACTTTCCAGAAGCTTTTTTGGTCAAGTAAACCTCGATTTTGGTCCCGAAAATTCGGTAGGACGACTTTTCCGTGTCGATTTCCCCACCCAATGGGTCAAGGTTATAGTTGTACTCCGAATTGTTTGCACTGGGGAAGTTAATGGCCACGCTTCTAGGCTCAAATTGAATTGTGCATGATTCCTTTTTGACATTTTTGGCGTATATGGTGATAGTAACAGTTTCGTTGGATTGGTACCAGTCGTCTCTGATCTTGGCCACCAAGGGTGCATGCTTGTCAATCACAGCAGGGTTGGAACTGGACTCTGGCGCTGTTGTAGAGGGAGTACTGCCATTGTCTTTGGTCTTATCCTCCACATCATTGCTGTCGAATTCCTCCTCGTCAGTATCCTCACCCTTTCCCTCCTTGATGTCGTGTGCACACTTTGTCTTCCAGAAATCCAATGTGGATTCAGTGCAGTTATACGCCAGGGCCTTTTCGAAGTGTTTGAGTGCCAATCTGAGCTTTTTCTCGCCATAGTACACAATAGCCAACCGGAAGTAGCAGGCACCCATTTCGCTTCGGTTTCCTCTGTCCTCTGCTATGGAGTAGGCTACTGAAATGTCTTTTTTGGCCGAATCATAGTTGGACAACTTCTGGTATGCAGTGGCCCTCTTTAAGTAAGGAAGAAACGCCTTTGAGTTTTCTTTGATTGCGTTGTTAAAGAAGGAGATTGCCTCGAGATAGTCCTTCTCTTGCAAGGCTTTGTCGCCCTGCTTGATGAGTTGTTCGATAGCCATTAGTGGTGGAGATCATTCTAGTGGTTGTGAGAAATATATATGATGATGGTCACGTGTGGCTGCAAAGACATTTGGCTAAATAATCATATAATGATAGCAAACGGAGCCGTTCATGCCCTTAGCATGCAAGCATGGAGGACGTAGTTGGGATTGTTGCTTTGACTTTATTGAGCAGTCTATTGCAGTAGTGGCAGGTGATTTTCCATCAAAGAGAATTTCGCAGTCATAAATAGCTGAAGAAAGTCGGTACTAGTATATATTGGGAGTTAGAAGTGAAGGTAATGTAAGTGAGGTTAGTACCCTTTGTAATGTTATAGGCATATCTTAGCATGGGATACTCGGGGAAATTAAGGTAGTTGAAGGGCCCATTGCAAATTTTGTGCTGACAGCTGGAATGAAATGCTACTATTTTAGATCAGAAATATTCTTCCAGTTAGAGACCTTCATTATATCACTATTAATCTAATGAACTAAAATTGAAACATATTCTTAGGTATTGGTAATTAAGCCAAATAATCAGCAGTAATTCAATAAAAAATATCTAGAATCTAAGGAGAACATTCAAGAGAATTTGAATTTAGGAGGGCATTGAATGTCTTCCATCGGAAATTTAGAGGCAACCAAGTGCCTATTTCCATGAACTAAGAGCTTTTCTACCCATCACACCAGATTTGTCTCTTCAAGAGGTAATTTATCTGATGCTGATTGTACATAGATCCCAGCGAATACGGCCCAATAGTACCCTCCATTATCAACTACTCCATCATACCTACCAGATACGTTCCCAAAGACTCATTTCTCCACCCCGTTTGCGTTCGATATTCGGCAAGCACACCCACAAAAGTATCATCGAAGCGTACAATGCGATGAACACTGGCATGACCACGTATGTGCCAGAGGTCTGGGAAAGCATACCCACGATGAACGGAAACAATGCTCCTCCAGAGGAGCCAAAAGCTGTCATTATGGTGAGAGTGATGATCTGTAATTTTCGTGGAATTAATCCATCCCGGGCACTGAAGGTGATTAACAAAGGGTAATTTGGGCCAATGAGAATACCTGCCAAAGCCACCAACACTGCATCGGCAATGGTGTGAGGGATGGCCCATATTAGGGCCACCAATACGATGGAACCCATCGATACCACAATTACGCTCCTCCGCAACCCTAAGCTCTTGTGGAGTGGCCTGGTGAGCACCAACCTGCCTATGGTCAAGCCAGCCCAGAAACCTGAGGCCACATAACCCACAGACGACGAGTTTCCGTGACGATAGTCCAACAAGAAGGTGACGATCCACCCAGCCATGGAAACCTCTGCGCCTTGGTAGAAGAGCACGAAGAACGAGAGGAGCCAGGTCACGGGCGATTTCAAGGCTAAAATCATTTCATTGGTGTGCAGAGGTGCCAGTTGAGCCGGAGGAGCCATCTCGTCGGAGTTTTCGGAGTCCCACGGCTTCAAGTCTTCGTCTGCAGTTTGGAACACGAGATATAGGGCTACGCCAGCTCCTGCCATCATGGCAAGCAACACGAGGTAGAAGAAGTGCCACTTGACCCCAGCATTGACCATGCCTGTAGCTATCAATGGCGAAACGGTGGCTCCCGTGCCGTAGGATCCATGGTTGAACGACAAGTACTTGGACTGTTTTTCCAACCGGCTCAAGAAGATGTTGGTTTGGGCCATTACCATGGCCAAACCAGCACCGCCAAAGAAGAACCCCACCACCGTGGCTGCGAACTTGGTTCCACTACTCACAATGGCATACATCACACAACTCAAGAGGCACCCAAACGGCAACGAGTATTTTCTGCCCAACCACGGCTGGATCTTGTGTGAAAAACAGGCCACCGAAATGAACCCCAATGCATTGCTGATCCAGATGAGTGACGCCAACGCATAGTTGACGTGGTAGTACGTCTCGATATGCGGAAGAAGGGCCCCGGGAGCTGCGTCGCTGAACCCACAGATGAAGGTCCACACAATGCAGACCACTACTCGGTACCGGTTCATGGGAGGGTTGCGAAAACTCATGACATTGGCCAGTTTTGGCTCATTTTCCAGAGTCTCCGAGGCAGCTGGTGGCCCTGGCACGGGAATGCTGGTGGTCAGCTCGTCGCTCAGTCGAGTGTCGAAGGCAGGTCTTGTTCTGTGGCAATTTGGTGTGGGGCTGGAGCGCACTGGTTCTGGGACGGATCTGGACCCGTAGTGGGACGTGTCGGCCTTTGTTGGCGCAGCCAAAGGGCCGGACGTGTCTGAATGGATGTACTCGAGCTCTATGCCGCTTCCGGAAGCATCCAGACTCATGGTGGTGGTGTGGGAGCCATGGGTGGAAATGGAACTTTTAAGTATGGGGATGCGCATCGGATATGTTTCCTAATTTGTCTATTCACTAATATACAGAGGACTGCGGGGCCAGGAAGTGGGACGTTGCTTAGCCAAGCGTTGGCACACCCATTCCGAAACCGACCCTGCCCATTACTATTCAGCCGGAGAAATAATTTCACTGGAGATCAAATCTTCAGCCAGTACGTCACCATCTCGTGATCTCTCCAGCCAGAACTGCGTCTTACGACCAGCTCCAGACTCGCTCGATAAACAGCTCTAGTCCTGGCCAGCAGCCTGCACCAAGTCCAAGAACTTCTCCTTGGAGATTTCGTTCATCAATTCCTCCTTCTTGGACTGGCCACCGATTTCCTTGTCCATGTCTTGATTCGTCCTGACCTGGGTGGACAAAACGGCGTTGAAAAGTCTCACCACACCTTTCTGAGCCACCTTCTTCAACTTCCTTTCGTTTTCGATGATTTCTCTAACCTTTCCAGGCTCGTTGGCCGAGGGCAACAACTCGGTAATTCTGTGCTTGTCGTGTAACGATTTCTTTTCCGATAAAAGGGCTCTCTTGGCCTTGGCCTCGAGCTTGTCGGACTCCAACTTCTTGATGGTCAGCTTGTTCCTGGCCAAAATAGGGTCCTTTCTGTCGTAGGCCTTCAATCTGGATCCAAGAATGGCATTGAAGGCACCTGCGAACGATTCGGATCCGTCGTCAAGGTTCTTCTTCTTCTTCAACTTGGGAAGTGCCTCGTCTGCTTCTTCGTCTTCGTCGTCCTCCTCTGCCTCATCTTCACTGTCACTCGACACTCCATCGATATCCACTTCGTCATCCATGTCAAGATCCTCCAATTCTTCTTCGGATGCGCTCTCCACTTCAGACTCGGACTCCGAACTCAGCGATGCTGGAGGAGCCACTGCCTTGGGCTTGTGGTCGTTCTTCTTTTGTTTCTTTAATGCAGACCCCATAATGTGCTTGCCAGTCTATTATGGGCATCACAAATTTTTGAGATGCCATCGTCCCGTGATGGTTGGTCACGTGACCCATCATCACGCGGAGTTATATTATTGTTTACGTTTGGTTTCATTCTTCCAGTATCTACTACAAATATGGACCGATCCCAGGCGCCATATCTGCTGGTACTCTCGCAGTCTCTGCCACTGGTCCTCAACAAAGTCCCCGTCAAGCGAAAACTGATGCCAGCCCTCCCAGCAGCCCATTCAAAGATCCGTACACGCGTGGCTACCAGAAGCCCAATGAAAGGCTCGAGCTTTTCTCCAGAAGATGGAACTACAGATATCCAACACGATGTTTACGTGGATGCTGCAAGCAGATCGTCTAGCTCAGAGAATTTTCGTGCTTTTACGCCCAGAATGGACCAGTTTTATAAGAAGCAAAACGAGTTGTCCGAGTTGAATACCACCAAAATGTCACTAATCACCAAAATGCAGAAGGAAGAGTTCAAGCTCCACATCCTTAACAAAGAGCACGAAGATCTCAAGCTCAAGGCAATCAAATTGGAGAATACTATCACGAACACAAGAGAAGAACGCAAGGCTACGGGCCAGGAGTACGAGCACAAGTACAAAATCACAAAGCAGAAGCATGTGCTTCAGCACGAGAGCCGAGTCAACCAGCTCAAGGAGATTATCAGCGATAAAATTGAGGATATCATTAAAGCCAACACCATGGAATCAGAGAGGAAAAGGGTGTCCTTGATTCAACAACATGAACACCTTTCGAAAGAGATCAAACTTCAGAACCAAAGTCTCAACAAAGCATTAATCAAGCTCAAAGAAATCCATAACAAAAACTTGATAGGGCTTGAAAAAACCATGAAGGAGAATATCGATACCCTAAGACAAACAATAGAATCAGTAGAAACAAGCATAAGTGAGAAACAAAAACAATTACTGGCACTCCAACTGGAATTACAGAACTTGAATAAAAGTAGTGCTAGCTTGGATCAATCGTTAGATCAACTCAATTCCAAATTCTTAGATAAGGATAACGAGATACAAGTGCTACAAACAAGAATCAAAACGAAACAAGAGGAGATCGATCAACTTGAAACTTCCTGCTCTAACAAAGCAAACCAGATTGAAGTGTTGAATGAAGAGACTAAAAGAATGGAGTCGAGGATAGACCAGCAAGAACTCGCTAGAAGGCAATTGCATAACAAACTACAGGAACTAAAGGGCAATATACGTGTATTTTGCCGTATTCGTCCGGTATATTCAAATGCTCCTTTGTCCATTATGGAAGTCCCAGATGATGAATTGAACGAGGAAGCCAACCAAGAGTTAGTTCTCACCAAAGATGACAGAAGATCAAGCAATAGCACTAGCAAAGCTAGCCAGTCATATAAGTTTCAGTTTGATAAAATATTTCTGGTCAATCTGACGAACGAGATGATTTTCGAAGAATTATCTCAATTGATTCAATCATCGCTAGATGGTTTCAATGTATGTGTTTTTGCTTATGGACAGACTGGATCTGGAAAAACTTATACAATGTCATCGCCAAAAAATGGGATGATCCCATTATCCATTAACAAAATTTTCGAGGATATAGAGGAGTTGCGCTCGAATGGATGGAAATATTCTCTACAAGGTCAATTCTTGGAAATTTATAATGATTCTATTGTTGACCTTCTCGCTCCGTCCAATCAGGACCTCAAACACGAAATCAAGCATGACGAAACTGAAGGACAGACTACAATCACCAACACCGTTTGTGTGGACTTGACCTCAATAGGCCAGGCTCATCAGATACTTGATAAGGCAGTAAAAAATAGGTCCACTGCGAGCACCCTAGCAAACGAAAGATCATCGAGGTCGCATTCCATATTCATATTGAAACTCAGAGGCGAAAACCTTAAGACTGGGGAAGTGAGCAATGGGACATTAAACTTAATAGATTTGGCAGGCTCCGAGAGGCTTTCTTCGTCGCAAGCAAAAGGAGATAGATTGAAAGAGACGCAGGCAATCAATAAATCTCTTTCCTCCTTAGGTGATGTTATTTATGCTTTGGGACATAAACAACTGCATTCGGGGTCTCAACACATACCTTACAGAAATTCTAAGTTGACCTATCTTCTCAAACATAGCCTTGGAGGATCGTCCAAGACTTTGATGTTTGTAAACATCTCACCTTTGGAGGCCAATTTTAATGAGACGATCAATTCATTGAGGTTTGCAACGAAGGTCAATACCACTAAGTTGAGCTAGGCGGTTGAGGCCCATCGATACCCATATCTGTGACGTTCTATTGAAACTAGTCTGTATTAAATTCATCATTCCAATTGTATTATAATATGTCGTATACGTATAGCTAGCATTTAGTTCGCAATTGATATTCTTCGAGGAAAATAAAAAGGCTGTACATTTTGATGAATTAAATAGTTCATTATTAACCAAACAACACAAGCTTTACATATCCAATCTGGTCCCAGATACTAATTCAACTCTAATGGATACTAATAGCACTTAGTTGAGCTACAACACATTAGGTACTCAATTAGGTATATATAAATTAGTATTTTACACTATGTACATTAAGAGCCAGCAATCAAATTATTCGATGGAGCATAGTTAGTAGCACCAGTTAATAACCCGCTCTGTACAGCACTGTTCCAAAGCTCCTGGTGGTTTTCCTCTGCCCATTCCCTGATGTGCTTCTGGCCGCCTGTCTCCAAACAGTAGTTATGCATCGAAATGAGGAGCTCGCTATCCATTTCCAAATCATAGTCCCCCATTCCTTCCACAAGAGCCAAAGCGTCATCCACCAAACCATGATATACGTGTGCGATGAGGTACTGTCTATAAATGGCTCTGTTTGGAAGAATGCCGAACTGTGAAAGGTTATTCCAGAACTTTTGGACATAGGCCAAGTCATTGTAGGTGTAAGTCTTGATCATGATTTGGATGGTCTCCTCGTTGATTCCTCCAATGAGCTTGGGGCTTGTGGACATCGACAAGAATAGTTCCCTGGCACGGGACACATCCTGTAAGTTGGAGTATGCATTCAAAATACAATTCTGGAGCGCAATGTCCTGTTTCGTGAGATTTATATCCATCTTTAAGCTCTCGTGAATCTCGATGACTCCGTCCTCGTAGAGTTTGTCCCCAAAATACTGGAATAGCAACATGTACATTTCCTTCAGGGGTGGTAAGTTGGAATGATCTCCATGTAATTCGTTCAACTTCTTTACCTGCCTGAAAATCAACAAGGCTGCATTCAATCTGTTCTTCTCGCAAAAGAACTTCATGGTGGGCAAGTATGTTTCGAAGGGAACTTGGAAGTATTTGTGAAGTTCTCCATATAACACCCAATTGGTCTCGTGGGTCTCCTCGTTGTTATACTCGAGAACAAAACTTTGTAGTTGTTCGAACAATTGCTTGTACTTGACACTCCATGGATAGGCTAATGGCAACTTAACTACCGCATCTTTGTCAATTTGGGGCAATTCTCTCTTCAACATTTCGATGAGGTCCCCAACATATTCGGCTTGTAGCATCTTGGAGCTCATCGCAAGGATCGAATCAGCATTGATTTGCTTTCCACCCATTTGTTGTTTGATTTTCACGAATATTGGGAAGATACTCAGCACGTCCTCGACCTTGTTGCAAACAAGAATAATAAGATTGTTCAATGTTTTGAGCAACTTGGGCTCAACTTCACCTACCCAATCGATGGACCTCTCAAGACTGTCTTCAAAAATGCTAATGGCTGCCACGTGGTCTTGCAATTCAACAGCTTTATCGATTCTATACTTGTATGAAAGAACTGATGCTTTGTAATTGAAACGGCTACCGAACTCGTTGGAGATACGGTCAAATAATTCACCACGAGGTTCAATGCTCATCATCATCAAGCCTTGTGAAAGGCGTGTGTAGGCTTCATTGGGATCGATGTCTGAATCTTGGATAGATGAGATTAGATCAACAACATTTGTAAGTAGCGTTTCAGTTGGCTTTTCCTCGTCAGAACTTAGTATTTCGTAGAGAGATGCTTGGAATTTGATTTCATGGGAGGTCTCATTGTCTTGGATGTACTCAGTGATAATCTCAGCTAAGAATTGCTCGTTCTTCGACCTGCTCAAAACCAAGAGAGTTTCAGCCAACGTCTCATCTTCCTGTAAATCAAGCTCGAATTTTATTGTCTCCTTTGGAAGTCTGTTGACGAACGCAATTACTCGCAGGATATTGGCTTCAAGCTGTTGATTCTCGGACACATGAGACAACTCGTACGCCAACTTGACCATTCCCAAAATAGAGCGCAATGAAGTCTGATCTGGCCTTATATGTGCCAAAAGTATGTTGGTCACATACTGTATTCTGTCGGTGTTTCTTTCGAGGTTCTGATACTCGTGGATCTCGGGTAAACTCTCTATGAACAATGACTCGACGTACTCTATGAACGAAGCATAGAATTGGTCGTCTATGATCGCGGAAGTAGACCTGTGAAGGCTCAAATCGACATTGGTGGTATTTAAAGGAGTGCCACTGTTAAGTCTTCCCGACACTTCCGCTCTTTCCAAAGAAGCCACTAATGATTCGAATATCTGGAGCTTCAATTGGCCCTTTTTCTTGTAGTGATGCAATAGTTCATGTGTGAATTCTGGGGTTAGAAAGTGTGATTTCAGGCTGATCAAGCTGGAAAGCACAATCTCAAAGCTCGAGTTATGACTTCCGAGCTCCACGAGCTGAACCAACGTTTTGGGAGGAAGCTGGTGCAAGTTCTGGCTCAACAAAAACTGGGTCAAGATAGACATATACTTGGGGATTTGGAGTCTTTGGCGGCCGTCAGCATGCTCTGCAATCAACGACCATGCAGATATTTCGAATAATCGTATTAGGTCACCCAGCGAGAGAAATATATCTCCATCGGAGTTGTCGACCATACGGCCGTTGAGCTTGAATAGCTCCAAGAAAACAGAGTTGACGATCTTGATTTGTTCTCCGTCCAACTTGTCTGACTCGTGGATGACTTCTGATAACTTACTGCTCAAGAGCTTTTCTTTCAACTTGGGTGGCATATCAGTAGTCCTCACATACTGTTTGAGCTCGTGAATTTTGTTGGCTGTGGAAGTGGATTGGATTTCTTGAGGCTCCTCTATCACGTAGGGTGCCTTTGATGCTGTCTGCTTCTTAAATCGACTCAAAGGATTTGTCCAGCTTCGATATCGATGAGACAAGAGTGCCATTTTGTGAGGCCAACATGTATGGGACCGGCCCGAAAGCGGTACCAAACGAAAGCCTATACTTGCAGCATGCCTGAAGTATAGCATTCTAGTGCATCTGCTGGGCTACCGTAGAGTATGGTGGTGATTGAAGGACTGGGTTGATCTACCGAAATTTTTCATTTTGGCTGTGAATTTTCTATATGCAGGTCGGTTATGTACAGGTGAGAGTAGATGTGGATGGGCATCTACCAAGATACTGGGGCAAATGTTGGGGTGGGTCTTAGATCACTCGTCGTCGTTGAACTCTGGCAAGTGTTTCTGGAGCCTCTTGATGGCCCAGTTTTTGCCGATGAATTTGACTTCAGGATCGCTCATTCCTTCAGTCTCGGTGTACAATCGCCAGTACTTGGGGTCCTTGAACTTGGGGTCCTCGGGCTTGAGAGACGGAATGGTGTTTCTGATATCCAACACTGCCTGTCTCAACTCAGCTGCAAGGCCCGATCTCAACGCCTGGGCCTTTTTCCCGTTCTTCAACTCTTCCGACAAATCGGTGGGGTTTTTTGGATCAATGTAGGCCTTGCACAAGTCTCTCCATTTTTGTCTATAAGATTCTATGCGGTCGTCCGAAAAGGCGTCGCCGATAGTGATGTGGATTTCCGAGCCCAAGTGGGCTGGGAGCCACCGCTTGATGCCCTCGCCGCTGGTTTCCTCAGGGACGATTTTCTCGAACCCGTACGAGAAGATAGGCACAACCACGGGCGCCGTAGTACTCTCCAAAATGAGTCGGGAGACTCCCCACTTAAAGTAGCGCATGGAGTTGCTGTGGGGCTCGTGCAACTGGAGCACGAAGCCCTCGGGAAACACGTGGAACCACGAGGTTTTGGTCCTGATGAACGGCGACTTGGACATCAACACGTTGGTGGACTCAGGCGTGGGCTTGATGTGCCTGACCAACTCCCGTGACTGGTTGATGTTGACCTCCTGGATGAGGAGCGGCTTCTGGGACTCCTGGACCCCTGGCGAGAACTCGAGGTCCAAGGTGTCGTCTGGACTCAACACCCTGATGGCAGCGTCGAGCGAACCCTGGAACGGACCCTCGCCAAACCGCTTGGTTCCCAAGATCTTACCCAAGTTGAAGAACCACAGGAGCGCTGGGTTCAGAAAGCAGATGTTGTGGGCGCCAAAGCCCCACCGGATGGTGTCCACATCGAGGTGGTACCGCATGGGCAACGCAGCGTAGAACGACGGATCGTCCACCACAGACATGTGGTTCATCACCGTCAAGAGGCCTCTGTTCTCCTGGCGTGCCTTGGCTAGCGCCTGGTCGAGTTTGTCGATGTTGTGGAGATATGGCTTGTAGAGCAAGTTCAAGAGGAACTTTGTGTTCAAGGTCATGGCAAGACAGGTGAGGTGGGAGGCGGCGTTCCAGAGAGGCGACGTGCGCGGGTAGTCGGAGAGGAAGTCTTCTCCACGGCGGAGCACGTCTTGGAAGGACATGGTGGGGGTGTGGAGGTGGTGATGGTGTAGATCTGGTTGGCGGTATTTGGTGGTAAAATTTTCCCCCACGTTTGCGCGATAGTGCGATAGAGATGGGGAGTGGTGGGGGTACGAGAATAGAGGTGGTGAAGAGTGTAGCAATAGAGCGGCAGGTACAGTGGTGGTGTGGTGATGAGGCAGTAATTTTGCTGTAGTATGGAAGCTTGGTGGCTGCGCTGGACTGGGTAGAGCTAATTATCTGGTACAATTAGTTGGTACTAATTATGGTGCGCCTGTCCTGGATTAATTATTGCGATTAGTCCTGATTATGGTGCGATAGCACCCGTAGATTCCAGGCTGGACTGCCAGCCTTGTATGGAGGTTGTGGTGTGAAGTACATTTACTGTCTCACAGGTACCCTGACAGCGGCCAGCAGCTCCAACCGTCCGGCTGGCGCAGTGGCGTTTTTGGGTGCAAAAGACCATGGGGCTGTGCATTTGCCAGCAGGCTCCAAACTGACCTGGTGTGGTCCCACGAAGAAACACGAAAATATGCTGGATCTTTTGCAAAGAAGCAAGAGCGGGACAAAGACCCAGAGATTCCGTGGATGGTTACCACCATGAAACACCATCTCGAGTACTTTAATATACATAAATAAGTTGCGAGAGGAGGTTCAAGACTTTGGCTAAGTCAGTTTTCTTCAGCTCTATCTTGGCATTGTCCTGCTTCACTTATTTCTACAGTTACTGGACGTGTCCTGAGATTTTGATCTAATATTGACAATTGACTTGGTGCCCATTCGTGAGGGTCCCAAACTAAAATGAATAATAGGCTTCCAGATCCTGAAAGGAGTTTAATTGCACTTTTTACCGACTTTTGCCATGGATGGTCTAAAATCTTTATTTTTCTGGTTTTCCATTCCTCATCTATGATTTATTTCCGTTTATAGTATTCTAGACACCACAAGAACAATTTGAACCCAATACTTGATTTCACATGCTCGCACTTTCACAAGCTCATCTTGTCTTCCACGCCATCACCTGCTCCAAAGTAAGCCTGAAGTCCAGCACCCCTTCTAGCAGACCTTTGAAAATCTGCTCCATAGCTTTAATTCGATCCTTGGTGCCAACTTCAAGGTGTAATTCTTGCATGGATTTCAGTTTGTAGTTCAAGAAATCGTACTCACTAATGTAGATTCTGCTATCACCACGAAAACCATAATGTTCATACAAGAACCTGAATTGGGAGTTTATGGGGAGGAATCGGTACCGATCGTAAGAAATCCCATATTGAAGAAGAAGTTCTTTCAATTCGAGTTTGAACTTGACGTCGTTGAGAAGGTATTCTGGCATTACCACGGGTTTGCGCGGTCCACACACAACCACATGTTGGTTTACCTCCTCCAAGCTTGCAATTGCATCCGTTTGAGCTGTAGTTCCTCCGTATATGTGTTTAGCTCCAGTGGGTATGTTGGTAGAACTGGGCATTGTTGTGCAAATATTTGCTATTTGTGCTCGTTCGTTGGGTGCAAAATAGTGGACGCAAACAGAATTCTCGCAACAAGCCATGCAAACCATTCACAACGTAGAAGATGCATCAGCCACCAATCCCGGTGCCCAGTCCCGATGATCCATATAAAACTAGGATCTATAGGCGTCGGAAAAGGCTTAATTACATCGAGGCCACATATATACACAGAACAATTAATGCACAAAACATGCCCATACACACATACTTGATAGGGATGATAGTCCGGTCGTCCATTTCCATTACAGACACACAGTTATACTGTGTGCTTGGAATCCAGAAACTAAATTCAGAACATGTGGACTTATTTTCTTCGATTGTCCAAGAGGTCCAGAAGATGGTCTCTTTGATGCTACGAGAGGTTGGTCGTCCGTTGGATGAGTTTCCTTTGACTAACATCAAGGATATGTGTTTTAGGGTGGCTCGAGGGTTTCCATCACTCTTCTTCGTTGCTAGCAAGAGAACTTTTACGCCACAATTTCCACCTAGACGAAGGAATGCCTTCAGCAGATGGGAATCTCGGTCCAGTCTCGACAGTGTGCGCACTTTAGAGGAAGAAACCTGCGAGATCGTTACTCTCGCTCCCAGATTCAATCAAATGTGGCCGGTAGCGATGATATTGAAAAGAGAATACGAAACAAGGCGAAAAAAAGCACTTACTCGATGATGCAGACGACGGTTTCGAACAAGACAGTTTTAACAATCCTCCATCAAGTAACACCTAATAAAATTTGCAATAATTCATATTTCTAATAGGTTCAACCATTTTGGACAGTAACAGCGAATTCCCGGAAAGTTTTTCAATGTTTCAGCTGTTAATCTGCTTCATTTTAAGCTCTACTTCCTCTAGAGATCCCATGCTCGCTGCTCCTATTCAAGTCTTCATCCCCGTGCGTCTCCAATTCCTATACTGAAATCTAAGATAGCGATGGCCAGTGTATGCGCACGTGACCCGGACCATCTATATTTTCATCTCATCTCATCTAATTTTTCACTACATATACCTACTCCAAAATGGCTAAAATCAAGAAGAGAGGTGCCTCCGGTAATGCTAAGAACTTCATCACCAGAACCCAAGCTGTGAAGAAATTGCAGGTCTCGTTGGCGGACTTCCGTCGTCTCTGTATCTTCAAGGGTATCTATCCCAGAGAACCAAGAAACAAAAAGAAGGCCAACAAAGGATCCACTGCCCCAGTTACCTTCTACTACTCCAAAGATATCCAGTACCTTCTCCATGAGCCGGTGTTGGCCAAATTCCGTGACCACAAGGTGTTCGCTAGAAAATTGCAAAGAGCTTTAGGTAGAGGTGAGGTCAGCGATGCCCAAAAGTTAGACACCAACCGTCCCAAGTACACCTTGGAGCACATCATCAAAGAGCGTTATCCAACGTTTCAAGATGCATTGCGTGATCTCGACGACCCCCTCAACATGTTGTTCCTTTTCGCCAACATGCCTGCTACTGACAGAGTCAGCCATAGAGTCACTAAGGACGCTGAAAGATTGTGTAACCAATGGTTGGCATACGTCACCAAGCAAAGATTATTGAAGAAGGTGTTTGTGTCCATCAAGGGTGTTTACTACCAGGCCAACGTCAAGGGTGAAGAGATTAGATGGTTGGTTCCATTCAAGTTCCCAACCAATATTCCTACCGACGTTGATTTCAGAATCATGTTGACATTCTTGGAGTTCTACTCCACCTTATTGCACTTCACGTTGTTCAGATTGTACAACGACGCTGGTTTGATCTACCCACCTACCATTGACATCGAAAAGTTGAAGGGAATTGGTGGTTTGTCGTCTTACGTATTACAATCCAAAGACCAAGGTGTCAACGCATTGTTGCCAGGTAAGAAGGCCGTGCAACAAGACGTGGGTGAGGGTAAGTCGTTGTCCAAGGAAGAAATCTCCAAGGCTTTGGAAGCCGATGAGGAGGAAGAAGATGAAGAAGACAAGGAAGAAAACGTCGAGGAAATCCAGCTTGACGAGTTCACTGCCTCCAACAAGACCACCGGTGATTTGTTGGAACAACCCTCCAAATACGCTTCCCCAACATCCACCTTGTTCTCCAAGTTCGTGTTCTACGTTGGTCGTGAAGTTCCTTTGGACATCTTGGAGTTGTGTATATTATCTTGTGGCGGTTCCATTGTGTCCGAAATTGCATTGGATGACTTGAAGATCAACCAACCTGAAGCTTTCAAGGCGTTGGATTTAAGTAACATCACTCACCAGATTGTCGACAGACCAAAGTTGAGCCAAAAGGTTGGTGGTAGAACCTACATTCAACCCCAATGGGTGTTTGACTGTATCAACAAGAGTGAATTGTTGCCTGTTGGTCAATATAGTCCTGGCGAAGTCTTGCCTCCACATTTGAGTCCATGGGGTGATGCTGGTGGATACGACCCTACCAAGGCCCCAGAAGCCCTTGAGGACGAAGAAGAAGAGGATGAAGAAGTTGACGGTGAGGAGGATGAGGAAGACGAAGAAGAGGAGGATGAAGAGGAGGAGGACGAAGACTTGAAGGCTCAGAAGGAATTGGAACAAGAAGCTGCAGGTGTCAAGTTCTCCGACGTCAAGCAAGACGACAAGAAGAAGGCCAAGGGTAAGAAGAGAACTGCCGAGGAAGAAGAGAAGGAGTTGAAGAAGATCATGATGACCAACAAGCAACGTAAGTTGTACAAGAAGATGCAATACGGTATCGACAAGAAGGAGGCCAGACAAGAAGATTTGACTAAGAAGAGAAGAAAGCTCGAAAAGGCCAAGGGAGAGTTGGAAAAGTTGAACAAGAAGTGAGTGTCTGACTCACCATGTAACATAGTTGAAGAACTATTTGTCAGAATTGGCATTGATATAGATGTTAATAAAAACGCAAGCGAACTGCTGTAGATTCAAGAGCTATACAAAGTACCCGAAGGAAGGATTTTAGTATATCCATACAGTAAGTAGTAGTTATTTAACTCGGTGAGAACACGACCGGATATCTCAAGCGATTTCTGAAAATCACTACTCCATAATAGTTCAGCACGGCATGATACGGCAGACTCTTCGTCATATCCACTCCAAAGTGAGCCCTACACTTTCTAAGGGCCAAATACAATCATTATTCAAAGCGCCAACCTGGTCTGTTCAAGAACTTCTCCATGCTCCCCAATCGGATGTTTCGATAGACAAGGGAAGCGTCAGAAAAATCCTCAAATTGTCAGGTTTAAAGACTGATATCACTGAACAGGAGGAGGAGAGGCTTGCAGAAGCTCTTTCCACGCAAATGACTTTCATCAAACATTTGTACGAAGGCTCAGATGCTAAGGAACGGGAGAGCAGTAACGACTCCATTTTCAGACTCTTACCATCAGATCACGCTCATGGCAAAGAAGTCACCTTGACCAGTTTGCTTGAAGAGATTAAAAACCTCCGTGCTGATCCAGAGAAAGGAGAAGACGGATTTGATGTCTCTAAGTTGAGTGAAAGGAATGCGGCGTACTTCACTATCAAGACCTCAAAGTGACAAGCGTCTCAATCGTCTTCACACTTCTAAAATTCAATCAATGGACACAGGTGAAATTCTTCCTGGATGCATATCTGGGTAATTCTAAAAGGAAATCAATACAGAATCGCTCAACCTTCGTCTGAATAGTGTCTCGAACGAGACTCTTCACATATCTAGTTTGACATTTCAGAATTACGATATATAGTACATAGAAATCCTGGACGGGTACAGCGATCATCGCCAAACACTATACCAGGTGGAATTTGACTCCCCTAATTGCTGGCAGGAGTGGTCAGTTTCCGTTTTAGAGTCTATTGTTTTACCCTTGAATCCATAAACATTCTGTCGGGAATTTGCAACTCAAATAGATTTTTCAAGAATTCTTGTATTTTCAACAAGTCCTTATTGCCTTGATTTATCAACTCCACATCGGTTGATTTGGGTATGTTGATGTACGCCTTGATCTGGAAGTTATTGGACTCGTCCAAGAGTTTGAGCTTGATTCTGCCAGGGTGTGAGCTTTCTGTAGTGTCATCACGGACAAACACTTTAAAAATTTCAATGACTATATCCTTGTGAAAAAATCTGATGCCCTTGACCCAGTACTGATTGATGAGGTCGTAACCCAAGTCCTCGATAAATTGGAGGAACGAGTCTTTCTTTGCGTTCTTTGTGGCCACCTCAGGTACCTGTGTCTCTTTTTTGTCTTCTTCCTTGACCTCTGTCGTATCCTTCTTGTCGTCTTCTCCTGTCAAATCCACATGATCCACTTCGATGGCGTCCACATCCATTGCGTCCAAGTCAACCACTTCCGTGCTGGCTGGATTTTCCTCTGTTGCTGGTTCTGGTTCTGTGGGTGCTTGTGGTATCTCGCTGGTTGGTTCGGTTGGTGCAGTTGGTGCAGTTGGTGCAGACGGTCCTTCCTTCACCGTGGTATGCGTGTGGACCAATGTGCTCTCGTATATCGTCTGCGCTGAACACAGCTGGTTCTTCCCTGCTATGGGAATATCAGAGACCTGGAGAGTCCAATTTCTCTCCACTGGTTCGTCTCCACTGAACAATCGGTCTGCCAGGACATCATCATTATCGCCACCTTTCAAGATGGGAGCAGAGATGTCGAAGCTAGTGCTTGCCTCATCGGACCATGTGGTGGTGCATTTCATGTAATACTGTTCGATCTGGTTGACCTTGCCTGGTTCAAACTTGGGCTTGAAGATGTTGTGAGGTTTGGTTATTAAGGTGTATGTGGCGATATCTTGCGGGTTGGCCAAACCTGTCAACGCCTGGAGCGTGGACACGGTCTGGATGTACTTGCTGTGTGGAATTGACGACACTAGCGATAGCTGATGGACCATTATGGGCGTAGGATGGGTAGTTCGTGGTGGAACTTGGAGTGAGTTTTTGGCAATCTGTGGCTAAAGTGCAGGACGGGTTTGCAGTTGAATCTGGTGGATTGAGCACCTCAAATATATTTGGGAGGTATTCGTGGCCCAGAAACTCTCATCTTATTGGCCAGATATGTAGTGCTGGAATCTTTAGGCTGATGCTTGGATCTCGTTCTAGATGAAATCAGCACTTTTCGTGGGTATAAAACAGAACAGAATTGAATTTAATAGTGGAATTTTAGTGGTAGGAATCATTTTCGCAGCAGTAGTTCAAAGTCACAGATTAATCACATTTCCTGCTATCAGGTCTCTTAGCGGTGCAGTTTTGTTTGGTTATCTGATTGCAATCTCTTGATTATCGCAAAAATGAGATTATCTAGAAAGTAGAGATCCATTTAGTTTGCACGACTCACATGTACTGTTAAGTCCTGCCATTCAATACAAATAAAATTTGGTATTTGATGTGTGCTTCACGAAAAGCTTGGATTTTCAATGGATATTCTGATACTACGATGAATATTAGGAAAGCAATCGTTTATTAATGGTTCTACAATTTCGATATTATGATGCAAATTAGTTGAACGGCAGTTTGATGCGTTCAAGAAAATACCTGCCAATGGTTTTGATCCCAAATTCATTTCATTCATTGAGAAGTGTTTTTAGCTTCTCGATACCTCAACATGATTGGGTTTACGGTATTTTTATTACGACTATTGCCATATTTGGTGAACCTCCCTACAACTGGACCCTACCAATTAAGTTACTCATTTATGGCTTTCATCGAGGGCCATCTGTTGTGTTTTACTTGTTGCTGGGTCTATTTCAACTTTACTGGGACTGTAGAAACATTAGTTTGATTCGAAAGGCCAATTCGATTTATAAGGTACCGTAGAAGGACTACCCCATACCCATATCTCTAGTACCCGAAACTAATCAGCGAATCTCTCGTAATAGTATTTCGAGTAACCACTAGTTGGTGGCTACCCCACCTGTATTGCAACTACATTGCCAATTCGGCACAAGAATATCTATTATACACGGCTGTGCGCTAACTAGTTATACATAGCGGAAACGAGGCATTCGACGCCATCCGTCTGGCACCGGGGAAGCAAGCATGCCTTGAGGCAGACGACTATCTATCCTTCTTGGACTCTTCGAGCACTTCTTCGGAGCTGGTTTGCTCGGTGAATGCGGCAACAACGTAGCCGATCAACACCACATTGGCCACCAAAGCCGCGATTCCTCCACTGATGATGGCATTGTTGCCCGAAATGTATTGGACCACAAAAAAGGTGGTGATTGGGGCCACAATCATGGCTGCTGTGAAAAAGACCAACTTTTGGACCACGGATCTGGAGGTTAGTACTGGATGAGGAAGAGTATTCCCAAGGAACTGACTGTGCTGCCGCAGATGAACCGTCACAGCTACGGCTATAGTCAATCCGTCCTGCGGAGCCGCGTTGTACAACTACTTACTGGGGAATATCGGGAGCAGGCATGGTTGGTGAATAATGCTGGTAGACGTGCTCAGTTGAATATAGGTTGGTGTACTGCACATAGAGCTGGGACCTGAACATCCATACTTCACCACAACCACGTCTGGAAACTGGCTCCAAAGACCCCAGTGGTACCACCCGGACCTTAAGTTTCCTAGCAGCAGGCAGAACACCCCCAATCACTCTGTCTGCAACCACTACCAGTCCCCCAATCTGCCATCCGCAGCCACTATCCCCAGACCATCCTGCACACAGCACTTACTCCCGACAAATTATCATCACTCACCAGTTCTTCAACACAAACTATCCACTATGAAGGTCTCCAGTGTACTCACCGGCGCAGCTTTGGCGCTTGGAGTGTCTGGCTTTGCCGACACAGCCTCATTCTACTCGTCCCACGAGTTTGGCAGCTTCAAATACATCGAACAAGCCTCCGACGTCGCCCACGCCTTGGAGGCATACTCAGACACCATCTGCTCTCTTGGTGGCAAGCTTGTGATCTACCGTGCCAAGAACGTACACATGTCGGTGGACCAAGCCGTCAACACCATCAAGCACGTCCACTACGACAATTCCGATGCATTGGACTTGTCTTTGGGCCAATCGTGCTCAGTCAAGTACGTCGAAGGAATGGAGGCCTCAAACACGGACGAAAACGTGTTGATCAGAGACGTCGACAGTGAAGAACTTGCCTTGGATGTTAATGAACTCATGAGCTCCGGCAAGCACGTCATTGTTCAACAGATTCCTTCCTTCGAAGGTGCTAGCAAGCTCAAGGCATTCAAGGAATACATTGGAGAGCAATACGAGCACTTGAAGGGCCACCAGCACGCCAAAAAGGCCCAGGACTCTGAAGAAGAGTATCTCCAGGCCGTAAGTGAATTGGAGGACGACTTGAGAGCCGCAGAATCCTTCATTGCCCACGAAGGTGACTCGTTGGTGACCGCATTGGCTTCGCCCAAGGCCAGCTCCACCGCCGCACCAGTCGCTGACGCTCCAAAGAAGATCACGAACGCCAACCTCTTCACCACCTACCAATTCTTCACCCCAGGAATCTTGTCATGTGCCATTGTTTCCTTTGCATTGATCGGGATTTTGTACGGTGCCTTGCGCTGGATCTCCGCCTTGGAAATCAGTTACCATGCGTTCGAAAAGCAAGTGGACTACGAGAAGAAGAATGAGTAAGCTAGTGCTGAAAGGTAGCAGGTCCCACAGTAAGCCCATTTATATACCGACAATCGAACCATAGCCATGGTTGTTCAATTCTATAATATAAATTTTTGTCTCTAAATGAAAGAACCTCCAATCGAAGAGTCGGCTCGTCTGGATGCTCTTGTACAGTGCCTCAATATCATAGAAGACGCATAAATAAAATCAGATTTATTCTAGATGTCTATAATATCTGATTACATTGTTATTCAATCAGAGTTATTCCAGGAATGCTCGTATTTGCTAATATCGATTCTAGCATATATTCCGTATCACTCCTCTTCTGGCCAAAAGTTGGACCCACTGCTAATTTTATCAAAAGTTTGGTGAACCAAGAAAACGTTTACTAGAATGTATAATCCCAGCAAATATTCATTAGCCTTATTAGTGTCCCACCCCGATAATCACTTCATGCTAATTTGCTTGAAAACTGTGCTACATTTTTCTGATACAACGTTTGACTATTAGCAATTTTAGGACTATTTTCAGTAGTTTTCAATACTTTTTTTGGCTAAATACAAGGAGCTTTTTGGACTCACGAAAGATTTCCAATTAGTAGACATATGGAATGATCTTGTATGGCACACGTCTTTGGTACTCGAGCCATTGTTCACCATACTTTTCTCTGCACTTGGCATCATCTCTGGTTTGTCTGTGGAGCAACAAGACAGCGAAGTAGATGGCATAAAAGTAGGTCAAGGGTGTTTGGAATCCGGTAAGCAAGCACCACGACAAACCAACAAGCCAGTCGCCGAGGTAGTTGATATGCTGGGAGATGGCCCACCAGCCATCACACAACAACTTTGAGCCGGTTTTGGTCTTGATAGACTTGAGGTGGTCCAACTTGCCTTGTCTGAAATCGGATTTTTGGCGATTGGCGGAGTAGAACACGTAGAAACCACCAAATTTGAGGGCAAGAATAAGTGCACATTTCCAGAGGCCCAAGTGCAAGGTGTTTTCTGGCAATGCCAAATATCTGGCCTGGAGCGAATATGACCAGGGCAACCAGGCCAAGTCACCAAACGCCAACATGAACCCGAAACCGTCAGTGGTGATGTCCATCATGGTCAAGACACCTTCTTCGTTGAGCACGCCGTCCAACACGTAGAAGAGCTGGACAAAGTTGACCAACACAAGCGAGTCCGTCACCTGGCCCTGTGCATGGTATTGTTGGTGGAGGCAGGACAAATTGATCAACATCCAGAGCAACATACCAGGCTTCAACTCACAGAACATCTTGATGTCCCACGAGCCGATGCGTGGGTTCAACTCACGTCCGATGTAGAAGTCGTAGATGGGATTTCCAGAGTTACCTCCCTTGGCGAGGATTCTCTCTCTGGTACCCACGCCATTGGGCTTGGTGGTGGGAATAAATGAGCACACGTAGACAAACACAGACATAGCAAAGGAGAAAATGATGGTTACAAGCGTCAACTGGAGCTGGTGGGTGTAGATGAAGTGCAATTCGGGGAGATTAAGGTTGAATCTGTAGGCACGGGCAGCGAGAATGGCCAACAAGGTTCCAGCCACGTAGACACCGTTGATGTTGTACTTCAACACGGTGCCGTCGCGTAAGACAGTCCCGTCCATCTGTTTAGAAGGCGAGATCTTGTCGAAAACAACGAGGCCAAAGAACCAAGCAAGGTACGCCTTCCAGGAGCTGGCATCGAATGCCAAGTCGTACCATTCCTGGGTGGACGAGGGCACGATTTGTTGGAGTCTGTTCAAGTCTAACGACACGCCCTGAAGCGAGTACTTGTCATTGACCAAGAACGAAAAGATGCTGACCACGAGCGGCAAGAACACGATGATGGAGGAGGCTCCGAAGGCGCCAAAGAACTCCCTGTCGTGGGTTTTGGGGTTCAACATGGGAGGAATGGGATGGATGCTGGTGGTGAGAGTGGATGTTGTGAGCAAAAAATGTCAGACTGGATCGGCGAGACCGATTATCGATTGGAGCAGAAACAACGACGATCCTCGAAGGGTCAGCTGGAAGGCAAGGAAGTAGAATGGGTCAGACAGGAAAGTCTGGTTTAGGAAGCTGGAACAGTCAAAGAAGGGCAAGAGACTGCAAATAGTGAAGTACGGATAGAAATGGCGGTGGTGTATGGATGGAAATACTGAAGTACAGGTTTTGGCACTACAACAACGGGAACTACAGGCCTCTGGTGGCTCGTGGATACATCTATATAGGCAGGGTGGTTTGCTGGAGGATTTGCTTGGTGTTGCTAAACGACGGTTGGGAACGAGTGCGATGAACGAGATGAACAAGAACGAGATGAACGAGAGTATACGAGAAGAGGATGTGCGATAAACGAGCAAGTTTGCCAGTGCGGTGGCCCTGGACGGGAGAGAACCTGCAGAGCCATTGATGATGCCAGGATCAAGTTAGTATCAATCGCCTGTGTGGCTGGTGGTGACGAGAGATCGATCCGGCACAAGGTGAATAGTTCAAGCAACACCAGCGATCGATGACCACAATGGCTCCGCAGTTTTTTTGGTGTTCCCGTGATGGTGAGGTGTATTGCTGTGGAAATTCACAGACCGTAAACACGAAGTCTGTAGTGGTTCCCGTCGCCTGTAGTTGGAACGGTAGGTTCCATTGCTTCGGCTGGAATATTGTATTCAGGTATATTTACCAGTTTCTGTTTGGTGTAGGCCACTCCCAGTTCCTTTTATGAATTCTTCTCTGAAGTAGAATCATAATGCATTGAGGAAACGCTCCAGTCTTGTGAAAAAGCAACCCCAGTCCACACATATACTAACACTTCAAAGTGTTTGAAGGAGAACATATCAAAAATCATCCATTGTAGTTGATACGATTCTCAAGATAAGGGGAAACCGAAGTTGACAGCTAATCTCTCTTGGATATCCATTCGCTTTTGCACCCACTGTGGAACCGAGGACGCAACTTCAGAAGAATATTCTTCGCTCCATGTTACTTTGTTACTGGCTCTTCTTCCAACCGCACTCAATGAATATTGCTTCTCTCGTTCATCGCTCTACAGTTATTGCTCGTAGTACTAAACCCTATGAATATTGGTTCTCTCGCTATCTACTTGATGAATATTGCTTTTATCCATTTTGCACTCAGTGAAGACACGCATATTCCATAGCATTTAAGCTTCTTCTCCGCATTGGGCTATCTATGAAATTCTTACTGAAATGAAATTTGTGTTGAACCAACTGGGCCTTATTCTCTGATCCTTTACAAGGAAAACTTGTCTACCAGGAGGACATGCTCCATAAAGTAGAATCCGGAAAGAAAACGTATGTACAATCTCTGGGGCTCTTATCTTCTAGAAATTGGTCGGAACGACCAAAACTATTCCTGATTGTACCATCGTATCTTTCTCTAAAATCATGCTTCTTCCACTACAAATGTAACCTAGACTTCCACACTATACCAGATGCAAAGATTCATCACCTTGCCACATGCTCCGAACACCCCCTCCCACCCCATCCTACGGGTGCAAATTCCACCCGTACTGGGCTTTGATGGTTTGGGGCTCAGATCCTATGCACCTGTGGTGACCGTGGCGGATCCTGGCCCGGCACTGTGCCACCAGGGTCAATAAGATAAGCATGGTTTGCAGAGCAATTTCTGGCCCTTCACGGACGACAATAGGTCAGTGGCTCGCTTAGTAACCCGGGCTTGATCTTGGAATACAGCCGGAGATCTGGAGGTCTAAGCCACAGTGATGGTGAGGATGCAGTCCCCGCCAGCGGAATGTCTATTGGAGAGTCACCATTAGAGTGCACGAGATTCCAAACTATGAGGGTTGAGTGTCCAAGATTGAATGATATGAGTCGAAAGCACGAGATTGGCGTGCTACGAAGTGTGCAACGGTGGCTCCTCGAGACAGACGGATTATTTCACCATTCGCCAGCCGTTGGGGCTTGGATGTTTCAGCTGGCCAGTTGTCAAACACCCTATAGAGTTCTGTGCGGCATCGGATCGGTTGGCTGTACTACGCAAATGGCTCATGGGCAACAATAGCCAGGCCTTGTCAGTGGCCAGTGACACGCCCGTGGCACGACAAGACCACCAATGTCACCACCTCGACAACAAAGCGCTCACCACTAACACCTAACAACTCCCCACCACAACAACTCCCCACCACTTCTACCACCACATCTACCACCACCCCACCAGGGTCCGACGGGGTTCCGACGGGGCTCAACAACCTTCGACGCCTTATTTTCGTCCTCCGGCTCCTAAACCGCCAGACCATCTTCGAATTCAAAATTTGCCTGTTTGGGATAAATTGCGTGCATCCAAATTACACGCGTTAGTCCGTGCTGGTTGAGTATTTTTCAGATCGGACGCTCGTCTAATTCGTCTAATCGTAGAGGGACCAGTTGTTACAGGGCCCAGCGACTGTCTAGCAACTATCCAGAGTAACACGCCTACCAGCCGGCTCCGGCTCCGACACTTAGCCAGGTGGGCTTTTGGCGCAACGATCTCGCTATTTTCTGCCTGCATTTCATCCCTTCCGGTCCCCATTGGGCCTATTGTTATCTGGGCTTATTTTGGTTTGGCCCGAGCTGGCCAGGCTACGGTGAAGAGACAATACCGTAGTGAGAGTACGAGAGTACTACCAGTAGATAATACCAGTAGATATACCCCCATTGAGGACTCTGCCACAACTGGCCCTCTAGCTCTGTAGACGCTTTCCACCACCAGCACCACCAGCACCCCCACGCCTCCATCACTCCCTGCCTCGGGTCGCCCTCCACACTGCCGTCTCGCTGCCCTCGCACAATCCACCGTTGCTTTTGGCCATTTCACCCAGCATTGTTTAACGTAATCGGCATTGTAGATTTTTCACTCCACCACCCAGCCAGTTCCAGTTCCAGCCTATCTCCGCTAGCTCTACACTACTGCCCCCCGCCTATTCACAGCCTGCCTACATTCTTAGCCCCCTCCTCCCATTCTTAGCCTCCCGTCCCATTCTTAGCCACATCGTCGCACGCCCATCCTGTAAACTGCGCTCCAGCGAGATTTACAACATTTTCACCACTACCGCCAGAACTCCCACCACTTCCCTGCCACCACCACCGACACGTTGCCCCCCTAATCCTGGCTCCCGTCGCTCCCTGCCACCACACCACCACCACGGACCCCATTGGATCCTTCTGTCGCTCGAACGCCCGTTTTTCCGTTCCGTTCGTCGTCCCGTTCGTCTCCACCGCCTCCCTGTGCTCCCTGTGTTGGATCCATGCACTTGTTGACTGCTCCTTACACCATGCCGGACCAGCACTCCCCCAACGGCGTCTACCAGACGCTCCCGCCAGCGCCAGAGTTGCCCCAGTACCAGCTAGTGGCGCCTCAGTACGGAACAGGCGCCCCTGGCTATAGTCCAGCACCTCCCCATGCATTTGTCCTGCCCAGCCAGTCGTCCTCCAAGTCGGCTAGCGGGACTTCCACGCCCCAGGTCCGCAAGAAACGAGGCAGACCCCCCAAGGCCACCTCGTTGTCCAGCAAAATCACCACCACCTTGAACATCAGCGTCAATACCTCACCATTAAGTGGTCTGCCTACAGCCGAGTTCAACTCCAACCAGATCGTCAAGAGAGGCGCTCCCGACTTCTTCACCCCGTTGATGCGGATCGGGTCTGCCAAACAGAAGAAGCGTAGAAAGAACTCGGCCAGCTCCTCGGTGGGCAGCTCGCCCAGCGTAGCCAAGAGGGCTAAGTCCAATACGGCTGCTGCCATTCCCACTGCTGCTGCGGCTGCTCCCCACATGGATAACCTCTTAGTGACTCCGTTGTCGTCAGCTATCAACGGGTCAACCTTCACTCCCTACCACCAAATCAACTCCAGGGCCTTGGACAACATCTCCATGATCACCCAGTCCGACCAAGTACACAACCCCCAGATGTTCAACTTGCACAACAGTGACGTTTCCTACTACAACACGCCTCCTTCCTCCACCGTCAAGGGCCACTTCCCAAACTACTTGTCCACGCCCCAGTTTGTGGGCAGCGCTAGATCCCCCGTGTTTCCCACTCCATCGAGGACCGAGGAGCGGCCTCAGTCGCAGGCACCAGCGTTCATGGTCACCTCCAGCACCCCCACCCCTAATGTCCATAACCAAGACCCCATGAACATGTCTCCAAACAATAACTTGTTGCCTCCTGTGTCGTTAATCCCATCCAAAATGGATTTCTTGGAGCAGCAGCAGCAGCAACAACATCATCAACAACAGCAACAACAGCCACAACAGCAACAACAGCAGCAGCTTCACCAGGACACTCAATGCCAGACCCCTCAGTCTGGGGAAGCCTTAAAGGAGCTGCCCAGAAAGGAGCTGCCCAGAAAGCAGCGCCCACAACGCACAGCCAAGGCCCAGCTGGTGGTTCCTCAGACCACCAAAGCTTCGACTCCACCTACAAGCAACTACCTGTTGAAGTTGACTATAGATGACCTGGGAAAAGCCATATTCTCCAGCGACTTCTTCGCTTCCGAGCCCAAAGAAGTGTCGCCCACTGTCGAAGTGTCTCCTCACACCAAGCCTTTGCCTGCTCCTGTTAAAGCTAAGGCGGTTTCAAAGGCACCAACATTGAAGAAGGAAGCCAAGTTGCCCACCGTACGCCCTAGATTAACTCATGCAAACTCGGTAATTGGGATTGAAGCCCAGTATATCCAGAAAGAGCAAAAGCCTCAGATCCATGAAAACGTTAATCCTGCGAATGGTACACCTGCTGCATTGAGAAGACACAACTCGGATATCACTGGATTCACCAACACAGTTCAGAACTCGTCTTTAGCCTCAATTAGCGAGCAGGGTAATATTACTCAACCGCCAATGCCACAGACTCCAAAGTACGATGACAACTATTTATACACATCCACCGGATTCACTCCAAACACTAACTTGGGTTTCAGTTTAACCCCACAATTCAATTCTATGATGTACTCTATGATGAGTATCAATTCACCTCAGGTCAGAAAGAACAATCAGGAATTCTTGATGAACCAAGAATTCTTCATGGGCGGGCAACCACCTCAACAGACCCAAGATTTCAGATTCGATCAAGATAATCTGACTTTGCAATCGCACAAGCCTCAAGTTGGACCCTCCAACCCTTCGCTTACCGCCGGTGAATCTACATCCACGGGCGCGTTTAACGATGGTTCCATCAACATGACCGACTTGATGAACTTAGGTAACTCTACCAATGACTATGATTCCAAGAACTCTGCTAAACCTTTCCAAACTCCATCGTCATCAGCACCACTGTCCAATGAAGATTCTGGTGATGCACGCTTAGCATTAAAGAAAATCATACATGTTAAAAGAAAATAGTTGTTTTTCTCCTAGTCAATTCATGATCAACTCCCACGATTCATATGAACAGAGACAGTCTACTCATCGATTCCATGCATTAGATATACCGTATTTTTATTCACTTCATAACACTCATAATATGCCATTGCCATTTGGTTCGCTTTTGATTTCATTTACGTTGTTTTCGTTCTCCCTACATCAGGATGTCTTTATAGCATTACACAAATTATATTTATCACTAGATTAGTAAGTGTTTAATGTGGACTTAATGTCAATAACCACAACTAGCATTCGTAAAATTTGGATGTCAATATCGTTATAGAATCTCCAAGTCTCGCTATTTTATTTGCTATCAGTGGACAGAAGGTAAAACCTATCCATTAATATCATTCTCTGAATTTCCATTTACAGTAATGATAGTTCCAATGAAATATGTAATATTTTACCCTTGTTGACAGAATTTTACGTACTTGTCAAAATCGATGAAATTCGTGAATTGATAAAGAAAGTTCTAGCTTCATTTACAGGATAGAAAATGTTTGCCGTGTTGATCAGGGTGATTTTTTATAAGATTCATGCTGATTAGGCAATTTTTATTAAATTATTAGAGCACATACTTGTCGCCAATTTTATGCTCACGACATACTTAATATTCATTTCACGTTAATAGGCGAAAATTTGCTGGAGCTCAATTAGAAACGATTTTTACCAACCCAGTTGTATAGCGAAATTGAGGCATGTTTCAATATAGGCTCGAATTGGTAGAAATTGTAGCTATTGGTAGAGTATACGTTAACATTTTGCTATTTCACTTGACGATATACCAACGTATATAATGGTTTTACCCAACATAGGATAGTTTTATCCTACCTCGGAAGGTTTTACCAGGAATATTATGGTTATACATGGCATATGAAGGTTATACATGGCATATTATGGTTATACATGGCATATGAAGGTTATACATGGCATATGAAGGTTATACGTGGCATATGAAGGTTACACAGCGCATATGAAGGCTATACAGCGCATTTGTAAGTTTTACCATGCGTTTTATGGTTTTGCCTGGCATACGTAAATTTAGCCATGCATGTGGAGAAACATCCACACTACCAATATGTTGAAACATCCATACCACCACCAAATATTGTCGTTATACCAGAAGTTCTACTTGGTTTAACTACCATCCTCTGCAATCAAAAGCAACTACATATCTCCGGTTCTCTTGACACCCAGATCAGATTTCGCAGCCGCACATTTGTCAGACCGGGTAATCCTCAGTCCACCCCGATGGCACCAAATCATCTGGTTTGGTCGCACGACCTGAAAAATTTTTCAACTCGCACCACTATAAAGACAGTGAAATATCCACCCCTAGACTTTTTCCACTAGTTGTTGATAACATAAAATGTCTCACAGAAAGTTCGAAGCACCACGTCACGGTTCCCTTGGTTTCTTGCCAAGAAAGAGAGCTGCCAAGCAAAGAGGAAGAGTTAAGTCTTTCCCAAAGGATGTTAAGTCCAAGCCAGTTGCTTTGACCGCTTTCTTAGGTTACAAGGCCGGTATGACCACCATTGTCAGAGACTTGGACCGTCCAGGTTCCAAGATGCACAAGCGTGAAGTCGTTGAAGCTGCTACCGTTGTTGACACTCCACCATTGGTTGTTGTTGGTGTCGTTGGTTACGTCGAAACCCCAAGAGGTTTGAGATCCTTGACCACCGTCTGGGCTGAACACTTGTCTGAAGAAATCAAGAGAAGATTCTACAAGAACTGGTACAAGTCCAAGAAGAAGGCCTTCACCAAGTACTCCGCCAAGTACGCTCAAGATGGTGCTCAAATTGAAAGAGAGTTGGCCAGAATCAAGAAGTACGCTTCCGTCGTCAGAGTCTTGGCTCACACTCAAGTCAAGAAGACCCCATTGACCCAAAAGAAGGCTCACATTGCTGAAATCCAAGTCAACGGTGGTTCTATCTCCGAAAAGGTTGACTGGGCCAGAGAACACTTCGAAAAGGAAGTCTCTGTCGACTCTGTCTTCGAACAAAACGAGATGATCGATGTCGTTGCCGTCACCAAGGGTCACGGTTTCGAGGGTGTTACCCACAGATGGGGTACCAAGAAGTTGCCAAGAAAGACCCACAGAGGTTTGAGAAAGGTTGCTTGTATTGGTGCTTGGCATCCAGCTAACGTTAACTGGACTGTTGCCAGAGCCGGTCAAAACGGTTACCACCACAGAACCTCTATCAACCACAAGGTTTACAGAGTTGGTTCCGGTGCTAACGAGTCTAACGGTGCTACTGAATTCGACAGAACCAAGAAGACCATCAACCCATTGGGTGGTTTCGTCAGATACGGTCTCGTCAACAACGATTTCGTCTTGTTGAAGGGTTCTATCCCAGGTATCAGAAAGAGAGTTGTCACCTTGAGAAAGTCCTTGTACGTTGACACTTCCAGAAGAGCTTTGGAACAAGTTAACTTGAAGTGGATCGACACTGCCTCTAAGTTCGGTAAGGGTAGATTCCAAACCCCAGCTGAAAAGCACGCTTTCTTGGGTACCTTGAAGAAGGACTTGGAAAAGTAAATTTGATTAGATAGTTTCGTATTAATATTAAATTATTTGATTAACAGTTGTAGATATTTCGTTCGTGAACGTTTTACTTCTCGAGTACTGAGGTGTGATGTATCTCTTGGGACTGTTCGGAGGAAACACTACTGGACATTTCTCATACCAGCGTAGCTGAAAATAATTTGAAAAATGTCAAAAAAGTATACGACCTCGTTTCTCAACACAACCTGACAATGACCTTATACACCCACTCAGTAACTGTCCTCTGTTATAGCCCTTTCTAAGCATGGCCCTATGGCCTGAAAGTTCCTCATCGATTTACCATATGCAGTCCGGTGGTGGGTATTAAAAGTAAGCTCTAACTCTACACAGCCATTGCAAAAAGCGCCCATCTCGGCAAAGTACCATTCCAGCCTAGTAGGCTCCTGGAGCGCCTACTCTCGCCATGTCCTTCTATCGGTCCAGCTAGCTTCTTCCCCCACCTATTTCAGTAACTACCCTAGCCCTGCACGTGACTGAAAAATCAACTCATCTCTTCTCAAAAATCTATGCTTCCACTACAACCCCAACTATGTCGTCGAGTAAGCAAAGGGTCGCCCAAGTAAGAAACCCTACTCTTCCAGCCCAGACCACCCCTGAGCAGAGGTACTGGAGGGGATACGTCAATCCCCAGCTCGTCAAAGAAAACCATCCCATCACAAAAATCCATTTCAATCCGGTATCTCCAAATGACTTTGCCGTGACTTCCTCCACCAGAATCCAGGTTTTCTCATCCAAAACAAGACAGGTGGTCAAGACGTTCTCCAGATTCAAGGACACGGTGTACTCTGGTGAGTACAGGTACGATGGTAAGTTGTTGGTGGCCAGTGATGCTACCGGATTGGTGTCCATCTACGATGCATATCAACCCAGAAACCTTTTGGTGAGTTTGAATCCATCCACGCATTCCACACATGTGGCCAAGTTCCACTCCACCATTGGAAACCAGTTGGTGACGGGATCGGACGACAGAATTGTGAGATTATACGATATTTCCCAGACTACGAAAGGACCTATTATAGAATTAAGAGACAACTACCACGGAGACTACATAAGAAGTGCCAGCTTCATTCCCGGAAACCCCAACTTGATAGCCACCGGGTGTTACGACGGCATTGTCAGAGTGTTTGACACAAGACAGTCCTCCTCCAACAACCAACAATTGATCGCCCAGTTTAACCAACAGAACCCCGTCGAAGACGTGCTTGCTATATCCCCTACCACCTTGGTCAGTGCTGGTGGTCCACAGGTCAAGATCTGGGACTTGGCCAGAGGTAGCCAGATCCACGAATTGAACAACTTCACAAAGACCGCCACTACTTTGCATGATACTGGAGACAAGGGACTCTTGGTGGGTTCATTGGACGGACACGTCAAGATCTTTGACTACACCACCTCCAACTGGGACGTCAAGTTCGGCTGGAAATTCGGCAGTGGAGGTGTGTTGAGCTGTGGGGTTTCTCCAGCCTCCAACAACCACAAGCATTTCGTTACTGGTTTGACATCTGGTTTGATCACCATTCGTACCAGAAAGACAGAGCCAAAGGTGCCACAAGGCATCAAGCAAGAGAAGTCCAATGCCTACAGCAGAATGATGAGAGGTAGAGACTATGCTGGCGAAGAAGAGCACCGTTCAGTATCATCGTCTGTGCAGACCAAAAAATTGAAGCAGTTTGAGAGACACTTGAATGGTTTCAGATGGTCTGAGGCCTTGGACAGTGCGTTTGTTCCTGGGGTTTCCAAGGAACAAACCGTTACTGTCTTAAACGAGTTGAAAAAGAGAGGTAAGATCAGAATTTCGGTTTACGGTAGAGACGAAATCTCGTTGTTACCCATTTTGCAGTGGTTCACCAAGAACTTAGAAGACGTGAGATCCATCAACTTGTATTGCGACTACATCGGAGTGATATTGGAGATGTACGGACCCTTGATCGATAAGAGTGTGGTGTTGGAAGAATGTTTTGCAAACTTGTTGAAAAAGATTAGCATCGAAATCCGCAAGTGTAAGGATGCCAACGAGATTGGAGGTATGTTGGAGCTTTTGACGGTTTAGAGAGTCGTGGTGGGTTTTGATGGCGAGACCATTCATATAGTACAATAGATGTCTATCTGGAGTTGCTGACGGAATTTGCGAATGTAGAATTGGTATTATATTACAAGCTATGATACAATTAGTAGATTAGAAAGTGGGACATTAGTGACTAGTTGAGGGGTCTTTATCATAAGTGTGTTGTAGCTCAACACGAGGTAAGTCGTCGAGGTGTTCCACGTCAATTTTGTCGCTTCGGTCTTCCTCTTTTCTTTTTCTTCTTTGCGAGAGTAGCCTCCACTACGTTGCGGCAGTGTTCAGAACAAAACCACTTTTGTTTTCCTGTAGTGAACTTCAAAGCCTCGACTCTGTTAAGCAATCCCACACATTTATAATGGAACCACTCTCCATTGGGGCACGAGTCCTCGTTGTCACACGCGATCATATCGCCGAAAGAGCCCTGCTTGCAAAAGCAGTATGCATTAGTATCCTCCTGTTCCTCTTGCACTTCCTCTTTTACAGGCACCGGCTGCTTTATCTTTCGAGCAGGTTTCTGCTTAGATTTAAGCTTAGAAATCTTGCCATTCGGAACCACTTTTGCCTGGGGCACTTTGAAGACTAGCTTCAAACCAGTATTTCTTGCTTTCTTGCGGTGGCCGCCTGCCTTGACCTCTTGGCTCTGTTGACTACGCAACAAGCCCTGCTCTTCGATGGCCTCTCTTTGCGACACTAGTGGATTCTCCTTGTAATGTGCCTCGAGCTGCTTTCGCAACTCCTGCTGTGAGATGCTCTTGTTACTGTGGTCTTGGGAATTTCTGTTGTGTTCTATGATTTGTTCGAGCTGTTCTACTTCTTCATTTAGACCAAGTTTATGAGTTATGAGTTGATTTTTGAGTGCCTGTGACTCCAGTATAGCCTCATGATGGTACTGTAGGACTTCTTTCTTGATTTGTACTATTTCTTGGGCGACTTCATCTTTGTTTGAAGACGAAATTGACTGGTTCTGAAGTCCGAGGAGTAGCTGATTTAGTCTATTTCGAGCCTTGTGTATGTTTATATTCAAGGATTGAACCACCCATATTGACCTTATAATATCACAAGGAAGATGATCTGTGGTCGATATGAAGGCGCTGTTTATGGACGAGGAGGATACCACGGAAGTCATGGCCAGTTGAGTAAGGAAAGATTGTTTTGATATATCTGGACGCGTGCTCGTAATCACGTGAGCGTATCACTTGAAGATGGTAATTCTTTCCGGATAAATCTTCTTGATGAATGATAAATAGGCATTTTTGACTCTACTTCCTTTGAATATACTCCAAAATCTGTATCTTGCTTCCTCAGTCTGAAAGCGCCACTCTAACACAGGTAGAACTCAAAAATCATAAAATGCAACTGGGGTTTGTACAAATCCTCCAAATTAGGGGAAGATGTAACAACGGACATTAATAAGTAAAAACTATACTGCATCATTTCTTAAATGGGCTGTGGCCCTCTAGAGAGTCTATAGGAATTGCGAGCTGCTGTTTGTCTTCTATCGTAAACTACGGAGAAAGGGAAACGGCGTTCCGATATCGCCCGATGATCCTGACCCGGGAGTGCATACAATTGTTTAATAGTTACCCAGGCGAAGCATAAACTTGACAGTAGTGGACCTGCAACAGTCAAAAGAGGCAGGGTTGGACAGTAAATTGCAACTTGCCGTGCCCTGAGCAATTAGGGGTTCTTGTTGAATATTGGAGATTTGAAATTGATAGCAATATAAGTAGTTTTGAACTAGGAAAGCGGTGAGTCACCTCAAGTTCGACTAGTGGAATGGTAATTAATTCCCTGAGTGCTTTGGACTCCTCAAATCAGACTGTTATTTGAGCATTTATTTCCAGTTGAAACTAAATTTGGCATTTACTTTTTAAAACCAGGTGTCTAGAAATTTTGTCCAACAGCGAACGAAAGATAAATTAATTACCGAATAGCAAGAAATTTGGGGAGAAGGTAGCAACTCTGGAAGGCTTACTCTACTCGCTCTTCCCATTTGTGGCCACTCTAACTTCCCTTTCGACCTCGTTTTGCCCGCACTGAAACCACAGCTGTCATTGCGCAAGTTCCAGCTTATGATAATAGCCCTGGCTGCCAAGATCATTTACCGTTTCTAGCCCTTTTCTTTTCGATCGTACACCAGTGTGCATACGGAACCCTGAGGGTTATAGGCTCTTGGCATCGATGCCCTTTCATACTTATATAGGCCCATCGGCCCGTCCCCGGCATTTTCCCCAGAAATGAGTTCGCTAAGCCCGCGGGCCGATACCTGCGAATCTGGAAACACCTACAATGGAGAATACCTAGGTGCAAGAATATCGGCAGTATTCGTGCTTTTGGGAGTGTCGGCCATTGGTTCGTTCTTCCCTTTGGTTGCCAAACAGTGTCCGTGGATAAAGCTTCCCCCCTGGGTATTTTTCGGTACCAAGTACGTAGGCACTGGGGTCATTGTGGCTACTGGGTTCGTGCACTTGCTTGCAGAGGCCCACGAAGCCCTCACCAACCCGTGCTTGGGACCTCCGTTCGACTACCCGTGGACGGAAGGTATAGCGTTGATGGGGGTGTTTCTTATCTTTTTCATGGACCTCATCGCCCATCGCAAGTTGGAGCAGAAAGAAGCAGAGTGGGCAGAGAGACAAGAATGCATAGAAATGGCCCAGGCTTCCGAAAAGGAGTTTCCCATCATCAAGACCACCGAGGAGAACACGTATCAACAGATCCTCAACACCTTGTTTCTCGAGTTTGGAATTGTGTTCCACTCGGTGTTCGTCGGCCTCTCGCTAGCCATCGCAGGGGACCAATTTAAGTCTTTGTACGTGGCCATTGCTTTCCATCAGTTGCTAGAAGGTTTAGGTTTGGGAACGAGATTTGCTACTACACCATGGCCTGAGAAAAAATGGTATGTCCCATGGTGCCTATCTTTAGCATACACCCTCACCACCCCCATTGCGATAGCCATCGGTATTGGGGTGAGAAAGTCATATCCTCCTAACTCCAGAAGAGCCCTCATCACCACTGGTGTTTTTGATGCTCTCTGTGGAGGGGTTTTAATTTATAACAGTTTGGTCGAGCTTATGGCCTACGATTTTTTCTTTTCTCCGGATTTCAAAGGCAAGAACGGGATGGCCAACACTATAAAGGCCTATATTTTGTTGTCCATCGGAGCGGGCATAATGGCGGTAATAGGCAAATGGGCCTAGTCACCAGATTCTTTTGTTGCACTGGAATCTCCAACAATTTAACATTTCTTATCTGATGTGCATAGCAGTTTCTACTGCTTTGGTATAGGTTTATAGATTCATCAACAACTGGCGTGTTTGAATATCGTAATAATTACAAGTGGATTCTATCTATGCTATTTACATATGCATCACTTCGACCATGCGGATGTAATACATTTATGGGAATGAATGGATGGTTGGAACTTCAAGGACATTTCAAAAAATGGTTGCTTGAAGTGAAGTTCAGGAGTTCTTTTTGATTCATGAAATTTCAAATTGGTATCACTCTTTTCTATATCTAGATCCGGGAGTTATCCGGCTTAATGGTGAACAATCTCTAACGACTGTATAGCATCCCTATTTGTATTCCAAAATCAACTCATCTTCAATGAAATCTACTTTGACAATTTTAATTCTATCAGACTCCAAAATTTGGCCCACCTGAACTTCACCCTTTTTGAATAACTCCATCAAAGTTGGTGTTACCTCCAATTTGGAGTGAAGGTTGCTGAAGCCAAGTACATCAACCAAAACCACATTACCATTCCTGGGATTGGACCTGATTAATACTCTGAACTTTATCTTCTGGTCCGATGGGATTTTTCCTTGTTTCAACAAAAGCAAATATTCCTTTAGGAAAATACCCTCCCAGAATTTGGACGAGAATCTCTGAATCTGGTTGTTAATGAGCTCCATATTTTGAAGATGATTGGCGATAAACTGGAGATTGCTATCAGAAAGTTGCAACCAATCGCTCTTTTTCAAAAGATATTCCTCGAACTTCCAATGATTCAAGATATCTGTATACCTTCTCAATGGCGAGGTCACATTGGTGTAAGAGTCAACCCCCAAAGATTCGTGTCTCTTTGGCTGGATTTGAGTTTTGGCACTGGTTAATACAGACAATATCTTGCTAAGGCTCTCCTCACTGATTTTTTGTTTCGATAAAACACTGTCCTTAATCAACTTGTGGATAGTTTTCTTCACTTCTTCGGTCAAAATCATCTCTTGTGATCTGTAAATGATTTTGATATCATTTCGGTGTGCAAATGAAGCACTCGACTGATTTGCAAAAATCATGAATTCTGACACCAAGAGTTGAGATCTCGAATTTTCGCCCTGCGAAGAAGACGAAATCACTTGCACGGCCTGTTTTGACTCGAGAGCCATCTCATACCCATTTTTGATGTGCTTGAAGGAAGGCAACTCGCCCCGCGCTTCATTCATGGGCATTACCTTGATATTGGACTTGGTAATGGCAAATTGGGTGCCCTCGCCGATCAATACTCTTATGTTGTGCAAGATGGTCGATATGTTCCAGAGTTTAAACAAGTTCTGGAAGTTTTTGTCGTCTGTGATTCCCCTTCTGAAATTGTTGATTTTACTCTCGTCTTTCAAAAGGCTATCTACCTTTTCATAAGTATAACCTTGAGGGAAGTTCTTACCTACTGCAACTTTAATGTTGGCTGTAGATTTGATTTGGTCTTGAATCTGGGTAAGAATTTTGGATGGAAGCTCATATGAACTGTCTTTGAGCCTTTCTTCAATGTATGAATCAATTATGGCCTTGTTGAGCTTATATTGGATGACAAATGTTCTTGTTTCTTTTCCATTAATACCCAACCCTGACAAATTTGGAATTAATTTGGGCAACATCATTGATGGTCCTTCAGGTAAGTAAGTAGTCCTTCCCTTGCTAAAGGCAATAGAACTAATTATTGAGTGGGGCCGAAGATAAGATGCTGGATCAGCGATGTGAGTGGAAATAATATAATCCCTGGCATCCAGATGGATGGAAATTCCGTCGTCGATCTCATGTGCATCGGCAGAGTCAATACAATAGATTGGAATAGACCTGAAGTCTTCACGAATTCCGCAAAGTGGATCCGAAGTATAGAAATCACTGGTGTTCTTGTCTTTTGTACCACCAAAGGTGTCGTTGAAAGCCTCAAGATTTTTAGATTCTGGTATCAGAACTCCAACGCGATCTTTAGATAACTCCACTGATGCCTGAGCTGTGTCCACATCACTTGCATCCAAATGCTTGTCAATGAATTCATAGTAGTCCTTGCTCAAATTGGACATTATACTTATGTCTTCCGCTATGGGTAAAGACTTGTACCATGTACCAGGATTGACAATTTGGGGTGTTGTCTGTCCTGGAGATTCCTGGAGGCAGTTCAACAAATCGTAGGCTCTAGCCTTGGAATATTCATAAGAGTAAATTCCCTCGACGTGCCCCAAGTGCTTATCCACCAATCTTACTATACCCACCAACAAGGTCTCCAAAACCGGATCACTGGTGAAATTGCCAATTATGTAGTCCTTGAACATCTGAATAATATCTTCATAATACTGCGGCTTGGGTCCGGACTTCTTCATAGCGTAGTTCGCAAATTGGGAGTCTCCCTTCTTGAACTTCAAGAAATATATCACATTATTGATCAACTCCACGTTCTTGATGGGGAGAATGGTTACACTGGCTGGAGGGTAGCTCTTACTGTACTTGTCGATATTCCAAAGCCTCGATTGCTTTCTGAGCGAAATAATCAAGGCCAAAAAGGTCGAGACGTGGTACTGTTGGGACTCGAAATCAAACGGGAGGTCTAGCGATTTTCCTATGTGGGAGACGGATGCATTGTAGTCTTCAAGCTTGGTGAGGTCGGTATGCTCGATATGGTAGAGTATTTCGAAAATGGAAATTGTTCGGGGTGAGTTGATTAAATCATGGTTGTAGTCGTATTGGAGCTTACGGTGCAACACTTCCAATTTGGTGTTGACGAGCGAAAGCTGGTTGAACGCTTTGATGGATACGTCGGTAAGAGCCTTGGAGTAGAACTTCCGAGCCTCGATGGGAACGTGGTAGGTGTTGACGTTGGAATTGGTGAGAAATTGAGATGACGCTTGGGCCACAAGAAAGTCATTTTCCGAGGAAATCGACTCAGTGCCCTCCACTGCAATATCGGTAGCATCTTCGGTGATTATCCCATTTTCCAGAGCTGAGCCCAACTTGCTGCTCCGGTATGCCTGTAGCCTCGACTTTGTAGATACATTTTCATTGATCTCAGGGTCCTGTAATTCTTGGGGTAAGGATTGCACTGATTTGGTGTATTTATCATTGGCCACCCCCACTGGAGCAATGTCCAAGTATTTCTTCTCCAACTGCACGAAAGTCCTCACGATATCGTGGTACTTCTTGGGGATCACACCAGGAAACCTAAGCTTTATGGCGGATCTCTTTGCATACACAACCTCTCCCTCGTTGTTGATAAACGTATAGGAAGACGAGCTCAAGTTGGTGGGGATTTCGACAACCAAGTATAAATTTACGTTATCGTCGTACAAGGTCACCAAGTCTCCTATGTTGGTGGAATCGTTGACTGCTTGTGAACTGATGGTGGCATTGATAATGGAGTCGTGTATCGCTCTCCTTATCTTGTTCACTTTTGACTTATTCGCCTCCTCCAGGCCTTCAAGAAGTTTGGCGATGTCGCTTTTCCAGTCCTTGGATGGAATCTCGAATCTTTTAGCGGTTCTATCTATGGTAGCCTTGGAAATCTTATCAAAGAGCACGGAGTTATTCAACGACAAGTTCAATTGGGAGTTTGCTGGATCGAAGTAGTTTCCTTTGGACCTAGTATAGTCTTTTCCGGTTGACTTGAGCAAGTTCTTCACGAGATTTCGCCTACTATTGTCATCTTGCACCGTAGTGGAGTGTGGAATGCTTGCCTTTGGGAAGTATTTGTGGCGGTTTTTGAGCTCCTGAGGAATAAAATTCGCTTTCTGGGACGTGTTGGTCGATTTGTATCGTATCCACCGTATGCCCTTCGGCCTTGCTTGGTGCATCAGTTATGGGGGACAGGAGTAGAGTTGGGGCAGGAGATGGCACTTGAAAATTTGTGATGGATATTGTGTCACGTGCTGTCAGTCACGTGTGGATATGAAAATGGCATCCCTGGGCGTTAGGGTTCCCTATAGAATGAGCAGGTAAACACAACGAAGAAATCATATCGAACGCCGTGTTTTCCTGAAGAATCTGGAAATCCAATTTCACATATTTTTGAAAATTGTCAGTTTTTCTATAAATATTAAGAAATGGAAGTCAACAATGCACTACTTAAAAATATATAAAACCCCAATAGACAACCAGAAGTAGTAAATACAAGTGAAAAGACTGCCAAATTCATCAGTTGTTCCAGAATGGTTTAATTATGGCCACGTCCTCTTGCCTAGTTCGCAGTTGCACCACCACGGCAGCCGCGACACTCACTTCCGCATTGGGAAGTCAACATACGCGTTCAAATCATCAATGACAAACAACTTGCACCCAAAACATTTACCCCAAACGCATCCAGCCATCCTACTGGCCACCTAAACTCATCATCCTGCACGTCCATAGCCACTCCACGACCCCACCCATATCCAAATCTAAAAAGAGCCGTTCAAATCCCGAATCTATACTACTACTACCATGAAAGTAGAAGAGCTCATCATCGATGGGTTCAAGTCGTACGCCACCCGTACGGTGATCTCAGGATGGGACCATCAGTTCAATGCTATCACAGGACTTAACGGTTCGGGGAAGTCCAACATTCTAGATGCCATTTGTTTCGTGCTAGGAATCGCCTCCATGTCCACAGTCAGAGCTTCCAACTTACAGGACTTGATCTACAAGAGAGGACAGGCAGGAGTAACCAAAGCCAGTGTGACCATCGTGTTCAACAACAACGAGATCTCCAAGTCACCGATCGGATTCGAAAACTGCTCCACCATCAGTGTCACCAGACAGATCATCTTGGGTGGCAGCTCCAAGTACTTGATCAACGGGCACAAGGCCCAGCAGCAAACGGTGTTGAACTTGTTCCAATCTGTGCAATTGAATATCAACAACCCCAATTTCTTGATCATGCAGGGTAAGATCACCAAGGTGCTAAGCATGAAGCCATCGGAGATCCTTTCCTTGATCGAGGAAGCAGCAGGTACAAGAACGTTCGAGGAGCGCAAGGACAAGGCCCAAAAAACCATGGCAAAGAAGGAAGCCAAGTTGACCGAAATCAGAAATCTCTTAAAGGAGGAAATCGAACCTAAGTTGGAGAAGTTGCGTAAGGAGAAGAGAAACTTCTTAGAGTTCCAACAGACTCAAATAGATTTGGAAAAGCTATCCAGAATAGTGGCAGCTCACGACTATTTGAAGTTATCTAGGAATTTCACTAACCATTCGAACTCCTTGAGTGAAAATGAATCTCGTTTAGCATTCTTGAACAATGAAAACGAAAAGTTGGTCAACGAGATACAAAACTTGAATGATGATTTGAATCAGGTAAAGCTACAAAGGGAGTCAGAGCTACAAAATGATGGAAAGTTGAAGGAATTAGAGCACAGGGAGTCTAAGTTGACCAATGAGAATACAAGATTGACCACCTCAAAGGACTTAATAGAAGAGAACTTGAATGAAGAAAAAAGTAATAGAGAAAGAATTGAATTCCAAATTCGAGATATTCAGTCTAACTTGCAAAAAAGCCTTGAACTGTATCAAAAGTTTGAGCAGGATTTCAATAAGTCCAATGAGGAGTTGAATCAATTGAAAAATGAATTCAACCAGAAAGAGGAATTGTTGTCAACCTTATCTACAGGTTTGTCTTCTACTGGTAATATAAGTACAGGTTATTCTGCACAGTTGAATGAAGTCAAGGAGAAATTGAATAACAGTCAAAATTTCATAAAGACTTCCAATCTTAAGATATCTCACTTGAAGAATCAAATTCAAAATGACCAAATCAAATTGGAAAAAGCGAAAGCAGAAAACGAGACATTCCTCAATAACAAGAAGAAATACCAATCTGAGATCAGTTCCATGGAACAAGAATTGAACACTAAATTGGGATTTGATCCAAACGTTGTAAACCAACTCAAGGACGAGGAGTCCAATTTGGTTGCCCAATCAAATAAGTTAAAGCATGACTTGAGCTATTTGGAAAGGGATGTTGGAAGCATAGGATTCAATTATTCCAGGCCCTCTGCTAATTTTAATGATGAGTTAGTTAGAGGAATTGTGGCACAACTCTTTAATTTGCCGGAGAAATCAAATTCTCAAGCCTTGGCCATACAGATTTGTGCTGGTAATAGACTTTACAATGTTGTGGTTGACAATTCAGAAGTTGCAACACAGTTATTGGAAAAAGGGCAATTGAGGAGAAGAGTTACTATCATTCCATTGGATAAGATTAACTCAAGGAGCATCAGTGGAGATGTTATCGATTATGCAAAAACGTTGGCTCCTGATAAGGTTGAGTTGGCACTAAACTTGATTGAATTCGAAGATGAATTAATCAGAGCAATGGAGTACATATTTGGCACCACCTTTATTTGCAAGGATCCTCAAACCGCGAAAATTATTACCTTCGATCCCAAGATTAGATCTCGTTCAATTACTCTCGAAGGTGACATCTATGATCCAGAGGGTAATTTATCCGGAGGTTCCCGTAGGAACGATTCTTCGATTTTAATTAAGATCCAAAGATTTAACACCATCTCCAACAACTTGAAAGAGGTTACTCAAAGGCTTCATGAAGTCAGAAGTGAGATTGGAAGGATGGAATCTGTAATCAGTGGTACAAGATCCCTTCAGAATGATTTAAATTTGAAGAAGTACGAGTTATCATTGTTAGAGAAGAAATTGGACAGTAATCCATCTTCAATGATTTTGAAACAAAATGAAGCCAACGAAAATGAGATAATCAACTTGGCACAACGAATGAAGGAAGAGGACCAAAACTGCATCAGTTATCAGAGTGATATCGCGAAGATTGAGAAAGATATCGCTGAATTTAACAATGATAAGGGCTCTAAGTTGAGCGATCTCAAGAAAGAAATCAACAACTTGAAGAAAGAATTAACTAAAAAGCAAAATGCTCTTAATAGCAAGAACGACGAATATCAAGCCATCCAAATTGACAACGAACAACTGAAGTCAGAATTGAGTAACTTACAAGACTCACTCAAGAGCAGCATTTCATTGTTCGAAGAACTTGAAAGAAAGAAAGCCGAAACGATACAACGATTCAATGAATTGGGCGACGAATTGAGAATTACTAAGGCAGAGCTTGATGAGGAGAAAGCCAACTTGCTAGGACTTGATGAAGAAATCAACGAGCTTATTAAGGTCATCAAACTCAAGAATGATTCTCTTAATGAATACAAACTTGAGAGACAGAAATTGAGCCACGAGATAGAAAAATCTTCTAGCATAACCAATAATTTGAAGGCAGGTTTGGACAAGATCATTAGCGAGCATGACTGGGTGACTGATACTAGTATCTTGGATAATCTTATACAGCAGTACCCTAACATAAATCTCGAGGAAAGCTACGCACAATTGGCAGTTCTTGAAGAAAAATTCCAGAGTATGAAGAGAAAAGTGAATGTGAACATCATGAGCATGATTGACAATGTTGAGAAGAAGGAAACCTCTTTGAAACATATGGTGAAAACCATTGAGAAGGATAAGACAAAGATTGTCAACACAATCGAAAAGTTGAACGGGTACAAGAGAGATACACTTAACAGCACATATCAGAAGGTCTCGGTTGACTTTGGCCAAATTTTCAGCGACTTGTTGCCTGGGTCCTTCACCAAGTTGGTTCCCGTGAACATGATGGATGTCACACAGGGGTTGGAAGTCAGAGTTAAGCTTGGTGAAGTGTGGAAGGAAAGCTTGGTTGAATTGTCGGGTGGTCAAAGATCTTTGGTTGCACTTTCGCTCATCATGGCATTATTGCAATTCAAACCCGCACCCATGTACATTTTGGATGAGGTTGATGCTGCCTTGGATTTGTCTCACACTCAAAACATCGGCCACCTTATCAAGACCAGGTTCAAGGGATCCCAGTTTATTGTTGTATCTTTGAAGGAAGGTATGTTCACGAATGCCAATAGGGTATTCAGAACAAGGTTCCAGGATGGTACTTCTGTGGTCTCCGTGATGTAGTAATAATAATTGACGTCAGGGTGACTAGAATTGCGAATTACGGAGGCTTCTAATTTCAGCTGGGTGCTTGCTTGACCATTTTTCTACGGTGTTTACCTACTACTCAAGCAGGAAACCGAGCTCATCCCGCCACGCGGAACTTCATCAGGGTCCCGATACATCCGTTTTCAGGTTGGTTCACGATGTGTGCAATCGTCTCCAGCAAACCCCAGGTCAATCTATGAGTCCTGGGTTATCCGATATTTCCAGACACAAGAAACCAATGCAATTGCACAAATAGAGCACGCAATAATAAAAGTGATCTAGAATTGATAAGATAGCAATTCTCGGTGTAGTTCACCTCTGGGGTCGGTCGTTAGTTCATATACATGCAGGCGGCATGGGAGGCGTGGGAGGTGCATTACTAACGTAATTTCATCTTCGACACCTAGACTACATACGGTGGCAGGAAGTGGCGGAGGGATGCAGATAATGCGGAGACAACAGAGTTAGATTTCCAGCCCCAGACCTGGAATGGCCCTGTCAATTGTAGTTAATAAACGGTAATGCTAAGAACCGTTTTGTTCTGTCGGAAAATAAACCTTAATAAATGCATTTGAATAAAATACGACGCTGTGTGGGCCAGGCGAAATGCAAACGGAACCAGGGATGCTGGCACCGCACCCACCGTAGGGGGTAGCCACTTGCCAGAGATTAGGCAGGGTACAACTCTAATAGTGCAGGTTGTCAAGGCAGAGCTAGGGCAGGGAGGTTATGGAATTAAACTCAATTGATGCCTTGCCAACTTCCAAGAATTAGGGAGGGAGGCGTAAGGTTAAGCATTAGACTACAATGGCGCTGAGCGTGCGAACCTCCACAAGATGCTCCCTACACATCTCGAGATTAGAGGCTTTGCAACGCGTGCATGTTGCACGACAGTGCAGGGCAGTGGAACGCGCATCCTGGGCAAATTCCCACCTACCCACTCACCATCACGTGCTGCGCACCCACGTGAGTTTTCGTTGACGTCTCTGATTCTTTTCCCCTTCGGCTACCATCACGGGCATCAACACCTATCATAGTCCCTGCAACAAGGACATCGAGCCTGATCTCTCCGCCATCCAACACTCGAGTAACGTGACGTGCACATCGAGCCCTTTTGGACCGACGATTTTCTCGCCAAATCACCCAACTCCAAAGCATCACTAGCGAGTTCCAGCATAGCGACATCGTGACTGTCGTGAACAAACAGCACAGTCAGCTCGACCCCCTCTTACAAACCACCACAAGCGGCTGAAGGTGACTCACCCTCCGAATACACACTTTTCAGCCATATTCAAGCTCGAAACACATCGCGACACGTCGCACACCACACGGACATAAACCACATACAATCATGGTCCATTCGATACAAATGACACCCTACGAGTACGACAGCAAGGCTGGCCTCCGATCTGAGGCCGGATCCAAAGCTGCGGGCAAATGGTCGCTTTCCAAGGCGAAAATCGCGTCGTTCTGGATGCTCCTACTCGTAATATTTGGGTTGACCCGAATCAACGTCAAGGATACGTTCTCAGCACTCTACAGTCCCGATTTCTCGGGTGTTCCGAGGGTCCAGTACTTCGATTTGGAACAGTACAGTGGCCATGCCAACGGCTGGCAGCATGACGAAAGAGTGTTGTTCTGCGTCCCTTTGAGAGACGCTGCAGCCCATTTACCCATGTTCTTTGGCCACATGAAGAACTTGACCTACCCCCACAACCTCATTGATTTGGCATTTTTGGTGTCGGATTCGTCCGACGACACCATGGGAGTGTTGAAAAAGCATTTGAACGAAGTGCAGAGTGATCCCAACCCAGCCAAGAGATTTGGCGAAATCGAGATCTTCGAGAAGGACTTTGGCCAAGTCATTGGCCAGGGCTTTTCCGACAGACACGGCTTCGCAGCGCAAGGTCCTAGAAGAAAGTTGATGGCCAGAGCCAGAAACTGGTTATGGACAGTGGCCATCAAGCCATACCACTCGTTCGTCTACTGGCGTGATGCGGACGTGGAAACCGTGCCTCCTACTATTTTAGAAGACTTGATGCATCACGACAAAGACGTGATTGTTCCGAATGTCTGGAGACCATTGCCAGACTGGTTAGGCAACCAGCAACCATACGACTTGAACTCGTGGCAGGAATCCGATGGTGGGTTACAATTAGCCGAGACCTTGGGCGAAGATGCATGTATCGTCGAGGGTTACGTGGAGTACCAGACCTGGAGACCTCACTTGGCGTACTTACGTGATCCATACGGTGACCCAGAAGTGGAAATGGATTTGGACGGTATTGGAGGTGTTTCCATCTTGACCAAGGCCAAGGTGTTCCGTACTGGCTCCCACTTCCCTGCATTTTCGTTTGAAAAGCATGCCGAGACTGAGGCCTTCGGTAAATTGAGCAAACGTATGGGATACTCAGTCATTGGCTTGCCACACTATGTCATCTGGCACATTTACGAACCATCCAGCGATGATTTGAAGCACATGGAATGGATGGCTTTAGAGGAAAGCAGGCAAAAAGAAGAAGCCAAAATCAAAAAGGTGTATGACAAGGTCTGGAACAAGGCTTTCGACGACGTGCAAGAAGACTGGGGCAAGGAAAGAGCCAAATTTTTGAAGAACACCGATATGTCGAAATTGAGGCAGATTAACGTGGACTGGTCCGGCGCCGACGACTGGGCCATCGATGAAACCAAGCAAGATAGCAAGAAATTAGCGGACTTCAATCCATGAGGTGTCGGAGTTAGCTAGTCAGCATGTGAGCCGAATCAGCCCCCATGTGGGTGCAGTTGCTTCGAGCCATGTATGATCCAGGGCCATGTCAAACGGCAACATTATTTGAGCAAGGTACGGCATCAAATGAAGCTCAAAATAGAAAAGGTATTATCAACCATATGATGGTGTCCCTGGTGGTATCAATATCCGTCGAAAGGGGCAATCGGCTTGCCCAAAGGATCGCATTCTTAACGGATACTTGAGGGGTTTTCTCCCATCCATTGTATTATACAGCATTTGTTGTGCAACGCAAGCCCAACGGCTGTGTTTGTAACCCTTGCCTTTTTGGCCCTGACTTATGCACCCGTAGACTGAAGACAACAGTTTTAGCTCGTGGTATACATCCAATAGTCAAACCCACCAATTATTAGTACCCATATTCATGTAGCTAGCGGCAAACTACGAACAGGACAATGCAGCTGTTTTCTATATATACATTGTGCATGCATCATGCATGTAGGCCACACCGTCGATCAAAACCATTTTAAGATCCTTCCTTGAGCACGAAAACGTTGCATGCACCTCTGGAATGAGTGTCAAGCTTTGGTGAGATTTGAAACTGCGGATTTATCCACATGAATGTGGCTTTAGTTATCACAGCACAATGGGATAGAGATGTGTTATGCCGGAAGTAGCGGTGGAACGGCCCCATTGGACTGTCGCTGCATCGCACGATCAAGAAACCTGTCCTCCGATGTCAGGCCACTTAAGGATCAGGAGTAAGTTGTACCGGGCCCAGCCTGAGCTGCCAGATTGGTGTACCAGTATGCGAGATCTAAGTGCAGGTGCCGCAGTCTGCACTGCGGAGAATGCTCGACCTTTTTGTCTAGGGCGCAAACATTATCGGACTGTTCATTTTCTGGCCACTTTTGCGCTCTCCCTGACAGCCAGTGTTCAGAGCCACGATTATCAGATTGTTCGCTCCGATCCATATTGTTTGTTTACGACAAACGATAGACGGCTATCGATAACAGATGCGTCTGTCAACGATCGTCTCCAGTCGATTGTCTTAAGATCAGCCACAACATTGTGGTGAGAACAGTGAGAGTACGAATTCGTAGATAGACTTTCCGAATGCACCAACTGTCTAAAAAATTCGTTCAGTGGGGGCAGCTGGAAAATAATATCCTCTGCACTGGAGTTATTGAGGGGCAGATTTATGTTGCAGGCAGGTTGGATCGCGATCTTTGGGGCCAACACCATCATGGATCTCAACACAAGCTAGACCAACGGACCAAACTAGCTTGTAAAGAGCACCTGGATCTCCAGCGACGTTCTGGAGGCGTAGCGAGTGAGCCAAGCCCGCTAATTTGTTCATATAGATAATAAATTAGGGCATGCTGGGTTCCTGAGCCTCAGGTCGGTTACTATATTGTTGCTATTGTACTAGCCCATTTCCTGGGCAACAAAGCTGCGGATAACGGAAGCAATACACGAGCGAGTTTCCGGAACTCACCGTGGGTAGGTGTCTAGTGATGGTTCCTACGACAGAGGACCAACCTGGTGTCAGCTGCACGGTTAGCAGCACGATGCACCACGATCCGCGCCCCCCCCCCAATAAGACAGGAGTCGGAAATACGCAGTGTGCACGGTGGCCAGCATAGTACACTACTAAGCCCTTGAAAACACCAAGGAACATTCCGCTGCACTCTGGTGTTATGGGCACAACAACCGGAAACTTCTGTGTCAGCCGATCTCCGAGAAGTTTTCTTTGGTGCCACCAAATATGCAAGCGCCGCAGTAATTACCCCCGGTCGTAGCCAGGGGAGGTTTTGCACCAACAGGTGGTGAACGTGGGCCAGGGACCTGGAATGCAACAGCGTGCGCTAATTGGCGGAATTAGTCGAGGCGTGGTAGCGTGACAGCTCCAGTTCCTCCTAACAATAGGGCTGTCTCGAAGGTGCCGTTTGCGGATCCTTCTATGGGAGAGACTTAATTTCTGCTGGGTCTAGTTTAATCCTTCGCAACGTGCATATTATTACATCCGCCACCGCCTGCACACAGCCCAAAGCCTCCCAATTGAGCGACAGACTTCTATAAATGAATGCACCTCCCAGAGTATATGCACGCATTTATTAAATTGATTGTTCGTAAGGATATATTTTTTACCGGTATTTTCGAACATTATTTTATTTTTTAGATACCATTTGCAATTCATTTTACTTTAACAACCAGATAACTACTGCTCCCAGATGGCCCACGCCGCTTTCTTCCCTTACGTTAGGTTATTGTACCACCAGAGTTATTTTTTTGCCCATACTGGCGCCGTTGCTATTTTTTTTGCGGCTATATTTGATCTTGATCTAGCTCCCTTGACTATATAACTACTAGCTTCTCCCCTCCCTTCTGATCATTAGTCACTTAGTTCTATTCCTTCGCTACAATGGTTAAGTTACTTTCCCTCGCTGCTGCTGCTACTCTCCTCACCGCCACCTCTGCCGTCGATGTCGCCTGTGTCGTCAACGGTGTGAGTGTTGCTACCGTCGACTTGGAAACTGGTACTTGTCCATTCCCAATCCCAGCTGACTTGCCAGTCACCTTCGACTTCAGCTCGGCCGATGACTTCAAGGTCGACTTCTACTACGCCCTTGCCAACAACAACCGTTTCTACAACGACATCGTCGCTGCTGGCAGAATTATCGAAATCGCAGCCATCGACTTGTACCAACAAGCTGCTGCTCAATTGTTCGGTGTCCACCTCGAACAACGTCCATCCGGTAACTCTACTGCTGCCATCAGAAAGAGATTGTTGGGTAAGTCCAAGTTGGCTTCCAGAGACGAAATTTCTGACTTCGTTGACCACTTGAAGACCCTCGATGGTGCTGCCATCCCAGGTACTCCTATTGAGTTCGCTGTTGTCGACCCAGTCAACGCCACCTCCTCCTCATCTGTGCCAGCTGTCACTTCCACTGCTTCCCGTTCTGCCACCGGCTCCGCCTCTGGCTCTGCTACTATCACTGGCTCTGCCTCTGGTACCCTCACTGTCACTGACAAGCACACCACTGTCGTGACCATCACCTCTTGTTCCGACAACAAGTGCCACGAAACCACCGTCGCTGCCACCCCAGCTGTCACCACCCAAACCGTTGACGGTAAGACCACCGTCTACACCACCTACTGCCCAGTTGAAACCACCAAGGCTGCTGAAATCACCTCTACCTACACCTCTGCTGGTACTGTCTACACCACCGTGTGCCCAGCCACCGAAGTCGTTTCCACCTACACCTCTAACGGTAAGCCATACACCACCACCTACCTCACTGCCGTGACTCCAGTCACCAAGACCCAAGAAGTCGTCTCTGTCTGGACTTCCGCCGGTAAGCCATACACCACCACCTACTACACCACTGCCACTGAAGTCCCAGTCACCTCTGTCTGGACTTCCGCCGGTAAGCCATACACCACTGTCTACTACGGTACCGTCAGCGATGTTGCTCAACAAACCCAAAAGACCGTTGTCGCTGCTCCATCTGCCGCTGCTCCATCCCCAGTCATCAGTGTCTACTCCACCAACGCCGCCGCTGCCGCTGCTGGTTCTTTCTTGATGTTCGCCATGGTCCCATTGGCTTACTTGATCTAAGTGCATCTCAACATTCCAAACGGTGCTTCACCATTCTTCATTTCGTGCAAATCGCAGCACATATCGATTCTAATCCACTGCTTGCCAGTCACAGCAGACTCCCTTGTTCAATAGCTGCGGATAATTCTTTCTGCTTTCGCCTATCATCCTTTGATACTGTATTATTTGGTTTTACTGACCCATTCGTTCAATACCCTCGTTCAATTTCTAATACACGAGTTTTACTCCTTTTCGCACCCGTAACCGTACCACGGCTGTAGGCTGGTCCAACCGTCTTAGGATCCGTGGTCCTCGATATTTACTTAGCCAGCATAGATGCAAAATGCAGCTGCCAAAAAATTTGACGCGCGCACTATAAAATTTTTGACAGCTTCGTAAAATATCAAATATTGTGTTAAGTTTGTATTTCAGCCAGGAATGCCCCCTTCAGCTAGGTGTACGCGGAGTTTTGGAGGACGCTGCCAAAAAATACCGTTGGTGTGTTGTGCTTGATTGCAAACGGCAAGCAACCAGCATCCGACTGTTACTAATTTATTAGTTGGTTGAGATGTACTTTTATGGTGGTGATTGCTCTCGATTTTTATGCTGATTTGTAGGCATTCCAAACGACTGGGATTGGCATTTTGGCCATGACCATGCCCACAACATAGCACTTCGAAGAACTGATTTCTCCTGCCGCTTTAGCGTTCTCCTTTGCACAACTCAGTGTTGGTGAAAGGTGCATTTCGAATTGCTGAGGACTCCTGCCAGAAACGATCTGCATCTGCAGACGTGGTTGTAGCAAAACAGCTACGGTCTATTGTGATGTATGGTGGGTGTAAACTTACATCCAGCAGTCTACGAGCGTGCAGTAAGACTAGCCGGAACGCATAGCACCATTTAATGAACTTTGCAACCTAAGCTTTTTGCGGTGCTGGGTGGTAGGATTAAACTTCGGAAGTTGCCTGCTCCGCCCGTACCGTCCTCCTAATGGGACATTATCGCCGGTTCGGGTTTCTCGGAGACACTAGGGGATGTTCCAGCCATTCTTCACAGTGCTGGATCGTGGCCACCAGATGAGGTACTGGCTAGGCCTCTCTCCCAGCTTTTGAACCCTGACTAACTACCTTACATTCCCGGATACGAGATAACCAACGGTCAGATCTCGAACCTTAACCTGTAGATGTCAAGAACCCAGATCTGGATGAGATCGTGTCGTGACACGGGAATGTCGGGCAAAACGCGAAACACGTAAACACAAAATATGTCCCAAACCGCCCACAGAACCTCGGAGAGAACCGTGACAAACAACTCCGTGAACGACGCCAAGCTGCTCATCCAGACACGCCCAGCCTGGTACGCCAAACACCAAACACCAAGCGGTCCTGCCTCATCTGCTAGTGTCGTCAGTGGAGTAGCGTTTGGTCCCACTGTCTGCAGCCTTCGCGTGGACAGCCGAAACGAGGGTCTGGTATTGTCGGTGTCTGAGGAAGCCGAGCAGTGATCGGTCCTATCAGCTAACGCCGTAGGCGCCATCCAGCGCCAGCGCCTACGTCCGCTGCCATAGCCTGGCCTACTTTGCCCCGCCAACGCCATCTTGGGCGCGCTCAAATCTCCACAACCAAGACATAATAGATGTCTGGGCACTATTGTGACAATTGACGGCGAGCGCGCTTCCTTCATAACCACCGCCATGTCAACTAGTAACTCAGACACCCATGGACAGTGGAACCTCTAGCAGCCACCATCCGTGGTGGCGATCCTACCGCCCACTGAAAAGGGGTCAGGAGGCCCATGACACCACTCCCGTGCCTGAACCCCCCTCTGGGAAGCGCAGTCGCCTGCTTCGGCTCTCGTCTATTCCTATTGTTGACATATTTACCCGAGGTGTGGCGGGCTATGTGCAGGCGCGATGCCTCGTCTATCCGTCCATCAGACACTGTCCACGGGACCAACCACGGGACCAACCACGGGACCTGGCTCCTCCAAACGCCCCAAACCTTGTCCCCAACCCCACTGCCAGATGCTGCCCAGGCCATCGCCCCCGCCCACTCCCACGCCTCCACCAATGGCAGTCGTCACACCGGTTTGTGGCGCACTTCAACGGCTGATTGTGACGATGTCGTGCCGCATTTTGCACCCGATTGTTGACGACCCGATTGTTTTGGTGGCCCCGCAAGGCCACCTCTCCGGTATTATATATGTAAGACGGCTTCCCGTAATCTGCTTGCCACACCAGTCCAACTCTCTACTTTCGTTAACACCATGCAATTTGCCGTCCTCACTCTCGCCATGGCTGCGTCTGCCAGTGCCTACTACCTTCCCACCAACAGCTCCAGCGCCATTTCCGTGGCTTCCAGCTCCTGGCCTGAGTCTGAGTTGACCACCAAGCTCACCACCGTGACTGTCGATAATGTTGTTTCGGTTTACACCACTGTGTGCCCCATCACCGAAGCCGAGGCTTCTGCCACCCCAGCAGCCACCCCAGCAGCCACTGCTCCAGTCACCACTGCTGCTGCCCCAGCACCATCCTCTGTAGCTGCCGTTCTAGCCTCCTCCGACGAAGACGTCACTTATACCACTCAAATCTTTGTCACCACCACTGCCGGACCAGCCAACGAAGCCAGTGCCACAGACGTAAACTCCCAACCCACTACTGTCTGGCCTGAGTCCTCTGCTGCTCCCGTTGTGTCTTCTGCTGGTCCTCCATACCCTCTCAACTCCACCGTTATTATTTACAAGACTGCTCCATACACCAATGGCTCTGTTCCTACTAATGGCACTGCTCCTGCCGTCCCAGCCACTGCTGCTCCAGGCTCTGTTTACCTCTCTTCTGCTGCTCCAGCTCCTGCTCCTGCTGCCACTGCTGCTGCTCCTGCTGCTGCTGCTCCTGCTGCTTCTTCTGCTGCTCCAGCTGCTCCTGCTCCAGCTGCTTCTTCTGCTGCTCCTGCTGCTCCAGCCCCAACTGCCAACGCTGCTGCACCAGCCCCAGAATCCTCTGCTGCCCCAGCTGCCCCAGCCACTACTCTCTCCAGCGTTTCTGCTTCTCCTTCTGCTGCCTCGCCAGCCATCGTCACTTACGAGGCAGGTGCCAACATCTTGGGCCAGTCTGTCTACGCCTTGGCTTTGATTCCATTGGCCTACTTGATTTAGATGAATATTGTAGAATTATTTAATCGATCATAATAGACACCCACACAGAAAATGAAGCCATTCACCCGATCTTTGTAAGAAGGTTAGCACAAACAGCTTTGGTAAGTTTCCCTCTTTGGACGTCCTTGCAATGTAGAAACTATAACAAAATCAAGTTTAGAGTAATGAAAAAGGTTTGGGATGGGATAGCCGACGTATAACTTTCTATTTCGACTGTGCCTTATGGTATTAGCAACATAACAAAGACTCAGTGAGCCTCGACACTTCTAACTAATGATAAATTACCCTTACGTACCTATGCCAGATAATTATCGAGCCACGGCTTAAATTTAGGTCATGACCTAGCAGTCCTCTGCCATACGTAACTTGCCACATAACATATTCCCTTCGATATTAAAAATTAACTGCGTTTATCAGAACATTTGTGACTTGTCACAGGACCTTTGAGGGAGAAATACTATAGCTAATGTTAGTGCTTAAGTGGAATAGCATTCGGGAATCTCCAGTTAGAATCAGGCAATATGGTCCTGAGGAGCTACGAGTAAAATGTCTAACGAGAGCTGCTATTCTAAAGACACAGCAAGATATAGCACCGCCAAAGATCGATTGACAGCCCCTAATACGACGTACAGATGTTGCTCGAAGCAGGAATCATGGCTTTTGACGCTGGAACAACGGTACCTGGAAGCATATTTTGGGCATCTTAATGTATGTCACATCATGGAGCCTCCGCAACAGTGGCTGGACTCTTTACGATTGGTTGGACTGAATAGAACAAGCTTTTGGTCTACTCAAGGTTCTTTTCCAACCCTTGAAAGTGGCAGTATGGGCCATCATGGATAAATTCCTGTAGGGAATGGAAGGAGATGAAGATGATACATGCGAAACAAGCCAATCAGATAAAGACTATTGGCAAAAAGACCCCGACTTGATTTGGCTGGAGTTCATAGAGTATGCCCATTCATTGCATCAAGACCACTGGGACTTCATAGAGGAAAAGAGGAGGGGAATTAGCCCAACATTAAAACTCGGTTTTGAAGCTTTGGAGGATTCATGAGTAATTGGTCAACAGCAATTTATGGCAAGTCTAATAAATCCACGAACACAGCACACTCAACGTGAAAAGCCACCTTTTAGAGAATTCACAGCAAACTGCATTGAAGCTTACGATTTCCAGGATTATAGAGTAATTCTAGTAAGTTTTATCAACACAGAATTGGCGGAAATATTTTTAATCGATATTGATCCACTTGAAAAATCTACAAAATTAAGTCTTTACATAAAGCGGCCAAAAGTCCCAAAAAAAGGGATTAAGGTTTTTTGATCCACTTTTAACTAAGCTGTTCTTGAATCGAAATACCGTTCCCAACCAGAGGTAGTAGGTGAATAGCTCATCTAACTAAAAATATGTTAACAATTCCTTGGGCTCTTCAAAACGCTGAGTTGCTTTGGAACTCGATCCACAAGATGAAAGCTTTAGCAAAAACAATTTTATGTAGCCATATACAGAAGAAACCAATTTGATAGTTAAAAAGATGTATAAACCCAATTAATAATTTGATTTCAAGATGATTTAAGATTGAATAGGACTAATCTGTCCTATCACAACAACAAAACAGATCCTTCACTACTGAACTACTCCGTGAGTGGCTTAATGTAAACCGAAAAGCCTGGAGTAGGGACAAAGTGAATACTTAGAGAACAGAGAACAGAAATGTTTATTGATTTTTATTAGTAAGTGCTTATTAATGCTGCTGTAAACACGGAATGACATTTCTATCCTTCAAACACAACAAGAAAAGGTTCTGTGGTCTAGTTGGTTATGGCATCTGCTTAACACGCAGAACGTCCCCAGTTCGATCCTGGGCAGAATCAATTCTTACTTGCGCAAATGGTTTAGTGGTAAAATCCAACGTTGCCATCGTTGGGCCCCCGGTTCGATTCCGGGTTTGCGCATTCTTTTTTGATCTTCGGATACCTTAATTTTTAAAGTAGTTCTTCAATGAAGATGTGTACTAGAAACAGACTTTAGAACGGGTAACTCGGGAAATTATCACCTTGCCGCTTTCTGGCATTAGAAAACTCCAGGAATCGGCTCCCGCAAGCAGCAGTCATACTATCAAAGTAATAGTGATATTGTAATCCTTGGAGAGGACTGCGCTACTAAATCCACCAAAACCACTCCAGTCATAACGGTCTATTATGATTGATGTGGCATAGCCAGATTTCTACAAGAAGCTTTGGGCAATTCAAATGGATCCTTTTGGTTAGTAGTGAACACTTTATGGAATGCTGATAGACTCTTCATGTAGGTGTTGGTTGATTTCAAATTGTATCCGAAAACATTGTCAAAATGGATACATCATGACGATAACGCATTAAATTCTAATCATATTGAGTACTATACAGCATAAGAATTAAACTTACTCTTTAGAGCTGTTGTAGTTTTAGGCTGTTGTTGAAAAGTTTGGGAGCGGATGGCATCGCTTATATAGTCGCATCTTTTCAGTATCAGAATTACGCGGGTCGCCCCGAAATTACGCACTGCAAGCCCTAACTGGTTCAAACATGAATACTACATGTAAATGACAGTGCCTATATTCTTGTATTAGTGTCGTAAAATAGCTACACTGAGTATTTATTTTGTGCTGTAACTTAGGAGGGGATCTTTGTGAGGTTGGTGTAATATTCATCAAGCTCTTTCTTCCAACTGGCCAACATGTCCACCTTATGAACTTCAACGTCAAACTCGTTTTCATCCACCTCTGCATCGTCCTTATCTTCAATTGGGTTAAGTATTCCGGTGTTGAGCTCGGCGTCGTCTTTTTTCGTCTTTGCAGGTAGATTGTTAATTACATTCTCATTTCTTTGTCTGAACTCAACTTGATCCTTCTGACTCATTTCGCTCTTTACTGCTTCTGGGATTGATGTTTGCAATGCCTTGAACCAGTCGTCGATAATTTTGAGCCAGTCTGATTCTGTCACTGGCTCTTCTGTTATAAACAAGAGCTTGGTCATGTTCCTCAACTCTCCAAGTTTGTTCTTGGGCGCAGCGTCGGATATCTCTTGATGAAAGCCCTCACTTCTATCCACGTACTGATGATTAAATAAGCTCAGTGACGAATGTGCAATAGATGAAGCCGCTTGGTTCAGGTTCTCTAGAATTGTTTCGTCTACCTCCATCCTGTCTTCGTCGTTTAATGGAGCTAAAGTACCCATTGATAAATGTTCATTAAGCCTCATGTTCACGTGTATGTCTTTGGTACTCAAATTTGGTGGGAATACTGGCTCTGATGCGTCCTGTGATATAATCACTTCTCTCACAAAATCAACTTTTATCTTCTCCAATTTTCCTGAAACCATCAATTTAACCAAGAGTTCTTCAAAATCATCCTGACTTATTTTGAACTTGTTTCTCACGTATTCAAAGCGAAGAGTCTTGTAAGCTTTCAACAAATTCAAAATTGATTTCTTCACCAAATTCTTGGAGACTTGGTCAATTGCCAAGACAATGAGATCATCCTTGATCATGGGGTCCCGTTCTTGTTGAATTTTATGCACTGCCTCGGAGAACTTAGACACATCAGACGAGTCATATGCCTTTATAAGAAGGAGCAAGTTTGAATACTCCGGCAAGGACGCATAAGTACTGGTTTCTTGAGACTCGAAAGGGTTAAACTGATTCTCGGTCAATAATGAACATAAGATTAGGTATTTCAAGACCTTTTTCTTTAAGGAAGAGCCAGCTTCATCATAATTGTTGAAAGATTCATAAAACTCCAATCTTGCTTTCTCATAATTGCCTCTGTAGAATTGGATCTTTCCTCCACATTCCCTAATTATGCCTAGTATCTTTGGATGGGTAACCGTGGTGGTGCTTTCCAAACTCTTTCTGTACAATTGGTTCAATTTCGAGAGGTTTATACTTCCCCGTTGCTCCGAGTAGAATTGGATTTCTAGGGCTATCAAATCCAAGGAATATGATTTCTTAATTTGTTTTGGCACTTCGCTAAACTTTTGGTTGATTGCATGTATGAGTTTGGAACAAGCATCGTACTCCCCATTTCCCAACAATATGGTCAATTGACTAAGACTAATTTTGATCCAGAGTCTGTCGTAGTTGGACCCCTGGGCGACTTTGGAGTTGCTTAAAAACTCCAAGATGGTGTCGTACAATCGTTGCACGAACGCTTGATCGTTCGATAGAGAATAGTTATTGATAATTCTGCTCAATGAATCCGAACCGTAGTTGTACGACACTCTGGGGAGGACGCGTAAGAGATTTTCGAGGTATTCTAATGTCTCATTATACTTTGTGGCGTTGAAAAAGATCTTTATAAGTTGCTTGTACGACTTGAAGACCCATTCAAAAGTCTCCAGGTCCGATTCGGATGAGAATTGCTCTATAAGCCCTTTGAAAGACCCTATAGCTGCATCGATGTCGTCGAACTTCAATGCTTTGGCTGAGTAATACTTTTGTTCCTAACGGTTAGTACTGCTCCATTATCATCGTGATATAGGTCAAACTTCCACTTCCAAAGTCAGCCCCATCCATTGAACGATGTTCATCTATTGTCCGTCCATCATCATAGCCAATTCCACACACAAAGCTCTGGATGCTCAAGTTATGCTGGTACTTACTATCCCATCTTCTTCTTCTTGTTTGTCACCTGATTCATCGACTTCGATTTGTTCCACGTCTTCATCATCTTCATCTTCTTCAAATTCGAACTCGTATGACTCTTCACTGTAGAATTCTTCGTCTGACATTGCAATCTGATAACGAGCTTCAGTGACTTCTTTATCAAAAGGGGAAGCTTTACTGCATATAAGTATTTTGGGACTGTATATATTATTTAGCTTGGTTCAGATGTTTTTTCTATAGGTTTTATTCTCAACAATTATCCGATATAGTGTAACGGCTAGCACGGTTCGCTTTCACCGAGCAGACCCGGGTTCGACTCCCGGTATCGGAATTTCTTTTTTCAAAGATCTCACCTTTAATTTTTAAAATTTTTCTCGATGCTTTACCTATGTCTTATGTTCGTTCAGAAATTCAAAAAATAAAAGGAATTGACACGGACAGGAATTGAACCTGCAACCTTTCGATTTGGAGTCGAAAGCTCTACCATTGAGCCACCGCATCACCCTTGAGGAAATATGATTTACTTAGTATTCATCCAATGTAGTACATAAATGCCAATTTTGGGAAAATTTGCTCCCCTGAGTTTTATAGGTATTTAAATGCATTCTCGTAGGCTTTTCTGGATAGCCCGAAACCACAGATAGCATCACATACTCTTCCAGTACTATTGAAGGAAACATGGAATTGATCTTCATCTGGGAAGTTGGAACACTCATTTTCCCATTATAGGGATGGAATGAAGGAAAACATACCAGAAGAGACCTAAAACACACATTTTTCTTCATCTAAAAGCCACAGCTACTACTAAACTCCTCAATCAAGGATCCGAAAATAACTACATTGCTAATTAACTATCCGGTAGTCTCGTAAGTTGACTATTCTTTTCTACTCATTAGCAATATACTTATACAATTTCCTCATGAAATTTTGCAAGAAATACTTTCTGTCGCCCACGTAAAGCTATAGTTTTGTTGTGGGTACTGAAAAATTTGGAACAAATCTGGCGCGATAAACTCAACCCTCTATCTTTTTGACTGTTGGTAATCATAGCTACTATCGTAAAGTATTCCATGGAATAGTAATGGAAGGGCATCCCTAAAAAAAACTACATTCGTGACAGGAATTGGATTTCATTTCCCAATTTTTTTTAATGTTTACCAATTTTTCGTGGAAAATGATATTTTACGAATCCTCAAAAAGGAAAGATAGATTTATAACATCACTAATTAATTTAAATTTCTAATTGGTATCTCTACTAATAGATGAAAAAATGTAGAACTTCCTATGGATGAGCGAGGTGGAGTGCTGTAACTTAGTCTTTGTTCGTGTACCGATTCTATTATAAGATGCAATGTTTGTAAGCCAAGAAAGCTCATGAGGGATATTTTTTCTTGCTAGATTCCAGTAAGTTAAACCTAGCTTGGCAAGTAGGAAACTGAACATAATATGATAAGCAAATCCCCATAGATGTTCTTATCAATTTTTACCTTAGCTATGCATCTTAATGACAGAAAACTGCGAGACCACAACTTTTTAGAGCTAGGATTTATTATGTAAGGGGTTTCAGCCCTAAGCATTGAATCCAGTGAAAAATACTCCATTGATGAAGCTAGCATATTCTTTTTCTTATTAAGCGGATGAATATCCATAGGATTTCAACAATAATTGAATACTGATTGTTTCGATCATTAGGGAGTTTCTATTCGTTCTTGCTATTGCTATACAGAGATGTGAGAACCTTTAGAGGAACAACGTGAAACTACCTTTGTTAAAAGTTAATATGACAATTTTACCATCTGAAAATTAACTGTGTAACTATTAGATCTCATGTATGTAGTTGTGATCTATTTTCATTATCGAAGAACACATTTTCTGTTATCATGCTCATACTTCAGCACTTCTAATTTACTATCTGAGCTTCAAAATCAATAGTTGTGGACTATTCTCCGTATAATTTGTCTTTTTGTTCTGAAAGGAAGTAAAATTTCCTTTATTATGGCAATTAAGTGAGTAGATCTCGCTGATAACACTAAAAATCCTTTCCAATGGATAATATACGACTTATTTGTCTCATGTGAGGTATTTCAAGGCAGAAACACTTTTGGTTTATTTTCTATACTTTGCTCTGAAAAATACACAATCCTGCATACAAGGATCATACATATGGAGTTTGTTGTTTCACTAGTATTAACGACCAGTAAGAAAGCCTGGTTAGCTCAATCGGTAGAGCGTTTGACTCTTAAGTTAGACATCAAAAGGTTGCGGGTTCGACCCCCGCATCGGGCTTACTTCTTCTCGCCTGGTTAGCTCAATCGGTAGAGCGTTTGACTCTTAAGTTAGACATCAAAAGGTTGCGGGTTCGACCCCCGCATCGGGCTTATTTTTAATTTTTACACTTCTCGCATACGACTTTGGATTGCTGGGCTAACAGACGTAGTCGGATCAACCGTTTCGTCAGGTGAAACGCGGCTTCCAAGTCTTACAAAAATCATATCAATAAACTTATATTAACCTACCCAGAAATGAACCTTTTCCTATTAAACTGGCCCAATCTTCGACTTAAGAAGGTCGGACCATTTGAGTTTTTGTAACCCAATACATATTATGAATGCTAGTAATGCCAAGATGGCAAGTGATATCAACGTGAGCTTTTCCACTAGTTTCTTGTTTCGCTTGCTTTTCTTATTTTTTGATAATGACGAATTGGCCCGCAGCTGCAGCGAATAAGAAGCCTGGGGGCTGACTGCTGGCGAGACCAGGCGAAACAGGTCCTCGAGGGCCCGAGGGACCCTCAAGTTGGCATACTGTTTGTGTTCTTCCGGCACGATGTCCCCGAGGTAGAACGGGGCTAACATGTCCACTGCATCGTCGGAATGGGCTACGTCTTCGAACGCCTCGGTGCAGTCCACTCCTCCGCAGTCGAAGAGGACTTCAACCCCGCCAGGGTGGTCCTTGGCAAATGCTGTGACGTCGTAGACTTTGTTGTATAGGATCATCCAGAGGTCTTCTGGAGTGTCATGTTCTCTGACCTGCGAGGTGGTATGATAGCGGGATCGTACGGCAGACCCACTACCTGTGGCTTGTGTCATTGTGGCCATGCTATATGGTCACCATTGAGTGATGTCGGGCTTTGCTTTGGTTTTGTGCCGACGGTGAAGAGACTCCAGCTGGTTTTCCGTGCGGTTTGGCGGTGAAGGCTGAGACGACGGGAAGGTTTCTGGAACAGATCCTCGCTGTTTGGGGCAGGTGTCTTCTGGGTTGGATCCAGCTGTTTTGGATTGTCTTGCTGGGAGCAGAATAGGGTGGGTGAGGCAGATTTTGCGGCTCGTTCTTTGGCACCAGTAGGTATTAGTGCTGGGGTAGTACACACAGGGGGATTTTGGGCAAGCGAACGGGATACGCCTTAGAATGAGTGGTGCTCAAAATGGGCCTCGGGAGAAGTCCATACATGAAGAATTCGTCTGGCGACACGCGTGTCGCGCACGACATGTGTCGTGCGCCGGCCAGACAACAAAATCGATCTTGGGCTATTCCAGCAGTATAGCGTATCCAGAACACAGTCGTCGGCACCACTAGACCCGTACTCCACCACTACCCCAGCCACATCTCATCTTTTCTCCCCCACCATGAGTTATCGATCCTCCAGCGCATTGCCCTCGTCGAAAAAGACCCATTCCGAGAAGCACAAGCAGATCCTCAAGCAGCTTCTCAAGGAGAACGCCAACAAGTCGTGTTCCGACTGCAAGACTGCCAAGAACCCCAGATGGGCATCGTGGAACCTCGGATGCTTTGTGTGCATCCGATGCTCAGGAATCCACAGAAGCATGGGCACCCATATTTCCAAGGTCAAGTCGGTGGACTTGGACGCCTGGACCGACGAGCAGGTCGAGCTGATGATCAAATGGGGCAACGAGAAATGCAATGCATATTGGGAGGCCCAACTCCCCGAGGGATACGTGCCCAACCAGCTGAAAATCGAGAACTTTATCCGTACCAAGTACGACTTGAAGAAATGGGCCTTGTCTCCAAAGGTGCCGGATCCCATGACCCTCACTACAAGCTCGCCAGCTGCCCAGGTCGAGACCCCTGCGGTGCCTTCCAAGTCCTCGACCCCATCCTTGCCCAGCAACGACTTGTTGTCCTTCTCGGGGGCCCTGCAACCACAACCATCGGTGCCCTCCAGATCTGCATCTTCCTTGTTGGACGACGATTTTGGTTCGTTCACCTCATCTCCCTCGCCCAAACCGCAACCACCAGCTCCACAGCCACAAGCATCGTTTGCCAGAGGTACCCAACACACCCAGTCCGCACAATCAACCGGTGGCAGCATGAACAGTGCTACCAACGGAAGACCTGACCTTAAGAAATCGATTTTATCATTATACTCGTCTCCTTCATCGTCATCAAGTTTTATTCCTCAGCAACCTAGACAGACTTACAACAATTCCAATAACGCTAACATCAATAACCTCAGCAATTCATTGAATGGATTGAACTTCAATACGACTTCCTCGGTCCCATCCCCCGCACCTGCCACCAACTATGGAAATTCCAACACCGGCTCGCCAAGTTCGACAAGTAACAGTGGCCATGCATCCACCGCTTCTTTCAATTCTTACAATAACTCCAACGCCACCTCCAACGCCAACGTTTCTCAAAACAAGCAGACTACATGGAACAACGAGTGGAACGACTCTGGATCCTCTTTGCCCAAGCAATGGGGCAACTCGTCGGCCCCTGCATCCAATAACACTTTGAAAGTCAATGGATTGGATGACGACTTGTTCAAGAATGTGTGGAGTTGATTTTGCATACGGCTTGTACGATTTGTTGAGCTGAACCGGCTAAGAGATAAGAAAATGAATGTCAAGTATTCTGCATGGCTAGATGTTGGCAAAGACATGTTAAGCCATGGATCGTTTCTCTTCAGAATGTGACTTGTTCAGAAAACCCTACTGGTTTTAGCTTGTTAGTTCTTGAGTGCTCCTACGGCCGAATCGAATGAAACGCTACTTGACATATCAACGTTATAGTATTAATATTATACACTAATGACCTCCAGTAGTTGGCAAGCCAACGTACACCTTGAACGAGTCGTAAATCAACCATTGGAATCCAGTCAAGGTACCAATCATCACGATTCTGACTGGGAGACCATTCCAGACCCCAGCGAACCCGATCTTACTGTAGATTCTTCCCAAAGCTGCTCCGATGCTCTCGCCAGCCTTTCTATCTGAGTTTACCTTGGACACCATGACATCGGCCGGATGCGACACCACGGCACAGAAGATACCAGCGATGTAACCACCTAAGAACGAAACTCCGGTCTGTTGCACGGGCGTGTATTCCGACACTGGCTTGCCCAAGTACTGGTAGATCAACTCCACAGTCTTCTCAAAACTGGCGAATTTGACCATAGTGTAAGGGATCTGTCTGAACCACAAAGGCACCAATCCCTTGTACAAACCAGCAATTCCCTCGGAGGCCGTGATCTTGGACCAGCCTTCAAACACGTTCTTTGCGTAGGGGGGAATGGTGGTTTGGGTCTTGACCTTAATAGTTTCCAATGGACACAAGGCAATATCTGCCAAAAATTCCGCTGATGCCGAAGCTGCAAGGAACACTCCTGTCTTGTAGTCTTTGGCGAATTGCGGACCCACGGCGTCGGAGTAGGTCTTCTTGAAGAACTCATAGAATCCGTACTTTCCAGCACCTTGGAACGAATAACCAATGAAGGTAGCACCAATCCCGGAAAAGATTGAGTCACCTTGGGTTTTCAAGATGGTACGCCAGCCCTGGATGTTGGACTTGTAGAGGGCAGGATTCACTTGACGTCTGCACTTGACCAAGTCCAAGGGTGTGACAGCCGAGTGAGTCGGACCACAAGCAATTATACCTCCAACGGTACACGCAGCGTAGTACTGAGGGCTGAACAACTCAATTCCTCCTTTGGGGGGTACTGGCGACGAGGAGCCGCCTCCGACCTTGTCTGAGAGCTTTTTGACCTGGTCGTTGACCGGCTGAAGAAGGGCGTCGGAAATGGCCATTTTGACAGGTGACAGGTGACAGGTGACAGGTGATGGGGTATTTAACACGGGTGAAGTTTCAACTCTATCCAAGAAATGGGTTACTTGGTGCTCTATGGGCCCGGAATTCGCCTGGTTCCCTGCCCCTTTTATACCTGATAAGATTGCTGCGGCTACACCGGGATGCGGGGCCAGCCTACCACCGCCAGGATCAGCGAAGGACAGGCTATAGACGCCAATGGCGTGCAGGGAGCATGCGCGTAGTATCCCCAGTCTGCAAGCAGCAATCCGACCAGTGTCCGAGCCCTGGAAGACTAGAACCAGCTCCTAGTGGTAACTCGGCTCGGTCTCGGTTCTGCTGGTTTCGGAGTATCCGAAGCATGGAAGTTTCAGTGGCAGCGAGAATGTAACGTGACGTCACGAGCTTCCTGGCATCACTGAACACCGGGATGAGATGTGATTGATTTATGGGCCTAGGCAGTTGTGGTTTAGGTAAGTGATAAACCAGCAAGCCGGCTTTTGGTGTAGGATTACCCTTCTCCGTATTATGCGCTCCTGAAAAATATTTCAACCGTTTGATGGGTTTTTGACAGCTGGGTGAACCTTCATTTAAACGAGTTGAAGCTGGGTTCTTGGTCCGAAATTGGCACTAGCAGCATCAGAGAGGGAGTCAGGTTCTTTCAGTGTATTCCTTCCGTTAAGATTGGTAGTAAAATGGGAGAGAATATGGAATATTAGATCATGTACTTTTATGTGCCTAACGGGGCATTCAAAAGCTCTAGGATAAATGCTAGGTTGGAGGATGCTTTGTACATTTCCATCCGTGTCATCCCACAGTATCCCCAATCACTATTGTCCTCATTCAACACACTTCCTGTATATGTCACTACAAAGGTGTAAAAACATTTTATTAGTATATAAACAACGGCAAGCAGTTAATCATGGATTAATGCCTATCAAAAAAGAGCGTGTTCCACGCTAAAGAATACGGAAAGAAATATAGGGGTAAATTAGAGAGCCAATGCAGCCTGACCCCTTTCCAAAACCACGTCCCACCTCACGTTCCGAATGGCAATCTCGCCATCGGTCCAGCCTCCCTCCGACAAGTCAATTTCTTGCACAGTCTCGTTTTCAGCATTCTGGCACTGGAATTGGTCGTCTGCTATGAACGATAAGATTTCAAGGCCATGAGTAACTATTCTCACTATGGGGGTGGATTCACTCTCCAATTTTCCCTCCAAACGCTCCACGTTAATGTACCGTTCACTCTTGCAGTCCTTGCACTTCATCACGAGGTTGGCGTTCACAAATTGGGTCACGGGGAAGTACTCGTAACGGGTCACTTGTATGGGTTTGTCTCGGTGTGCCCTGCATCTGGTGCACTTTACCATGAACTTATAGTCAAAAGGATATTCGGGGTTATCTAATGGTTCCAAATTGAACCCGTTGGTTATTTGGGCTGAGCCCTTCAATGTGTAAGTAAGCATTGTGATGATAGAGAAACATATAGGAGACTTTCCTTTGCTATTTATACTGGGGTCCTCGTGGTAAGGTCGCTCGTGTTGTTTGATACGACTCATTGCTGCGAAATGGTTGCGAAAATCTCCGAGCCGAGCTGAGTCATTCGGCGATAACTGGACAGAAAAGTGACTCGAAAAGAGCACGAACTCGAGCATGGCTCACGGGACACCATCGGAAAGTCCGAAGCAACATTAAGATCATCGCCGAAAGTGTGTGGTCAAAATAAGGGCCGTATTACACTCTCCCTGAGAGCTCGGGCGAGACGAAATAGGAAACGGTGAGTCAGGCGATTACATAAGCAGAGATGGTTAGTGCCACAACAGGGTTATAGTCTGAGAGGTTAGCACGGGTCAAGCCACATGATCCCATTGATACGTTACAACCAACAGTATGACCGAGTGGGGCAAATCGGGGTCTTTCCAAGAAAAACGAGCTCTGAACAGTTCTTTAGCAAAAAAAGATATACAAGTAGATAGCAAAGAATTCTTTATTATCTTGCTATGGAGGGGCGATCTGGGCCAAGCGTACTTACGATCTGGAGATGGTCCATTCGACATCGGTGATGCTGACCTCTTCGCCTGCCTTTTCGTCGAAATCGTACCATTCGTTCTCCTCCAAGTCGATCTCCTCGAACTTGGTACCGGATTCAGGGCCCACAGCCTCAAATCTTCCATCGGGAATGAACTCCACGAAGTCGATGCCTCTGGCATCGATCTCCAAGAGAGCAGCCGACTTAGAGTCTTCGCTCAACGACTGGTTCGTTTTGAGGATGTTGGCCGAATGTTCTCTCTTGCACTCCTTGCACCTGAAAACGAAGCTGGCTTCGCCCTTGGAGCCTGCCTGCTCATGAGACTCGAATCTGTTGATGGTGACTGGCTTGTCGTGGATTGTTCTGCATCCGGTGCACTCGATCTTGAACTTGTACTCGAACGGAGTTTGTGGGGTGTCGAATGTGGTCAATTCGGCTATGTTGGTGAGGGTGGCCGACACCTTGAGATAGAACTTGACCATGTTTGGATGGTGGATGGGTAGGATGGAAGTGAAATTGGAACTTGAAGATAGACAAATGTCGTGGAGGTTCTCAGCGAGGATTGACAAATGTCGTGCGACGCAGGCAGTGAATGAGTATGGAGAGTAATTGTAACCGGTTGCACTTGTGTCGATACAAGGCTAGCTTTATCGCGTGGAATGTAACTAGTGGAAGAAAAACACTAATGGCATCTATTTTTTATCAGGATAATTCCCGTAAAATAAGCTAGAATAACTGTCAAAATGAGACACATGTCTCAACTGGTCTTGCAAGATCTTCAAATGGGATCGGTTACAGATCTAGTTTCCTGGCCAGGAAAAAGCTAAAAAATAACAGCTGTACTAATCTTATCACTGATCTCCATTCAGAATTTGTAGAAATTCCAATAAATTCCTGGTGCAGTTGCAAATGTGATAGTAGTAGTATTAAGTTATTTGTCACTGTGGAGAGGCTTGCTACTGCTGAGCTAAGGTAATCTTCCCACTCATGGTTTAGATGTTTCAAAATACTCCTCATATCATTCAAGCTGAATGGCATGGTGATTAAACAAGTTCTTTGGATGCAATCTTAATGATTGACGGCCCTAAATTGCTTTATCTCATTGCATTCGCAAGCGCTAACATTAATTTGTCGCTCAGAAGTGATAGTACTCGTGGTTTAATTAGTTGTTTAAAAGTACGCTAGCTCTATTTAATTTCTTACATTAGTCCTAATACTGTAGTTGAATACCAATGTAAGTAATTCTAGCAGTCTCTCTTTAGTTTTTGATAGAATATAGTGCTAGCAGTCCCACATAAGTCGCTTACTTAAAAATAGTAAGTCTTCCAATTAGCTTATGCAATATCTAGCGAAGGTTTAATAAACTAAAAAGATCAAAGTACAGTAAATAGCATAGAAGCCCAACTTGTTGCTTATCTAAGCAAAGGTGCCAACCTATTTAACTGCTTATATTATTGCTGCTCCATTAGAAGAAATGGTGCTAGCACTTTAATTATTTGCTTCTTGAAATATGCTAGCAAGTCCTGCTTATTTAAGTAATGTCAGGAACTAATTAGTTCATTATACGTAATAGCCTCGCAGCTTCATATTAGCTTATATAAGCATAGCGATAGCAGTCTAACTAGTTGGTCGTATGCTATAGCCTCTGATTAGGCAACATACTAATAGCAGTCAAATTATAAGCAATAGTAGCTTTATATTTAGAAGCTGCTTGCCTCTATTGGTGGACTTATTTCCACCGTAGAAACCTCGTGTTGTTCCTGAAAGTTGCCAATACGCTTTCTCTTCCTGGAACTCCGACTACGCACTCCTCTGCCATAATACGACATCCTACCGTACAATTCCAGGACGAGGCCAGCCCAGGACGACATTAGCATCCACTACAACAGTATAACTCACTCCACACACAACTCCTTCATTTCCACCTCTTCCTTCCCACCACCATCCTCAATTCTTCATTTCACCTCTTCATTTCACTTCTTTCCGCCCATCCCAGCGCCTCGCTTACATCACCCAGCCTGGCCCCGCCACTACCCAGGCAATATCTAGCGAGCTAAAAAACAGTCAGGATAAGACAGAAAAGAAAATCGGGCTCCTCATCACCACAGCTCAGGACTATACCCGAGCTAGACACAACCGTAGAACCAGGCAGCGGGAACTGAAAGGTCCACACAACTCGCGGCAACCATCCTCCTTCGGTTGTCCCACCACAGCCGCCATCATAACAAGAGTTTGCTGCTACAACAGAGTTTGCTGACAGAACACCAGGCGCTTCCCTCCAGCGGCTCCCACCACCACCACGGCATCGAAGCGGCTGATTTACTGGAGAGATCCGCCAGCCAGACTCCGTGCATGACCAGCCAGTCCTAAGCATCCGCCTACCCACTGCAACCGTTCCATCCTCGCAAATGACAGACCCTCGAGACAAAGACTTCTCGGACGTGGTCCACGGCGAGGACTTGGAGTTCCGAGAGTCCGTGGAGCCCAACTTTCCCATCCGCCACAAGCTCTCTGCGTTGTCGATGCCCCCTCCACAGTTGCTCCTGAACCTCCTGGAGTACCAGCTCGTGACCCTTGCTGGTGCTGCCTCTGGCTTCGCTGCCGGCGTGGCAGTGTGCCCGTTAGACGTGGTCAAGACCCGTTTGCAGGCCCAGGGTGCATTTCTGCCCGGAAAGTCCCAAATCAACGTCAAATACAAGGGTTTTGTGGGCGCATTCAAGACCATTCTTCATGAAGAGGGCATACGAGGCCTCTACCGAGGCTTGGTGCCCATCACAATCGGCTACTTGCCTACGTGGACGATATATTTCACCATCTACGAGAGGGCCAAAGCCATATACCCAGACATCCTCGCCCGCAACTTCAACATCCACACAGATGCCGTCAACCACTTCTTGTCGGCCATCACAGCGGGAACTGCATCCTCCATTGCGGCCAACCCCATCTGGGTGGTCAAAACCAGACTCATGATCCAAACAGGTGCAAACCAAACCATCTACGGAAACACCAGCCCCCAGACCAAGCCAGAGAGAACATACTACAAGGGTACTCTCCACGCCTTCAAGACAATGTACAAGGAAGAGGGCCTCGGAGTGTTCTACAAGGGTTTAGTGCCCTCGTTGTTTGGGTTGGCTCATGTGGGAATCCATTTTCCCGTGTACGAAAAGTTGAAATTAGCTCTCCACTGTGAACCGACTCCGGAGTCCAAGGGTCTTTTGTGGAGGTTGATCTTGGCCTCTTCGATATCTAAGATGATCGCTAGTACAATCACATACCCACACGAAATCCTCCGCACACGCATGCAAATTCAAGGTTCTCATGAAGATAGAAACAAACGGGTGTCCATGGTGTCCACCATTAAGAGGATATACCGGAAGGAGGGTCTTAAAGGGTTTTATGCTGGGTACGTGATAAATTTGGCCAGGACGGTGCCTGCCAGCGCAGTGACTTTGGTCAGCTTTGAGTACTTCAAGACGTACTTGTTGGAGTTGACGGGTAAATTATGAATAGACATGCATTAGATCGTAGTATATGCACCAATGCATATACCGTTAATATTATCAAATAACTAGATGATTTTGTACAGTTTCGCTTTTGAGAAGAAACGAAGTAGTATACAGTAGGAATGTTAGAAGGCTATAGACGGGATTCAGGGTCTAAATGTACCCAATGATTATTCCATAAACTATAATAAGTACCCTGTTGTTGCGATGGTGGTAGCTTCGCAAGATGATACGTTAGTACCTTGACTACTTTCGGGAGGTCAAATAAATGCAATATGTCTTTTAATGAATGCAGACTTCACTTATGATTTGTCTAAGCTGCTGCTGAATAATAAACGAGTAATGATCAATTAGCTTATTGCTGCTTTTCCTAATAGATCAGATTTTTTTTTGCACCCACATGCAATGCATTAAATGGTAGGAGTTGCGAAACTATCAGAGAAGCTTTTCCTTACAACTTAGCTTCTTCTTGTCATCCACCAGGTTATTTTGCGGTAATCTTTTACCCCCGTATTATCTGCGAGAGAACATTTTTCTGGTCGCTTCCGATTCGGCTATCAGTAATATTTTTTGATCGAAGTACAATTATCGAGACGTACTAGCCATTGCATCCATAAATATTCGTGTACTTCGGTGTATTTGTCGTATACTTCAGGTCTTTGCAGACTGACCGGGACTGTACTTACCGATGCTTAGGGAGATATGGTATGTTTTTCAGTTCTAGAAAATAGCCATTTGTTCTTGAAGACCAAAAAGCATCCAAAAGCAAATATACAACCAAGCCCATGATGCCGCTCATGTCCTTATCGATACTGTCAGCACTCTTTTGACCACTACAACTCAGATATCAACTTGGTACCACCCCGAGATCAAGTCCTGCATACACTACCATCCCACATCCAGACATCTCCACGTGATAGTGATCTGAACACACAAGCCAACTCCACCCCCAAACTACATCAATCACATGTGGTGGTCCGTCAACTCTGTAGCAGCTGCCACGTTGCTTCTAAGCTCGGTTGTGGCCGAGCTGGGCGCCTCAATCGCCCCACCAACTGCCGAAAACGGACTAGGTCTCCTTGAGCCCCTCCAACCATCTCCACCACCAGAAGGTCCTCTCCACAATCGAGACCTTGCCACCGGCGAAATCGGCACCGGCAATCCCGAACAGTATGAGGAGGACGAGCCTTCGCCCGTGGCGGATGTCGACGTCGAGCTTCCTGCGCTTTTGACAGAAGACGATTTTGACACATCTACCAAAGAACAGTTGTCGTTTGTGGAATTCTACTCGCCCTACTGCTCCCACTGCAAGGAGTTCTTCCCCACCTGGGAGAAGACCTACAAGGAGTTCCACAAGGAACTCAAGAAGCTCAAGATTCAGATGAGGCAGGTCAACTGTGTGGAGAGTGGAGACTTGTGCAACCGTGAAGACATCGATGCATACCCCAACTTGAGGATATACTCCCCCAACAAGGGTGAGGTCGAGGGGCTGAAGTTCGTGGAGAGCTTTCCACGGACGGTGGTCAGAACTCCGGACAATTTGAAGAAGTTTATGAAGAACGCAGTAGCAGAATACGACAGTGGAGCTATCGATTTGCCCTCCTCATCCAAGCTCTTGGATACCGACGAGATCTTGAAGGTGGTGGCAGGTGACATCAGCGAGGCCCATTTTGTCATGTTCTATCCTGCCACGGCCAAGCAGATAGCCGAAACCGAGGCCACGTCCAAGAACATGTTTGACTCGCCCTGCATTGACTGTATGGAGATGAAACAGACCTGGGACAAGTTGTCCAACCGGATTTTGGCCACCGTAAAGTCTGGCCACGTCGCTTGCTACGACAACCCCACCATCTGTAAAGAGTTGGGGTTCAAGAGCTTGAGCGATCCGGGTGCAAGAGGATCCAGATACAAGATTCCGAGGTTCGTGATGTTCTTGCCCAACGAGACAGGCATCGTCAGAATGGACTACAATGGCAAGCCCATTCTCAGCGAATTGAAGGCCTTCTCGGACAGGTTGTACGAGAACTCACAGTACGAGAGAATCACCTCCAGAGGCTTGAGTGAAGTCATGGACTTCAGAATGCACCTTCCCAGCAGTCCTTTGAGCCAGTACTATCCCTTACCCAGCAAAGTATCGGTGGTGTTCTTCTTTGACATAGATACCGTCACCGAAGAAGACAGAGCCATATTGCCATACTTGCTCGATGTCGTCACCAAGTCTCCTTTCAACGTTCATTTGTACACAGCCAAACATGTCAAAATACCAAGGGATATCCAGGAGCAATCGGAATCTTTGATTGACTACATCAACTATGACTCCAGCGCAAGATACAGCTACGACAGAGCCATGTTCTTGTCGTCAGCACTTACCTCCAAGCCTACCATTTACATATTCAGAGACTACGCCTTGTTTACTAGCACTTTCCAAACTTTCGCTCCCGAAGACTTGAGGGACTACAAGAAGGTAGAGGAGTTTGTTGTCAAGAACCAGTTCCCGTTGTACGGAGAATTAACCCCAGAATTATTGCCTCACTACTTCAATACTGACCCCAGCCAGAAGTCTGACAAGGTGGTGGTGACTTTCATCGAGTCCACCGATGCAAAGCTGACCAACGATCATTTGTACAACATCTCGTTGGCTGCCCATGAATACTACTACAACAGGAGAGCATACCACTACGGCTCCATTGTTGACCAACGCGCCGACAAGGCCAACCGGGTCAAGCAGTTGGAAGAGGCCAACGCAGACAGTGCCAAGATCATCAAGGAAATGAGCAAGGAAATCCCCCATTTCTTCGAACAAAGCGAAGTGTTGTTCACGTTTGTGGATGTGACCAGAAAGGATGAGTTCAAGCAGGTGAATGGGTGGGATATCAACATTGATGACTACCAAGTTGGCGACACCATCATTTTGAGTAAGGACAACCGTTACTTCTGGGACCAGAATATCAAGGGCCACAAGTTGCGAAATGACCCTCATGCCATGAAGCCAGTATTAATGTCATTCTTGGATCCTAAGTTTGCTGTTGGTAGCAAGATCAGTAGGCAATTGGTGGGGAGCCCATACGGCGGAGTTCTTTCGTTTATGGACTATGTCCACGATCGCGGTTTCTTGGGATACGTTGGCTTTATTGGAGCCATTTATGTTTGTTTGACCTTTGCTAAGAAATTCCAGAGAAGAAGACACAGAGGTTCTGGTGGGATCTTGGGCAACTTGGAGAAGAAGGACTGAGTGTATAGCTAGTTTTAATAACAGAATAGTGCGAGGAAGTGTAGGCGACAGCTAGGAATGTGGCTGGTGGTTGCAATCGCCAGGGGTATGAGGAATAGTGGGATTATTGAAATACCTGGTGGTTAATCTAATGGTGATAATTTTTGAGGCTCTCTAGAGCTGAATCTGTGAAATGAAGAGACGACCAAAGCACTAATCAAATATCCATTTCGTCTGTTTGTGGTTAACCCGGGAAGGCAGTTTCCGTGAAAAGAAAAAACTATTAAGAGCATGATAACATTCTATCCAGAATTGGTATAGAATATACATTTTTTCAATTCCTACTTGGACCCACATCTGAACTAAAACATATTTCATGGATTCCGTCTGGATTCCAATTTTGATGATTTGCTAGTTCTCCTAGTTTCAAATTCCCTCTAATTCTTAGTGATTCTGTCTGCATATGAACATTGATAGTTTCTAGTTTGCCTAGTTCCAATTCCCACTACCTTCATGATTCCAGGTGGATATTAATTTTGATCTGTTGACGTTTTTCATATTCCCACCTAGTTCCAAGCTCCATACTTTCCCTCATGCTACGTCTGGAGCTGGAGCTCCTTGGCCTCGGTCTCGATCAACTTTTTATAGGCATTGCTCAATTCCCCCACCTTGAAATCCGTACCTGGGACTCCCAGCACCTCGCTGAAAGGAGGAATCACCATTTTGGGCGGTACCACTGTGCCTTTGCGGATCACACAGCAGTCGTAGATTATGGAGAGATTCTGGAGATCGCATCCGTCTTCAATGATGACTCGGTTGCCTATAGTGGCCAGGCGAACCACCGTGTCGTGGCCCACGATGCAGTAGGCGCCAATGGCGACGGGTCCGTGCTTGTCGTCCTGGAGCACAGGAGGAATGATTTGGCAGTTGGAGTTGAGGTGGGAGTATTTGCCTATCAGGATAGTGGGGCCAGTAGAAGGTGTAAGGAGGGTGACATCGCCATGGAGCGAGGCCCCAGGATGGATGGTGCAGTTGCCAGAGATGACGATGTTGTCGGGGCCAGAGATGGCAGCGTCTTTGGCGATGCGGTTGCCAGTAGAGGTTTCTATCCACATGGTAGGAAGGTGGTGAGATGGCGAGGAGATGTCCCTGTAGCTAGCGAAATGGCGAGGGCAATTGTCCCTATGGTTAGCGAGAGAGGCGCGGATCGGCTAGCGAGACAGGGAAATGGTGCGGGACGAGTCTCGCTGTAGTCGCGGTAGATTTCGCCCTAGCTGCCGTGGGACGGGTCGCTGCATTGGCTGCGTAGGGCCCATGTAATACAGTCAAAGTGGAGTACTGTAAGAGAGTAAACTAGTAAAAGGTATATTTATCCATTTAGATTAATTGTAGTAAAGAAGATCTTAAGATGCTGGTGTAGGCTTATAAAAAAGGAATAATATTTAAACCAATTATTATCGGATTCTATACGAACAAAATGCCATGATGCACAATAGTAACTATACTATTTTCTCTAAGCCAAAACACGTTATTATGGATAATTTAACCGTACCAATTTCTCTGAGCCAAAACACGTATTATAGACACCGATACCGATCTACTGTGATTGTACCCTAAATAAGTCGAAGGAAAATATTATGAGATCATATTGACCACAAGACCAAAGAAATATTCCTTACTCTTGTCCACCTGGGCGAAGCCAGAAAGATACTCGTCCATTACCATCCATCATCTGTGCCAGCCTCTTCCCTCTATCGCTACCGCACACTGTTACCTCACCGTCTCGGGTAGTGCAACATCTGTATTTTCGCCCGTGGTACTAACCCGCCGCGTCTGTAATGGTCCCAAGCCCATTGGCTTCCTGGATGGCCATTGCGAATTGTCCCTACAAACATCCACCAAAACAATAACTTCTAGCGAACTCCTCCCCAAGTCTCGCTAGCTCCTATACCCTTCCTTTCGCTAGCTCCTTACCCCCTACGCCCTCTCTCCCTATCTCTCCCACCACCCTACGCGCTTTGACCTTCCATCGGACTTCTGTTTGTGTCCGCGCACCGCCAACGTGTACTTACAGCCAAACCACTCTCTTCCCACCACTCTTCCACTCTTCTTCCACTCTTGCCACTCTTCTTCTATTCTTCCCCCCTCTACCATGGACAAGTTATTCAGAATCGACTGTGGCTACCAAAACTACGACTGGGGCAAGATCGGCTCCCACTCAGCCGTGGCCCAGTTTGCCGCCAGCTCCAATCCTTCCACCACCATTGACGAGTCCAAGCCCTACGCCGAGTTGTGGATGGGTACCCACCCCTCGGTGCCGTCCGTGGCTGTGGACGGACCCTTGAAGGGCCAGACCTTGCGTGACTTGGTGGGCCAGTACCCATCTCAGTTCTTGGACGACTCCATCATCTCCAAGTTTGGTCTGGCTAAAGAGTTGCCTTTCTTGTTCAAGGTGTTGTCGATCGAGAAGGTGTTGTCGATCCAGGCTCACCCCGACAAGGCGTTGGGTGCCGTGTTGCACGCTGCAGACCCCAAAAACTACCCTGACGACAACCACAAGCCGGAGATGGCCATCGCCGTCACCGACTTCGAGGGCTTCTGTGGATTCAAGCCATTGGACCAGTTGGCAACCACCTTGACCACGGTGCCTGAGCTCCACGAAATCATCGGCGACGAGCTCGTGGCCGAGTTTGTCGCTGGCATCAAGCCTGCTGCCCAAGTGGGTTCTGACGAAGACGTCGCCAACAGAAAGTTGTTGCAAAAGGTGTTTGGCAAGTTGATGAACACAGACGACGCCGTCATTGCCGAAAAGGCCGCCAGTTTGGTTGCCAGAGCCGCCAGCGAGCCCCAGGTTTTCACTGCCATCGACGCTCGTTTGCCAGACTTGATTGCCCGTTTGAACAAGCAGTTCCCTAACGATATCGGGTTATTCTGCGGGTGTTTGTTGTTGAACCATGTCCAACTCAACTCTGGCGAGGCCATGTTCCTCCAGGCCAAGGACCCTCACGCCTACATTAGCGGAGACATCATCGAATGTATGGCTGCTTCCGACAACGTGGTGAGAGCCGGGTTTACTCCTAAGTTCAAGGACGTCAAGAACTTGGTGGAGATGTTGACCTACTCCTACGATTCGGTGGAGAAACAAAAGATGCCGCTTTTGCCTTTCGCCAAGTCCAGAGGACAAGCTGCCAAATCGGTGTTGTACGACCCACCAATCGCTGAATTCTCGGTGTTGCAGACCATCTTCGACAAGCCTGATGCCGTGCAGTCGTACGATGAATTCAACGGGCCCTCTATTGTCATTGCCACTAAGGGTACTGGGTCTATTGGCATCAATGGCGAGCAACCCATCGAGGTCAAGGCCGGCTATGTGTTCTTCGTTGCTCCCGGCGTCGAAGTTGAAGTCAAGTCTTCTTCCGACGATTTCACTACTTACAGAGCCTTTGTTGAGGATAATTAGGATAATATAAACTGACGATTTCCGGATGTAGGCTAGATACAGACAGATATCACGAAAATCAAAAACTTAGCATTTTAGGCCTATAATCGTGGAAGAATATCCACTTGCCAAACCTACTATATGTTCTAGTTATTCTATTCATCTTAAAGAAATGTGGATAGTTAGGGAGAGGCTTGGGGGGCTTGAGGCATACGGTTCAACCGGGTCACACGACCGACCCAGCGACAAGACTTGCCAGCGACAAGTCGTTACGATTCACCACCCCCGCGAAAATTCTCCCTACAACTCTCCATCCTACAACCTAACTGCGACTATCCCCCGCTGGGTCTCGCGGGTCTCGCGGCAATCTCCCGCCAAGTCTCGCTACGATCTCACCGCGAAGTCTCGCTGCCTGCGCCAGCTCCTATTGCTCCCATCCACCACATCCGGTTTGTGTGACCACCAAATTAGTGGGGCAAACATTAGCCGAAATCTCAACCAATCCACCACTGTTCCATATAATGAGTGAAGAACCAACGGTGCTCCCCGTCGAAGAGGCACAGTCCCCACAACCACCCCCTGACCACGATCGCGACCAGGAATTGGCAGCCCAGCGGGAAATAGACGCTAGATCCATTTATGTGGGCAATGTGGACTACCAGTCCACTCCTGAGCAATTGGAAGAGTTCTTCCACAAGGCAGGCGTGATCGAGAGAGTTACCATCTTGTTCGACAGATACACAGGATTGCCTAAGGGCTACGCCTACGTGGAGTTTGAGGAGACTGCAAGCGTGGAGAGAGCCATTGAGGAGTTGCACGGCAATGAGTTCCGAGGCAGGGAGTTGAGGGTGAGTCCCAAACGGACCAATTTGCCGGGATTCAGGCCCAGAGCACCCAGGGGCCGTGGTGGCTTCAGGGGCAGAGGCAGAGGCAGAGGAGGCCGCGGTAGAGGCAGAGGGGGCCGTGGCAGGGGCGGAGACGTCGCTCCTGCGGAGGTTGCGGTAGATTCCAGCTAGTCTGGGTCCCCATCAGGTGCTAGGGCCCTTTGGGACGCCTAAGAAAGCCAATCATAGGTGATAATGTACGTTGTAATAGACGGGATACACGTGAATATACACGTGATTGTAGCTGCCACTGGTAGGAATCAGTCAAGAAACACCAGAATGGCCTGCTTCGCGATTGGGACTCGTGGCGAGGCCCCAATTGTCGTCACTGGAGTCTTTTTCCGATACCCTTGTTGCATTCTTTTGCCTGGAGCATTTTGTCATATTTTCGTGATCTGTCACTGGTCTGTCACCAGCTCAATTTACGTCTATTAATCTTAGATTTAATGTTTGCACCATCAGATGTAGAGCACGGTGGGTAATCAATCGCCAGAACAGAGCAAGTAACTTCCTCCTCATTGTAAAACCTTCCCCTATAAACTCGCTAAGTAGTCCCCAATACCCAACTCGTGTCACTAATCCCACCGAAGAACTCTCGCTAGCGTCACTTCTTCTCCTTACGGGTCTCACTAGTGTCACTTTTTTCTCACTAATGTCTCCCTAAAGTCTCCCTAAAGTCTCCCTACGGCTGCGAAATTCGGCCTGGCCGCACCCTCACTAACTCCCTTCCACCATCCTCATCGCACGTAAAAAAATTCAACTCATCTCATCTTCATCTTTATCTCCTCGTCCCCATAAACTCTCCACATCATGACGTCCGTAAGAAAGAGAAAGATGGCCAGATCCTCGGTCAAGAAAAACACCAGAAGATTGAAGGACAAGCAAAGAAATATAAATATCGCAACCAACCCCATCATACAAGCCAACTGGGACAAGTCCTTGACCTTACAACAGAATTACAAGAGATTAGGATTGAGAGCAAAGTTGGGAAGCTTGGCTGGAGGTGCTGAGAAGCCTGTGGAAACACTCACCGAAATAAGGGCCAAGAGAGCCGCAGATCAGAAGGTATCTGTTGCTGACATCGAAAACACCGAAGACCCAGCACAAATTCCGGAAGGAGAGGCCAGAATAATCAGAGACAAAGAAACCGGAGAAGTCACCAAGGTCATATATGGTACCATGAAGGTTGTACCCACCGAGGAGCTCGAAAACGAACCTGAAAACCCTTCTGTCATCAGACAGTTGGAAGAATATTCCAACAAGCATGCCCAAATCGTCAAGGAAAGAACCATCTCCGAAAGAGAGGCAGAATGGTGCAAGAGTCTTTACGAGAAGCATGGCGATGACTTCCAGAAGATGATGTGGGACAAGAAGTTGAACCCCAACCAACAAACCGTGGCAGATATAAGACGCAGGGTGCTCAAGTGGAAGAAGACCAACGGTATCTAAAGATCGCAGGCATGGTATGCTACAAGTCATCATCAAACAACTCCATATATTGTATAGTAAGGTCCAGGGCATCATCTATAATATATGTTCTATAAGCCCACCGTATGTGTAAAATTCAAGCTGTTCATATTCTCGAGGGCAAGTTCTTGGCCAAGATATTGTCGATTATGCCGCTCATGATAGGCTTCAACTCAGATTCTTCGTAGAGGTCTATCAATTTCTTGCCTCCGTTGATTTCTTCGTTGTCCTGAGTTTCGATCATCTCCACAAACTTAGGGGCAATTGGAATGTTTCCGAGATATGTCAAGTTCATCTTTTCACTAAGCTCCTTACCTCCACCAGTCAGAAAGATGTTGGTACACTCGGCACAGTGAGGACAGATGAACCCGCTCATGTTTTCCACCACCCCCAAAACCTCGAAGTTGACCTTTTTGCAGAAATTGACTTCTTTGCGAACATCAGCCGTGGCGACCTGTTGAGGTGTCGTCACAATAATGGCTCCATCTATCGGCTGGGCCCATCTCAACTCTTCTGCGATGGCGATGTGCTCATCTGAAGTTCCTGGTGGGGTGTCAATTAACAAGTAGTCCAAAGGAGCACCTTTGTCTCCTCCACTCCAGTATACATCTTTCAAGAACTGCCTGATCATGGCAGTCTTCTTGGGGCCTCTCCATACCACGGAATTATTACGGTCCCCTAATAAGAACCCTAAGGACATGAGGCTGAGGTTACCACGGGTCTTGTGCCCGTCTATGACCGCGTCTTCACTATTATTGTACACCGATACTGGCACCCATCCGGCAGTAGACTGGTGGACCTGTTTCTTTTCCACCCCGAACATTCTGGGCAAGGAAGGGCCCGTCAAGTCGATGTCTAGCACACCGACGTTGAAGCCTTTGCTGACCAACGTCAAGGCCGTTTGGGTGGTGACCGACGACTTGCCGACCCCTCCTTTTCCCGAGAGGATCAACACCACGTGCTTGACGTTCTGGAGCGATAAAGGTACTTCTTGGGCCTCCATGGTAGTGCTGTGTAGTGTGTATGATGTCTGGTGATAAGCTCAGCTCAGATCAGTTAGTAATCAGTCGTGCGCGGATCACCCGAACCAGGCCCGATCAATGATCTGTTTGGGGCCATACGGCGCTAGACAGCAGTGGAAAAAGCGGCTAAAACAGATCCAGCACCTGTGGTAGCTCCAGAAATTGATGAATGTGCCACGAGATCTGTGCACGAACGGGTCCCGGTAGGGTTAGTCTTACCGTCCACCAGAAATATGATGTTTCGCTCCGCCAGGAGGCCCACAATACGGTGCCACGACCGCAGAGGCTCCAGTGGTTTCACCCACTACCACCACACCAGGCCCTAAAGTGAACAGACAGGCTGTTCTCAAACTTGCCCGTTCGTTTGCCGCCACCACAACCTTCACTACTCTGAAACAAATAAACAAATAAAGTGGGAAATTGCCGGCAAATGGCGATTTGACCATCAAATTGTCCAATATTCTGAAACTAACCCCACAAGTCTGTCTCTTCAGCTCCACTCAACACCAATTTCATCCCCTACCAGCCTAGCATTTCATTCCAACCATTCTCACACCCTCTAATTACTGCAAAAGTGACCACCGCGACGTCCGGCATATACTCGGTGAACACGACTATTGAATCCCGACTAGCAACATCTCTACAGTATCATGAGTTCCCGGTATTCGACGTTGGGCAACGGCGCCCACCAGCGAGACTTGCGGACTCAGCTCTTCACACCCCTGGTGAAGCCTCCGTCCAGAACCGCGTCGCCATATGACAAAGTGGCGTCGCCACTGGCCAAGCACCAGGAGTCATACTTGCTGCTGCTTGAATCACAGAACAACGACGAAATGGACAGCATGGGCCAGAAAGTGGCCATGCTCAAGAACTTAGGGGTCAAGATGGGTACTGAGATCAACAAGTCCATCAAGTTGAACGACGAGATCACCAACGGGTTCGAGAAGGGAAAGGTGACTTTGAAAAACACCTACAACAAGATGGTGGTGATGAGCCAGCGAGCAGGCATCACCTGGCGCATGTGGTTGGTGGTGTTCCTCCTTGTGTTTTTGTGGTTCTTCTGGGTGTGGTTGACTTGAGTGAGAGGCTCGTAAGACGAGAGGTGGGAGATAGACGTCTCAGACTGGAGGTGGAAGAGAGACTCTACGACTAGAGGTGAGAAGAAGACTCTTTCAAGACTTCATTTTCAGGTCAGAAGGTAACTCTTTCAACACCAAAGTTTTTGGACTCTTCTTACTACAGTTAAGGGACTTCTAACATGTTATTGGCCTCTTCTCAGATTATGGTCTTAGTTTATTGGACTGTTTAAGACTACAGTTATCAGATCAGGGAATCTCTTCTAACTACAGTGGTCAGACGATACCTGCAAAAACAACCTTCTCCAATCTCCTCTAACTACAATCTCCTCTACTACAGTTCTTCACCACTCATCATCTTCAATATCATAATCATCGGCCTCATAGATCGGTCGTATGATCATTAATGCATTACATATAGTTTTTGAGTCTTGTAAGCGATCGGATACTCTGGTCGTCCCTATCGTCTTCCTCAATGACTGGGCCCATTTCCCCAGGAGGGTCTCGTGGAGACACGATGGTGCCTGTCACCGTAAGATGGCTGATCTCGTAGAGATTACCACTATCGTAAGCATTGTTCAAAGCAGCAAGGCCACTGCGCTCGTTTTCGTACTGAGTTTCGGGACTGATAACCGTGGTAATTTGCACCTGTTTAGGGGCTGGGTTCACGCCTCGTGGAGCCTTCAATATCGATCTTTTGGGCTTCAACTTGTGATGGGACGGCTGGTGCTTCGGAGTGGGTGAAGCCTCGGTTTCGAACTCGCGCTGCTTTCGCTTCTTTCCCTTGACTTTCTTCTTTTTCAACTGGGCCTGGAGCGAGGTGTAGTATTTATTGGTACGAGAAATGTGATCGTCGCCAGACTTCAGGGAATCCGAGTCGCTGGAGTCGCTGGAGGCGATCGGGTCTTCCACCACCTCTGACATGTCGTCTTCTGTCTCTGTGTTGAGCCCCGAAGAGCCCCAGGTATCGTCGTCAGAACTGAGCCTGAGGTTATCGAGAAGCATCAAGTCGCCGTTGGAGGAGGCTGTGTCGTCATGGAGATCTTCTAGCTTCTTCTGGGCATTATCTTGCTTGTTATTCTCCCCCTGGCTCTCCTGGGACTCTTTTTCCTTCTGTTCTTGTAGCTTTCGAAACGTGTCTGAAGTGATGGGCGAGCCGTTGATTCTGAGCTTTTTGAAATGGGATGTCTGTAGTGTCAGCTTGATGGTTGCTGGCGATTTGATGCTAATGGTGGTGGGAAACGGGTGACTGGGAACAGCCGAGTCCTTGTACGTAGGACTATTGATCAATGACGAATATAGCAAACTGAGTGGATTATGTGTAGGTTTGGGCTTCTGCGGGATAGTCTGGTCCCGGACCTTGAAAGGATCGTAGGCATCGTACTTGTTGCTCTGCAATTGACGGTACTTGTAGATGCTGGAGGAAAGAAACGACTCGAAGTCTTCTGGCTTTAGTTCTGGCTCCAGAGCAATTGCTGCTTCCAGCAGTACCGAACTGCTATTCTCCTGTATGGGCAGCGGAGCTTCGACTGGTGGACTCGGACTGTGTGAGTCGTTGTGGCCAGTAGAAGTATTTTGACTGGCAGGATCATTTTCGAGGCAATTAGATATTTGGTCAGACGTGCCGTGTAGATCGATAGCCACAGGAGCCGCACCGTATGGGCTCGTCTGGGACGGTATTACTGCCTGTATTCCGGGTCTTTCGTAGTCAATGGATGTTTCGTGAGAATTATTATGGTCATTAGTGTCGTTTTCGTTGTGGTTGGTCGCTTCGGATTGTGGGTCTGGCCGCTTGTGCTTGGTTCCATTAGCACTCTCTTTCTTGTGCAATATCCTGGTAACATTCGGGTAATTGTCCATCGAGCCACCGAATCTCTGCTCAAGCAGGCTCATTCTAGCAGCCAATTGCTGGATCATGGAGCTTGTTTCCACAGTTGCTGTCAACAAGTCGTTGACCTCGTCTTCGATGATGTTGTCGCCCTCTTCCTTGCTCTTATGAGTAACCTTCAACACCTTCTTTCTCCTCCTAGTGATCTGGTGGTTCAAGCTGCTGATAAGCTTTGCTATCTGGATGTTCTTGTACTGGATCTTTTGCTCCATGGCAAGCGATTTGCGTATCTCCACCCTAAGATCATCCTGGTAGTTCGATGTGACGTTGAGGAGTTGTTCTATCACCTGGTTGGCTTCCTCCTTCAAGGTGTGGTTGAGGATCCTATCAAGGGTGAACGACTCAATGGGAGGAATACTCGGCCCCTTGGCAAACACCGGTCTGTAATCCTTCTGAGACATGGTCTGGTGCCACCCGTTTGTGGTGTGGTACTATACGAATGGTGGGATGCTGGCTGTAGAGAGTCGATTTCGCGATTGGATTTTTCAGATAAGCTGGGGAAAATGATTGCACGAGGCAGGCCATCAGAGACAGAGTGAGGAGAGAACTCTGCGGAAGTGAATAGAATTAGCCGTTCAAGAGTATCACTGGTACACAGAAGAGGCAGAGAAACACAGTGGGAAGGTTTCAGGATAGACGAGTGAGTGAAAGATAGACCTGTTGAGAGATAGACCAGTTGAAAGATAGACCAGTTGAAAGATAGACCAGTTATTGAAGGGACCAGTCCTGAAGGATACAACAGTTGAAAGACAGACGAGTTCTGAACCGTTGACAATTGAAGAAAAACGGCAAGGTTCAAGCGACGCAAACTAGTTCTGAAAGAAGACAAGTTCAGATAGACGATCTCTGGAAGAAGACCAGGTGATACAAGACCAACTGAAGACCAGGTGATACAAGACCAACTGAAGGCCAGCTGAAATATTACCCAGCTTGAGTGCCAGTGTCTTCACCACTCTTCCAGCAGCCCAGGAATCACAACGCTAGACCGCCCCATTAGCATATCTAACCATCCCATTCCACCACCTCCATGCTCTCTCTCTTCATATCCGATCTCCTTCTCGTGGCATTCCCTCTCTTCGGAGGGTGCTGCTTGAACGTGTTCGTGCTCGAGCAACTTCTTGCCAATTCGTCCCACCCTCTCGGAACAGCCATCACCTTTGCACAGTTCCTTTTCATTGCTGTAGCTTCCTGGCCGTCTCAGATCGACCCGCAATCGAGCTCCTGGAAACGGTTGTGGCTTCCTCCCTCTCACATTCCGATCCACAAGTGGTTCTACTACGTGGTGATGTTCTTCACGGTGTCGCTATTGAACAACTTGGTGCTCAAATATAATATTTCCATTCCTTTGCACACTATCTTCAGGTCCTCCTCCACAGTCATCACCATGGCTGTAGGCTACCTCTTTGGAGGCAAGTGCTACAACCGCGGCCAGGTCCTCTCGTGCTTGATAATGTCACTGGGTGCAATTTTGGCCACTTTCCGATCTGGTTCTGGTACTTCCCATGCCAATTCGCAGTTCGTGCTTGGAGTGGTGCTATTAATTGCTCTTTCCATATTAGCGTCCTTGATGAGCTTGTACAACGAGTCCTTATTCAGGCAGTACGGCAACCACTGGCAGGAAAGTCTTTTTTACACCCATTTCCTTGGATTGCCTCTTTTTTTGTTGGTGGGGCCAGATTTGAAACGGGAGTTTTTGGTCATCTGGAACGATCAAAAGGTCTACGAGATAGGCCAGTTTTCCGTCAAGAAACAGGCTGCCAACTTGCTCATTAATATGGTGTCTCAGTACGTGTGCATCAGAAGCGTGAGCAAATTGGCTGGGAAAACACTGGCGTTGACGGTATCTATCGTACTTTTGGTGAGGAAATTTGTCAGCCTAATTATAAGTGTGGTTTGGTTTGGCAATGCAATTGGAAGCAATGGGGCCTGGGGAGCTGTTTTGGTGTTTGTGGGAACCGTGTACTACGCATTGGCAAGTGGAACTCGACCCTCTAAGAAGGCACCAATCCAAGATAAATCTAGAAAGGATGTATCAATACAGAATGAGCCAAGGAAGGACTTACCAGCTGGCACGAAAAGAAATGCAGACAGATCACAGCAGATTGAAGCCCTAAGAAGAAGACAAACATAGAGCTTCATTGAAATGACTCCGTCACAGTTCAGGTAACTAGATTAATTTACACACAAATCGACGTTGAAGTTCTCAGATGCTCAGAGACAGAAGACTCGATAGTATTGCAAATAGAATAGACTAAATGTGGACTTTGTCACAGATACAGGTAATTCGATAATATCGTTATTGGAATAGACTAATGTAAATATCCCATCTAGGGATTACCAGCCAACGATGAAAAGACTGGAAAGAAAATAAAATGCGTCACTTTAATGTTGAGGAGATTTCAGAGTGTAGTTAGTCGTTGGGTTGTAGTTTTAGTCGTAAACGGATTTAGATACCCCCTTACTATCTCCAAAAGGGTCGCTAGCAGTGCTAGCATTGGTGTCTGTCTTAGAAAGGGTCGGTCTGGTGAATGCTAATTGGGAAGGCTTGCTTGGTCTGGGTGGTGGGACTTTTTTGCCAGCCGAGCTTGATGAACCCACAGTGACTTCATGTAATCTATGGGCAGCAGACTGGACATCATCGTCCTCCTCTTCGCCTTCACTCGACTCGGTGTAGTAACTTTCATCGCTGTCTTCTTCATCATCATAGGTAGGAGCAGGGTTGGTGTCTGTGTAACCACATTGGAAGTCGAATTTCTTGAACACCTCCACGAGCTGCTCGTTTGCAGTGATAAGACTACCCAAGAACTCTTCATCCATGGCGACAACCAGGGCCGGCTTGTCGCTTCCGCCTGCACCGACGTATTGTAAGTAGCGCAACACCTTTCTCCTGTTTGATCTGCACTTCTCGAACACCTCGGTGCACTTCTTGTCCTCTAAAGGCGATTCTCCTTGTGGGAGTTGAAGCAAGAGGTTGCCCAACGCCGTGCAATTGGTATGGGTGTTGGCGATGAGACTTCTGATTTTGGGGGCCTCCACCGAGTAGTTGATTTGAGGGATCTTGTACTCGTCATCGGCGTATCTGGTGCCTTTGCGCTTGGAGCGCTTCGACTTGGACTTGCGTCTCCTGGACTCTCTGGAGCTGTTGAAGGAGGGTGTGGGGCGTGGAGGGGCTGCTTTGGGAGACTGGAGGCGAGGCGAGGGCGGTGGGGGCGAGGTGGGCCGCGACGAGACACGAGGGGCGTTGTCAAGTTCGGAGTCGAACACGTTGGTTTCCTCTCTGGGCTCGACGTGCCTGGACGATGTTCTGGAGTGGGCTTTTTTGTACTTGGGGATCTGCTTCCAGAGCACGGCAAAGTACTTGTAGCCTTCCAAGTCCGACAACTCGGATTTCCACTCCAACGCCATGCCCTGGGCCTGCACCTGCACGTCCTTGGGGTACGAGTTTCCGTCGCCGGTCCTGCCAGTACCGTTTATTATGCCCTTGAGCACATCAATGAGCTTGTCGTCTCGCGCAATCACAGGCCCAATCTTGGGCCCCAGGTTGGAGATCAACAACTCCAACACCTGTAACGCTCGGAGCTGCTCCTTGTAGTCTCCGTACTTGATCTTTTTGCGCATGGCTCTGGCAGCCTCGGGAGGGCCCAGCGATTGGAGCCGAATCAACTCGAGCAAGTCCTTCAAGAAGAGCTCTGGTGAGTCGTCGATGTCGTCACGGTGCGACAGCACGATCTGGTTGATCTTGACTGTCACTGATGTGAGTGGATGGTCTCTGAAGATAGGCATGGTGGATAGAGGAGGGCGGCTAGCGATAGGATGGGGCGGTAATTGGTGGTGCTGCAAGGCAATTGGTGTGGTGGTGGACTGATGGATGCGGTGGCGGGGTGTTGATGGATGTGGTGCCAGCAGTGGGGAATGGACGCCTCTGGCAATTGTATCTGGCGTCCGTGCTGCCACTTGGTGGTAGGACTATTGAACTGCGCACGCCCGCCCCATTGGATCAGCGAGTGTTACCAGTGAGTGTGGAGACAGAACTGGAAGGACCAGCACAAGCACCGCAATGATACTACTCCGTCGCAAAGGGCCGTTGGTGTTGTTGGCACTCGTGGTATTCGTGGTGGTGTATAACGTGATGCAGATCAACGGTGTCAAAGTGGCACGGGCCAAAGTGCAGAAGGCAGTGGAGAGGCTCGAGCATCACTGGGACGATCCAGACAAGACGATTGGATTTGGGAGGTTGGCCAACGACAAGGAGGACCGCTGGGAGTGGGAGAACACGGTGGGTCGCGTGGAGCAGTAGCCACGAGGAGCACACGAAAAGCACACGAGAAGCAGACCACAATGAACTGACTAATTGAGTCCGAGCTTGGCTGGATATGTCGTGAATTGTTGACCAATTGAGTCCCATTATCCTGAATTGAAGTGGCAGTCCAGTTGGGTGGACATGTCCTGCTGTTTTGCCTAATTGAGTCCCTGCTTTGGCTCTGACCAACAATTGAGGGAAGCCAGATCTCGGAGGCTCACTTGGAGCTGGCAGTGGTCAACAAGTACTTGTGCAACACGGAGATATTTGGAGACACCTGATCAGATACTGCTGTACTCATCCCAACAGTCTCACCAGATCTAGCTTTCACAGCACTCATAATTCCCAGCAGCCTTCGTATTACCACAAGTCTCCCAGTCCCGACCCCTAATTCACCATCATCGTCGATTTGACACTTTCTGTCCCGAAACCTATTGTGGAACAGTTCCAACAGAGAGGGGTTCGCAATTGCATAGGGATAAGAAGTGATCCGGAATGAACCAGAAAGAAAATCCAAGACACATTCAGACGTCACGTCAAGTTTTTCAAGACAAAGCCTGGGATCCCAAAGAGGGCGTGCAAATTCTCGGTTATGACAGGAACTTATGTGTTATTGGCTGTCAGCTCAACTGGATTGATCAGTTTTTTACCACCAAAGCTACAGCCTTCGATGAACTATGACCAAGTACGCAGATAAGACCTATTATTTCTAACGAGTCTGGCTGAATGAAATAGGGTGTCCATCTTGCTTCTCAATTGTATGGGAACTGTTATGATCAACGACATGTTGGAAGCACCCATGATTCTTGAAAATTCTCCCTCTGTGATGTCCATTATTTTATTGCATGGAAATTGTAATTGTATAGTAATCCACACTCAATTGAAAACCCATCGCCAGTTTACAATACTATGAATATTCTCTGGATTCAAACGAGATGCGAGAACGTGAGAAGTAGCACTACTCCAGTCAAATAAGCCGGTTAATAGTAGTGTATGACGACTGCTTAGCAGACTTCCAGTTTTATTAAGCTTTCTGGTCCAGTAGACCACGCAAGAGAAGATCATGAAAAACAGAACTCTTCCAGTTTTACCAAGTCATCCGATCTCAAATAAACACACAAAATGTGCATCAATACGTTAACAACTTAGCAGACTTCCAGATTTCGTCACCTGCCATATAACGACACGAGAGGACCACCATGGCACCAACTAGTCTTCCTTTTTGCAATTTGCAATGCGAATTACGTTGGGCGCAAATGGTTCAGAATTTCCCAATAGAAGACCCAATTGTCCGCTAACCAGCCTTACCATCTTCCCAATTGCCTGGAAGCCCCCAAAACATCACCACTACCGCCCTTAAATGCCCTGCCAACACCTCACATCCACATATCCTCCACCTCTTACCACCCTCACATCATTCTCGCACCTCTATGATCCGCACCATTTCGCACCCATCACCACCGACCACCACCGACAACATCCACGGCTCCATCCGCTTCCAGCACCACCCCATGGCTTCAGAATGCTTCAGCCCCTACTCCGTCGCCTCGCAGAACTCCCACCATCCCTTCCCCTATTCGCTTATCTCTTACTCCCCCATTTCTGATGCCCTTCCTTGCACGTGTACACAAAAAAAATTTTCCCTTGCTTAAGCCATAAGAAACTTCACGCTACTCGTTGCAACTCATCCATTCTCCATGTCTGATGAAACTGAAAAATTGAACCAAGAGATGCAAAACGCATCTCTTAACGGGGCTGCTGGTTCCTACAACCCACAAGGAGCTTCAGCCTTCAAGCCAGAACAATTCAACCAATATCAAAACTTCCAGCCTCAGGGCCAGTACCAGTACCAGAACCAGCCCCAAGGAGGATACCAGGGAGGGTATCAGGGCCAGTACCAGGGCGGCAACCAGGGCGGCTACCAGGGAGGCTACCAGGGAGGCTACCAAGGTGGCTACCAAGGCGGTTACCAGGGCCAATACAACCAGTACCAGGGCGGCCAACAGGGACAGTACAACCAATATCAAGGATACAACGCCAGAGGCGGCTACCAGCAGTACAACAACTCGAGAGGAGGCTACAACGCCGGCAACAGCTACAACGCAGGTGCTCCTGCCCAAAACGCCGGGATGTCGTTGGCTGACTTCGAGAAGCAGAAGGCCCAGGCCTCTGCCAGCTTGAACAAGCCTAAGAAGGTGCTCAAATTGGCTGGATCATCCACCATCAAGTTGGCCAACGCCACCAAGGCCCCAGCCAAGGAGGCTCCAAAGGAGGAGTCCAAGGAGTCCACTCCTGTGCCTGAGGAAAAGAAGAAGGAAGCCGAAGAACCAAAGGAAGAAAAGGAAGCTACTCCTGCTCCAGCCGCCACCCCAGTGTCTACACAAGCCTCTACACCATCTGCCACCCCAGCTGCCACCCCAGCTCCTGCTGCTAAGAAGAAGGAAGCCACTCCAACCATCACTGCTGACGCCATTGCCAAGGAACAAGAAGACGAAGTCGACGAAGAAGTCGTCAAGGATATGTTTGGAGGTAAGGACCACGTCTCCATCATTTTCATGGGCCACGTCGATGCCGGTAAGTCCACCATGGGTGGTAACATCTTGTACTTGACTGGTTCCGTCGACAAACGTACCGTCGACAAGTACGAAAGAGAAGCTAAGGACGCTGGTAGACAAGGTTGGTACTTGTCGTGGGTCATGGACACCAACAAGGAAGAAAGAAGTGACGGTAAGACCATCGAGGTCGGTAAGGCCTACTTCGAAACCGACAAGAGAAGATACACCATCTTGGACGCCCCAGGACACAAGATGTATGTTTCAGAAATGATCGGTGGTGCTTCCCAAGCCGATGTGGGTATCTTGGTCATCTCTGCCAGAAAGGGTGAGTACGAAACTGGTTTCGAAAAGGGTGGTCAAACCAGAGAACACGCATTATTGGCCAAGACCCAAGGTGTCAACAAGATTGTTGTTGTGGTGAACAAGATGGACGACCCTACCGTCAACTGGTCCGAGGACCGTTACAAGGACTGTACCACCAAGTTGGGTATGTTCTTGAAGGGTATTGGTTACGCTAAGGACGACATTATATTCATGCCTGTTTCTGGTTACACCGGTGCTGGGTTGAAGGACAGAGTCGACGCCAAGGACTGCCCATGGTACACTGGCCCAGCATTGTTGGAATTCTTGGACAACATGGAAACCGTCAACCGTAAGATCAACGCTCCATTCATGTTGCCTGTTTCCGGTAAGATGAAGGACATGGGTACCGTAGTTGAAGGTAAGATTGAATCTGGTCACATCAAGAAGAACGGTAACTTGTTGTTGATGCCTAACAAGGCCACCGTCGAAGTTGTGGCTATCTACAACGAAACTGAACAAGAATGTGATGCTGCATACTGTGGTGAACAAGTCAGATTGAAGATCAGAGGTGTCGAAGAAGAAGACTTGGCCCCAGGTTACGTTTTGACTTCTCCAAAGAACCCAGTCAAGACCGTGGTCAGATTTGAGGCTCAAATCGCCATTGTCGAATTGAAATCTATTTTGTCCAATGGTTTCTCGTGTGTTATGCACTTGCACGCTGCCATTGAGGAAGTCAAGTTCGTCGAATTGAAGCACAAGTTAGAGAAGGGTACCAACAGAAGATCCAAGAAGCCACCTGCGTTCGCCAAGAAGGGTATGAAGATTATCGCTGTGTTGGAGGCTGCTGAATCGGTCTGTGCTGAAACCTACAGCGACTACCCACAATTAGGTAGATTCACTTTGAGAGATCAAGGTACTACCATTGCTATTGGTAAGATCACCAAGTTATTGTCTTAGATAGACTGTAATCTGAGTAATAATTAATTAGCCCCCGGACTATACATTTACTGGCAGTAGACTACATAATCACGACGATAATAAGACAGTTCTTAGCACACAGATAAATCCAAGCGATTGCTTCTAATCCTTCTTGGGGATATTGAGGCCCAGTAGAGGTTTATCACCAAAACCAGCCTCTGAGCTGAAAAACTCACACTGTCGGTGCTGTTCTCTTTTCTATAAGTTTTTCAAAGATTTCGATCAAGTTCTCGATGCCTTGTACTACATTTTCGTCATATCCCTTGCCCTTGACGAATTTTGCATGTGCCATGTCGATCAAGTTCAACCCACTTAAAGGTGCCTGGAAAGAGGTGTCTTCGTCTTCGTCATCAGAGTCATCGTCTATGGGAATCACAGGGTCGCGGATTAAAGGATCCAAACTGTCGTACTCATCGAGATCCCACCTCGTCAAATCGTTTTCGTACATGAAGAGTAATGACCCCGAAAAAATCCTGACTTCGTAGTCCAATAGGCAATTGTACAACAATTGCAACCTTTTCAAGAACGTATCTAACAACTTTAGAATAATTGCATCTCCATTGGTTTTCTTAGCAAAGTAATGGGAAAAATAGAGATCCAACCCCACGATAACGTTCTCCTTGGTGAGTGATCTTCCGAAAATCTTGTCAAATTCGAGGTATTTGTCTGATCCATCCATGGAAGGGTGGACGGTTTGTTCCATTCCTTTGAAAAAGGGGCTTGGGTCGTGATCGTCGCCATTATAGAGCTTCATTCCACAAATGCGGAAGTTGAGTGATCCAGAGGTCGTTTCGTCAGAAACCTTCTGAAGTCTGGCAATTTTGTCAGCTTCTGTCTTGGAGTCATCAGTTAACTTTGACCCCAATTTGATATCGAGTATGCTGGGGTAGGTGTATCCGTGGTACAAGTTTTGTAGGACAATGTACTCTTTTGAAGGATCCACCACCTGGTTTGCATCTCTGAGGTTTCCTTCCGTCAATGTGCCCATGAATGCAGGGAGCCAATCCAACAAACTGGAGCCGATGGCAGACTCAGTCTCACCATCCAGCTTAGCGACTTCTGTGTAAAAGTCAACTTCCTGCTTCACAGTCGACTTGATGAAAAGCGCTCCGCCTTCCATCGTGAGACTGCCAGGATGGCCTGCAGCCTGGTGACGTGCCGCTTGGGTCATTATATGGTGAATAGTTGGTAGTGAGATCGAGTATATAGATATCGCTGCACGTGACTGAATTACCAGGCCAGGTGTTTTTGCCGCATGAAAGGTGTTTCACGGAAGCGGTGGTTGGCGGAGCCGTATGCCGGCTTCAAGAACGGTTTCTGATACGAAGAGGAATCCCATGGCACTAGCCCAAGATAATAGAAAATTAATTTTCACTTAAATTTCAGAAATACTTGAGTAGAGAGGCATATAGTGGAATAAGGAAGGTTAGTGTGATAGAGAGCTACAGTGAATTCTGATAGCTTGCAATGGTTTTAAGCAGCACATCCACACACCTTAAGAAATTCTCCGATGCCAGCTGTCAAAAGCTCGAGCCCGCTTCAGATTTGAAACCCGGATGGCCTCACTTTCACAAAGCTAAATATATCTCAATAACACGATTAAATTGGCCAACGTCACACGAGGCTGGACTCTGGAGTATGCATCTAGCCCACGTCACTGACGCAGCCCTATCAGGTCCAAGCCCGAATGACCTTCCTGATTCATTCCAAACTCTGCCACCAAATTCTCTAGGAATCATCTTTCATAACCGCGAGTTTGTGGCTGCAACCAGAAATCACTACATTTGCGTAGGTTGAGTACCAGCAGGCTGAAACGGACTGATTATCGAGTCCAGCACTGTTCTGATCAATACAGAGCTATGTCATGGTGACTTAAGCTGTAGTTCAGCTAACATGTAGCGACATTGCTAGCGGATTCGAGTACGAAAACGAAATGAAAAAGTAAAGAGGGTCACAAATTACATAAAACCAAATGAGAGATTCGAGTGTATGCACGATAAACACCGGATATAGTCGTCCATCTGCTTCCTATACTGTGTTTGCACGCTGGCCTGTGCCGATCTTGCAAGAAGTTTGTATTCACCAGTATGGAATTGTAGCAAGGATGTTGACGCCTGGACTGTCGCGACAGGGGCTCGCCAAAAATACCACCAGAGCCTGTAATCCCCCCTAGAAGCCCCGCTAGATCCCCATAACGGTGACACGGCCGCGCCTCGCGTCACATCGCCCTCTCTGTGCCATTACCCTAGCCAGGCTGTGTCGCGACATCGCGACGGGCCAGTTTCGTCACATGATACATTCGCAATGGATTTGCTCTATTTGTGTATCTACCTAAACCGGAACAGTAAAGGGGCGTAGCCATCACAGACCACTAGTGACTGGCTCAAATCGGAATTCTCACTAGTAGCAGCGAGTCCGCCTGAAAATCGTCAAATCCACGAGCAGTTTGGCGCAAACTGACCAAAATCGGCCACAAACACCCAGCCCGAACACGTCGCCCAGCCGCCACCAGCCGCCTTGATCCGTCACCTGTCATCACTGTCATTGCCACCGTCACTGCCACTGTCACTGCCACCCTCCTAGCGCCTGTCCTCCCTTCCCCACGCCAGCCGTACTGCCCGTAGTCACCCTGGCAGATACCCGCGACATCCGCGACATTGTTCCTTTTTACTCACGGTGAAAAGTGAGACGAACAACTCCAAACACACCTCAGCCAACCTCGAGTACCACCCTGCATCATGAGCAACCCATACTCGAACTCATACGAGATGAGTAACTACAACAAGTACTCGCTGGGCTCCGGCGAGGATGACTTCGTTGGGTACATGAACGAAATCCAGGACATCAACAACCTGTTGGACCAGTACCTGAACTTGATCAACTTGATTTCCAACAAGCAGAGGAACTTCATGCAAGAGCTCGACTTGAACGAGGACGACACCGAGTACAGCTCCCGCCAAATCGATGCCTTGGTGTCGGAGGCGCAATCGTTGCAATTGGACTTAAAGAATAGAATCAAGAACGTCCAGACCCAGGCCGTTCAATCCAAGAACCAGACCAAGTTGGACCAAGCCGAAACCTCGAGAAAGCGTTTCCTCGAGCTTATCCAAGAATACCGTTTGGTCGAGGCCAACAACCGTGAACAAACCAAGGTCCAGGCCGAGAGACAATACAAGATCATCAAGCCAGATGCCAGCGATGCTGAAATTAAGGCAGTGGTCGAGGACGGTGGAAGCAACTCCCAGCAATATTTCCAGCAGGCTCTTTTGCAATCCAACAGAAGAGGTGAGGCCAGAACCGTCTTGAACGAAGTCCAGGTGAGACACCGTGAATTATTGAAGTTGGAAAAGACCATGGCTGAATTGACCCAGTTGTTCCACGACATGGAGGAGTTGGTCATCGAACAAGACCAAGCTATCCAACAGATTGATGAGCAGGTCGGCAACGCACAACACGATATCGAACAGGGTGTTGGACACACCAACAAGGCTGTTGTCAGTGCTAAAAAGGCCAGAAAAAAGAGAATTTGGTGTTTTTTCATTTGTCTTATTATTATTGCCATTCTTGCCCTTATTTTAGGTCTTTACTTTGGTCTCCGCCATTAAAGATACTTGACCACGTATACTGATAGATTTCTTAGATTGAAATTTAGTAGTTACAAAAAGTAACAAGTACCAGCATCCCGTCTTTTTTGTTTGCTTCTTTAACACTCATGTGTTTTAATATTGTTTTAATACGAAGTTTGCCTTATGTAATCATAGTATCTGTAATTTTTTGCCAGACCAACTGTTATTTACAGGTTGAGTCGGATGACCTGATTTAACATGCAATCTGATTCTCTTCAGTGTAGGTTGCTCAACTTGACTCCGATACCGCTCCTGAGCGTAGTAAGGCCGGTGACACCACCGCTGGCCTGAATGCGCCCCGCTTCAGGAGTCGAGAGGTGCAGAATATGTCAAGTTTGAAGTTCAAAGTGCTGTCGGAAAAGCGATTTAGAAAACGTTTACAGGCTCCTTCAAAAACTGTAGTTCACGGGTTACCTGTCCGCTCAGGTTGGAGGTCCCATCTAGAAGTTAGGTGTTCTTTTGAACTGGACTGAATTCCGATGAGTCTTGATTCACGGCTGACAGCACAATAATTATCGCAGGCCGCTACCGGTCCGTGACTAACCGAATTGAACCCTCACTCGACCGGATTGTTCCAAACCCCTCGCTATTTCGGCCTACCCCAGCTTTTTACGTAATAATCTTACGCTGCTTACTTAAGCAGTATGACTAACTTTTCACTTGTTCGGAGGTATAAAAGTGACCCCACTTCATCACCACTTGGAATATTACACCAAAACCAACCATGCCTATGTTACAAGACCCTTCTGTGAAGTACCAGAGGTTTGCTCCCATCAACTTACCTCAAAGAACCTGGCCATCCAAGGTCCTTGACAAGACTCCAAGATGGCTTTCAACCGATTTGAGAGATGGTAACCAATCCTTGCCCGATCCAATGTCGGTGGAAGAAAAAAAAGAATATTTCCATAGATTGATTGACATCGGCTTCAAGGAGATCGAAGTAGCCTTCCCTGCTGCTAGTCAACCGGACTTTGATTTCACCAGATACGCCATCGAACACGCTCCCGCCGATGTATCTATCCAAGTCTTGAGTCCTTGCAGAGAAGAGTTGATTGCAAGAACCGTGGAATCTTTGAGGGGTGCCAAGAGGGCAACTATTCATATTTATTTGGCCACATCGGCATGTTTCCGTGAGGTGGTTTTCGGGATGACCAAGGAAGAGGCCTTGGCCAAGGCTGTCAAATGTACCGAGTTGGTGAGAAAATTAACCAAGGATGACCCATCCCAACAGGGAACTGACTGGGACTTCGAGTTTTCCCCCGAAACATTCTCCGACACTGACCTTGATTATGCCATCGAGGTCTGCGAGGCAGTCACAAATGCCTGGAACCCAAGCGTCGAAAAGCCAATCATCCTCAATTTGCCTGCCACAGTTGAGATGGCCACTCCAAACGTTTATGCTGATCAGATCGAATATTTCTCCACCCATGTGGCCAACAGAGACAAGATTTGTATCTCTCTCCACCCTCACAACGACAGAGGATGTGCTGTTGCAGCTGCCGAGCTTGGACAAATGGCAGGTGCTGACAGAATTGAAGGTTGTTTATTTGGAAACGGTGAAAGAACTGGTAACGTTGATTTGGTAACCTTGGCACTTAACTTGTACACTCAAGGTGTGTCACCTAAATTGGACTTTTCCGATATTAACTCTGTTGTACAGATTGTTGAAAAGTGCAACAAGATACCGGTTCACCAAAGAGCTCCATATGGTGGATCTTTGGTTGTTTGTGCCTTCTCCGGCTCACATCAAGATGCCATTAAGAAGGGATTCAACTTGTATTCCAAGGAAGCTGCCGCAGGAAAGAAGCCTGTTTGGAAATTGCCATACTTGCCTTTGGACCCAGAAGACATTGGTAGAACTTATGAAGCCATTATCAGAGTCAACTCTCAATCCGGAAAGGGTGGTTCTGCTTGGGTTATTTTGAGGAACTTGGAGTTAGACTTGCCAAGAGGATTGCAGGTTGCTTTCTCTAAGGTTGTTCAAGATAAGGCCGAAGTGAAGGGACAAGAATTGACCAACAACGAGTTATGTGATCTCTTCAAGCAGGAATATTACATTGACTATGAAGACGAGGAAACCAACTACCCATTCAAGTTGGTTGACTACAGCATCTCCACCCCAGAAAAGGGACTCAAGCAAGTCGATGCTGAATTGGAAGTCGACGGTAAGGTTGTCAAAATTTCAGGTAAGGGTAATGGTCAATTATCTGCATTTAACGAAGCAATCAGAACTCATCTCAATAGTGATATTGAAGTGAAACACTATCACGAACACTCCTTAGGTCTGGACTCCAAGTCTAGAGCTGCTACCTATATCGAGGTGACCTTGAATGGTGGTAAGGTTTCCAGATGGGGTGTGGGTATCCATGCGGATGTGTCTCAAGCATCCTTCTTGTCATTGATTTCTATTTTGAACGGATTGAAGGGAAATGGAGAAATCTAGTATTAGTATTTAGTATTTAGTAGGACCTGGCGTTAAATCTCTGTTATACACGACTAATAAGTAAAGTTCTGTAACAATAAGGATAAAATCTTGGTCGATATAGATCTGAACCATACGATAAATATTGGAAATTCATTTCTGAGTAAAGTATAGATAAATCGATTGTTTTATCAATTGATACACCATTGCAATAATGTACTGGATCATGGATTTTTGCCTTTGTGTTTTGGCGGAACTTTCTACCGCATGGGTTATACTCTTTTTTACCAGATAAAGTTTTCTTGGTTGATGATTTTATTTATTACCAGTATTGGATCAGCCTTGTTGTCACTGCAGTAATTAGTATACGCCTCCGCGAGTGTTTCTGTAATAATCCTGGAATTGCTATTGATCTTAGTTGGATGCAATAACACATCAAATCCCCCGTATCGGTTCAAATCGTTCAAATATTGCAACAAATGTAGCGGCACTAGCTTCTCTATCAGAAAATCAACTGCTTCACTAATTTTTGGTTTCCTCCTTTTTTGCTTTCTTCTTCTCCAATTAAAGTAGGTACGAATTTGGTACCGAAGTATCTGGAGCGACTTAGATTTGAGAGCAGCCTTAATTTGGGCTAAGATGCTATCATTGTGAAGACCATCTAGAATACCGCTACTCAAGAGTCCAGCCGAATCAATGTTCTGAACAAGCACATAGTCAAATCTGCGGTAGATTGCCCGAGCCATGGTACCTTGGTAACCACCCAAGGTAATGCTTTCGGGGAGAGTTTCAGCATCTTCGTGCTCTACAAGCCATTTGATTTCAGGGAAGTATTGGAAAGTAGACTCTACCGCAGTGTTCCACATCAGGAGGGACCTGTTGGTGCTTTCTAGCTGGGGTAACTCCCGAAAGAATGTTGCGAAGGAAAAGATAGCCATTTCCCTTCCATAATCTAGTATGTAGTCGAGTATGCCTATATATTTCTGGTTGAGGGTATTGATTTGAGGAAAAGAAGGTGGGAAATCAGGCTTCAAAGCGTTTTCGGAGAGTGTCTTTTCGTGGTTTCTGATCTGGTCAGAAACCATTACACTCATACTTTTCTCTTTCAGCTCCCTTGAAATCTTCTGCTCTGGCACAGCAATAGCATATTTTGCCATTCCCATATCATGGTGAGTGATTTTGGTGCTCTTCTGGTCATTTGCAGCAATATCCTTATCGCATTTGGCAGCCCCATATTTCGTTATTATAAGAGAGGCAGGCATATTGGTGAAGACACACCAGTTATAACTAGGAGTAAGATTCAACTGGAATATTAGAGAGGATGTCAGCAACAAAGGAGAAGGGTGGAGCCTCGATTTTATAGTCCCGTACTACATACACCCCTTTGGGTACCACATCTCTTTCTCGTTTGGCTGGGGTGACTCGTCACAGCGAAATCACAGACAGTGGTCGTGCATTTTCTCTGTTTCAATAGAGATTTAGGGAACAAGCAAGGCAATGATACCAATGATGCCAAACACAGTCAGTTTGGTCGTACGGGTATCTTTATCTTGACGATCCGTGAAACATCCATTGCTCCGTTTCTCTTTCAGAAATTGGTCCGAACGATTCAGGTTAGTCGTTCTACCCTCAATTGTTTCCTGTGGTTTGTTACAGGTCAGGAGTTGGAGGGGAATAATATCGGAAATATTTATTCTCGGCTGTTTGGGATCAATAATAAAATAGTGTCATGGTACTACTATACGGATCGACATTAGTATTGAACATTCTTGCCGCAACACAATTTTGTGGGGAATGTCTGTCAAATTGTGGAAAAACCATATTATTTTGCAAATTCTAGAAAACTAGCAAGCCTGGTTCTAGCTAGTACTTGTAAATTGTAGATTTTCCATAACTGCCGTAATGCGAGCCTCCTTCGAGAGACGTTCACGTCGTCTCCCGTGAATAGTGAATTATTGACAAGATTACACCACACTGTGCAACAAAATCCAGAAATTTACCCAAGGAAATCGTCACACACATGAACAAAACAACACCTATATCTGCAATCCCATCTACACTGTCTCACCCATTTGCCCTTCATTATAGTGGGGGCCATCTTCGTCTACTATCTGTGCACCGCAACATCCAAAAATGTGCCACAAACCAATTATCTCCAGCAATAACCGACCAAGAATTGGAACCCCACCAAGACACCACCATGACGCAAGAAAACCCTGGACAAAGCGTGGCGGACGCCTATAAGCAGATCACAGAGGCAGAGACCCAGGCTGCCAACTTAGAGAAGATGTTGGACCAATTGGATGCCAAAATGGACGCCATCTTGAAGGAAGCCGAGTCCATCAACCACGAGAACGACGCCGATATAGATAGCGAACAACAGACCGACCTGGTCTAGCCATTCCAATCAGAAGTCTCTATCGAGTTGAGTCGAAGAAGTCTGCACTATGGTCACAAGTGAACCACCAGGAAGTTATCTATAAATGCCAACACAGTGGTCACGAGTGAACAACAACCAGGACGTTATCTACATAAATGCCAGCACAATGGTCTAAACGGTGACCACTACTGTATAAGCTGAATAATTGTACTGTATATGTCTATAACGAGTAGCCAGTAGCAACTAACGAGAATAAATAATCCATGAGATGGTTACGGATCCAGACTGCCCCTACGCTAATTTCCTCTATTCTTTGCTGTCTATACCAGCTTCGGATAGAGTACGAAGTTCGCCATCAAAGTATCACCAAGTATGCCAGTTCAGATATCACAATCACGTCTGTTTGATCATCTCCATTAACTCACTTTTCTTTATGAATTCTGGCTCATCCGTGTCATCAAAAGGATTCACGGGAAATCTGGGGTTGATGATCTTGGTATCACCATCGAGTGCCTCTTCGTTGAGTTCAGGAATGGTCACTTTCGCCGGGTGACCACCATCAATCCACCACTTCTTGCTCTCTGAGCTTGGTGCAGGCAAGCCCTTTTCATCATCATCTATCAAAAATGAAAGGTTGTTGGTGCTGTTCAAAATTTCATTGATGCCGCCATATTCTTTCCTGTAACTCTCATACAAGCTGTTTGACAAGTTCTTCTTGATAGACTGGTTGATCATATGGACTGAAACCTTGAATATAGAGTACACCGGACGGTGATCAGAAAAGATCAAATCATCATCACAATCATACACTAATTGCTTTATGTCTTTACCTCTGGAAAGAATTCTATCAGTCCACGCTGGAATTCTTTGCTTTTCACTTGTGTCGTACACTTTGGTACCGTTGTCAAACTTGTAGGTGGGCGCAAATCTGATTTCCATTTCATCAAAGAATGGAAAACTCTCTCCAGCTGCCATTTGCCGGTTCAACTGATCATACTCAAATAACTTGTTGAACTCCTTCTTTTCAATGAGTGGTTTCACTTGTTCCTTAGGAAGCCCGATTCTATAATTCATGTCTCCCAACCAAATGACAACATCATGGTCTTTGATTCTTCTGTTTTTGGAAAATTTGATCCCCTTTATGATGGTCTTATAATTATGGTGTCTCTCATCAATATTGCTTAAACCTGCCGCTAAATGCGACGTGACCAAACACACCTCAGTATTTGAATATGTGAAGCTGACAGCAACCCCTCCTTTATTCGAACTCATTCCTCCTAATCCAGTTTTCTTAAATGAGCCCTCTAAGTTGGTGATGTAATTTAATTCTGTTTCTTTCACGAACAATAGCAATGCAATACCACCCAATTGTCCATTCCATAATGATACATATTTCTGGTTCTCTGGGTTGGTGTCATTCAAACACTTTTTGATTTTCTTTTCCCATTGGATTCGGTTATCTGATTGTGTATTGACCATCTGACCAGCACTTAGTTCAACAATCTCTTGAAAACCCACGAAAACCACATCATATGATTTCTCAATTTTGTACTTGCTCTTGGGGAAAATCCAATTTTTGATGTCATCGTCTGTGCAGACACCATTAACATTAAATGTAGAAGCAAACAAAGAGATATCTTTGTAGGAACTGTACTCTTTTGACCTTTGATTTAATGCTTTTTGAACATAGTCATGAATGGGGTTGTGTAATGTTACGGTAACTTGATCTTGTAATCGTCCCAAGAGCTTTAGCATAGCCAGCTCGCTGGGCTTAGAGTCGACAACACCACTGAGATACTTTTTGGTAAATGCAGACTTGACGGACTTCTTCGAGGTGGCCCTTGGGGCCCATGTCGATGAAATGAAGTTGAGTGTGATCTTGCAGAGATAGTCCTCATTCTCAGACCATAATTTTGCATGCTTTACCAAGAGGTCAGGGTTCAATCTGATTTTGATATCTCTGAACGCTAATTCAATAACTTCCTGACAAATAATTTTTGAAATGTAGTTAGCCTTGCTCAAATTATCGAAAGAATTGACTCTAAAAATTCCCAATTGCTTACCGGTGTAATTCTGCTTCGAAATATCATAGAATAATGCACCATAATCAATAACGGCATCTTCGAGTTTTTTTACTATTTCATGTGGGTTCGCAGCATTATACCCATTTTTTTTCATGGATGCCGTAGAGATTGGGACTGGTGTGTAACCTAGTTTATAGTTCAATGGGAACATATCCGTTCTCATTTGGTCGGTTGACCCAGAATTAGATTCCTCTTCACGATTCACATTGAAAAAATTCACGTGGTTTTCAAAGGCATCATTCAACTGGCTCTTGTAGTTTTTCGAATCGGCACTTAGTGAGTTTATGATGTGCACTTCGCCATATTGCGATGCTAATTGAGCGAAATGACGGGTGAATGCATGTTGACTAGTTTCGAATGATCTTGGGAACACCACTTTTCTGCTCTTTTTGGAGGATATGATATTCTTTTTGGAAAAGTTATTCTCCAATTCCCAATAAACGGGAACATTTCCTCTTACTATGACATATGCGAAGCAAAACTTTGGGGTGTATATGATGAGTTCTGTTTCGACGAAGTTGGATACCGAGCCTTCGTCGTCACAGCCCCAGTCTCCGAACAACGGTCCGTTTTTTATGCATGCCTGTTTTGAGATAATGGTGATTAGACCTTCTTCAGTGTCTGAAACTTGGGTGTTCAAGGTCTTTGCGAATCCTCTTGTGATTGTCACCAAAAATCCTGAGGAATCAAAAATGATCTGTTCATGCAACGATAGACGATTACGGAACTCAATCAATTCTGAGCTCATGAACCAGTTCCACATGAATCGCTGAAAGAACGCAGAGTCTGCAAGCAAGGTGAACTGGGCATCCGACTCGCTGCGGTTCAAGCCACGTTCCTGGACGTTGGAAGTGACATCGAAGTCCCTGGAGTAGAAGAATGCTCCCGAGGAAAGTAGCTTGCGCACTGAGTTGACCGGGTATTCGCCACTTTTGTCCCGTTCCTGAGCCTGTGCTTGTGAGTTCTGGCTGGTCTGGGGGATGTCGTCGCTTGAGCCGTGGAGGTGGTCCCATTCGTCGTTGTTTAAGCAGAAGAAGTCCACAGCTGCGATCTTGTTGATGTTTTCTCCTACCGTGGGGCATGCCACCGTCAACTCACGGGTGATGAATCCGAGGTAGATGTTGGCACCCACGTTTAAGAGGCCTAGGAACCCCAAAATCTCCTTGTTGTGTCTGGACTTGCTGGGGGTGATATCTTTGAAGTTGCTGAAGTTGATGTAGGATTTGTTGACGAATTCCACGATCACCTTGGTGCTGGTGGCGTTAGCTGCTGACGAGCCCGAGGACCCGCTACCATGGGACTTCAGATGGAGATGGAGGTGGTGAGACCCTTTGTACTTGGGGTACGGATGCCTGATAATGAGAGCATGGGTATCACTGGTGACAATGAAGGTTCGGGGCCGTTCATTGAGGTAGAGCTTCATGGCCGACTGGCGTGGTGGAGCGGGAGGTGGTGGGGATGGCGTAGTGATTTATGGTGGTGGATAGTGCCTGGGGGCTTAGAATGGATGCAATCGGTGTGAACAAAAATAGATAGTTAGCAACCGTAATGAGGAGGTGGTGGGAGCCTAGGGCGGTGCGTGGGGAGCCTAGGGCGGAGTCTAGGGAGGAAGCGCGAAGCGCGGCGCGGTCCCGTACTGGTCTCTAGCGAGAGTCCGTTTCAGCGGGCGATTCGCAGTGGAGCCCTGGCTAGGCTGCAATTATTGACAGCCATTGATGGGTTTCCACGGCTACGCAACAGGCAATGGCAATCATTTGTACGACGGTACCAATAACTGGCGGCCAAACGGATCTGGATACCAATGGCGGCATCACGGCTCTACTAATGCGATAAAAGCATGTTTGGTGACCAATGGATGTAACATTCTACTTGTACCAATACAGCATTCAGTCCTACGACTCTACCAGCGGATAGTGCCATTCTACGGCTCTGCCAGCTAGTAAGATTAACTATGGCTACCACTAGTACATGAATTACGGCTACCATTAGTACATTAAGTATGGGTAGCGCTATTAACATTAACTATGGCTACCAAGCAGTCTACCAAGCAGTAATATTCACACTCTGGCTGCCACTTGCAGCAACATTCTACAGCTCTACTTCGGAACTAACACTCTGGCATCCATCACCACCATTCACACGACCAATAGCACTAAATTCACTATTACTATATACAACCATTAGTCCACCTTCTTGGACTTCTTCTGCTTGACATGCACATCTGGCAACCAGGCAGCATCGGAAACAACGGTGGAACCACTCGCGGTCTTTCTGATCTTAGGAGCCACAGGAGCAGTGCCAGCGAAGTAGCTGGCACCCCAGATCTGGTAGGCCACATAGGCCAATCCAGCAACAGTGGCGGCCAAAACAAGCTCCAAGAACAATAATTGTGGGTTGAACAACGAGATGGTCACGTCGCTCACAACTGCCAACTGGCCTCTAATCGAGAGGGCCTTCATCTCATCGTTGTAGAACACATACACCTCAGGTGTCAACAAGTAGTTGTCGGGAATTAAGTTCAAGGGCACCTTCTGCACGAAGGTTTGCGATTGGCCTGGTGCCAACACATAGGGACCAATGGCAGCTGCCGTCAAGTTGGTCTTGATCTGGTTGTTGGTGGGGTCACGGAAACTGCCACCCACTCCGACCAAAGACACCTCCTTATCCTCCTGGTTGCTTACGGAGTACTGCAACGTGATGGTGTCTCCGTTGTTGAACTCAGCCACATCTCTGGCTCCCACGTCGGGGTACTCCACAAGTGTATATTCAACGGGGAACTTGATGAGCTCTTTGGCGACATTGGGGTCAATTGCAGGCGCAGCAGACACACACGCAGAGGCGAAAAGACCGGCTAAGACAGTGGCAAACTTCATCTTGGAACAATGGAATGAATGGTACGAATAGTATGAATGGAATTGTCGGATCCGACTGTGGGCGTTGGCTTATGCGCAACTGACTGGCTGTCACGTGAGTGCCTGGTGCACTATTGATTTCTTTCAGTTAGCCACTCTGACCGTCAGCATGTTGTGTGTGACTCGTTGCGGCTCTACAGCGTGTTCGCCGTCGTACGAGGTGCTAGCGCTCCGAGTGTCGTACATTTTACACGGCACAAGACCGAAGGGCTTCCAAGGCCAGTCTACAAGAACCTACGTTGTACGACCTAGAATATCACCTCAATCCCAAGCTCAGCTAATTAATGTCATCGAAGAACGGGACAAAGCAGATCCAGTAAGACTTACATCGAAGGAAACCATCCGGAGGATACGAAATGAAAAACGCTCGATAAGGGCCAACAAGAGGTCCGCAAGCAAAATTGAGTCGATAGCACAGGACAGGGCATTGGCAGAAACCTTTCATAAGCACAGAAGCAAGGTGGTTGAAATCTTCAGAGACGAAACAAATATCAAGAAGTTGTTCACCAATCCCGAAAAAGCTGAGCCAGTGAGGTCCTATGCTGAGCTCCAAAAGGCGTTAGGCAGTTCAAGTCTTTCTTCCAGTGGTGAAAAACACCTGCTCACCTACACGGATTCAGATATGAAAGCATCTATATTATTTTTGGCCACCTCACTTATAAACTCGGTTTTGGTGGAGATAAACTTGCGTCACTTGTTTCATTCCAAGCACTTACCGAGGATCACCCAATCCAATTCATTTTTGTTTCGTAACTTAATCAAGGAAATTAGTAGCCAGGAAAGGAAGGTTGAAATCCTCAAACTATTAAGCACAATATATGACAAGCAGTCTAAGGGAGTGCCAGAGTCTTTTGAACAGTTTTTTCACAACTTAGACTCAGAAGCGATTTCTGGATTGTTGCTCGAGTTGAAATCATCAGACGCATTTAATTCGATTGAAACGCTCAGACTTTACTTCCAGCATTTTAAATCATCACAGTATGTGAACTATGACCGCTCGGATTATAGTAAAGCCGTTCAAAACAATAATTTCGTCAAGTTTTCTTCTCAAACAATTGATAATTCAGAGTATTTCCAGGGTTTTAAAGAAGCCTTTGATGAATACAAAAATTCCAAAACTACAAGGGAGCTTGCACATTTAGACTTACTGATTAACATCGTGAAGGTTCTCTTAAGATCCAGTCAGTTCACTCCGAATGTCGAGATTTTTCAGGTTTTGATGGATGAATTCGGAAAACTTGAGCTATACAATTTTCAGTCAGTGGTATATCAATCTATTCCACAATATAAGCATCGTCAAACAGTTTTAGCGTCCCCCCAGGACGAACTTTCGGTTTCTAAAGTTCCAAAAATGGCTTATCATGTTCAAGAAGCTGTTGAACAGAACCCAGCATTCTTGAGGACATTAATAGACTATCATATTATTCGGAACGATAGTGAGTCTTTCAAGCAGTTGCTTTCGTTTTACAGGCTCGATGATATCATCCAGCATGAAAAGGTGTTAAACAAGTCGTATTTGGCTGGACTCATGTCCAAGTCGAGATTTATTCGGCACAAAGAGAGACAACTTGAAATTGAGCCAATCACGTACAGTTGTGAAGAACCTTTGTTAATCCCGTTGGATACAATTCACCATACCATCAAAGGGTGCATCCAATTGGAACAGTTTCAATTCATTGATTTGTTGTTCAATAAAATCATTGTTCACGCCATGGAGTTTACACCAGTTGATAAGGAATTCAAGAAGGAAAACATACAGATTGCATTAACGCTAGGAGCAAAGTCTAATGAAATCATTAGGAAGGAAGCCTCAGGCTGGCAATTGTTGGTTTCTCAATCGTACTCTCCTAAGGAATTTGCATCCAAAATTTTTACGAAGGAATTGTTCAAAGTGTTACTCCGTGCCAGCACAAAGTCTGATGATTTGGGTCGCATCATGTGGCTTATGCCACACTTGGATAATTATCTCGAAACACACATGGATAAGCATCTTACGAAGATCAATGCCAACGAGCTTGAATCTAGTCCCATAGATCCAGAATTGATCAATGAAATATATATAGCCTTGAACACGTTTGGACTCGAAGGAAAGTTGGTGTCCTACAATCAATTATTGAACTTCAACGTGGTGCTCGAGGGAGAATAACTTGTAAATAGAAATGTATTATAGTATAGAGTTGCATTTGAAGAAATACTTGAGGAGTTAGAAAAGATGACAAGAGAAAGTAGAGCAGTTAATTGCATTTCCAAAAATAAAGGCTGAGTTTTCAAACTTTCACTAGCATATAGTTCTTAAAGTTCTTTAAAAAGTCATAGGCCAAAACATAATCTAAGGTTATTGGTGTACACTTTAACAGAGAAGTAATCTGATGTTTCAGGGGACAAGGACTCGAAGGTAATTAGACAGTTTTTTATCAGGAAGACACTAGTCGAATTCAACTAGATGTGTTCTCTTTAACTTTAATTATTAATTGAGTTACACTGAACTGAGATATTAATTATGGGTGCAATAATCCCAAAAATCATAAGTTAGCTCGGTTTCAGAAAGTACCACTTCATAGATGGTTTCATTTACATTGGATACACAAACTAGTCCATAATCCTAACTAGTGCATAATCGTCAAGTCCATAATCCAGTTCATATTCGATTCCAACCCCATACCTACAGTCATTTCCTTCTATAATAAATTAGATCTATAAATACATTAACGGCCGGTGTACTTCTTTTCAAACGGCCTTACCAAGTTGTAACCAATGAAAGCAAAGGCGAAAGCCAACTCGAAACCGATATCACCACCGTGCTCTCCGATCTTGCGTCCAAGAACACCGACGTACCACTCCTGGGCCATACCCACCACAACACCAGCAACACCACAGCAGAAGGCAAAAATACCCGCAATACCCTTGGAGTAAATGCTGGGGTCCTTGTAGTGCTCGTAGTCGTAGGCAGCAAAGTCGCCCTTGTTGTGGATAAAGTGCTCACTCAAGCAAATCGACAGGTAGATGGCCAAGTAGTACGACACCAAACTCATGAACTGGGACATGAAGCTGTCGAACTTGTAGTAGGCAGGGATGGAGATGGCGAGGGTGGCAAAGTTACCAACCAACGACCAGGCCACTCTGGGGATTCTGGCCAAAGGCGACCAGAATGCCTGGGATGAGAGCGCCATCGAGTACATGTTAGGCACGTTGTTTGCAACTGTGGACAACGCCAAAAGCACACACAAGAACTGGCCGAACCCGTGCAACGAGTCCACGACCAAGATGGAGTACACCAAGCCACCCACCGAGTTCTCCTCCCAGTTCTTGGCCCAGACCTCGTCAGTCAAAGTGCCAGTGGCACAGGCAGCACCCAAAATGAGGGTGAACAAGAGAGGCACCCACAAGCCGACCAAGATACCGAAGAAGATTCTGGTGGCGTTGGCGTTTCTAGGCTGGTAGACGGTGTAGTCGGATGCGTAGGTGGTCCAGCCAGTGGCAAAGCCAAATACTGCACCTCCGAACGAGAAAACCGAGCCAGCGGTGTTGGCGCCCCCGACCATGTGGCCAAAGGTGAAGTTCTTGGAGATGGACATTCTGGCGATGATGGCGATAAATGCCACGGCGTTGGGGATCCAACTCCACTTCTCGTAGATGTGGATAACGTGATAGCCGCAAAGACTGACAAAAATGGTCAACACCACAATAATGAGACAGCCGGCCCATGGGGGAAGTGTGCCGTTGTTGACGATGTGGAGCAATTGGGCCAGCGCCATGATGTTGACGGCACCCCAGCCCACACATGCCACCAAGTTGATGAGCGCAAAGATTCTCATGGCGTAGTTGCCCATCAAGAACTTGGACAAAATCATCTGTCTCAACCCGAGCTTGGGGCCAAAGGTGGAAAAGAACGCCACTGGCAACACACCCAAGAGCGAGAAGAAGATGATGGTCAACACCGAGGTCCAGAAGTCCAACCCAAAAACGGTGATTCCAAGAGCACCCAACGAGAACGTGGCAATGACCAAGTTGGCAGACCACCACATGGTGGCTGCGTTCAAAATGGAGTCGTCGGTCTTCTCCTCGTCGGTGATCAAATCCACACCCTTGGTTTCGGCGTTCAAAAACACCGCCATCTTATGGAGGAAGCCTAGCTTCTGGCTCAGGAGCTCAGCGGTGCCGGAATGGTCTTCCAACGACTTTTCAAACGAGTCGACAGACGACTTCTTGAGGGAACTAGGCCCTGCTGCTTTTTCCGGATCGTAGCTCATGTTGTTTCAGCGGGACTGCACTGGAGGTTTGAGCAGGCGGATCTGGTTCTTAAGTAGGTGAAAAATGGGCAATGGGATGGCCAAAAGAAACTTTTGTCAGGTGCTCGGTGACACAAACCATGCACGGTCCTGGCGTCCCGCCGCGGGCCCCTCCGCGGATGCCTGGCGAGAGCACCAGAAGGGTTAGAGCGGTGCAAACGGCATGGGGATAGACGTGGAGATGGAGTCTCGGGGTAAGAGTGCTGGACTCGAAGCACAGGCGTTTCTGGCGTTTGGAAGACCCACCAGTCGCCGGTGCATATTGGCGACGATCGCGATTCCGCGGCGAGATATCTCTGGCAATTAATTGGCGTGCGACATTTCGTGCGAGTGTCATTGCAACTGACACTGAGCTGAAAAGGCCCGACAATCGCAAAGATAAGCAGATGCCGTGCTCCTGAAATCACACATCGGGGGGAGGGGATCTAATCTGATTGTCAGGTGCATCCTACACTGCTTCGCGGGGTTGATCCAGGCTGAATCTACGGCCCGCCAGATGGTGCCAGTTGGCGGTGTCTGACGTGGACGTCCTGTGACCACCAGCTGCATGTATCTCGACCGTTGGCGTCAGGTCATGTCGTGAAATGACTCCACTTGCAGGGTCTCAGCGAAGCAATAAATGTCGGCGACTCCTGGTGCAGGACGCAGAAGCACCAATTAATTAGGCCGAGTCAGGTCAGGTGCGGGATATGGCGGGTCACGTGATCCGTCTTGGTGACTGTTGGGTGAATAGTGCCATGTGGACCAGGGCACGGTAGATGGTACTCTGCTGGTCGGCACTCATGATAATACGCCCAGCCAGCTGATGATATTTTGATCGTATTACTATTTTGCTACTGCTTCATCTGCTCGTAAATAAGGGATGTAGTATCTCGTAAATGAGGGCGATCTCATCACACAGATTGGATATAACGAGCCCTTTATTGGCTGTGCTAAATTATACCCACACAAGGTAAATCCTATTGACCATTCAGAAGTATGCTGAATGAACTGGGAATCAATAGGTTCTCATCTTTTATTACTTCAGGCAATATCCTAGTACTGCCAGCGGGAGTCTTACAACAAGATCTATTGGTTTTCTGCAAAGAACGATCTCAATATAGACGAAAGTTAGTTTGAATTCGATATCAAAGCCAGGTTCAAAATCCATAGCCTTCGCTTTGTTTAAGTGTATCCTTACTCTACAATTATCTCTCTAAACATATATTCAACACACAAAAGAACTAAAGGTCATAAATAGTATCATTTTTTTTTGCTTTTCTATTATACCTACGACTGTATGCCGTTGGCCATCAACAACTCCTTCAATCTGGCAACCTCGGAAATCAACTCTTCCTTGTCATTGATCAATGACTCCACCTTCTCTTCCAACTGAGACATTCTCTCCATCTTACGAGCTCTGGATCTTCTGGCGGCCTCGGTGTTCTTGGCACGCTTCAACAGAGCAGGATCAGATGAGTCGAGCTCAACTGGCATCAAAGGCTGGGAACGTTGCTTCTTGGAGTAGCTGACAACCCCAAGATGGTCGAGCTTCTTGCTCGAGTCCTTCTTGGGCTTAGCAGTGCTATCCAACAAGGGTGTAGGGAGGGTGGATGATGGGTTTGGGGTAAACAACTGGGTAGGCTGTTCTTTCTTGTGGTGCTTGAATGGAGCGAATTCCAAAGACTCCTCGACCTCGCTGAACAGTCTCTTGGACACGACAGGGGCCACGGGTTCTTCAGCAATCAAAGAGACTGGCTCTTCAATCTGTTCGCTGGTTTCGTAGAGAGCACTTCCAGTGGGAGGCGCCACAGATTCTCCAATTGGAGCCATGGACTCTTCGTTTCCGAAGAGTGACACCCAATCGTCCTTGGAGTTGATCTTGGAGCCCTCCACGATGAAGTCTAACTCGTCAAACATAGGAGTCTGGTCCTGGAGCTGATCGTGTTNATCCAAGACGCTCGAGAATACGGATTCAAGAACGCTGGAATGAATCTGGAATGGGGAAGCAGGAGTCACTTCCACATTGTGGGCATCGGCAGCAGACGACTTGTAGTTTGGCATGGATCCGAGTGGCGGATCGATGGCTCTCTTTTCGACAGAGGCAACAGCATCTTGGCCTTCGAAAAGGTTGAAGTGCTGGTTGGCGTGAGGAGTAAATAAATCTTCGGACTCGAACATGGCGGAGTCACCCGATAAGATCATTGGGCTGGGAGCGGACATTGTAAACTTGATATTCTTTTGTGATAGTGGGGTAAATATACTGGAACTGGAACTTGACTGGTAACCTAGGGAAATAATAGTACGAACAACAACGTCATTATGGACGGGAGATTTTGAATTCACGTTAACATTTTGTAATGGAATTTAACAACAACTAAGGGTTTATTTTTATAAACACTTGGGATCTTTCTAACATATAATAAAACGATCAATTATAAAACTGTTTGGAAAACTAGTTTAAGCACACATTTTGAACACTACTCAAAACTTGGGGAAATATGGGGAAAATAATAAAGCAATTTGGTGGTTATGTGTGGTTGTTGTTGTGGTGAGAAGAACTGGGTGAGGGGGGATTGGAGGTGCCTTTATAGTTTACGAGCGTGGGGTGCGGCGGGTGAAAATTTTTCGCCTGCCTGCCTAATGCGGCAGGCTGAACCTTAAGTTGGAGAATCGGTCTCAGATGTACGTGCAACCTGCAGGTTTCTGGGTACTAACTCGTAATTCTGAGCCTGACTTACTAATGAGGAGGGTTATCTATGAGTCATTGCTGGCCCCTATCAGCCACGGCTATACTAGCACCAGAGAGGGGAGGCACGGCTCTGGCCAGTGGGCATGTGGACCTTGATGGACAGGTTGGAACGTCGTGGAACTTCGAAGGCTGGGTGGCCCTTGGCTGGCAACTTGGTGCCGGGATAATAGTACATGCCGATTCAGGGCCGCCCAGATAAGCAGCGGCTGGCTGTAATTGGCAGGCCAAGCGTGCGGCAGCCACCCTACAAAAGTCCGAGCACGTGACACGTGGTTCCAGTGTATGTCTGGAAGCCCAAATGTTTCTGCAGGTGCTCGGGGCTTTGAGCGGGTCTGCCGAGCCAAGAAAACGCCATGGTGTTCGTATAGCTAGGTGCGTTTGGGTGGCGAAACGTGGTGTGTCAATTGGAGTGTCAACGAGTTTATTCTGTCCAATAGAAGAAATTGCCTCCAGAGCAAGCTGTAAACTATAAGTCAGTGCACCTGAAATTACCTGTAATATAGTTGAGAGCGATGTGCTGGACGTTGGTGATCTAAGATGTGGCATCTCGGGCCAGATTCTAATCGCAATTGGACACAGCTTTGAGTAATTAGGAATTGTCTTCTAATTGAGGTGCCTCGCATTGTGTATTTTCTTTCCAATGGCTAATAATACCTTCCAGTTGACGTATTGCAATGACCTGACCTTCCTGAGTCGGAATATCTTTTAATACTGTGAATTTGCATTCAATAATGGCTTAGGAATTGATTGAGGTATCCCAATTGTGGATTTGACACTCTTTTGAAATACCCTATTTCTGATCGCAATTGCATATTAATTTTCCAAAAAATGAGTTGGGATTACTCTCCTGCTTGTGGTATCGTAAATGTATTCTTGATCAATTCGTGGTTGGCACGTACTTTTCTAATTGATGTATACGTATTGTTTTCAATCATGAGGTAGGGAATGTCGATTTTCTTTCCTATTCATGGGACTTCATATTCTTCTACTTGTGCTATCGCAATTGTGTATGTCTGCTATTGAAAAGATTAAACTACGGTTATCGCAATAGTCTTCTACTTGTGGCATCCTAATTGTGTATTTACTTTCCAATTCCTGCAGTAATACTACTTTGTGCCTTACTTCCTCTATTTGGGGTAATTGCATCTGCTGTGCTACTCTAGAAGTTCTTACTGTAGGAGAATGAATCCGGTGTAATGCTTTATTGGGCTTTACCTATCCTACTTGGTTTTGAACCATCTAGGCAACTTAGGACCACTTTTGGCCTTGGGATCTTTCGAACTTGTGGATCCCAGCACCGGTTTGACCTCCGAAGTTGTGGCATCTCCTGGTAATTCCCCTCTGTGACTCTCCAATACCACTTCCGGAAGCTCGCTCGACGTCTTGATATCAGCAATTGCGCCAGGCTTCACGAAGGGTCCGGACTTCTTCTCACTGCCATTATACTCCCAAATAAACACACTACGTTCGCTTTGAAATTCAGGCAACTTGACGAGAAGCGTATTATTGTAATCAAAGGAGGTCTGGATCTTTTGAAAAGGTGGGTATCCCAATTTGAGGTGATACTTCCCCACGAACTCCTCAAGCAACAATTCGTCGATCTTCTTCAAAAGCTGGCCAAACTTAATTGACTGCACATCTTGGAGCAAGTTGATTTGCAAAATCGATCTGTCTGGAAACTTAATTCTCAAGTTGTACTTTTGAGGAACATTCACAACCTTCTTCTTCCTCTTGGCGGAGTCTTGGATCAACTTTTGGTAAGTCATGGCCTGGCTAACAGTCATTTCATAATCTTCGTCTGGATTCTCGTAGCTCGAGGTAGAGCGAGATTCGGGTAGATAGAGCTGAGGGGATTCGGTGGCTGTCTCTTGAAATTTATCTTGCTCCGGTTGCTCGATTAAAGAATCACCCGGCGTTTCGTTAGTTGGCTTCTGAACCACGGTTGTTGGTCTGGATTGGCTAGAATTAGAGGTTGACCCAACTTGCTTTTCTTTAGATTCATCAATGGCATCCTCCATGTTAACATCCTCGTCTTCTTGTGCTTGTGCTCTAGCTTGTTCCTGTTGCTCTTGCTCCTTTAACTTCTCTACTCTCAATTTCTCGTTCCTCTCTCTCTGTAACTGCAATTGTCTCTCCACAATAGCTTTTTGCTCTTGCTGCCTCTTTTGATTCTCGTCTTGACTCTTCACAAACACCATGCGAATTACCATACTGGACACATTGCCCACAATTGCTTTCAATTGTTTCTGCTGGTAATCGGCACTGTTGTAAGTGGTGTTCAGTATAACCAATTGAGATTGTTTGGAGAGCAAGTCAATACTATTGCTTGACCCGAATTGTTCGAGCAATTGATGCAATGTGACACTGGAATCAACTTTGCCAATAATGGTTTTTGATTCTTCGGGATAGCTAATGGTCAATTTGACGTTGATTGGAGTGCCCTTTCCACCACCTGACCTGAGCACCAACTTCAATTTGGAGTTGTTGGTGAGGTTAGTGAGCCTCAAGGGTAACGAGCTATCCAATGGTTTGTCGTTGTAGAGGAGCTGGCCCACGGCACCATTTCGAATGCCAAACTTCTCAAGAGCAGCCTCGGCCACCTGATGGATCGTGGCAGACTTGGGGAACGTCACCTTCTTGGTGGCGAAGTTGTGGGTTATATTGAGTGATATGGATGACATGGCTGACGGGAAGAAACCTCAGAATAACGAGAAAAATTGTAGACTTTCTTGCCGCTCAGTCGGAACTTGCAAATGAATGAGCCTAATTCTGCACTTTTGCTTGCCTGTCCGTGATGAACTGGTATAGAGAGACAGCACTAACACCAGTCGATAAAGGACAGTGTCTTCGTGAGTGAGCCTGGGACTGATGGCAAAATGCTATGTGCAGGACGTCGACCGTAGTTGCAAATGGGAGTCACCAGCAAAAAGTGGAGTTTGTTGAGGGCTTAGGCAAGTGTGGATCAAGCTCAATGGCTGAAATTAATGTGAAGGAAGTGAGGATAAATGGAAGTAGTCAGCAGAGAGATTGGGGTTTTGGAGGTTTTTTTAGGTCCAGAATGTAGTTCATTCGAAATCCAGATGGAAGCTCACAAATGAGGAGACTTCCATAGAATATTGAAGACAGAAGGAGGACATAAGATTTATCCCAGAAGTTTCTCTGTCAGCCGATGATTCAAAAGGTGGAACTAATAAATATTAGTAGAAATAGTCGTAACGAATTGATTCCATATCGGATGCAAGTTGAACCGAGCTCGTAGTTAGACGTGGTCGACTTTTGAAGGATTGGTGAATTTGCAGTCATGGATATACAGATCGAATCTTTTATTCATTTGGTTAGTATTCTGTAGCTCCCTCCGTGAGAATTTATTACACATGAGCCAGGGGGTAAATAACCAACAAATATGATAGCTCAATTATATGAACAATTAATCACCTTCAAGATCAATATCACCTAAGGTTATATGTATTTGGTTAGTAATAATTAATCTACCTCCACTTGCACAAATTTGCTAATTCTCAGTATTTCTATCGTCTATCACCAAGCAATTAGATAACTTATTTAATAGAGAAGAGATAAAAAAGAAGAATCAAGTTACCTCATCAGACAGGTACTGACACCTAGTTGTTCTTCCTAGAGATATTATGGAAATTTCATCAGAAGTGGATCCTTCATAGTCAAATCACGTAGTCAATTTGGCCCACTTGCCCACTCGCAAGTTACGAGCTACAAACTCATTCTGAGCGCTGGTTGGAATATCTCTTTGCGAGCTTACGTGCTAGTAACACATCATCTACTTCTGATTTGCAATTGGCCCAGTACCTCCTGTTCAAGCTATTGCGCTGGTAACACATCCACTCCTGATTGCCACCCTACAATTATGGCATATGGCACCAGACCATTTTGCAGCAGTTGGCCATCGGTACGCGCACGCCGTGCGATAATTAATGGTCATCCACCCTATATAAAGGAGCACCCCCTCCTCACTACACTACACTCTCCATTATACAATGTGCTGGTGTGGTTGCTTATTCGACTGCTTTCTCGTGATAATATCAGTGCTCTTCCCTCCCTTGCCGGTGTGGATCAGAAGAGGGTTCTGTTCCGCCGATTCCTGGATCAATATCTTGTTGTGCTTCTTGGGCTACTTGCCAGGATTGATCCATTCGTGGTACATCATTGCCAAGTACCCTCCCTACTCGCAGGGAGACACCAAGATCTACTACATCTACCGCAACGACATCGAGAACCAGACGCCCCACAGACACGAGCACCACTACCACCACACCCACAACACCAGCATTCACTCTGACCAGAGCCAGCCGCTTAGAAGCCAGCCCAGCGCCGTGCATTCGCCCAGCTACGGTGCTGTGCACGAGGGCACCTCTAGAAACTCTGCTGCTCCTCCAGCGTACGAAGAAATCGACCACAAGGTCCAGCGGTGAGCCGCCACCCATGATGATGACTCGGGTTAAATAAAGAGAACATGATGGTTCAGATTATATTTTAAAGAGTCCATGATGGCTCAGATTATGCCTTGCCTGGACCCCATTCCTGCCCTAATTCTTCACTTCTCCTATGCCATAGATAATAGACGGACCCTTCGGCTCAGCGTAGATCACAAGCTTCGCACGTGATGCTATCGCAATCCCTGATAAGGTCACTGCGATAGTTGCCATCCTCCAGAATGGCATCTACTTCCACCAACACACGGCCAATGGGAGAGCCGACTGTTCCCGAGCGGAAGGTCTCGGGGAGTTCCATCGCCACTACCACCACCACAGCTTCCACATCTGGCTCCGTTGCTTCCAAAACCCCCGCCTCCAGCCCCACCTCTATCTCCCTCCTAGCCTCTATCCAGGACTGGTGGTCGAGTCCAAGTGTGTTGATGAAGGCGACTCGTGCGAGCGATTCACAGAATATAGCCATTGCTCGTGCTCGTCTCAACAACCGTCACATCGAGTATGAGCTTTTCAGGGCCATTTTGTCAGACGACATCCACTTGAAGGAGCCAGAGATCGCTGGTGTGAAGCAGAGCACAGAGAGGTCCAACAGTGCTACACAATCACAAGAGTCTGCCAAGCACACAGAGCCTGCTGCCACCCAAGACGACGAGTCCCCCGCCACGAACAACTACACAGACGTGCCCTCCACTCCCCAATTCACAGGAGAGCTCCTAGACGTGGCCATAGATGACTACGTCTCTATACATGAACTCTACTTAGTAAATGGTCCTGAGGTCCCCGAGGACGAGCAGACCCATGTGGTGATCATCCACGGGTATATGGCAGCCATTGGCTTCTTTATCAAGAACATTGAGTCGATCTTGAAGTCCAAACGAGGCATCAGACTCCATCTTATCGATTTGCCCGGGTTTGGAAACTCCTCGAGGCCCAAGTTTCCCCAGCACTTCTTGACAGACCCAGCCACCGTACCCCAGAAGATCACCCAGATTTTGGAAATCGAGAACTGGTTCATTGACCGGCTCGAGCTCTGGCGTAAGAAGCGCCACATCCGCCACTTCAAGCTTATTGCCCACTCCATGGGAGCATACCTCTCGAGCTGCTACTTGATGAAATACAACAAGGACAACCTTGTCCTGGAATTCATGCTTGTCAGTCCCATGGGTACCGAGTCCAGCGACGTCAGCTTGCTTAACAATAAGAAGTTCCAGTTCAACCACCACGAGGTCGGAGGAGACCCCTTCCAAGAGTTGCATTTCCAGGACGAAAACGACAACCTCTTGATCAACAAGGACATCGAGAAGCTCTGGCAAAGGTTGGGCAGACCGAGATTCCCCAAGAACTTGGTTTTGAAGAAGATATGGCAGTATCACAAGTCACCGTTCCAGATAGCACAGTATTTCGGTCCATTGTACTCCAAAATCCTCTCAGTGTGGTCGTTTCTGCGGTTCAAGAACGTTAAGACAAATGAGGACGAGGAGATCATTGGTACGAGCATCAAACCTGGCTCCTCGTCGGCAATATCTTCCACCGATTTGATCTTGAAGCTACACAATTATTCGTATTCCATCTTTAACCAATACCAGGGCTCGGGAGAGTTAGCCATCACCAAGTTTATCAACCACAGGATTTTGCCTAGGCTCCCGCTCTGCGACAGAGGGTTTATTGATTACTTGAGCAAGTCAAAGGTTCGGACACTTTGGTTGTATGGCGATAGAGACTGGATGAACCACAAGGGCGGTGAATACATCTGGGAGCAATTGAACGAATTGGACCCTAACTTATCGGATTATCAGATTATACAGAATGCTGGGCATCACATATACCTTGATAATCCTGTTGAGTTCAATGAGCTGGCTATCAAGTTTTTTGACTTGAAGTAAATGGGGATTTGAGATAGAGACACAAACGTGCTTAGATATTTATAAGATTACGAATAAAAATGAGATTATGGGCAATATCCGAACTAGATGTATTTGTCTAGAATACTTTTGATCAATATATTGTGTAGTTTATTGGAATATGGTATTGAAAGTAGTATTATGTTATCACAAAAATATTTTTGAAATACTTAGACAGTATACTCTCACAGTCTATTGAATTATTTACAAATTTCTGAACCGAGTTAATAAATATAATGCTAGAATGCTAGACTAGACTTTTAGTGACTGCCTCTCCTACTGGATCAGTGGATACGCAACTTCCATAATTATGGGAAAAAAACCCTAAGGGTGATTATTCGTTTCTACTCAAAAACTCCAATTCCTCCACAATCTTCTCGCTACTTTCTCCACTGGTAATCTGCTTGAGCAAGCGGACACTCCTACCAACAAATGACTCGACTTGCTCCACCTCAATGGTGTTCTTCAATTTTTCACTCACCTCAAATGCCATCTTGATCACGTCTTCCGGCAAATCAGCCAACCTTGCCACATTCAACCCATACAGATTGTTGACTACTCCTCTGACCAAAGTGTACAAGAAGACGATCTCAGGGAATTGCAGATCGTCATTTTTTATCTCTTTGTAGCCCATGTGGTAATTAATCACAGACGAATAGGTCGACTCAAGAACATGCAATGAAGGGTAATGCGTGATGAATAGGACTATAGGAGCTAGTTGCGATTCAATCAAGTACCGCAAGATAGCATATGCAATGGATATTCCGTCGTTGGTGCTGGTTCCTCTTCCTACCTCGTCCAATATAATCAAGGACTTGGATGTCATTCCCGAGAGCACGTCATAACACTCCAACATTTCGTTCATGAACGTCGATGTTCCCTTCAAGATATTGTCGTTCGAGCCCATCCGTATGAAAATGGAGTCAAATATCCCCACCACTGCCGAATCGCATGGGAGATAACAACCTATTTGTGCCATTATGATCATTAGACCGATCTGTTTGACATATGATGATTTTCCTCCCATATTGGGGCCTGTTAAAATTAACACTCGTTCCTTATCGTAACTCAAGCTGATGTTGTTGGGCACATATGTAGGAGTTAAATTCTCTATGATGGGGTTTCTTCCATTCCGAACATCGATCGTTTGTGAAGACACAAGCTCAGGCTTGCTATAGTTCCCCCTGATTGATGAAGCCGCCGTTAGTGATAAAAGACAATCAAACTGTGAAACTATCTGGATGATGTGGCTAAAGTACTGGTGGTTTTGGTCTATTTCCACCAAAAACTGATTGAATGATTCGTCGCAACTGTTCGTGAGACGCTCTTGGCGATACTTGAGGAGCTTGTAGAGCTCAGAGATTTCAGATGTCCGGAATCTCGATACCAGGAGGGTTCCATTGATCCGTTGGAAATTGGCGGATAACGCATCTACCTGTGGTCCATTCCTGACTTCAATCAAATATGGTTCCCTGTTGTTAGTGGTGTACTTAAGCTGGGGACGTTTGAGGAGCTTACGAACAGCTTCGAGTTCTTGTTCCAAAGCTTCTTCAAGCTTGCTTATTTCTTCCAATTCGTTGGTGATTCCTTCCCAATTGCGGTAGTTGAGGTCAAAAAAGTTGACCTTGTAGTCCTCCGATGCCTCGTTGAGGAATGAAGATGAGTTGATCGTATTAAGAAAATGTGGAACAATTTCCTCCTTAGATAACTCCAACAACTTCTGAAAAATATTGAGTAATAGAGGAGACTTTATGAAATTAGAAAGAGCATCGATTGCCTTTTCAAATGTTTTTGCCTTGATGAGAACTTCGTTAAAGCACTCCAACATCTTGAATAATTCGTACCGACTAATTCTGGGAGTATTGTAGGAGGCTGAGTAGTGAACCTTAATCAAGAGCTGCTCGAGGTCGACCTTGCCCATCTTGTCAAGTAAGGACTTGAAGGAATCTATTACCTGGTTGTACTCTCGGGACATGTCCTCGATGGATTGTAAACGAGACTCAATTTGCACCCGGTCAACCAAAGGCTTCGAAATCCACTTGCGGAGTAGCCTTTTGCCAGAACGGGTCCTCGTGTGGTCAAGAAGCCATACGAGCGATCCTCGGCTCGAATTGGCATCTGTGGAATTTTGAAAAATCTCCAACGCTTGGATGGTATTATGCGACAAGATCATATAGTTCGGGTTCTTGAACTTGCTAATGTTGGTTGGGATGGTGAAAATATTGCTGAGCTTGAACTCCTTGAGATATTCGATCATGTGGCTAACGCAAACCTGAGTTGGCTCATCGAAATTCACAGTATAGTAATCGTATAAATCCCGATTCTTCCCATCATCCATTGTGGTAAAAAATTCACTCAAACTAGATTGAATCTCAGGGTAGTCGGGCACGGGTTTAATGAGGGTCAACACCTCTGGGTTGATGAGTCTGATAAGTTTTGTGAGCTGTCCTATTAGTTGCTCCTGGTTATTTATGATGATCACTTCGCTCGGATTGAGGTAGAGAAGACGAGTATTGAGCTCATTAAATGGATAAACGTCTTCAAATGAATCGTGAATAATCTCTCCAGTAGCTGGCTGGATGGCAAGCACGCAAAAGGGTACTTTCAAGGACTTCGAGGGGCTTTCCCCCGAAGCAGAAACATTTACGCATATGATGTAGCCACCACTTTCTTCGTCGCCCAAGCTTTCTCCGATGTCTTCATCTCCCATGTAGGTTCCACGAGTATAAACAGCGGTCAACTCTCTTTTCATCAAGTCAGAACGACTTGACTTCTCCACACTTTTGACCACCGAGCTTTCCATCTGTTTAATAACCCCAATTTTGTGTCCGTGGGTCAATAATCGCTTGAGATTAATGTGGAGCTTGAAATCGGGAAACGAACAGTACGAGAACTGGTCGTCCTTGGCACCATCATCTCCGCCTGGAATAAACATGATATTGAGAATTGCGGCTGCTTTTCGGGCATCTTCTCCAAAGAGTTTGTACTTATAACCCACTTGAATGACTAGCATTTTATCGGGGTTGTCTGATTTGAGTTCTATGATCTGTTTCTCCAACGGAGTAAGGGCTTTCCTTCCCTTAGAGCTTTTTGTTCTTTTAGCAGGTTGTTCTGCTTCCATTGCTTCGGATTTCGTGCCTCTTTTTCTGGAAGATTTGGCAGCTGGTTTTTCAGCTTTGGTGCTTTTCTTACTGGTGGTTTGTTTGGAAACTGATTTTGTTGATTTAATCGTGTTTTTTGAAGAAGAGTCTTCAATTTTTCCGTTTCCACTTACTTCCATGGGAATTGGTTCTTCTTGAAGGGGTGAAGGTGCAGTTTCCTCCATTTTTCCGGTATTATTTTCATCTAAAGGTAAGATGGGGCCAGTTTCTTCTATCAATACTTTCTTATTGTCTAACTCTTCACTTTTTGATTTTTCCTGTTTAGAATTCTCATTGTGCTGCTTGTCTTCGTAGTTTGATACTGTAGCCTTCCCGTTGGCATTGTTCTGTTTAGCGGGTGAGTTGGAGTTCCCATCATCATCATCGGTCAAGTCTATTGTGAGGGACTCTGGCACATTTTGGGCATTTTGGACAGATTTTTCTTTATTTGGCGACTTGAAAAAGTGGCTAATAGACGGCTGAGTCGTCTTCTTCGGACCCATGCTGAGTGATGGAGAGTGACAAGTTGGCAGTTGGGCTATAAGATGTCTAGACGCGACTTTTCATATCGGTACACGTGACCATTATGTTGCGGGAATGTCAATACAATACTGGGGATCCTGGAGGTGTGTCACTATAGATCCAGGAAGATTGTATGTTAATATTGAAAGGTGCTTAACTATTCTCCAGAAGCATCTCACTTTTGAAAGTAGTTCATAATCTCATCTTGATGATTTTTGTGCCGAATCTTATTCTGGCTGCGAAAAGTGGGCCAAAATCGACCACCATAATAACTACTCAATGATAAGTTGTCCTACTAAGAGTGCCAGAGAATCTCCCTTACCTAATTTTCGGAAAAATGATGAGACATTCTTATATTAATTATCCTTAACACCATTTAATTTTGGAAGAAAATGGGATACATCATTGATTCAATTGTCATCCAAGGAAGGTAGTTTTTGAATCGGTGGTTTCTTGACATCAAACTCTACGAAGATTCTTCTCTCGCTCATCTCGAGATTATCTGCCTACAACTGGAGATCTGGAAATTAGAACAAGACTTGAAGACAGTCATAAATTATCGAAGAAAATTTTAGTTTAGTTAATAAACGTATGGGATACACAAATATTTTACTTCGGCCTTACCAGAAAGTTGACATGGAAACCAGGGCCTATTAGTATCTAAATTTCAACAAAATAAACCAGAAATAAAAGCTCAACATTGCACTAGTTTCTTTGATGTATCTTTTTGGTTTATTCTCGTAGCCATTAACTGATGTTTTCACCTCATTTTGGTAAAATTTCTCTCCATTGCTGCAATAATAGCAAGGGAGTACAAAATGGTACTACAAAATATCGATTTGTTGGTATAACAGTAGATTCTGTTGAAATTTGACTCAATAGCACCAGAATTGCTATTATAACTCCCATAATGGTGCTTTATACAATACAAACTACAGATTGGATAAAAAGTTCCGAGAGATTATTCTCGAAATGCAAAATGTCAATTGAAAACGGATAGATACCTGCAAGGAAACATTCCCGACTAAGACAAACACTTTCTATGTATAAGTGGTATTGGTGCCAAATATCTCATCTGACTCTGCTGAAACTAATGCTACTGATGTTGCCTCTTTTCAAGTTGTCGTTGGAGGCACCTTTCAGACTAGTTCTACTCAATGCAGTCAATGAGCCAGCTTTAGTAGGGCTAGCAGTCCTTGGTATACTCAGAGGAGGTTGCTCCAATATCGTAGTTGAAGATGATTTGTTGAGTGAAGAGTGACTTCCATTTACCGGGAGGGTGCCAGAAGACTTTGTCTTTCGCAATACGGGAGAAATATCTCCACTAGAGTGCTTTGCGCTCCCACCACCGGACGATGACCTATTTGACAAGGATGGCCTTCTGACAGGGCTTTCTAGAGATGACCTGCTGCTGTTAAACGCCACCTTTGCCGCGATTGAAGATGCTGAGGAGCTTCTGGATTTGCTCGTTTGAACCATAGGCGGCCTATTCCCCTCTTGCCTGTATTCGTTCTGCTTTGTAGGTGATCTAATTTGATCAGTCCTGAGATCTACCTGTGATTTTTGGGCCAGCAAAACAGGAGAAGGTGTGCTAGAAAACGAGGAGTTGGATCTTGAGGCACGGGAAATGTGGAATTCGTGTACTGCCCCCAGTTCTGGCAATACTTGGTTCACTATATGGTTGGGGCTTGTCTTGATCACGGGCCACTGGTGATCCTCCTTGTCCACCGGGAAAGTGGGGATAGGTGTTAACTGGAATGGGGCATTTGAGAAGGATAAACTCTTCTTTCGTCCCATTTGTGGCAACACAGCAATATTTGTTGGGGAGTTAGTCAAAGACGAAGAGTTTGAAATAGTCGACTGGGGAGATGGAGGAGGAAGGAAATTGTCGTTATCGTCGTAGTTGTTGCTCCGTATGGAAGGAGATATGGTGAATGATTTCAACGAGGGGGCTCTATTGGAAGGAGTCTGTGGGACATTGGATCTAGGCGAGTTTAAATTTGCGTTGATCGATGCAGGTGGTTTGTAGGAGTAAGACGTTTGGGCTCTTCTCCGGGAAGCGGAAGTGGTGGGCTTTATTTCTGGAGTCGATGACGAGGGAAGCGACAGCGAATGGGCGCGTCCGCTGGGGCTTATTTCTGAGTCGGACTTGGTGGGCTCTTCCTCACCTTTCTGTGCCTGTGAGACGGGAACAATGGGACTTGCTAGCACCTTGTTTCCAGGAAGCGAAGTCTGGGAGGAATTGTGCTCGAGGGAGAAGAGCTGATTGGGAGTCTTGAGCACGGAAGCCACTTCGGCTCGTTCGGCGTCAAACAACAAGTCGTGCTTCAACACCTCGTACTTGGAAATGAGATCGAAACTGGAGGCATACTCAATGGCGGTCCAGCCCTTGTTGTTCTTGGTCAGCTCGAACTTGCGGATCTGGTCCACGCAGGTCTTCCTATCAGGAGCAACTGTCATCAAGTACTTGAGGATCACCTGGATGCAGTCGAAATTGCCAAACTCAAGGCACAAGTGGAGGCAGGTGTTTCCGTCCAGGTCCTGGAGCTTCCAGTCGGCTCCAAACTCCAACAACAACTTGATGCCCTCCTTGAAGCCGTAGATACAGCTGTAGTGGGCTGGGGTCTGGTTCAGGCGCCCTCCGGCGTAGTTCAACCACAACTTGCCGGGAAACTCCTGGAGAAGGTAGTGGAGGGTCTGTGGCTTCTGGGTGAGCAGCGAGAGGTGGAGCACCAGGAGGTTGTCGAAGGTGAGGAGGTCGAGGTGGCTGTAGTGGTTGGAGAGCACGCCCATGTTCTGGTTCATGAACGAGACCAAGTGGAAGCAGATCAAGTAATGGCCGTGGAACGACGCGTAGTGGAGGTTAGTCCATCCGTCGTGGGACGGGTCGGGATTGAGCCAGAGCTCGGGAAACCGGGCCAATAGTCGTTTGGTGATGGGGAGGTTGCCCTCTATGATGGCGTTGCGGAGACGCTGCTGGGGGTCTAGCATGGGCTGGCGCGTAGGGAGGGATAGGAGTGGTGGTGAAACTGGTGGGAATTCGTAGCGGGGCTTGGGTGGTGTTACTGGTGGTGGTAAATGGCGTGGCTAGCGCTATTCGAGGTGCTATCCGTGTGCTATTCGTGGTGCTATCCGTTGCTATTCGTATACTATTCGTGTGCTATTCGTGTGCTAAATCGCTAATGGCTGTAAGTGGCGGTAGCGCTCGCTGTGCCTGGATGAAAATACTCACCACCACGGATCACTACACGAACAGAACGTGCGGAGCGAGGCGTGGTAAGGAGACTACAAGACGTGAGACATCGCAAACATCCACACATCACAGGAGTACCAGCGACAGATTGTGCCCAATTGCAACTACACCAGCAGAAAGATTGTCCAATTGCCTCCAACTACACCAACCGCACCAGCAGAGGTTACCACTCGTCGACTAGCCACCACCAGAGGTTACCATCCGACTAGCCACCACCAGAGGTTACCATCCGACTAGCCACCACCAGCCACACCAGTCGACTCCCAAGCCATTGTCGCCATTTTCCAGCTGGTGACGCCCAACTCGGCCCAATAACCACTCGTTTGACGCTGCAATCAGCCATTTGGCCATCCATAGATAGTCCCAATCGCCACCAACCACCACTTGCCTGCCACCACTACCCACATTTACCCTCCAGCCACCATGAGCATGCGATTCCTCGCCATCTCCGACATCCAGGGCAACATAGACTCCATTTCCGCCCTCTACCACCAGGCCCTCCGCAGAGGCCAACACATAGACGCCATTATCCACACAGGCAACTTCGGTTTCTGGGACGAAAACACCATCGACGAGTACAAGGACCTCAGCTACTTGAAGCAGATCGTGGCGTTTCTGGAGGTGCTAGACCCCGAGTTGGTGGAGGAACTCAACAATCTCAGTGTCATCAACTCGTCCAACCCGCTGCCCTCGGCGCTGGACGAGTTCAAGGCGTACAGAACTCGGCTCAAACAGTCGAAATCGTCCCTCAGCCAGTTTGATTCGATCTTGAACGGCACCTACCGGTTGCCGTGTCCTGTCTACACCATCTATGGGCCGTTGGACGACCCCAAAATCATCCACAAGTTCCACACTGGCGAGTACTCGATTCAAAACCTCCATCTCGTGGACCATTTGAACGTTTGTGAAATCGAAACCGAGAGCACCCAGCCCAACATCAAACTTTACGGGTTGGGGGGCAGCTTGAAAATCCACAGCCTCTTTGACAATGGAAACTTGGCCTACGATGGCATCAGTGGAAAGGTTGGCGAGTTGTGGATAAGTATCATCCAGATAGCCCAACTCTACAGCAATCTTGCCAAGGGAGGTGAGTTGAGAGGCGACTCCAACTCAGACACCATCAACATCTTCCTTTCACACGCCCCAGTCATCAAAACGCCGTTGCTTGAACACCTAGCCATCATCACCAACTCCGACTTCACCATCTCCCAGGGGTTGCACTTCCGCTACCCAGTGATGGGGAACGGAATGGGGTTCGTGGATAGCATGGGTGGATCCGCAGGGTATATCGAGAACTATCGGTCCAAATTCTCCCGCTTGCGGATGATCTTGGGTGAATTGTGGTTAATCATTAAGCAGGACTTATTGGAATTATTAGACGTTAATGACCCTGAAGAAGTGAGACAATTGAGGGCATCCATCGAGTTGGGATTGAGCTTGTTCGACAAGATCCCCGTGCCCATGAATGACCCCAACGAGAAGATTGTGTCTTTGAGTTTGGAACCCTCGACAAAGACAGAAATTGACGACGACAGCAAGAGCATTCTTCGAAGAATCAACGATTTGTACTTTCAGGCTTACTACAACTTGTGGCACTTCAACTTGTGCGACCACATTTCCACACCTATACCCAAAGACTGCCCCACACTTGAAAGGGAGTACAATATTATGATCTTCAAGTTGGACCCCGGTGGCAACTTCAAATTGGACCACACCAGCAGTCAGGGGTTCAACTTCGGGTTCAAGATGGAAGGCAAGCACCGCCGAGACCAAGAGGCCAGCGAATGGCCGGCTGGCGAAGACGAGTACGACGAGTACAATACCTCGCAAGAGATTTCCCACAGTGACATCAGTTTCGACAGCAAACCCAAGGTGAGTGCCATAGAGTACTCCCCCAAGACTGGTGTGAAGAAGCAGATTTTGGAGAAAGACGAAGAGGACGACGACAGCGAGTCCCCCACCGACGAATATCCTAAGTATGGCAGGTTTAGAGGGCGTGGCAGGGGAAGAGGTAGAGGCAGAGGCCGTGCCCCGAAGTATAGAGGAAGGGGAAGAGGTGGGTAGAAGCACTTGACGACTACTCGTCGCTCAAGTCTTGAATACAAAACCTTCACTCACCTGCTCAAAAACCATTTCAGCAGTGATTATCAAATACGGCAACGCAAGCTGCCTAGCCTGAACGCCTTCAATTCTTGAGTTGCGATGTTCAGCACACTAACGTGTCATTATATAGACCCTGAAAGTAGACCCTTGTGATATCTGGCCCTTAGGCCACTACAATGTAGCAGTCTTAATGTTTATTAATATATGTATGTCTACCTGACACGATGCTTATGGTCGTAGGAGGCTTCGGAAATTTAGTGATGTTCGAATGGTAACTTTTGACCGAAGATGACTGGACCATCTTCCTTTATTCTGTAGAAGATGTAGAACCACATGGTGGCGCCCAAAAACTTGGAGGCGTATCTAATCTTTGGATCCACGTGTGGTTTGGCGACAGCGGCGTGACGGAGGTACTTAACTGCGTGATGACCGGCCATTTTGGATAGAACAGTTGATGATTTTAAAAGCGTTGATATGGTTGGATGAACGAAAAATACGTGAGGAGAAGCGTGACCGCACACGTGCATACGTGTGATTCTACACGTGACTAAAAACTTCTCACATGACAGGTCTCCTGTTTTGAGATGCACGTGTATAGTAGCACGTGATTACCCGCCATGAGCCCTTTTCTTTCGCCCGCGTTAGCGCCGTGACGGGCGTCACGTGGATCGTATGCGCTACCAAGATCACGTCACGCGCATCGCATGTAATGCAATCTAAGGAAATATGTCAATTGCAGCTGCCGTTCGTCCTGACATCTCGCTATATTTTTTTTTGGGCGACGCTTTGTAGTAACACCAGCGCAATAGTGCACGGTATTTTCCGCTTTGACAATTCCGGAGTTTCATCTTCCGACAAATGGCGCTCAGGCGCAGAAGCAGTATGGAATTGAAGCTATCAACAGCATAGTTACATTTACCGTAGGCGCTGACACCATGAACAATAAAGCCGCACCTAAGTAATAATTACACCGTGGTATTCTACTTCATGGGGATCCCCAGACTCTGCTTGAAATACTATGGTCGGCAGTCTGGGGGATTTTCAGCCAGGCACAATACTCTGGATATAGCGTCCACGTGATCGGGTTGCAGCAAGCCAGGGGTGGTTCCTCCTTACGTATGATAAGTACTATCGCGGCTGGTGATTGGTCCGACTGTGTTCTCCATACGCAGTCATCTGTGCATCCAGATTTGTCTTCATTACAGAAGTGGTGCATAGTGCCATCGTAAAAATTTAAATGTGGAGAACTACGTGGAGGTTAAGGCGCGGTTAATTTGGTATTTTTTATGTGTGGCCTACAAAATAGTCACAAAGCTATTATGTTGGTGGGGGCCACTCATGGAGAACCAGATAATTCCTGCACACATACCCACCAGACATATACGTAGTTTTTTCTATGTACCTCGAAAAGCGGTATTGAGCATATTTTAGCCGAGCTAGTAACGGGTCATACTTTCGTTGGTGGCCATAGTCCTAGGTTTGAGGTTGGCATATGCCAGTGGGTTCAGTCTAAATTTTTAGCCACTATCCTGTCGATCCAAGCTTACCCTAATGCCCCACCCCCTGCTGGATTGGCTCCTAGAATGGCCCCATCAGTCGAGCCCCATCAAAATTGACAAAAGGATCTCTTGGCATCATGCATGTCATCAATTGAAGGTATGTAATCGCCGCTGTGGTGCGTAACGTGCCCCCCAAAATCTCCAGCATGCATACTACATTCTACATTCTGGCTGTTATTATGAATCAGGTGAGATATTATATTGCTGTGCGTTCCACGTACATGGTTGTAGTACATGTAAGAATTAAACCTTAAATAGTATTGAAGAGTAAATGTGATGTTTGAACGCTAACGGTTCCATCAAAAACGGGCGGCAATTCGCTTTGGGAATTGCAAAAGGAGGGTGGGAATTGAAGTATGCAAGGAATGACTGTAAAGTTGGGCAAATGAGCGATGGGTTTATTAGTTCTTTCTCATCTGCATCTCCTGGTCTCGCTTTAAGTCACGTTCATGCAACCTGTAGTGTCTAGTCATATTGGACTTGACCGAAAACAACTTACCACATTCTTTCCATTCACACTTGTAGATCTTTTCTCCGGTGTGCATGTTGTAGTGGGTCTGGAGCGACGATGGTCTCTTGAACTGCTTGTTACAGATCTTACACCTGTTTCTTCTGGCGGTTTCGGGAGTCATGTCGTAGGTGGTCGAAGAGCTTCTCTTTTTTCTTCTCTTGGTGTCGCTGTCAGTAGACGACACCGATGAGATGGACGAGGTGCTGGATCTGAACTCCAATGGTGGGGGCTTCATGTCGTGCATTCCGGAGAACAAGTCGTTGTTGATGTTCATGAAGGGAGCCACCTCAGGAACTCCAGGATTGCCGTACCCAGTCAATGGTGGCAAGGTAGGATTGAGGTAGTTGTATGGATCGGGTCTTCCTGTGAAGGTGGGGGATTCCGAGTGGTGGCCAGCATCGTACGACGTAGACTTGGGCAATTCAGGCTTCAAGGGGTCTACCGACAACAACGAAAGGTCGCCTGCTGGCTGGTCCATGTGGTAGGCATACACCCCCAAAGGCTCCTGGGTGGGCATCTCTGGCTGCACGGGATTGTAGAAGTGGTGCTGCGAAGACGAGTTTATCTGGGGCTGAGAGCACATCTGGGTAACGTATGGGTGTGGCTGGGTGGTGGGAAGATGGGAAGGTTGGCCCAAGTGATGGTAGGCGTTGTGTTGAGCAGCAAGGTTCTGATTTGACATGGGCTCCATGTAATGGGGAGTCTCTACAAACGTCTGGACATAGGCCATTAATGCCTGGTTGTAGAGCATGTTATTAGAGTTTTCCACGGTAGTCATGTATTGTTTCGGTTCTGTGATGGATGTGTTAGAGTCTGAATCTTTGGAAGATATCATTGGAGATGAAGAGAGAAGTGAGAAATGGGTCTTTATATACAAACGGCTCTTGTTTGCGTAAATTCACCAGTATCAGGTGGAAAGGCTGACGTACCTTGATAATATGTAGAGTAACCGAGTCTTCCACAGATAGAGATAACATATTTACATGCAGCTGCATCATGTAGTCTGCAAACTACCCAAAAAATCTTACACAAAAAAAATCTAATTGACATGCGTCAATCGCAAAAAGGCTTCTGGACCGTTCAAGGTTTAGTCATCCTCAATATAGAGATTGTTACGGCGTAAATTCAGATGATTCATGAGATCCAAACCTTAATTTGAGTGTGGCACACCATGGGGAAACCCCTAGAACCTTTCTATCAATCATACCCCCCCAAAAAGAGGCTCCAGGTGTAGTTTCATACCCAGGCGACACCCGTCCAGAGGACAGCTACAGCCTGCTAGTGCTTGTAACTGCGCCATGGCTCAAAAGTCAGATATGACTGTCCCAGCCTCTTGTCATTGACATTAGTTCACCCCGCAATATCTAACCACGTTGGTAAAATATTTTAAGACTGCATAGCGACACCAAACCGGTGTCTAATCGGGCAGATGCCTGAAAGCGAAGATCGGCTGGTGTTCATGACGTCTAAAAATTGACGTTGGATCGTCACCATTACTGTTTCATTACATGTGTGATGCCGTTGCAAAATTCGGCGTGGCACTCCATTCATGGTATGGGTCATTTGCACGCTGGATGTATGGGGGACCATCTTTGCCGTGGTGCCGTGTGTGCATCTGTTGAGGAAATATTGGTTGCTCTGGCGCGCTTCCACATCGATCCGACATTTACGGTTGTGTCTCAAATAGTTTTGTGTAACGACTCGTGCAGTAATTGAGTTTGATACACCCCGGCCCGACACCAAATTCTCTACTATTATCCCACCCCCCCTGTTTCTCAGTTACCGCAATAGTCAACTTATCCTAAAAGCGTAATCACCGCGCGGCCTCAGATATGTCAGCAAAACCGCTCCGTTACCTCCGCATTGGTGATGAGTAGCTCAGTCTGCTCGGTACGACCAAACCACCCTAGCCGAAGCTGCCACTCATGTCCGAGCCGTGGCAGCCGTGGCAGCCTTGGCAAGCCCTGGATCGGTGGTACCTGCCCTTCATCTACACGGATCCTCGACTAAATCCTGTTCTTCACAGTATTTAGCGGAACGGCTCCCAAAAATAAGGTTCTACGGCGAGATTGTGTAACAAACTTTGTGCCATGCAGTTGTTTCAAAAGTTCCGTACTCCTGCCGTTTGCAGTACATATTCCGTATTCTTGCGTAAACCTTCGCCGAATGCTACGGCTCACGTAAACCAACGTTATTGTATTGTTTCCCCATCGAACGCAATCACATGTGTCGAACACAATCAGCTCGTCGGTTGTTTGCTCCGTTATCTACGTCGTATCTGCCAGAGATAGCCACCTGCATCACCGTTGGCACCAACCGAGGTGAAATTCACGACGTCAACACCTGGAACGATTCCAGCGCGGCTATCGATCCTTCGTCTCGCCTGTGGCAGTCAAGCGACTGGTACCATTGTCGATTGGCAATAAATTTTTTGCCCAATACGTCTTGCTTCTAGCTTTAAGGGGAGCTTCTCAGTGCTTGCATGGTGTGGCCCTGCACCGCCACTCTGGATGGGAATGCACTACCGTGATCTGCCCTGGAGTGAGGAGAGTGACACCATACTGCAGCATCAGTGACTTAAGTGAAAATCATATTATTCTCACTAGGCTAAACCAGTTTGACGGTCGTCGGTTACACTCTCCCAAAGCAGTGGTGTCAGCGGAAACAGAAGGACATATGCGTTACATATACGGGATGACAGCACATGTCAAATGCAGACAGCACAAACTTGGAATAGAGCCGCTGCCATGGAACACTCTGCAAACATGTTGACTCAGCAGTTGCATATGATTCTGGTGCCTCTGCGGTGGATCCCCGGGATTCCATAGTGGTGCGCTGCGGGCCCCTGACAGCAGACCCCCGTGGTGGTAAGGATGGCGGTGTTAGGCGGAGCATCAAGTAGGTGCGTGATGCGCCAAACGGACAAGAATAGATTATGGCTGAGCACGACCCTTCCACCAGGCCGTTGGGGGAGGCTGAAGCAGAGACAGGAGTCCCCCACGCCTGATCCAGTGGGGTGACATGGGCGATCTGGTGGTGGGGGGGGTCTATCGAAAGCACCCACGCATGCATGCACAGATCTCTCCACGCCATGTGACCATCCTGTAGACTTCTCGCACGCTAGACCGTACAGCTGGCGGCGACAGCTGCGTGACGCGCACGCACCCCCCACCAAAAGTCACGTGACCGGTCCCCTAGCCCCGTCCTCCGGTTGCGCCACGTCTTCGCAGCCAGCCTCCAGCCAGCCTTTGCAGCCAGCCATCCCCCTCCAATCAGGCTGTTCCCCGTCACGCCAGCCAGCACCCTGGGCTTATCCAGCAACGCACCATCATGCACTGTTATTGTTTCGTGCTGTCAACCCCAACAATCGGCCTCCTTGCTTAATGCAAGCCTCCACTGACACCATGCCCTGATCTGGCAGCATGTACCTGGCGCATATGATCCCCACTATATAAACTGGCAGCTGTGCCCAGATTTATGCACCCATCACTTCTCTGACACATCCTTCAAACTAACATGAGATACTCTGCCCTTTTTACTGCTGCTGCCATGGTCAACTTGGCCACCGCTGCCTACGTGCCCAACGATAACTACAGCACCTTGACACCTGCTGCTCCTGCTCCTTCTGGAGCCACTGCTGACCACACCCACTTGTTTGGTATCCAGATCGTCACTTTAGAGTCGACTGCCACTGCTGCTCCTTCTGCCAACCACAAGAGAGATGCTGTGCAACAGATCGGTGATGGCCAGGTCCAGAAACAGACCTCCATCACTTTGTCATCACCACCTGCTCCTACTGCTTCTGTGGTGAACCAGATCGGTGATGGCCAAATCCAGCACCAGACTGCTGGTGTTGTGAACCAAATTGGCGATGGCCAAATCCAGCACCAAACTGCTTCTGTGGTCAACCAAATTGGCGATGGCCAAATTCAGCACCAAACTGCTTCTGTGGTCAACCAAATTGGCGACGGTCAAATTCAGCATCAAACTGCTTCTGTGGTCAACCAGATTGGCGACGGTCAAATTCAGCACCAAACTGCCACCTCCAGCGTGGTCAACCAGATTGGTGACGGTCAAATTCAGCACCAGACCACTGCTCCTGCTGCCTCGCAAATCAGCGATGGCCAGGTGCAAAACCCAACTGGCACTCCAACTCCAAACGCAGACAAGCCCACTGGCGGATTTCCAGCTTCCTGTAAGACTGAAAACTCGTTGGGAATGAACTTGAGCGGAGGAATCTTGAAGGACGCCAAGGGCAGAGTCGGAGCCATTGTGGCCAACAGACAATTCCAGTTTGACGGCCCTCCTCCACAAGCCGGCTCCATTTTTGCTGCTGGGTGGTCTGTCACCCACGACGGCAACTTGGCCTTGGGTTCTGATGACGTTTTCTTCCAGTGTGCCTCCGGTGACTTCTACAACTTGTACGACCAAAACGTTGCTGCTCAGTGTACTCCAGTCAAGTTGAGTGTCATCGACTTGGTCGACTGTTAGCTTATGAATCACCCTGCTACGGGATATAGAAGGGTCACAGCTGTGCTGTTTGTATAATAGAATGGGAATATATGTATATGATTATGACGAGCTGTAATCGGCCTGACTTGTCAGGCATAAGTGCAATAGGCAAGTTATGAAACGTTGTGACAATAGTGGACTCGACTTGTCGTGCATTCAGTGGGAATGGAATAAATTTAATTACGACATGCAAAAGTGCAGTTCTAATTTAAATTTTAAATTATCCTACATCTGTTAAACTTTTAGTCCAATGGGACTATTATCAGATATAATGCTATCAAAAATGAATGTTTTCAATGCTATCAAACGAAGCTAACATCTACACAGGTAAAGATGTATGTTGAGCTTTTATCTTCAGTCTACTTTTAGTTCAGTCTGCTTCTTTTCAGTCTGCTTATTTTCAGCCTGCTTCTGTCCAATCTGCTCGAAAGGCTCTACCTCTTTAAAAACCCTTTCTGCTTCATGGGACTCTTGAAGGTGTTTCCACTAGTCATTGTGTATGCGACGCTCGTATAGGCGGTGCTTTCAGCGTTGTAGACGGCGGAATCGCTGGCCTCTTGCTCGCTATAGTGCAAAGTAACCGAACTGAAGTTACGGAACGGGTCGTTGGAGTCCACAGCCCCGTTTTTGGTCTTGTTGTCTTTGGGGCCACTCATATCAACGCTGTCAGTCGGACGTTCATACTTCTTGGAGTTCTTGGTCAAGACGGGAATCATTGGAGGCTGTTGGTGTCTCAACAACGCCCATTGGGTGTTCTTGAAGAATGCGTGGTTCTTGATATCCGATGCCCCGGTCTTGGAACCGAGTCTTTTAACCTCGTCCTTGATAAGCAACTTCTTAATTAGGCTCTTGCAGTTGGACGAGATCGACTGGGTGTCCATGAACTTGACGTCCTTCTTCAAGATGTTGGCAAACGTCTTCTTTCGGTCAGCACCCTTGAACGGAGTGGTTCCGTACAACATCTCGAAGATGAAAATCCCGAGAGTCCACCAGTCAACAGCTGAAGTGTGACCCTTTCCCTTGATGACTTCAGGCGCAATGTACTCCTCGGTACCCACAAACGAATTGGTACGGAACCCATCAATACATGCCTTGGTGTCCAAACTCAAACCACCCGCGTGGCTAGAGTTGCTGTTAGAGGACAAGTGACTGCCCTTGTTGAAGAAAATCTCCGGGTTCTTGGTGCTTTCAGATTGCTTGGACAAGTCAAAGTCACTCAACATAATGTGACCCGACTGGTGAAGGAGGATATTTTCGGGCTTGAGGTCTCTGTAGATGAATCCCATGAGGTGGAGATACTCCAAAGCGGCTGTGACTTCAGCAGCGTAGAATTTTGCATCGTTTTCTGCGATGGACTTGGTTTCTCGGGTCTGCAAAGCCCTGAAAAACTCACCACCCATACAGTACTCCATGCACAAGTAGAGGTAGTCGTGGGACTGGAACGAGTGGTACAACGTGACAATGAACGGGTGGTTGCTGGTGGCCAAAATTTCCTGTTCTGCCAACGCCCGCTTGATCTTGTTGCGCTCGATCATCTCCTTCTTGTTCAAAACCTTCATGGCATAGAGCTTATTGGACACCTTCTCCTTGACAAGATACACCTTACCAACGTCACCCTTGCCAAGAAGCCTGATTTTCTCGAAACAGTCCAGGTTGACCTGGACATCCATGATCTTGGTGGCTGCTGACGAGTACATTCTCTCTTGGGTATAGGTTCTGGGTCTTCCTGTTATCTTGAGCTCACCAATATGCTTATTGATGTCGAACTCCTCATCCTCGGCATTTGGGGCGCTGGCTGGGGTCGGCTTCGACTCGCTCAAGAGTCTGTGCACCAACGGAGCAGAGGCCACTCTACGAAGGGTTCTCTGAAATGGCGAGCTTGGTGGAACCAAGGTGGAGCCAGACGCCTTAGGAGGCTGTACTGGAGAGGTTGGCACGTTCAAATTTTGGTTCTTTTTGGAGGGTGCCCCATTTTCCGCTTTCAATTCGGTTTCCTTTAAATTGAGGTCAGACTTGTAGCCTCTCAACTCTGGACTTCCCTTCAAATCGACAAAATCGTGCGAGTCGTTAGTGTGCCTGTTGGTGGGAGTTTTTGGGGGTAAGTCTGTCGAGTGGGGGGAGGTGGAGTTTGTCTTGCGCATGTCGTTCAAGGTATCTTCTTCGCCACTGGAAAACTGGTTCTGGTGGGCCATTGGCGGCTTCAACACTCCACTGTCACTGAGCGAGAAAACCGAGTCATTGTGTCTCAATGACACCGACAAGTCGTCTCTGTTGGTGACCGATTCCTCGAAGTTTTTGTGGGGCGATCCGCTGGATGCACCCAAATGGGGAGGAAGGCCCTGGTACGCAAAGTAGAGACTGGACGACACGACAGGACTTTCTGGAGTCTTCAATGTTCTGGAGGACGAATCGGCAGGCGGTGAATGTGGCGACTGGGTGACGATTTCCGGAAGCCTGATGCGGAGCGACAGCGCACTTCTTTTGGTGTCGATGGTGGGAGTGGTCTTCTTCCTGGAAGCTGTGGGAGAGTCCTTGGGGGACGCCTCTTTTTTGGGCGCCTTGTCGTCTTTTGTCAGCTTGGTGATGGATATTGATCTGGTATGCGAATGACTGGGCGAGCTGGCAGGACTGGACTGCGAACGTTTACGGACTAGCATGAACTTTTTGACCAACGAGGTAGGCTCCTCGGTGCTGGTAACGGGATCAATGGAGTCGACCTGGTGGTGCTTTTCGTCAGAAGGGTCCATTTGCGATGGCGATGGAGACGAAGAGATGCGGAAGAGATTCTTCAATTTAACGAGGCTTGGGGGCCTCTTTTCGTCAGCACCGCCTGCCAGAGGCGGCTGCTGGTGTGACGACGTCTGAAACGGGTTCTGGAGGCCCTCAGGCGAGCCCTCGGACCCGTTGTCCTTGTTGAAGAAGAACTTGGAGATGGAAATGGAACGAGAACGTGACGACAGGCTGTGGGAGTCTGCCTCTGGCTTGATGGACGGTGGAGCTCGCAATTCGCTTGGATTCACTGCGTAGTCCGACGGGCTGTTGAAGATGGAGCTGTCGGAGTCCACCTCGTACTGTTGGTTCAACGGGCTGGACGCCTTGTTTTCGGGTCCATTGGTGTTTCCAGAGCTCTGGAAGATGGATGGAAGAGCCACCATGGTGTTTTCCAATGCTGATAGGCGAAACGCTGTGGTAGACGCTATGACGTATGCCACAAGTTATGCTGGTGTAGCACGCTGGGCGAGGCTCGGGAGGGCGCTGAAAAAGGAGCGGTGGTCGGGAGCGGGCGGCAGATGCAGATGTGTCGAGCTAGTACTCGGCTCGAGGGCGGTGGTGTGGTGGGAAGAGAAGACTTTGGGTGTGATTCGGCACCGCCAGGCACGAAATTTGATTGTCTCTGCTTACGTAAGCAGTTGCTATACTGTATAGGGCCCAGGCGTCTCCTATCTGGGGTTGGGCCCATAACCATTTGGGTGGAGGATGGATTAGACTTTGTAGGTCCGTTAGGTTGATGGTGCCAGTTTGGCAAGTTTTTTCAACTACGGACTAACCTGATCTATTCGGCCAATTTGGCACATTGATTATGCATTTCCTGAGTCGTGTGCTTCTCGGACCAACCTGATCCATTCAGGCAGTCTGTGGATTATCAGGCAATTCTGTGCTGTAGCTTTCTACGGAAAGAATACGCATGATAAAAAGAATAAAAATGTTTGTTTGTTACAAATAAATGAATAGAATATGTATCCAAAGGATACTATAGCTTCATACTAATTCTTCTATTAATTTACTATTTTTTCAAAGCTATTATTATCATTGGCCTATATCTTTTTTTAGATGTGGCATTATGCACAGAAATACTTCAATCACCTGCTATTAAATCAGCTGAATATGAGCCTAAATGACTATTTTTAGTCTAAATGCTTCCAGAGTTTATCTTCGCTCGTGCATTTCATAGGGTCATCTTCGGTGTTATATTCTCGATTAGGTGATAACATACATCTTTTAATAAAAGACCAACTTTGTCTTGTTGAGGGGAAATCACTATGCCGAAAATGGTACCCACGATAGATTGTTGCTGATCTTACCTTTTGATATAGAAATCTCTACTATTTCACTAATCTGACCCTTTTTCCAATCTCAGCAAATTGATAATTCCATTTCATTCGCTCCAAGGTCTTCTACAAATGGTAACTTTTTGTCTATTAGGAGTATGAAGGGGGTGACTAGCACAAGTGTGGGGGTAAAAGGAAGTTGGGGATCGAGTTCTTGATGTGGTACACATGGCCACAGTTCCTGCAGCTCATCTTGCCCTCCACGATCTGGGTCTCCATGAGTAAGGTATGCAAATCTTTCAACACAGCTTGGCTGTCTTCCATGATTGGGTCCAATCCCTCAGGCTTGGTGGCAGGTAACGAGTCGTTTCCAAGATCCTTGGCGACTTGCACGATGGCATTCCACTCCAATCTCTCGAGCATATGGCTTATGAACTCAGGCTTGTATTCAGTCTCTTCCTGCACGAGCTGGCAGTCTTCGTATTTCAAGGGGAAGGCCTCGAGCGAGCTCAGGCATCCCTTGACGGCACAGGTGACGAAATTGGTGGTTAAGAACTTCATGATGGTGTGATGGGAGTCATCGCTGGTGAATTTTTTTGATGCTATGATGCGTCATGTGATCATTTACACGTGATATGGCTACGGGGTGGACAAATAACTGGCGTCCCTTTGGCCCTTTGACGTTGACAGGTGGTCCTGACTGGTCCAGACTTGTAGGTGCTAGAGAGCAAATTCAGTCTATCTTTTCTCTAGTCGTCTATTCCCGAAGATTTTCTTCTAGGCTCATTTCGCAGCAATTCATCACCTCAAAGCCCGTAAAAACCCCGGCTTTCCCGAGATCCTGTCTATCTCTCATTCTTCCCTCTCTCACTACATCTCCTACTTCTCCTTCCTAGACACTTTGATCAGGGCTCTCAATTCTTTTATCATCATCCTATAATATGATCTTAAAATTTTATTAATAAATATTGTTTTTGGCCGATTCGAGTCCTAAATTTAATACATTGGCTCCAATAGAGGTATATGTATATCAACAGATCAGCTCCAGATAACTCATCGGACAGTTTTTATTCTTTAGTACCATTCATAAAGTCGCCTAGTTGCAAATAATGGTATGCGCACGACCTCGCACCGGTGGCGACAACTAACTTGATAGACTCCAACTCCAAATCACATCCACACACGCTTCCACCATGTCATTACAGAAGCTAACCGCAGAATTGTACAAGCTGTTCGACAGCCAGGAATACGAACAGTCTTTGAAGCTTTTGGCGCCCATCAAAATCGAATTAATCAAGCACAATCTCCTCATTCCTTTGCCCTCCAACACCCTGACCAAGGACCAAGTCAACGACTTGAAAATCGCGCAGAGAATCCTCGAAATCGGAGCGTTGGCGTCGTTGCTCACCAACAACTACCAGTCGTTCGAAAACTACTTCGCTCAGTTAAGACCTTTCTACGCTACTGCCCAAATCTACTCCAAGCAAGAAAAGCTCAATACAGATGCAACCAAAATCATATCATTATACTTGCTCTACTTGTTGTCCCAGGGGTTGATCTCCAAGTTCCACATCGAGTTGGAAACCATCTACAACTCCAGCCACTACGACACAGAAAAGGACAAGTACTTGAGCTTCCCCATCAACTTGGAAAGAAACTTGATGGAAGGAAACTACATCAAGATCTGGAAGCTCTTGAAGGAAGAAAAGAACTTGCCATGCAAGGAGTACACCCACTTCATAGATACCTTGATCAATGCCCTCAGATTCGAAATCTCCAAGTCCTTGGAAAAGACCTACGACTCCATCCCAATCAGCAATTGCAAGAACTTGTTGTACTTCCCCCAAGAGCAATCCGATAGTGTGTTTGAGACCATTTTGAAGGAGCAATTTGAGGTGGACAACTGGAAGATCGAAGGCGGTGTCATCTACTTCAACAGAAACGAAAGCAACGGCGACCAAGCTGAAGCCTCCAGTACAGTATTCAATGCTTTAAATTACGCCGAACAAATAGAATCTATTATTTAGAGGTTGTTACCAATCGATCTACTCCAACGACGTATAGAACCCCTTATAAGCCATATCCAAATCATCCAAAAATGAATCAATTTCCTGCTGGGCCAACACCTCGTCATCGCCCAAGTTGTTCAACTTAATCAACCAGTTGACCAACTTGGATTTTCCTTGGAACTCGATGATTTTATGACTTCCGCTCTCAATCAAGTCGTTCAAGTTGATCACCAACTCGCTCAACAACGGGTGGAGTTGTTCCTTAGTCTTATAGTTCAACTTCAATGCATCCATACATGTGATGAAGTTCCCTGTAATTTCGGCGATCATCCGACCAGCAGAGCTCGACGTAGTTCCCGCGAATGCCTCACTGTTGCCAGCCTTGTTGGGGTGGCTGGAGCTTTCGACCTGGGTACTCAAATGCTCGATGGTGGCAGGAATGCCTGCCTGTAAACGTTTTATTGCCAGAGGACACTGTAATCGGAATTTTTGGCTAAGTAGAGATGGAAAATTCCCGGCGTCGTCGCTCAATTCAGGCCCCAACACGTTTCGGAGAAGTTTCATGGCAGCCTCATCTTCCACAAACCCTTTGACTATGATCTGGTATTGGTTTATGAGTCTGTAGGTAGTGGAGGTGTACTTCTCCTTGTCAGTGATGTAGTCTTTCAAGTACGAGTTTTCGAGCATTTCCAAGGTAGGAAGGATGGAGTACACCTCCGACATCGACGAGTAGACGCTTTTATGGAGCTCAGTCTTGAGAAGGGACGATTTGGTGACTTCTTGGTGGTACTTGAGCTGGTTGCCAGAGGAAGGAGTGTACGACGTAGTCGCCGTTGGGGCGTATGAGGGAGGAGAATTTATGGACATTGTGACATTCAGCTTGAGGAGGTTCCGCTGGACGGATACTGAAAGGTCAGGGATTGGTGATACTGTGGTGGAACTAGAAGCAGGAAGTGATAAGATCAAGTTGTGCGACATCTCTGTGCGCGACATTGCAGCTCCGCGACATTTCTCTCCATCAGTTATAGCTATTTATGTTCTACTTGCTCTGATTGCTACTGGTGCGTACTCTAGTGTTCATAATTCGTTATCTAATTCTGTACTGGCTATACTGTTCAGAAGAAATCATCCAATCTTGCTTTGAAGCCGCCTCAAGCATTCTTATGTGTACGAATTTATGTCTATCCTACCCATAAAAAGAACTGGGCATAAGTACATTGCTTGGGTGAGATGCTAAAAGCAGCGTCAAGAGAAGTAAGTGGTCCTCGGCACTAGTAGATGGTTCTTGAACTTTGAAATAATCTCGCTACCAGTGGCGAGGCTGGACATATTCCTCTATTGCCTCTGACAATTGCTTCTAACTCTTGTTGAATCTAGTCAATATATTGCACCAATGCTTTGCCACTGGGATTCTTTCCGAAAGCGAGCTCATTGTACCCCAATCGCACCCAATCAGGTTTTATGTTTCTATAGATGACAGGTGGGGGGTTGAAGCGGCTCAACTTGGTCACAACTTCGTCGTACTTGGAGGTATTCACGATGTCATTGATCACTTGTTTCCCAAACTTATTTCTGGCCTGTTCGCATTCCCTTATTATCCACTGCAATAAATAATCACTACTGACACGGTCATAGGGGCTGACGGTTATGGGCAACCTGACCTCAATATCCTTGCTGTGTGATAGTTTGGCCTTGAATATGACCTCGTACCTCAACGAGAAGAGGCGGCCAAGGGTGGTAAATCCCTGGACGTGGGTCAAAGGTATCCCTTCGTCCAATTCGTCAATAACCTTATTTTTGGAGATGTTGATCGACTGTATGAGGGTTGTTTGGTCGTCTACGTATTGATGTTGCTGTTCGTAGTACTCGTTCTGGATGTTCTCGTAGTTATTGGTGAACAACTGGAGATAGTCGTTTTGCACCGGGAATGGGACTTGGAAGTTGTACGCGAAGCCCTGGGTGCTGATCTGGCTGTCCTCGAGGTTGAGGGTGTGGGTTTGGGTGTGTATTTTGAGTTCTTTGCGCGTGGGCAATCCTCCTTCGTGACACTCCAATATCTCCTTGATCTGGAGGGTCAATTTGTTGAGCCGGAGGTTCTTCTTGATTTTATTATGCAAGTGGTTGGTCAGCACCTTGGTGTTCAACAAAAACTCGTCTCGTGGCCCCACAGACGAAACAGGAAGCGAGAGGTCCACCAAGATCTGCTGGTCACCCGAGACCCTGGACTCCACCACCGGCTCATTGAACTGTCGATACAACGGCAAGGTGTCGTAGACCTTGATGGCGATGGGGAACGTCTCCAAGAACGTCAACTCGCTGTCGTAGGTGTCACCACACGAGATCTTGACGCAGAGTGTATGGACAGTTGACGCGTTCCAGTTGGGAAACATGCCGCTGGCAATGATATCTTTGGGCAACGGGATCATCACCGGGATGTCGAGGCCCAAGAGCACTCTGTGGAACTCGCCCATGGGCGGTCTGTACGCAAATGGGTCGTCGTACACTTTGTATTCACGCGTAGTATCGTTGGATCCGATGGTCGACGGCACGCTGACCTTCTGGGTGGTTCTCAATTCGATGCCCACCGATCGTATCTTGAACGGAATGCCGCCAACCGGGCGGATTTCTACCACAGTTTCTATTCGAGGCTAGAGGTTAGTATGGCTGCTGAGGACCCCACACACTGGGTTTTCGCTGCAAAACTTACGATACTTCGAGGTACGCCAGGACACCCTCGCACCACGCTAGTGCCGGTTGGTCGGAGACTCGTGGCCACCGGGGCCTGGGTTTTTGGCGGAACCATGTTGTTGTTGTAGCTGGTGGTAGTTGATTCCTTGGGAAGGTTAGTATGTGCAGGAGGCGATCTATATGTCAGTGCGGACCCCAGCCTCGGTCTCGTGACTGATGGGAGGATTGAGATATAATTAGTATAGACTGGTTATGAGGCGACGCGTTGGGGCCATTGGGGCCATTGGGGCTGGGGGAGGCAGTGTGGAGTCACTTATTGGGGGGCAGTGTGCATTTCTATGCGTTTTTTGCATTGGAGTACGCTTCCTGCTGGGCCAACGATCTCTCGCTGGTGCAAATTATTGTATGTCTAAGCCACCACGGAGGGTAGTAACCCATGTCTGGCCACAGCACAAGACAATAAAAGCGGGTTTATGGATAAATTTCGGATTTTACATCTCTCGTAGAATTCTGTCACTACTGGATCTTTCACTTTGATCGAGATTTGGAAGGGAACTGGGGAATTGTGACTGGTTGAATCCCAATTCAACAGTGCTCTCGTGCAATTGCCGTATTTTCACTTCTGCATCCATCTCTATTTTACTCTCTTTTTTGCATAATTTTATTTTTATCGCATGAAAGTAATTTTCTGACAGATGGTTGTTTGGCCAAACCTCGCCCCTACAAATATTATGAATCTTTCTCTTGCAAAGAACTTTTCACTCTGGCTCAAAGGGGTTCATTTCCTCACAATTAGGATTACCGTATTTGCTGTATTTTTCTTTTGCATCCGTTTATCTGAATTTTATTTTAACGCACGAAAGTTGATTTTCTAGCAGATAATAATACTGGCAAAACGTCCGCTAAAGAGCTTATTAATATTCCGCTTGCAAAAACTAGATTTTTCATTCAGTTTTGTCCCAACCATGGCTCAAAATGTGCATTTTTCTAGTTGGGGTTGTCGCTAAAACTCGTTTCTCAAGAAAATGTTTCCCCAATTAGCGAGTTTAGTACTGTAAACATGAAGGAGTTCAATAAAATGAATCTGACAATCGCGACTTTCAGCTTTTTGCGTATATTGCAAAAATGGTTCAATCTTTAATTTGTTCTGGAGAATTATGGATGTCAGATTGAGAGGTAGAACTTAAAATTGCAAAGTGAGCGAATAACATCACATTCAGAGTTCCTATCGTGTGTTTACATGTTTATTAACTTTAGGATCTATTTCTATTCTTCTATCCTTTATCCTTATTTTTAATAAAGTGATTTCCAGCAGATGGTAAAAATAACCATACTCGCTTCTACATGTTACAACGCAAATTATTACCCTATAAACTGTCCTATATTATTCCCGGAATAATACTGTATTTTAAGTGAAAGTCCCTGAATTTCTGCTTGTAGAACTTGTAGCTGTCCAACGAACTGACGCCCAAATTGATCAGAACAAACACGAGACATCCCAAAAAGCTCAATGGTACCAAAAGAGTCTGTGGCGTGGCCTTGGCACTGAGAATAAAGATTATGGTGTAGAGCTGGATCTCATCAAAGTAATGAGGACACGCAACATGCTTGAAAGCGGGCAACGAATACTTTTTCAAAGATGCCAAATGGTGGTGGTGACGGAACTGCTGCACCGAAACAGCGAGAAACGCTATCACGAGCACAATATCGGCCGTGGTGAGCGCCAGTACCCGGTCCAGCTTGTGTAGGGTCAACGCAACTCCGCTGACGACGCTCACAAGCGTATAGTGCATAATACCCACCAAATAATGGAGGATATTGATGGGCGAGCTTGGCGAAAACCGGGTGAAGCAGAAGCACTCGATAGTACGGCGGACTCCTTGTACCCAGAGCAAGTAGTGGATGATCTTGTAATTCTTGAAAGCATCGGGATCCAAGCCTGGAGTACTGACTTGGGGAACCCGGGGTATGCCCCACAGAATGGCGGCACAGTAAGCCGTCAAAAGGAGGTAGAAGTGGGTGAAGTAGGACTTGGGCACAGTGAGCCCAAACACCCACTCTATACAGCGTTCTAACGGGTTGTGATGGTTGGAGTTTGTTTTAATCACGACGTTTTTGCCGTAGAGAAGGAGACTGTTGAGCGCCGGAAACCACTTGATGAGCAAGATGGTGACGGCTGCGGCTACGTACGTCGCGAGCGCGGCCACGAGCACGCAGTCGAAGGGGTCCATGGCGGCAGCGGAGGCAGAAATGGCCCATTTGCAGGTTGAACCAAGCCAGGTGTATGGAAGTCAGCTTGGTCAGCACTTACATAAGCACAGTGAGAATTTCGAAAATTTTCAGATTTTTCAGTTCCCCACAGGGTTCGCTGACTGCGCTGGGCTCGCCAGCCGCGGCGTTCTGGCGAGGCTAGCGGGTTCCCCAGGGCGCACTGGCCCGATAAGCTCGGGATGTCCTTCCGCCTTGCGTAGATACCAAGAAATCGTCCACAAAGTTCGTGAGTCAGTGAGTGGGGGCGCGGTGGGGGGCACCCGAGAACTGCTTATTCTGACGGCCAGAGACCCCCCCGGATGAGGTTGGGGGACAGCCACAGGCCACTACAATGTCCTGAAAGCGTTCCCCAGTGCCTCCCGCCAGCTGGGCCGCCAAGATCAGCTCAAAACGTCGCCCAGTTATGGGTCGTGCGCACACCGGCGATTGCGGCCCGGAACTCGACTCTGACTCACAAATTTTCACCACCATATATATCCAGACCCAGACCCCGTTCGAAACTTCAACCATGTGTGGTATCTTTGCTGCGTACAGACAGCCCGAAATCGAGGCCTTCAAGGGCAAGGCCCTCCAATACTCCAAGAGAATCAGACACCGTGGTCCAGACTGGTCTGGCAACGTCATCCAGAACAACACCATCTTATGTCACGAAAGATTGGCCATCGTTGGCTTGGACTCTGGGGCCCAACCTATCACCTCTGAGGACGGCAACTTCTCTTTGACTGTCAACGGTGAGGTCTACAACCACATCAACTTGAGAAAGGAGTTTGCAGACTACCCATACAAGTCGTTGTCTGACTGTGAGCCTATCATCCCCTTGTTCCAGAAGTACGACATCGACGCTCCAAAGTACTTGGACGGTATGTTCGCCTGGGTGTTGCACGACAAGAAGAACGACCGTATCGTTGCTGCCAGAGACCCTATCGGAATCACCACCTTGTACATGGGAAAGAGCTCCCAGACGCCAGAAACCCGCTACTTTGCCTCTGAGTTGAAGTGCTTGGTGGACGAGTGTGACGAGATCACCGCTTTCCCACCTGGCCACGTCTACGACTCCAACACCGACGAGATCACCCGTTATTTCACTCCTACCTGGTGGGACGGCTCCAAGGTGCCTACTACCAACGTGGACTACAAGAAGGTCAGAGAGACCTTGGAGTTGGCAGTGAGAAAGAGATTGATGGCTGAGGTGCCATACGGTGTGTTGTTGTCGGGAGGCTTGGACTCGTCGTTGATCGCTGCCATTGCCAGCAGAGAAACCAAGAAGGTGACTGTGCACAAGGAAGGTATCGATGCCAACAAGGAGTTATCGGGAGTCGACGCTGACGGCTCGTTGCACTCGTCTGGATGGAACCAATTGCATTCGTTCGCCATCGGCTTGCCAGGCGCACCAGACTTGATTGCAGCTGAAAAGGTGGCCCATTTCATCGGTACCATCCACCACTCTCACACCTTCACTTTGGAGGAAGGTTTGGATGCGTTGGACGACGTGATCCACCACTTGGAGACCTACGACGTCACCACCATCAGAGCATCCACCCCTATGTACTTATTGTCGAGAAAGATCAAGGCCCAGGGTGTCAAGATGGTGTTGTCTGGTGAAGGTTCCGACGAGATTTTTGGCGGCTACTTGTACTTTGCCAACGCCCCTTCAGCCGCCGACTTCCACTCGGAATGTGTCCAAAGAGTCAAGAACTTGCACTACGCAGACTGTTTGAGAGCCAACAAGTCCACCATGGCATGGGGTTTGGAGGCCAGAGTTCCATTCTTGGACAAGCAGTTCTTGGAGGTGTGTATGAACATCAACCCAGAGGACAAGTTGATCAAGCCTGCCGAGGGCAAGATCGAAAAGTACATCTTGAGAAAGGCGTTCGACACCTCGGACGACCCTACAGCCGAGCCATACTTGCCTCAGGAAATCTTGTGGAGACAAAAGGAACAGTTCTCCGATGGTGTGGGCTACTCGTGGATCGACGGCTTGAAGGACGCTGCCGAAGAGGCGGTTTCCGACGAGGAATTGAAGAACCCTAAGCCTGAATGGGGCGACGACATTCCTCAGACCAAGGAGGCTTACTGGTACAGATGCAAGTTTGACCAGATGTTCGGTGGCTCCAAGGCTGCTGCCTCCACCGTCATGAGATGGATTCCAAAGGCTGAATGGGGCTGTCACTCCGACCCTTCGGGAAGATATGCCACTACCCACGAGCACAAGGTTTAAGCCATTCTACAATAGAGTGACGTAATGGACTGCAATCAGCAGCAGCAAAATTCACATCGAATTAATGGACTGTAAGTAGCAGCTCATAAATAGAGCAAAATTCAATCGAATTAATGTAATTAGCAGCAGCAAAATTCACTTTAAATAAATGGACTGTAATTAGCAGCTCGCAAAGAGAATTTCTGCCATAGATCGTTGAAACGAAACGTATCCTAGTAACTAGAGTCGACTCTTCTCCATGCTGTGCAAGTAAAAGATAAATGAAGTACTGTTTTTCGATGCGTAACACCATGACAGTATATCTAAAGGCTAAATCAAATGGTCTAGTTTGAGTAAAATATATCATACTAAACTACTCAAGCCTTGGAGATCTGGTACCAAATCTTCCAAGTTGGCATGTTTTAATAATTAATAATTTCTGATAGTGCATTTTTCTGTTTTGTACCAATTCATATGTGCTGAGTATCACACTCGAAATACTACTACGAAGACTTGTCTTCACTCGCTAATCTCGCTTATCATCGCTTGTCCTCCTCCTACTCGCCTACAACCACTGCATCCAAATTTAAGTATCGAAAGCTTGGCTATAGTGACTGCTCATCTATAACCGTTTGCCAAAATCTATGAGTATATTAATTTACTATGAGGTCCTCATTAATGCAACACCATCGCTTATTGTAAGTATTCAGCAAGAACCTTTTCGTCTCTAGCAAACCAAGCTGCGTTGGTCTTTACCGTGTCCAAAGCTTGGTAGAGAGATCTGTCGAACCCGCTGAGCACCTTGCCCTTGAAGAAATTTTGTATTTCATCGTGCTTTTCCATGCTTTGGTAATTACGCAAGGTATCCTTGACAAATCTTTCGAACACCACCATGTTTGGAGACAAGGTTTCAAAGAGCTCGGCGTAGTTATCGGTGAAAAACTTCCAGAACTTGTCTCTAGTGGCAAGCTGGGAGGATAATGGGACTGCCAACTGATTGGCATTCATGGTAGGAATAATGTCTGGCTTGAGTAAACCACCCATGATGGCAGTAGAGAGCTCATCGTCTTGAATGTGGCCCAAGGCAGCGAGAGCGATTTCTCTGGCATCAATGGTCGATGGGTACATCACTTGGTCTAAGATGGCCTCGTACTGTGTCTTGGTGAACGACTCTGACGAAGCAACAGCGGTCCAAATGAATGACTTCAAAGAGGGATCGACCTCTTTGCCTTCAGACCATTCGTTGAACTTTTGTAAAGCAAACTCGGCCACTTCTGGAATAGCAAGAGTGGCAGCATGGTCCAAAATGTTGGATCTTAACTTGCACAAGTTGAAGTCAGACTTGTCCACGTTGCCCGATTTGTACTCTGTGATGAATCTCAAGGCTTGGGGCTTGTAGATAGCAGTCTTGAATTTCTTCAAGCCCGCATTGATTTCCTTGTTGGTGCCAGAGAAAGCACTGGCGACTTGTTCCAAGCTTTGACCCAATTCCAACCAAGTAACGTAGTCGTTTTCCAATTCCTTTGTTTCTGCGATGGTTTGGAACAACTTCAACAATGAGGTGGTGGAGCCTCCGGCAACGGCGATGGCAGTAGAGTCAGCAATCAAACCCACTCTGTCCTTGGTGGACATGATGTTGAGGAAAGGCAAGATGTTGTTCTCCAAAATTTGGGGTGAGTAGTTGACTCTGAAAACACCACTGGACTCCTTGTTCAACTTGAAGAAATCGTTGGCCAATGGGAAGTTGTCAATGATCAAGGTTTCGCTCTCGAAGCAGTCCACAGTGTCTCTGATGTTGGCATCGGTGTTGATGTTCAAGGGAATCCACCACTTGGTCTGGTTTTCCTCTTCGGTGGCATCACCACTGTTGAGGAATCTGGATTGCTTCAACACCAAGCTTTGGGACGACAGGTCGAAGTCGACATTGACGATGGGGAAACCCACCTTCTTGATCCACGAGGCCATTAACTGGCCCACAGGCTTTCCGGAGACTTCGCTGATGCAGTTCCACAAGTCGGATGAGGTGGCGTTGCCGAACTTGTTTCTCTTCAAGTACAAGGCGACACCCTTCAAGAACAACTCAGTGCCCAAGTAGTTGGAAATCATCAAGATGGTAGACGCACCCTTCAAGTAGGAGATAGCGTCGAAGACCTGGTCGATGTCCAAGGCGTCGACTACAGGCACCTCGATGGGGTGGGAGTTTCTCAACCCATCCAAGCTGAGGGCCTTCTGCAACGACTCCGACACGAAGCCCGAGAAAATGTCCCACTCTGGATACAAGTAGTCCACAGCACAGTAGCCCACCCAGGTGGCAAAGCCCTCGTTCAACCACAACTCGTCCCACCACTTCATGGTGACCAAGTTGCCGAACCACTGGTGGGCCAACTCGTGGGCAATCACGTAGGCCACCTTCTGCTTGTAGGACGAGTCGGAGGTCTTTTCGTCGTACAACAACGCCGTGCTTCTGTAGGTGATCAAGCCCCAGTTTTCCATGGCGTTGTGGGAGTAGGCGTGGACTACCATGAGGTCCAACTTGGGCAATGGGTAGTCGATCTCGAACACCTGTGAGAAGTAGTCCAAGATCTTTGGAGCGATTTCCAGGGCCAACTGGGCGCTCTCAAGGTAGCCCTTGGTGGTGTAGACGCGAACAGGGATCGGCTTGCCACCGACCTTGGTGGTGGACGTGAACGACTCGATGTACTCGAAGTCTCCCAATGCCCACGCCACCAAGTAGGTGGACATCACGGGTGTGAGCTCAAATTCCACTGTCTTCAATGCACCGTGTGCGGTTTCACGCGCCACTGGCGTGTTGGCCAACACCGTCCAGTCACTTCTGGCGGTGATGTCGAGCTTGAAGGTGGCCTTCAATGCTGGCTCGTCGATGCATGGGAACGCTCTGCGGGCGTCGGTCGCCTCGAACTGGGTCGACAACATGATACGGTTCTGGCCGTTCTCCACGTACTCGGACTTGTAGAAACCCATCATGTTGGAGGTGATTTTGCCCTGGTACTCCACCAACGCCTGGAGCTTTCCTGGGCGCACAGGCTGGTCGAACTTGATGACAAAGTACTCCTTTTCCTTGTACTCGGTGATGCCTATCACGGGAATGTCCTTGTCGGCAGAAATGACCACCTTGTTGACGTACAACTCACGGTAGTTCAAGTGCAACTCATCGGTAGCCTCCAACACCTCGAAGTGGATGAGGGCCTTTCCGAAGAACGAGTCGTCGTCCACGTCGATCTGGCTGATGGAGATGTCGTAGTGGTACGGCTTCAACGCTGTGGGAAGGGTTTCGTAGTATTCAGCCATGGCGGAGGTGGCAGTGGTGAAGAAGTGTGGCCAACAGGTGAACTTTGGCTTGGGATGGATGGTGCGATGGGCGTGGGCCACCAAAAGGAAGTGGGTGCGATCTGCGCCGTGGCTGCCAGGGAGGGGCGGTGCGCCGCACCGTACGATGGAGCCGTTGGGGGAGAAGGAAAGGATGCAGGGTAGGTGCGAGCGGAGGGAAAGAACCATTCCACTACTGGGGAACGGGAGTGAACCTCCGTACTATGGGCCAGTGGAGGACATCGGAGACTGGTGGAGACGAGGGGAGCGGTATTGTAGACTAGTCGAGTAATGTTGTAGACTAGTCAGTAAGTGCTTCTCTGGGCTGGCTGGTAGCAATCGTGGTTTTGGCAGTGTTGCATCAGGCGGTGTTGTGCTGGAGCATCGGAGAGTCGGCACGTGAGACGTGATGCCATATGCATTAAAACCTTTACTTCAATACTTCAAGCTGGTGATGCATATTCATTAGAGGAAGACTTGGAGCCTGTGATGCATACCCAGTACTTCCCTTACTCCTTAATATTTTCTCGTACTTGTATTCTCATCCATAGCCTGTGATGCATACCCAGTACTTCCCCCGAGTTCGTACTTGTATTCTCATCCATACTTCAAGACTCCCCCACTCCTCTCTATCTAGGCTGTCCTGAAAAGTGTATGGTTATTTTCTCGATAATTAGCAGTTGAAAGGTGATTTCCTGTTCATAGCGAGCTGATTTGATGACTATAGACCAGTCATTTTATTAATACAGATTTCCAGGCTGTTATTTACCCCGTCTCAAGAATTAGCACTAGACAATCTATTGCAAGTGGGCTAAGTTAATTACTATAAGGACCATTCTGGATTTACTTCACAAGGACACACAGCTGGACCACATGCGATCCATTTAATTTCTGTAAATCAGGTGTCTGGCATAACACCTATTGTTAACATACCCTTCCCCTTTTCCAAGTCGATTCGGTTCACTAACCCTGTTTATGCACGTAGGCATATCAAGAAAGAGGTGTATTGGCTAGCTTTGAAGAATATTCTCCTCGGAAATGCCATCCCTGATTGGCCTGGAGCCGACAAGAATCGAAAAGTAGTTTTATCCTTCTAGATCCCATGACATTAATGAAGCTGAAATGTACATGTCATTAATAGATGGCCCACTAACGATTAATCGCGTGCACCTTGTATTGAAGTTTAAACAGTAGCAAAGGATTTAATCATTTCGGTGCCAAGGGCCGTGAAGTATACTATAAAGTGTATTCCTTTTATTTACGGATAATGCCTGGCTATCAGAATTACCGAAGGTTACAAAGCTGTTAAAAGTGCCAGGATCAGAAGACATCGTTGGCACAAAAAGATCCTCAAATCTTCCCACCTATTGGTGGTTAATTCTAGAACCATGCCCCATTGAAACATTAAATTTTAGTGTTTCACGTAGTTAATGCTCTCTGAAGAACAGATACGATAGTTGGGATACATATGGAAAGTCCTTACAGCAGATTGTTGGGGAATATGGTTAGATTTTGAGATGGTGCTTTCATGTAGCGAACTCTCGACGTCGCCATCTCGGAATTATCCACGAACTGGGAGCTACACCGAGGTGATTAGGTGGTTGTAGTGTTCCGAAGTGAGCATAGATCATCCCCCGTCAACACCTAACCACCTGTCACAAAGTTTCCTCTGTCGCACCTCCCTCCATTACGCCTTATCTTACCTTCTCAGCTTCTCCTGCCTTTAATTCCCTTCCTTTATTTCCTTTGCTAGGCGCACTTCTTTACCCCTTGACATTAATAGTGCTTTGTTTCGATTAGTGGCTTGTTCTTTCACAACCATCAATGCTATTCTACTGTGTGCTATCCCTCCTAGCGAGCGTGTGCTGGGCGTCGTCCACCTTGGACGCTTCCAATGGTGGCGTCTGTGCTTTCGTCAGCACACAAGGCGGCAAGAATGCTTCCGTGACCCTCACAGGGTCCAAGGACGCCGTGCCAGCGCTTATCTTCCACTACCCTGATATCCTCAATTTCACTTCCATCCCGTCGATCGAGCATTGGTTCGTGGAATACGAACACAAGGATGTGCTCTATGAGGGGGTTGTCGATTTCGACAACAACCAATTCGTGGTCAAGCCATACGCAGACAGACCGGTCGACAGCGCCTACAACGGGTACGTGGGCCCTGACCACGACGTGGAGTATCCCGTCACGTCGTCTGGAATCTACTGTGTGTACGTAGCCGTACCCAGCGGCACCAGCCCCCAAATAAGTGTCACTTTCCACCAGGGCCATGGCAAGTTGCCTTACCTCAGCTACGTGTTCTACACCCAGCAGAAATGGGTGGTACTCGTGGGCACCGTCATCTTTGCCTACTTGTTCCACTACATCTTGCGGTTCAAGGTCGACTCCAACGTCGGCAACTTGGACTCCATTTCCTTGATCTCCAAGGGAGTCATTTTCTTCGTGCTCTTCCCCTACATCCTCCTAGCCTTCACCCAGCTAGTCATTGGCTTCTTCAAGAACAGGTTCGATTCGTCCATCATCCTCTACTTGGCCGAAACCACCAACGTTCTCCTCTACTCAGGCTTCAATGTGGTCCTCCAGTTCTTCGTACTTCTTCTTGCCATGGGATATGGCGTGATTTACTACCACGAGGGCGGCTCCAGGAACTACCGCTTGTTTCCTACTGTCTACTTGAAGAAAGCATCGGTCTTATTGTTGATCAACTTGTCCTTGCTTGCAATCATAGTGGTTTTTGGTAAATTCATTTTCAGCGCAACCTCCCCCATGGCCTCCAACGATGACCCATTGTCCATGCTCTACCTTGGCCTTGGTGGTCAGAACTTCAAGTTGACCGGTCTTCAAAAGGTGCTATTGCTGTTGTCGTACATCTTGTCGCTTTTCAACACCGTCTGGTTCGTTGTCACCGTGTACTACTACTTCAAAACGAGAAAGACCATCAACTCGTTTCCCCCCTCGGAAAACGAGGACGCCAATTCCAGAATCATCAAGTCCTACAGACGCTCCGTGTTGGTGATTTTCGTGTTGCCTCTTCTCATAGGCCTTCTTGGTGTTTCGATTGGAATTTACCGCACTATGAACAACGTTTCCGACGAACGTCTTGATTTCAGCGAAAGCAGGATTGATGTCAACTTATCTGTCTTGTCGATGTTGGTATTAGAGAACACATTGACTGGTCAATTGCACATTCTCTTTATTACCCAGCACTTGTCGTTTTTCTTGATGGTGATACTACTCTTTGCAATCTGGATCAAAGACAATAACGGATTGATTGTCGAAAAGGGTACAGTATTAGACGGGCAGTTTGACGTTGAGAGCGAGGACGAAATGACCATTTGATTGTTAGGGTGCTCTTTGACCCATTTTCATGGTTACTGATCTTGACTATACCACATATTGAATATGATTTTTCTCTCACCACCCTTTCTTCATTTCCGTGGATATTTAGCAATCGCTGCTAATGTTACATTTATTGAGTCCTATATTCTACATACTAATGTCTACGCTTTCCCTTGAAAATTTTAAACTTGTTGTTCTTGTTGAACTTTCTCTTGCTGTCGTTCAATCCTCTGTCGACCAAACCAATCTCCCTGGCCAAAGCAGTTCCAAGCTCAACTCCGAACTTCTCGACTCTGGTCAAGTCCTTCTTGGCAGCCTCAGCAGCAGCCTCGTCACCGAACTTTTCTGCTCTCAGGACCTTTTTCTGTAACAAGTCAACTGCCAATTGCTTTCTTTCCTCTGGGGTCAACACTTTTGGTGGTTCTTCCTTTGGTTCTTCCTTAGCAGCTTCTTCTGCTGGTTGAATAACAGTCAAAGTGGACTCGGAGTCGGCCACAGCAGCTGGAGCAACGGCTTCAGCGGGTTGAGCTTCGCTAGTTTGCTCTGGAGCAGCAGCTTCAGCAGCAACGGGTTCAGCGACAGTTTCACCTTCCACAGCAAGCAATTCGTCTCCGTTGGCGTCGGCCTCGGTAAGTCTGGCCACCAAGTCGGCCTTCTTACCATCGGTAGACAATCCCTTGGATTTCAACACCTCCTTTAATTGAGCCACTGTTTGTGAAGCGTAGTCGGCCATTTTAGTGATAGAGTCTGCGTTGTTGTCGAATGAATTTCAACACCAGAGCAGTCCACGTGATCAAACGCGTGATCAAACGCGTGTGGGTTGGTGGAGTATGGATGGTTAGGGCAGGTCTCTGGGGGTATTTGGCGTTCAGGAGTGAAAGAATTCCAGTGTGTAGGCGAGTATGAAAGTCAGCAATAGATTCCATGAGAAAGCTGCAACTTTATGGATTCTTTTCAATTTTTTCCATCGGCTGGGATAAATTTCGAGCCTCGAATAAAGTACTTTTACTAGCACGTTAACAAGTAACTAGCTTGCTGCAAATCTAACAGTAAGTATAATAAAACCCGTTTTCTATGCAATTCGAACCTTTTCTTTGAATTATTGATTTCAATTATTTATTTATACTACAATCACTGATGTTGAGGTGTCGAGTAATTTACACCCTAATCAACTTAAATATCATATTGGTACACCTAGTAAAACAACGAAGAACAAACCAGCTAATCTTCCATATCAACATCGACTTCACCTTCAATTTCAGTCCCTTCCACAAACATCAACCTCTCTCCTTCCTCTATTCTCTGCCACACACCAAGCAACTCGTACTCAGTAATAGTGTCTTCCAACTGTTGAATCACGTAGGATTGCCCGAGAATTCTATCTTTTATTTCTTGCATGGTCAATATTCTAGGACCAGTGGATCCATCGCCTCTTGCCATATCACTCACGATTCTATAGATCTTGGAGGCAGGAGATTCGTCTTCTCTGACACCATCCTCATTTGCGTGCAACGAAGACTTGGAAACCTTGATCAATCTCAACGCCTCATCCACATCCGCGAACGTCACAGTATCATCGAATCTAAGACGGGCCGACGCTTGTGCCATACGAAGAATACCCAACAAAGTTCTGGGGGTAATATGACTGAACTTTTTGACCGAGCCTTCATTACGCTGACTCTCTTTTCTCATATTGATATATTCCTGGACAACGTGATCACCAACATTCTTTGGAACATTTGGTCTGAAAGTTCTAGCTTTGTTGATGTACTCTCTGATGGTTGCGGAATCCAATGGTTCGAAATCCATCACTGGTTGTTTGTTGTGCATATGGACATAGGCGACGTGGTTGGCCAACCTCTCGTCATTTTCTCTGGAAGGCTGATCAAGGATCAAGTACATCACATCGAATCTGGATAACAAGGCTGCTGGTAAGTTGATATTTTCGTGGGGTGACAATCTGGTGTTGTATCTACCATACAATGGATTGGCAGCAGCTAAAATCGAGGTTCTGGCATTAAGAGTGGTGGTGATACCAGCCTTAGAGATGGAGATGGTTTGCTGTTCCATGACTTCGTGGATGGCAGTCCTATCGCTTTCGTCCATTTTGTCGAATTCATCGATACAACAAATACCATTATCGGCCAACACCAAGGCACCACCTTCCAATACCATTTCGTCGGTAATGGGGTCTCTCATGACTGCTGCGGTTAAACCAACACCCGAAGAACCTCTACCGGTGGTATAGATGGATCTTGGTGCAATCTTACCAATGGCCTTCAATAATTGGGATTTGGCCACACCCGGGTCTCCCATAAGACAGACATTGATGTCACCTCTGATCTTCAAACCATCCCCAATTTCCTTGGTTACTCCTCCACACAACAATAATAATAAGATCTTTTTGATGTCCAAGTGGCCGTAGATTTCCGGGGCGATAGACTTGGCCAATTTGTTGTAAACGTCACCATCGGTCTCCAAATTGTCGACCTTCCTCTGTAATTCGGGAGAAATCTGGGAGTCGTACTGTTTTTTGTGCTGCCTGACATATTGGGCTTCGAGGTAGGTTTCAGTCAATAATCCGGCCTTCAAGGCCCTGAATCCGGTGTATGGCGAAGGCATGAAGATACCAGAAACATCGACAGTATCACCAGGGTTTAAAGATCTAACCAAGTCACCATTGACATGGATAGTCAAAGATCTGGGGATATGGCCCACAGGCACTTGGTTGGACATCTCTTGGATTCTGACTTCCTGGAAACTGGAGAACTTGGATGCTCTGGTAGACATGAACAACTGGCCCTTGTTGTTGTCGGCCTTACAAGCTGGAGCTGTACATTCGGACAACGGAGTGAACACCTTGGAGTTGACTTCCTGGAACAATTCGTACCCACATTTGTCACAGGTGTAGGCGTTGACCACCACGCTGGGCTTGACATCACTGACTCTGGTGACAATACCACGGACGGTGATGTAGCTACCAACATGGCTTCCTTTGATTTCTCTTACGCTCAAGGTCTTGATGTCGGACTCGAACGGCTTGAAGTAGAGGCAGTAGCGACGGGTGAGCTTGCTGGGGAACAAGTTGTCGGCCTCCTCAGGGGGCTGGTCGTGGGCGAGGTCGTTGGCATTGAAGCCGTCTCTCAAGTTGTTGAATTCCTCGGCGTTTTCCTGCTGTAACCTCAAGTTACGCAACTTTCTCTGGTGCAAAATCACATCCAACACGTCGTCCTTGTAGCTGATTTCTTTGGTTGGCTCGGGCATGAGCTCGTCGATGACTGAGCTGAAAAGCTCGATGTAGCGGTGGGTGTTTCTGGAAATGGCAGTGATCAATTGGTGGGGGTTGGTCTGCGAAGAGGCACCCATGGCAAACGAGTTCTGCTGGAACTTCTTGAGGTCCTCTAACTCGATGTAGATCGTGGAGATGTCTCTGTTGGCCACATGCTGAAGAAGTTTCATGTACTTGAGACCTCCTGTGGGCTCTTCGTCTTCCATCATGGCGTCCTCCACGCTGCCAGACTCCTTGAACGATGTAAGGAAGTCGCGGACCAACGTCTTGATGTCGGCATAGTTCACGTTGAGCTGGATTGAGGGTAACACGGTGGTGGCAGACATGGCTGTGTGAGTGTAGTGGTGGATGCCTCGGTTAGTGGCGGTTTTCTCCGGGTAGGTGGAGAATGGGCTTGCTAGTCTATAGTGGACGATACGCTTATGTCAGCACGGGTACTCCTGGTCGATTCTGCGTTTCCGTTGGAAAGATCAAGTGGTGGATATGGCTGTAAAACGATGGGATGGTGCTGGCTGGGAGAATTTCCAACGCGTGAAGCCAATTTGTCCCGATTAGGAAAAAACGACCTGGGTGGGATGCGACAGGACGGTATAGTGGGAGTGGGTGCTAATTGGTGTTTTACGGGCCAGGAGGGGGAATTATTGGGGTGGGAGGACGGGGACGTGGACTCTTAATTGGTACGGGCTGGCTGTGTGATTTTGGCGGCGTTTGGGGCAGTTTTCGTTTTTTTTTGGGGTGAAAAACCTTCCAGGGCTCGAGTGGAATTTACGAGTGTCCGAAGCAATTAGCTAACTGCACTTCGGCGAGCGTATGCTGCTGGGGATCAGCTGGGGTTGTAATGGTAATTTGTGTTCTATTTTTGCCTGCACGCCGCTGGGTATTTTGATGAAGCTCTGAAACTCCTGTAAATTTAGAGATTGTTCGAAATAGTTTGTTCAAGGAGACATTGTACTTTTATTCAGAAATGTATCGTGTGTTGGATAAGGATGTCTCCTTAAAATTCATACGAACCCTCCAGGATATTTCATTTGGTAGAATGAACATGGGAGTGCTTACGTAATCAGAAACCTTTCATTCAATAGTATCGAAGAACTCGATAACTGTTAATAAGACCAACCCATAATCCATAAATTTCAACGACCGGTGAAAAACTTGGAAACAAATGAAAAAAAATTATTTTCTGGTTTTATTTCGTGAACATAGTTTTCAATTGAACAGAAGTGGAAAATAACAACTCTATCAATACAGTCAAAATGACCCTAACGGAGTTATGACACACCTGGTACAGCACGATTTTATTCGACCCCCAATTTCTACTCACGAAATCCTAATTTTCAGGTTTATTATACTATATATTAGAGAACATCAGCACCATTACAGCTGGAAATCTGCCATTCTGGATGGCTAAACCGTGCACTAGGCACCATAAAACATACAATAAAGTCAATAGAACAGACCAGCTATCCACCGTGCCAACCAGTTGGAGAGAATTAAATGTTATACCGACCTAAGATCAACCAAAGCAAACGCAGCAGAACGCTCTTCTTCATTGACGTCCACATTGGACCCCAATGAAGACTGGCGTGAGTGTCCTTTTTGGCGAGGGTGGTTGGGCTTGGAGGTTGGGGATCTGGGAATCCGGTTTTTCAGTTTGAGAGGCGTTTTTCTGAGTGTTTCGGCTCCAATAGTGGCCCAGTCTTCCTCGTCAGTGTCACTTTGATTGACAGCACCACTGGCACTGTAACTACGGACATGGAGCTCAGGAGTTTGCTTCTTGATGACAGCCAGGGTCGATTGCGAGAGATACTCGTTCTCGTATGGCTTGTTCAACAAGTTGGCAATCTTGGGCGAGTTGGAAGGTTGTGTAAGCTGCTGAGCCGATAACGTGGGGGTGGCAGGGTTATTCTTGGGTACGGAGGTCGACAAGGTGGACCTCAAGTGGGACTCGTTGAACGAGGACTTTCTCCTATTGGTGGTATTCATTGTGGCTGCAATACTCTCAGGGCTGGTAGCTGAGGCCGAGTGGTGGATGTAATTGTTGTTGCCGTTCCAAGAGCCGACTGGCGAGGCACTCAAGATAGAATTGGCAGCAGAAGCAGACGAGTAGTATGGGTGGAACTGGGGCTGGGCCGGAGGCGGAGAGCTGATGGAAACATTGGAGTTTTTGGACGACGACATGATATAATTGTCCAAGTTGTCTAACGAGTTTAGTCTAGATCTATTGAACAATTGGTGTCTGTAGTTGGGGATCTTGGAGATCGAGCTGTTGGGGTTGGACGAGGACGACTTTCTGCGGTGGCGGAACGAGGGGCCCGTCTCGTGGCCTGGAGGAGGGCTTATCTTGATAGGCACTCTTTTGGCGAACTGAATGGGGGGAGATCTCTTGAACTTGTTGATGGACTCGTCGTGGTCGAACGCAAATAGCTCGTCCTCCTCTTCATCATCATCGTCGTCATCGTCTTCGTCCATCTCGACGTTGTCAGACAACCCGTATTCGTCCTCCGAGTCGCTGGCGATCGCGTTGGAGTCGGGTTCCTCGGGAAGCTTGACATTGTGGAGGTTGGTTTTGGCGTTGGTGATGGACTCTCTTCTCCTGGACGCAGGAGACGCCTTCTTGGCCCAACCCAACTTCACGTTGGCTTGGTTTCTCAAGTCGTTGACGTTGATTTTTGTGGAGTCGGGGTCCGAGGCTTCCACAGATGGCTCCTCGAGCCTGGCTTCCGTTCCTTCGGTGACGATGAAGTCGGAATCCGTCTTGCGGACGGCCCACTGGCCCCAGCCGATTTTTTCAAACACCACGTTGTTGGAGGGGTCTGTTTGTTCCATGGCAGCCATGATCAAGCGTCTCTGTTTCGACAACGACAAGAAGTCGAACGAGGGGACCTCGAGTGCCAACTGGCTGGTGATGTGGCGGATTGGCAACGGACCTTTTCTGATCAAAAGGTTGGCTAATCGGGTAGGGGTAATTTTGGAGGCCACCAGAATGCCCTCGGGCGAGGAGGTGGAAAGCAACTTCCTGGGTGCTTTGGCAGACAGGTCTTTGGACATTTGGAGTGGTGGAGACCTGGAATTTCACTGTGTGGTGATAACGGGTAGCGTGGGGTACGTGCGAGGACGTGTTTCGCGTGGAGGGAGATAAGTGGTGGGTAGGAGTGGGGCAGGAAAGGCGACAGTAAGAGTGTTAAAGGCAGTAAGGATGTTGTAGGATGCTTGGAGGCCGTGGTGGTAGAAGTGGTAGTATCTTCAGTTATTTCCAAATATACCAATTTTAGCAGTGTATTCAGTATGACCGTGTTTATTTCAGTGACTGAGTCACAGTCACGTTTTTCGCAAGCACGTAAGTCTGCTGGGGAATATTTCAGGAGGTGTCAGTTGCTGGACTAATCGAGAAGGAAATCGACCAGGTGGGAAAGCGTGACGGCAGATTTGGCAGGCAGATGACGAGGCTATGGCAGTGGAAATTTGCAGGTTCTGTCTGGGGAGCTTCCGCCTTATATACGACTGCGGTTGGCAGGCAGCTGATGACACAATAGCCAGTGGTCTGGTTGGAGACAGGGGTTGCAACGAGGCAGGGCCAGAGGGGATAACCGCAATCCTCGCCAAGGCACGTCGCCACGGGCACGATCTGGCTGGGGTAGAGGATCCCGGAAACCCTTCGGAGACATCGGAGGCACCTGCCCCGCGCACCGCTAGCCCCGGGGTGTGTGCAGGCCATTGTGCCGGAACAAGTGAGGCCAAAAACTGGTATGGGGGATCCACCCTGACCTGCTTGTGATGGTACTGCTGATGACGGTTCCGATATCCCCGCCCCAGCTTCCGGCGTCCACTGTCCAGGTGCTTGCGCAGGCCCGTCAGTACCACCAGGCGGATGCAGGCGCCTGCGTCGTGGGCCTCATGGACTCCGAGGGCCTCCGACTCGTGGGAGTGTATCTGCCAGGAATCACGCTTGACCACCGCCAGGTGGCGACGCTCTTGCAGATGATGCGTCCGGTGTCGAAGGTGGCTACCTTCGTATATGAGCAATGGAAGGTTGTGGCCACCCGCCACGGCGCCTACGTGGTGGCCCATCTAACCCAACAGATCGCCACCGATATGTCCGCGGGGGTTGACGGTCCAACTGACAATGCCGGTTTGGCACAACTGGCCTGAGCATAAAGTGTATTCTTGCTGGCCCGCTGCCGCCGCTGCCGCCGCACTCTACATACTTCCTGCAATATACGTGCTGCCGTACCTACATTCCGCATGTACTGATGGCCTGCGCCATGCACCTGTTCAACGGCGGTGCATGGCCGTTGAGGATGGTAATCTGACGGGGATTGGGGGTTCCTTCTGGCGAACGCTTCGCCGAACTCGCCGAACTCGCCGAATCGAAGGGTCTGGCCCACCACCCGCGGACCCTCGCCTCGCCGTCCCCATCTGTTCCCGTTGCTAACACCACCGTGCGTTCGATGCCTCGAGGGGCTTGCGTTGTCAGGAGTCTAAATTCGCAACCGTTCGCAGGTGCAGGGACAATTAGGATTGTCCATCTAAGGCTTTATCCAAGCCTCAGCCGGTACGACGAAGGCGCTGCCATGCAAACGCAAGCGCTAGCCGCCAATGAGGTATCCGAGCTAGAAAAGTCGACGGTCTGGCCCAGAGAGGCGTCCGGAGTTGTTCTGCTTTCTTGAAAATACGGGGTAGGCGAGGCTGGAGGGGCTGAACCCCTTATCGCCCCCGATAACACCGGTCCCTAGCTGAGTCCATTCCATTGGCCAGATAAGGAGGGCATCAACCTATCGTGGATATCCAGTGATGCCTGCATTTGTGCCACTTGCACCCAGGTGCATGTTGCATGTATCCATGACGCTTGTAATTACACAATTCATACCCATTGCGGTAGTCGATCCCGATTTTTCACCCCAGGCCCATCGCTCCGGATCATACTCACTCAAAACTCGCTACAATGACATTCCCCATACTTCTCAAACCGCGAAAACTTTCTATTGGTGTTCTAAACAATAATCTATGGCTCAATACACTTCTAAGATGTAACGGCCTTCTTCCTTCATGTCCTCAACCACCTTGGCAACCTCCTTGATTTCAGTGCCTGCTCTCTTCGCTCCGTTTTGCACAATATCCTCCAAACAAGCAGTGATATCGGGAACAGGCCAGGTGGGGCCACACAAGTAGAAGGACCCATTCTTAGTCACAATGGCGTCAGTCAACTCTTCAATGGACTCTCTGATCTTGTCCTGGATATAGATCTTCTGCGGCTGGTCTCTGGAAAACGCAGCACCAATGTGGGTCAAAAGTCCCGCATCCTTGTAGGCTTCCCAAAGCTCCCCGTAAAGATACTCCTCCTTCTTGTGTCTGGAGCCCATGTACAAGTAGATTTCTCCAATCTCCAAACCTTGCTGTTCCTGCCAGATTTTCTCTTCGATGAATGCCTTGAATGGGGCCAAACCAGTACCCAATCCGGACATAACGATTGGTTGGGTAGACAATGGTGGAAGTTTCATCACAGAAGGCTTGACACTGACGACCAATTCGTCTCCAATCTTCAAATCAGAAAGGTACTTCGAGCAATGGCCAAATCTGGTTCTGCCTCTTGGATCAACCCAGTCGACAACAACAATCAATAAATGGACAGCATTAGGGTGCATTCTTTGCGAGGAGGCAATCGAGTACTCTCTTCTCTTCAATGGCGCAATTATCTTGACCAAATCAGCAAAACCAGGTCTGGCAGACTTGAACTCCTCCAACACATCAACGTACGTGTCAAAGTCTACATCCTGTCTCTTCTTTAATTCAGCAGCGCCCTCACCACTGGCCAACTTCTCCAAATGGCTCTTTTCCGTGTCATCTTCAGCATACTCGGCCAAGGCTTCGTAGAATCTCTTGGGTGGCTTACCCAAGAAGTCAACGTTTTCGGCCAAAGTCTGTCTGGCAGATCTAATTTCTAAGATTGAAGCGTCATCCCTGTTGGAAACTTCAACGACATCGTCACCATCGACACCGTAGAATTCTAAGAATTTTTCAACTTCTTCACTATTGTTTCTACCGTGGATACCCAAGGCTTCACCTATCTCGTACTTCATTCCAGTACCAGTGGTGTCGAATTCAATGTGGAAGATGTTTCTGGAATACTCCTGTGGGGTCAATCTCTTATTTTCCTGAACCTTAACCACGAAGTTCTTCACAGGCAAGTCGGGTCTCAATTCTTTCTTGACATTGAAAGCTTCAGAGAAAGCTAACTTGGTGGCCAACTCCTTGTAACCACCAAGAGTAGTTTCTTCGATTCCTTCGTTGCTGAGGCGTGGGTTGGGGAAGAAAGAAGATTCAACTGGGAAGAAGGGCAAGACAACTTCTTCTTCTTCTTCTTCAACCTTTTCTTCCTCCTTCTTTTCCTCCGAATCCTTACTAGCTTCATCCTTCTCCTGGTCTTCAGGAACTTCTTCCTTCAAGTCAACCCACTCAGGAAGGACAGGAATTTCACGCAACCCGTTCTTTTCGTCAACAGTGTTGATGAATTTGTCCAACACGACTGCCAACAATTCGAAATCATTACCGTTAGCTTGCAATAACTTGTTGACAATAAAGCCTCCCAATTCAGGCAAGGAGGCCCTCCAGAAGGCCAATTGAATGAAAAAATCACTGGTCAACCCGCTTGTGGCAGAGTTAATGGCATCCAATTCGTCGATAAGCGAGAAATCAACCAAAGTCAACTTGTTGTGGTTGCTTGCCAAGCTTCTCTTGAATTCGAGAGGCAACTTGGGAATAACATCCTCGTCAATGGAAGTGATTGGCTTGTGGCTGATATACAAGATAGTTGCTCCAGGCTTGGCAGTAGCCAATACGTCGTAGCTGTTCAAAATTGACAAATCTTCAAGCACAACCAAATCAGCCGAGTCCACAGACGAAATATTGCTCGAGCTAGCGGCAGAAACGATCTGGGATTGAAAAAGACCACCCCCGTTGGAGTTGTCAAACTTGTTTCTAATTTGAACTGCTTTTGAGTCGTCCAAAGACAACGAAAGGGCAATCTTGTCGGCGTTCTTGAGGAAGAGTCCATCGTCCTTACCCCAGAACAAAAACTTACCTTCGGGAGAGGTGTTGGCAGTAATGTCGGCAGCTGGTGCACTAGGAGCCGAAAGTAAAGCCAAGTCTGGGTTTAAGGACGAAACAAATTCGTTCAAGATCTTGGTGATGGTAACAGGAGTCCACAAGAAACTCAAGGGGTAGTTGAACTCCTCGATGCTCAAATTGTGGTACACACCACCCAAGAATAAAGCAGCAGTGATGTCAGCTTTCAACGACGAAGAAACTTGGTTGTCGTGGGAAACCTGCGAGAGAACTACTAATCTCTTGGTCGATTTGGGAACAGTCTTGATGAATTCGGCCTGGTTGAATGGCAAAGGCACTCTGACCTTGATCAAGCCGATCTTGGCTCCAGAAGCCACCTTTTCAACAATAGTGGACAATTCCGTCGACTCGTGCGATCCGTACACCACAAACACGGTGTCGGGGCTCTGGTGGCCTGCGTACTCGAAAAACGAGTAGTTCTTACCGGTCAACGCGTTCAAAGACTCGAAGGCCACGGCCACAGCCTGGTCCAAGCTGGAAAATTCGGCCTTGGAGTTCAACAAGCTCTGGTAGAGATGGCCCACGATGTCCAGCGAGGCCACACCAGCGAACTTGGTGAAGGTCTTGGCTGCCTCGGGTCCGTCGAACAAGTGGATGCTTGGAGTGCCTGTCAACGCAGCCAAGTAGTGGTTGAGCACTGTTAAGTGCTGCAACTCAGCAGCGTCACGAAGGTTGACCGGAGTGACGACAGAGTATCCCAAAGAACGTGCAGCACTCAACGACGTGATGTAGTTGGAGCACAAGCTGTTAGAAACTGAGTCGTAGTCAATGGCAGAAACGTTCAACGCCAAAGGCAAGCTGGCGGCGGATTTCGCAGCCAACGCAGGTTGCATGTACGACAACGCGTTGGACGCAAGAAGGACACTGAGAGGCTGGCCGTTGGTGCCGTTCTTGCTGTAGTAGCCCAAAAGTGCGTTGGAGGCGCCTGATCTGACCTGCAACTGGTGGAAAAACGGAACCACGCCAAACGAGTTGGGACGTTGGTAGTTCTGGGCCCACAACTGAACGTGGTGGTCCAACAAGTTAGGAGCTCCTGGCGTCTCGTAGCTGAAAATCTTGCTGGAAATTGCATAGACGGTCTGGTTGATAATAGCGGCTGGAGAGGTGTAGGCCACGCCTCGCAACGAGGACGGATCCACGAGGGTTCCGAAGGGGTTGGCTTTGAGGAGAGCGGCAGAGTCGCTGTTGCTGGCAGCTACAAGCGAGCTGGCAGCGTCGCTTTCGGCGGCTAGAGCGTGGGGGGCCATGGTGGTGATGGGACGAAACCAGCGGAAGTTGCATGTTATAAAGGTGTGAAATAAAGTGATAAGTGCACGTGATACGAAAAGAGATAAGTGCACGTGATATGAGGTATGCAAACCCCGGCATTGGGAGGGACCTGAAAACAGAGGAGGCGAGGGAAGGAGAGGTAGTGGTGGAAAGGTACCGAGAAACAGGCGAGGGGGGTGGAAAGGAGGTCGTGGGGATGTAGGCACTCCAGAGACCTGGATCATCCGGGGGATTTCCGGCAAGTTGGTGGTCTTTGGTCACGTGATCCCGGTGTTTGAGCAAATCCCGCCTTTCCTGCAATCGCTGATGCCTTTGCAGGGCCTCCAGATGGGCCAGATTACCAAGCTCCAGATGGACCACATCGGCATCCCGAGCTTATCAGCTGCTGCTGGTTTGAGGGCGCTACTGACTCGTCTTTCACGATAAGGTGGGCCTTATCGCCTGCATGGCTGCATGGACCTACATGTCAGTGGTGCAGGTACATCGATGTCGCGCGATGTCGTGCATGCTCTAGCATATTGACGTATAGCATCTAGTATATATAAAAAAAAATTGTTCTTGTTCTCTTAGCATCAAGTCGAGGCTAGATCCAGTTCCTATCATCTTGTCAGTTAAATATATTTGATTTCTATACTATTTTGACAAATTTACTCTGACTTTAAATATTATGACACAACTTTGAGTTTACTTCAAAACCCAAGTGTTTTGGGAAAGTCAATTTTATGATGTTAATCCTCCAGATTGGTGGAGGAGTGGCTATTTTGTAATAGGATTTGTTGACTATTCATCGAAGACTATGTTTGTCAATTTCATGTATATTATTTATGTTTGACCTTTTGACAGGGAGTGATTATCCGACAATCTCTACCTTAAATGCTAGTAAAAGAGTCTGCTGGGGATAATTATGCCAGGAGTGCCTTCGGACTTATTTCCCAATTGCTATTTTTCTACTTTATTTTTCAGACTTGAAACTTAGTTTATAGTAGTGAACTTGATAAGAATGGTTTTTATACAATGATAGATTCTGATGGGTGAATTTGATTTCCTATTGATTATTGATTTATGAAATTTGAGGAATCGAAGAAAACATAGTTAGGTAAGAATTTGTAGGCGAGGCTAATTGTAGTATCACAACAGCCGAAATTTGGTTTCGGCTTTTTGCGGCAATTAACAGAGGTTGGAAAATAGTCTTGGGAAAATCAATCTCAGGATATTGGTTGGAATTAAGAGGTCTTGATAGTGCTGTTTCTATTTTAGATCCCTACAATGATTTAGGGGGCTGTTCCGAGGCAGAATTAAAAACAATAGGTATTTACAAAAATGCACGATTCCCAATTGGCGGCCCCTATGAGGCTTCAAAAGGGCTTTTTACTTAATTCCATCTATCAACCGTACTTGTTAACTATTGACTTGGCTGAGGAGACATCTGACATGAAAATCTATCTCAGTAAGGATTTTTAACTATCTATGAGAGACACACAGATCCACCTAGATCCGATGACAAATCTCTTCCTAACACGCTCAACTACTCGTTCCTTCATTCGCGATTGTTGAAAACGACTAATTCATAAATGACTCTCTCTAACATCGATATTCTCATTTTCTCTGTCTTCCACTATCCCAGTAGATCTCACATTACACCCACGCTCGAGTCTCGGAACACCCTCAGTCTCGGAGACACCCACTCACGGAACCATTTCCGCGATTACCTCACCCACCCATAATTAGCCTGCGAGTCGCGTGATCCGAAAGCCACAATCTACAATTTGTCATATATAACAAGCAATCACCTTCACCATGAACCACCAATGATGCTCCGTCGTGCCAATTGGAACTACAGTATAGCTACGTGCCGTCGCACTACACTCCTGGCCAGACGTCGTTTTGCCAGCCTGGCTTTGCCCCCCAAATCCTCCGGTTACGGACGAGTAGTTGGAGCCTTTGCAACAGGTTTGGCAATCGGCGGCTTGTACACCTTCTTTGGCGGTGAAAAAGCGGCTGTGGCCGAAGCCCCAGCTGTCATTGACAGATCCACAAGTCCGTTGGACACCCTTGACACCCCTCGCTACGCTAACGAGGACGAGTTCAACACTGCCCTTGACAAGATCAAGCGAGTTGTGGGCGCCCAAAACACTAGTCTGGACGCCGACGTGATCAGTTCCCATGCTGATACCTTCTTCTCGACCCACCACCCGCCCAAACCCGATCAGAAGCCCCATACCGTGATCTATCCCGAGAATACCGACCAGGTATCGCAAGTATTGAAAATTGCCCATGAGTACAGAGTCCCAGTGGTTGCCACCTCGGGGTTGACGTCATTGGAGGGCCAGATGATGCACACACGAGGCCCCTACAGTATTTCGCTCAACTTTGGCCATATGGACCAGGTACTCGCAGTTCATGAAGACGACTTGGATGCGGTTGTCCAGGCAGGGGTCGGCTGGCAGGACCTTGACGAGCACTTGCTTAGCAGCGACAAGTCCAAGCACCTCATGTTTGGTCCCGATCCGGGTATGGGAGCTACAATCGCCGGAATGGTGGCTACTTCTGCCAGTGGGACTAATGCCTACAAGTACGGCACCATGAAGGAGAACGTGGTCAATTTGACGGTGGTATTGGCGGACGGAACGGTTCTCAAGACCAAGCAACGTCCACGCAAATCCAGCGCAGGCTATGATCTCACTCGTCTATTCATTGGCTCCGAGGGAACGCTCGGAGTAATCACTGAAATCACCGTCAAACTACACGTTAGACCAGTGAAAGAGTTGGTCAGCATTGCGTCATTCCCCACTATTAAGGACGCCACGTCTGCAGCCCAGGAGATCCTTTCTCGGAGCGGACTCCAGCCCAATGCTATAGAGATCTTGGACTCCACCATGATGTCGTTTGTCAACGAGGCGCAAACCGACGGCGCCAAGCAGTTCCTCGAAAACCCTACCTTGTTCTTCAAGATCGGGGGCGCCAACCAGAAAGTTATTGAGGACCAGACAGCTGTGATTCAGAAGATAGCTGAGAAAAATAACCTCATCAAGTACGAGCAGTCGACTGACGAGTCGGAGAATGCCGTCTTGTGGCAGGCCAGGAGAAATGGGCTCTGGTCCACCATTCAGTTTGGAGCCAAGATTTTGCCTGATAAGGACGACGTCCAGCTTTGGACCACGGATATAGCCGTACCCATCTCGAAGTTGTCCCAGGTAATCTCCGAGACAAACGATGATCTCAACAACTCCGGATACTTCAAGAAATTTGCTGTAATGGGGCATATTGGAGATGGTAACTGTCACTTTTTGATTTTGTACAATACTCCCGACTACCGCAAGACCCAAGAAATAGTCGACAGAATGGTCGAACGAGCTATTGGCCACGGAGGTACTTGTACTGGAGAGCACGGAGTTGGTGTGGGCAAGCGGAAGTATCTTGTGAAGGAGTTAGGCACTACTAGTGTGGACTTGATGAGACATATCAAGTTGCTGTTGGATCCCAGAAGGATTTTGAATCCTGATAAAATCATTAAAATAGATCCCAATGACGATCTTGACCGGTTGTTGGACCATGGCTTGGTGAAGGAGGCTGGATGCTGCCACGAGTAGGCAATCAGCCATTCAATGTCTCCTTGAAGCCTCGAGAAAAAACGTGCGGCCTGAGCAGTACATAGATGGATAGAGACTACATACTGGCTGATGGATATTTCTAACATTATAACTTGTATCAACATTGTTTTCTTATGATCTATGATATTTTTGTCTTGGAGTACCTCCTAGAAATGTAAATGAATCTGAGGTGTGACATTTAGATCCGCAAATAGTGAAAACTACTTTCAGCATTTATAAGTATGTTTTTTTTTCAATTTAGACTGATTTTAAAATTTAAAGCATCCCTAAAGCTAATAGATTCATAGGTTTGTTAATCAGGAGCATTGTCACATCTGAATTAGTTTACGATAAATTACTTTTATTTTTCCGAAGTCAATTGTGAGCAATCTTCATACCAGAAAGATTGTATGGGGTAAGTCAAACGCTTCAGGCTACGTATATCTCGTTTTACCCAAGACAAGTACCACCATCTGTTTGGCTGCGAAACAATGTCACGTGATAATATAGTGATTCTGGCTATTCTTTTGCAACTAGATTCAAGCTGGTCCAATGGTAAATGTCACTTAGAACTTATGGATAGCTTGGGAGTCAATCAAGACTAACTGCATTACTGTTGCAGAGTTTTAAAGGAACTACCTAATGGATTATCAAAGGAAGCTCTCAAGTTGACGAAATCCCCACACCACATGCACCCGATCAACAACCTTACCACATCCAACCAGTTAGCAGCATTCTTCTTAGCTAAGCGCTCAATTTCCACTATATGATCTAAACTTAAAGTATCCGGACCTCCGACCCTCAATCTGAGACCATACGCACTTTGGCTAAATCAAGTGCACAGAACAAATTTCTTCCTACAACTTCCTTCTATACTGTTTCACCTTTCTTTCTTCACGAGACTATGTTTCAAAGTCGATGAATGTTGAAATTGCTGCTAAGCATTAAATTGAATTGTGATGATTGTCTTCCCGTCCAATTTAGTTCCAAGTAGGACCTCTACTTTGCCACAAATGTACGCCTTCCCATTCTGAAACCATCAAAAGGCTTTGGTGAAGAAAAAGGTCTTCCCTGCTAACATTCTAATCAAGGGCTACTACATACCCATCAGATTTAAGTTCTTTGATACTTTTGCCTATCACGATGACCTTTTTGTATCATATGTGCAAAGGTTGGTCAATTTACAATATGCCAAGTTGAAAACAACAGCAAACAGGGCTAAGGAGATACATTGAGTCTTGAGAGACTTATTGGCCTGAACGGCACCACTTGGTTAAATTATTTGTGTTTGTGTTGCTATAGTGTGCACAAATGCAATTTTTGGTATGAAGCAAAATTACACTGATTACACCAGGACTTGACTAAAACTTCCGCAAGAGTGATTACCCTCCTTTAACGTATTCAAAGATGGATATATGGAAGGCGCCACCAGATATCTGAACAAACAAATCTTTGGTAAATATGTAAAAAAGGGAATCTGATCATGAGTTCCTAATGGGTCCCTCAAATCAATTGAAGTCGTTCAAGTCCATGGGTTATTGAAGCTCTCGATGGTTCCTATTGCTTATGTTTATGACTGATTCTGGATTTTTCTTTTACTATTGTCTGGAAAAATGGTATACTGCTCTGAGGTGGAAATGGCTCTAGAAAGATAGGAAATCTCTCCCCCTAGATGACCTAAGTTTCGACAGAGTTAACTCTTGATAGCAAAGATGGGAATTCTCCCCCCAAGATGACTTTTCTTTGCAATTAGAGTGAACCTGTGGTCCCAGAAGTGCCTTATGCCTTCATGGAACCAACATGGGTTCTATTTGTGTTTCTTTCTCAGAGCTCAACTATGTCATTATCTGAGAAATATTCATTTTTGTCTTAAAGTATGGTATAATGCTCTGATTGGAAATTCCTCTGGAACAATAAGAAATCTCCCCCCAAGATGACTTATTTTTCAATAGAGATAACTCTTGAGTGTCAAGATGGGAATTCTCCCCCCAAGATGACTTGTCTTCGCATTCAGAGTGAGCCTGTGGTACCCAGAAGTGTCTTATCCCCCCTTTGAAGACGTAAGCTTCATGGAGCCAAAACGGGTTCTACTTGTGTTTCCTTTTAAGAGCTAAGCTATGCCACTTTCGACAAAGATAGATTCATGGTTAAGAATAATTCTGAGTAGTCAGTACAGAAGCAACACCCAAGAACCTTTCCAGAGTTTTCACTTCAACCCCAAGTTGTCACTTGCACCTCATCAGGTCATTTGTCTCGGTCCAAGTATTTCAAGTAAACGTGTCACAGGCTCATCAAGCTTGAGTTGTTTGGTCCTACACATATTTATAGGTCTTGTGGCTGTCAGGAGCACAATAAGAATTAGAAATCCGTATTGCAGTCGGAATGTGCGGCGGACATTGATTAAATCACTTGATTAATTAATGTCTCCAGAAACGATCGGTAATGGTTGCGATAGACGATCAAGTATTCAAGAATCTATAGCCTCCTATCTTCGCTGTTTGACAACATGGAGAATCCATTTATCCAGCTAGAGGTAACTTTATTTTTATGGTCTTAGTCTATGTTGCATGTATTTTTGCTTAATTTTAAAGAACAGTATACCCCACAACCATCGCTAGTGCAATGCAGAAGGGGACACTACGTAGCGTATCATCTCCTACATTGATCAGGATATCTCTCGCTTATCAAACAAAGTAACATTCAAATATTTATGTTGAATTTAGTCTGTAAAAGTCCTGCAAATTAAATAGAACAGAGAACCTACTCTACGAACAAAGTGTAGATCCCAATAAGATGATGTTCACCTCAAATAAAGGATACTTTATTGATTTGCAGAGAAGCCATTTCCCGTGAAATGCCCCGCCCCACACCTACTGTAAATATGCTTTCAAATTGCCATTCATACCGGTGTTACGACAATAACCATGGTTTTTGATGTGAACTATAATCTATAAATGCTCTACTTGCCAGTTATCACACGAGTAGTGACAGCATTCAAACTGGGCATTTTAAGCAGGACTGGTAGGTCACACGAGCGTAGAAGGAGCAAATACATTCAATTGAGATTATGAGGTGTTATCCATCGTTTGGAGAGTTGGCAAACCATGACCAGGGACTCGAGACATACGAGCATAAGCGATATGCTAACATACTTACTACTTGAGTTAATACCTCTACTGATCGATGTATTTAATGTTTATGGAGAAGTGCTATGTTCAATCGTCATTGACCTCATTCGATAGGAAGATACTGATCGTTTATTCGATATCTGATGGGAGTCATGTGTCAATATTCGTTGTGCCTGAATCAATCTGGAACCTGCTCCGGATCGGTTTTCGATGGCTCTAAAAATATTCTGCTTGGCAAGTACAGCAACTACTTGTGAAAATTAATTCTATAGCTTCTAATCAAGATGGAAATACCCGACTGGCCGAGGTACCTATCGCTCCATGCTGCGATAACAACCGTTGCCATTTAGGCAATCTGCGCCGATGCTGGGCCGGCCGAGCAACCTGCCAAGGGCGTTATCTATCCCTACCGCATGTGCTCGGGGCTCAACAAGAAAGTTGACGTCTCCACCAGGGCAGCTTACGTAATCGGCTCCATGCCCAATGCGGAGATAATGCTGCTGGCGCACCCGCCGTGCAGATTCCATCAATGGAATCGGGGAAGATCTCCTTCGACCCAAACCACTCCCAGCTACTGGCACCGCCAGTCGTTTCCCCCTAAGTATCCCTGTACCTCCACCGCTCCACTCCCTCTCCCCTCTAGCCTCCCCCAACCCCTCTCCCGCTAGCTTGCTCCCGTTGCTGGTGTCACACCCCCACGCCCTCCCCAGATCTCGCTAGCCCTGCGCAGTCCCGCCCTGCGGCCATCACATTCACGGCCACCGACCCAACAAAAGAATGCGCACAAAAAGTCCCACCTTCAGCCAGGAGTATAAAGACTGGGGTGCAGCATCGGATGCCAGGGGCGTTCATTCACAGTCACCACGTCGTTGCGCTTCCGTCCGTCTGTTGCTTTTGGCGCATTTCCACCACTCTTGCCTCCATCGCCACGACGTGAGTATCCGCACAAGTCCGCAGTGAATAAAAGTTTCGCAAATTAAGCAGAATCTGGCAGTCCCACAAATTAAGCAGAATTCGTGGCAGTCTCCGCAAATTAAGAAGTCTCACAAACTTTGGCACAATTCCTGGCCCTCTCCGCTAATTAAGAAGTCTCCGCAGTGTAAATCGTCCACTCGGAAGTCTCACAAATTGTGGCAGAACTCACCAGTCTAATATCCATAATTGGCAATTATCTCCAATTGGTCCGACCCGCAACCTCGTCGTTCCTCACTGGCTGGCAATAATCGGGACTACTCAAAGGGTTTACCTCCAAGAGACACATCCACAATTATCACCGTTGGCACAACACAGCTCTTCTAATTTCAGAGTCACATCTACAGGAGCTCCATTCTAGCCAAGAGCGTTTTCATACGAACAGTGCCTTCTAATTCAAGACTAATTGAGCTCTTTTAAAGAGACTTCATCCGAGCCCTCCCAAGAAACCACCTCAAGAGCACACCACTTCCTCCGGCCATGCCTGCAGACATCTCCAACTCCGACTTCGACGTCAATATCCTCGAGGGTGCATTCACAAGCCCCAACATCGAGCTTGCGCTCCCTCTCCCCATGGACAAGAAGTCGTACGTCGACATCGATGGCAACCACGAGGACCTCCGCTCCAACTTCTCCATCATCACCAACTTCTTCCGCTACTTCACCTCCGTGGACTACGACAACATCTACAAGAACAACGAGTACCGTTACAGCATCAACAAGTTCCACCCCAAGTTCCAGCAGAAAATGATGGACTACATGGACGACCAGTTGGAAAACTCCGACCCCAAGTTGGACGAGTTGGTCTATGGGTTGATCAACCAGGAGCTTAGCCTCAAGTTGATCACTGCCGACCAGTTCTACCCCCGCTTCAACGAGGTCAAGGCGTTTATTGTCAACCACTACAAGAAGGAGAACAACAAGAACTTGCCTGCATTCCTGTCCCTGGACGTCATCCGTATTGCCTACGTGACTGTCATGAAGGTGTTCACCAAGATGTTTCCCCAGGGAATCTGGTGCAGCAATCGCGAGTTCAGCGCCATGTACCAGCGCTACTTGAAGGATCCTATGTCCATCATCTTCTTGCCCAACCACCAGAGTCACGTTGACTACATCATCATCCACTTGTTGGCGGTACGGTTCCAGTTCCCGGTTCCTACGGTGATTGCGGGTGAAAACTTGAACGTGGCGGTGTTTGGTAAGTGGTTGAAGAGTCTTGGAGCCATTTTCATTCCCAGATCCATGAGCGACGCCTACACTGAGCGGAATTTGAGCAACATCATTGAGTTCATGCTCATCAACAAGATCCACACCGAGGTGTTCATTGAAGGCACCCGTTCCCGTGATGGCAAACTTCTTTTGCCAAAGTACGGGATTTTGAAGACCTTTGTCAAGATCTTCCTCAAGCAGCGTCTCGAGGAGCTGAACCCCGACTTCGACTTGTTGTTCCAGCCGCTCTCTATCACCTATGAGCGTATCTACGAGACCGACGGCTACTTGAAGGAGTTAATTGGCCAGGATAAGAAGCAGGAAAGTTTCCTCAACATCATTAACAACGGCCTCAAGAACTTGTACGGGCCAGTGGAAGATAGAAACGCCATCAAGTTCAAGAAAAACGGCTTCAATGACAACTCTGACAAGAACTTGAGTGGGAAGATCTTCATCAAATTGGGCGAAGGATTCAACATCTCGTCCTTCGTCAACGAGGACTTGTCTACCAACCCTAGCATCGATTATGCCAGCCAGCTCGCTGACAAATTGGCAACTACCCCAAGAACCTTGGAAGCAGCAGGATTGTCCCCTGCCTCCGTTGCCTCGCTATCGCCCACCTCGGCCGTCTCGAGAGTTGGCAAACCAAGACCTCTTGACAGCGATACCTTGATTGAATCGATTAACCTTAAGAAGCTCGGTTTCCAAACACTTCATCTGGTGAACCACGTTGCATTCATTCCCGAGGCTGCCATTGTGGGTGCCTCGCTCCACATGTACTACTATTACTACAATACCAAGGAAATCCCAATTGAAAAGTTGATTCCCGTGTTGCGTTTGGTGGTCGACACTCTCTACGACGAGAATGAGCACCACGTTACCAACAAGCAACTTCTTCAAGGCTTCAAGGACTACACTGATGATGAATTGACCCAGGTGGTGAAGGAACAGATTCTTTATTTCTTTAGATTGATTTCTGTCAATATCAAGACCAACGTGGTCCGTATTGGACGGTCCATTGAATTGATTTACTTCAAGAATTTGACCATCCACTCGGTCATCCACATGTGCAAGGTGGCTTTCATCTTATTATTGTTGGACGGAGGCAAGATCAAGCCCACTTTCCTCGTGATTAACAAGCTCAACTATATCTTGACAGGTTTCATGAAAAACGAGTTCTTGTTTGATTACAACTACAACAAAAGAGACGAATTGAGCTTTATTTTGGACAACTTGGAAAGAAAGGGCTACATCAGATTTGTTGCCGAAGGAGAAGGTTACTACTCTGTGCAAGACAGAAAGTACCTCGAATTGTTTGGTAATTTGGTCAAGCCATTCTTGCAGTCCTACGTCAACCTCATTCGTAGTACCTTTGCAATCATTGAAGTCAAAAAGAGCAAATTCCTTGAAGAATCGAAGAAGCACAAGGAAGATAAGAATTTCGACTACGATGAGTTACGGTTCCCTACCACCAAGACTCTTCTTAAGTACATCATCAGTGAGAACAGGGCTCTGAAGACACCGGTATCCACAGAGTCTGTCAACAAGCAATATTTGTTGAGTGATCTTTACTACTTGAATAATTTACAGGTAATTCAGATCTTCAAAAATAAGGCCAAAACGAAGGCTTTTGTCAAGGTGATGAACATCCGGGACTTAAGCATCGTGCTGGAATTTTTGCAACAGCTTGTTGACTTAAATGCCCTGGGATTGATAAGTAATGTGGTCAATATTAACTATGTCATTGACATCATCGACAAAAACTTTGACAGAGAAACAGAGGTGGAGCCACCGTCGACGGTTGCCATAGCCAAGTTGTAATCCAATGTATATTAATGCACAAGAACACATTCGCTAGCATGACATGTATGTAAATATCACTCGAGTCGACATCAATACCCAAGTTCCTCCCTCTTGTTACTTCAGAATAAAGTTCACTTAACTTGAATCCTTGAGGTTTAGAAAATATCTATCTCACTGTCCTTTTCCAATATCTATTTCTGAGGCAGTATTCGCAGCCTCGAATTGCACTAAAATAGAATCAACTTTCTAATCAGCCTATCTCGAATTTCAAGGTCATTTCTTCTGGATTCATTGAGTCATGTTTCCAAGTCCATCCACGTTTACGAATTTACTGTATAGATTTCTAAAACGGCTCGTAGTTAAATATAGCAGATCACATAGGAAAATGGCTATTTTTGTGTTGTTAAAGTATAAAGTTCTTTTCGTTTCTTTTTGGCAGCAATTCCATGCGCTTGAATATACTCCGAAAATAGATTACGATTGCCGTCCATAGAGTGAGTATGCAGTGATGCTGAAGAGTTGACTGCACGGATTTATGGTTATAGAGAATGGAATTGTGGAGAGGGTTTGCGTTATCGAGTCACCCTTATGAAAAGTGATTTATGAGAATTGCGAATAATTGCGAGCCAAAAGTTCAAATTTTCATAGCAAGCAGCTTCAATACATCTCTGTGAAATATCCGATTTCTGGATATCCCAGAGGAAGTATTTGCCTGATTTTGCCCAGGTGTGGAGTTGATGCCACAGGAATATTAGTCAGTAATTACGTAATCCACGGGAATAGAGTTATGGTTCCCAGTTCTACGCAAAGCCACACGGATATCTGAGGCAAGAACGGGCTTTGAACGTCCTAAACTAGCTCTAAAGGGATGGATGGCTAACTGTGTGGCTAAATGGGGCTACCCCCCTGATAGTTTCTAATCCAGTTGCTAATGCGGTTCAATGTGGGGTAGCGAGCTAGCAATGAAAAGAGAAGTGCCATACGAATAAGGGAGCCTTTAACTGTTACCCACTAGGGTCTGAAACAGCTGTGCAGCAAGGGGCAGGGCCGCCAGTCAGCCCTCGGGGCCCTGAACGGGCTATGCCGTGAAAACCGTGACAACCGTAACGAGTAAGATAAGGGTACCAAGAAAAACGAAAGCTTAATCGGTGACAGGAGCACTTGCATGGGGGGCCGTTATCGTGGGCGGGGGAGGCTGGGCCACGGAGGGGCTGCTGAGTCAGCTCTTACGTAAGCACGTGCACGTGACGGCTTGTTGACGCTGGCCGGGTGACGCCCACTGCGCAAGCGTCGCTGGCGCGCGGTCACCTGCGGGGCGCGCCATCGCTGTCGGCACAACAATCGTCGCTAGCACCGGGGGAGCACTCACGGACACCACCCAACGGCCACTGCAAGCTGCGCCACCAGCACCGCCAGCAATAGCACCGCCAGTACCACCACCAGCACCAGGACCACAGTCTTCACCACCTCTCCCTCTCCCTCTCGCCCTCCCTCCCTCTCCCTCCTCGGCACCCCTTTACCCCTATCCATTGTCGCGCCCACGACCCAATTTCTTTTTCGCTGCGCCAGTTTCTCCATCGCAATAGTTTACGCTCCCGCTGCGCCAGCGATAAATCACCAGCCAAAGCCTCCCACAACCCACCTAAATATATACCCAGACATCTGCCATCTGCCGTTCCTTCGCACACCCTACCCCACCACGCCCTCCACCACATCCTCTCTCTCCACCACCACTCCTCACTGTCTCTCCAATCCTCGCAGTACTCCCAGTACTCCCCACAAATCTCGCTCCCGCACCACCTCCCCCCAGATCGTCTAGCTAGCCGCACTACGCCCTGGATTTTCACTGTTTTGTTTTTGGTCTCTTCCTTAGCGCCAGAGAACAGGCACCAGTACCAGACTAGACTACCGCAGCACTAGACCTCCAGTTATCGGTACTATCGCTAACCATCGCTATCCAGCAGACTGCGCCGTTAGACTACCACCAGCAACGCAACTAGCAGCACTAGGAGACTAGCAGCACTACACTAGCAACAGCAGAGGAAGCACCAGCAACAGCACTAGCACCAGTACTAGTAACATCCAGACTGATACCACCAGCACCACTAGACAGATCGCTCGAATAGCAGCACCAGCTCCAGACCAGCCACCACCTGGACATTCTCCACTAGCACCTACCCCCATTACTTCCCCATGAAGAAAGAACTCAAGTATATTCTCTGGGGCCACTTGGCGGTCATCCTCTACTTGGTCTACTGCACGTTCGACCTCATCACCCTTCTCCACGACGACTCCTTCAGCGACGCCCTCCTCAACTTGGAGTTGAATCCCGGCGACGGCACCCTCGACAGGCCCACCATCATCCCCAAAATCATTCATCAGACCTACAAGAGCACCAAGATCCCCGAGGAATGGAAGCCTGGCCAACAGGCGTGCATCGACCTCCACCCCGACTACACCTACATCTTGTGGACCGACGACAAGGCCCGCTCGTTCATCGAAAGAGAGTACCCGTGGTTCCTTAAAACCTGGGACTCGTACCCCTACCCCATCCAGCGGGCAGACGCCATCCGCTACTTTGCTCTTGTCCACTACGGAGGTGTTTACATCGACTTGGACGACGGGTGCGAGAGGCGCTTGGACCCGTTGTTGACAGTTCCAGCATTCGTCCGTAAGACCATTCCCACCGGAATCTCCAACGACGTCATGGGCTCGGTCCCCAGACACCCGTTCTTCCTCAAGGTCATCGAGTCGCTCTCCAGCTATAAGAAGAACTGGTTGGTGCCGTACATCACCATCATGTACTCCACGGGTCCCCTTTTCTTGTCGGTCATCTGGAAACAGTACAAGCGCTGGGGAGTTCCCGAGGCCGGCAAGGTCCGTATTCTCATGCCTGAAGACTACAAGACCCATTTGTACTCGTTCTTTGCCATTGCTCCCGGGTCGTCCTGGCACTTGGACGATGCCAAGTTCATCAAGGGCCTCGCCAACCACATTGTTCTTGCTGTCATTGGCGGTTTCTTGATTGCTGGGTTCATTTTCTACTTAGAGTACTTGTTCTACTCGTACGTGTCGTCCAAACACTTCAAGAAAATGACCAAGAAGGTCACCAACGGGGTCATGTTGTTGATTGGCAAGGTTTTCAAGCTCGACACCAGCCCTGCCTCCAAGAAGGCGCCTCAGGAGAGCCTCTTCACCCTCATCAAGTACAAGCTCAACAAGAACATTAAGAGAAGAGCCAGAAAGGACTCCAACTTGCCGGTGGACTTCAACGTGCTCGAGAAGTTGAACGAAGAACACGAAGACCATCATTCCTCCAACCCAAACAACTCCAACGTCTACGAACAGATTCCTCAGCAAACCTACACCGTAGAGAGCGGATCTGGAGACGACGAATTCTATGATGAAGATGACACATTCATAGCCGGTGCTCCAGCATTGAAAAACAACGACAACATCGTCTAATCGCATATGGGGTGGGTTCCGTTGTCCCCATCAAAACTACGGCCCTCTTGTACAGTCATTCGTTTCCTGCCCGGTTTCCAAGCCCAGACCCCGTTTAGACCACTCATGTCGGGCTTGGTTGCGGCTCACAGACTCACTCCCACCACTAGTTAATATCATCTTGTATACGTTAATTTACGAACTTCCCGTTAAGCCTCCAGTATGGTCGATATGTACGAATTACGAACTTATTTAATCTTATCATATGATGCATTGATTATTAGCTGCCGGGCCTAGAGTTACCAAAGCCCACCAGTGTTTTAATTACGAACTATTTTGGAGCCCACCAAGTAAACTCATCTGGAGGATAGTTAGAATATTTCCAGTGTTTGAGTTAAGGTTGTTTCCAGAGTATGGTAGTAATGTGTGGGGTCCTCCTCTGATAATAGGAGGTCATTTCAGGTCCACCCGTGTTCGTAACGGGCCTCGAGGCACCGTGGGATTCCGCCGTGCAACGACAAAAATCCACCTGCATGTCAGATGGGGTAAGAAGCAAGAGTGGAGTTATGGTCACCACAACTGGGAGGTTGCTGGAGATTGAACAGGGCAATTAGCCAGGTCCAATGAAAAGTTGCTGGAGCATCAGCGAGGCATTCCCACCAGCAACATGTGATGGTTGTCGGCCAGCACATGGTGGATTCAGCCTGCCAGTCCTCGCTATCCGTATCTATTCAGGCTCTATCCATAGCTTTTCTCGCTCCTTTTGGCTTATCTCGCAGCCCCAACCTCCAACAACTTGAGGTTGCCTCTTTCGTAACGCTCTTTCTCGTCTTTTTTCAACACATCGCGCATCATATCTGTCAAGCGGTCCACCTCCTGCATGCCCTTCATTCCCAATTCGACCAATAGGCTGGCGTCGATGGGCACACCACCGTTCTTGCTCAATTGGATCAACTCCCTGTTCTTGTTCATGGTTATCACCAACATGCCGTCACGGACCTCCTCCTCTTTCATGGTGGCATCCATGGCCCAGATCTCCTCGGTGTCGCCCTTGAGGATCTGCTCGCGGGTGTATGGCGTAAAGAACGAGTACGTCAAGCACACAGGCACGTGCAAGATGCTCAACGGCACTGGCTGGCGCTGGTCGACGTCGTGCACGATCACCACGTCGTCCTCGATGCTGATGTCGGGTTTCTTGAAGTGCTGTAAGGCCAACATCACGGCAAAACTGCCCACGTCGATCAACCCGCCGTCGTAATTGAGAAAGTTGGCGTCCACCTGGATCTTCCACACCTTGGACCCGGCCACGATGCACAAGTTCTCCAAATCCACCGCGTTGGACCGTCTGATAGCCTTCTCGATGATGCGGCCGATCAACACCTCGTCGTTGCCCACTTTGTAGTTGTCAAACTTCTGGCTGGCCATGGAACTGATGTCGCAGTTGATACTGAAGATGCCCTCGAACGGTCTGTCTTCAAACGGCTTGTCGATGGCGGCGCTGACACGTACACTGACCTTAGTGTGGCCCCACGACACCTCCACGTAGCCGTACTCCTCGGGGGAAATGTAGATGTGGGTCTCGCGGAGCTGGTCAAGCTTGCGGGAGTCTTGGCGGATGCCGTTCTTGAGGGATTCTATGAGGAAAAGACGTTCGTTGGCGCTGATCATGGCTGGTAGTGGAAGGTATTTGGCAAAGGCTGGAAAATCCGTCTCATCGCTGATGTAGCAAGTGCGACTCACGGGTTTTCGGTCACGTGAATTGTATCATGTGACCGGGCCCTCGTCGCCACCAACACTTCAGCGGCAACCTCTCCTCCTACCCTCTCCATCGCCATGTTGCACCGCAGAGCCTTAGGCCTTACCGCCTCCCGTGTGGCGCCCTTGATGCGCTCGTCTGTCGTGCGTTCTGCCGCCCCAGCCGTTAATTCGATCGCCGTTAGAGCCTTCAACAAGTCCAGTCAGCCATCATTGAACTTCTTCCAAAAAGAACAATTGCCTGCCAACACCATCGTCAGATTCGTGCCTCAGCAAACGGCATGGATTGTCGAGAGAATGGGTAAGTTCCACCGGATTTTGGAGCCTGGGTTGGCCATCTTGATGCCATTCATCGACAAGATCACCTACGTGCAACTGCTCAAAGAAGCTGCAATTGAAATCCCTTCACAAAACGCAATTACCTCCGATAATGTGAGCTTGGAGCTCGATGGTATCCTCTACATCAAGATCGTGGATGCCTACAAGGCCAGTTACGGGGTGGAAAACTTCCGGTTTGCCATTAGCCAGTTGGCCCAGACCACAATGAGATCGGAAATCGGGTCTTTGACCTTGGACTTGTGTCTTAAGGAAAGACAATTGTTGAACCAAAATATCAACAAGGTGATAAACGAGGCCGCAAGAGACAACTGGGGTGTGGAATGCTTGAGATACGAAATCAGAGACATCCATCCACCAAAGAATGTGTTGGAAGCCATGCATAGACAAGTGTCTGCCGAGAGGTCCAAGAGAGCAGAGATCTTGGAGTCTGAGGGTCAGAGACAATCCAAGATCAATGTCAGTGAGGGTGAAAAGCAATCGATCATCTTGGCCTCGGAAGCCAACAAGTTGGAACAGATAAATAGGGCCCAGGGTGAAGCCGAGTCGATTTTGTTGAAGTCCGAAGCAACAGCCGAGGGTATCAGAAGAGTTGCCCAAGCCATCAAGGAGACTCCAGGTGGCGAAAGCGCCGTCAGTTTGCAAGTGGCTCAAGAGTACATCAAGCAATTCGGCAAGTTGGCCAAGGAAACCAACAGTATGATCATCCCATCCAACTTGGGAGACATCGGCAGTGTGATGGCGTCTGGTTTATCCATCTACAAGAACCTCAACAACGACAAACCCAACTAGGGTTTGTTGCGGTTCCATGAAGCCTCGTAAAACCACGAAATGTATATATTTGAATAGTATTTAATGCGAACGTCTATCTTGATGTATCTCAGCAGATGCTACTACCAGAACTAAATAAATAATTCCTGATACCTTTATTGAACAGGATCTAATTCTTTTTAAAAAACCCATCCAAGGCTCCTTTTCCTACAGCCACCTTTTTAACCACTTTCTTGGTCACCTTGGCCTTCTTCTGCACTCTGTTAGCCTTGGTGGTGGTCTTCACCACCTCCTTCAAGCTTTCTTCCACCACCTCTAAGCTCTTCTTATTGTTCTCCACCTTGGCTATCCAATTTTCCACCTCGTCAAAATTGTGACCTTCCGAGATTCTGGCCTTGAACTCGCCAGTCAAGTAAGAATCACACACGAAATTAATGGAACTTTTCAAGGTCAATTGGTCTATCACTTCAGAGGGGATTGGAGAGTCGTTCGTAGGATCGAGTACTTGTTGCTTGAACGTGTTGTACAACGATAATTCCTCCTTTTTGGCATCAAAGTGAGCCTTCAACGCCTCTACCTTGGATTTAATGAATTGGACTGCCTTTTCCAATGAGAACTTATAGAACTGTTCGCCATTCTCGTCTATCATCTCGCACACTTTGGCTAGGCTGGCAACGTATTGTTCGTTGGAAATGGCCGTGACCCACTCGCCCGAGTGGATCTGTCCCAACTGGTCGATCACATCCTCCAAGGTTATGAATCTCTTGGTGAACACGTCTTGGTTGTGGTACATTATGGAGATCATGAGGTACACGATGTTGAACGGGGTCCCCACCAACATCAGAGGCGATTGAAGCACAAATCCAGGAATATCTGCATTGGCTCCCTCGAACAAGAGCGATTTGACTGCCCCACCATTGTTTAGCTTTGGCATCGATGACTTGGGTGTGCCTTTTATTTCATTGATTTCCATCAACTGGCCATTCTGTATCAACATGGATTTCTTTTGAGACAAGTCTCTGGAAGATGGCACTTCTATCACCTGGTAGCTGCCTGGCGAAGGCAATACTACCACACGAGAATTCTTGTCGATATGCATTGGATAGTAGTGATGGTTATGGTGATGGAGTTAAGTTGATCAGGGCCATCACGTGCGCTCCGCGTCTGGACGTGTTTGTGGGAGCCAATGTCCTACAGTAGGAGAATATTGAAAAGGAAATTGGGACAACATGAGAGGGATAACTATGGCTAGTTTGAGTGTGGGTGTTTGTAGAAGGGACTCTTTCTGCAAAATAAATTTTCAATTAATTTCAAATTATTTTGTTCTACGAACAATTGCAAAATTATTGGGGCCTTTATAAAGAAGTATTTTTCAGCTCAACCGAAACCCAGACTAGCATGTAGGATATGTGGCAAACTATCATAGATCTTATTATTCTTGAAAAATTGGTTTGGCTTCAAATCAGAAATTTGAGAAGATCACACAAGTACTTGTGAGATTTGAGTCTCCACAGAGAAAACTACATTTCCATTATGGGATGCTCTAAAAATTCTATTATAAATATTATGTAAGTTCAATAAATAACGCTAGACGATCATATCCTGTACATCGACTAGCTGGGACCTAGAGACCAATGGCAACAGGCGGTGTATCGCTGATATTATTCTGCAAAATTCAGAGAGGAGCAAAATCGCTTTTCAGGCTAGACCCACTAACGATCTGATCTCATCTCTAATCGCTCCAATGGACGCTAGAATAATCATAACCGTACCAAACAGAGAAAAGCTTAACGAACTCATACTCGCTGCTCTGGGATCAGTGTTTAACAAGTGAGCAGTAGCAATAGCTCCGCAATTAATCCCCAAAGAAACTCCCCTGGTGACATAATCATTCTTGGAAACCCTCAATAAGGCGAAGAAATGATCTCCGATCAACACTCCACAGATTCCACTCAAAATGGTGCAAACTGCCATTAGAGATACCGAACCTTCCAAATTATTGATCAAAGGAGTACCCAAGGCAAGGGTCACCGATCTTCCTATGAAGCCAATGGAACGCTCTGGAGCTATTCCAATATTGTAACAGACTATAGGATAAATGAAGAATGTCAAGGCAATTGACACCAAAATTGGAGGCATCAACACCCAAAAGTTCTTAACGAAATCCTTACGGTGGGTGAACATGGGCAACGACAAAGAAACAATTGAGATGTCCATCAAGGACGACAACACATCACCACATCCCGGCCATTTGGGGGTGGAAGTGTAGTCTTCCACTGGGATCAGGTGTTGGCTTCCGTTGTCAATCAATACTTTGTTGTTGAACAAGTTCAAATAATTCTTTCCGGTCTTATAGAATCTCAAGTCGTCAAGAAATCCCTTGGGGCTTCCAGAATGGAAAATGAGGGAGCCTATAAAGCAAACAAAGAGAATTTCGGCCGTCAGAACCAAAATAGGATGAGCAAACTTCTTGGATGCTGGCCATCTTTGAGGGATCAACAAAGCAATGTAGTAAGACACGATGGTGAGCCCCAAATGGTAGGGCAAAAATGTGTGGATGGACTTGATGTAGTAGAAAGGAATAGACACCACGAAGAGAAACAAGTACACGATCCAATCAATATAACTTGTGATAAAAATGGTTATCTTCTGCTCCACGGGAGAATTCTCGTACTCGGAAATCGACGATGGGGGTGGTGTTGCACTCGGAGGTGTGGAAGTCTCGGGCAAGGGTACAGATATGGATGTGGCCAGATCTGACGGCGTGCTCTGGCGAGAGTTGGGGGTGCTGAAGTCTGTGTGCTGGCACCTGGGGCTGTTCTGGTACGTGGGAGCCGGTCTTTCCACGCTTGGCCGGGGGATTTCTTCCTGAGTGTTGAATGGGTTTTCGTTGATCGAAAGAGAACGGGTTTTGGAGTGTCTCTGCAAATTTGTATCGATGGTGGTGATATCGTCACGCATGCTGGTGAATCCACCGTCGTTGGTGTCCTCTTGAGAGGACTTCTTCCGCAAGTCCAGCAACTCTGTGTCGTCGTTCTTGTGGGCCTCTTCCGGGGTGAATAAGCTGAGACTCATCAAGGCGTACTTCAACCCCAAAATGAAATACACATCGATCAACATCAATATGATCCATCCTATGGCAAACACGGCGGCGATCTTGAGACATTCGATGAAGGTGATGTGCTTGGAGAGCGGCAAGATGATGAAAGACGGAATGAAGAACACGTTGATCCATTTCAACGAGAAGTTCATCGACGGCTTGATGATCCGCATGTAGTGGTCGAGAACCCACGCTGCCCAGTGGCTCACCTTGCCAGAGGTGCCTGCGGCAAGAGCATTGACCACACAGAGGAAAATCAAGTTGATCAACATCCCAAGGACCGAGCTGGGGAACTTGATTTTGATGACGTTCACGAGGAGCTGGTTGAGCCCGTACAAAATGGTGAATAGAATGAGAATCCCCACGGGAATCACACAGTACGACTTGAAGAGATGGACACGGGAGTACCAGAACCCGGTCCCGATGCCCCTGAGAACCTGGCTGGCGGTGAAGGTTGCCCCACTCATCGGATTTCAATGGCTACCAATGGGAGATTTGATAGTAGATTGTACTAGTTGTGAAATAACTGTAAATGATAAGAAAGCTGTAAATATTATAATAAAAATTTGTGTACAAGTCGTGCTGGTTTGTATGCCTGCTGGATAAACTGAAGCGTGGCTTGTAATAGGGTCTGCTTGCCGATACCGTTGTCGAGAGTCGACTGGCGTCAGGATAATATTACCCAATCCACACCATGGCCGGACTCCGGGGAAAAGGCATTCACGTGACAGATAAGCATCGGCCAAAGCCGAGGATATCCAGCCGCAAATCATCCTACACTGAAAAGAGACAACCAACCGGTCGAGGGCACGGTGCCTGCCCTACGTCGTCATTCTCGATACACTCTACGGTGGTCCACGTCCCGGGTGGCCCTGAAAAGTGTGCTCATTTGCATGTATTAATTGTGTACTTCGTCTGGTCTCCAGTCTACTTGTGGGCCTCCTGTGCTTCGATGACCTCCCTGAACTCCTCCTTGGCGTATCTCAAACCACAGTAACCGCATGGGTTGGGCTTGGCCTGGTCCAAGTTGATGAACACCTTGGGGTGTCCCTGTAAAGTGCTTCCTCTGTTACCGTCACACACGGCAATGTTTCCCTCGTCGTGTGACAAGTATCTCACTGGTTCCTGTGCAATTAAATCAATTGCAGCGTAAGGTCTTGGCTGTAACTCCAAGTCTCTTTGCACAAATCTGTGGGGGTGTTTGGTGATGACGTCCAATCTGGATTCTTGCGATGCGGACCATGGCTCGGCTCTGTTTGGTGCTTGCTTGCTGACTTCGCTATTCTTCAATTCGTCCTTGGACAAACCAGTGGAGGTCTTCTTGACAGCCACGCTGGATTGGAAGCGCAATGCTACGAGCCTGGTTGGTCTCAAACTTATTCTGATGCTGGACAACATTATGCAGGAATGATGTGACGATGCTATGGGGGTTGTGAAGAAAGGGGAAGGCTGTTCTAGCAGGAGAGACGTCCTTTCTCTATCGATGTTTCTTACCTAGCTGAGCGGTGGATAATACAAAAATTCTCACCTCGCGATTGGATAGCGGAGCTTACATAAGCACTTACTAATAATTGCGTTACCCGGACAAGTTTGCTGGCGCCCGTTGGAGGTGGCAGGCACCGGTGGGACTACGGCACAGATATTAAACGAATAGCATTAATGGTTAACCAAGAAATAATAGTATAAAAAGTGAATAACATATAGAATAGAAAAGAACAGTTGGAGCCAGTCCCGCCTCAGGATTGGGGCGGATAACCTGATGATTAAGGGTTAATCAGAAGTGAATGATTGATCGATTACAAAACAACACATTTCCTCTTCTTTTCCTTCTTCTCCTTAGTCTTCAAGGAAGCTCTGGTGGCAGCTTCGAAAACTTCTCTAACACCTTGGCCGGTTCTAGCAGAACATTCCATGTAGTCAAATGCACCGATCTTTTGGGCCACAGCTTGACCTTCAGATGTAGAAACTGGTTGTTGTTGTTGTTGTCTTAATTGTTCGATGGTGGCTGGGTCGTTTCTCAAGTCGGACTTACAACCGACCAAGATGTTTGGAACACCTTGACAGAAATGTAAAACTTCGGAGATCCACTTTTCCAAGACGTTATCCAACGAGTCAGGAGAATCCACCGAGAAACAGATCAAAATGACGTTGGAGTCTGGGTAGGACAAAGGTCTCAATCTATCGTAATCTTCTTGGCCAGCAGTATCCCATAATGCCAATTCAACCTTTCTGCCATCGACTTCGACGTCAGCGACGTAGTTTTCGAAAACAGTAGGGACGTAGACTTCAGGGAAGGTACCCTTGGAGAACACAATCAACAAACATGTCTTACCACAAGCACCGTCACCAACAATGACTAATTTTCTACGGATTTCAGCAGGAGGAGGAACCATTTTATGCAAGTCAAGATCAAATAACCTAGATGTTAGTATGGGTTCGGTGATGGAGAAAAACTGGACGACCAAAGTGAGTTTGCGCACGGCGCGCTGGTGTTTCAAGCGGGTATTGTGGTGGACGACGGGTCGGTGTCAGCACCCCAAGAGCGTTTCGTGCCACCAGTGTCGATCCGTGGCCCAACCCTCTTCCACTAAGGATTCGGCTATCATGTTTGTGAATCTCGGCAGAAAAACAAACAAAAAATTTGGGCCTGGCTCTCATTTCAGGGGACCCACCGGGTGATTTGGGGCTGGTTTGGGGGTGTAGGCAGACGGCACTAGGCGTAGACTGTAGGGACGACGTCCACACGTCGCCAATACCGTCCAGGGCCTTGTCGCCAGACGGGATCGCGTGCTGGCGGCACTGGTGCCGGTAGTCCTCTGACGTCGTCGATCCACCAGCAACGATCCGGTGCTGGCGTCGTCCCACCACTTCGTGGATGTCTGGGAGGGTGATTCCTCGCACCCACAGCGAGATTGCCGTAGTGCCATACTCTGGCTGGATTGCCGCCGTGTTATGATGAACAGCTTCGAATGGCTTCGATTGTCGATCCGAGTGATTCCAACGGCGCCCTGCCAGCACTGGCAGGGCCATCAATCGGCGTGTGGGCCGTCCTGGTCGTAAGGGTGTCCGTGTGGGCACAGGCGATACGTACTATACTCCTAACAACAGTTGTTGATGAAAAGAAGAGAAAGAAAACTAGCGGATTTTTTTAGCGTGGTAGGTAGCCGCAGTGCTGGGACGACCGTGATACTAAGCGGTGCGACGCCGCGGGCGTGTCCATCCCTGGCGAGCCAGCAAGGGGTAGGCAGGGGATGGGGAGACGGTACGAGGGGGATGAGAGAATGGTGGTAGTGGGAGTGTTGGCGCTGGTGCTGGTGGTGCTGGAGGATGGTGGTAGTGGTGGTGGTGGTGGTTTGGTGGCGTGGCCTGCGAGGCACCACGGCCGATCTGCCAGAGTTTCACATTTGCGCCAGCGAGTGGGAGACTGCGACTCACGAGGCATAGTTTTATAGGTGTGCCAGTACAATTACAGTGCCAGATGCTGGTACGTAGCAGTGGCTGGTGCTGGTGCGTAGCAGTGGTTGGTGTCGGTACGTAGCAGGCCCATCGTGGTGCCAGTGACAGCCTCCGCCAGCCGTGGCAGCTCTCCCGCCTGGTGGTTCTGGCCCTGGCGTGGCCCCTTAGGACGAGGCGCACGTGACAGTCCATAGCCACTTTCGCGGGCTATTAATAGGCAGCGGCTTCCAACCCTCGTGTGGATGGCTGGTGGTGTCACGCGACAGCGGCACCCTTCAAGCAGACCATCTAGAGTCCCCGAGCTCGGCATCTGATCGTTGGGTTGTCGGTGTCGTTTCACCTCTAACCATGCAGCCGGCGTGCCTGAGCGGTGTCTGCAGGGACGCAAGTAACGGCTGGCGTCCAGAGCGAGACCACAAAACGGAGACGGAATCAGACACAAGGTGAGACGGAGGGAGAGAGTAGGGTGGGAGTAGAGTGGGAGTAGAGTGGGTCATAATGGGCCAGGAAGGATACTCTGGGAAGACTCGTGCCACCATGCCCAGACCATCCCGGTGGGGCCATGGCTGTGCCGACTTTGGTGCCCTGGCCAGTTCGTACCATGGTGGTTGTGATTCCTGGCCCGAAGTGACACCTGCATCAGAGCACGTGACCCTGCTGCGAAATCCACTCGACAGACACTCAGGATGTCATACTCCACGAGTGGGCGAATACGAGCGTAGAATCGGGTACATCGATAGAAGGGGGGTGAATCCTCAGATAACTTAGAGTTCCTGATTTTGGACGAGTCTCTTTACTACTTTCCAAAATATAACCCACCTCTTGTGAATGATTTATATACTATCAGCTTTGGGCCAAGTTCCTATGAAGTCTTTCTTCTTAGACAAATTTCTTCCTAGGATTACACTGAAGCAGGGCTTTGATACACTAGAGACTAGTCAAACGATTTTGAATAATGTGGAGAGCAACTGATGGTGCTGACACCAAGATATACATACAATTACAGCGTTCTGATCACAACGATTTTTAAGTATCGCTTTCTGCCAACATCTAGAGTAGAACTTTTTCGTATTTTTTGACAACAAGCAGATGGTTCTACCAGGTCTCCCAACACTATTGATCCGAAATGTATCGTATGCATGGCATCATAATCCTGAAAGGTCATGTATTATCATGCATCAATTTTGTCACTACAGAGCAGTTAAACTGAGCTATTATTTCATTTGTCTTACTTGATAAGAATTTACGGTGATATCTACTTAATTTTACTGAAGTATATTCACTTAGTCTCTGGTATAAATCACATATTTATCCGCCAAGAGGAATCAGATTGAGTAATGAGTCCAGAGGTCTAGGATATTTAGCTTACGTGAGAGTCGTTTGGTTAGGCTGAGATCCTTGTATTTTGCAGGGGGTCTCACACCTACTATGCTATAAACACATATGTAAGACTGCCCTAGTGGGTGTGTTCTAGGTTTCTCTGACCCAGTAGTTTGACCTCTAGTGATGCATAACTTACCACACTGACTAAATCGGCCTTGATTATTAAGCATCGGAGTTAATTGGGTAAGCAGTGACTTGTCACCAGACCCCTTTCGGTGTCTTCGGCCTCTCTACACTGCCGATCATGGTGAGAAGTTCTTACAAACCTCAAAGCACAATTCTATCGAAATGAATTGCATCATTTGATACACTAATCTACTATTATTACTATTTCTATAAAGAATAGCAATAAACTTATAGAGATATCGGTACTTTCCTACGTGAGTCTCGAAATTTTAATTAATACTATATAAATATAAAGGTGTCCTGTAACGGAAAATTAAAAATATTGTAATTGATGATTTTTTTAGCAAGCGTCAATAGTTCTAACCAAAGCATCGTCCCCCCGCAAGCTGAATGTTCCCACAGTAGCGTAATGATGTTGTTGGGAATTGTGTAAGTTCTTTTCATTCCACGGTCTTTTCACTTCGACCTGGCTGTGTTAGCAGCAAATATAACCAACAAATATAACCAAAAAAATATAACCAAAAATATAACCAACCAACGTGAGAAGTCTTTTTTGTTGACTTTCATAAACATCTTAAATACCCATTAGTCAAATCATTGTCTGGATAAGATCCATGAGACAATGCCGAATGCTGTCCACAAGCCAAGGTTTTGAAACCTGGAAAGTGAAATTTTTGGAATCACACAATCCACCATAAGAACTAGCAACTGGAGAAGTATTACCACCATAATACCAAATTGAATACTATTATTCATTGCATGTCTAGAATCGAGTCCCCCAACTCTTGCATCTGAGTGTGCATCGAAGTATTTGATCCAATCTAATCTAGGTTCTGGATTTGGTATATTTTGGTGAATATCAAGCTCAAGTGCATAAATAGGGTAGAGCCCCAATAAGAAATATTCTTCATGAGTCCGGTTGCAGTTTCTCTCAAAGCTTGCTGAAGTTTCCCTAGTCTTGAAAGTCTTAAAGGAAAGTTTGGTTGCCGATGCTGACCCATTCATTAAGTGGACTGAGTATACGCTCGAAAAGTGTCTCACACTAAAACCAGGGTCCTTGAACTGATGTGGACTTATCTGCTCATCATCATACAAGACCAAACGAGCTGTAAAAGCATCAGCATAAACTTTGGTAGCAGAATCAATATTTTGAATCTCAAAATATAAGTCTGATTTGGTAGAAATTTCTTTCAGATCAAGTGGTGTTACTCCAACATCATAATCAACCTCGGGGTTCTCGACCAAGTTGGAAGATGTATGCAAAAACTGGATGTCGACCTCGTCAGGGACATCTATACTCTCGTCCAACATCTCTCTCTTGGGAGTACCCTCCAAAGCATCAATATTAGAAGTGTAATCATTCTCGCACAAAGATCCAAATTTCCAAGACATGACAGGATTAAAAGTCATTCCAGAGTCCAGAAGGACGAGATAATAGAACAAGCAGGCCTTGAGCATGACACTATTCTTAATGCTCCATACAAAAATAACAATAAGAATAGTAATGATCATATCCCGAAGAAAATCAAGGATAGGGTGGTTCACCTTTCCGTTGGAAGTTAAGTTCGTAGGAAACTCAACAAGGTGTTCGCCAGAATTTTCAAACACTCCCTCAACTTCAACTTCCTTTCCAATTAATTCATTAAAAGACTGATGCTCCTCTTCTAATTGCTTGAAATTGTGTGGAGCAGTGTTGGAAAAATCGTTTGTGTGTGCACAATCTTCCAAGTGAACAGCTTCAATTTTCCCATCTTCTCCACCATCTTCAGTTGCTTCATCAGCTTCCAGCTTCGATGGAGTAAATGGGCAGATATTTCTTTGGCTGGTATCCTCCCTACTGTCAGGAGCATGGGTATCCTTATGAACCTCGGCACTCTTAGTGCAGCTTCCACTGGCTGGTATTTGCAAAAGCATTTCTGTATTTTCAAAAGCCTCAATGCTAAGATGGTCTGCCTCACTAGCCACTAGGTCAGTGGTGCTTTCTTCTGATGCATCTGCATATGGATCAGAAATATTAGTCCTATCAACGCCTAGTAATTGCATAATGGTTTGAGTAGCCTCAACATCAATGCTATAATTGGTAGCCATCCCAATGACTTCGCAGGGCATGTTGACTTTAGCAACCTCAACTTCACTAATGCAAGGACTGTTGACTGTCCCAATTCCTAGTATTTGCTTAAGGGTTTGGGTAGCTTCAACATTAACACAAGGAGGGTCGACCTTGATGGCCTCTGCATGGGTCCCGACCTCAACGGTCTCTAAATGCAAAATCTGTGCAACTTCTTCAACATTTGTTTGGTGTCCCTTTTCACTCTCCCTGGATTGAATAAAACAGGAGGACTTGACCTTTTTGGTCTTCCCGAACTTCTTTTTGTTCTTTCTGGCCTTGCTTTTGGAAAATTTAGGTGATCTAATAAATAAACACTCATTAGAATTAATCATACGAACATCAGCATTAGGCATCACCATACCAACATCAACATTAGTTTCCCCCGAAACTTCTGTGGACATAATTGGCTCAATAATATCATTAACAACTTCGGTGGCCCCATTTGGCTTTACTTCATCAACATTTTTTTCGTGCAAAATTGCAGCTGCCACAAATGGCATTTCCATTCCAACATCAACAATAGTTTCTGAGACGTCAACAGCCATAACTGGCTCAACCATACCATTATCAACTTCAGTGGACTCATTTGGTTCAACCTCAACAACATTTTTTTCCTTCAAATCATCATCTGCCACAAACAGCTTCTCCATACCAACATCAACAATAGTTTCCTCCGACACTTCAGCAGCCACAATTGGCTCAATCATACCATCATCAACTCCAATAGCCTTATTTGGCGTTTCCATACCAGCATCAATAGTTCCATTTTTCTTGAAACGTTTCTTTACAGTGTAACACTTGTTCTTGGGCAACTTGGAAGCGTCGCTCTTCGTTGGAGAGCTTTTCTTTTCAAACAATGCTTCAGCCCAAGTGGGTGCAATTGCACCAG